GCAGTAGTCGTCGTCGTACGGCGTGACACAGTTGGTGCGGGCGTGGGCCCACTGGTGGGCTGTAGGGCATGCTAGCGAGCGTGGGCCCGATGGTGGGCCGAAGGGCACGCTAGCGGGTGTGGGCCCAATGGTGGGCGTCAGGCACACTAGCAAGCGTGGGCCCAATGGTGGGCCAAAGGGCACGCTAGCGGGCGTGGGCCCACTGGTGGGCCGAAGGGCACGCTAGCGGGCGTGGGCCCGATGGTGGGCCGAAGGGCACGCTAGCGGGCGTGGGCCCGCTGGTGGGCCGAAGGGCACGCTAGCGGGCGTGGGCCCGCTGGTGGGCCGAAGGGCACGCTAGCGGGCGCGCGCGGCAAGCCGCGCGGCGGCCTTAGGGCACGCCGGCGGCGGTGCCGGGTGGGCGCGCGGGCCGCAGGAACCGGCACGCGGGACGCGCGCGGTGGCGGCGCTTCAGCGGGAACGCCGAGCGTCAGCGGCGCTTCGGGGGGAAGGCCGAGCGTCAGCGGCGCTTCGCCGGGAATGCCGAACGTCAGCGGCGCTTAGGCGGGAAGGCCGAGCGTCAGCGGCGCTGGAAACGGCGCGACGGCGGCGGGGAATCGTCGGGAAACTCCGGCGGGGCCTGTGAGGAGCTGGGACTGGATCTGGCTCGTCGGCACGGCAGCAGAGTCTCTCCCGACGTCGGCGGCGGGTTGGCGTTCGTCGGCAAACGGCCAGCGAATGGGCGGAGCGGCGGATGGTGGCTCCGGCGAGTTTATGGTGGAGTTCCGAAGGAAGAGGGGGAAGTCGAACCAGGAGTCGAGAGACTCCGACGGAGTGCTCAGCGACGGTTCGTAAGGAGGCAAAATGAGTCCCTTTTGTCACGACGGCGTGACGGGGTTCCAATAGAGGTGGCGGCAGTTGCAGCGGCAACCGTGACCATTTCGTATGGTGACGGCGGCGATCTCATGGGCGGCAATGAAGATGTCCGGCGGCGGCAATTGGTCTCAAGCGGCAGCGGGACTTCTCAGGCAGCAGCGTCACGATGAACAAAGTCCTCAAAGGGTATCAACGGCCTTCCTCTCCCTCCTTCCCTCCCTACCCTAGGTCACGAAGAAGGTAACTCACAAACGATAATCTCTCACAAAATTCGGCGCTTTTTTTCTCTTTAATGGGGGGTATTACCTCCCCTTATATAGGGCCCACAAGTGGGCTAAGGAGATGTGGGCCCACTTGAGGCCCTCAAGCCCATAAGCCACAAAATGCTACAAAAGGGGCTTATTAGGCCTCTAAAAGAGACCCAATAAGCTCCCCTAAAAGGAGAAAGAGGAAGGCCCTCATACGGTGCTTAAGTGAGCCTCAAATGAAGACCCAAATAAGCCCCAAAAGAGCCCAAAAGGAGAGAAACATAGGTCCCCCGCCTTAGGGTTTTAATTGGGTCTCAAAAGAGAGACCCAATAAAACCCTAAAGAAAGGGAGACACAAACAACAACACACACACATAGAATTGGGCCCGCTAACACACAAACGCGAGGCCCAACAAGTCAACGTGAAAATACAAAGAAAGAAAAAGGTGAGCTCGAGCTCATCGTCATCGTGGAGGTGGAATGTCATCATCTCGAAGGGCTAGGCCGTGTAGTGACAGCCAGGCTCCTTCGTCTTCATACGTCAATCGGGTTGAACTCAGACTGCTAGTGTCTCCTGAGCTAATGGAGACGGGTCCTGCTCACCATCAAGACTAAATATAATAATTTAGATCTTCATCCAACCATTAGTATATAACAAGAATATATTTATGATTTTCATTTTTACTTTTCATCATCTAAATACTTGACATAAGTAATATTTACCGATATACAATTATAATCGACTCATATTAAATCATCATTTATATTTTAGAACCATGAACCATATTTTACATTGTCCAAATTATCTCTCTTAATCATTGATGTTAGAAATATTAATCCCTTTTCCTAATATTCGCTAGTTGAATAGTAGATGAAATTATTGTGCTATCTATGTAATCATTGAGTAATTGTAACTAAAAGCACATGATCCTCTAATTTATTTATTTTATACATAAATTATCAATGCTTCAAGTGTATTCAGGTACTTGTTTACTATTTATGATGTTTCATTGCAAGGTGTAGGATGAATATCTAATGTTAACATCGCAACATCTTCTTTCATTTTATTTGAAAGCAATAATAAAATTATATAGAATTAAATCCGGATATTTTTGATTGGTATTAAAAAATTAGGCTGCCAATTCTAATGGTTGTGGTAGGTAACTCACTAAGAGGTCAATCAATTCCTTTTAATTAATTTTAATTCATTATGATATTTATTGTAGAATAAGACATTCAGAATAGATGACTAAATTGTACTTGAAAATGAGTGATTTCAGGGATCATTAAATTATGCAATTGATTGTTCTGGTTCCTCATCAAAATGGATTGGAAGGTAAGAGTTCAAGATCATCTTTAGAGGTGCAAGACTTTTCCCATTAACCTCCAGGCAACCTTTTCATTTCAAATAGATACATTTTACGTTCCTATTGACACAAGATCTGTTAATGTGTACTAAAGACCTTGTGCATGTATATCTCTACTTGCGCATCAAGGAATGAGAAGCTCGTGATTTGGACAAAGTAAACCAAGTTAAAAGGGTCACTTTGCTACCTTTGTGAGTGATCCTAATTAGCTGCCATTACCCATGAGACGTTCTGCAAGAATGACGAAGTAGTCACTGTTTTTTAACTAATGGGACCCTAATAAATTTTGGTGATAATCTTAAATTTTACTGCATCAAATTCAGAACTTTGTTGTGAAAATTATCAGGACGATATTCTCCAAACTCGCTAGTAATAAATATGTTACCATCGTTACATAATAAAAATGATGCATATAAGATTTACGTGGAAAACCCAGCACGACGAAAAGTAAAAGAGAAGAAAGTAGTGACTTTCGAAATGTGATTTCCATGTCTCATTACGCCTGAACACCTCTTCCTCTCCAAATGCACATCCTTACGCCATACAACTGCATTGTGTTTGGTCATCCGACTCTAACTGAGACTAGTTTTTAAATACCATACACCTGCATTATCTCTGAACCCACCCATTGATTGACTGGGGCTGCTTCTCGCCACCCACTACGCACTGAACCCATGTCTATCCCCCGATGATACCCATATTAACTTTGCACATCTGCAAACAATGTCGTGGCACAATAGGGAGAATAAGCTTTCTGGATGAAAAATGTTAAATGCAGTGAAGATTTTGAAATAATTCTAAATCAGTCTTACAATGGATACTGCGAATTTGAACTGAGATGTGCAGAAATAATGGAAAAGATTAATGCAAGAAAAGATGTCGTCTACTAGCATGGGTATCTCGACTTCAAAATTGCCCAATAGGCGGACAAGATTCCTATGGGTGAGCTCAGAAAGTATTAACACCTCATTGGCAAACTCGTTTCCCCTTCTCTTATCAATATTGTGATATTTCATCGTAGAAACGACTCTATTCTGCTACTATCTCGTGTCTCTTTCATCAAGAACGTTTCGACTGTCAAACTCTCTAATGCTCAGCTATATATCATATATATATACACGCATCCATAACATGAAAAGCATGAGGCAGGACTGTTCGAGAGAGAGAGAGAGAGGAGCTGATCCAAAAGGTCCAAACGGCGAAGAATCGTCAACATAGAACTTCATGTTAGATTTGTCTATTCTGCTGGCAAGACTGGTAGGAGGCGCTGTTTGAACCTGTTGACCACAACCATACACGGCAGCCGTGAACACATGGCTGAAGTAGATCCAGATGCGGAGGTGCTCAGCGGTACAAGTCTGAGGAATAGTGGGAGACTTAAGAAGCGTCGCAGAAGATTTGCCACAGTATAACTAGCCTGCGGAGACCGTAACATGTATAAGCACCGCCGGAGACCGACCACCGTGAACGAGGAACACAGGTTTCCATGAGCATTGGAAGGTCAGGAATGATCATTCCACGCCATTCGCCATTGAGAGACAAAACGTAAAGAGCGATGTATGACGATAGAAAGAGGGAGGGCGGGTGCGATGTTGGGGAGAGGGGGAGAGGGAGACACACACACAGAGAAAGACAAAAGATAGTCTGGTTGGGTAGGCCATGTAACTAGAAGACTATAGTGACGTCGGGTCGATTTCCAATCTCTCCTGCCGAACTTTTGTGGGTCTCACGCTCTCTCCCTCACTTGTTTATTCCTTGAAACTTTTAATGGTGAGAATAGACGTCACACTCCATTACAGGTAGATCGATTTCAAAACAGCGAGTCGTGAAGACCGGATGTGCCGCGACGACCAGTGGAAGGGAAAATAGACCGGCCGCTCCACGCAGCCGTGAAGACCGGGACAGAGAATCGTTGACTTCATGAAGTGCATAGTCGCGAAGGCTTGCACCTAGAACGCTAACTTGACCGGCAAAGAATGGGTTTCTCTTCCCCACTCTATAAATACGGAGGGAAGTCGAAATGGCGTAATGCAGATCCTGGCCCTTTCAGACTCTTAACTGCAAAGGTTTCCCTGGGGCCAGGACAGTTCGACTCTATGGCCTCCTGTCCCCCACGAACATGGATGATGACCATCGCCGTGGCAATCCTTTCTGCCTTTCTAATGGCAGGCCCAGCAAGTATTCTCTCCTCCTTTCTAGTCTAACTCTCCTCTCCTCCGTCTCATCCCCTCCCTCCCTCCCTCTCCCCCCCCACCATTTCATAAATATCTGTTTACATGCCTCTCGCCTCCCCTTGCTCGGCATCTGTTCACATGATCCCAGTTCTGATCATGGCCCGCATTGTTTACATCAGACGTTCTAAATATTCAGCTAATCACTCATCGACGTTGCCTAAGAGATCACGAAATGAGGCCTTTCCTTATTAGGAGACGTCTGGTATCAAATCTATAGATTTTGACGGAACAACAGCTCATATTTTCTCGTCTACATCTTTTTTCCCGCAGGAGCTAAAGTCGGCGTTTGCTATGGCATGCTGGGCGACAACCTGCCACCACCCGCTGAGGTGGTGGCGCTCTACAAGCAGAACAATATTGGCCGCATGAGGATCTTCTTCCCTACCAAGGACGTCCTTCAGGCCCTGCGGGGCTCCAACATCGACCTCATCATGGACGTCCCAAGAGAACACTTGCAGGGTATTGCCTCCTCGGCTGCCACGGCCTCTGACTGGGTCCAGCGTAATGTCTTGGCTTACTGGCCGGACGTCAGGCTACGCTACATTGGCGTCGGAAATGAGCTCATCCCCGGAAAGACGGAGGCCCAGTACGTCCTCCCCGCCATGCAGAACATCTACAACGCGCTCTCTTCTGCCGGCCTCGCGAATCAGATCAAGGTTTCGACGGTCGTCGACATGGGAATTCTCGGACAATCTTATCCCCCTTCGGCCGGCAAGTTCACCGCCAGCTCTAAGCGTTTCCTGACGCCCATCGTGGGGTTCCTAACGCGCACCGGGGCGCCGCTACTGGCCAACGTCTACCCGTACTTCTCTTACATCGGCAACAAGAGGGACATCTCGCTCGACTACGCCCTCTTCACCTCCTCGGGCACCGTCGTCACCGACGGGCGCTTTGCCTACAAGAACCTGTTCGACGCCATTCTCGACTCCGTCCACGCTGCCCTCGAGGAGATCGGCGCGGGCGGCTTGAAAGTCGTCGTTTCGGAGAGCGGCTGGCCGTCGGCGGGCGGCGACACCGCTACCATCCACAACGCCCGGACCTACAATCAGAACTTCATCCGCCACGCGCCGCAAGGGACGCCGAGGAGGCCGGGGAGGCCCATCGAGGCTTACATATTCGCGATGTTCAACGAGAACAAAAAGCCTCAGGGCACGGAGCAGAACTTCGGGCTGTTCTACCCCAATAAGCAGCCCGTCTACCCAATCAGCTTCTAGTGTCGATCATCCATCCAGTAAAGCGTACTAATTCACGCATGCCTGAATAAGAAAGCTTGAATTCCCTTCCTGAAGAGGTCCTACTGGGATGAATAAGCCTTAAATGAATACGTTTTGATATATATCTTGGGAGTCAAACGAGGAAGAACCGTCTGTAGTAGTTCTTCATCGAATGAATGAACGTAAAAGACGTTTATGGCGAGAAGGATATAGCATTTTTACGGACAGACAGACCGATATGAATGTTGCGGCCGTGGTCAGCTGGAGTCAATGGAACAGCGCCGAGCTTAGGCTGTGGTACAAAAGAAAAACCCTAATCCCGACCAAAGCCATATAGGAAAGTTCAGAAAACTAGGCCATGAGAAAGAACCCCAAGGGACATATTCTACGGCAGCAAGATTTTATTGCAATTTTATTACGCAGTCGTTGGCGAGCGATTGTAGCTGGATGGGAAGAAAATAGGTGATGTTGCTCGCGGGGGCCCGTCCAACTCAAAATTCACTGGCATTTATTAGGATGTATCGATTTTATATTGCCTGCCCTATTTTTTCTTGGTGTTGCGACCAAATCCACTGAAGAAAGATCGATCATCTGATGTATGTATCATATTCGGGGGTACTAAAGAAATCCATCCAGAACGCTTTCTAAATTGATTGCGTCTGAAAGTTGATCGGATAAACCGGCTGCTTGTTGGGGTAAAACAGCCCAAAGTTCTCCTCCGTGCCCGGCGCTTTCTTGTTCTCGTTGAACATGGCGAATATGTACGTCTCAATGGGCCTCCCCGGCTTCCTTGGCGTCCCCTCCCGCGTGTGGCGGATGAGGTTCTGGTTGTAGGTCCGGGCGTTGCCGACGGTAGCGGCGGCGCTGCCAGCCGACGGCCACCCACTCTCCGAGACCACGACCTCCAAGCCGCCCGCGCCGATCTTCTCCAGCGCCGCGTATACGGAATCCAGAACAGCGTGGAACAGGTTCTGGTACGAGTTCTTCCCGTCGGAGACGACGGCGCCGCCGGCGGTGAAGAGGGCGTAGTCGAGGGAGACATCTGCGGGGTTGCCCACGTAAGCGAAGTAGGTGTACACGTTGGCCAGCAGCGGCGCGCCGGTGCTGGACAGGAACTCAACGATGGGGCCGAGGAGGTCCCCCGCAGCGGCGGTGAACTTGCCGGCCGAAGGGGGATAAGACTGTCCGAGAACCCCGGTGTCCACCGCCGTGGAGACCTTGATGTGATTCTCGAGGCCGGCAGAAGAGAGCGCGTTGTGTAGGTTCTTCATGGCGGGGAGGATGAACTGGGCCTCGGCGACGCTGGGGATGAGCTCGTTCCCCACCACCAGTCGGCGGAAGAGGACGTTAGGCCAGTGGGCACGGACATTGCGGTCGATCCAGTCGCCGGCGGTTGCGGCGTCGGAGGCCAGCAGCCGGAGGTCCTCCCGCGGGACGTCGAGAGTGAGCTCGATGTTGGACCCCCGCAGGGCCTCGAGGATTTCCGTGGTGGGGAAGTAGATGCGCATGCGGGTGATGTTGTGCTGCTGGAAGAGCGCCACCACCTCTGCCGGAGGGGGGAGATTGTCGCCCAGCATCCCGTAGCTGACGCCCACTTGACAACCTGCGGAAACAACAGCGTACGTGAAGCCTCACTGATATGAAGGTGTCGACAGCGACGACATCTTCTAATCATTCATGCAGTCGCAGTAATTAACGTGCACCTAGTTTGAAGATGATTTTCGCCAAAAAGAACAAAAAGACAGACATCCAGAGCGGAGATAGATGAAGTGCAATGAGAGAGAGGGAGGGAGAGGGAGGGAGGGGGAGGGGGATAGGGAGAGAGAGATTACGTGCTGGGCTAGCCAGTAATACGCCGGAGAGCAGAGCTACAAAAACTCCCAGAGAGGCCATGGAGAAGAGGAATCGCTGGGACGCCTTATTGATGGAGAAATGACAGCGTAATAGAAGCTGCGTGCCTGCCTAGGGCGACCATGTCCTCCATCTCCTATTTATAAATGGGAGGATGCGGGGGTGGGACTGAGAGAGAGAGAGAGAGAGAGAGAGAGAGCCTTTGCTTGGCAGCAAATCGGAGGCTCTTCAACACGAATCTTCGCCTCGTTAATCATGGTGATCCACCTTCTAAATCAGCCCTCCTACAGAAGTCGCAGTCCGAGGTAGCTTAAGACAGGAGTCAACCCTTTCGCCGGGCATTCGTTCTTCTTCCAATTAGTCAATTCCATTCTAGGAAACAAAGTAGCCGATGGAGTTTCCTCTATGGGACAGAATATCGGTTTTTTAAGAAATTAAAGGAGCTAAAATGCACATAAATTGACGTTGAGCAGAATTTCTCTCAGATTCCGCTATTGATTTCCATGGACGAACTCCCTAATACCAATTTGGTCGCCCCCTTGCCTGCTTCCTAAGACCACCCAGAAAGTATTTTCTCTCTCTCTCCCCCCCTCAATTGTTCTCTCCCATGCTTCTCCTACGTGTTCCCTCAAAGTCACGTCTCCTTGGCCAAGGAAACAGTTGGCAGTCGTCAACTTCCTCTTCCGCTAGGCGATGGTGCTGACCGGCTTATAATTGACAATCACAGTGTAGGAAATCGGCACGTGCCGATTAATGGGCGTTACCCGAATGATGCACGTCACGAAGGGGAGTGATGGCTTTCAAATGGCTGTACAACGCGGTGGACGTCTGAGAGGGGGGAGGGGGAGCTTACTCGATAGCCCATTAAGAGCCCAATCATCACCAACCCGTTTGAGCCCACTATGTTCGAAGCCCATCTCGGAACCGTTCGAAATGACTCGTGTCAGCACGAAGCGCGCGTAGCAGCAGGCCTCACTGCGTGTCCGTCCTTCGACGCTCCTCGTCTGCTCCGACGTTTGTTCTTCTTCCGCTAGATGGAGGCCAGAGCTCGGCAGGTTTTCTGCTCGTGAGATCGAGCAGGGGCAGGAGCAGCCGTTGTTGAGGCATTTGCGGTGCCGGCCTGTGCAGCCTGTGGCAATGGATTTCACCGTCCCGGTACCCAACGTCCTGGGGGAACGTCTGTCTGGCCAGGACGTCCGGGACCAAAACGGTGAGCCACCCTCTGGTTTATTATTCTTTTTTTCTCCTCTTCCTGTTTCTGTTTGTGAGTTTTTTTTCTCTTCCTGATGTGAAGAACTTACAAACTTAGGAAATTTTGCTTCTTGAGCAGTGATGGCCTGCCAAGCGGTGGCGAACATCGTGAAATCGTCCCTTGGGCCAGCTGGACTTGATAAGGTGATGTGTCCCCCGCGAACTTGCTTCTGCTGCTGATGTTTAGGCCTATTTAGTCCTTTCTGGAATATAACACGATGTATCCAGAGCAAGCAGTAACTAATCATGGATGCTCTTTTATTTTGATGATGATGATTTATCATTCCTAAGCACTAACGTGTCTCTTGCGTTGTACCTGTAGCCTGTCAAAATAATGCAGAACACATTCCACTCCATGTCGCGCAGTGCTTTCTTCGTAGTCTAAGCTCTGGTGTCAAATGCATATTTTGCTGCTAGTGTAATTGGCACTGACCTTTGCATGTGACTTTCGTTAAGAACCAGTGCGTACTAATTTTTCTTTCCGTCACTAGTCTTACGACAAATTTTGGGTACCTCACAATTTGTCGTACTAATCATTTATGTGCACGTTGGGAAAACGAGGAACGTCAAAATTTTCAGAAAGTCGTTGATCATTTTATTTATGTTGTTGAACCTTTGAGAAAGGGTTTCATACTTGGTGCCTCAAATCTTAATCCTAAAATCTTGGAAATTGAAACCATTGAATTACAGTTTTATTGTCTTCCAGTATATTCTCCCAACGCTAGTTCATTTATTTTTAATATGTTCTTTTTTTCTCCTCTTTGGATCTGATACTAATATCTGTCCACCATCCGTATTAATCCCCAGCTACTATTAATCAATTATGTCGAGAGAATTCACTTTTTTCTGTAAGATGAAAATTTCTTGAAAGCCTCATTGAATTCAACAGTTAAAAACATCTCTCTAGTCTAAAAGTGTATTTTGGTGAGATACTTGGATAAGTCAGAAAAAAAAATTCTACTCGTGAATATGATCCCGACCTTCAAAAGAATAATTCAAAGATTAAATAAGTAGTTCCCAGAATATAATGACATTCAGAGAAGAATGTTTAATGATAGCAAAGAACAGGAGCCGTTGAAGATGGAACTTTCATTGGAAATTGGTTCGTCTGCCAAATAAGGATAATCTTTGACGGTTTTCAGTCATATTGTTTTTAGTAATTCAGAGTTGAGGAACGATAATTCTAAATTTTTTAGTTGTTATGTAATTATTTTGATAGAACGATTTTCGTAAAAAAGCTCATTGCTTTCAATTGCAATAGTTATAATTTTTGCAAAACTCTAGTATTCCTTTTTCATAACTTTAATACTATCTGTTGTTAGGTATATATAATAACAGTTTATAGCATCTAATATAAACACTTAAGAGTGCAAATGTTGTTACTCTTCTTGGATATCTTGGATATAGTGAGCTTCTTTTAAGGTGATGTGCATCATAATGTTGTGGGGAACTGTTATAGTGGTGAAATTATTCGTATTCTTTTTACATGTTTATTTGGTTTTTTTAGTTTTTTTCCAAAACCTATACGAAGTATTATTAAATGTGTATCTTGCTTCTATAATATCAGATGAAACCTCAGCTTTAATCTTTGCACTGTGTATGAGTTTGCACAGGAAAATACATCATATATTTTCTCAAGGCAGAGAGTTTTGGATAAATATCTTCTGTCATCATCATATGAATGTTAAATATTCTGGAGAAGTAAAAGTCAATTTCATGTAAGAGAAAGCTGGATTGCCATGGTAAGGGTAGTTTAACGTAAGCATTGACTATAAGACGGGAAAAGTTAACAAAAAAATATAGAAACTTTTCTTTATCAACACTGCAGTGAGCAGAGAAATATTTCATATTTCATGTACGGCATTGAAAAAGTCTATGTGATGAATTCTTAAGTCACGCTTTTACTCTTTGTTTCTTGAATCTGTTTGGTATGTAAAAAGTCTATGTGATGAATTCTCAAGTCGTGCTTTTACTGTTTGTTTCTTGAATCTCCAAGATGCTTATTGATGACATTGGTGATGTGACAATCACCAATGATGGTGCGACAGTACTCAAAATGCTAGACGTTGAGCATCCTGCTGCAAAGGTACGAAATTCATCTACGATTCAGCTATTTAAATTAGAAATGTATTTGAGTATATGTTCCATCCACACATTTATCATTTTCTCTTTTGGTCTGTAAGATCCTTGTAGGATTATCTCAACTTCAGGATCGAGAAGTCGGTGATGGAACAACTTCAGTGGTCATTGTGGCTGGAGAGCTCCTGAAGGTCAAGTATAATGGAGATTGTGGGGCAGTTTTAAATCTAAATATGATTTAATAGAATGATATAATTTCTTAACATCATGGTTGCAGAGAGCAAATGATCTGGTGAAAAGCAGGATGCACCCTACACTGGTAATCAGTGGGTTCAGGGTCAGTTATTACCTGATTTTAAGAAAATAACTGTGTTCATGTTCATTTTTAACTATCACAGGTCCTTGATTTCTTGTTATATTTTAAACAGTTGGCCATGAGGGAAGCCTGTAGGTTTATAAAGGAGAAATTAGCAATTGAGGTAAATTGATTTATATATATACAATATTTTTAGCTAGCTGGGCACTAAAGGTTGTTGTGGTTGTAGATTGATAAGCTTGGGCGGGAGTGTCTTATAAACTGTGCCAAAACAAGCATTGCATCGAAGATGATAGGCAGTGAGAGCGACTTCTTTGCTAAATTGGTGAGTGTGCAACAACTGTGAGTATTATTTTTAATCTCATATTTTACCCTCTCTGGAAAATTCAGTTCAAGGTCTAGCCTTACTTGGGCAGTACAGTGGGACTGTTAACCTAGCATTACTATGTTTTAAGGGCTGTTTACATGGGATTTTACAGTGGAATATATGCATAGGTGCTGGGCATGACGCATGCTCTCTACTAGGTGTATGTAGCTTCAAGACTCGATCCCCTAAAACTCCAGGTGAATGTTCACGAAGCCCATTTGAAGTGCGTGGAACCCAGATCAAAGTTTTTGCAGCTGAATTTTTTTTTTTGTATCAGTGTTTTTTGGGGAAGTATGGTATTCCCCATATGTAATGGAACATCTACATGTTTCTTTACCAGCTTTGTGTTGTTTTGTGCCTTTAGTTTCATGCTATAGTTGTAGACTCCTGTTCGGATGTATTGTTTTATCTCTTCCTTCCAGCCCTTGTCATCTTTTTCTTGCTTATGCTTCCTTCATGTATGTGGAAGTAGGGTCCGTTTGTTAGCATGTGATTGTGGACCAGTGGCACATGGCACATAAAATGACGGGATGCCATGCATGATATGTATATGTGCCTGTACGTTGGCACACTTGATTCTGCATTAAATCATGCGTATTTATCCATAATAATATGCAAGTATGTGCGGGTATATGTTTGCATGTGTGCCCATGTTTATGTTGTTTGAAATTAAATTTTCAATGACTGGATGGTGCGTGGTAGCCTTCCAAACATGCCATCGATTGCCTTGTTCCCATACTTTATTTCCTTTGACCTATAGTCTAGGCAGAAATAATTGGTTGACCATAGGAAAGAGAATAACTTGGTTGTTTGTATGGTTTTTTGTTATTAATCTTTTACATTTTATCCATCTATCACGTTCTGAGGTGAGCCTATTAATCCTTATGTTTTATATTCATTATTTGAAGGTACCCGAGTGAGTTAAATGTGAAATATGACTCTGTTGTTTACTACTTATATAAAACGATATTTTAAAAAAATGAAAATTGAATAGGCACATGCACTCGCCTGATGTCCCCAACATATAGATCTTCACTCCCCCTCCGTGGACCTCTCAGATACTTTAAAGAACATCTGAGAGTGTTTGGTACTTGCAAGTAGTTTTTGTCAGCAGTCAATGCTTTTGCTTCTATCTTGACGTCACCTCAAATTTATCATTCTGATCTTGTCCTTGAATTATGGATTCATATTGATATTTTATCCTTTTCTAGGTTACTGAAGCAGTGCTAGCAGTTAAGACCATGAGCGCAGAAGGTGTTGTTAGATATCCAATCAAGGTCTGTACTCTTGTGAGACCCATATCCTATTAATGATATCACATTTGAGATTTTCATTATATAATTTAAATAATTTAGTATGCATTTGTCTTTTTTGAGGCAACCAAGAGCTATAGTAGAGTTTCTGGAAGCAGGTCAGACCGAAATATTTTGAGACATATCTTTTACTTTAATACAAATCCATCCTAAGTCATTTTTATACTTGAGATGAATTTTAAGAGTATTTATCTGATATTCTGTTCGACAGACTAATCACATACCATTTCCTTCATGAAATCAATTCCAAGAAAATTTCATCAGCTACATTTTTATTTTGCTGCAGATTTTTCGCCTTACAGGTTTAGATTTATTACATGCGGGTTGTTTACAATTATATGGGATCTGATATTCTTGCAATTCTGCAGAGCATCAATATTTTGAAATTTCATGGGGAAAGTGTAAAAGACAGCTACTTGTTGGATGGTTATGCGTTAAATATAGGCCGCTCTGCACAAGGAATGCCTACTAGAGTTGCACCTGCAAGAATTGCATGTCTACATTTTAACCTTCAGAGGACAAAAATGCAAATGGGAATTCAAGTGTCAGTTACTGACCCCAGAGCACTTAAGAAAATTTGTCAAAGGTTAATTTCGCATCTTATTACCGTATGTTATAATCAGACTAAAATCAAGTCAACTCATAGTCGAAGTATATGATGTTGTTACTGTGATAAATGTTTTATTTCAACTTGAAATAAGTTCTTATTTTCTTATTTGGTTTGTTGATACTTGGAAGATTTCAGTATAAAAAAAAATCCAGTTTTTTTTTTTGTAATCAGATGAATTATATACGGATACAATTTTTTCAACAGGAGTGAACAAGTTTTACTAACGTTAGTCTCAAATTAAACCTATTAATGTAAGTTTTCTCAGCAATATTAGTCTCAAATGTAAGTTGGCATATGATTGTGATGCATTAAAGTAAATCCTTGAATCCACGTTGGCTAGTAATATTTTTCGTTCTAATGGACCCTAACAATTTACTCATGTTGTGATTTATTTTTGCTATGTTTTGTGTGAGGCTAATTCACTGTACCTTTGCAGAGAGGCTGACATAACAAAAGAGCGCATTGGGAAACTGCTTGAGGCTGGAGCAAATGTCGTTTTAACATCTAAGGGAATTGATGACATGTCTTTAAAGGCATGTTTTTCAACGATTTCATTCTCACCATTTTTCAACGATTTCATTCTCACTATTTTTCAAGTAATTAGTGGTTCCTTTCCATGTGTGTGACCCACTTGTTCTTCCCCTTTTGTACTTCTGTGAATTGCTGTTTTTCATATGTGCTCATGTAGGTTTGTGGATGATTTTTCTTTCCTATTGATTTTAAAAGTACAGATTTTTGTCCAGCTTATCAGATCATCTAGACAATATAGCATGTTATTCAAAATAATATTTAAAATTGAGGAATACAGTACAGTATTTTCTTCTAGTGGTATATCTGTTATTTTAAATATTTATTAAATAAATTCTGAATGGTCATAATCCTGTCCCTCATTCTGTGATGCCAAGGCATCGTTACACGTTCCTAAATCCAGCACTTTTATTCTATGCCTATACCAGTCTTAATCAATGTAGCAATATAAGATAGGTCGACTATAATTATTTAAATTTACACCATTGCTCATAAGACACTACACAGGCCTGTTGATAGTCTCTATCTAAGCTGTTCCTTTTGTGTATGATCTACTGCATTCCTCATTAACTTCTGAACTACACTGTCTTGCCGTTAACCTTATGCAAACATCCTATGGTTGAAGTGAACATTATCTCATCTGTTGTTTTGTATATTTGGATGTCATTCACGATTTTGAATAGAAGGAAATAGTAATTTTTTTCTCTTTTAAACTTGCATTATTCATCTATTGTATAACACCTATAATCTAGATAAAGTGAACATCGTCTTTTTCAGATTGAATGCTATAAGTGAATGTCCAAGATAATGTCAGTCCATGCAACAAGAAATTGGACAAAGTTGCTGTTTAAATTGTCCTTCAAAATATTTGCTTCGTCTACCATTTGATCATCATCTTAGTGTTCAGTATTAGTTCATCTTAGCGGCTGAAGCACTATAATTTTAAGATCAAGCCATGGAAAAAGGGTTGGCAGTATCTAGCCATCAAATTAACTTCGTTCACTCTTCCTTTGTGAGGCAGAAACAATTACCTTCTTATTTTACATTGAAGAAACTCTGGTATTTTATGGCGACAAAATTTTAAAGTACTCTTTAATCTTATTAAATAATATATTCTCTTCTTCATGAGGAAGTGCTACCTTCCATTGTATCGAGTCCTTTAGCACTTGCCAGTTGAAGAAGTTGAATTTAGAAGCTGCATTTTTTTTTATTTCTCTACACGTTTTCAGCAATATATCTTTTGAAAAAGGTGCTGCAATTTCCTTGAATTTTGAGAACTTTTGTTCCCTTTACATTTGCAGCCTTGGACGGTTGAGCCTAGTTGAAGAGTTAAAGCAGTATTTCCTCTGAATAAACTTGTGTTTATCAACGGACATAAACCCTCTTCATGCTGGATCGTCTTTAAAAATAAGTAAAAAGCTTCTGTTGGACTTTGGCCAAACTTTCTTTAATGGATTTTAACAACGCGCAAGCACCTCACCCTTATGTTAATCTATGTCTCGGTGGGATTGGCAACGAGATTGAAAAAACGCAAGTGCTCGTAAGAACGATAGTTAACATATATTTATGTAAATTTATAAAAGATAAATGTGAAATATCATGAAATCATGAGTTTGGAGGTGCAGTAACCGTAGTCTGATTGCAGTGGGTGATCCTGATCTGACCGGTGAATTCCCTGAAGCTTTGTGGTGTAGAACTATCTAGCAACAAGATATAAGACTAAACAACGGAATTTTCTCATCCCCAATTCATGTTTACTTTTCACGTTTTTAAGGAAATTTAACGTTCTACCATGATGCTATTCTGTATCATTTTTTCATGTACGAGACAGTTCATCGTATATAAACTTCTTGTGTTTCTCAAAGCTAGTTTTTTCTATCAAAGCTCGAACTCAGTTGGTCACATTAAATGATCCTGAATCCTGGCGATAAATGATTTCAGTACTTTGTGGAGGCGGGGGTTATTGCTTTAAGACGTGTCCCTAAGGACGACCTGCGCCATGTGAGTAAGGCTACAGCTGCAACCATGGTATATTCCATGCTCTTATTTTTTAATTATGCTTCTTTATATGTGAATCTCATAGAAGTTTCCATGTTCGAAGATATAAACATCCCTTTTAATGCTGCTTGCCTTTAAAATCGTGCTAAACCTTCTGTTTCTGGCTTGTCTGGCATTCTTAATGAACTGTAGTGAGTGAGTAGACAAGACACTGATACTACATCTAAGTGGCCTTTTTTTTTTTTTTTTGTGACCCTCTTAAAATTGACATGGTACCAGAAAATAGCAGGTTATTAGCACAAAATACTCATTTTTTTCCTGGAAAAGGTTACCCTTTCACAATACTCCAGATTCAGTATCCTTCAATTTCATGGAGAAGTAATGAGAGCCTCCTATTTTGGGTAGTGTAAGCCAGGGTTTTATTTTCTCATCCATCGGCATTAAGTGAAAAGCTTGAGAAATGGTCTATCCGGGTGTTTTCTTGTTTAAAGCCGCTTTAATAAAGCCTAAAGGGCAGTCATCGATTGTTCTGCATTAGAAATACTGAAAAAATGTTATGCTACTATTAGGAGATTCGATATCCAAATTCGAACAGTACGGTGTTTTTTTCATAAATCAACGATTGGATATTTTTAGATTCCGAACATGATCAGTTTGAGACTAGAAGATGGATGCCTTGTTATTGTCAACATCTTATTTTATACTTGATGATGCCAAGGCCTCAATTCTCAAACTAATTCAATTTTATCCCAAAGAAAATAGGACATATGATCAGGAGATCTGGCTGTTGCATTAATATGAAGGCTCACTATTATCTCAATAACTTTCTCACGATTAAAAAAATAAAACCAGTAAAAACATATTTTTTCCAACCAGCAAAAACATAAGGAAATGCTGGATGATGTGTTTCCCAGCTTTAGATACCCAAGCTACATTACTTTTGTCCCATTTTCCCCTTGTCTCTATTTGATCTGTCTAAATCAATGAACCGCATATGTGCCTTATTCAGTTTTTGTGGTACCTGCCCATTCTCTTCAAACATTTAAGCTAACCAGGTCAAATTTCCACGGTTTGCTCAGGTCTCCACGTTTGCCAATATGGAAGGAGAAGAAACGTTTGATTCCTCATTTCTTGGATATGCAGATGAAGTTGTAGAGACGTCCATTGCTGGGTGTGACGTAGTTCTGCTCAAAGGCACAAAAAATACAAATGCTGTTAGCAATTGTTTATGCCATCATTTCCCCGACTTCCACCACTGTTGTATGTACTATTTGTTCCATCTCCAAACTAAGGGCTCACTTTTTGTTTTTAAACAAAAAACTATCCAGGTTTCTTTGATACTTCGAGGTGCCAACGACTTCATGCTTGAGGAGATGGAACGCTCTTTGCGTGATGCCCTGCATACTGTGAAGAGCACTCTTGAGTCCAATCTGGTAAGATATAATCTGTCCAAGAACTCGCTGGCAAGAATGCTTTTTATTTTCTTCTGCTTTCGTTTCTTTTTGGGGGGGGCCAACTCCAGCGCGGAGCAATTTCCAGCATCATGCATGGAACACCATCAGTGTGGTGGACTTCTGTTCTATCCCAAGTTACTCAAAGGGCCATATAACTATTCACTTTTTATATGATACTAGGTGTCGTCGTAATGCATGAAGTCAAATTTAAGTTGTGTTATTGCTTTTCTTATTTTGTTTTCTTAAGATCAACTGAAAATATTAAACTTGAAAAAATGTTATATTTTATAAAAGAAATAAATAAATTAAGTAATATAAAATATAAATACAAAAAGAATGGACTAGATATGTGCAAGGCTTTACCTCATTGTTTCAAATTTTTCCTGCACTCTTCCACGTGTGGCCGTTTGACTTTTGTATGCTGACTCTTCAGTCAATCTTTCTTACGTCTTAATGTCTAGGCCACAAGTGAGATCTGTCTAATTGAGGCTTTCCATAGTGTTTTACATTTCACATAACCCCGGTTTTTCGCCTATATTTTTCGTTCATTCATTTGCATCTCTCCCAAAACGTCACCCTTGACACGAGGTGGAATAGAGTCGGGGCCAAGGTAAGCATTGTACAACCCTTAGAATTTTAACCTATCTATTGCATTGGAACAACCTGGTGATTTCCTCTTAAGTTACCTCATGTTTATTTTAACTGATTGAGAATCCTCATTCTAATGCTTCCCATGAAGATTGCAACCCTTTGTGAATGTCTCCTGGCCTTCTCAGACTCATATCTACGATTTGTTTCCACAGCTCTTACAGAAAAGAGAAAACAAGACAAAAGTCAGTAATTTCTATCTTGTGTCTTTCTTTCCTTTTATGGACTTGTTAGATCCTCCCTTGTGTCAAAGCATTTTTTCCACTATACATGTGACACGAAGACGTGAAGTACATTAATAGACATTTTTCTTGGACTGCCATCTTAGGGACCTTATTTGACGATAGCGACCCACATTCCATGCTTGTCAATAACTTTTCAGAAAAGACTTCTTCCTCTTCAGAATTTTCATCTCCTTTCATTTTTTCTCCCATTCAAGTGAATCCTTCAGGGTGATGTAATCCACAGAGAGGATGAGAAGAGAGAACCACACAGTGAATGAAGTAAGAGATTACCAACCCATAGCTTTTAAACATCTCCGCACCTTACAGTCTGGATGAGATATAGTGCCACAAAAATTTGCGAAATTTTACTTTATACCAGCATCTATGTTCGCTTGAACCATCTTCTGGAGTATCAGGTCGTTGCCGGTGGCGGTGCTGTGGAAGCGGCACTATCTATGCACTTGGAACGTCTGGCAACATCCTTGGAATCCAGAGAGCAGTTGGCCGTAGCAGAGTTTGCAGAGTCTCTTATGATAATACCCAAGGCATCTATTTCGTGAACCTATGCCCTTATCACTGTATTATCTCGATTTGCTTCAGGATATGTCTCTGGAGGGTGACGTGTGATGGTGTGTAGCAGGTACTTGCAGTGAATGCTGCCAAGGATGCGACTGATCTGGTGTCGGCACTCCGATCTTGTTACCATCCTACTCAAGTGGGGGCAGATGAGCAGCATCTTTCAAGGTAGTGAATGATTTGAGGTCACTTCAAAGTGAAAGATTTCTTATTAGTGGCACTATTTTTTTAAGTAAGATGCATATTTGCGCACACTTGTGTTTCTTTTTTTGTCCATCCCTTTCTTTCGTAAACATTTGTCTGGAAGCTAAGGTTTTCAGCTGAATTCAGATTGTCCTCCCACATCAACTGGAAGAACACAAACTTGAAAAGAAAGCGACGAAATTTCTCATAGCAATGTGGAACTTCAATACTTTTTTGATTTTTTTATTTCCTCGTTTTTATTATACTGCTTACCCTTTGTGAATAGACCACTCTAATAAAGGAGAAAAGGAAATATAATAGCTGCCAGCACACAAACAATCCAACCTCCGCAGAAGACTGTTGCTCTTCTTTCAAAACCTAACCCTGTGAAGCATGACCACCTACTGGTCAATTCAGTGTCACTAAGCAGATGATACTACTCTTTTTTTTTCTTTTTGTCCTTGTATATAGTGTGATGACCTTGTGATCATCGTCTATCTTCATGGTGGGTGCATCCATAGCTTGACTGCGACCTATCAAGGGGATCATGGAAAACATTGCAATGATAGTAATGTGATTAATCTAATAACTTAGCTGACTGCTTGGCCGAGTACTCATTTTCTGCATCTATCTGTAGTCTGATATTCTGTAGCAGAGCGTCAGGGTTTGTTATTTGCGCTGGGGTTTGATTTTGCAGCTGTTTGAGTTCTCTTTTGGAAACGATCGAGGGAGATACTCTTGATTCCTTCAGGTGCCCTCTACGGTTTCACATGACGTTGAATTGTATATAACCCATGAGTTCAAGATTTGGAGAAATCTGCTAGTCGTGTTATATGTTACATGAATGTAAATCTGTAAGGTTGCTGGTTCCTGGTTGCTTCACATAGGGAGAAATGGTGATAGAAAGACTGGTAGACAAGTGATGAACCTCCTTACTCCTCATCTCTTAGAAAAAAAAAATAATCATTTCAATTGAAGTTTGATAATACTGTCATTATATCAGTTGCTGTTGGGTTACTATTTTTCGACTGATATACTTGCTCCTACAAATGTTTAATTTATCTAAGTTGCTTTATTTTCATTGCAGTAGTTTTCATAAGTCAACCATGAACCATTTCTCATCAAATTCGTCACAATTTTATTTCAAAAATGTTACTTTTTTTTTAATAGGTCTTTGTCATTCGGGTTTTTTATCATCTCATATATTCGTGAGCACCTTTTCTTCTTATGATCATCCCATCCCAGTTCTTCCAACTCACCAACTGAGAGGTCCAATAAAGGAATATCAACCCGATTTAGCACAAAAACTATGAATCACTAATGAATCTCCCCACATGGAAACCCATCCTCTCCATGCGATGTCTCCATCTGTGCATTTCCCTTGGCGGCGATGCCCACGGCAGTCAAAGCTCTCAGCTTATGGAACTAAAAGCTTCAATAATATTGGTACCAAGGAAACACATCAATATATATATATATATATATATATATGAAATGGTATGCGGAAGGCCATCCCTTGCAGCTTCTTGTGTGTTCTTCACTCAGAATTCAGAAACTCTCCAGTTCCAGAGCAGGCTGAAGAGACAAGTGACGAGAGCCTGAACCGATTGCTCATGTTATCCTCCATGCATACTTTTTAACACCCTTTCCTTCCCCGTTGCAGCATGGGATTGGACCTCTCAAGAGGAGTCGTTCGCAACAGCTTTGAAGCTGGAGTCATTGAGCCCGCGATAAACAAAGTGAAGATAATGCAGGTGACTAGGTTTCACCAAGAACACCCATAATTCTTATGGACTAATCCCCAATTCCTTTTATATTTGTATTTGCCTAGTTTGCAACTGAAGCGGCCATCACCATTCTCCGGATCGATGATATGATCAAGCTCGTTGGAGATAGACAGGAGTATGAAGAGGAATAGGGCTCGAAGTCAACGCCCCCAAGATTCCTGTCCTGTAGCAAAGAGTCTACTGCACTGGAGAAATGGAGCGTGAAGTGCAGGGGAGTCAACCATCAAGAGTCATGCTACAACTTTCCCTCGCACAGTGGGAGTTCCTGATCATGTGAATAATGTGCCGTTGACCATCACAGCTCCTTAGGTCATCACAGCTCCGTAAAGACAGGACTAATGGGTGACAGGATACCTCTGAGCCCAAGTAGCCAGCTTCTTCCATTCACAAGTAGCAGTAAGTGCAGCAACTCCGCCAGTATATTCAAGATACTTTAGAGAGAGAGCGAGAGAGAGAGAGAGAGAGAGCTTTAAGATGGTTGAGTCATGATGCCTAAGATCAGCCCCTCTGAATCGCCTGATAGGGCAGAACTCAAAGATACAGAAACGCTGATGCAGCCACGACAGAATGAACAACCAAGAAAAAAAAGAGAAGGATGCTGCCATCTACAAATCAATCCACTGAGAGGACCAGCCTAGTAATCATCATCTCCCCTGAGCATACCTTGCAGGAGCGAACATTCAATATCGTCAGGAAGAAAAGAAACGTACCCGCCTAGACGAAGACATCGGGCAGCGGGGATGTCAACGCTCCGGATTCTGGTTTTCTGGGTTCTGTCCATCCGAGCCCCGGGTGGGAGACGTCATGCTGGGGTCCTTCAAACTCCCTGGCATCCCGAAGAGAGGCCTCGAAGTCTGTGGAATCCATGGCAACTGGGAGGAAGCTCCCAATGTCATCTCTCGCTCCGAACCCACCTGCTCGTTCGACATCATCGGGAGCTCCGGTGGTGCTGCTGCTCTCAGAGCTAAATACCACCTCCAAGATGTCCCTGGTGCTGGGATCTGTCTGCGAATCAGGAGAGTTCGAATTCGGCGGGCACTCGTCCTTGATCTGTGGATCTTGAGCTTCCAGTTGGGGTTCCTTCGATAGGGAGCCTTTGGCACCAGCGGCCTGGTGTGCATCCGTATCTGACGCATAAAAAACATCATCACTTACTTATTGGATGGAACATTCCTAAGAAAACTGATGGAAACTTAATCGAATGCAACCTGTCTCACAACATTATCTTCGTCATGATCATCGTTTCTTTTGCCATTAGTCTGGCACCGGCAAAAATACATGAAAGGTTTAAGATTACCGCCGCAATTCCAAAAGAGGTAAGAAGATAGAGAGTTAAGCCACTTATAGTAGAAGAAATACACAACAAAACCAAGGATTTGATGAGCATAAACAATAATTACAGCCTTGTGCAAGATTGCAGATGACAGGTTCTCTTAAGATTGCAAAACCAGATTGCAGAAGACACCGAAACTTTAGTCGTGGAAAAAGATGCATGCTTTTTCAACTCCCCACCGACTCTCCAAGAAATATGGCCATGCTTGTGCATAACCAAATATGGTAGATGAATCTATACACTCCAGACTGTTGACACGGAAGCTGAATCGATCTGGTTTACTGACTACTACTTCGTAACACTCCCATGCATTATTCAAGAGGATCCGTCCACAGCATCTCAAATGGATCGACCCATCACTGGTAAAGTTGATTCTCTGAGGATTGCAAGGCCACACTCTAGATTTTCCACAGAAATATTGGTCGGCCAAACTGGATGTCAGAACAAGAGGGAGGGCCACCACAGTTAAGCCTCTTGGGGCTTCTTCCATTAAAGAATGGGTATGAACTCGTATGTGACCAGGGCAGTAGGAATCAACAGGCACGAACACATCTCCACTAGTTTTGTATGCCAGAAATCTATAAAAATAAAATTAATATAATTCGAATCAATTTTGGTCATTAGACTGGTAGGAACGTGTAACACTTACCAGTCTAATGGCCAGAACTCCTATTTTGGCGCATATGACTATGATTATCAGTTAGCACTGTGAGAACTACAAGTGAGACAGTGATCATCTGCTTTTCACCCAAGATTTTAAAATGGTGTCTGAGAAAAATGTGGAGAGAAACCAAAGCTTCCTTAAGACGATTAATAGTTCACAATGATATTCACCGTCACTTTGATACACGAAAAGGCATCGGTCTCTGAACATTCAGGCACTCGATTTCTCATGCTTGGTGAAACTAGGCTTAAAAGAGCTCATTTTTTTTTAACTGTCTTGGAGCATGTAAAAGATGTAGCTCCAGGGAGACCAGATATCAAATAACCGGTGGGAATAGCTTTGAAATGTACACAGATGAGACAGTTGGGGTGAAATAACTGCACCAAAGAACCATACAGGAGGAGCAGGAAATGTCTCCAGAGAAACATCCTCTGCTGCTGAGACACTTGGCACTGACTTTCATGTCTGTACTTGTAAAACCACAATAAATTGATAAAAAGAAAGAAGCAAAGCCTTTCGAAGGGATATCCCCCCCCTCCCCCTCCCCAGAAAAAAAATAAAAAAGGAAATAAAGAAGGATTATCTCCTATGAAAAAAACAAAGTTCGCATCATAATTTAGCAAGGGTACATCCTCAAGATCGTACAGCACTAAATGCTGTGTAATAATACTCTCAGAAAGAGAGTTCGTCTGCATATCCCCCAAACTTACTGCAGCTTACCGATTCTACATAAAAGAGATACATATATCCAAACCTTCTAGCTGCAGAGAGCAATCAAGTCTCCCACATGTCTCCTACACGGAAAGAATACCAGAAATCATCCAACAAACATGATAGTGGCCTAAATTTTGGAGAGTTTCAGCAAGGGAAGTCAAAAAAAAGGTCTCATTTAGGAAGCATTTTTCAGGTTTCTCCAAGAAAGATAAAGATCTTTTTCAGAAAAAGTTCCAACCAGAAATAATTTCTCAGCCACATTTGACATCTTAATAGTTTCCTCATTGTTCTACCCTCTGTATCATCACTCATGGCAAGGATGCAACTTCAGTAGTACTTTGGCTTCAGCATCACCAAAACCCTGTACTCAGTATCCATATCTGACTATTAAGACACCCATTACCACCCACTGCCGTCAGGGGCCACTGTGCCCCTTGACTTCTTTTCCCACACAAAGAAACCACCCATTCCTCATACTCTTCTCCATGATTGCTGCAGCAAGAAGAATCTCCAACTCTCCCCCCATGTTAGAAGCACTGTGACGTAGTGGAAGTAGGGAAGGAAATCATAATTCAGAAACCTTGAGTCCACAGAGATCGATTTGGGTGGCCCTACATCCACAAGAATCGAAAAATGAGGTCCCTTCAATCCACAAGGAGACAGGGGGATCAAAATATTTTTTTCTGGGTAAAACGAAAAAATAATCTTCATTTATGGTCTGTGCCTCCTTAAATATATGAAAAGTAGTTGTAGATCCCCTAAAAAATAAGATATGATAAGAAACCCATTAACAGATAAAGATTTCTTGAAAAAATAAGAACTAACTACGAGCCCTACGAAATTAAGAAGCCTTTTAGCATTATGGGCCACCTAAACAACTCTAGTGGACCCCTCGTTTTACCTGTTATGGCCTTCTGGGCTGTACTTTTTGGGCCTCTTCTGTTTCCTCTAAATGAGTCTGACAACACGGTTTCAGCCAGAAAAAAGATGGGACATGCCTGGCAAAGCTAGGGAATAGGAAGCGGGGAGACCACCATGTTTGTTGAAGAACCCCAAACCCCATATCAATCCTAAAAATTGTTGCCATTATGATTTCAAATTAGACTTTCTTTAAGAAAAACGCTACAGATTGCCTTCATGCGGGTTCTTGCCATCAAAGCTCAAAAATCTGAGACCAAGTAATTCAGGAATCGTCCTTGCCTAGGTGGTTCTTAAAGACTTGTTGTCCAAAAACTTACCCTAAATCTATTATTGCCATTATGATTTCAATCTTGACTTTCTTTGACATATCTTCCTATAGTATATTCAAGCAAATTACCATCCAAGAAAAACGCTACAGATTGCTATCATAGGTACTTCCCATCAAAGCTCAAAAAAAAGTAATTGATACTATGTGATCCAGGAACCTGTCATGCGTAGATGGTTCTTAAACGAATGTCGTCCAAAGAAATATGAATTGTGTTAGGGTAGGGAGGAAATCCAACCCCAGATCCGATGGTTCCACCCATCCGCTCCATCACCTCTTATCCCTCTTTGCTAGTTCACAACAGAATGATACTAAATGTCTACTCCCCCCTAACATATTACGTGTAAACAGTTTGGATGCTAAAACTGGCATGCAGTGGCCTTGATGCAGCGAACTTCTAGACCCGAAGTCCTTCAAACAGAAGCTCACACGCTAAATCTCCATCGACCAACTTTGAGGTCCTACAGTTTTTGAAAGTTTATGTTTAAGGCACTGAATCGAGCAACCCTGAAGGTGTGATAAACAAAAATGTCGACCGCATAGGATAAAATTTTCACAAGTCTCCCTGCAGTTCACCGACCGACGCCTAAACACAAAAATCACGGGATCACGCAGGAAGCCCCAAAAACCTGGTACCAGTCCAGAACAGCACAGATTCACCCATAAAATCTATCAACGAAAAGCAAATAAAAAAAAGGGCATGCGGATTCACATCAGATTATCGAATGGCGATGGAAAAATGAGACCAGACGCTCAATTCAAATCTTGCAGTCTGACGAGCAGTGAATAGTTGTAAGCATGAGGGCGATGCCGCAGCCGAAGCGGTTTACCAAAATCAGCGAAAGGAAGAAGAATAAGAGCTTCCGCACCTGCCATCGGCCTGAGAAATGTCTGCAAGAACGGAAGGGGACCCAAAATCTTCCCGAGGTTCGTGCGCGTCCTCAAGATCACTCTGCTTCGTGTCGGAGGGTTGAACAATCTGTGGGGCCTCATTCATGTTGAATCTGTTATTTTCATATCCTAATATGTTTATAACTGTTGATATACCCTTATATTACGTTGTTGACCCTGATTCTGAAAAACTCCCCCGTTCAACCTACCACAAAATGTCACAATAAAAATAAAATAATTATTTTAAAATTCCAAATAAGATGATTTTTAAGGAATCATTACCTAAATTCATAATCATTAATGCGTTGTGTTTTATATCAGAATGCATTATTTACATCCTTTTATTTATTTTTTAAAATCCCAATTGACCCTGGCCCCCTACCTATAAAAAGGTCAACCTATCTAACTTATTTATTCACGTGCAATAAAAAAGAGAAGCCCAGTCTTTGGGATTTTGGGCCTTTTGGGCTGCTGGGCGAGAGTGCCCCATTGACACCTCTAGATTAGGAATCGTGTGGGTGGAGCTCCATTAACCAATGTTGGACAGGGTTCATTAGACGGAGAGTCATATATACATATTTGTAGGTATGGTTTTATTTATTTGGCCTCAACTCCCCATAAAATCACGGAATTATGGATCACACCCACCATTTATTCACCATTAGTCAATGCTGGACAGGGTTCATTAGATAGAGAGTCATGTATACAAATTTGTAGGTATGATTCTATTTATTTGGCCTCAACTCCCCATAAAATCACAGAATTATGGATCACACCCACCCTCTATTTAAAACTTACTATTCAGATCCTGGTCCAGCTTTTGTTGTAAATAAGTCCATTGATCACATATAATAATCGGTTGTCGATGTTATTAAGATAATATCCGCTAACTCTATTATTTTAAAGCGCTACAACATTTGACCCCCGGCATGTACCGCAGTGCAGTACCGGATGCTAGCACACTTTGACTGTTGACTAAGAGAGAGCGAGCGAGAGAGAGAGAGAGAGAGAGAGAGGAATGAGTTAGTACTTGTAGTCGACGTGGTGGCCTCATAGTTGGTGTTAAAGAAGATGCAGCCAACCAGAAGTCATTCTTGAACCGTCGACCAATCACAGCACATATAACTCTAGAGGACACCGTCGTCAGACATGTACCCCCCCCCAACTAAATATAGTAATAGATCTAAAGATAGAAAAGTCTACCCATTGAACAATCAGCACGCTTACACGTCACCTTAACACTTATAGCTCCAACGGCTCGATTCGAGCCTATAAATATAACTAACTCCTATCGAATAAGGTTAACGGGTCCCTTTTCTCTCTCTTTCCGTTTCACTTTCTTCTCCGATCTCACACCTTCTCTCTCAGATTTCTACGAGCTTTCAGTTGGCCCTACAGGGGGAGAGGAAGGTGGCCTGTGGGGCCTTGGTGTTCTCCTGCTTACCGGACCAGGCTTGAAGATGCCTGCTTGAGGGCGCAGCGGAAGGAGAGAATGAGAGGTCATCGAGTTTGTTCATGGCGTTCAGGTCAGGGCCGCCACCGCCGCCTCCTCCTCCTCGCTCTGCCCGCCGAAGAGGAACACGATGGCGGGGAGGGTCCTTTGCAGGATCCGAACGGTGTACTCGGCCGCGGCCAGGCCGTTCTCCTGGCAGGCGGTGGCGTACCTGGCAGTGCTTCCCCAGTCGTCGAAGCCCGGCGCAGTGATCTTGGCGTCGGCGCCGGCCAGCTCGACCGCGCCCTTATCGACCTTGATGCCGGGCAGGACGCCGGAAGAAATATTCGGAACGAAATTTAAAATTGTGCGAATCCTACAGAGAGCCTTCTTCTATCGGCTTCCATGCGAATATAGAGAGGAAAATGTACTGACGGAGCACTTGACGTTCGTGTTCGATAATACAGAAACCGACAGACTGTCGACAGGCCTCCCGAGGGTTTCCCACTTAGGATAAGGCTTCCTCATTCCCCTCTACGATCTGTACCGAAATTCAAGGGCTGCAAGCATACCATAGAGTTGAACTGGCGTGCGGAAGCCTCAAATACCCCAATCTGACTATCGTGATGGCCTCTCAGAGGCGATGGAAGACGAGCACTCCCATGCATTGAAGTTTCGACAGTGAAATAAATCACAAAAACTTGTAAACCAACAGTAGACAAGAAAGAGAAAAAATATTCTTAGAAAATTTCAGAACAGCAGATCCGCGAGGCCAAGACTTCCATTCAGAAAGGGACTGACGGAACAGGAAACAAGATAGCGAAAGGGAAGACGACTGAAAGGGAAGATCCAAGGAGAAACACAAATCAACCTCGAAAGCTCCCCCAGCGATGGGAACAGAAGAGGTACAGAGAGAGATCGAGGCGTGGTCAGATCGCGAAAACAGCAACGGAGAAAGGTGGGAGTATACCGGCGTACTTGCCGCTGCAGGGTGAGACCATCGCCTGCGACTAGAAACGGAAGATGACGGTTGATCGGACGTTGGAGAAGATAATTCCGGATGCGAAATTCAAGGGCGACGACCGCCGGGGAAGGGGGGGGGCGGGGTGTACTCGTATTTATATGCGGAATGAAGTGAGTTGCGAAGGAGGACGAAGGGGTGGAGCGAGATCACCGGCCATCTCCCACGTGGCGAGTCTCATCTAATGACTGCGAAGCACACGTTTGCAAATATTTTGAATTTTGGGGTTACAAAATAAAAGGCCTCACATCATCACCGTCCATTCGAACAACCACTGTTCCCTTCTACGGGATGGATGGACGGCACGTGGCAATTAAGGTCAGAGGGGTCATTCGGTAAATAGTCCGGGTTAAATTTCGCCGATAATGTTCATTTAAATTATTTATCCTAATCAGAAATTACTCATCAGGTACGACGAGAGTGTGATGGGAGTTGAATAGCCCCGGGAATCCCGCTGGTATCATAACGGTTTTCAAGTGGTATTCCGTTGTACGGTCAGTGTCTTCCAGAATCTTCAAAAGGAGGCAGGAGGCCGGGGCCTCTTCCGAGAGTGAGACCGCGAGCGAGGCGTGTAGAGAGAGAGAGAGATGAAGAAGCGCGGCGGGGAAAAGCCGCGGCCGGCGGCAAATGCGCCGCTGTTCCTCAGAAAGGCTCTGAACTTCTCGGCTCCAGTCGCCGGAATCAATGCCGAACCTCAGAAGGACTCTACGTCCTCCATCGCGTCAGAGGAATCATCGCCCTCTCTCTGCGATCCGTTGGCCTCGAAGTCGACCTTCCTCACCTCCTCTTCGCCACCGAAGTTGACCTTCACACCAGACGCGGTACAGAAGTCCTCGAAATCCGAATTCTCCCCCTTCTTGTCTCTCTCTGAAGTTTTTCCTACACATAATCTTCTCTCTCTCTCTCTCTCTCCCCACAGGTTTCTTCGGCTACCTGTCCCTCCTCCGCTGGCGCATCCTCCATTGTCGATCCTAGTAATGGAGCTTCAGCCGAGGATTCCGCCGAATCGGCGGGAGTAGATGAAAAGAGACCTGCTGCGCCCTTCGAATTCCTTGCCTGGGCGTGTTCCACCGTCCGATCAGAGCATGCAGACGACCTGTCGAAGAAACTAGCTGCAGTCGTCCTGAACGCACTAGAGGACGAAGCAGCGGCGGAACGGGACCGGAGAAGCCACAGCGGGAGGAACCTCATCTGCCTCTCGAGGGTGAGCGTAGCGATTCTCTTTTTTCTCCTGTGTATGATCTTGGAGATCCATGTCCTCCTTATCTGGCTGACCGACTCCGGCTTCGCGGGGGGACCGGCTCTGGACTTGCAGCCGCCGCCGACTTGATCTACTCCGGTCAATCAGATCTTACAACGAAGTATACATCGCCAATAATGACAACAGCCTGTTTCACTTCTACACTCTACCTAGTTAGTTCTCGTCGAGCACTTCCTCAATGGATTGCCGTGGCCCTGTGTCGTCTCACAATCTCACAATCAAGGAGAGCGTACCGATACTACTCACCTCCATAGCGTGAAGAACTGAGGGACGCTTGATGCAGCCGTTGAGCAGGCACAGCCTTAGCTCTGTTGCTAATTACAGCACCAACACGCAGTCGTGTCATTCTTCCCGCGATCGGCGAATCCACTAATATAATGATGGTACGAAGACGGTTGGTTACAAAGGCATATGTATACATATTATTTCATTCAAGGATTAGTTTATAGAGCCGAGGTGTTCAGTGAAAAATATCTCAAAATGAAGCCATGAATGAGGGCACGACGTGAGCTATATTTATGTATAAATGAAGAGATCGTTCCTACATTTTTTATGCACACTGCATTACATCTGATCAGAATGTCGACTGGTTTTCAGGGGAGCGCGACGCGGCGAGGAGAGCGGCGCCGACGCCAGACCCGTCCTCGGAGATCCTGAAGACGACGCTCTGGGCTACGTCCTCCCCCAAGATCTCCCCGACGGCTTCGTCCAGGTACTCCCTGAACATGGCGTAGCCCGCGTACAGCCCCCCCTCGATGGCCACCACCGTCCTCCTCGGCTTGCCCTTGCTCCGCCCCCCGGCGAAGCCGCCGCTGCCGTCCCTGCCCACCTTCTTCAGTATCCCCACGATGCCCGCCGCCGCCAGCCGGGCGGCTCTCCGACTCACTACGTCGCAGACCCTTACCACCAGCCGCCGCGTCTTGAGAGGGGCAACGGGTATCTACGAGAGAGAACAGGGAAAGAAAGCGCACATTGGAACAGGAGGGAGATTTTGAGTTGTCAGTGTGGGCAAAAAGACAGTGGGAGTGGGGGGGCAGTCCATACCTGAAGAGCTTCTTCGAGGATTCTGCCCACCTCCCTGAGATCTGGCGAGTCATCTTCGTGCATGGCGGCCACCATGGGAGTCCTGGATCACATACCAAGCGGTTTCATAAGAGAGTGAACAACAGCCAGCCAGCCAGCCAGCCAGCCAGCCAACCTGGTGCAGAAGAAAGACATGCACATTTGGAATACAGAGGAAACAAGATAGAAGGCCCGACCGTTCAAGAAGAGGAGATATCATACTATATATACCTCAACGAAAATGGAGCAGCTAGACTGGGAGCCGGGGCATCCCCGAAGATATCCGACTCCTGGGCCATCCTGCACAGCACCAGCCTCACGATCTCCCCCAGGTACATCCCCGAGATCATCTTCTCGAAACCCTAAAAAACCAGGCAAATCCCCCGAGTTAGCCCACTCGAAGAGGAAGCCCAACCTCCCTCTCCTTCTCATTCCTTCTCCTGACCTGGTCGTTCCGGTTTGGGCTCTCATCGTCCAGGGCGACATCATAGGGCGTCCTCGGCAGGTGAGAAGACCAGAAGTTCCCCCATTCGATGTTGACCACCTGCAAAGACCGGGGTTCCTCACTCCCATCAGCAAAGATTCAGAAAGGGACGGGGTTAGCTGAGCTGAGGAACAACAGGAGAGATTGGGAGGGTACCATGCCCCCGGAGTTGGTGAGGAGCCCCTGGCACTTGATGATGGCGTCCGTCCGCTCAACGTAACATGCATTGGTGCCTGTCCCGATGATCACCGCTGCGATTGTGTCCTCGTCGTGATAGTGGCTCAGAGCCAATGTGCCCACAGTATCATTCACCTGCCAACACAGACCCACCCACCAGATTAAGGCCTCCATCATCCTCACCCCTAGAGCTAGCTAGAGAGAGAGAGAGAGAGAGAGAGAGAGAGAGAGAGAGACAGCAGGGCAATCTACAAGGCATTAATCCCCCTGGTCTGGATTCATAGCTTGGGTGACCAACGTGGGTATCTCCTTTCTTTTCCTCTGTTCTTCGACGAAATATTGGCTTGGCCTCCGAGAACAGATTCGTCTATGGTGAAACAAAGTGAAGCAGAGCTGCCCAGCTCCCCATCGAAGTAGAGTTTGAAGAATCCAGAAGGCACTCATATCCTTGGGTTTAGATTCATTCATAGTAAGATTGATGGTGATATTTAAGCATCTCACAGGACGGCAGTGTGGCAGAACGAACAAAATGCTAAGGTCGCCTAGAGAGAAGAAGAGGAAGAAGGGGAGATGGCCCCGCATTCGCTAGGCAGAATATTGAGCTACTGAGGCGTAACCCCCCTCCCCTTTCTCCTAAACTAAGCTAGAAGAAGCCCGGGAGATGAACCGTCATCAAAGTAAGTAGCTTCTAAACTACTCAGACAACTCAGAATCAGCAGCCCTGGGATTAGACAAGATGCCTCTGGGCCAGGAAATAACCAATCAGACAGACTAGCACGCCGTTTCCTGCTTTCCTTCCACTCTTGCCCCGATTTTGGATCAGACCAGAAGGTTGACTGAGAAAAGGTCTTGGGGATAGCTTTAAGGAGACATTGGTAAAAATAATAAAATGGGGATTTTTCTGACGATAATAGCATTTAAATCAGCTGACCAAATAAAGTTGGTACTCGAAATCTTCCAAGACGAAGAAGGGAATGTTAGGCAATCATACCAGAGCTGAGACCTTCATATCCAGCCCCACTCTTGCCATGGCTTCTTCAAGAAACTGGGTGACGTCTCCGCCAACCTGAACACAAGCAGGGCCGAGTGTCAGTCACATCGGCTGCAAGAGCAGTCATTCCAAGCTACAGCGAAGCCCACGTAGCCATGGGTCAACGGGGAGAATTTGGAGCCGGAGTTCGCAAAAAGCATTAGTCAACGTCCTGAAGAAGTGACAACTAGCTCAGCTCCCAATTCTACTTCCCTAACAATTCACCGTGATAAATCTTCAATATTTTAAGAGGCTGAGATGAAAAAAGCTGAAGGCTCTCTCATTTTCGGATATTCAGACCCAGATTATAAATTCTAGAGAGAGATAGAGAGAAAGAGGAGGATAGGGAGGGAATGCGCTATGTTGCCAGAGGGGAGAGCAGAGAAGGCTATATCAGGCAACCTCAAGATCCTTGCAGATGAAGAAGGAAGAAAGAAAGAGAGAAATGCGGATAGCGAGATTTGATGGGGGTGGAAGAGAGAAAGCAGTTGGCGGCAGCTGGAGCCCAAGAGCGAGTAGAGAAAGAACAAAAAGACAGCATCATGCCGAACTGGCAACGTACGGTGCCCTCGATGGAGAACCCTTTGGTCCACTTGATGAGGACCCCCGAAGAAACAGAGATTTGCCGGATGGGGAAAGAAAACGTGAATCCGAGCTCCCGGGTTCTCCCCAACGGGAGCACATCCTCATTTCCCTCCTTCTCGATGAAAATTTTCAACCTCGTCGCTATGAAGTCGAACAGCTCCTGCACACACATGGCATTAAAGTCAACACACAGCCAATATCTCCCTCCGGCCAGCGCACGAACATAATGCCGATAACATGTGGACGATACAGATAAGAGGAGAGAGGAGCTAGAGAGAGAGAGAGAGAGAGAGAGAGAGAGAGAGAGAGAGAGAGAGAGAGAGAGAGGGGGGGAGACCACCTCATTGGAGCCGGTGAGTAGGTGCTGAGGGATGGGTTGGGTCTCAACCTGGCAGCCCAAGATGGAGGACCTGCTGCCCCCCAACTGAACCCGCAGGACCCTGAAATTGGTGCCCCCGAGATCAAGGCCGTAGAAAGTGCCCTTCTCACTCCTGAAATTAACCGCCCACATGATATTCAGTACACCTTGCTAACCCATAGAAAAGAAGAAAGTAGAGTCCACCGATCGAAGGAAGCTGAAATTTAAAGATACACAACGAACGAGTCACTTTTTCTAACGACTAGGATTTTTCTTGAATAGAACCCGATTCATTCGTTACATTCAATATAAATATATATAAATATTTATATTTATATCTGAAGAAGATCAACAGAGGACTGCCTACGCTTGAGAGGCGGAGAGATCCAGCCTTCAGCCTCAACGATCTCTGGGATGAACATTAGAGATTTGGACGCAGTCAGGGTGAGAGAGAGAGAGAGAGAGAGAGAGAGAGAGAAGAGGGAGGGGGGGATATTGTCCGTGGGCATCCCTTGTGGCAGAGTACCAACCAGCTCAGAGAGACGGCAGCTGAAAAGGAAAGCTTACGAGGGACTAAGCGGCAAAACGTGTCCGGGCTTTGCCGCTAGGGCATCGCGGAAGGAGCCCGCAGGGAGGGGTTTGGTCACAAATAAGGAAGATCTGATTTTGACGACATGGGGCTCCCGAATAGAAGCCAAGGACTGCCGTCGTCCATCTCGGAGAGAGAAGAAAGGAAGGAAGGATGAAAAAGAAGCTCGCAAACTATGGGCACCCGGAAGAAGAAGAAGAAGAAGAAGAAGAAGAAGAAGAAGAAGAAGAAGAAGAAGAAGAAGAATAAGAATGGGAACAAGGAATGGATAAGGGGATGTCCGCATTCCACAAGGAAAATGCTGGAAGCGGATTCAAATGCGGAGAAGGCTGATTCCCGTCAACATGGCGAGAGGCTTCACCGAATCTGGCAGCGCGCGGTGCGGCAGAGAACCAAGGAAAATTTTGGAAAAAAATGAGGGAAGAGGCGAGAGGGGAGAGGGAAGAGGGAAGGGGAGAGGAAGAAGGAAATATCATATTTTACCCGTTGGGGAGGGTGTCGACGAAGGTGAGGAGCATCTTGAGCTTGCTGCCCCCGTCGGAGGCGAGGCCGGCGTGCATCTCCACGGCCATGGCGTCGACCACCTGCCGTAGCCGCCCGATCGAGGTGGCGCATCCTTGCTCGAACTCCCTCAGCACCCCCACCACTCTCCCCCACCTCCTCCGGCTCTTCACCCTCCTCCCCACCAGCAACCCCGCTATCGTACACGCCACCACCGCACACCCCACCGCCACCCCCAACCCTACCCGCCCCATCCCCGCCCCCTTCCCCCTTCAAGCCATCCTCCGCCGCCACCGCCGCCGCCGTCGCCGCCACCGCCCCAGCCTCCCCCCCGGGCGCGGCACGCCGCCGCCGCTCACCCACCCACCCACTTAGCTGCTGCTGCTGCCGCCGGGCGCTGGCCGAAATGTCGGGGGAGAGAGAAAGAGGACCCAGCGAATGCAGCGGGTCCTCTTTTCAAGTACCCAGAGCGAGGTGATGCGCGTCGTTTCATTCATTCATTCATGAGGGAAGAAAGAGAGAGAGAGAGGAAAAAAATTTGTGACATTATTTATTTTTTTACTCGCAGATTTTGTAAAGTGGCGCATTTGCCCCTGGAGGGAAGGAAATGTCGGCCGTAGACTCCATCCCCGAACCTTTTTGACTCGCGTTGGTGGAAAGCGACGGGGTCCGCGACAGCTGCCGGGCCCCATCCTGCGTCAACTCCCGAAGATGGGGCGTGGGGCCCGCGAAAGGACGCGCGATCGGACGGCCCCAGGGGGGCCCGCGGGATCGGACGGCGGGGGCCCCGATTCACGGCGTTCCGCGTCCCCCTCGCCGTCGGAAGGGTAATTTCGGTATTTTGGGCGAGTAAATACAGCGAAGGCGGCGGGGGCGGCGCGCCCAGCAGAGGGGCGGAGGATGGAGGAGGTTGTTGGAGGCGGAACGGCGACGGTGGCTGCGTATCAGCCGCCGTACGCTCCCAGCTGTCCTCCGCTAATTCCAGCTAAGCAGATCCATCCGTGACCCCCTCCGCCTTTTAGAAAAATAATAATATTTTTTTATTCCGACAGCGAGGGGGTGGGGGTGAACACGCGGCCACGAATTTCCTACGTGGATCCTGTCAGCTCCTCCTTTTTCTCGGAAAATAAGCCACAAGCCTTATATAAGCCATAAGCCAATTTACTGGCACGAGGAGGAGATGGTCGATCAGAGCCGTCCGTACGGTGATCCATCATCGATATCGCGGCGGGCGATACGCACGTTGGCGGGGTGGGAGGCGACCCACATTCCCCCACCATCTGTTGGCACGTGTTCGGCGCGTAATAGGAATAGTTAACATTCATTCGGGCGGCTCATAAAGGGGGTGGATTTTAAGAAGAATCCACCCGCCCCCACCAGCAATAATGAGAGGTCTCTCCACCGACTTTTGGTTCCAACCGGCACGTGTCCCGCTCATAATATTGCGGCACTTGCCCGGGCCGGGCCGGTCCGGGCCGGGCCCGGTTGGGCTAGAAAGAAGCCTAAAACTTAGGTTCTGGGCTGAGTCCCCATGATGCCCTGGCGGGCTCAGGTTGGCCCGGGCTTTTATATTTGGAGCTATTGGAGAATTAGGGGAGTGGCATTGGAATGAACATGTCTCATAACACCATGTGGCGAGAAACCCGGGCTTTGGGCTGCTTTGATGGACCATCTGTTAAAGCCCGGATTGGATGTAGGGAAGGATCGGGGCGGGCTTTCCTTAGTGGGCTTGATTGGATCCCAAGACTGGGTTAGCTGTCCCATTGACCCATGCTCGTAGAAAATGCAATTGTGATGAAAAGAAAAAAAATATATAAATAGAAAAATAAAAGGGCAAGGTCTGGAGTTGTTGTCCTTATTATTCTTGCCTGCCCTATTTAATGAAAAATATTGTAGGAATCAGTAGATTAAAAACGCATACAACGCTATTTCACTCAATCTTCTCCCATATAGAGGAGGTATTTCAGGAGAGATTGGGGATGTTGTTGAGAATGGCCTCAATATAGGGGAGGCACCCCTAGGTTGTAGCCATTTCATGGCCAAATATGGTAAAATTGAATGTCGGGTTAGGTATGTACTTCCTCCAACAACTTAATTTTAATGCATGCCCAAGTGGAGAAACTAGGGTGGACCAAGCTACTACTAATTCAATTAGTGCATTGAGACCCTTAAATTCAAACCTTCTTTACATTGCCACGACATGAAGTAGACTAACTTAATGTCAAACTTTTAAATATATTCTAATTTTGAAAAATTCAATGATCTCTCTCTCTCTCTCTCTCTCTCTCTCTCTCTTGCCAATTATAAGGTGTGCTAGACAATGGGCTAAGAGGGGGTGAATTTATTATTTAAAAATTTAGGTGGTTTCCATTGATTTTTTAAGGACTTTGTTTAATTTACAACAAATGGGTCAACACAAGTCAATACAATTTACATGAGATTAATTCATTATTTTACATGATAAATTTACAGGTCTATCTCTGCACACTAGATACCAAGGCATAATCTTACCTTTTCCTTAATATCTTAAGTGACTTCACATGTGATAATAGAGAACAAATTACTCATGAATGAAGCACAGAATTGGTGAAGCACTTGCTTACTCATCAATAGACTTTTGAACTAAAGTTTAGAAATTAGTGATGATTGAGTATCTTCTCTCCTTGTGTTGGAACTAGTTTTTGGTGGTTCCCTTCTAGGTCATATTACATAATAGGAGTGGGGGTGAGTGAAGTAACCTTTTTATCTAGTTTTACTATTTTTTGCAGTAATTTGTAACATAGTGGGTTGACATAGTTTGTTATGGGTCAATGCTGTCATACTAAAGTTTATTATATGTCAAACATAGAAACTTATAGTGACTCAACTTTTCTTTAGCCTACATCTACTTTTTAAGGGTTTCCACTATAGTGTTTACTATTTCCTTATAAAAAATATAGATGGACTTCATGTGATCAACAGATCCCTTACAAGATAGATTTTAGGGGTCTATCACTCTCAATGTCATACTTAGACACCTGTTTGTATTTTAATTCTTGTTACAAGCACTCCCCTATAAGGTCTTCAAGTAGGAAATGAAGTTCAATGAACTTATAAGTTGTTGAATGTTAAAAAAATAACTTCTTTACTATTGTGGATGATTCGAGCATTGGATAAAATTTTGATGCACAACACCTTGTAATAGATTTCCTTAAATAGATTTCAAGATGAGTAGAAAGGGATGATAAATAATTCAAGCATTGTTTGAAACTCTTCTATGTAATAAATCATTGTAAAAATGAGAAATGTAATTTATTTTTTTGGCCAAAGTGGTTTGAAAATAATAAAATGGATGCTAAAGTTAGGACTTGGTTGTACATCACATCTTTTGACTATATGTGTTCCATGTCATTTTGATTAAGAAATTTAGTTGTGATCAACTCGTCAACTTGATAAGTGATTGATACAAATGTTTGAAGGTCCAAATGACTCTTAACATAATATTCGTGCAATTAGGCCCAAAATCATGTCGATAACATCTTGTAGGATAGTAATTGTTTCACTTTTTACTTGCTTTGATTTTATTTTTTTAATGATCTTAATTTTAAGGAAAATTAAAATAGATTATGGCATGTTTAAAAGGTTTAATATTGTAACTTTAGGAGATGATCAATGATACTAAATTGTGTCTTTTGTGATGCTTGTAGATCAAAGTAACTAATGTGGATCTAAGGGCATATTATTTGGATTTAGTGGTTGATTTTTATTATTTCATAATTTTTAATTTCACGCCTTATGGATTTAAGGCTTGATTTTCATTATTCTCAAACTTCTAATTTTATGTCTTGTGGATTCAAGACCAAAAGTTATATTATTCTATAACTTTTTTTGCATCAAGTTGTACTAAAGAAACACAGATTTAAAGGGTAATTTTTAATTCTTTTATGTTCAACGTGCATCCAAAGTAATAATTGTGGACTTTAAGAGTGATGATTTCATGTCTTATGGATCAATGGCATGATTTGATTCTATTCCAGCCTCTACTACATTAATCTACCAAAATATTTTTAATATAACCCAAAATTTATATTGTTGGGGATCAAATATTTAAAATATGATTGATCATAGATTGTATGGGTCTTCACATGAGTTGACTTTTTATTAGATTACATTGTAGACTACAAACACATCTTTTATATTTTTGACATGGCATGATATGTCACTCTTTTGTGACATATTCTCTATCATATCATACATGTCTAATTTCATATAGAATAACTCTTTTTCCCTTCATTTTAGTTTTGGTTTGACTTAATTAAGTCAACTGATAGGTTGACACACTTTCTCTCTATATGTCATGGTAGACACTCTTTTGTGAATCAACACAATGCCTCTTTTCTCAAAAAAGTTGACATAAATTTATCGAACAATATGCACGTTGGTGACTTGAAACACTTTTTCTACTCTAATTTTCTTCTAAGTTTTTTCTTTTACTCCAATTTTACTTAGATTGATGTATATAAAGTTGTTGACATCCATTTTATTCATATGAGGCTTGAAAAACATATTGATATAATGAATGAAACGAGGTCTAAAGATTTAGATCTTGATTCTTGTTTTAGTGTATTGAAATGTATTTTAGAGTAATTTTTCATTTTCTTTTATATGATTACTTATTAACACCAAAATCCTTAAAACCTAACATTTTTTACACCCCCATGAAATAGGACTATGATTCGATCCATTTAATTTCATTTCTATTGGCTTATTTTTGTCTTTTTTGTTTCTTATGTACTCAATCTTTCATTTGTTTTACTCTCAAACATATCATATAGTGTCTTTTTGAGGAAGTGTTTAAACATATTTACTACACACCATATTATATTGAATCAACTTTGTCCAAAATATTTTGATAGATTTTTTTTGTAAAGTATTGTCTTGAAAGCATCTGTTAATGGTATATGTTTGCTCTAAAACTACATTTTATTGTAAAATTTTTGTACAAGAAAATTTACGTGAAGTATATTTTTCATCATAAAACTCAACAAATTTTAAATTCTTAAATTTTCCTGCTTGATCACTTGTTATCCTCTTGTTTTTTTACTTTGTTTTCGAAATATTACAAAGTCTCATCCTAGTGACTAATAAAATATATCCAACAATATCTATAGTCATCCATTATTACCAACCCATAAGTTTGTCCACCTAGGCTTAAATATTTTATATACCAAATAAACACATATGAATGATTTATAAAGCTCTTGGTATAATTAAGTTCTTATTTTTATGAGATTTTCTAACATATTTCCTCTTTTGCATACCTTACAATTAAATTCATCCAAAAATTTCATGTGGGGAAGTCCCCTAACCAGATCTAATTTTTTTAATTTCAAAATTTTCGGTATGCTCACATCATAAACATCTATGTCATTACAACAAATAATTTTAAAGGTTATTTATAATCATACAATCTTTGATTTCTTGAGGTCAAGTAATTGTAAAAATATTCATTTCCTTATCTACCTATAGTAAACATATTTTAATTTAAAGATAATTATGAAATCTATCAAATAATTACTCCTGAACTCAACTTTCATTCCAATTATCACATAATTAAATAACACTAATTACATTCTTGTATAATCTCCTAACTAGCATGACATTTTCATTCAAGGTATGATTATCCAAAGAAGTAGTTTTATGCTCAATTATCTCTCATTTCTCATTGTTCCCAAAATTAAGTTTCCTCCTCTTTTATCAAATGACAAGGTAAGCTATCCACTTTCTCAGGTCATCTGTCTTGATACCCACCATCCAAGTATTATTGCATCTTTTAACATACTAGAGATCTATTGGCTTCAAGGGCTTTCATTATCATAAAAGGTTTTGATGACAAAAAAAACATACACGAGAGATAAATGAATCTAACTATTTGTGTGAACATTTGAACAAATGACTCATTTATATTTAATTAAAAATATACCCATAGCGTTTTTTAGTGATATCAAGTATTCATATGCTAAGTTGATAATTATGAATAATGCTTATGATCTGAAATCTAGAAAAATAACTAAAAATGTACTCAAAATCAACAAGTTTTCTTAGTGGTTTTATACCTACTAAAATTTATGAAAATAAGATTATTGAAAAGTATGAATTGATCATTGAAGAATGTTGAAAATGTTCCCATTATTAGATTGTTTTTTCTCTTGACCATCTATAATCCTTTTTGAGAAGGCATGTGTGAAAATCTAACTATTTGTGTGAACATTTGAACAAATGACTCATTTATATTTAATTAAAAATATACCCATAGCGTTTTTTAGTGATATCAAGTATTCATATGCTAAGTTGATAATTATGAATAATGCTTATGATCTGAAATCTAGAAAAATAACTAAAAATGTACTCAAAATCAACAAGTTTTCTTAGTGGTTTTATACCTACTAAAATTTATGAAAATAAGATTATTGAAAAGTATGAATTGATCATTGAAGAATGTTGAAAATGTTCCCATTATTAGATTGTTTTTTCTCTTGACCATCTATAATCCTTTCTGAGAAGGCATGTGTGAAAATCTAACTATTTGTGTGAACATTTGAACAAATGACTCATTTATATTTAATTAAAAATATACCCATAGCGTTTTTTAGTGATATCAAGTATTCATATGCTAAGTTGATAATTATGAATAATGCTTATGATCTGAAATCTAGAAAAATAACTAAAAATGTACTCAAAATCAACAAGTTTTCTTAGTGGTTTTATACCTACTAAAATTTATGAAAATAAGATTATTGAAAAGTATGAATTGATCATTGAAGAATGTTGAAAATGTTCCCATTATTAGATTGTTTTTTCTCTTGACCATCTATAATCCTTTTTGAGAAGGCATGTGTCCTAATGCTTAGAGTTCTTACAATTGACATTTTTGTTTCTTGATCTTTGTTGGTCCCAATGTAAGTTAGATTAGGTACTACGAGGGTGAGTGAATTAGTTATCTTATGTTTTTATTTTTTGTGTGTACTTTTAGATTACTTTTTGTAAGAATATCTAAGTCATCAACACAAGTAGATTTACATTGACATATAACAGGTTAAGTTAACAAGAAAAAATTTGGGTTAACATAAATTATTTTGGATCTACACTTAAACTAACATGTTATATGTCATTTTGACGTTGAACAAAATATGTGTAAGAATAAATTGATAAAGTTCATGAGGCTGATCAAAATGACTGTTATTGAGGAAAGTCTTAAGATGAGAAAGTCAAGATCAAAGATAAAATCATCATTTTATGTAACAAGATAAATTGAATATTCTCATGACCCTTGAAAATTTCTAAATTAGTTATTCTCCAAATGATTTATAGTACTTATTAAACAATTTAGTGTAATTTTATCTATGTATTTCCTATGTTTTAATTCAGATGTTGACACTTGTAAATACATGATGGAAAAGACAATTTTAGGCTTGGTGTAAAATGACAAAAGTGGAAGCAACCAATGGGATGCATAGTCTTTGTAAAAAAAATAAAATTTAGACCATTTAATGACTCTTAGAAAATTAGAAAATTTTGGTGGACATAAAGAGAACATTCCCCAAGACCTAAATAATGAGGAACTACAATGAAATCAAGATATAGAGTTAATCAAATAGCAACAAGAGGGAAAGGTAAATCCTTGATGAAAAGTTTCTTAAAAAGAGAAATCAAAAGAATCAAAATCTCTAAAACACTTGGATACTGTATTTTAAAAGTAATTTTGACACTTAGACTACTCTAGCTTCATCAATGCCTCTAAAATCATTAACTTGGAATAGAGGTGTATGTCTCCTCCATTTCATTCCTTAGAGTAAACCTAGAAGAGAGGAGTGTCTTCTTTGGTTGACCCCCCTGGAATTTTAATTTATAAGACCATTTTTAGGTAGAATGTAAAGTTGACTACAACTATTAAATTTAATGAAGATGGTTATTGTCTCCAACTCAACATCTATTGCACTAAGGATTTGGCAGAAAGTAAATATATGGTCTTTGGAGAGGAGTAGGTTAGGTAACTCCAACTACTACAAAATCATGTGAATGAAATCCTTGACCACTTTTGGTAGGCTAAATAGTAAAAAAAATTAGAACCAAAATCAATTAACCCCCCTCTTTTGGTAATATGTGCTACCATATGAATTCCAACAGTTGACTATGTCAGGACATTATACATTTGCACATTTAAGACATTGAGAGTTATGGTGTTTGGTTTTTTCTAAACCTTCATCTACTTTTAAGGGTTTTCTACTGCTAGCTCAAAAAATTATTACTGAAATTCATGAGAGTTGTAGATCTCTTCACATAGTTGATTTCATAGGTCTATCTCTCTACACCAAATAATAATATAATATTTAGCCTTTTCTATTTGATACCAACACAGATTTTGAGGTTGCTTGATTGCTCAAGGTAGCTGATGACAAAATTGCTCCCATAGAGAAACTTTTGTAAATATTTTAGAATGAGTATGTGAATTTAATTTGATGTTGAAGCCATGCTTAAAATATTTTTTTGTTAGCTATTTGCAAAGCTCAAGATCTTAATTATTTGGAACTTAAATACCTAAGATTTAATTAAGTTGACCATTGTTGGGGTTGATGTCAAACTACAGAATCAGGTTATAAGTTTGACTAGCATTCAAACATTATGATTTGCCAGCATTGTCAAAGATCTTCTAACACATGTTAAATTTTCTTATGAAAATCTCTCTCTCTCTCTCTCTCTCTCACTTTCTCAAAATATTTGGTTTGACTTGTCTTGGGCAACAAATGGATTGAATACTTTTCTTCTCCCTTTAGTTATGGCTGAGGCAATTAGTATAAACATATGCATATTTATAATTTAAGTTATTTAATGTGCAACAAAATAACATATATACGAATATAATATATTGAGTTGTATGGATGCAATGTTAGTACACAACCAAGAATGCTGAGCGAGGGTTTTCTGTAGGGTTTTTAGTCCGGAAACGACTGCAGTGCGTCTTCTACTGTGGGAAGGAGAGAGCGCCATCGCCATCTACGCGCACCTGTTGAGAGAAGCTGAACCTGAAAGAGACCTCCAAAGTGAGCCGGCCATGGAGAGGGCGGCGTCGATACTCTTCTCGGGCGTCCGTTTGGACCGGAAGAAGTTCGCCGCGGACATCGCCATTTTCAAGGCAAGAGATGAGGCGACAGTCTCCCTTCAATTCCTCGAACTTCTCTCTAGACGTTTGACGAATGTGATATGACGGTGGGTTTCTTCGCTTGCCTTCACAGAGAGGCGAGAAAGGAGAAGGCGTTGGAGGGGACCACACAGCCATCTTGGAGCCCAAATCGTTTGAACGGAAGGAGGAAGAGGAGGTAACGGCAGCAGAAGCCCCAAAGAATAAGAAGCGAAAGCGGGGGAAAAAGGATCTTGGTGCGTGGTTACCTTTGTGTAAACTCTTCTTTCTCTTATTGTAGTTTTTTTATTTCGTCTGTTGGTCCAACGTTGTTCCTTGACAGTGCGTCTGGCCTTTATTGTTCTTAATTTGATTTTGACTGCCCTCAGAGGAAGCCGTGGATGGATTCAGCTTGTTCGGAAAGTCGGAGTCTGTTGTTTCTTCTTCGTCTGATGGCAAGATGAAGAAGAAGAAGAATCTCTCTGCAAAGGAAATCGAAGAGAGGAAGCAGATTGAAAGGCAGATTGAGGTCCTTAACCTGTGACTATCCTGGAATTCTGTTTCTTTTTATTTTCATTTACGCTTTTTCGGTGGTTTAAGTGATAACAACATTGAAATTACATGTTTGTTTTCAGCATGACTCAATTTTGCGTAAGAAGCATGGTATTCACGTCTCTGGGCATGGCATTCCATCACCATTGGAGAGCTTCGAGGAATTATGCTCGAGGTATTTTCAGTTTATCAGCTCTATCTGAACTTGATATGACTGTATGTCAGATGTACAATCACCTGTTCTTTGAGGAACTTCTAAAGAAAGGCAATTCCTTTTTTCCAAATTGAATACCGCTTAAAATTATTCATTCGTAATTATTGTTTTTCTCCTGGATGTTTTCTCGTTTTTCTCTGGATACATACTAGTAGGAGACTTAGAATTCCCTTTCAAAATCAATGAAACCTTTTTGAATCCTAAATAGGATAATATTTTTTAAGAAGAAACTTCAGAGGTGGCTGAAAATTCTTATTTTTTTATTAAGAGTGGCTTTTCTTTCTAATCGACACCAATTTCATTTCATGAATTTCTGATGAGCAAGTAGCTTCTGCTCCAGACCTCATTAAAATCATTTACAACAAGATATTTTAATCTTTCTCTATCTGCTCGACATGAACTTGGATCCATATTATGTTGAACAATCTCCAGAAAGGAAAATATTGTAGTGGAGCTTTATAAACACATTGCAGAGATAGAACATCTGATGATGGTTATTACTGGCTGTGAAACGCATTTTTTCAGCTTTTGGCTTGGAAAAACTGCTATGTCAAGCTTGGGCACAGAATCATGCTGGTTCCTATTCGATTTCGAGAATAACCTTTTGTGGCCCTATGTAAGCCGTAGCTGGATATGTGCCCTAGGCTTCATCATACCTTAGATCTTTTTCAAAGCAGAAGCTCTCAGCTTTCTTGAGTGAGGGAAATGGGCCACGGAATGTAGGGTTTTGGACTTAATCATAGGTTCACCAAGAATAAAGGCAAATGAGTACTTGCTTTTGCTATCCTTGTATTTTTGTGTATGTTGGAATGTGAGGCTTCTTCAAAAGAGGATATCATGAAAAAATCTCTCACCCAGTGACATGATTGTCCCTTCTTTCCTAGATTAAATTTGTTTTATTTCTGTGGCTATTACTTGGCATCTTTAGTAGCATGTTTTCAATGTCTTAATGTTTCTATGTTTTCACCATCACCAATTTTCTTTTTTCTTTTTGCGCAGGTATGGCTGTAAATCATTTTTGTTGCGCAATCTAGCTGAACGTGGCTTCAAGGAACCAACACCTATCCAAAGGCAGGCTATCCCAGTGCTTCTCTCTGTATGCTATTCTGTTGCTCTTCTATTTTTGCCTAACTTTTTTTTGCACTTTTTGTTTCTTTTTTTATGGATTTGGCCTCCTGAATCTTTAATCTAGTGTATCCATATTTTTCGTGTTTCTCTGTTATTTTTGTTCAACTCGTCACCTATGGCCTACTCATTATTATTTTATTCTACTTATTACTGGCCAACGTTTTTGTTTTCTTTAAGGGCCGTGAATGCTTTGCATGTGCCCCAACTGGTTCTGGGAAGACGTTGGCCTTTTTATTGCCTCTAATTATGAAACTCAAGGTAAGATCTATTGAAATTTTTTAAACCGACTACTTGATTTTGTGAAGTGATTACTTGACTCGGTTCCTCTTTTGATCAGCATAGGTCTAAGGAGGGTTTGAGAGCTATTATTCTTTGTCCTACAAGGGAGCTAGCTGCGCAAACTACTAGGGAGTGCAAAAAACTTGTAAAGGGTAAGAAATTTTACATCAAACTGATGACCAAGGAGCTCTCCAGAAGCAATAATTTTGAAAAAATGCACTGCGACATTCTTGTATCCACACCTCTTCGTTTGGATTATGCTATTGAGAAAAAGAAGCTCGACTTGAGCAGGTATGTTTCTTGACTCCGATGGCAGTCTAATAGTGAATATGCTCAACAATTTTTTGAATTCGGAAGCTTTTTGTCAGCATGAAGGGACTTTTTATTCTTATTTTTCTTGGGATTATAAGAAAGCTATCAACCGAGCCTAGATGTACAATGAACTAGTATTTTGAAACAATTTGGGTAGTACCTTGACTCTGATGGTACTTTAGCCTGAGTTCCCATTTGTAGTATATCCTTGGTACACTAGCACTATAATTATGATTATACCTTAATGTTTGAAAATAAAAATAACAGCTTTGGTGCTGACAAGATCTGACAATTTTGTTAGTATCAAGGCTTTTAAAGAGAGCAAGGTGGTGGATCACTAATTTATTTTCTTGGCAACATAGCAAGTCACTAGGTGTTGCCGAGATGAGATCTAATTTTTGTAGAATTTAAGATCATTATTAACTTTTACTAATCATCAAGTATGGATTTCTACATTGTATTGGTTTCAATCAAACTAGTGATCTCTTTAAATGATCCTCACTCTGTTATATAATATTTTTCAGTAGAAAGATTATTTTAATATTTTAATGTAAATTATAGTAGAAAATTTGTTTCAAGGATAAAAAATAGTGACTGATACAGATTTCATAGTTGAATGTGAAAGTATATGTAAGAAATAAAATTATTTATTTACTTATTTAATATTGAGTATTTATTTATTTGATTGGCCTATGCAATCCTGCACAAGTGATTCACACTATTCAATATTGTACGTTGTGAAAATGCAATCTCATGTAATAGGACTCAATTGTCGACCATGTATGCTGGGCAGTCACCTGTAAATGGCAGATCCTGCTAATCATGTGATGTGTTGACTATTTATAATGTTGTTATAAATGGTGTGTGCTCTTTGATTGCATTTGCGATCCTGATCAAATAGGAGGTTTCAGCACAGTGATTGTGACTAAAATTCTAGCCAGGCATTTTCTGTAGCAACTTAGGCAGACTGAGGCATGTACTGGCCAAATGGGGCTGATTGGTGTCAAATTGGATAGATAAAAGAAGGGTATGTGTCAATTGGTCTCAAATTGGATCTGACATTTGTTACTAGTTGTTGTTGGCTGTTTAGCATTAAGTTAGGTATGAGCTTTGTTGCAAGGTGTAATTCAACAAATAGAGACAGATATGGTGATATTTTTTTAGGACCGAGATTTTGGCTCATGTTTTTGGCTAAAAAGCAATGGCAGCGTATGCCATATTCTAACGATTCGAAGTGGCTGTTGTGGGAAACGTTCCAGGTTCATATGATGAATAGCACGACATTCTTATGTTTGATTGGGTAGCGAAAATCGAGACCTTCTATATGTTTGATTGAGGCACTTGGGCTATCTTTTATTTTTTGCTTCACGATGAAAGGTGGAAAAGTGAGGTTGCGAGGACATAGCGTGGGAAGAGTCATTGGATATGTCACCGTAACTCACTTATTGGGTCACATAATAAGTCACCAAATGAATTTCTCTGTTGCAATGCGTGGATCATCACATGCTAAGGATTAGAAGTTTGTAAGCCAGGCTTAGTGTTCATTAAATACTCGTCAATTTGGACAGTTAAAAGGAGGGCACTACATATTTGAGGATACGAAAGCAAGTGATGTAATCTGTTCTTATTTTTGTGGGTTATAAAATGAAAAAGGAATAGAAGCTGACTTGTTGAATGATAGGAGAACGCTGATTTGTATTCTCAGTTGCCTTTTTTATTTAAATATACATATAAAATATTTATTTCTCTTATAGAAAAATGCTCAATGCTTGTATGAATACCTGCTTACAACTTGAATGATCTACAATGGTGGCTTCCAGAGTAGAGTTCCTCATTTTGGATGAATCGGATAAGCTGTTTGAGCTCGGTTTTGTGGAGCAAATCGATTCAGTGGTCAAAGCTTGCTCAAATCCGTCAATTGTACGATCTTTGTTCAGTGCCACCTTACCCGATTCTGTTGAAGAACTTGCACGATCAATAATGCATGATGCTGTTCGAATCATAATTGGCAGAAAGTGAGAACAAACTACCTATTCATGAAAGTACACTCTAGTCTACGCCATTCACCCGTGCCTCATTCAAATGAATCTATTTGGACAGGAATTCAGCTTCAACATTGGTCAAACAAAGTCTCGTGTTTACTGGAACTGAGAAGGGGAAGCTCATTGCTCTACGACAAAATTTTTCTGAGGTATGGTTTTAATGGTTAATTTTTATGGGCCATTGACATTGTTTCTGCCTTTGAAATTCTTGAATATTTGAACTGCTGTTTGCTATGGAGAAGAATGTGTCCTGTAGGTTCTCATTTTATTCTCAAAATATATCCAATTTATTTTGTTGAGAATTGTGGGTTATGTCGACTGTGTATGTCATATGATGTATACGTTTGATCTTAACTTTCATTGTAGGCTTTTGCATCAAAATTATTCCAGAATTGAAAATTTTAGTTATCAATATCTAAAGATTTATGTTCTTAGGAAAACCGTTATAGAAGTCTTTGACTTTTGTGTTTGAAATATTGAGATAATACTATCAATTGTGTCCTTGAGCCAGATTAGACCTGAGGCTCAGGGTTTTCACTGAGCTTGGACATTAGAACAAACATGGGAACAAAATTAATTCTGCCTAAATGGTCTGCAGTGGTCTAGCTACAGCCATAGGGCCCACCTCAGTCCCTCTTGTGGCGTGCAGGCCCTCACTTTCTCCCTAGCCTAGCAGCCCCTTTTCCCAGTCCCCTTCCTCCGCTCTCCTCTGGTGCAGCCCTCCCCCCTCCTCACCCCGCTATGGTCCTGTTGGGCTGGGAAGTCGAGGTTATGAGAAGGTGCTTGGGTTGGGCTTAGCCTTTCTTTCCTCAAGAAAAGCAGATAGCATGGAATTTGTAAATCTTGCAATTTTCATTTCTCCTTCAGGGACAATTGATATTTCTATAATTTTGTAATCAATGTGATGAATTTTCCTATTTCTATGTAAAACTGGATGTAGATATGAGTTGCCCTCTATTTGAATTTTCTCATTTGTTCTTATTTATTATCTTCGCCTCTGTGAAAGGGAGCCTCTCAGTCACCTGAGGAAAAAGATTTCTGCAGAAAAATATGATGTTGGAGGACCAATGTAGAGCAATGAGCTTGTCGTAGAGCAATGAGCTTTTTTTTCATTGGTCAAACAAATTGCTCGTGTTTACTCTGTTGAGCCTTTTTTTTCATTTTTGACGAATAAATATCCCCAAGATTGTTAATTTTATTCTCTTAATTTGCAGTCCCTGAATCCTCCCATACTAGTCTTTGTCCAAAGCAAGGAGCGAGCTAAGGAACTGTATAAAGAACTGGTATTTGATAATATCAAGGCCGACGTCATCCACGCCGACTTGAATCAGTTTCAGGTATCTTACTTTGATTAATGGGTCTGCCTCTCTGTCTAGGCTATTGCAATCCAATTCAAATGACCAATAACACTTCTTTCTCCAGAGAGAAGCCGCAGTTGACAACTTCAGGGCTGGCACCACGTGGGTCCTAATTGCGACCGACGTGGTGGCCCGAGGCATGGACTTTAAGGGGGTCAACTGCGTCATCAACTATGACTTTCCTGAATCCGCTGCTGCATACATCCACCGTATAGGTAAAGATTATGACTGTGTAATACTGCATAAAATGTGCTTATTCAGTTGCTTGAAAGGCTTTGGAAATTTTCTCAGTCATATAGCTATTTTGGGTTTTTGGGTATGAACACCCAAGGAAAGGGGGTTTTGGGGGGTGGCGGGGGGGGGGGGTGGCTGGAGCGAGAAGCGGGGAAATGTGGGGAGCCCACTGAGAAAGAGTGCAGGGCGGGTGGCTAACAGAGCGCCTGAGGCTCACCAGGCCTGTTCTCACCCATACCCCTGCCTGGTTCCTGGTATTCAAGCTTCTGATGCATCTGTGTTGCTCATCAGGGTACTAGATTTTCTCCTTTAAAAGAGCTCTCATCTCCTATGCAGGTCGATCCGGAAGAGCAGGGAGGAAAGGGGAAGCTATAACCTTATACACCGAGGAAGATGTCCCTTTTCTGCGGAATGTGGCTAATGTGATGGTCGCATCGGGGTGCGAGGTCCCAAAGTGGATCCTCTCACTTCCCAAGCTCAGGCAGAAGAAGCACCGCCCTCAGCGAGACTCCATCTCCACGCTGTCTAATGGACAAGAAGAGTAGGACACGGTAGGCCATGTAAGTCTACCATTTTAGTTGATCATGGCAGTTCGAGCTGATTCTGATTCCCATCTGAGGCAAGTTTGGTAGGATGGTGTTCCGTAAAGGCTGACCACAGATTTTTAGTTGTGAAAAACTGACGTGGAGTTTAATTTATGGCGATTCTAAATGAGGAATTTGGTGAATGTCACGAGGAATTTGGCTCGAAGTAGAATATCTGTGTATGGTTAGGCTCACCAGCCATTATAAACGTACGAATTGTAATTAAATCTTTTTCAACGAGTGCGTCAGAGTTTGTTTTAGCTATTGAATGCTGATATCAGTTCTAAGTTATGATGATTCAAGATGATGAAGCTTGTGATTCTGTTGTGACCTTGAACCGTTATATATTTATTTACCCATGAAGTTACTTGGTTTGATATAAGAAAATGGAAGTATTAATCGGGAATTATAAAATAATGAATAACATAAGGATATTAAAATGTTATAACGAGGTGTGGTAATCTAAATACTTTCTGCTACATTGTTAGTAAATTAACAATGCTAACACCCTAAAAAATACATAGTTTAACGTTTTAGATAATTTAAGGATATTAACATGATTTTATCATTGACTTGACTGTTGAATTTCTTCTACATTTTATGATATTTCTTATCATTAGCTTGCACCCAGATATAATCAGCTTGGCATAGGCTTGAACCCGTATATGACCAGCTTATCATTGAGAATCCAATGATATTTTTCATTGGCTTTTAGTTCCCACAATCTTTAACTTGTGATTAATCAATCCTATGCTAGGCATGCCGTCAAAATAATAAGAACGACATTTACTTTTCACCATTAAACCATCAATAAAATACAAGGTCTTGAGGAAGAATCTGCACTTATCTTTTACCTCTAGTTTGTAGTCATTTTCTTTTCTAATTGAAGTTGATTTACATACAATAATGATTTGTGATGAAACAACAAATTACATAATCATATAGTTTTTGGAGTAAAACTCAATTACAAACTGCAGTGGTTTATCATTAGTATGATATTATACAACTTATGATCAACCCATTTTGACCTAGTAATGATTAATATCTTCCTATAGTTGTTCATGGCAGAGAAAATATATTTCATATTTTCCTATAATAATACAAATGTTGAAAAAAAATCTAGCTGTTACTGTATTTTTTTTGCATATATCATACCAACTGTGATTTATAAAATTTTTAGTACCAATCTACGCAGATTATTGTGGAGATCAGATATGTTGATATTTTGAATCATCTCATCCAATCCTAACTCTTACTATTCCAATCAAGATTGCAACTGGTTGGTTCTAATGTTAACTTAGTGTAATTTTACTCACCTTTCAATATAGTCAATTTAAAATGATAGGATTTGAAAGTTCATGTTATGTTCTTTTGTTAGTCAAAATCTTCCTGAAATACGAGTGGGATTTAATACTTTCGGTGCATTTTAAAATATAATATTGAGGTCTCTACTTTATGTATTTTTAAGACAAAAACCAATATATGAGGTAGGCTAGAACATTAAATTGTTGGAATTCAAACAAATTTATAGCCTATATGAAGGAGACTATTACAAACTACTTAGTAGTTATAATATCAATGATACATTTAATAATAAAACTAAATAGTAAGGTCATATCAAGGATACCTATTTATAAAAGTTTCTTCTTCATTTCAATTGTAGGTATTTAACACCACTTTATTTCAAATGATAAAACTAACGGCAGAATGTTTCCTTGTCATTTGGCAGTCATTGACAAAATCTTGTACAATGTTTGTCCTTGCACAAGAGATTCACTATTCTCGTTAATCAACTACTAATAATCACAGTGATTTAGAATGTTGACATGAACACCATTTGAGGATTGATCCTTATCCTAAGATTAAGGCACAAGCTAAATTATTTCAACTAGGATTTAGAAGAAAAAGTTTTAAAAGATACATTTGATATTGTTATTTGTGGTTGTGATATGCCATAACCAGCAGTTTAGTGCAAAAAAGTAACCATTATATAAGTAACTAATGAAATTATTTTAGAAAATTTATTTTTTACTAGGTTTTGCTTCAAAAAATGCAAATATCTACCTATGTGAATATTACAACTCTCATTGAACAAAAGAGAGCCACCCCAAAATTGACTTTCATGCTTTATTTAAAAGTAAGGGAATAATCAATACTTGTGTATAAATATTTAATTTATGGGTCCATAAACACTAAAAAAAGACCAATTGACATCCCCCCCCCCCCCCTTGATCTTATTTGGGCCATGTGAAACCAACAAGTCACTTGATCAATCAACTGCAATATCTTATCCCACTTTATCACAAGTTTATCTGCATCTTATATCAAAACTGAAGCTGTATTAGACTATGCAATGCCACCACTAATTGTTACATTTCATTTTGTCCTTCTTTACATTGGGTATTTAATTGAAGGTAAAATATAATATCTTCATTGATGTGCAGTAAAACAAAGGAAATTACACTCTTTGAGAAAAGGAACAAATATTGTCTAGTTCCTCTATTTCTAAATCAAACAATTTTGGTTTCAAGAGAAAAGGCTGATGGCATTGAAAATTATAATAAGACATGGCTAATTATAAAGTTAGAATCACATGAGGAAATACTTCATACAAAAAAATTACACAATCTTAAATGTTCTATGATTGCATATTCTTGTCCATTACAAATTGAAATGACTAATGTATTCACCAATTTAATGTCAAAAATATTTTTTGAGATAATTATATTGTAGCTCAACCACTAAAATTTCATCAAGAAATTGTGCTATTACATTACCATTACCAAATGTAATGTTCATCAACTTAGCATATTTTAACCTTTGGTGGTTTCATGGATGTAAATATAGATATTTCTTACTTTCCATGATGATGGAATTATTGTTTTCACCATTTATAAAATTTTCATTTGATAAATTTTGTGCCATTTATATGAACTCGGTTGTCTAATTAGGATTATTTTATTATAATGTAGTAAAGTAGTTGAGCATTGAAATTGCTATATTGTATCTTAATGTAAATATCAATAAAATATTTTGTATCATTGTATGATTGAGGGGCAAGAACCTTCCCAAACTTCATGCACAACTATTGTAAAACATCTACAAAGGTCATATCATATCATCAACTGGTCAAAAATATAGCATTGTTTATATCCTACAAAGGATAGAATACTTTCCATGATTTCAATAATGGCATATGAAAGTGCATCAGTTCTCTACTAGCTGCACATTTTGGATCGTTGGACTTCACTCTTTGTTGTATCACTAAAATGTTAGTACTTTTCTCTCATATGTATGCTTTTTAGTTGAAAGATCATGAAGAGATGAATCTCTTGTCATATGTTTTACAATGTTTACCAATTGAAATAAACTTTTTCAGTGCTCTTGAAGGCAATATACAACCATTAATTCCTCAACAAAACCCCACCATTACCTTTCAAGCACTAGTTCAAATTTTGAGGCCATTCAACTTAAAAACCACAAAATTGTAATGTCTGATCAAATTGTAACATTATTTCAAACATTACAACATGAAGGTCCTAGATGGATAAAAAGATGTATAACAAGGGATACTTTTAATTTTACTTGATGATGCTAATCGATCTTTGAACAAATTAGTTCAAATACAATATCATAAAAGTATATAATCGTTTGGTTTCATCATAATTTACACTAACTCAAAATATCCTCTACCTCCATCTTCTATGATCATGCTTCTAAAGGGGACAATGGCAAGTTTAGTCCTAAGTTGGGCATAACATGAATCTAAGATTAGGGGGGGGGGGTGAGGAGAACTAAGATTTTCATCAAGATTACTCATTTTCAATCATTAGTGTAGAGTGGTAGTACAATTAAGCTGAATCAAGTTAATGCTCGTGAAACACAAAAAAATAAGCAAGTTTTATAGTGCTTTAGACAAATTTTCAACTCAATTCTTTTCAAAGTATTTTTATTAAATTCTACCATTGAATACCAAGGTATCAACTCCAATCTTTAGACCCACACCAGTACACAGCTTTTATGGCTACCTCTTTATTTCTAAATTTCTAGCCATAGAACTACTCAAGTACATCTAGTAGTTATTTATTGACAATCGTTCTCTACTATTATGAACATGTAGGAAATCATAGGAACAAAGAGAATAACCTCCATCATGGAAGACAAAGGGGAGAACGGCAAACAACCACCTCAAATCTTCATTCACTTCTAACACCTCGTATATAAGAAGGAACCCTAACTAATTGTCCCAGAATACCCTCATATTTTATAATATTTCCTTATGACCTAAAACTTCTAATATAACTATTTATGACAAATAACTTAGAAAATTAAAGTTTACAACTGTTGGATCAGAGCTTCCATTAGTAGATGCCTTGCAGGTGAATACGTGAGGTTTCCAATGCAAGAATAATGGATAGCAAATGTAGTAGTAAATAAATTTTTAGGATAAAAATAAAGAACAAAGAGAATATTACAAGCCCTACTACAATCTACAAGAAAATCTTCCGATAGAAAATTATGGGTAATTGCAAGGACTATGTGCTGTAGCTGCACTCCAATTTTAGAAAGCAAGAGAGATGGACATGGCGCAAAGTTCTGCCTTTGCTTTGATAAACAGTGGTACACCAAGAAAACCCTAGGTGGATCAATTTGTCTTCACTGAAGAAGATGGTGAAAATAGTCATTAAACAACGCTGTCAGTTCTCCCATTAAGCCCCCTCGCAAATTTAAGAAAAGCAAACTCTTGAAAGAAATAGTCACATTTTACACTGAATGGCGAGCCCTACACATAAGAAAACAACAGTTATGTGCGAGTGATTAGTTCATGAGAAAGGAGATCTACATCCAATTGAGTGGCACGACAAGGTCAGATAGAAGAACAAAGCATACATCTCTGCCGAAAAATTACACGGATGTATATGTGATTTGATGGAGAAGATGGAGAGAGAGAGAGAGAGAGAGAAAGAGAGAAAGAGAGAGAGAGAAAGGATGGGAGGGCGGGATGCTTAAAGAAGGAGAATTTTTCAAAGAACATCTCTCTAATTAAATGGAGCATGAGACTTTAATCGGTGGCTAGAAAGGAAGCTAGAAGAGTCAAAGGATAAAATTCTTCAACGTAATACCTCATGGTAGCATGGCGAGATCACAAGAATTCCCAGTCTTCCGTAGACATGTCAACGAGTTCAATGCGTCCATCCTCAAATATAATCTAACGGCAACAATAACCCACATTTCCTGAATTTTTATAATCCGGCAACGATAAAAAAAAGTTGTAGCATAACAAAGGAATCATGGTCTTACTGTGTGCTTTCTGGAGTGGCCGTCAAAACCGGATATTATTCCTCCAAAGTACCTAAAGAATAACATTTGGACAACTGTTTTCCATAAATTTAGACAATAACACACCAGAAATTTAAACTAGCAAGTATTTATATGAGCCTAAGTCAGGTTGCAAGGAATCCAAGAGCTGGTTATGGAATGAAGAGAGAAAAATGATTGAAATGTTGGGATGGAGGGCAGGAGAAAGGGAGAGTGAGATGATGGGAACAGGGTAATTTAACAAGTGTCAACGTTTTTGTGGACAAAAGTTAAACTACCATTATGGCTTAAGAGAGGACTAAATCGTGACTGAATACAAGTTTCCGACAAGTGGAAAAAAATCTTGGGTCTTATTAATGAAATATGGATTTTAGAGTGATCTAAGCTAATTGACACAACGACTCATCTATGAGTGAAGAGTCTGTTTACTTCCAAGCATATCAAGAGTCGGTAATCAGTGTCTTTGTAACAGTGACATAATAGTATACAATTCGCGCACCATACTGAAGTCTTAGGAAGAATAGTTTCCAAAGCATAAATAGAGTAAAATTCAGTCCTAGACATGTGGAGTTTTTTTTTTTTTCGTTATTTAAGACAAGGACCGTCAAACAACAACCATATTGATGAAATCTGGTTTCATATTTTGTATATTTACAAAAGATATCAATTAGCTTTCAAACGAAGAGTCATCAGAGGAAGGTTCTAAGATAGCTGGTAGTAGGATGGTGGCTTTTAAGTACATCTTTGCTGTGAAGATCTATTATGGGAATCAGAGCAACTAAATGGAGGAGCTACATGAATTTCAAGTCGTGGGAGATCCTCACGAATGAGTATGAAGAGGCTGAATTAGATATTGCCCCCTCACAGGTCAAATCCGGTCTTTAAGGAGCTTCAAAAACATACCAAGAGATAAGAAGGTTTTTCTTATTATATTAATAAGAGGATGAAAACACCTTTGAGAAGATTCCCAAGGCAACAGCCTCAAAAAGGCTTAGGAATACATGGGAAAGATATTTAGTAAAATACGAGAAAACTTAAAACTGTCTATCTCATCTACAGACCTCAGAGCTCCAATTCTAAATGACTTACTAGCACACTAACATGAGACAATTTGGGACTATGTAGTCTATATTCTACTTAATTCACTAAGATGCGTAACAAACAGGGGAAGATATATCAATTTGCTCCAGTATTTTACACAAGGCATAGGTAACGATTAAGTAAATAAGAGGTAAACGCGAAACACACAAGTTTTGACATCATATCAAAATAGAAGAAAAAAGATTTAAGCTAAAATTGTGGCTCTACTACACATCTATTTTTTAAAGTGAGAGAGGGGCAGTACACCATAAGATTTCATCTAGGTCTAATGGCCCATATCCTAGATAACTTTCTGACACACTGATATAGCACAATGTGAGCTTGTCAGTATACATACCGATGGTGCCACTATAAATATTAAAAGAGAGAATAAGAGTCTAAAGAATGTACCTTTCGCCCAAACTGGCGAACTTGAAACGTAGCATATAAAATAAACTGGTTATATAATTATGAATCAACAGCGAACAAATGATGAGACCATGTCACATGTTTCTAACACTTCTGTTCTTGACTTCAAGCCAGATCAAATGATATATTAATTAAAGAAGAGTTTAAAAGCCATGATGAAGATGGAAAAATGAGAGAAGAAAGATCATCTAGAGATAAAAACTGAAGTCCTGAGATAAGGGTTCCATAGATGTCTTTGAGGTTTGTAAGGCTTTCCTCAGCAACTGCAACAAAGTAAATGCCAAGGATTGATCCAGACGAGATGGGGTACACGATTCGTCAACACAATGACAATCCCCAGCGGATAAAACTTTTGCAGAGTATGTACGGAAAGGAGGAACATTATTAGGGAGTTAGCTTTCATCACATACTACTGTTCAAAAATAGATCACATATGAATCTTAATAACAGTAGTGACAACAAAAACAAGGTAGAAGTACGAAGAAGGATGTTTAAGGATGTTTTCTTCACATATGTGAATCTATTTAATACAATGTTTAAGTGCAGCTAACTAATTTTGAAAAGAATTGGAAACATAAAAATGGGGCATCTCAGGCAACAAAGATAATATAAGATGTAGAAGAACAAAACGAGCAAAGAAAACAGACTAGGGTAATATATGATGTCAGAGTACCCTTTATAGCGAGAACACCATATGCGCACAACTTCCCCAATACAGTTCTCAAAATGTGTCTCCATTCGAGGAAAGTTCAGCCTTGGATTCACTAGACAATAAGGAAAGAAAGGATTTATATGAAAGTAAGTGCTAAATCGAATGGCCATAATACCTTTGCATGATATTGTGCTGACAGGACGCATAGTCACCAGAAATAACAGGCGACAAGAAGATGAGATATATGCCTACCCATAAATGATCCTTCATTTGGCAGATCCTTCAAACAGTAATTCATCTAGTCAAAGTAAGCTCCATGACAAAGCGAAAAAGATCAAAACTCATTCTGCGACAGAAGAGGTATCCACCTTGCAATTCGCATCTGAGAATGAGTTATTCGCCTTGCTGGGTTTGTTGCCCAGCTTCTTCTTGCAGCCCAAAGCACCACAGTAGCAGTCTTGGTCTGCTCCAAATTGAACAAACCTGGAACAAGGATAAATCATGTCACAAGAGGAGATGGAAAGAATATTCACTAGATAAAGAACCCTGCAATGTCCTTGTTTACGTGCATACTGATAATCATAAGTCAGCTCCTCCCCTCTCCTTATGCTGTTGATAGCAAATATGCCAATTCTGGTCTCACCATCAGTTCTCCTTTAAAATGGGTCAAAGATTTAAGTTCAATTGCAAGTAAATAAAAAAAAGAGAAAAGATAGGATAGTCCTCAACCACTTCTGCATTTCAGTATTTGGCTCGCAACTATGATTTATGAATCTTGATTTGTTCCCCTTGAATGTGGCATCAATCACCATGCCATGATTAACTTCACATAAATAGAAATTTGTGTCTCCTCTGTGTTTCATTTTCCATAGCCTTTCCTCACAGGATTCATCATCAATAACTAGAAAATCGAAAAATACCATACAAAAAGTGATTACATTGTCTCAGCAGTAAGTAAATGAACTCTCCATACATCAGGACGGTACAATGGTAGCCATAAAAAGGCATGATGGATACCTTCTCCAACATACTCTATGACAAAATCTCCTTTCCGTATATCTTCATCTGCTACTAATCCCAGTCCACATTTCTCTGTCTACGAATTGGAAGTTTTTATCAGTCATAAGATAACAATGACTAAAGAATGTTATCAATTATTAAGTAAAAATAAGGGCAGTAATCCAAAAAAATGAAAATTTGACCACTAGAGAGTATAGATAATAGCACTTATGACAACTCCACAAATTTACAATTGATAGGAAAATGGGTGTTCATTCATCATTATGGAAGGCAATGCAGCGGTGAGGACTATCGGGAAGCATCCTCCTACATCTTTGGGTGTAGAATAGAAGTCAACAAAACGTATGCCAAAAGCACTGCTAAGGTAAGCAATCCCAGAGAGGGTGTCTACTGACGAGTTGACATATTTTTCTCTCTTTTCTTTTCCAATAAATCTCGGTTTACATTCTATATTATTAATAAAGTAACAATTTAATCTTGAGGAAAAGAATGGCCTTAGATCATACATGCAGGATTGAATCTAAAAAATGAATACAAGTTCGTAGATCTGAGGTCAGTGTTAAATTCCATTTGCATTTAAAAAACAGAAAAAAATAGAAAAAACAAAAAAGGGAATATAATTTCATATTCACCAAGACAGAAGAATGGCAAGGAAAGCAAATACGCAGAAATTTCCTCCGTCGTAATAAAAGGACAGGAAACTTGTGCCTGGAATGAACCAGAGTCATTCTTTGTGTTCTTCCCTCAGACTGAGCATGGCACTGGATCCATACCCTACGCACCATACCCTCTGCTGTTGTATGATCTCACAACATAATTTTTGAGATCTGTAAAATGATAAGGCCGTTTGGCAAAGACCAGAATGCACTATTGTTAAATTATTTTCAGTTTGATTTACTATTGTACTATTTATGCTATAACAAAATATTTAACGTTCATTTGAATGTCATCATCTTTGCCAACTGCAATCAGATTATTGCCGGACATCTAAAAGAGAAACATAATTGAGTAATTTCCAGTGAAAATCATGTCATATAAAGAATGTGAATAGCTGCTTTGCAACAGGAAAAAGATACATTGAGACTTTTCTCCTTAAGATACCACTTATTTACATGGTTATTTTTTCTTTTCAAATTATTAATACGAACGATTCTTTTTTCTGGTAGGTTCATTCTTGTCAAGATACATTGATATGATTCTTTCATATTTTTGGACTATTATTACTTGTAGAAATAATATTTATCGAATGTATTGTGGTTCCTTATGAATCTTGACAATTTAGTTAATTTAGTCTTTTATGTGAGTCTTTAGAACTTTCGTTTTAGCAAATCTTAGGATTAATCATGCTTCTTTGTTATTCGTAAAGAATTTAGACATTTTAATGATATAATTTATTTTAATAAATCTTAATATTCATCATCATTATTTATAATTTAAAACGAAGTTTAAGCAGTATCAAAATACACGCCATCTGCTATAATTTTTTCGTTTTACAATTACTACTAGTGTGTCAAAACACACTGACATGTAATGCAGCTTATTTTCTTGGGGTAGATCCTAATCAACTTGATGATTGGATAGGATAGCAAGAGGGCATTCATATGTTTGAGGTGAATAGAGTTTTCATTTTAGTTCAACACCATGGTGATAGAGGGCAATGGTAATAGGTAATCCTTTTAAGAAATCGTGCTTGAAATGCTTTATATACTCCATTCTTTTAATGGCCGTTGATCCAGAAAATTTCAAAAGAAAACTATTTATCCGAATGTGCACCGTCATTGAACAATTCAAAACTGTTAATCTGTATACCTAGTAACAATAAAATATTTTAAAGTTTTTACCAAACTAATGAGAACAATAATAAGGATATTTTCTTATCATAAAATTAATTCAAAAAAGTGAAAGAAGATCACGTGTTATTGAAGCATCTAAAATTCGTAATAACTTGCTAAAAATTAAGAGTAATCATCAGAAATTGCAATGACAGGAAAGACAACTTATCCTAAAAATAAGACTCATAAGGAACATAGAAAATCACAAAAATTATAATTAAATATACTAATGTTGAAAATTCATGGTAATTAAATTTAACGATATAACTTAAAAACGAAACAAAATTCAAATTAGTAATAAACGCTTTAATATCGAAAATAATCATCATAAGAGAATTTTCGAATAACTGATACTAGTTTTCTAACACTAAAATAATAACATAATACGTAAAAGAAGACAATAAAACCATAAGTATGATCATCGTGTTTGAAAATATCAATTCATGCTTTTATCCAAGACATGAATTTAACAAGCAGTTCTCAGTGTTCTGTTATATGCAGAAAATTCTAATTAATATGGACGATGATTAATAAAAATGATAAAACTCAAATGAACCTAAAATGTCTGCTACTAAGCCCAATACCATCTATGTTGCAAAGCAAATAAAAATCAAAAAGTAAAATGAAAAAACGTTACAAATCATATAGCACAACACCAACTAATCAATTAACAGTTCTCAAATGTAACAGATCTAAAATTGAGTAATGGATCTACAAGTTACCATCTATATGAGTTCAAAGCTTATTTGAAATAAGCACATTAATATATTCAGTCCTCGAATATATCTCAAGAATAGTTTTCCTATTGAAAATATATACAAGAACTGATGAATGGGCACTTAAGTTCCATTACAAATAGATAGATGAAATGTTCAGAAGGGATTGACATTAGTGAAATGGTAACGTTTAAATTGCTATGTGACCGAATGGCAAATGATTTAAAACACTGTAAATTGCATTCGACATCTACACACTCGTTTCTCACTTTTATTGTACACTATTTTCTGAAAAAGGATAAGCAGTTGACAGAATAATAGGCTTCACTATCTTTATGGAACACCGAGATGTTCATGTAAGCAACATAAAAATAAAGATATTGCTTCTAGAAATCTACCTTTACTACTTTTAATTTCTTCACTACTCGTTGCTGAAAAGGTTTGTTATTACATAAGTCACCACATTTGCAACTAGAGGAGCAGGTAGAAAATAACATCCTGCAAAAGAGATATGCATCCGTTATGCACAGTCCATTTGCCTCCCGGATATATGTAAAATATAAAACACCCTTCATCAACATATGAGATTAAGAACCCATTAAAAAATAATTAAAATCAGTACATCAACCAAAAGTTTTCATTTTTCATGTAATCCTGATTACAGCAGAGGATAGAAATGTGTGCCTTACTCGCAATGGCAATCCCCAGAACAAACAGATGATGAGCCAGGTGAAGGATTACAGGAGCAGAATATGCCATCATCTTCCATACGCCGTTTTGTGAGGTAGACGTCTTTAGATGTTGAAGGCAAAAACGAAAAGTTTCTTACACAGAAAAAGAAATGTGCTAGGAAGCTAACCTTGCTTGCCACTACGAAGGCAATAACTTTGTTATACAAATCATAAGTGACCATGCAACAATTAGCTGCCCAGAAGTAGTGGGCAAAACTTGTGAGCACTGATGAAGGGAGTCTTAGAATTTTATATTTAAACAATCTTATACAGCAGAAAAATCAGAGGCAGTGCGGATCATCTCAGCATTCTTCTTTCAGTTATTCCTACGTTGATGGTAATGCTTTTCTTCTTAGAATGATATCCCTCCATTAAAATGGCTGGTTTAGCCCTCATTCTATAAAATGATTAATGTGAAGTAATGAGAAACAAGGCGATCACAGCATACTCAAGATGTTGCTCTCTTAACCTGGTAAAAGAAACCATACAAATCTCCCTCAATTACCTCTCCTATGCTTCAATTACGTAGGTATTAAAGCTCATACTTTATTGCCTAAAAGGATATGATTATCATTTCTCCTTATTTCTATCGCAAAAGTTACAAATCAATGATCCTGAAGTTTTACTGTTCTCAATGTCCTATCTCTAAGGTTAGTTCTATGGTTCCAGGTTATATATTAAACTACGCTAGGTAATATCGTTCCTTATCACACGATCCATAAATAACAAACATGACGATGCTTCCATGTTGATTACACGTGTTAATTAATTGAGAAAAAGGAAAAAAAGAAAAAGGATGTTACTTAATCAAAACAAATTATAAATAGGAAACTTTCATACCATTATAATGACTTTCACATACAATGCATGATGAAATTTATACAATTTTTTGACGCCATTTTCCTTTTAATTTTACCTCAAGAGATATTTTGGCAATCTCTTCACGAAGGTTCGGAAACACCAGATTTCAATTAACGTAGAATAGTGTAAGTAATAAAGAGGGAGGGAAAGGCAATTCACATATCAAAGCAGTAGGAAATCGTTTGTTTAACTTTCCTCTTACAAAGTATTTAAGCTTCACTTTTAATACACACCACATCACCGTTCTCTGCTTGTCTCCTAGCTTAACAATATATGTACCCTTTCTCCTTGTCTGAGCTCAACATTTCAAACTAATCCTTGCAAGCATTTACATTTATCTTGGTCGTTTGTTCTCTGAACTTTGTTACTGGATTTTTATCCTTGAGTATTCTATTTCAACATTTTTGCTATTTTTCACTCCTACAGGATCCTAAAAACCATTCTGCCAACCGTATGGTTTCGAATCAGCAATATTGATGGTACTTTTTCAACTGTGTTGAAAGTATGAAAAGGAGAACCCATGGGATTTTAGAATGTGAAGACCGTATCATTGCAATTCTCTCCAAGGGTACACCAAGTAGATGAATAGGTTAAAAATAGTAGCAACCCAAAAGTCTCACAAAGTCCAAGATGTGTGCACCAAGCTTGTGGCTTATTTGAAAGAAACGCATTTCAGATCATCAACGACTTCCAGTCTAAAAAAAAATGTTTGCATTTCTTTTCTCCATATGAAAGTAACCAAATAAGATACCTACATCAAATGAACGTGCTGCACAGAAAATAAATGACAGCAATGAAATGATTTTAGAAAAATCAGAGGCACTGAAAAGAAAACTTCTAGATAGGATACTGCGTTTGATTGATATGTAATCTGTAGGTTTCCATTTCCTAAATGAGTCAGGGAGTTCAAAGTCAACAGGCACGCCGAGCTCCTCTCTGAGAATCCTGTCAAATATGGATTTCATAACACCTGACTCAGGCACCTATATGATCAGAAAATAACAAAGAATGATCAGTTGGAGGCATTAAAATACGCAGACTGTCCGAATACCACATCAGCATAAGAAAATATAAATGTTATTATCATATCCTGCCTTTCACACAAGGTGGTTGAAGACACAGGATGTAAATCCGCCAGTTAGAATTCTAACGCCCCTAGAGTAACGGATATAGGGAAGCTGGTCTGGAGAATCGTCTGTGTGAACCTTGGGATAGAATAGCACACAACGAAATGGCGAAGATGAAAGAGAGAAAGAGCGAGAGAGAGAGGATAGAATAGGATGAGCAGGGAAGGAAAAAAATAGTACCAACAACGAAAACACTTCAGGAGGGGCAACAACAAAACACCAACGCCATTGCGAAGAGAGATGCGATTAAACATCTCCGGAGGTTAAGAGCCGAGCATACCCCGTTATCGCTCTCGTCATCCCTCTCAATCACCGGCATTGCCCTCCCTCTCTTAGACGTCCTAGCCAAGAAGCAAACAGATCTGAAAGAATCTGAGAGGGGGGGGGGCTGCCGAGCCGCCTTCACCAGCCCTCCGAGCAACACAGTCGCAACACAGTCACCAGCCCTCGGGCGGAACGCCGAGGGGATTTGACTCGCCAGATGGAGGGAAATGTCTTGTTCTAAAATTGATTAGGAACTCAAAACATTTAGGAGGAATACTTTTAGGACCCTATAGTTTTTAGATTTATGGTTATACCTTTGATATTTTCCCTTGTGGCGTAAATCTCAAACTTTACCTCCAAGATGGAAATTCGTTCCTTAATCAAACAAAGTAGCTAAGTGCCAATTGGTTAAAATTTCGAAAAAAAATGACTAAGGGGCAGCCCACTATCCCCTCCTACCACACACTAAGTGGGCAATTGTAAATAAATATATCTTGCAAATGCATAAACATTAGTTTGATATTATTTTACAAATAAGTGTTCTAATTTTAATATAGTCACCTCTACATAATTGTATGCTTTGACAGTGCCATTGGTATATAGTAGTAAATTATTCTATAATTTTTTTTAAAAACTGATATATATTTTAGGATGAATTTCATATAACTAGTTCTATCTTGGAACACACTTAAAATTTTACTTTAAAACATTAATTAGAATAAATTGGAAAATTAAATTTCGTTAATATATCATATTTTACATACTTCCTTCCACCATTAAAAGGGTATTAGTATCTTCTGTGAAAACTTGACACCTACAAAAAGTGTATTATTGTCTTCTAAGGAATATTCCTCCTATTTAACCAAACAAACAGATCCTTGGTCTAAAACTAATTAGCTCTAAATTGTCAATGATATTCAAAGAAAGCTTAAGCTCAAAGGTTCTATGTTGCTAGAGATTTAGTCATAGCAAGAGGGTTACAACCACAATAATCAAGCCAAAAAAAAAGGGGTACATGATGACTGGCCCATATATATGGATCTTAAATCTAGAATTAAAACTGAAATATATATACCTTTATTTCAGAATATGCCCTTTGTCCTTTTGTTGTGGATAAATAAATTGCTATTGTATTTATTTTTCTCCCTCTTATTAGCTACATTTGATCAATGTTGATTTCCCTTTTTGTAGCTAAGTTTTATTTTTGGATGTTAAATGTCATATACCATGTATTTCATCATTTTAAATATGTTTTATTTAAAACATAGTACAATAACATATAAAGCCCACAAATTTTCATCTTCATGCACATTCTATACATCTTTATATCTATTAGGGCACAATGTTATTGTTCATCTATTGATGTCTCTTTTCACATCTCTTTCAACATGAGGTGACATCGTGTTTTTATGTATTGCAAATGAAGAGAGTCACAATCCCCTCAAATAACTACAAAATGACTCTTTATATGACCATCATTTCAAGTCACTTTCCTAGAAACGATGTCAAGAAAATACTCATTAATCTATTGTATTCTTCTTTAAAAAAAAATCAATGACTATATATATTCATATATCTTTTATATAAATCTGTCTAAAATCATTACAAAGATTCAAGTATCAATTTTGACCTTCCTGTATAGAGCATGAGTGATACAATACATGATTTTAGATAAAACCTTTCTAGTGGGGGTACTCTAATATGTTTTGTAGTAAGTTGGTAAGTTCTATCTAGATTGATTGCTCTAAACTAGTGAGTATATGATGTATTCAAATTTAAGTATCAAATAAAAACTAAATAGGTTTTATAATTTGGGGCATAACTTCTTTGAGAATGGATGTGTGAGCCTAGATGTATAGGAGCTTCTTCTATTAGTTTGCTGGTTTCATGCTTTTAGAATGGTGTCAACTAGTAGTTTACAAAGTGTGTGATCACTTTTTAAAACTTATGATGAATTAAGATTTTTATAAGATGACATTCCCTTTGAGTTATTTACTTGGAAATTTGAAAAAATATTTCCATTGATCATTACAATGATTATGTTGTATTTTTTTTCTTATAATGCAAATATTTAATGCACAATAATGTTCTTACACTAAGTGAGTCTGCTCATTTCATACAAGAAAGTAGAAAGATATAAAAAAAATGTAAATAAAAATTATTATGAGACTTTGTGAAAGTTTAAAATATCACGATATGATGTTTAATACAAAAGTACTAATGCATCCGTAAGTGTTGAGACTCTTCTTGCCAAGTTAGACTTGATAATGGTGTGCACTCATGAAGACATGCTAAAGTATTAACTACTAGCTTACTCACTAAAACTAGAAATCCAATAGCATTCACACCCAAATTGACAAACTATTTATATCAAAAGGGTTATATCCATCTAAGCATTCAAGCAAAGGAAATGCCTACAATAGTTATGAGCTGAAATACAAAAGAATGGTAATTACTTCACATTCTATATCATACTACAATAGTAATTTATTCATTTGAGTAGAGTAGTCATTTTATTTAGGCCACCTAGATGTAAGTAAATAAGGGATTAGTAGTGTGTTCTGTAGTATTAACTAACCTAGAATTGTGAATTTAGAAGTGATTAATGGGATGCTAATCTAATTTATCTAGCATAGAGTTAAAAATGTAGAAGACACTTTTGTATGTTCAATAGAGGCTAGGTGAAACACTAGGAGAGAAGGGGCTAAATTGGGTTTCTACGATTTTTTATCAATTCTCATTTTCTCCCTTTTTAGTAGATGTGCTAACACTATTCTTTCATGACTATCATGGTTCTCTCTCTCTCTCTCTCTCTCTCTCTCTCTAGCTCACCCTCTCAAAGTGGGTCCTATCGAGGCTCTCTCTTCACCACTAGAAAAACCAAATCTTTTTATATTAGTTCCCCCCTCACCTAGTTAGTTCTAGTCTTAGAGGATCCTTCCTACTATAGTTTACTATTTTTCTTAAAAATACATACTAATTTTTATGAGATCAGTCACCCAATCACAAAATTCTATCTCCTTGGAGACCCTTCCTTTTAAGGGTTCAACCAACTACTAGCATCTCATATTTTTGGCCAAATATCTCTCCCCTGATCACCCAAATACCTTAGGGCCTGATGGAGAACATTAGCATTTGAGATAGAAGTTTCTTAGATCACCAAAGTTGAGTGAAGATCGAATGCAAAGTTATGTACTCTAATAAAGCTCAAGGTGATTGAATCTTTAAAGAGATGTGTAGATAATCATTGGTGAGATCTATATTATCTTCCTAAGTTTTTTCCTTTAGACAATTATCGTTCTCTAGTCATTTTTCATTCTAAGACATGGTCATCCAATTTCAAAAATCTTATCATTGTTTAGAATGCATGTCAACGACCTCTATCTTTTTCATGATTCAAAACTTTCCATTCTCTTCTGCATTTATTTTGAAATTTAAATTGAAGATTTTTTTCTTGTCAAAAAATAATCCTACTATTGAGGCCAAGTTAAAATAAACACGTTTGGTTTGTTACTATCTCCTTGTAAGCTTTCGACATGTCATAATCTAAATTATAGGTTATGACTCATGTATGACTTTGATATTTTGTGAGTTTTAAAATAATTTTTTATGTAAACTTTTGATATGTCATTGTCTAGATTCCAAGTTTGAGACTCATGCATAACTTTGATCTTTTGTGAGTTTTAAAATATTTTATCACATAATTTTATGACGTGTCATCATTCAAATTCTATGTTTGAGACTTGTGTATGACTTTGATATTAAATTCATATACTTAGACTTGGAATTTAAGATTCTGCTTTTTGAGATCAATCCTAATGTATATATATAATAAATTAATTTCAATTATTATTTTATTAAATTTGCTTGTTAGCCATAGTATCACAAGATCATTAAACATCAAACATATTGAATAATCTTATAAATATTAAACATTTAATAAATTTTTCTCATCATATATAAAATTTAATAAATATTCAAAATAAAATCTTCATATTGTGATATTAAAACCAATGACAACAACAGCTTTTGGAGTGAAATATTTAATTTGATTGGAGTTATTAAATTGAATGGTTGGCTTACTAAAGAATTGGTATTCAATGTAAATAACTACAATCTAGTGGAACTGAAACATGTTATTTTTAGAAAGCAAGTATGTTAAGTAAGCTGAACCACTATAAATGATGTTTGAGTAAATTTATAAAAATATTCACAAATTATTAGTGATCATGAAAATGATCAATTCACTTATCCTGATTTTTTTGCTACCATGTGAACACTAATGATCTAGTTGAACCTAGGGCTCGAGACCTTAGAGAGTGGATGTAGGTATGCAAGACTGAACCACTATAAATATTTAGTATAGTTTTATTTGGAATGTATTCTAAAAACTTTTAAATTCATAAAAGAAATAAACTTTATCAATGCATCCCTCCCTCTTGATATTGTGCTGCCACCAAGAGGCCAACACCCATGAGAATACTTCAATTTATTGATAATATACTAGTATGATTTTCTAGAATTAATAGATATATATTTTTGTGATATTTAGTGCTTTATTTATAATATGAAAGGAGTCAACTTGAGAGTAGACGTGCATGTGTTCGTGTGTGTGTGTTTCTGTGTGAGAGAGTGTGAGTGAGTGAGTGAGTGAGAGAGAGAGAGAGAGAGAGAGAGAGAGAGAGAGAGAGAGAGTATATGTAATGTTTATATGTGCTAAAAGTTACTTTATTCTGCCAAAATTATCTTATGTGAATTATAAATATTTTTATAGAATTTTAGAAATTTTTTCAGTAAATTTTCATGTTTATGCATCTCAGTAACTTAAGAGTTTACTATATAAGGAAAAAAACTCTATAGTACTTTTGTTGAAATCCCCAAGCATTGTTTACCATAAAAAATTTAGAAAACCAATAAATATCAATTATAATGAATTTCATCTCCGAAGTTCAAGCTGAGAAAAAATCATTTAATAATATAAATTAGCATCTCCATTTAGATCATTCAATAATATAAATTAGCATCTCCCTCTAGATCATTCAATAATATATATTAGCATCTCCATCTAAGTCATTCAAAGTTGTCGATTCCATAAGTTTCTTTCACATCTCCAGGCTAAGAATTCATGATGTTAAAACTATGAGTTGACTTATGATACTATATTTTTCCAAAGTTGTATTTATTTCTAGTTGAGTATTTTAGTATTATAGGTGACCTAACTCATTTAGTAGATCAACTAGAGGTTGTGAATCTAGATAAAGCACATCTAGGGAAAACTTGAGATGATTGGACCCATGAAATCTAGTGGTTGTTAGTTGAAGACTTATTGTTAGCATTTATACCACTTCAATTTAGTGGAACATGAGGAATGGATCATTTTGGAATGTATGTGACATAGGCTAAACCACTATAAATTCTAAGTGAGATAATTTTGGGAGAAAACTAGAAGTTCATCAATGATTTAATAAGGCTAAGGTTGGGTAGAACAATGACTTAAGCATGTACTATTTTTGAAAATCAAGATAAAATCAATGACTTAAGCATGAGCCCAATAGTTTCTATCTCAAGATAAAATCATATCAATCATATTGATGATCACTATATAAAAGAATGGGTAAATACATGTTGGAATTGAAAAATAAAAGGACACTATGAAAGATCTTGGGTCTTCTAGTTGCTGATGGCTATTTTACTTGATGGTAGATATAAAAAATAATTATTTATTTAAATACCAAAGTGATGATATAGCTATTACATTGTGCATTCGATTCATTTTAATGTTCTTGAATATATTCACATTGACTGCTAAATGAATATTTAATTTAATTCAATTTAATTCTAAATAAAATGTCTCTTGACAAATTCCCATAAGGATATGAAGTTGGATTGAAGAAAAACATTGACATTAAATCATCCAAAAAAAAATAATCTTGGATTAAAAGCACATGGTTGGAACACTGAATGTGGAATGAAAATTTGGAATTTAGTTTGAATGCCCAAATAATTGATAAAAAAATCTTTGAAAAATAAGAGGAAGATAAACGCATTGAATGTGGGAAACAAGGCCATTAAGGGCAACCATTGTGGCTTAGATCAATGAAGAGACATCAAGCTTTGAGCCATCTTTAATTTTGACTCTTCTCTATGTTAAGAGGGAAATAATCACAAAGTGATGGAGATGCACCATTGAAAATATATGTAATTATTTAACATATGGTGTGCTTAAATAGGCACATTCAAAGCAAAGGAGTTGGAGAGAGGCTTCTAGTGATGTATAATATTCTGCCCTCTCCTCCACCTGTGGGCTTCTAAATGGGAACCACCACTAGCTGCCACGTCACCAAGATGTACTTAAGCAGTGCCCCCTTCTTCATATGAAATAAATGAATGAGGCATAATTTACACGCATTTTTATTTAACTTGGAGTGAAATAAATGAAATAATAAAGCCGTTCAGCTGCAGTCTTCAGAAACAATAAATTATTATCAATAATGTTTTTAAATATTTTAATTAAAAGCAACTGCATGTAAATTCTTCTCGCCGATGGACCGTCGGATCCGCGATCCCTTCTCTCCCCAGCCGGTCTCGTCCGACCGACAAGACAACCGGATTCGGGACTTTATATGCCTTAAAAAAGAGGGCAGCCTCCTCCCCACTCTCCTCCCAAGTCTTCCCATCTCGGCCGGGATCCCGAGGATTCTCTCTCCGTGGCGGCGCTGTTCCTTGGGGGAGAGGCGCCGCCGCCGCTGGCTGCAGCATCACGGCAAGGAGGGAGGGCGGAGGCGAGGCGCGGGAATATAGTAGGGAGGTCGCAAAGCAAGCGCACGTGGTTTTGCTTGGCCTTGGAGGAGAAGGCCCCCTTCCTCTCCCCTACGACACTCCTCTCCGCGGTGTGGCATCAAAACCAGCGCCGGAGCGATTGATGGCTGCTTGATGCGGTGGATCTGCGATTGCGTCGTCATCGTCGGCGGGGTTCCTATGAACGGCTGGAGCGTCTGAGTCTTTGTGTAAAAATTCTCCTTCCGCGCACAGGAAGAACTTGTCTATCTGTCCCTTGATCCGCGATGGATTTCTTCAGGTCCGTCTTCTCAGGCGAGGAGGAGGCGGTGCAGGAAGCTGGCGCGCCGCCGGACGGTAATCATGGCGGCGCCGAATCGAATTCTAGTTCCCTTGGTGGAGAGGGTAGCGCATGGGGCGGCTTTGGGAGTTTGATCAAGACGCTGGCCTCTAAGTCAGAGTCGGTTATCCAGACATACCAGCGCGATCTGCAAGAGTTCGGATCGGGTTTCCGGGTGGAGGCGGCGGCTATCCGCGAGGTTATCAAGGACCTCCCCAACGCACTTGAGGCGGGTGCCTCCGTTGCTCAGGAGTCCCTTGAATCTGTCGGACAGGTCATTGACGACTTAGGCGACTCCGTCTGGCGTGGGGCAACCGACGTCATCGCCCACAGTAAGGATGCGATCCTCTCTATAGATTCCGACTTCGCAGAGCATGCCGGCTCCTCTCTGGGTGCTTCGACGCAGAGTCCCGTCATCGACAGTGGTGGCACAACAAAAAAATACAACAGATTTGAGGTGAAAGTCATGTCGTTACAGTCCAATCCCGGAACATTTACTGAAGGCCCGGAAGATGCTGAGGACTTGGGGATGTGGGCTGCGGATTTCCAGCTTGGAGAAAAGGAGGAGGAGATCGAGAGCCTCCTTGCGGAGAACGAAGCCCTTGAGGTTAATCTTGAGAAATTAGTTCCTGTCCATCTTGATTACGAAACCTTCTGGACCCGCTACTTCTACAAGGTCTACAAGCTCAAGCAAGTGGAGGATGTGAGGGCTGATCTTGTGAAGAGGGTTTTAGTTGAAGAGGAAGAGGAGCTTAGCTGGGAAGTAGATGATGATGACTACGAAGAAGATGGAAAGGAAGAACAGCAAGGCAGACAAGAAGGGTCAGAAAAACAAGAACAAAGAAATGAGCAGGTGAGAGCGGAGGAAAATTCGCCCTCTCCATTATCAAAGGAAGAGAACGATCAGATGCAGAAACCTGTTAGTCGAGATAGTCCAAATGAGAACTCTCAGGTCAGCAATTCCGGTGAAGTTGCTTCTGTGTCATCTGGAGATGATAATGCCTCTAAGATCAATAATGTTGCTTCTAAACTGGATGATCAGATTCTTCATGAAGCTGAGGCGAAGCCAGTTGTGTCTGTGCCAAACCAGCCATCTACTCCAGATGAAGATGATCTTGGGTGGGATGAGATTGAGGATCTTGGCGAGGATGATGACAAAAAGATTAGTGATTCTGGTGGCAATCTGAATGATGCTGCACTGCGAAAGAGGCTGAGCACTACAGAAGAGGAAGAGGATCTCAGCTGGGATATTGAAGATGATGAGCCCATCAAAGATTGATCCATGTGTTGGCACGAAACTCTCACAATATTATGGTACCACCGTTCAGCTTTTTCTTTTTTTTCATTGAAATGTATTCGTCTTCATGTTGCAGGGATGCCTACTTAATAATCATGTCATGTCTAATTGTAGATATTTACATGTATATCTGCATATTCCTGAATCAAATCAGGATCTACTACTATCCCGCTTCCCTACTATTTTACTGGTCAACCTGATTTCTACTTGAGAAGAAAAATCTGGTTAATCCCTGTCTGAAGTGCTTGCCAAACTTGGAGAAAAAGGAGTTTTTTTTTTACTTCAACCTTGTATGGATAGCAGTTGTCCAAAAGACTGTGATAGAATTTCTGGCCTGGAGTTCTGTTTAACCACTGGGTTGATTCCTTTTTTATAATATTATTCACTTCGGAGAGCGGAGAAAGCCCATCTAGCTTGACAGTTCTATCGATGAATTACAGCTACAACTTAGTGTCCCAGGATGACAGAATAAAGAGATTCATTTATCTTATCCGACGTTCAATGAGCTTCAGCTACTAATTCATTTATGAAAGCTAGGATCAGATCAGATGGGTGGATTGGCTGCTCTCGATCTCTTCCTGCTCATGATTTCGGACGCAGATTGAGTCAAGAGAAGAGGGCATTCTAATCCCATACACATAGTACACAGAATTGGCCAACACTGATTGTGGTCAGCATTGCATCTCCATTTAAGTCTTCCTTTGGATTGCCGGTCTACCTGTAGTCAATCGAATTCTGAATGGGCCTATTTTAGTCAATGAGCCAGAGTGGCTTTAAGCCCAGTCTTTCACCCATTCTTGACTCGCAGATTGTGAGAATTCATTCTGTGTTTCCAACCAGGTGCCTGAATGGGGCTAGAAAAATCTTGGGCCCGACCCAGTTTCTTTCGGGCCTGAATAAAAAATCCAGCCCCTGAAGTAGACTACGCCAGTTCAGACTGCCCCACAATTACCCTGGCTATTGCCCCTTTCTCTCTCCTTCTCCTTCCTTCCCTCTGTCCATCTGTCTCTGTCTGTGATTTGAGGAACCTTCATTTATTGCCATCTTATGTAATTTGAGGCTCAGCTCAGTCTTTCTTTCAGACCTGATGCTTACAGTCAACCTTCATTTATTGCCATCTTATGTAATTTGAGGAATTACATCCGAATATCTTCAAACTCTCATCTGATATCATCTTATTTCCCAAAACATGGGAAATATGAGCGGGCAGAAATAGAATTGAATGATGGCACTAAAGGGAAGGAGAGTTTACAGGAGGAATATGCCGCCTCTGCTACCAAAACGGGAAGAGGGGAGGAGGATTGGTTCCTTGTAGCTCATGAAACATGAAGGTTCTGTATCTCAACTTTAAGTAGCTGGAGTTTCTTCTCGACCTCTTCCAGCTCCTGTTGGACCTCTGCTAGCCTGTCTATTCTATGCTGGGCCGCTTCCTGGTAGGGCTTGCCGACCGTCTGCACAAATTCCCTCTGACTTTCCAAGGCCTGGGAGAGATCCTTCTGCATGGCTGCCTCGATCTCGCGCGCCAAGGAGTCTGCTATCCTTCTCACCTTCGCCACTGCCTCCCTCCGCCGTGCCGGGAAGTTGGACATTGCAAGTAGTCTGCACAGATATATTGCAACCTATCAAGTATGAGGCGGTTTCCTACAAGAGAATTTATTACTGAAATGTTTATAACTTGGGTAATTTTTCTGTCAAATCACTGATATTACAGGGAAAAATCTCCACATACAGACACACTCTCTCTCTCTACCTCTATCTCTCTCTCATTCATGACCAAACAAATCGAAGGAGAAAAACCCAGGAAAAAAAAAAAAAGAAGATCAAAAGAATGATGCATCTCTCGTTTGGGAATTCTTTTGGCAACTAAACTATTTCCGTCATGAATCTGTGTTTTTTTTTATGTGCTTAGACTACGAAACTTCTTTTCTTTTTTTAATATCTAATTTCCGATGAAAGCAACGGAACTGGCAATGCGGTCCAAAAAAAAGAAGGCGAAGATGAACTGAGGGTCAGCCGGGGGTGGGAATGAACGTTACCCGCCAGAAGCGCAGAATGTCAGTGCAAGGAGATCTTCCGCTGTCGTAGGCAATACAGAGGTAAGAAGTGAGGCAGAGAGCCCGGCAGCCCCCAGTGCGCCAAAGGTCCCCAGAACCTGAAACACAAGGAAGGCACAAAAAGAGAAGGGTTTTAAGCGCCCAAAGGACCAAACCATTTTCCAATCTAGAGAGCACATTCTTCCAGATACTTGGGCAGGAATGCAATACAGTAAGGGATTATAGGCCATGGAAACCAGTCTCATTGCAAATAGTTATCAAAGTTTCCCCTATCCTCACTGCCTTTATCTGTTCTCCTTGCACCAAACTAACTGCTCGGCAGTAGAGGCTGATACAAAGAAGGAAGGAGATTACACCACCAAGCTTTTGCATGTTAGACACGCTTTCACTTCCTTTCTTTCTGTATAAAATCATTCACATCTTTGGTACCTAGTAGTTCATGGCAGAGATTATTTTGAAGAAAATTCAGTGAATGCACCTAAGTCTTTCATCATTTCTATATATATACCCCCCCCAACAGAGTGGGAATCGCTAAGGCAGGATGACCCCTATTTGGAGCAGTTCGTACACTCTCTCACACAATCTTTCCACCAGATGGGATAGCCTTTTTGCCTACGCATGCCAGTCCACATGATTTGACAGAAAATCAAAGAAAGAATGTTCTTCATCCAAGTCGTATGGCTACTTTTAGTAAATAAATTATTGTTCAAATTCTCAGGATGAACAGAAGCTCCTTCCCTGTTAGCTTTCTGCACTCTTTTCCCATTTCAGCAAAGGGTGCTTTTAGAGATACCTGAGGAACAGAAATAGCCAATCTGGTTGCGCAAGAGAGAGTTTTGAGCATCTAGAGCTCAAGGGAAGCAAAGTTTGTATGCCAGACTAGGTAGTTCTTGGGAGAATGTAAGCTAAACTTTGATTTTTTCCCCTCATTCATTCACAAGATGAGAACTCGTTAGAAGGCTTCCCAATTTACGATTCTTTGAAAAGGATCTTAAAGAAAAATCACAAAAATGCTTCTTCGGTCTGTCTTTTCATCTTCAATCACCCCGCCACTCACCTAGATAAAATTATAAAAGAATCTGCCTCAATTAATTGCACCTAGATTTCTTATGCATCTATGAACCCGTTTAAGCTTGCAGGGAAAATCTGTGATAGTTCATCTTCCTATTTTCAAATCCTTCACCTATAATCTCTGGTTAGTGATGATCTAGAACACTTCAGCTTACAATTGACTTTACCTCATCAATGCCTATGGACGAGTTCTTTTCTTTCGGATGAATCACATATTCCTGCTGTGATGATATCGTCAAGCTTCTTAAGAAGAAAGAAAAGAAAATGGTGTACATCCGGATTCTAGATGGTAGTAAGAGTCTCGAATGATCTCTACCTCCATAGCATGACTCCAAGATCCTTTGCGTAGATGCAGACAATCATCAGCCATAAATGGATAGATACTAGATATTGGGCAGCCAAAAGACAGATAATAAGAGGTGGGAAGAAGATTACAGAAAGATAGAAATCGTTGGATTGGACTTACCACTTCTCTGATTTCCTGCTCAAGAAGCCTTGCAGCAGCGCTAGAACTGAAATCACTGGTCACTTTTATGCTGAGCTCCTCCCCTCGCTTCATCAAATCGAGGGTCTCCAGAAGCACTCGATTGTTATCATGAGGGGGATCAGACCCCTTTTTTTCAAGCGAGTCAAGGTAAATCTGCCCCTCACGAGTCATGCTTGACTGTAGCCACAGCAGATATTCTCTCACTAACGTCTGGAAAAGATGAATTCTTAGAAAGAAGACAATATAATCACACAACATGAACTGTTACACAACATTCAAGCAGCATCGATTTACATAACAAGCGATTAGGGTGAAGGAATTTCACATATGATTTGATGTCAGAACTGCAAGTGGAAAAAGGGCAACCTTTGGATTGGATTAAACACACCTATCAGATTTTCTTTTCTTCTTTTTTCACTTCAATTTCATATTTTTTATCTATTTAATCTTGAATAATATGGACCAATAAATGACAATCTTCAGATTCAGGTGAACCTTAGGTTGAGTAGTACCCTTGGTTGGCATCTGATAATATTCAAAAATAAATGCAGAAAATGTAGAGAGCAGCAGTGGTGGCTGGCCTGTGACGATCAGCATGCAGAAATGCAAAAATGGACCTGCCATAAAGTCAACTCAAGAAAGAAGAGGTCACCTTTGTTTCAGCAAGTGCAGGGCTGATAATCTCATTCTGAATCACAGAAGTAGAAGAGATTGAGCTTGACCTCTCTCCTTTGAAAGCATACGTGCTGATAAGATCAATATTTGACAGCTGAAGAGTCGACTCAACGAGCTTCACAGCACGAGCTTTTGCCTTCTCAACCTGAAAGATTTTAAATCCTTCCATTAAACAAACACAAACGATTTCAACCATACTAAGAACACAAAGGGTATATATCCTTGAACAGACCAGTGAAACGGTCCGTTTCGTCCAAGAAATGCTTTCATTCTCCATCTTCATCGCATAACTCTTTACACTGCCGATCAAATCATTGATGGAGGACAGATCGTTTGTGGCACATTCATATTCGTGCTTCACTTGGGCTTCGCAAGCCGACAGCAATCTGTCTGCGATTCCGATCGGCGTGTTGAGCTTAAGCTTCATTCTTTCCATTCCAGTATCTGTCGATCCATCCAAGAAGCTGTACAAGAAGTCTTCTAGTTCGCGGAATCCGCTCGTGACCCATCGAGCATCGTCCAACAAGACTTGTTCAGAATAGTTCCCAAGATCCGACGACGAGGCCGAGAGCTTCGCCTCCAGCGCAGATCTTGCAGAAACGGGGTATATCGTCACGCTTTCTTGATTCAGAAACCTTCTTGCATTTTCTTTCACAAAGGCAAGACCTTCCTCAAGCTACATCAGAAAAGATAAAACGATATGACTTCAGAAAGGAAAAGTCAACTAGAAGTTCTATGAAAGAACTTGTGTAAACGTTTCGATCTGAACTCGTGTAAATGTTAAACCTCACTGTTATTCTGGTATAGATCTGATTTGTTCAAGACAAACAGGACCTTTTTCTTCCACTGTTGCATATAACGAAGAAAATTAACCTGAGAAAAACATCAAGACGAGCATAGGGTGAGCAAAACTGCCGGTGGAAAGCAAACAAATTATTTCCTTATATCGTAACGATTGAGATATTTGCTTCAACCACAAAATTGAGCAATAAATATAAACATGCCGTGTGCATGAATAAAAAGTTTTTTCTTCTGATGTTAACATCCTCTAGCAGCTAAATGTTTCCTTTCAAAACCAGAGAGAAAATGGATCATATCATGCATGAGATTCAAGACGAACGGCTCTGACATCAATGCAATTATGTAAATTAATAATAAAAAACCACTGCCTTTAGAAATTAAAAAAATGAGCGATTGTGGCATGTAAATCCAACAGACGACGGAGATCTCAGAAAAGATTTTGGATGAACAACCCTAAAGAGGAAAGGAGAACTAGTAATTAATTCTTGTTATCTTTAACAGCTGTTTAAACAGGAGGCTAAGAGAAAGTGTGGGTCTAAATTCCCATCATGCTCCAGATATAACGGGCATTCAGACTCAAGAGCAACCCTACTTGTAAATCTTGTTGAAGCAATAAGTATATTAAGCATGTGAACAAAGAAGAAATTTGGTACGATTTTGGAAACTCATGGTTGACTTCCCATTGTGCCCAGAAAAGCCAAATCGGAAGGCTTTCAACTTCAGTATATTAAGCCAAAGCATATTTTTTTCTACATTTTTTTTTCTCCATATTAGCTCTTCGGACATTGAAACGTGTATTTGTGACCGGTATACTTCCCTTTTTCCCACTACTGGCTAAAAGGGACGTAAGAATCTCTTCCATATTACATCAAGAGACGACTTTCGGTCACTTCACTATAGAGACCTAAATTTTGGCATCCAACTACGTATAATGTTTTATCAAGTTGTATACCATCATCTTCAAGAAGCATTCTTTGAAGCATGTTCTTCCCCTGTATAATGTTGCATACCTTAACTACATGTCTCCAAGCATGGTGTTTACCCCAGTAGTAATTCGAATTGATGTTCTAGGAGGTCAACCATGGTGTACTAGAGTTTGCAATGAGAGGCACAGTGGAGATGGTGAGTACATAGGACATTTGAGAGAGGATCCGAAGCTATTCGATAACAAGTTAGAGACCAGTTAGGAGTGGTCTTGAAACCAGCTTAGTTATGGACCAAAGCCCACTAATTAGTGACCATAGCCCCATTTAGGGTGGGAAGGATATAAGATTCGTCTCTAAGAGCCCCAAGGTTAGGCTCTGAAAAGAGCATTTTCCTTTCTATCTCTGTCAAGATGATCAAACTTTGCAGACGTTCTTTCCTGCTGTAGCTTTGTGTACGGTCGAATTGCCCCTTATGGGTCGAATTGGCGTCCTGTTCTTCTCAATGGGGAATCTTCATGAAAGTCCAAAGCGGGAGATCCTGAATATGCAGCTCTAGAGGGGTTTTTCATTAATCCAACCAAAAAAATGTAGAGCAAATGCGCCAGCAATCCATTTTGAAAAGATAATTACTAGCATGAAGAGAAGAGAGAATACAAACAAATTCAAATTAACGCACCACAGATCAGAGTACATTCATGATAAGAACAATGAAACTTCTGTGATGGTAAAACTGAAATAAGCATACCTCACTTTCAGTTAAAGGTCTGTCAGATGATAAAGCAAAAATAACCAGATCTGCACGAGGCACAAACTCTTCTGTCAGGCGTTGTTGCCTCTGGAGTATTACATTTGTTCCCGGAGTGTCAACCAGGTTCATCTGCAAATGAAGTCAGAAATCAAAGCTTCAAATAAAAATAAGCCATATTTTCAGATATCTTTCCTAATCAGAAGAAAAAAAAACAAGCTACTGAACTAATTGATCCTATTTTTGATCGTGATCATGCATGTCCTTTTAAAATCAATACAAAATTACGCAATTAAATATTTTCTAGAGTTTCAGCTAAAGTATGCTTTACAATCCAAAAAAAAATAAATGTTAGTCGAAACATCAATTTATGAAACCTCAAGCAAACGTCAGCAAGATCAAACGAAGGATTTAAGATCTTGAAGCTTTCAGACTAGCTTTCTGACCTTACATCCACTTCAACAAGATAAGTTAGGCACTAGTCATAGCAGATTCAGCCCATAATGAATCTCAAGGTTTTCCAAAGCATGGTACCTGTAGAGAAGTCACTAATTCAATATGCAAAATAGAAGAGAAGACTCTCTGAATCTGGATCTTTTCAAGACCTGATAAGATCAGAAGATCCTGATATAAGGGAATATTCATCCTTTTGAGTCAACTGAGCATCTCAGCGTCGGGATTGAATACCCGGATCAAATCACAGTTCACGCTGCCCGCCCTGAACAAAGAGGAGGCGTGGGCCACAGGTCGCACATGAGCCACCGGTAAACATGAAGAAATATATCCTCTTGGAAGGATATCTTAGAATTATTGTCGTCATTAAATATTCTTGTTATATCTTTTTATGTGAAAAACAGTTTTTTTCATGTCTCTTCCCAATGTCAACTCTCTTGCAGCTACCTCCCCAAAATTAGAACTCCGGGAAGTGGCTAGGCGAGGAAGGTCACCCCTTCCCTCCAGCAGCTTTTCCCCACCCAAACACTCTCTTTTCATCTGGCGTCCCACAGCCCTCATCCCCCGCAGCACCCCTAACAAGAAGAAGCTCTTTATGTCCCTCGCCCCAAACTGGCCTCAACCGAGCTAGGCACAACCTGGGCCTAGCCCAGCTCACTAACACCAGTCCAAGAATTGGTAAGGCATGCTTTTCATTTTTCCCTAATGTTCTTTATTGTCTCCAAAACTTGTCCGTTGGCAGGCAAGTGCATGGCTTGACAAGTCCATGTCAATCTGGTTGATGCATCTATTACAATGGTCAGGTGAGTAAATGTTTCCCTCTTACTCTTTTCTATTAGCCAGGATCAAGATTATTTAATGAGGCAAATATCAGTACGGGTTATATGAAAACAAAATCCCTTTTCGCACAAGATAATCCAATCAGCATCCAACGAATTTCTATACTCGAAGTCGTTGCCATCAACGTGCATGTTGCAGAAATGAGAAATACAGAGTTCAATATAAACCAGTCAACTCAGGAATCCTGAAATATGAAGGTGACATAGCTTAACGTTTTTTCTCACAATAGCCAAAATTTATAGAGACGGTTACATTAGATGTCCGCACAACATCTAATAGGCATCATTCAGTTGATTTTCAGTAATATTCACCAAGAAAATACTTCAGACTGGTTCTACGGTGAAAGCAAGTAGAACGAAATTCCAGGGGAAACTTCAGGCCAGATTACATCAGTAAGCCTAGCATAAATGTAACAAAGTAAAGTCAAGGAAAACTGTATTGCGCAACGATAAGAGTTGAAACGACAGAGGGTGAAAAAAATGGCAGCAGAGACACGAGGTACTGAATTAAATATATATTCATATAGATGGCCAGAATTTCGGATATACTGACCTCCTTCAGGATCGGTGCAGGTAAGTAACAAATAAATTGACCATCCGGATGCATTTCACATTTCTCTGACTTTTCTGTCTCAGAATAACACAAAAGAGTGATCTCATTAGTTGTAGGAACTACCCCTTCTTTGAGATATCTTCTTCCAAGAAGTGCATTGATGATAGTTGATTTCCCCGAGTTAAATTCGCCCTAGGATATGATAAAAAGGGAAGAGGAATTAAATGTAAGAATAATAAATTAAGCCATAAGGAAAGAACGGCCATTACGAAATCTGCATTTCAGAATATCCTTTAATTAATATTTGAAATTAAAATCAAAGTAACCAATATCAAATTCTTTCTTCTGATTATGGTGACGATTGAGGAACTACATAGAAAACATTGGACTGTACAGTAAGGGCTGTCGAAACCAGCTTCTTAATAAGCCCTGTTGATAGAGAGCCCTAGTACCAAAGAACATACTGTAGCCAATCACCCATTTATTTTGGGCTGGAAGTGAAAGTTACACAGCTATAGTGAAGATGAATCTTTTTTGAAACAGCACTCAGCAAGCTATTATTTGTTTTGTTTAAATTTCAAGAACTAAAGATGGAATAACGATCTTGAATTTCTTTCTTACAAAGGGAGTCCTGAGATTAAGACCCACGATAATAACAGAAAAGAAATCTTATCTTGGTAGTGAAAGAAAAAGGTCCAAAAGGACTCTCTTTATTTGTTTTTCGGCTTAAAAATAGGAATCTGGTGAACTAAAACGAGTGCACAAAAGTAAACTACAAGTGGGGCGTAGGTAGAATATAGGATTTCAACACATCTTTTTGGAAAATGCCTGTGGACCTGGGTAGACGAAGAGGAAATGCTGTAAAGACTAGTAAAGAGAAGACATTACAAATGGATCATGTCCTCTGGGAGCTCCTGAGTTTTCAAACAAGACTTTCTTCATACTGGAGAAACGTCCAAGCAACAGATGTTACAATCATAGTGAAGGAAAATCAATTCGCTTTCTGGATGAGCACTAGCCCAAATATGAACACCTCACAGTTGACTGCAAAAGCAGATGTAATGGAAAACCAACTACAAGATCGTATATCAAGTTGGAGGATAGGGAGTATTCTTTCGTCTTAGATGAATACTGCTGGTGATGAGATTCACTGAAATACAATTGAAAATTTTACAAGGAAGCTAAATTCAAACTATTAATTAATAGAAAAGAGGCCAGCTCCAAGTCAAAGTATTTCTCAGAGGTCATGACGACGTAGGCTTCACAGTATGGATGAAAAATCTCGTTTATATTACGAACTGCAAACAAAATCAAATGTTACTCAAGAAAGTTGCTTTGAAGAGACTACTCATTTTTCCAATGATTTAGACAAGAGGTTCAATCATGCTAAAATGATTCATCCGTAACCTGCAGAATCCTACAGAAGTCAATGGATCATTCAGCAAACGTGATGGCATGATAATAATCTAGAAACATCCATCAAAGACGCCGTAACATTCATAGAATCAAGGTATAGGGGATTTCAGTGCAATCATCTGGGGCATGAAAAAAAAATGTAACCATGCAACCACTGGTGACATAATTATCCAGTAAATTAAAGGGGAAAATACAGAAGAGATTCTTATAATCAACAGCATCAGAGATGGAAATGAGATGATTAGAGCTTCTAATACTGATCCTGAACATTTCTAGACGAGTGGCTGATTTTCCCTTTTTGTTAGAGTGCAGGATTGTTTAACTTAAGTTTTTGTTTCTTCCTGACCTCAAAATCTGCATCAGGGAGGGGGGGAACCAGTGAATATCCTGCCGGACATGTATGCCCTTTTTTGGTCTTTTCAATGAACAATAACTTATTAACATATTTTCAAGGGAATTCTTCGTAATATAATCAGAGAAAAAGTGTAACGTTAATGTGGTGACACTTTTTAGTCGGTAATGATCGGAAATATCTCACTTACAACTATCACCATCATGAAAGGCTCATCAAGTCGTGAGACAGCATCCTCAAGGAGTGAAACCTCATCCATCTGCAATCAAAATAAAATATCAAACAGCTCAAATTCCTGTGTAAGTTGAAAGTTAGTAATAAAGCATAATGAATATCATATGAAGGGCATCTTCAACTACCAAATTTCAGCATTAAAAGATCACCAGTGGTGCAGCTTTACGGATGACTTCAATCGCCTCAAGCAAAAGAACTCTTTCTGCTTCTACAAGTTCAATCTCTTTGTCATCAAGCTTGGTAAATCCAGCCACCAATGGCTTTCCTTCTATTGAAGTTCCCTCTTCATAGTTGTGTGAATTTCGAGATTCATCTTGAATACTTATATCCAGTGCCTGTGGATTAGAGAACATAGCTAAGGTCTCGTACATGAACATCTTCATATCATCCATCGAAAGAATGACTCCACTTGCCCCCAACTGAAGCAAGTTTGATGCCACATCAGATGGTGAACCTTCTTCAGACCAGTCCACAATATCCAAGAAAATGGGCACCTTAATATTCTGGATTGCAATACAGTCTACAAGAACTTTGTCATAACTTTTTCTATCTAAACTGAATATCAGCAGATCAGCACCTTCTGAGGCTGAGGCAGTTATTGCTGCACCAGATTGTTGCACATTTCTTCCCACCAGTGGCAGAAGCACAGATTCAGCTCTAGAACCCGTCAACATATTTCTTGCCACGATCACAGGAAGCCCTGAATATAGAGTGGCAGGAAAAATATATCATTTTTCACTTTTTGGGGCACATTTTATTCTAAGTGGAAAATACAGTGATGTCTGGTTCATTATACAGAGCAAAACATAGATAACGTCATTAAGATTTGCAGAAGACGAGAAACAGAACAGGCATCACAGATTCAAGTTTAAAGGCAAAAAGAGCAGAGGAAACCGTTACTTGCGTTGAAATGAGACAACTCAAATAGATGGTTAGTCACGCACAAGTAGCAGATAAAAATTATGTACGCCTGATAAAAAAGAAAATGAATTTAAAAATACTATCCTGTTACATGAAACAGCATGCTTCAAGTGGAGTTAAAATAATTCAGTTCATCCACTGATAGATTTAATGGCATAGCTGCCATGGTTTATAGTTTCCCATATACAGAGTAACTGATACGAAGTTCCTCTGTTGTAGCCAAAGAAAGCAATCCCATATTTCTCCACCTGGTTTTGACGTATACCAGTCACTTCTTCAGTACAAGAAGAAAGAATGACGACCAGAGGTTTCAAAAAACCACATCTAAGAGCAATAAGGTCACTGTGGCCATTGTTAGGTGGAAAATTGAACTTTCAGTTATCAGCTTTTTGTAACGTCAGAGTTTAAATATAAAAACTCTCGCCAACCTAATTAAACTGAAGTTACATCCCAAGGTAAAACATTCAATATCGATGATAAGTTCTCCAAAGCCTTTTAAGGGCAATAAGGTCGGGAAAGAGATAATACATTTGGTCAATCGGGATTTTCCCATCATTAAATTGGACTAATGATCACCTAGACGACGCCATGTCCCATGGTGACTTCCCCAGTTAAATAAGCTCAACAAGTCTAGTTCCGACAGAAGCTAATCCTAGACGATGGATATGGTTCGAATTATCCCCAGATGCTAATCTTCTGCAGATAAAAAGACATGGTGGCCGGGAAGCGAACTGCGAAACTGACCTTGATCAGAGAGCACAACGCCACTGGCCCCAACAGCGGCTGCGATATCCACTCGCTCAGAAATCAGAAAGTAAGCTCTGTCTCTGATGACGGACTTCAAAACGCAGGCAGCATCATAAAGTTGTCCACCATTATCATCCCCACCGCGGAGCAGGATGAGGCCAATGAACCCCTTGGATACGGCCACATCAATTGCAGCGGCGGATTGGAGAACGTCCGCGGTATCCACCTTGAGAATGATTGTGGGGACTTTGATCTTCGGCCGCCTGAAGCCCCCGGGAAATAAGGTGCTCCCTTGCTGCTGCTCCTTCTCTCGTTGTAGAGGCTCGAAATCGGCAGGAGCCGGGTTTCTCCCGATCGCATTTACATGACGGCGGCACGCAAGGCGGCGCCGGCGCCGGCGCTCTAGCTTAGGGACTCCTACATGGCAGGAGATAGCTTCAAGGGACGAGAGGCGGGCCTTTCTGCTGAATGAGAGGGGCGGGAGAGGCTTTCCAAGGGGGAGCGCCGCCGTGGTGTTAACGCAGCAGGAAACGCAGACCATGGATCGGTGAAGGCCGCCCGCCTGGAAAAGCAGGACCTCGCGCAAGGATCACCCTCGCTCGACGCGCAGAGCGTGCAAGCGAGAGAGCAAGATAGAGAGAGAGCGAGAGAGAGAGAGAGAGAGAGAGAGAGGAGAATAGAGGGAATGTAGAGAAAATCAACAGAGCACCTTATCTGATACCCGTAGACATATCCACACCATACACTGGCATCACGGAGATAGAGAGAGAGAGAATAATATATCCGCTACACTGTTCCCAATTTAGAACAAAAATACTCAAAATTATATTTTTATCCAAAAATATAACCCTCCTACCTGTCTGGCGGGAGGAGCCTCGTTAGCGATGGGCTCTCTTTGTGGATCCTGGCCCATTTACCTAGGGGGTTAGAGCTAGCCAGATATTGGGCTTTAATTGGCAACGGCCCATTAAAGTATCTCATTGGGCTTGGACTACCTGGAGCCAACCGTCTCAATTTGGGCTCCAAAAATAAAATTACATGCAAAACTCTTTTATAAAATAATAAATCCCTAAAAAAATGGGAAATTCGCAGCCTCCAGAGATCTGGCCTCGGGCTTGCCTCTCTACCTGTAAGAGAGCTGACCGGTTTTCCACCTCGGAGGTGGGAAGAACCATGGCGACGCTGCCGATGGCGAGGCTCTCCGACGTCCTCCGGTCAAGGAAGAATTTCACTGTTAGTATTTTCATGATTATAGTATTTTCTTGAAGTGCATCCTGAGATTTTCAGAGGAGGATGATCATTACAACTTGATTCTTGTAGGAATCCCGATGTTGGAAAGCTGGGTGCCTCCGCCGGAATTCCATCGGAGCGGCCCGTCCGATCGAGGAACCAATGGTGGCTGCGGTATCGGAGAGGCAACCGCCTCGTTTGCCAGCGGGAAAGGGGGGCGGAGGAGGAGGAGGAGGAGCAGGGGTGGATCTCCCGATGAGGATGTGTGGAAGAGGTGAACGAGGAGCGTCATCCTTGTGGTGCGTCTATCTGATCGTGTCGTCCCGTATATCCAGGACTTACATCGGCGTGACCAACAACTTTCCCCGCCGGTGAGCTATGGCGATTCATTTTCTTCGGAAAAGATTTTATTGCCAACTAGTTGATTGATTTCTTGCAAAGAGTTTTCACCGGACTGGATGGAACTCAGTTTTCTTATCTCCATGACCGCCTGGTTCAGGGCCGAATTTTCCCCTTTCTTCTTCGCCGCATGGCTATAAAATTGGTTGAAGTAAGGGTTGGCACGCCTACGACATGATCGCTTTGAGAATGAGAATAAAATTTTCTTCAACGGATATTATGTCCTGCTATCCAGTGTTGCGAATCCACAATACTGATTCGATTAGTGTTTCTTCCTTGCAAGTACTGAGCAAGCTCGGGTGCTGAGCTCTGAGGGGTACCCCAGTTTCCCTTTGAATCATCTCGATTATCTCATTCTCTTCTTGTTGCTGGAAGAAACGTCGAATTTGTGCTACGAATTTCAGCTCTTTCCCAGAATGTCAGGTCTGATAGGAGGGGGATTCATTTCAATCTATTTCTTGATGTGGCAACAAAACCTCTTCACGATATCTTTTCAAATCCACACACTCCCCCACCCCCTCTCGTCTATAAGCACACACACACACTTAAACACAGAGAGAAAGGAAGGGCAACAGCTTCAATTGGTGAACAAAAAATGTGAACCTGAACTGTTCGAGATAGAAAAAAGGGAATGAGATTCTCCTCAAGTAATGAAAGATGTTATCCTTAAATCTTGGCCCGTTAATTTTTGAGGGAACGATGAAACCTACCAGGGATTTTGCGCCAGTAAGATGTTTCCTAAGGCTTTATGATTTCTGGGAAAGCATATGGTTGATTGAAAGAAGCCAGGAAATGGAGAATCCTGCGAAGAAAATAGTAAATTTGTACAGAAAAGTTGATTTTGGAAGTGCTGTAAGAGAAGGCTGTATTTCAGAATCGGAAGAGCAGAATCTTCAGATGGGATAAAGAAAGAAGACCTGAACTAGGGGAAAAAAAGGATTTGCTAGAGAAAATGGACAAGATCTTCCTGTATGAGACAAAGACCGCTGTTAAAGCTTGCAGGACAGGTGGTTATATGAAGAGGCGTCCATACAGCCGGCCTTCATGGATCACCACAGAGGTTTCTTCATAGGACAAGACCAATGGAGGGAAGCACGTTGGATTCTGACCCCCCTAACAATGGCTTAGAGGATGAGGAGTTGACCCAACCGTTGAATGAGGCACTGAAGAAGAATTTCTTTGGAATGGATCCAGCCCTTGATAACATTTTTGTGAGATCCAGCCTTGATCATCATAGATTTGGTGACTGTGATAAATGACTCTGATTATTGGTCATCAAAAGCAGTGCCCTTAGCACATTTCACCCCGTCCTTGTTCCTCTGTCAGATAACACTTGGCAGCCTGTCAAGAATAATCGTGTGACAGAGGTTGTATATGTCTGCCTTACTTCCCATAAATGTTTGGTTGTTAAGTCCCTACTGTGGATGGGTAGGTAAAACTTTTTCTGGGCACCCTGAAATTCCGAAATCCATTGAGAAGAAACTCGGGTTGTTAATTAAGTAGAATCTAATGAAAATTCTTGTGAGTTCTGAATCTTTTTCTAGTGAGAAAACATTTTCTATCTTGTTTCTTTCTCAGTCTGAAGCAACACAATGGCGAGCTGAAAGGCGGAGCCAAAGCATCTAGAGCTGGCAGACCCTGGATCTGTGCATGTATCGTGCAGGGGTTCAAGGACAAATATGGAGGTATGCGACTATATTTTGATCAGCTTTTTGCCACTTATAGACGACCGTATTAAGTATTATCTTCAATTGTTAAAGAAGAGGGTACAGTTATTTTTGATGGCTTCAATTAGAGGCCAGATGATCACATTCATATTTTTCATCCTTCTACAGCTTTTCGATTGGAAGCCAGGTGGAAGGAGGCTTCTCGGAGTTCTCCGAGGAAAAATGGGAAGGATGAGAATGCCCAGAATAGGCTTCTTCTGCACCGTGAGGCGGCTTTGAGCAGAGCAAAGGATTCACTTGGCGGCTGCCACTTGCGGGTTGATTGGATGGCCGGCCCTTCCCAACAACATGGCTCTTCCCCCAGTTAGAAGGTTTGAGCTGTTCCTAATCTACATGCGTCCGATTGTTTCATGTTCAAAACTCTTTTCTGATTATTGAAAGTGGGTTTCCGATTCCGATTTTTTCATCATGCAGGGAGTTTATAGGAATAAAAGTAGCATATTTATAGAGAGAGAGAGACTGTAAAAAGGCGGCCGCCGTCCACCGCATGCCACGTGGTGCGCCGGGCCGCTTGCTGCGCTGTCGACCTCTGCTTCTCTGCATGGCCGAACTCCCTTCCGTCCGTTCTCTCTTCTCCCCTTCCCGAGCTCCGTTATGAGTTGCAGAAGGCAGTGAAGATGGAGATGCGGAACGGGGAGGAGGAGGGTGCCGAGGAAGGAAGAGGCCAGGGGGAGGAGAAGAGAGGAGGAGGAGGAGGAGGAAGAGCTGGGAATGGGCCGATGCCGCTCATGGGGCTGAATCACATCTCCAGGCTCTGCAAATCGGTGGAGGCCTCCATCGACTTCTACACCAAGCTCCTGGGCTTCGTCCTCGTCGAGCGGCCGCCAGCGTTCGAGAGCTTCACCGGGGCGTGGTCAGCTCTCGGCGCCGCTTCCCCTTTTCCGCTGCTTATAGACTCCTGCTGCTGCTGATCCTCCCTCCTCCCCTCGCAGGCTGTACAACTACGGCGTCGGCATACACCTGGTGCAGAAGCAGGAACAAGGACAGCACTCCCACGTCGACCCGTCGCCGGAGAAGCTCGAACCCATGGATAATCACATCTCCTTCCAGGTGGGCTCTCTCTCTCTCTCTCTCTCTCTATCTCTCTCTCTCTCGCTACCTAATCTATCTATCTATCTATCTCTTTGTGTGTTGTGCTGGGTAGTGCGAGGACATGGAGGCGATCGAGGAGAGATTGAAGGAGAGGAAGATCGAGTACCTGAAGAGGACGGTGGACGGGGAGGAGGGGTCGGCCGTGGACCAGCTCTTCTTCAAGGACCCGGACGGCTTCATGATCGAGATATGCAACTGCGAGAACCTCAAGCTCGTCCCGGCGGGGCCTCCCGGGTGGATCCGACCTCCCCGCGGCCGCCGAAGCCCTCCCGTTCTCTCTGATCATCCTGGGGATTCTTCGTAGCAGACCAGCGCCGGGCTTCTCTCTCAGCGTTTAACCACGCCCAGGTGCTTCTCCTCTGTTGTTATTTGTATTGTTATTACCGCTGCTGCTAAGTCAGCTACTCGGCTTCCGCTATCGATCTAATTTAAAGCAATTTAAAATTGAAAAAGTCGTGATCTATAAATAATGGATTCCCCAAGTTTTCGGAATAAAAGAATAAAAGAATAAAAGCTCATTTCTTTAATTTCCCGTATGATTTTATATTTTTGGAATGTAGAAAAAGACCAATCAACTTAAGAGGTTCCAAGAAGAAATCTGGTATATCCATTAATAAAATACTCACGATCTCCTGATTTAGTATAAAAAACTTAAGCTAATTGGAGTCTTTTTTTTTCACTTTTTGAGGAAATAAAGATCAATATTATTATTTATTATGATAAAATATGATATTTAAATGAAAAAGTGATTTTTAAGCTTTATGTAAAGAAACATTAAATTTCATTAATTAACATGCCAAAAGATAAACTGAAGGAAAACCCAGTAAATATCCAAAAACTATTAAATTGTAAGTATAAATTTAAACAGATGAAAATTACAGAACAATTATGGCACCTTTTACTTATTTATATTCCTATTTTTTTATCTTACATCCCAATTAACTTTGGGAAACATTAAATATTATAATATATTTTTATAATCTAGGGAATTATTTCTAAAACCCTTGAGACTTGAACGAACAGCATTCCGCTTCTTGTGATTAACCAAGAAGAAAAGAATGTCCAGGAAGGGTTGTACTCCCCACACAACACAGGAACTCCTTCCCTCTCATCTACCCCTCCTCGGCCAGCCACAACGCAGAGACAGCTCGGGAAGCAGCTGCCCAGGTAGTTTAGGCAGGCTTTCTCTAGGCTCCATAGCGACCAAGCTCAAAGGCCAGTGTTCAATCTGTTCTCTAGTCACTCGATTCCGCTGACAAGTGCAGGCAAGTGCAGGCAGGTGAAAGGTTTTGATCCCACAAACAAGGCTACATGGAGATAGAATGATAATAGTGATAGTAGTCCTGCGAATAAAAAGCCGCCATGGTTTCAGTTCCAGCAGCATGGAAATCAAAGATCAGCCGTCGCCGATCAGGGTTTTGCTTTGAGTCTCAGAGTGAAGGCCTGCAACGACAGCAGGACCTGCTTCAACTTCTCCTTAGCCTCCTTGTCGATCAAGTTGCCCTCTTCATCAAACTTCGCCGGAGGCTGGAATGCATTCAGAAAAAATTCTGGCTTGTTGATGAAATGAAGATCTAGGAAGACTCCCAGTTGGCGCAGATGGTACTGCGCACGCCCGCCACCAAAGCCGCCTCCGGTGCTCACAATTGCCGCCGGCTTGTCTGCCCACACATTTGGCGGTCGAGATGCCCAATCGATGGCGTTCTTCAGAGGAGCTGGAGATCACCACAATACTTTTGCTTGGTTTTCACCATGGAAATTATACTAGGAACAAAATCCCCTATAGGACCCAGTAAACTGAAATAAATCAAGCAGGGTTAAGCCATCTAATGTTGATGCAACTTGTTGCCTGCTAGGTACTGGAGTGCAGTTTCCTGGAGGGTAGGAGAGATTGTCCTAAATGGTGAAAAGGGATCTAGAACAAAGTCATAGAATCATCTCCATCAAGCCATGGGTGGTTTTAAGGGTAATTCGATAGGAGGAATTTTGAAGAGATTATGTGATGTACATGCTGCCAGTATGCCATGAATTCACTCATATCTTGAGAAAGCTGCAGATAGCAGATTTCCCAGATCAACAAATCCACAAGAAAATGCAACCTTTCAGAAACTATTTAAGAATAAACATTTAGAGGTAATTTCTATGCATAATATACATGTAAAATGTGAATTGTATTGAAGAACTGTATATAAGCAATTCTTCTAATTTTCTTCACTGATTTGACTCTAGCCACACCCTAATCTTCATACCATCAACTAAAATTCTGTTGACCGGAGAGAATTTCTCCACTACTCCCGGATGGAGTCTAGCCCGGACAGGTTGTAAGAGCTCAAAGTCAGAAGTACGAGCCTGGAATAATATCTCTCTCGAAAACATATTTGTCCGTCAAAAAGCGTCAACAAAGCAGTTTACCTTCAGACATATTCGGGTTAATAAAGTCAAAAACTACGACACTGCACAGGATTAACCGAGTCAATAACCTCACACTAACTGGATAAGGATGCTAGACTGACTTGTCTTGCATCAGCCTCAGTCTAATGCACCTGACTAGCTATTTTCAAGCCTTCCGAATTCTAATGGGGGTAGTGAGGGAGTTTCAAGAGACAGAAAGGAAGCAGCTGGGGCAGCCCAGTGAGATTGAAATCATTTGATTGTTGAAGATGCATGTGACAAGATTCAATAGAGTAGGAGCGAGGGCTCCTGGGCCCAGATGTGCTAGATTGAGACTCTTTCAACAATGTGCTTTCGGCCTAATTGCTCGCATATACCCAGCCATCTATGAAGAAGTTGCTACATTTTTCTCGTCCACAGAATGACTATTACTGCGTTAGAACAAATTTCCACTTTAACTGGCTGCCAGATGAATTTCCTGTTCTAGAAATTCATGAAGGCAGGAATCAAAAAGTCATAAACAGTCAAAAGTGTCATAAAAAATATGAAGGCCTAGTATACCACTTACTTTCATTGATGGGCTTTTATCAAGTTAGGATGAAGACATTCATTTTTAGGATATTCAGGGTGGATATAAAAGCTCCATGATCCTTAAGTTTTTGGATTGTATCAGGTGAGACTTTATTTTAAAAAATTGATGAAAAAATAACTAAAAAAATCGAACAGTGCCTTAGAAGACGCTGAAAATGATCATAGATGAAATTTTTAGGAAGCAATTTCCAAAATATTATACTAGTAAATAAAGTTGTGAGATACGAAACCAAAATCAACCCAAGTTTCCAGAATTCCTGTACAAGTTAATATAGATTATGGTTTTTCATATGTTATTCGTATAGCTCATACTAGGGAAATAATTCAAAAAACTTAGCAGTTATTAAGAGGATCAACTCAAGAAACCAACGCCCTTCGATATTTGCGATTTAATTGCTCCACTTTTCTTTTCTTCAATGACAATGATCTTAGCAGAATCAGCCCTTGCTAATTATTTAACAGGGATTGGCCATTAGTCAGCCTTAATTTTGTTTTCCTTTTTCTATATTGTAAAAATAATCAATATCACCTTCCTATGAATACAGAACAGGAACTAGCGATCGAAACTAAAGCAGTCTTCGGCGGAAGACCTATCAATCCTTCGAAGCAAAAAGTCAGAGGCCTGAAGTTTTTGATTAAAGAAGAAATACCGAAACAATGACTCAAGAGATCTACTCACCCGTCAAGGCCTAAAACGGATAGAAACAGAGAAAGAACCGAATTAGCGAACGGATGACGATTAAAGGCAAGGGAAAAGAATCGATTAAATCCGGAAAGAAACGAAGAGAAGGAACAGTTGGTGGAACGCGGGTGGTACCAGAGAATGAATAGTTGTACTCGGGGCACGCGAAGAGGACGGCATCGGATTCAAGGACCTTCCGGCGAAAGGTCTCAACAGGCGGCGGGTACTTGCCACCGACCTCGAGGTCTGTGTTGAGGAGGGGGAGGGGCTCGATGGGAACGAACTCTACTCGCAAGCCATCGACGGATCCACCTTCGCAGAGTTGGATGGCTGCGATCGGAGAGAACCAAAGCAGCCGCAGAGCAAATTCGTCAGGCAAGTGAGAAAAAGTAGGACCCGAAAGGAGAACAGTAAAAAAAAAAAAAAAAAAAAAACAAGAGGAGGCACCATAGCGAATGAGGCCGCGGTGGAAGGAAGCCTTGCGGAGGGAGCCGCATACGGCTGCCACCTGGAAAACTGGTTTCGCCGCCGCCGCCTCCATCTCTCTTCTCTGCTCCGAATGAGGACAAGCAGACCGGAGAAAAAAGAAAGCGTCCGGTGAGGCCCCACAACCCACCGACAGACGCTCTCTCTCTCTTCCCGATATTTTTTAGGCCGGCCTCTGGCCCGCTAACCAATATGAGCTGACTCTAGTCTCAGCATAATTAATGCTCTCAGCTATCAACGACCAATCGTCACCAAGCTTCTGTCTTGCTCCCACCCCATCTATCGACTTGAGTGGAGCTACAAGACCAGATGACCCGGCAATTGCGGAACTGATGAGCTGAACCAGCGGGAAGCGGAGACGGCCATCGAGTGGAGCAGAACGCAATGGAGAGGCATGAAAGAAGTCGACGACTCACACCCGTCGCTCGAAGGGTGGCTGAGAGTCGCTATCCCCCTCTGGTCCTTAATCTCTGCCTCTCCTCTTCTTGTCTTTTATGAGTCACTATGATCTACAGTCATCTTACCTCAGCGTGACGCCCTACCTCCCCCTTGGCCTGGTGCAGAAACTTCTTTCTCCGTCTACAGCGCCGTCACATCTTCACAACGCCACCAGCCAAACCCAGCCTTCTCTCTGTCTTTCTCTCTCTCGCTCGCTCGCTCGCGACAGCGGGGTATCGTCCGAGAACGGAATTGTCCCACCCAATCCGGCGTGTTATCCTATCGATCGGAGCATTCGCGTCCCTTTGCCTATCCCATTACTCGGGGCCCTATCAGGATCCCATTTGGTCATCCGTCAAAAATATCGGGAAAGGAGAGAGAGAGCGTCTATCAGTGTCAGCCATATGCGGCTCCCTCCTTCCACCACTGTGTGGATCTTCAATCTGCATTGCCTATGTGGGAAAATAGCTCACATTATATATATATATATATATAGATTTGTCCAACTATATCTTAATTTACAAGGGAAAATATTGATATTTGAAGCATATTTTCATTTCCTAGAGTTGTTGAAGATTTGGGCCATTAACCTTGAGGTCCTAACCCTTTTTTGGATCTTCAGTCTCCATTGGTTAACATAGAAAGATAATTTCACACTATTACTGGACTCGTCCAACTAGATCTTAATTTACAAGGAAAAATATTGAGCCTCCAATCATATTGTCATGTCCAATAATTAGTTAATATTAGGGCTATTAACCCCAGAGCCCCTACCCACTACTTGGATCTTCAGTCTTCATTGCACGAAAAGACGAGGCACATTTAACATTATGGAACCTTGCATATACATAGAATTGGCTAAACTAACTACTTAGCTGGCATGTTGGGTGGCCTAAGTTTTGTTTTCAATTGTGAGCAAGAGAAGAAAGCCTGCCTACTAGAAGCCATGTTTGTTGACAACTTAAAATCTATTTTTCTCTTAAATTCTTATAAGATTATTTGTGTAAATAAATTAAGTTACAACTACTCATATTTAGTTATAAAAATAGAATAAATACTGACCATATCAACTGGGGTATTTCTTCTATATTTTCGTACATCTTTCATGTTTTTTAAACCAGTAGTAACATTAAAATGCACAATTTTTTGATGAAGACAAACAATCATAAGATTATTTAAAAAATCAAACTAAATTTCTAATATGCCTGATATGAAGTTAAATAGCCAATTATTCAAAATAGCAGACTAAATGTTGAATTCAATTATTATATTCAAGATCCACAATGTTGAATTTATTTAGTTGGTTGATTTCATAATGTGAACTATTATTTTGTATATTCTTATAGAAATTATCAAAATTTACATAACATTTCACAATACTATAATGAATAATCATAATACTCAACTTAAGAAAAAATATGAAGAAAAATACGAGTATGAAAGTTTACTTAGTCTTTTATGTACCCATGGTTGATATTGAATTAATTGGTTGAACTTGTAGCACTTATTTTGCAATTTACTTTTTATAAAATATCAATAAATATATTTAAAAATTAATTTTAAATATTTTACGTCATGTATATTGTGATTTTAAATATTGAAATCAGATTGTCAAGTGCCCACTTGACATTCATTTTTACTTAAGGCAATTTGAATAAGTTTGAATTTTAACTCATATTTTTATTTAGATATATATTGCTAATTTTGGCTTCATAAAATTGGATCCTTATTGGAAATAAGGGAGGCTTTCAAATTTTATTTCTCTATAACTATTACTTTTTACCAATAGCTAATTAGTTCTAAATGATCACCTCTAATTCCTTATAACTTTAACTCCTATATTAAGTTCTTTCTATAGAAAATCTTAACATAAATTAAGAGGTCTTGTTGTTGGTGGAACTTCATGATGGTGATGAGTTGAGGAATTATTTTCAAGCATTTAATTTGTTCTTGATCAGCTCAAGTGGAAGTGCCTTCTACGTTTTTTCAGCATCCACACAAGAAGAGGAATGTAAGAATCATGTCTTTATCATCATCCTCTTTACCAAATTTCTTGACACTTCTCAAGTCAACATAATATGTTGGAAATAACCCATAATGAAATCCTTCCTTGTTATTTGTGTATTACCATAAGATTCAATAATTATTTAATCACTCCAAGGATCTTAGTTCTCTAGTCAACTATTGGCTATCTAGAGTTTTGAATCTAGAAAAAATTTCAAGTTAAAATTCTATGAGAGCTGAACTTGATAATCAACAATTGTGCTTGAGACTTTTGATCTAGTGGACATAGGTAGGGGGCTGAAATACTTCAAAAATATTATATTGCTTTAGATTTATAATTGTTAAAATCTTAGAATTAGTTTAGAAATAAGAAGATTTAAGTGATTGAAAAGAATTTGACCAAAGTCAAAACTAAAAGTTGATCAATTCAACCCCTTCTAGATATAAATGTAGCCTAAAACCTAATATAATCTTACTTTGTAAATTTGAGATGACTTCTAAACCAATCAATGTTTAATTTTTTTTCAGAAGGCTTCTTGAACACATACTTACGAGAATCAATAAATTGATTTGTGAAAAGAAGCAAACAAGTGATGACCTTCTTCCCTTTTCAATATAATGGGCATGTTTCTAGAGTGGAGGTGCATCATGAAGAATGTACAAGTCTGGAGTGTGGAAAGGGAGAGAATCTACCTCATTGACAAGCTCCACTAGTGGATCTCACTAGACACTGTTTTTTCCCAACAAGACACATTTAGCCATCTTTGAATCAACTAAGAATCATATCAATTAGAATGTCAAATAATACTCATGAGAATCACATATCAACAATGACATGAATTTGCAATGCTATCAAGAGTATGGTTTAAAGTTTTCGGAGCTAGTATTTAACTCTACAAATCTAATATGCATTCAAGAGTATGGTTTAAAGTTTAAGATTCCACACTTACTAATTTAACTCATGTAGATAATAATGCAGTCAACCCTAATTAATGAAATATAATTGAGAGTGGAGGGCACTAGAGAGTAAATTATTAAGTCTAGGTACGACTAGTGATAGTATTGCACTTATAGTAAGACATCATTACCAACTTTATAAGACAATATATAGAGGGTTCATGGCCATCTGTTGTCTCTTAATTAGCTCTAGCATATGTTGGTCATGACCCATAAGTTTAATGTAAAGTATGGTATAAAACAAGAGTTTCATAACTTTTTCAGCAGCCATTGAATATTTTATGCTGAGTTAAAATTGATTAATGATTTAAAACATTTCTCCATGATTAAATAGTTGTATTTTTTTTAGTTTATTTCTCATGATTTTTTTTTTCTGTACACCAGATTTAACATGGGTTGATCATATAACATCCTTCTGCCTCCCTTTTTTAGCAGCTTTAGCATGTAAGAGCTGATCTTGTCATAAAAATCACATGAAAAATATTCACCCATATTTTATAAAAGTTAACATTTTCTTGTCATCAAAACTAGTAGCTGCATGTGCTAGATTTCACAATTTGAACACATTGCAAAAGCTTCTTGTCCCAAATACATTGCTTTGAAATGCACAACACAAGAAGTTTCTAGGCTGCTAATTATTTATTACAGGATTTTGATGGTTTTGTAGGCGAATACTTATCCTGATCATTCATTTAATAATATTTTCATTAGGTAAAATGTGGTTAATTATTAAGGATATATTATTTTATGGAGTGTGGTTTTAAAAGTGACACATAGCTTAAGATAATCAATCACTCTTAAGTGAAACACTCATTACAATTGTGGATTTTTTTTTGTAGCTAATGGAACATAAATTGTCTAAAATATTTTACATGTGATGGCGTCAGATTCAAGAAACGAAAGTATTATATGGAGGGCAATATCTCACTTTCTATTATCGGGGAATGATTATCTTGTCTTTCATTTTTAATCTTTTTTAGATGAGACATTTAATATCATAATGAAATTCACAAGGCATCATGATCTTCTTAACTTGGCAATTATTTAGAAGAGTGAGCATTTGGCATTGTGGAAAAAAGTTTAAGCCTTTGAATAGTTAAGTGAAAACTCCATGTCTCATTTATGTATGATGATAAAATTCATATTACACTAACCTCAAAAAATTATTTTTAAGTCGATAATTTAGCAATTTTTTAAGATGTTGGAACAAAGCTAAACGTGTAAGTGATGCTTTGATTGTATGCTTGTAGTCTACACTCTTCTAATGGCTTGTTTGTTTTCCTTTGATGGTAAACTGAGGTAATGTAATGATTACCTCTGAAATTTTGCAAGCATATTTACAGCATGGATGAGTACTTTGAAGCATGTGCAACTATGGATTGTGGATAGATGATTTACATTGTTGACCAACTATACTAGAAGATCTCACCTAAAATATTTCAGACAAAGAAGCTATGAGTGCCTACAGACTGCATGGCTTGGGCTTGACCTCTGCACTTGATCCTCCTCTAGTCATTGAAAGTGGGCAGATCATGCAGAAAAGTTTGACTGACCTAATCTACACACGTTTGAGAATGATTTTCTGACACGTCTTCAATTTTTTGGCTTATTAGGACATGCCACCTTAGAGATCGTTTGTCATGTGTCAGATTCTCTACTACGTTATATATGTTAGAATTTATATAGAAAAACTACTGCTTTTTTATCTTAGGATTTGGTTTGACTTTTTAAATTTGAAACTTGAGTAGACAAGCGTTCTCTCTAGTACACATTCTTTTTACTCAAGTAAGTTGACACACATTTCTATTGGTCAACGTATGGGTGTAACCACTTTTTATCTCTCTGTTATTTGCCTCTTAAGTTTTTTTTCTTTTCTTCTTATTTGATTTATCTTCGTATAATGCATGAAAGAAATATTTACTTCTCAAAGAGAACTAGGTCTGATAATTTACATCTTGATTACTGGGTTATTATATTTAACTATATTTGGTTTTAAATTTTATTTTATCTTTATATAATCAATTATCAACATCAAAATCCTTAAACTTGACACTTTGAATGGTTGTACATGCACACATCCATACTAACTAGATATTTATCCATACATCAAGGTCAAGTCTTACTGTGAATATAATAACCCAAAGATGGGGGGATTTGTAGATAATGATTAGATGTTAGAATATTAGTTATAACATGCGGATTGATAGTCATTTAGAAAATCAAGGTCAAGTACTCTTTACTCCTAAAGCAAAACCTTGGCATTTCACTGATAAATATAATTGTTGAAATATGTAGTCCACTAGTTGAACATATAAAATAAAATAAATAAAACACATAATATTCTTATGGTATAAATATTCTTATGAAATGGGGACTATTCTTATGGTATATTTACTATTGTCGTCTTGAAATACTATATATGATAATTTGCTTGACAAAGGTGAAAGCTGGAGAGAGATCAAAGAATAGGGCATTGAAATGAATCTATTTCACAAGGAATGATCTTTGATGATCCCTTAATGTATTAGGATAAGAATGGCCTGCACTGGAATGATAATTTGTTTGAGATTGCAGTGTGTTGACTTTTAAATTAGTGGAAATTAATTGTTACTCTCCTTAAAAAAAAAACAGATCGACTCACGAAAGATCATAAAAGTCAATTCATAAGAAAACAGTACGCCTATAAAAAGGGTAATTTAGAGCTTGGATGTGTATTTTTGATCCTTTCTCATTTCATAGAGTGGTGTTCTACATCAGTCTCTCTTTCATAGAGCGGTGCTCTCGAATCTGTTCACCTTCACCTTGTAGAAGTCCGCTGGTCGTCGTACCGTCTCTCCGGGGGCATCCACTAAAGCCATGGTTCCGAGTGATTCTGGCATTTGGAAGGGCGAGGAAGAGCGAAGCGGCGTCTCCTTCTCGAGTGGTTCCCCTTCTCCTGCGCCAAGTCCTCCATTGCTTTATCCAAATTTAGGTGGTGATCCTTCTGCTCCACAGTTTGTTACTCCGTCTTTCACCTATACGCCCTTCTACTGGTGAGTCCTTCCTGCCTATTTGGCCAGTTGTTGACGAGTTGGCGTGGCGTCTATAGCTTTTCTGGCTGTGATTTCTTCTTCATCTGATTTCCTCATATAGTTTCAGCAAGTGGCTTTTCATATTCACCTAGTTCATGCCTAAACCTTCAGAGTATCGCCGCTGAAGCTTGCGAACCATATTTATGGCTTGGTGTGGCCAATTGAGTGACAAGATCTATTAACTGGCCTGACTGACCTTATACGGGAGGAGGTAAGTAGTGAATGAGGGTCTGTCGATGTTGTACAGTGAGCACCAGCAGTTAATGTGTAAAATGTTACGACGGATTTTGATCATAGGTACCAATGGATGCCGTAAGATTTCTCATAGACCATGGTGAGAAGAGTTCCTCAGGGCAGAGATCAATTTGGTTTACAGTTTTAGGTGAGAAAAAAACCATGTAATAGTTGAGAATGCACAAAGACTTTGGAGTGAGATGGGAATTGATATGAAAATGATCTGATTCTTGTAGATAACTCTGGGAGTCATGTGCATATGGATGAGTAGAGATTTCCTCTGAAAGGACAGGATTTATCTATAATTGCATTCCTTCATAGGAAGTGGTGGTACACATGTAGACCATGCTTTTATAGCTGAGATTATGTTTGTGATGTCTGAGGGTGTTGGGGGATATAGACTTGGCCCTACCATTAACATTCTCATGGTCATCTCATCTTTATAGGTTCATGGAGACAGCTCATTTCATATAAAATGTAAAACATATTCTTATTGTTGCAACTTTCAAAGTTGCCCCTAGCGATTTGACAATCAATGTCTAAGATTTCGATTTTATATAATTCATTTAGACATCCAGACGTGTTGCCTCATTTGTAGGATTTCAGCCTGGGAATAGTAGATGGAATTTTCATCACGGAGGTTCATCTGATCTTTCTTCTCATGGATACTTTTAAACAGTATGTGTGCACTTATGTTCACAGAGTGCATCGTAGCATCTTAAAATCATGCAATGAGATTCTCTGTTGGGCCTCATAAGGGAATTTGCAAGATGAGAACTGATGTTCACCAAAAGTGCTTCGTTTCAATCTGTTTTTTGCTTCTTATTTTGTGCAGACTTCAACTGATTGTTTCTCTGCCAATAGTCATTAAAACTTTCTTGCTTGACGCGTGCCTATCATTTCTGACCAATGCTCTGATTTTTGGTTTCTAGATGGAAGTTACTTTACCGTTTGCATAAGGATTGACCAGAACCACACATCTAATGTATTTTCTGTCCAATGGTAGCGAGGAGAACGTATATTTTCTTTGCAAGAAACTGAGCTTGTTTGGGATTGCTGATCCAAAGTCAAATGATCTTTTTGCTGTGTTTATCTCTAATGAGGAGAAGCAGGCAAGTTCCTCATATTGTTATCAGTTTCATTGAGTTCTGTTATTATTTTATCTTTCAACATCTTAAGATGATTAGAAATAGATTATATACAAACCGAACTTCAAGAATTTGTATGTGCTGTGCTTGAGCTCATTATTCGTGTACAGTGTGACGTCCTTGTTCTAGAAAGAACGATCTTGATATTGACAGTCGATCAATACAGGGAGAAAGGATATTTGTATGTTTTATGCCTCTTCTGCTTTTACTTTCTTTATCAGAATGATTTATATGTGAAATTTTGAAGCGTGGCAAGGGAGTTAGACTACCTGTCTGCATTCAAGCATGATGGGGTCATTGGCTATTAATTTGAAAACCTTCCAAATGTGGACCAGGGGGCTGGAAGATTGGAGAGGATAGAAGGAGAATGTTGAGTTAAAGAATCCTAATATCAGAAAGTGGCAATAAAAGGAAAAACTGGCAACGGAACAACTGAGGGTTCTGAGTTCAGGTTCAAGTGTGCTATGAGAAAACCTAATGCATTAGATTTTTGGAGGCTGCAATAAAGAATGTTTTGGGTTTGGTATTTGAGTACTTGAAAAGTTGCGTGGTCATGCAAACCCTGTTGTCAGCGTCATACATGGCATGGATCCAACATTTAAAAAACTGGGTACCCTTTAAATAGTCATATATTGTTCAGAGATCTTAACTCCTATAGAGAATTGAAACATTTATATCTGATGAACTATTGGATGTCAGTCGGGCTTGGCGAAAAATGTGTGCATGTGAAGGTGATAAGAAGGCCGGTCGGCAACTATTGACTACCAGAGACAACCTGAGCGAAAGCTCTTCTGTATTTGCTGGAGTTGGACGTGCAACTCCAAAACAGTAACAATCACATTAAAATTCTTGCAAGTGATGGCATCCTTGGTTTCATACGGAGGTTCATCCAAGGAAGAGACGTGGACAGTGTGTTGTTTCTGAGAGAAAGGATGAAGGAACTCATATAGTCATTCAGCAATAGGCAGAAAAGAGAAGATCAGTTGATCAGAGAATTATGAGACTGCTTGCTCTCTGACTGCTCCAAGTACAAGTTGTAGAGGTGATCGAGTTGCCATGATTATCCAGAAATTGACAATGGAAACATGTCTTGTTTCATTTATTAAAAGCTCATGGTACCATAAAAATTGCCACTCCCACCTTTTGGTCACCTAAAGCTAGTGGCAGGAATACCATAGGAACACTTTGGGACTTGTCTCTTCTAGACGAGAATCATTCCACTTTTGTGGAATTGTACTCTTCTGGATCATCAAATGCGAAACCCTTTACCTTACAAGAATCAGGGCTGGAAGAAAGAATAATCGAAAAATATGAATCAAAAGAAAGTTATGAACTCTTGACGTGCCAAATCACCATTCGCTTGACCAGTGAAGGTTATCTGTGATATGTAAACTGAAATCAATGGGTTCAGATGACCTCAGTTACTTAAGGGCGCTAAATCAATTGATTATCCTGAGTTTACCAATCTCTTTAAAATTGCTAACTAGGTTGTGTAAGTCACTCTTTGGCATGATCATACAATTTAGTTCATGAAACCTAGAGAATCAAGCAAAAAACGTTGTATATATAAAGGAAGGAACTTTGAACTTTGAACTTTTTTCAGAGGTTCCATTCATTGTACATCCTGTAAAGAACTAAAATTTTGCACAATTTACATATTAAATATCTTTTCAACCTGTCATCTTTGAAATCAGCTCAAATGTTTCTCTCTATTGATGCCTAATATTTTCTTTATCCAAACCTTTATCCTCTCTGCGTGTTAGCATTTGTTCGAGCTGGTTTTATCTGATGAGGTGGACAGATTTCAGTTAATCAGACCTGGCTGACACTTTGTTGACCCCAATACATCTCATCTGGGATCATATGAAGAGGGATGGACATGAGGAAACGTTCACGCCTAATTTTTGCATATCAGTCGACAATAAATGATACCTTATCGAATGCAAAAACAGTACATTGTGTTATCGGTGTGTGATCTCCTGAACAATGGGGATCAGCTAAGTTGGCTACCCCATGGTTGGGTCGTATCCTATAAAACATGAACTTGACTTACGTTTGTGTTATACCCACTTCGGTTATTCATTGAAACTCCTTCGTATTTATGCCTTGTTTAAGATTTCATCCACTCTATTTATATATCCTCATTTTTCATCAATTAGGTTCCACTATTTCGTCAAAAGGCAAGCAAAAGGGTCGATGGATTAGTTGTTTGGGATTATCACGTGATCTGTATTCAGGTGAAAAGCCGTCCTCAATTCACCTAATTGGGCTTTGAAGGATTCTTAATTTTTGTGCATTATTGAATTTTTATGAGGTTTGATGTTGCTCCACATGACGTACTGACTGTTTTTCGTACGGACGCCCCTTGAAACATGATTTCAGTCCAGAAGAGATGGGGAAGGCCGTGTTAAACATGTCGTATGGGATTTGGATTCAAATCTACCATTTCCCTTGGATCTCAGCGATTACATGGCTGAAACTATTCGGCCATTACTCTCATCTTCTTTTACGCTAGACAGGTGACGTTATTGAACACATATGCTAGTAAGTTTTCGTTATGCATCTTTGCTTTGGAGTTCTATTATGCATGCTTGATCACTACATCTCAAATGCCAAAAGCTCAAGCTGCTGCCTCCAAAATAACATCTCCCTGTTTGGTTTATCTGATGCTCCCTCAGTCTTGTCACTTTTCGTTGTTTGATTTCATTAGTATCTTTAAAGGCATGACCTCTGTCAAATTCGTGGTTTATTGATTCGACAAGTCTTACTCAAGCTGATTTGTATGAATCAGCCAATGTCTTGGATTTTTCCAGCAGTGGCCTGGCTGTGGATCAGACAAATCAACTTGGGTTCCAGACCTCTGAAGATTTGATCTATATGACCTCGGTTCCCACACACTAATCAGATAGGGCTAAGGTCGGGTTGCCTGTGAATCTGGCCCAGTCACATGTGATTTGTGCTGTACGAAATGACTTCTTGTGATAGTACCTTCTTAGTCGATAAAAAGGTGTGAAAAGTAAGAAAGAAATATACTTAGGAAGTTCGAGTACATCTGTATATTATATGTACAGATAGATATGAATGAAAGGCCAAGTGAAATTAGTTTAATGGGAATTTGTGGTGGGTCAGCAGTAGGCAGCATCTAGTTGCGGTAGCTATCAGGGACCGCAATAGCTACTAGGAGAGTCAGCGGTGGTTTGTGTGGCTCTGGGAATGATTATTGTCCTCAGTGGACCAATAAGTGATGTCAGCTCACAGGCGTATTTGATGTCCTTTTTTTCCCCCTTCTTTCTTTCTTAGTTTTTCTTCTGCTTATTGTTTCCGTCCGCTCTTCCTGTTGCTCTTCTTACATGAGAATATGACAGGTAGGAAGCACATTGTGTATTGAAATTTAAAAATGTAGAGTATAGATCTTGGGAAAAGATGAAGGGAAAAAGACAGAACATGTAGAACTAAAACGTAATTTAATAGTTTCTCTCGTAATTTACTGTGTCCTTATCATCCCCTTCAGGCGTTTATCTTTCATTGGGATTACATTTTATAAATTCTATCCCTGTCATCACATAATGTCAACAGAGCATTTTCTTGCTGAGATGAAGTTTTAAATAGATCAGCATCATATAAATTCATGTGTATGGAACCAAAATGTTAATTACAAGCGTATGGTGTAAATACGATGTATTTTAAAGGTATATATGCCGATTACAAGAGAATTTTAAGGTATTTTATTTATAAAAATCTGATAAAATTCTTTTGTTGAAGAGTGCAGAATAATTGATCTCGATAAAGGCTTACTAATTTTCCCAAGGTGTTTATTAAGTAGATATTAAGGGGGTTTATTTTCTCAATTGTTCTTATAAAATTGGTGCATGATTGGAATGATCCTTGGATTTTCTGAATATCAAGTGACATCAGTTACTAATATATCAATTGTTCTCTTTTCTTATTTTTCCCTTCTCATTCTTTTAATTTATTGTCATGCAGATATTTCCGAGTCATTCATGCTCCAATATTTCTACAAAGTTTTGCATCTGATAGAAGTCACATGAAAGATCCTTCCGGAAACTGGCTTTGTCCGCCTCCCAACTATGATCCCGTTGTAGCTGAAGGTGCGTTCATCCACAGTATATCACTATTTCTCAGATACATCTCAGAAAGGAAGCTAACATCATCATTTTTGGTCCTTTTTTTTTAATTTTTAATTTTGACTAAACCATGATTTCACGTAAATGGCATCAGTGAATGGCGTAGGCAATAAAATCAGGTGAAGTGCCAAGAAAGATAAAATAACACAAACTATAGCAATACATAGCAGCTATTCAAAGAAAAAGAAAAAAATATTCAATCGTCCAAGTATATAATCTATCACCTTTGGCTTTGCAAACTTTCTAGTTGAAAGCTTGATCCTTCAAGATGATCATTTGGGTCCGGTGGATCTAATCTCCATGCAAGTCCTTTTAACCTATTTATTTATGTCTGATTAATTCTTTACATAGAACATGGGCTCAAATTCTGTATTTAGCCTCAGTAAGTGCAGTATCAGTCTCCTAATTTTTTTTTCATGACTTTTGATGCTTATTTTTACACTATCTTGGCATTGCTTACATCGTGTTCTTGTGCACTTAACTGGGAAATTAGCCCAATTACCCACTCGTTGCCACTATGTTTAAGAAGAACACTGGACGCTGGTCAAAATAAAAATCTCTTTTCTAGACAGACACCAGCAAACTCCAGTTAATGAGCTATACAATTCGCTCTGCATTGTTCTGCGATCATTCATCTGTTCTATTCTTTTTTCTCAGTTTTAGACCATCATTGCTTCCTGATGATTTTTCAACACATATTTTAGTTAAGAACATACTACTGTCCTTGCCATTTCTTTTTTTCTATTATTAAAATTCGAATGATCTTCAATGAATTTGCCAAATGCTTCTTGATATTTTTAATATTTAAATCATCAAGTGCTCATTGATGCTTCTTGATATTTTTAATATTTAAATCATCAAGTACTCATTGATGCTTCTCGATATGCTGACGAATTCTGTGTATCTCGTATTCCGCTAGATGGCACTGCCAACAACATCAATGAGTACATCCAGATCCATGCCACAGACCAAATCACCGACAGATCCCTCCTAGTTGACTCTTTGTTCTCCAGAAAGCTGGGTGTCATAGTCGGAGAAGAGAAACTAGTTGACCTATTCTCATGGATCTCTAGTTCCTAATTTGTTCAGGTCTTGGAGAATTAATCGCCCTTGAGTCTCCTGAATATCCAAACAAGGCAATGCATATTTTTGATATACTTAGTATTCCCTGTGAAACTGGCTTCAGTTTCCACTGCTCTCCCTAAGTTTTCCATTACATACTAGCTGCTTGACAGTGTGGCAAGTGACAACATATATGGACTGTACCTTATTTAGCATTTCTCTTGAATATTTCGGATATAACCTTAATTATTCCACTTTTTGCTGGGGGGAAACAAATAGTGAAATAATTAGGTAAATTCAGCCTTGCTTGATGGGCTTGCAATCTTGCCCATTTATTTTTAGTGATGCGGAATATGGAAATCAGGGCTGACTGTACCAATTAATCAGGCCAGCCACCACCCTCCGGTTGACTTTCACAGGTTCCCAGGCCAGGTGGCTTCAGTGACGTCTATCTGGCTGTAAAGCAGTGGTCAATAAGTTGACTTGGTGGTCCCTAGTCTTCAGTGTTTAAACTAATACATGCTGGTCTTTCGTGAATAAAGGTTGACCAAATGTTAACCCTTATAAACAACATAAGACGTAACGTGTAGAAGAGAGAGAGAGAGAGGGGGGGGGGCTGTTCATAGTATTATATGCTCATAAATGTAAGAAGATTATAGTATCTTTGCCTTATACGGCAAATTGATCGCTGAAATGCAAAAGATTATGCCCTCGATTCGATTCTCATACTTCACCTACCCCTGTTTAGGTACCATCATCGTAATCTTTGCCTAGTCGAGCCTTGAGTAGGCCCATTCTCCTATAATTGTCATAGTCCAACCCTTTGAAATTCATATATCTAATTGTTCATATTCCAGGGTGAGGCCTCGAGAAAATACTCGCTCTCCGTATATGAAGAGCGTGGGGAAATGGTGTTCGTCCAGGTCTCCACGTGGCGGGAAAATCCCAGAGCTGAAAAGGCGATTAAATCGGTGAGAACTCTGATCTCGAGCAAATTGTGGGCCCCACTTTATCCTATGCGCGGGCTCCAATTTGGAGCAAATTGTGGGCCCCACTTCGTTCAATATCCTATCCGCACTTAAATCTTGGCGAGAGCGAGACAGAGACAGATACAGGAGAGAGGAGGGAGAGAGAGAGAGAGAGAGAGAGAGAGAGAGAGAGAGAGAGGGGTAATTTCATATATAAGAGGTGTATATATCTAATTGTTCATATTCCTGGGTGACGCTTCGAGAAAATGCTCGTTCTCCGTATAAAAGAGAGTGGGGAAATGGTTCATCCGAGTCTCCACATGGCTTAAAATTTCAGCGCTAAAATAAGCGATTAAATGGATGAAGTCCGATCGGGGCCCACTTTGAATAACGCGTTGTGGGCCCCACTTCATTCACTATCCCCTCACAAATTTTGCAGAGAGGGAGAGGGACAGAGAGGAGAAAGAAAGAGAGAGAGACGGAGAGGGACAGAGGAGAAGAAAGAGGGAGAGGGAGAGGGAGAGAGAGAATCGCTACGTTCATCGTGGAAGCTTGGAGGAGAAGCGGCACCTGAGGAGCGTGGAGGTCACGTCGAGCCGTCCCGTCTCCGCGTGAAGCTAGAGCGTCCAGCGCGTTTGTTCTCCATCGCCGCCTCGTCTTGGGGCACCACGAATTGAGGGAAGCCAAGACTGTGAGTGGAGAGGTGCAGATGGGGGCGTCCCAGTCTTCCAGTGTGGGGATCAAGGAGAAGTCCATCCATGAGTTCTCTGTCAAGGTACGGCGCGAGAAATGCTTTTTCTTCTCCTCGTACTTGTTTTCCATTTACTTTTTTAGATCCGACCGTTCGAGTAGCAGGGTCAGCAACGTTTCAGTGAAACTTTTTGATTAGCCAAAACACCTGGTGATGTTGCGAAGGGCTTGCTTTGTTCTGGCTGATACTACCGACGGAGTGGATGATTCGTTCCATCTCTCATTCTTTGTTGTGACGATTATGTAGTGTTGTTGTTGAGGAAGTGGTTGGAGGGGATGAACTTCCACGAGGGGGGTGGAGGGGACGAGAGGAAAGGTCTTGGTCTCTTTCTGCTATATTTTTTGCTGTCCAAGATGGTGGGGGAGCTCACACAAGTACTGTCTAATTATCGTGGCAAGAACGGAGGGGAAAGAAAGAGAAGAAGAAAGAAAGAAAGAAGGAATTTGTTTCATCTCGTACCGAAAGGCATAGATCCTCTGTTCTTTAAAAATTCCTCTTAACCCTGACGTGAGGGCCCTTTTTTTAATACATCTTGTGATTCACGAAGTCTGTTTTGTTACTTATTACTGCAAACTGTAATCATCAGAATAACCATGGAAATGAGGTCGATCTCAGGAGCTACAAAGGGAAGGTTCTGCTCGTCGTAAATGTTGCATCAAAATGGTACAGATCAGTCATGCCTTTGATTGTCTTGTATTCTTATTATCACACCTGCCTTCTCTGTTTTTGAAGCAATAATTTGACTTATTTTCTGTTTTTTCTGATAGAGAGAAAACTGAAAACCATTACTTTTCCTCTGAAAGATGGTTTTTTTATTCTTTTTCTTCTATGCTTTTTTGTTGATGATCAAACAGTGCGCTTACAAACATCAACTACACCCAGTTGACAGAACTCTATAACAAGTACAGGAGCAAAGGTTAGCTGTTCCTATTTGTCTTTCTCTCATTGCCTCCCCTCTCCATTCTTAGATTTTTATTTCTTTCAATTACTTGACAAGGACTTATTTCTATGCAACGCGTTGGTGTCATTAGAGTAAACTGTGCGTCGATTTTTGTTTGAAAAGGCTCCTGTTCTACTTACATTTCTTGAAGATTCTTGTGGAGGATGAATTATAGACATGATGGGTTTCTTCCGCATATTTTGGGATGGTTAAATCATTGGGCAGTTTGTTCAGCTTCTTCTTCAGACTAATATCTATCTTAATTTTTTTTGAAGCATTGAGTAAATGCTGAATGCATCCAATATCAGACGGTTATGTACAAAATTACAAGTAGATGGATAAAACTTAGCTCTCATCCTCTGTCTTTGTCTCTTACTGGTTTTCGATGTATCTGCTTTTTTCGCCCCCTTTTATTTTTCTCCAAACATAAGCGTATCAGATGCACACCACACAGATCTACACATGAGCATAACAAGCATCTACTACATAGGGATAAAAGCATGTCTAGAATCCCGCACACGTCACCCTTTCTCTTCTTCTTCCGTATCTCCTTATCTCCATCTCAAATGCAACACATATACAACCTAATACAGCCAAATTCTACTCTCACGCTATAAATGTACATAAGGGAATGCTCAGATAGACAAGCACTGACATAGCATATCCACAGTGTCTCAAAACTGAACTGATCGTCAGATAGTCACTTTGGGACCTGGACTATCCGGAGGTTGTGGAATTCTCATTGTGATAATGTGCAATTATGGCTAATGCTTCTCAATTCTGCTACCACATAATGAAGAATAATGTTTTGATCTGTATTGTTGCTTCTATTGAAGGAATTATAACGCATAGATTAATATTAACTGGACGGCTATAAATTTTTTCCTTCAGATGTTTAGTTTGTCTTTGAATATTTAAAGGAGTGGAGGTGATTTCGTGGCAGGAACCTTAATTTCAGAGGTGGGAGGGGTAGGGAACAGTGCAAGTTCTGATTTTGGTCCGAATGCAATATTTCTTGTTCTCTATCCTAGCAAAAATTTTAGGTCTGTGCTAACATTTTCCATTTCAGAGATTGTATTTTCTTCATTATAGTAGTTTTTTTTTTCTCGAAAAGATAAGCTATCCCTTGAAATATTTTCTATGCAAACAGATCAAATTTTTACTTCTAAAATTGAGCATCTTTACTTCAAGTTTTTTGGTCCTTATCTCTCACTCACTGTGGAATATGTCGTTATTCTCTTTTATGTCTAACTTATGCCGCATGGAAAAAGTAGGATTTTACCAATCAAGTTTTCCCAAACGATTCCACACTGCTTGGAATTTAGTAATAGTTTTATTTGGCAAGGCATAATTTTAATGTACTCTTCTTTCCTTTTATCTTTATTTGTTTTGTCTCGTTGGGTGTGTACACAGATTTCGAAATTTTGGCCTTCCCATGTAACCAATTCATGAATCAAGAACCTGGAACAAGCCAACAGGCAGAAAGTTTTGCATGTGAGAGATTTAAAGCTGAGTATCCTATATTTCAAAAGGTAAAGTTGCTCTCAGTTTCTTTCCCTGGTTTGATGGTGGTTGAAAATGTAGAATTGCTTAGAAAAACCTCATCAAAAGATTATTAAAGAAAAATGTGACTTTAGCATCCTCAAAATTCATTACTTCCTCAAAATTCTGTTAACCAGTTTTCCAGGTTACTAGGCACATGCTTCTTATGAAGTCCAATAACACATTGATCACATCAAGGCTTCCCTCTCGTTTGATATTTTCATTCTGAATCTGTATATCATTGTGACGTTACAGTGTTCTGATTATTCTGTTTAGTGGATGGCAAGAAACGAAAACCGAAAGTATATTTAAGACTTTTTTAAACTCTTCCAGATGGGAATCCTACCTACAGTATTGTTATATTTGTAGCTTTGTTTGCTCCAATGTTTCAACCACTTTCCCTTTAATCTCATTTGCAATTGATTGAACATGTTGACATGTGCAAACATGAGACTGCAGTAAAACATTCATTTTAGGTATGCCATTAATGGAAGAAGCTAGAATTTTGACGGTTTCGTAATTTTAATAGTGCAGGCAAGAAAATATTTTCTCTTCCTACCGTCTATTCTCATTGAACTTCTAGGTGGGCATTCTCTTATTCAAAGGTACCTAGGTTTTGCATCAGAAATTTTTTGTTGGATAGAATTCGCCAAAGAGCTTTTTCGTATATTTTTGTTGCTTAGGAAGGCCTCATTGTTTAGAATTGACCATAGCTCGGGGTCAAGTGTTTGCTTATACCTGCATGAAACCCACTTAGTGATATATAATGAATTCATGAAAACCTCAATGATATATGTCGTTTGGTATGAATTTGGAGTTTAACATACCCCAAATTTCTGAATTTTGAGTTTTGCTTATATGTGCATGAAACCCACCTAGTTAATTTGCTGTTTCTTTCACTTTGACAGAGTTTTTTGGCATTAAGCCACTGATTGATATCATGCTACCTCCCTCTTAATCATTGATATCTCGAGGTTTATCCTTTTCTTATTGCTCGAGTACTTTGATATTTTTATCCTTTTATGTATCTTTTTATATCGTGGAACGTATCCATTGTCGGTTGAAGTTGTTGAAACAAAATATTTCTATTTTAAAAATTTAAGCTTTCTTCTTTTGGCGTCAAAATGATGACAAGAAGATCAGAGTTTTAATTGTTCTGAACGCAGAAATGATTACTTTGTAACATGTTGTACAATATAGCACCTGCACATCACCACTATCAACTAGTGAACGAATAACGCAAAAAGGAGTGGGGGGGAACATCATTGCACTAGAAAGGAAAATATTTCCATGCGAGGCAGTGTGACCAGTTGATGCTTCCTGCTCACCGCATCTGCCCCTCTTTTCTTCCTTTGTATATGTATGTGAAACAGTCAAACATAGTGATTTAGAGACTGCGGCCAGAATGTAACATGTGAATTCTTCGTCAGCTGTTGATAGTTCAGTCTGTCTGCGTCTTACTCCTTTTTTCTCCTCTTCCTTTTCTCATCTCAAGGAGAAAAAACCTTGAAGGTCTCCCATATTTGATTTTATTAGCCCTTCTTGCGTTCAAAAATGCGAAATCCGACATCAAAAAATTATCCTGCCTATTGTGTCTGCGGTGGCTATGGTTTCTGATATGGGAGCCAGCGTGCTGTAAGGTGGCCATACTTCTTTGGCCGCTTCCCTCTGTACAATAAATTCCCTATTTGTCACGTGTGTAGAAGCATGGAGTGGACAATTCACCTGATTCATCTCTTGTAGCATTTGGATTGCTAACTTTCTTGCTCTTCATCCTTTGGTAACCCTTGAATAATCTTGTATTTTCTGGTTCACTCCATATGCATATGCAACAGAAGAAATTGTCGCACTCCCAAAGTTGTCTGCAGTTATTATTATATCTGAACTAATAATTAGTTTTCTCTTCTAAATCGTGTTCATATGCTATTTATATTCTTGCAGTACAACCCATCAGATTTCGGGCAAGCTCTTCCACAATGATTAAACAATGACTCTAGCTAGTTTTCTGTCTTTTACAGGTTCGAGTGAATGGTCCGGAGACAGCACCAGTCTACAGATTTCTCAAAGCAAGCAAGACTGGTTTTATGGGATCTAGGATCAAGTGGAACTTCACCAAGTTCCTGGTTGACAAGGATGGCATTGTCATCCGTCGTTATGGTCCAAGAACTGAACCCTCGTCCATAGAGGTCAGAACCACACCCCATTATAGTTCTTATGTATGATGAACTACCTAAACATTGGGCTAGTCTGATTATATATATCTATTTATTTCATTCTCTGAGTTGTTTGTTCCCCTATCACTTCCTTAATGACCCTTTGTTGTAAACTTCAGAAAGACATTCAGAAGGCCTTGGGGGAGACCTAGCGTTGCTTATGATCAAGGACAAGTCGTGAAACACCGCAGAACATATCATTATTTAATTGTTTGCTTGTGTACAGGTCAAGGTTAAGCTTAGCAACTCTTGCAAGTTTGTGCGTGTTTGGGGAATTGCTTGGGAAATAGAGAACCATGGTTCTTACTGTACGATTTAACTGGCATGAGCTGTATGCTTTCTTCTTTGTTTTGTAACGTTTGTTCTCTGAGCCTTTAATTTGTGATTGTTCCCTTATCCCAGTTTGGAAGCACGAATGATTTTTGGGTCAATTAGCTTCATTGGGTTAATGATTTTCAGTAGAGGGTTGTTAAAGGTTTGTGACCTAATGAAAAGTTAGTATGGTGCTAATTCTCTTTTCCATTAGAGATGTTGCATTATGAACAGATGGCATGAGAGCACAAGACTAATGTTCCTTAAAAGACAACATTGAAAGATGCTCAATGTCTCACCCAAAATGTTTTTTTGGCAAAAGAATGGTTCCTTCAAATCTAGTATGGGCCTTGAAAAAATCAGCAACAACCTCAGAGATATTTGGTATGGTTTTAAGAAGGCTATGCTTCTATGTTTTTAACTTTTTTCAGTTGCACAAGGGTCAATTGATTATAGTTAGTGTGTGCTATCTTTCCCTAATTGGCAACATTTTCTATCGTTAACTTTTAGGGTTGTAGAACAGATGGAATGTCAAACATTTATCAACTCTATGGTGTTACACCCTGGCTAGGATGTAGGGGTTGAAGTTCCTCTCACTCCAGTCAACCTTTCTTTTGTGGGTAACTGGTTTTCATAGAATGTAAGAGTCAGCTGCATCTTCGTCCACCAGTTGATTGGGCCTTTCTATCTATTATGAGGGTTCCTCCCAGCCATTACCTTTAGAGGGGTGACTGTTGCCACTCTCGTTGGGTAGCTGTTGGGTGGCATTTCGTGGCTCTTGTCATCTGTTGGGCTCATTTCACCTGTTGTGCCAACTGTTGGGCTCGCCTGCCGGCACACTCGGATCTGTGTTCTTACCATCATGCAAGAATGGTTGTGCGCCTGCTCCCACTTGCGCACCTATGGTCCCGTGCTTGGGTTCCATCTTAGGCTGTTCTGTGCCTCTTGCATGCATTGTGACTCCCACATGCACTACATCTCTTGTGTGTGTTGCACCTGTCAGGCCTCTTGTGCACACTAAACCTCTTGTACATGCTGTGTGGTGTGGGTGCACTAGGCTGCCTCTGCACACCATGTTGCCTACATATGTTTTGTCGCTTGTGCATGCCATGTTGGCCACTTGCATCTTGCCACTTGCATGTGTTGAGCTGTCAATACATGTCGTGCTGTTTGCATGTGACGTGCTACCTGTGTGTACTGAGCCTCTTGCATGTGTAGTGCTGCCTGTGTGCTCCTTGCCATTGGTGCACTCTATAGTGTCCCTACATACTATGTCTATATAGGACATTGTCATTTTCTTGTGACATTCTCTCGTGCTTGGAAAGTACGACATCTTTGTCAAGATGGAGGTGAGGTATTGCTCTAGTTGGGCTTCGAACTATCATAAATCTTTCTCTGGGTGTCCAAACGCCTCTTCATTGGCTCCTTTTCCTATTGGGTTAGGAAGTTCGTTTGTTAGTGGAGGTTGTGATAGCCTCTTCCATTGATTACCCAATGGTCAAGTATTTTGATAATGTCATTTGGAACATTGTTGTGGTTATAGATGGTTGTCTCTTGAGTTGATTCTTTTCTATCTCTACCTTGTTTACCTTGTATTATTTAAGGAGTGGCACACGAAAGCATAGTGGAGTAGTAGGTGCAATGAGAGCTTCAGCTTATGGGCGATCATATCAATGAGTTCCACTATGTGGAAGGGACCTTCATATATGAGTATTAAGCTTCTCTCATGTTTTGGTAGATCTCTAGGTGCATTCAAAGTAGTAACTTCTCACCCACTTAGAATTTCACCTTTTGATGGTAACAATTGACTTATTTTTTCATTATGTCAATGGCTCTTTGTAGGTTGTCCTATCTCCTCTAACACCTTCATGTGATGGCATACTAGTATTATCATTACGTGGGATTGATTTAGCATGTTCAGTTGTTGTAGGGGTATCAATGGTAGTCAGCTCGTTGTTAGTTCAAATGAGAAATATCTAGTGGTATTATAATGTTGTAAGTTGTATGTGAGTTGTGTAGTGTCTAGTAGCTCTACTTAATTGTCTTGTGTAGTTGAGATGTAGTGGTTGAGATACTCTTCCATGAGAGTGTTGAGGCACTCAATTCACTCGTCTATTTGTAAGTGATAAATCATAGAGAAGTGTAGTTATGTGTTTAGGTTGGCAAATAGTGATTTTTAAAACAAGTATCACAATCAAATATGATTGTCCATAGAAACCTTTAATTCTTGACAACATGTTTGAATATTAGTTGGGTTGCTTTTCAATTGTGTAGTGGCAATTGATTAGGGCAAAAATTTCATACTTCTACAATTTGTCAATGATGACTAATATGATATTGTTTGGTTTATTCTTGAGTATAAAAATTATGAAATCTTAAGTGGTGGTGTGTCAAAGTATGTCTAGGATAAGCAACAACTATAGTAAGTTAACTTGTCGTAGACATTCCTTCGTCTTATTGGCATATGGGGTAGGACTCAACATAGGCCTCAATGTCTTTTTCCATTCTTAGCCAAAAGTAGTCCCAATTGAGTAGTACCAATGTCCTAGATGTCTTGATCATGGTGAGTTATACACATTTATGATCAATATTTACTAGAAGTTTCTTGTGACTAGGATGTACACTTGGCACCCCCTTATATATATGAGGCCATCATCTTGCTAGCAACATTTTGTCGTATTTTGCTGTATTCGGTTCAATAATTTGCACATATCTGTCACGTCTACTCAATATGTCCGCCACGATATTTTGTGTTCCCAACTTATCTTACATCATAAAATCATATTTAACTAAGAGTTGTTGGCACCTTATTTGCTTGAATGTTAATCCTGGATGTGTTTGAAGTAGTTTATGTCTACATTATCAATGTAGAGTGTGAAATAATTTCTTAATAAGTAATGACTCCACATCTAGAGGCAATGGATGATGGTGGTCATCTCTTACTCATAGGTTGAGAATTGTGTTCTACATTGTAGAGTTTAATACTTTCAAAAGTGATGGGTTATACCTCTTAGTTGAAGATGTGCCCACACTGTCGCTACTAGCATCCATGTGAACCACAAATGATTTTGTGAAGTTGGGTAGCTTGAGTATTGATTCCATTATAATGGTTGACTTCAATTATACAAATGTCTCTATATATTACTTCAACTACCTCTATTGCTCATCCTAGTACAATAGGTTAGTGAGGGGTAAAATCCCCCTCACTAATCCTTTAATGAATCTTTTGTAGTAGTTGGTGAGGCCTAGAAATGATTTTAATGTCTTTACATTTGTCGAAGTTAGTCATTATTGGATTGACTTCACCTTGGCATTGTCCATCTTCACTTATCTTTTGTTTATGATGTGTCATAAGAAGTCAATCTCTGTTGTTGCAATCAATATTTTGTTGAGTTCAAATGCAACTCATGTTAGTGGATAAGGTCCAACATGGGGTGAAGGTGGTCTTAGTGTTCTTGTAAGTTTTATTGTCGATTAATATGTCATCTAGGTAGACTAATATGAAGATATTCAAGTATGACCAAAAGATATTATTCATTAATGTGCAGAATGTAATTGAGACAATGGTTAGCCTAAAAGACATCACCTTGAACATAAAAGATTTGTATCTAATAACATATGTCATCTTCCATTCATCTCTTTTTTTGATATGCACCTAATGACATTTACTTTTTAAGTTGAGCTTTGAAAAGATCTTGGTGGCCCCTAATCGATCAAAAAGGTCTTCTACATTTGATACATGATAATGGTTACAAATTATTAGTTTGTTTAGTATGTAGTAGTCCATACACAACTTTAAGGTGTTGTTCTTTTTCTAGAATAAAACGTGCACACCAAATGGTGATTTGGAAGGTTATAAGTGTATGTATTTCAACAATACATGTATCTACCTCTTGAGCTTGACCAAATGATGTGGCGGCATCTTATAAGGCATACAACCAGTGGGTTCACCCTTGGTACCAAGTCGATGAGATAATCTACCTCCCTTTGTGGCCACAAAGAGGCAATTAGGTTGGTAGTCAATTTGAATACTCTTCTAAGAATCGTTTGATGGTCATCAATACTTTTTTCATTTAGGTTCTTTGTGTCCCTAAGTATAAAGTCAATGAAAATGTCTCATCTTTATGTTTAAGCCCATATTGTACCTTAAGAGCCAAGATTAGTCTACCTTTAGTCTTTTGGGTGTTGTGCTTATCACTTCTTCCTTGCATTGGATGGCCGGTATAAAATTTGAAGACACTTCTATCAACATTATCACATTATATGAGTATACTTTGACCTAAGTTGTAGTTATAAAATTTATACCAAATATGATCTTAAAACTACTAAGAGACATTACCATGAAATATAGTTAGCTTCTTCATCTCCCAACCTCCCTAGGTACTATTTTGACAATTCCAGTCAATGACCTCGTCAAGTTATTTCCTACTTTGAATCTGATCATTGTCTCTATTAGTGTGATTCCTAGTTGACGAGCATCCTAAAGGGTCATGAAGTTGTGGTGCTAGTGTCAATCATAACTATCACTTGCTCTCTATTTACTTAGGCTTTACAAAGACTAATTGTTCTCCTTAGGGTCCTTGTAGTTCTTGTGGGTGAAGGTAGTTAAGTAGTTGGAAGTTATTTATTTGCACCTTTTGTGCTTCTCCTTTGTCTTCCTTCAAATTCAGGGTTTGTTTCTCCACCATAATATAAAATTAGAGTTGCTTATCGTTTTACTCATATATACAATCTCATTGTTGATGGGGCCTTTCGTAGTTGAAATATTTTGTTTTGAAACAAATTAGAGTTGAAACATTTTGTTTTGTAAAGTTGTGGAGTTGTCTCTATGGGGCAAGGTAGCACTAAGAGGGTGAGAGTTTAATTTCAATTACATCCCCTCCTCTTCCTCTATTTTTGCCTCCCTTGTTGTTACCACCACAAGCTTAGTTGTTGGTGGTTAGCGTAAGTCTCGTCTCTCCCTATTATTGAGGTCAACTATAGTTTGTTAATTACTCCACTACAATGTACACCACTTTGAGGTCTTAGATACTTCTTCGTTGCACTTTGACATGTGACTATAGTTGCAAGCCAATGAAGAAGTGAAGTCAATTCTTCTCCTCCATCTCCTCAATATCTAATATTAGTGTTTGAAACTTATCCACATAGTAGCTGATAGCTCCAATGTGTTTGAGGGCTAGCATCTCATCTAAGCAATGTTTGATCCATTTACAAGATGGTGGTATCACTAGAACTCTGTCTTGAATTCTAGTTAATTTCTAGATGGATCTCCCCTTCTTACTTGCCACCAGATTTTGACATTCTTTGTAAGAAATCTTCTCATATTTTCCACTTCATGATCTTCTAAGTATTCCTTGAGGTCCTGTGCAAAATTGTCAACCTCTATTGCATCACAAGTACCTACAAAGGCTTTTGAGTTTAGTACTTGAGGGGTCTTTTTCTCTAAGAACTCTAGACGTCTTTTATCCATTTGTCATTTCTCAACCTCCAAGCCTCTCATACATTCTCTAAGTTCTTCTAGTGAAGTCTGCTATGCTTGACTAAATTTAAAGTTGATCTCCCTCTATAAATCTCTAACTTGGTGTCCATCAATTGAGCATTCTCTAATAGATTCTAGAGTTCTCACATTTCCATCTACAGATGTTGAGACTCTTCTTGCACTTGAGTGTGGGTCTCTATTAGTGCCACTCCATCTCTTCCACTCATGACATAGCTTCTTGTAGGGCTTCCTCTAGCTAGGTGATGTAGAGTCCCTACCCTTCCTCCTCATGGCTTTGATACCACTTTTACATACTAAGGTGCTAAGGTTCCTCTCACTCCCCCAATCAACCTTTTTTTTATGGATAATTAGTCTTCATTGAATGCAAGGGTTAGGTGCATCCTCGTCCATTAGCTTTATTGAGACCCTCTATTTATTTTGAGAGTGTTACCCCTAAAGGGTGATCATTGCCCCTCTCATTAGGTAGTCATTGGGTTGTGTCTTGTGGCTCTCACCAACTATTGGGCTTGTTTTGCCCATTATGCCTACTTGCATGCTTGAATCTACACTCCTACCATCATATAAGAATGGTTGTATGCCCACTCCCACTTATGTGCCTATAGTCCTTCGCTTAAGTTCCCACCTTAGGCATTTTGTGTCTCTCACACATGTTGCACTTCCTATGTATGTTGTGCCTCCTATGTGCACTGCATCTCCTATGTGCACTGCACTTACCGTGCCTCCTACACATGCCACACCTGCCATGTGCACTACATCTTTTGTGCATGCTGTGTGGCATGGGTGCACTATGTCGCTTGCACATTCTTTGCTGCCCATGCTTGCCATGTCTTCTGCTTGTATTGTGTCACACACTACTTGCATCTTGTTGCTTGTGTGTGCCAAGTTGCTAATGCGTATTGTGCCACCTAGATGTGATGTGTTACCTGCACAATATCACTTGTGTGCTCCTTACTACTGATGCACTCTATTGCGTCTCAATGTATTGCATCTGCATAGGACCTTGTCACTTCCTTATAACACATAGCATGTGACTTTATTGTGGATGGTAAATGTGACATTATGGGCATATATTCTTCTGCATTATGATTTATATATAACTTTATAGCATGTAAGATGTTGCATTCTTATTGACTCTCTCTATCCAAATTTTCATTCATAATTTACTTCAAAAACTAGTTCATATCATCCCTCCATGGTGAGGAGAGGGTGAACAATTGGTTATCATTAATGAATTAATTTTGATGAGAACGTATTTTTTTATTAATTTTATCATCTAAATAAGATGGTTTACCATACATTTTCTGTACGATTTAATTTGCATCACTCTCCTTTGTTAGTAATCCTCTCAAGAGAGAGTTATATATATTTTATATGTCTATCAATATTACGGAATTAAAATTTTAATTATCTAGAATTCCACATCCCTTGTGCATCTTCTAGGCACAATGAGTATATCATTCTGATGCATTATGGATAGTACATCACATGTGGCATAATAGGGACTTATTAAAATTTTAGTAGTTATAGTTATGGTAAGATGATCATGTCACTTAATGGAACATTTTGCATGGTAAGTTCTAGTCATATGGGTTATGTACTCTTAATTGAAAACTTTCAAAAAATATGACAAAACATTTATGACTACTCAAGGGTTTTTGGTGAATATTAAAAGTAGATAAATGATAAAAGATATATATATATATATTAAAAATACTAAAATTTTAGTTATATTTTCACAAATCAATCAAGAGAGTATTTGCAACAAAGATAATTTTCTTATCCAGATCTTTTCTTATGATGTATTTTGAATTATTTTTTCACAAATTGAAAGAAATTTCATTCATGTAAGATGTTAGTAATCATTAACAAAGTTCCCTCTCAGCACTATGAGCGAGCTACCACCTCTCTCAAGAATTATTACCTATACACAAATACTAACACAAAAAGATTTAAATAAATGTTGGGATGTCCTATGTTTCATTATTAAAGTGAGAAAATTAATACCTTAGTTTATAAAGTTCATTTCAATGTTTAGTAACCAATAGTAGAAACCTAAATTGTCTTGTAGGAAAAAAATGTCGTAAAAAACTTCAAAGAAATAAAGTTTAAATCTATATTCTATAAGAATAAGAGTTTGAAGAGGAGTTTATGAATTAATGATAATAGAATATGAAAGCCATATAGTTGGAGCTTTAGTAAGTAAATGTAAGCACTATATTTCTTTGTCACATTACTTAAAAAAAAATCATCAATACTTTATAATTGTTTATTTCTTTAATCTATGCACATTTCTTTCAAACATACCTTCTTATTGCTCATGAGATATTGACTACTCAAATAATGTTGCTAAACATTACTCAATATAGGCTTCTCTTACATTCCTTGATGTTCTAGAGGGGAAGTAGTAGATGGTTCTCTTATCATGATGTGCAACAAGGATTGTGTTAAAGTAATGATATCCAATGACAAATGTCATTGGATGTATACTATAGTTTAGTATTTAAAAGTCTAAGAGAATTTATACAACATAATATCAAAAAATAAAGTAAAAAATATTCCTTTCCTTCTTCACATATTATTTGTATTTTTCTAGGAATATGCATTAAAATAATGTTATCTAATAATGTTTTACAACTATGACTACATTAACTTTGGTAATAATTTTGCATTGAATTAAAAAGTTAAATATTCACATATATATTTAATATGTTATCATCTATTATGTGTTGAATGTTCTTTTGAGTCTTTTTTCATTTGTCTTGTTTTCATGTTATACATTGCAATATTTGAATAGTAAAATACTCTAATATGTCAAATAAAGAATTTCTTAACTTCATGTGCTTATAGAATGTATACATGATAAGGATATGTATTACATTATATTTTCTGCTGCTTTTTTCCTTCTCACAATCCTAATTGCATCATTTTACGAAAGTAATATTTCAAAATAAGTTTAAAGTATACTTAAATCGAGAATATTTAGTTATTGATCTGACATATTTTCAAACCATGGTAGGCCCATTGTTTTATCTCATCTTCTACTCATTTAGTAATTATTTTATACCTCATTAAGAGATCTTTAAGCAAGCTTAGACCAAGTCTAGCTCCACACTATCATTACTCTAGATAGTAAGCCAATAGTTGACCCCAAGAGAAAAACAAATTCTCAAGAAACATGAAAGGACTTTCAAAACTACAACCCCAAGAGGATCAAACAGTTAGTTAAAGGCAAAATGACCATTTATGTAGCTAGCCTGTTATATTTCCAAACACATGTTCCTTGGGAAAGCACACCAACTAATTTATTATATCTGGAAACCCTTTTCTTATTGTGGCCTTTTAGAGGCCAATAATTCACAGACTATTATATTCTTGCGGAAATTTTCTTCCTTATATTCCATGTATAATCAAAGCGTCTAGATCTTTTTTCCTCCTGGATTTAAAGAACGAATTATAGTTTCCAAACTTATACACAGCATTAATAGAATATAAAAGTGATATCATGATATACTAACCAAGTCTCAAGAACAAGCAATTTCACTTATACATAGCATCAAGAGGAATGCACGCCCGGGGGATTATTTACCTCTTTACATATGTTGGAGAAGTAGAATGCATGTGTGGGTAGGTGACGATAATGTCGGAGACATTGCACCGTCAATTCATCAGCTCAGAGTCACGGTCGAAGTACTCCCAGTCATCATCTCCCAAAGCACTGTGCTGATGATGATCCCCAGCAGAGAGAAGCTTCTCTTCCAGGTGCTTGGAACCCTGGCCCTCCAGGTTCTCCCCTCTGGGGTCGTCAGATCGCACCGCGCCGGCCAGGAGCTTCTCTGAAGCGGAGCTCATGGAGGAGGAAGTCGAAGAAGCCAAGCTGGTCAGGATCTGACTTGACGACGGAGATCTTCCGAGGGGCATGCGATGGTCGACCCGCTCTTTAAGTAATAATACGTCCGCACAGATGACGGATATTTCTCCCCTGCAAATCGATCCAAAGCCCACCCTCCAAGTAAATCACAGAGCTTGGTTCTTGGAGTCCGGCCAATGATTTCTATTTATAGAAGGTTCTTTTTGACTAATGAATCTACACGACAAGGTTCGAGAGGACTCACTGCAATGTGTCGACTAGACGCCCTCTTTCCATCAGAAACTCCCTCAGCTGCAGCGTGGGCAGGCAACAGAAACGTGAGAACTTTGCTAACAATACCAACCGAATGGTTATTATAATCTGTTTTTGCATCGTTTTGAAGAAGAAGAAGAAGGGTTGAATATATCGCGAATCAGCATGTTAATAATGGTTCTGTATCATATAATGCAGGAGAGAAATGATTCTCCTCACAAGGTTCGACGATAAGTGTTCCCTGTGGATAGCATTGGGTGCTGCTTATTTTCTCACGATATGCAGATCATTCGCAGAAGGTTCATGGAAGAAATATTGCAAGTGAAAAAGAGAAATACCTTTGAGTTTTCCTCAGCTTCTTGATGGAGCTTCTTAGATTCCCGAACCACCCTATCCATGATAGCCTCCTGCTCGCCAAGTGCTCTACGGGCTGTTTCTTCTTTCTCATACTTCTCTTGCTCTGCTTCAATTCTTTCTCTCTCTGCCGTATCTACACGGGCTTTAAGTGTTTGCCGAATCTAAGAAAATAGTGCTTGAAAGTCAGACAAAGAAGAACATTTTCCATGTGTAATCACAACTTTCTCCCAAATGATATCAAATGTATCAAGCTTGGGAGGTAGGGGCAGATAAATGGTTCGATTTTAACGTAAAAGGTCAGCATTTTGCCTGCTAACATCAAAAATCAAAACAACATTCATTAAATAATTAGTGCGCACCTCCTCAATGGTCGCCAGTGTTTTATGTCTCTCTGCAGATAAACTGAGAAGCCGAGATTGAAGTTCCTTCGCCTCAGTAGCTAATATGGATTTTTCACCATAAACTTCACCAGCATGCTGTGAAAATATCAGGATTTATCAGTTCATAACTTAGGTTAAGCAATTGTTTTATAAGTGAAAAGAGACTGAATACTACACCATGTTGTTTGCTTCTTTGGCATGCTTTAGCATTTCCTTAAGGTCTTCAACTTTTGCGAGGATGTCTAAACCAGCTTTGGAGGCCTCTTCTTTAGCCAGATTGGCTTCCTTCTCACAAAGATCCACTTGTTTCATCAAATCAACTATCGACTCGATTTCAGAAACCATAACATTCTGAGTATATATCATTTGTAAAGGACAAAAATCAATCATTTGTACTCTTGATCCAAATTTAAGGAACTAAACAAAAAGAAACTTAAGGAATTGACAAGACAAAATAAACGGTAGAAACTAAACAGTTTTTCGTGTCATGGGGATGAATACAGAAAAATAACTGCCAATAAACTGATACAAATACAGACTATATAGTAAGAGCATGAAATGATCACCATGTTGGGGTATGGCTCTACAAATGCAAATCAACTTTACTGATTTGGTGAGTAAGAACAATGTTTTAAAAGAAAAAATGAACACTATAGGAGGAAATGACATGAGAATAACATAAACAATGAATAAGATCAGTTATACTAGATCAAGCATGGATGCGAATCATATCAGTCAAACTGGACAAATTTCACGAAAGTAGGTATAATTTTAAAGTTGTAAAAAAAATAGAAAGGAGGAGAAGATGGGAAAGAAGGGAGATGAAGGTCTAAAAAAATAGCTCAGTCAGCGCCTCCCAATTATTCGCATATAGAGCTAACCCTCAAAAGACAAAATCAAGAGGCGCTATGAATAAAACAGAATAAGTAATTAAAGATAGAACAAAAGATAGTAATGCCCTCGTATTCTCGACACTACCACACAAGCTAAGCACAGATGCTCATCATGTTCATCAGGCTCAATGCTACATTGAACTGGTCGTGTATAAGAGCTTTAGTACAGATACATGCACACTAACTATTAGAACAGAATTACTGAAGACACAACTTCACAATATAAGGCTTTCCTTTATAAAATCGTGATCAATCTATAGGGTAGTCTCCATTGAGAACTGAGCGGAGTTCTCTCACCCTCACAATAAAACAGCACATGTGAGAGGTAGACCTCTAGTTTCAAATTTCTGTATGCAATAGCCTATCACTGAAATACCAGTAGTTAGAAAAATACCAATGTCCATAAATTCTTAATCATAAGTAACAAAACAACTACCCAAAAAAATACTTCCATAATGTCCAGATAAACGAATAATTAAATTGCTATCTTGCGTCTACCGAATTAGAGAAGAAACGGACACAAAAGGTACATAAATACTTAGCTTTAAAAAAGGTTTGGAATAAGAAGATGAATTTAGCAATTGGAAACCACATGAGCACATGAAAACTTGATTCTTCAACACGGAAGTATACATTAACATCATGTGATGGAAAAGTTACTTGTCAAGGAAACAGATTAAAGGCAAATTTATGTACCTTGATGCCTTTGCAATCAGTAACAAACTCTTCAAGACATTCAACACTGACAACCTGACTAGATCGTGCAGAAATCTCTGTAGCAGTATGATTGTCATCAATAGGTTCCTCAGTGCTGAGGACCAAGAGTTCATCAACAGTATCTGCAGAACATACCAGGTCTTCCTTATGTACATTGCAAGAAGTGCTTTCATCTTTCTCTGATACCGGTCTAAGCTTCACAGAACTTGGATTCTCTTCAATAGATGATGCAGAAAAGTTTTGGGATACCAGGCTAGACCCTGGAAGGTATTCTAGACCATTTAATTCTTGGAGACGAGCTAGAAGAGCGCTGCTCGAATCCACAAGAGGATCTTTGCATTGCATCAAACCTAAAACAGAGGATGAGTCCGGATTCGGTTCAAGGTGGTTATTTTCCGGTTGGGTAGGTTCTTCAACTTCACAGATCGATGACTGACTACCAGTGGCATCATGCTGAATATTAAAAGGGGGTCCACTGACACTGGACACAGATAAATTGGCATTTTTAGAATCAAAAGTATTCCCACATGTCAGAGCCGTTGGATCAGAATACTTAGTTGAAACATCCTCAATTAAATGTTCTTGATACCCCAAGGGAACATCATTTTTTTCTGGCTCAGCAATAAATTCATGGGAGGAAGCAGCCAATGTTGCTTTGTCTACTCTCGGTGAACTGGCATGCAAGGAGGCACTGTTATTACCGGTTCCATGAGTGCCTTCTATCAACTCCCCTGAATCTGTATGTACAGAAGAACTTGCGTCCTCATTTCTAGACGTCGATGAAAAGCCCAGACTGCTGAGATCAACTACAAATGTAAATCAAGACAACTATTAATGAAGCAACAAGGGATGCCAGAACACTATAGAAGCTTAAGACTCTGTAAATAGTCAAGTTGAAGTACTAGGTGATTCATTCGTTAAGCATGCGGTTTCAGTGCTAACTGAGAAAGGACAGCAGTGTTGTACAACCATGCTGGAGTGAAATGAAAGTCGCTATTGCAAAAATTGTGGAAGCAGTAAAAAGAAAAAAATTAATTTCATGATCAAAACCTGGAAAGCCATTATTATATCACGAAACAAATGATAGAGTTTCTAACCTTCCGGTGATTTGGAATTGTTCTGTGGAGCACCAACAGAAGAGAAAGATTCCTCTTGTTGAACACCTAAAGAGGGTAAGACTTCCAAAAGGATAAACTCAACAGCTGCATCAACATCCCCAGAATGTTCAATAGCAACAGCTTTCAATACACGTAGATCAACCTGTGACACAAAAGGATTTGAATTGGTTACATTGTTTGTATGAAAATAGTAGCCACAAGAAAACAAAGCTACAAGGGCAATAACTCTTCCACATGGTTCAAGGATTTGAAGAAATTGTACTCCGTGTATTAAAAAATTGATGTAATATGAAAATGTGACATCTAATTCAGTGTGGTGGACAACATAATTCAGTTTCCGAAACAATAACCAATCCAACAGTCCTTGCTATCTCCAAGTCATGCCAGATGTTCTACATAAACTTGAAGCATTACCAAGATCCCTAGGGAAATGGCAAGGTACAAGTGAACGTTTGTGAAACAGACACACAACAATCCAGAAGTCACAAAAACATAGGTCAAAGGTGAGCAATCAAGAGAGGTTTTCCACAATCTATATTCTGGGACAAAATCTAACCATCAGCAATTATCAAGTTTTTCAAGTGACATTAGTATGATATACATGCGAACCCAGTTACAGGATTGTCTGGATTATATATTAGCATAAAAACTAACTCAGATCAGACAAACATTTATAAAAAAATGTTGGATGGAATGGGGGACATTTTAGGGACCAAAAGCTGAAAGACACAGGAGAAAAAAGCATCAGACCTCATGCATTTTCTAAATAACGATCCAATATGAGCCCCATAATCTGTACCAAAAAGTAGTTATTCGTTGAAATTTTTTTTTCCAATACCGATGATAGTACGAATGGAACCCTAAATATACTTGAATCTAGGATATGATGAACAAGAAAAACTAGGTCTTCAATATTTTCAAAATCAATCCACTAAAACATGTCCTCGTCAGTCGAAATCAGTAAATTAAAGCTGCACTATTCTCAAATTGTCCACCCCCCTTGTAGAGATATTTGACTCTGACTACGTCACGATCCCCCTTTCTGATTGAAATGAAAGATCGAAAACAGAAAATTTGGTGCAGTGGCATCACATGTAATCGGTAAGAAAGATTGAGTAAATGTTGTTGTAAGAAAAAAATGATTAGATCACAGTTCCTGATAACACCAGTCCATGGAAACTTGTAAAAAAAAGCATAAGCCATAGGCAGAGAGTAAAGAAAATTATAATTCTATGAATTATTTTGAATAAAGAGACATTTTAGTCACTTAAGAATCGGTATACAATTCATAAGAATGAATGGATTGTAAATATGGTGCAAATTATACTTGATAGAACCCAAAAAAATTTACACCAAGGTTTTTGACGATAAATAGTGAGCATAAACGAAAGATTTGAATCTCTATAACTAATTTCCCGAAGAAAAAAAAATCTAATTGGTGAGAAGGCAAGACAAGCCTCACCAACGGAATCAAAACCATCAGCTGACGGGATGCATCAATAGCACAAAGTGGGCACCAAGAAGACCTAAGAATTTTATTTCACCGTACCTGAGGGAACACCTCCTGCAGAGAGCGGTAGACAGATCTGAAACTCATACTCTTCGACAAGAGATACCAAAATCTGACAGAAAAACAGAGTCATCGCATCAGAGATAGAACAAAGCGTGAAAAACACCACCATATGCGGGATTAAATACGAGAAGCAGGGGCGATCAGAAGCGAGAAGGGGGAGGGGAAAGAGAAGCCAAGCCGCGTACCACGCGAGCCAGACACAGGGACTGAGCGGGGACTGAACCAAGGACTTCTCCCCGCCGCGAGCCGTCTACCTCCGCTACCCACGCCTTCCAGTCTCTGCACGACGAACTGCCGTCCGAACGAAAAGGAAGAGGAAGAATCGACCACGCGGTGGGGGATTAGTGGGAACGGGCAGAGAAGCTGGAAGACGAGTACGAGAGGCGGCAGCACAGGAATTATAGACTTTCCTCTGCAATTTCTCGGAACTCTCTCTCTCTCTCTCTCCCCCTCTCTATCTCTATTATATGTGGGTCCGGGGTATGAGATGATGGAAAACCGGATTGGGCCGGTTAAAGAGAGACCTAGGGCCTTAACGGTTAGATCCATCCGTAGGAAGAGTGGGCGTGAAGGAATCGAAAAAATAAAAATAAAATCGAAAATGATAAAAAGGGTCTTATTTATTCTGACCTAAATATAAAATATGTTCTACCTGTCGTTCAGTGTTCTTGATATTTATTTATTAATTTAATTAGTCATTATCATAGTTTTAGAAAGTATTTCCTGGAAAACAGGGAAGAAGCCACCAATGATTTTTTTTCCTATTTTGCCCCTTAATAGGTAATGGGTGGTGGTCAAACCTTTCTCTTGAAGAGAATGATAAAATGACACAAAATTCTTCTGGTGGGTCCCACCACCTCTCTCTCTCTCTAAAGCCATCATAGTTTTGAATGCACTACCAATCCTCATGTCATATATTATTAATGTTAGGACATGAGCATCTCTTCCTTCCTTCCTTCTTGAAGATGAGGAGAGTGAGTGAAGGGGAAAGAAACACTAGTGGATTATGTAGGTAGTCTGAAAAATCCTCCTAAAAAATCATCCATAATCTCATAGAGCCCTCTTTCTCTCTCCCTTTTTAGAGAGAGAATCAACCCATAAAATTACAAATGGGACTACATCACACTAGGGATGCAAATTATACTAATATCCAATCTTATCATTCTTAACATACCTTCAACAATTTATCACCATCAAGCAAGCTTCTATCAAAACACGATGAATTGAACATGGATTGTAGTCTCTAACATATAGAGAGTATACACATAGACTTCGATAGGTTTGTTGCAATCTCTTTCTATTAATACCCACCACCCCTATTTTTTCCTTCATCACTTCATAGGATTACTTAATATAGACAAAGGTAGTTTGCCTCTCTAATTCCACACTTCACTTCATTGCTTAATGAGTCTTCTCTTCTCTAGGTGTTACACTCATCTAATGGTTAGCTTAAGTATTGTGGCACATTTGTGTGTACGATGACATGATACATGAGCTTGACAACATCGTGGAGGCATACGGTGGCAACAATGAGAGTATGCAAAGACATGACATGTGCACACAGCAACAAGATGTGAGCATAATGACACAATCCCACATCTCACATAACACAGAGTACACATAGTACATAGACTCCATGAGCAGCTAATTTTGCCCCTAATAGAATTGCTGCAATCTCTTTCTATTGATATTCATCACCCCTATTTTTCTCTCCATCCCTTCATATGAGTACTCAATACATACAAAGGTAGTTGCCTCTCTAATCCCACACTTCACTTCACTACTTAATGAGTCTTCTCTCTTCTCCAGGTGTTACAATCAACTGATGGTTAGCCCAAGTACAAGTACACATTTGTGCACACAATGACATGATGCATGAGCTCAATGGCATTCCAGAGGTGCATGGCGGTGACAATGAGAGTGTGCAATGACATGACACATACATGTGACAACAAGACATGGGCATAACAACACAGTCCCACAACTCACATAACACAGAGTACACACATAGACTCTGTGAGCAGCTAATTTTGTCCCCAATGGGGTTGTTGCAATCCATGTCTATTAATATCCACCAACCTTATTTTTTTCATCATCCCTTCATAATATTACTCAATACAAACAAATATAGTTTGGCTCTCCAATCCCACACTTCACTTCACCACTTAATGAGTCTTCTCTCTTCTCCAGGTGCTACAGTCATCTTCTGATGGTCAGCCTAAGCTTTTTTGCTCAGCTCTCATACCCCTCCCTCCCATTAGTGCTGGCTTTGGCTAGTCTTGAATGGCACCAAAAATAGCCCACATCTTTTTGCTCAAAGTGGTAATAATATGAATCTATGCACTTATTTATAGCCATAAAATTTATCTATCTTATCTACAGTTCTAGTGGGGGTTGATTTATTTGGGTTTAAATCTCTTGCCATAAATAAGGGGTTGAGGGTTTTGGTAATTAATGGCTCGCATATTTTTCTTATTGGATTTTGGGTTTTAAAAAGAGGATTTTTGGGTGTAAATAGGGAGGATAGAGAGGCTTTGTTGATCTTGTCCGAAAGATAACCACCTTTTTATAATGAGTAGTTTCTTATATAGTCGCAGAGTAGTTACGGTTATGGAGTCGCTTTCTTAGACCCACCCGCCCCCTCCAGACCCCGAGGATCTCTCCCCCCTGCGGGATCGTCGGCTGTGGCGGTGCTGGTTTTACTGCCCCAACTCTGATAGCATATGGCTGCTCTCCGGTGGTGGCGCTGGAGGACAGTCGACGGGAGCTCGTTGTGGTATCGTTGCTTGATGTGGATGCGTTGTGTCGCCGCCGCCGTGATGAGGCCGCCCTCCTCCAACCAGTACCACCAGCACAGAGGAGCATCTTATGTCGCGCTTCTGATGCTGCTTCTCCCGGCCTTTTGGCCGGGGATATTTTCGCCGCTAGACCATGCCTCCCCTTCCATTTTCTCGGTGAGACCCTCCAGCTCTCTCTCGACATGATCGAGTTTCTCAATGAATTTTTCTCTTCGGGTGAAACTACCTGGAGGGCAATTAAACGGGGAGGCCCGGACTCGGCAGGTGCCCTGTCCCAGTTTTTGTCGCAAGTTCTGGTTCGACGCCCTTGGTGCTTAGGGTTTTGTTACCGCGGGTTAAACAGTATTTTACTGACACAAATGATGTTGACTGATTAAACCAAAAAGCCACTCTGAAGAAGAGGCCGGTGTGATTTCTTTGGGAACTTGCGACCGATAGCCTAGGAAATTGCTTGGATTGCAAGGACTCGCCGTAATCATTTTAGGCCAAGCACAAAGGCTTTTCTGGTCCATTATCCTTTCTTTCAAAGCATTTGTGGAATTATTATGGAAATCCTGAGTGGATACTCCTTCAGTTTTATTTCTATTCCGATTTCTCCACCTGAAAGCCAGTAACGAGTATTGGCGAAAGAGTTGGTCGCGCAAATAATGCAGTACTTCTTGCCTCGGGAATTATTTTTTTCCTATTATGTAAACCAGCATTGCATTGTTGGATACAGTTCTGAGCATCTATTTATGTTTTTTCACAAATGTTGGTCATCATTTTCGCTGTTGATTTAATGGGATAGCTTTGTAGTTGCAGCATTGGAATGTTCTTTGTTATAATTACTTAATCATGCGTTAATTAGTTTCAAAAAATTTCATTATTTCAGTTCACGTAATATAATATTCATAAATTAGTTAGTTAATCATCTGTCCTAAGTGTTTTGTGGAAAGCTGATTTTATTTCAGTTCTGTATGTGTATGCATTGCCTACTGTCTTTAAAGTTCTTGACCCTGTTTTCTTTGATGCATGGCAGATGATTGCAAAGAGCGTCATCTTGCAGGAATGGAATGCCCCTAGACCTGTTCATTTGTCTTTGCTGAAGGGTGCCATTCAGCGGCACATAGTGAGTATCAACCTATCTTGCTCGTGTGTTATTTTTTTCTATCAGTTTGTGGTTCTTTAGTCAAGCGTCCTTCCAGACTGGACTGGAATTAATTACAATGGTTGGTTTCTGCTTGCTTCATTTTCTTTAGGCAGATGAGCAGAGGTCTGATCTTTGGTCTCCTTTGCCACCCCAAGGTTGGAAATCGTGTGCCAGATCTTTAGATACACCTGGTTAGTAGTTTTTAATTATTATATCATCAGTCCCTTCGTCGGTGAGAAACTTGTTTCTATGTCTGTGTTTATATATCTGATTTAAAAAAGAAAAAAAGGGGTCACTGACAATGAGATCCTTTCCTAACCTATACTAACTTTTTCTATGAGTAGGATTTCCCAAGAAATCTTCAGGATATATCCAAGTGTTTCTTGATGGAGGTTTGAACCAACAGAGAATGGGGGTAAGTTTCCATAGATCCCTGTTTATTACGCACTGCATGCATGGGAATGTAAATTGAAACTGCACCGGTTTGTTTTAGTAGATTACTGTTACTATTGGAAATATCTTGTAGCATAGTAGGGTTTTGGTAACTTCTGTCATGTGTCCTGCCTCTCTTCTTCATTTGGACGCAAAAAATCTATGCATCGATTCTATGTCATAGGCTTTTCTAAACTTCAAGTAATTGATGTTTCGTGCCTGTGAGTTTTACTTTTGGTGTTTCTTGTTGACCATCTTCTTACCCAAATCATGCTTGTTTCAAAGATTTGTGATGCAGTTGCTGTGGCTAAGATATTGAATGCTACACTGGTGATCCCATATCTTGAAGAGAACTCTGTTTGGAAAGATTCTAGGTAAACCATGAATAAATTTCGTTCCTTCGATTGTTCTGTCAATCCACTGCTCCACAAGGGCAGTAAACCAGTATAATGTCGTGAAGGGTGGATTTAATATATAAATATCTACTTCTGCAGCTCATTCGAAGACATTTTTGACGTGGAGCACTTTATTGGTGCCTTGAAATATGACATTCCTGTGGTTCGAGAATTGCCCAAAGAACTCTCATGGAGCACGAGACAGTACTATGCTGTTGCAATACGAGCTACAAGAATTAAAACTGCCCCTCTTCATGCTTCAATGAACTGGTACTTGGAAAATGCTTTACCGGTGTTGCAGAGGTCAGTAGGATGCCCTTTTCATAGTTTACACTGACTTATTTTTTAATTCTAATTAAAACACTAGTTCCTGGTTCTTTGTATGTTGAGAGTAACATAATAACATGTCCTTGGGAGCTTCCAAATCCATTTATTGTTGCTAGAAGGAGATTACAGTGCTAGTTGACAATCGCCCATATCATAGTTTACAATGATGTAAATTACTATGGCCTCTATCAAGCTTTGCCCTGATTGTTCAATCCATATTCTACGCTCATATGCTACGCTCATATGCTCATATGCGACGTCATTTCTTTTTTTCACTTCAATTGTGGTGCTGTCATTTTCTCTCATTTTTTCCAACATTATTCAGTTATGGAATTGCTGCCATTGCCCCATTTTCGCACCGACTGGGTTTTGACAACATGCCTGAAGATATTCAACGACTTCGATGTAAGGTCAACTTTCATGCATTGACCTTTGTTCCTCACATAAACGCTTTGGGGGATGCACTTGTGAAACGTTTGAGACGCCCAGTCCACTCAAGCATGAGCACAGGAGGTGGATATCTGCGTGAGATGGTAGATGAACTCCTTGATAGGGAAACTGGAAAATTTGTTGCTTTGCATCTCCGTTTTGACAAGGTATCGTATTGACTTGTTATTTGGCCTTATCATCTTTTTAGGGGTTGAGTTGACTGTTTATTTACATCGAAATATAAATAAAACATGTGACTAAAGTATGTAGGCCTACCTCGGTCAACGGCCATTAGATTTGAGTTTGAGTTAAATGACCTGATCAGTTAACAAGGTAGCAGTGACTACAGTTGTGCTCGTGGGCATCGAAGTCCACTTTTTATTTTATTTTTTATCCACGTAATTAAGTCTTTGAATTATCTGCCTGCGTGTGAATTAGCGTTCTAAAATTAGTGATAATAGAATTCTATATTTAAAAGATAGACGGCTCTACAGCACCCGTTATCAATTGATTTATATCTCTGGTCAGTCTGATCTTTTAACAGTTTATGTAAAAATCGACCAACTTTACTGTGTATCTTATGGCCACTGGGTATTGCAGGACATGGCTGCCCATTCTGCCTGCGACTTCGGTGGTGGGAAGGCAGAGAGGCTAGCTTTGGCCAAATATAGACAGGTGATTTGGCAAGGGAGGGTCACGAACTCTCAGTTCACTGATGAGGAGCTGCGCAGTCAGGGCCGTTGTCCCTTGACTCCTGAAGAGATCGGATTGCTTCTAGCAGCTCTAGGCTTTGACAGCAATACGCGCCTCTATCTCGCCTCTCACAAGGTTATCAACTCACCCTGAGTGAAGTTGTGAACCCTGAAGAACAAAACTCTCTCTCTCTCTCTCCTCTCTATCTGTCTATTTGTCTGAACGAACATTATCACGCAGGTGTATGGTGGAGAAGCGAGGATCTCAGCTCTGCGGAAGCTTTTCCCTCAAATGGATGACAAAAAGAGCCTTGCTTCCAGGGAGGAGCTTTCGAAGGTCGATGGGAAGGCCTCTCTTTTAGCCGCTGTCGACTACTACGTGAGCATGCAGAGTGACGTATTCATCTCCGCTTCTCCTGGAAACATGCATAATGCGCTGGTAAGGCATCCTTGTTCTTACCGTCATTAGTTATTTCTGGTAAGTTCTTCGGGGCTTATTCATTCCTTTTTCTGACTTTTTATAACGCCAGGTGGGTCATCGCACATATGAAAACCTGAAAACAATTCGACCGAGCATGACGTTGCTCAGCCAGCTGTTCTTGAACAAGAGTCTCCCTTGGGCGGAGTTTGAGCAGGCAGTCCGGTTCGGCCACAAGAACAGACAAGGACAGATCAGATTGAGGAAGCCCAAGCAGTCCATCTACACGTACCCACTTCCAGATTGTATGTGTGAAGCTTGAGCTCATCATCCGGCGCGCTTGCTGATTGATGGGGCCAGTGGCGCCGCTTTCTTGTGGTTTCAGTGAGGATTCTCCTCTTTCATCCAGTCACTCGGCGCTCGCTCCTCTTTGATCTTTCTAAGCCGAAGAGGTGATTCTAGCAGTAGATGGTTCATGTAGCAGCTACACATTCCACTTGTTGCAGGATACCATTCAATCGTAAAAATGCATTTTTTGAAACCCACTGGGCAGACCTCTGTCGGAATTACTGCGGCAAATAGCTGCTACTAGACCTTACAAGTCCTCTCAACAGGCACATCTTCCATCTGACATGGTGACCATATCAGCCCGTGCATAATGCATTGTCTTTAGCGTTTTGGCGTTGATACATGGGAGGATCTTCAGCCACTATTAATGGAAAAAAAAAAATCTCCAAATTTAGAGGGTTAGACAGATGCTCCATGCAAAGTCCAAGAAAAACTGTTCTGAGCATTCTCAAGAGCTGAGTGGAAGTTACTTGCGGTTTGAAGGAGTAAACCTGAATCATAACGCTTCAAAGATGCTCCTTCCATAGCCCTTTTTCATATTGTCAATGATGAATTTTGAAGATATTGTCCATGATGATGATGATGATGATGATCATGATCAAGATGATGATACTTTCTTCCTTTTTATTTCATGATCGTACGCCATCTCCTGATCAACCAAAGGATTCAATATTTTATCAAGGATGGTTTGATAATCTAAGTGACAAAAAATTAGATATTTACACAATTGTTTTGTGCTCAATCTCAGCTATTACCAGAAAAGACTAATATTTCACAATATTAGGCGTGAAACCTCACCTACCAATGATTAGAAATCTTCAGAAGATTGAGAATGGAGGATTGCAGCTATTGTTGGGGTCTTTACCCTATGGCCCCTTATTGGTGGTAGTATACGTTGTAAATATTCACATGGCTGCCGAGGGACGAATCATAGTGCTCTTAACCGGTGGTGTAAGCGGTCTGTGATGCCTTTAGGACATTGACAAATCGATTGACAGTTCTATGAAGGTTTGAAGTAGATAATCTCCATACTTTGAGAGTGACGCGTTTTCCATGCAGTGCGATGTACCATCGCTCCCATTCTTCAGGCTCAAAGAGACCTGAGACAAAGAAGGGGGAGAGAGTTCCTGGTTCTCTCATAATAACTCACGTGGGAGACGGTAGAGCTCAAACCCTAAGTCTTGAGCTTGCTTGTTGAGATGCGATGAAGTTGAGCGATTCACTGAAGAACTTGAAAACACAAGATGTCTCTGAAGAACTTGATGTCAGTCTCTGGGCACTGACCTCAGCGAGAAACACAAGATATCTCCCATTGAAAGCAGTTAACTTTTGCCCATAAGCGGGAAACATTTGCAGAACTTGCAAACTCTCATCTTTGGCAGACCGGAGACGTCACCTTGCCACCCGCGTGAGCTCACTGGGTTGTTCTCCGGCCCACGGCTGCGAGGAGAACTCAACCGCGCGGCCACCTTCTCCACGCGTTCAGCATGGCGCTAACGCAGTTCCCGTCGCCGTAGGGGAAAGCCTGCGAGGCAAGGAGGCCCGTGCGTAGCATGAGGAAATGAAGAGGGCGCCTTCTAAGCTCCCCACTGCCGCTTATAAGATCAATGCCGAAGGACTTAGCGCGTCGTCCGGGAAGAGAGTAGTAGCGAGTGATAGTATTAGCTATCAAACCAGAGAGAGAAGAGAGGAGGAGAGAGCTAATGGACGTATCAAAGCTACGCGTACCCACGGTGGTCCTCTGCGCGGCCATGGCGGGGCTGATGCTGTTGCTCGTAGCCACCGCTGAAACGGGGCCGTTCGAAGGCTGCAAGGGCGGGATGGCGCTGGTCAACAAGTGCCAGGATTACGTGAAGAAGGGAGCCGCCAAGGCAGAGCCGTCCAAGGAGTGCTGCGACGCCATCAAGGGTGCCGACCTGCCCTGCCTCTGCAAGTACTTGACGCCCGACGTTGCCAGTCTCATCGACCTTAAGTTGGTCTGCAACGTCGCTGATCACTGCGGAGTGGCGATGCCGGCCCCGGGTACCAAGTGCGGAAGTAAGTCGTTTGAACCGGGGAGAAAACTCTCCGGATTAATCTTTCTATCTTTCTCCCTCTACACTGTCCATTAATCTACTTTCTCTCTCTCTCTCTCTCTACCTGTCTAACTGTTAAGTTGTTCCCTCTCCGTCCATAGAAATATCTGTCTATCTGCCTAGCTCTTGTTTTTATCAATCAGAGCCCACCCTTTCTCTCCAGTGTGATCTACTCTGTCTGTCTGTCTGTCAAGTGTTCATTTACCTGCCATCTATCTCCATTGCTCGTCATTTTAATTTCTAATTAAAATGAGGGGGGACATCGACAAAAGGAAGAAACTAAAAAACTAGTGAAGACTGGGGAAGCCAAGTCTATCCATCATTAAGTGCACTCTAGCAATGTCCCCGTGAATATCTACCATATTCGAGTGTTCATTCATGGCTCCCTTTAATTCGCTCAGTAGTCCATTCACTCTCACACGCAAGAACTGGATGGTGTGTGTCGCAGGTGTGTCAGTTCCTTCGGATTGCTAGGAAATCGGAAGCAGATGGAGAAGAAGACTGCAAGGCAAATCCAAAGAAGGAAAGATAGACGTCTCCATTGCCTCATGAATGCTATGGATGGCTGGTACTTGTAATAATTCTCCTCTCTCAAGGGATCAATAGAGAATAAGAATTCTATGCTCGTGTAACTTGATTATCTGAATCAATGCATAACATGACAGTGACTCCAAACAAATGAACCATAATTGTGTTCGACTGCTGGCCATCATATCTTCAAACTGAAGAGGATGTCATGTGTCTTTCTTTCCCTTGTTTCGTTGGGCATACCCTTAATCCATTCTGCTCCAGCAATTCTCCTTTTTTCTCTCTTTGTTGACAAGGCCATTACGTCTCCACCGTCACTGCTGCTAAGCAGGAAAGTGTGTGTGTGTGTGTGTGTGTGAGAGAGAGAGAGAGAGAGAGAGAGAGAGAGAGAGAGAGACAGACAGACAGACAGAGAGGGTAACTCAGTCTTCTTACAAAACTAGATGCCAAATGTTCTAAGTTAGACCGGAGCACTAAGTATGAAGACGAAGACGAAGTGATCTATGGACTTCTGGGTCCTGGTAAAAATACGAGTTAATTAATAACTGAATTCGTTTTTGGGGGAGGCAAAATCAATTGAGCCCTTTTTATTGATTGATTTATTTATGTACATGTATTAACGACACTGATTGCCTTCATTTCAATGATAACATTATCTAAGGATTCAAACACATGAAATACCAAATTTTGGTGTTACCCTTGTTATGGCATCCTTTAGGCAATACACTTGTAACTCAATTTTAGAAAAAGTCAATCTAATATTAGTCAAGGCATAAAATTTTACACCATTACTAATTGCTGGGTTTTCAATATTTGTGCAAATTTTCTCCTTCGAATGAAATATTTCATTTAAACCACAAATAATGCTTTGATAAATATCCTTAAAATTAAAAATACCATACCATTCATTTATTCTCATGTTAGATTAGTGCTCAAGCCAGGTGAAAAATATATATCGATATATATATATATATATATATATATATAGATAGATAGATAGGCATAAATTGTTTCCATCTAAATTAGCCGTACAGAAGTGAAAACTGTCATTAATGAATGCATTCAACGAAAAGAGTTAGGTGAAACCTTGGCTTAGTCTACCCTTCAAGCCTCTGCAACAATACCTATACTGGATTATCCCCAAACTTATTACATGATGGCATTCTAGGGTGCAACCCAGCCTTCTTAATCTTATAAGTCATGGTAAATAATGGATGAGAATGTTATGATAAGTTTGGAGCACAGAACTGGACTCTGCGTTTGAAAGCTTGTGCTCTTTCTGATGTCCCTAGGGTTTATGACGTTGATGTGTGAAGGCTTGGAATTTTGTAGTATGAGAAAATGACATGATTCCAAGCTTTTTTGTCCCAAGTTTAGACAAAATAATTAGCTGTTGCAAACCACATGTCAACAGTTAAAAGTTCTGTTGAACCCTAATCAAACGATTATTACGATCATGGGCCGTAATGGCCCGTCACACATGAACGGAACAGAAACATATGAAATTCTACAAATTATTCCAACAACGATCCTCCTGAAGATACTTCTGACCTGGAAGACGAGGCATGACAGCGAGTAGAATGTAGCATGTTTCGTTCATCGGAGGATGCTCATCACCCACACGAGGCACATCGCGACGCACAAGAGCGAGAGCAGCTTCATTTCTGCTCCCCTGATCTTCGCATTCATCCGCTTCTCCAGCGCGACCAGGTGGGCCTCCATCCCTATCACGTGCATCTCGGCAGCGTGTTTTCCGGGGAGAGAAGCAGTGGATCTGAGAGACATCCCACGAGGATTTTGTGAAGACCAAAGGTGCCTATGAGATTTTCTTTAAGAGGTACGAAGGGGAGGGACAGTCCTTGCCTGACGTATCTGAGAAGCCAGTGCATCATGTCCTTTTGCGCCTCCTTGGCCCTCTTCACGGCAGCCTCGTCGTCGGCGTCATAGCGAAGGCAGAACCCGTGTGGAGCTCCCGGAATGATCTTCACGAAGCTGTCGATCTGTCGAGATTTTCGAGAATAAATTCCCCACGAAAAATAGCCCACAGATTCTAGTCGAGCAGTTTCGCGGAGGTTTTCGGAAGATAAATATCTTACTTCTGGCTTGGCCGACAAGGCCAGCTCAAACTGTTTCAGCATCCAAGGCGGGGTTACGTCGTCGAGACTTCCCCCGATCACTTCGATCGTCATTGCCACCAACTCAGCGCAACATGCTGACAGAAGCTATTTTTTAGGAGTTTCCGTTAATTACCTTGATTTCGTATGCCTCCTTGGAAACTGCTGGATCTCCTCCACGTAGCCTCTGTAGAGTGACTTCAAATTCCTTTCTGCGCCTGGGACCTTTACCTGGAGAATTTGAACACAGAATTCACAGCTATGCTGCTTTCTTTTTCTTTTTCTTTTTCTGGGTAATTTGGCTTCTACCGCTGAGTTTTATGGATCTTCAAAACGAGGCTTGTTACCCTTAAAATCCCTTTCAGTCCACAGAAACTGCCCAACAATAACGATTTAGTTCCAAGGTTAGCTTCTGTCAGCATGTTGCGCTGAGTTGGTGGCAATGACGATATGGAGACACCACGCCTCTTTCAGGAACACATGGAGACTCTCTAAAACCTTCCAGAGGCCTGCTGGTCAGACCTGTTATAGAAAATTTACATGCCTCCAGTAATAGTAAGAACCCTTTATTGAGCGGAGGCCGAGAATATTCTCTTGGGTCCCAGAATATTTTCGTACTGAAAACTACCATGCTAAGTTTTGTAATTAAAATAACATGCTTCCGAGCTTCCCAGCAGGTCCGTTGGCGAGAAGTTCACCGGTAGAGAGTAGGCATTGTCCAGAGTGTGGTGGGGAGCAGCTGTGTCAGCCCAAGTGCTCGACCATCACCGCTAGGTAGATTGGCCGTCATTCCTGCTGCTCACACGGTAGATCCGCTAGTTCACCTGACTAGTCGCAGAATCCTGCAAGTTGGAGCCTTTTAATAAGCAATTAATGCATGCATGTGTCTTTCCCACTCGTAATTGGACTTGTTCCTTGCGATCCAGGGCCCATGGTTGCCTTGCCCGCAATTTAATATGCACCATTCCAACACATGTAAACGAGACGGATATGAAGCCAGTTCTCGGCTAGATTCCGGCAGCGAGAAAGAGTCAACGACGGCTGCCGCATCGGAGACCCAAAGTGAACGGAGAGCGCCGCCACACAGCAGACGCCATCTCTCGCAGACTTTGACGAGCCCGTCTCTGTGAGCATGGCGAGCAAGAGCTGCTGCTTGTACCCGCCCAAGCTGGACCCCCGCTGTGGGCTGGGCACCGTGGTGGAGGACATCGGCGGCCTCCGCGCCTACACAGCGGGCTCAGTGACTTCCCACCGTGCTGTTATCCTCGTCAGCGACGTATTTGGTACCGACACTACTGAATCTTCGTGACTCTCTCTTTCCCCTTTCTCACTCCTCTGTCTGCAGGATATGAAGCTCCTAACCTGAGGTAACCGGGAAAACTCGATCTTCTGCATGCTCTTCAGCGGAATCCGCCATCAGTGCTTGTGACTGACCGACTGACCTCGTGCTTGCTTGCCGCTGTCGAATTGGGGCATTTTCCCCCTGCAGAAAATGGGCCGACAAGGTAGCCGGTGAGGGCTTCTTCGTGGTGGTACCGGACTTCTGCTATGGCGACCCATACGGGGGAGACGAGTCCATGGCCGACTGGCTTAAGCGCCACAGCCCGGTGAGTCTCGGTCGTCGCCATCTTCGACTCGGAAAACATTCTCTAAAATCCTCTGTGCCAGATCTGATGTTTTCCTCTACTGCGACTGGAACTTGCCGGCGGCCAGGAAAAAGCTGCCGGAGATGCAAACGCCGTCGTCGAAGCTCTTAAGAGCAGAGGGGCCACTTCCGTCGGCGCCGCCGGGTTTTGCTGGGGCGGTAAGATCCACCGGTCATCTCACCACTGAAGCAACACCAAAAAATTTAACAAGAACAAAGACAAGCCTGGAGATGTTGTCTGAATCCCCATCCCTCCCCCCAACGTTGCAGGCAAGGTGGTCGTCGAAGTAGCCAAGTCAGACGTCATCGACGCCGCGGTGCTTCTGCACGCGTCATTGGTCACCGTCGACGATATCAAAGGTGTGATTCGTGCTGCCTGCTACTCCACCTCCTCGCCTTGTGTTTCATGACCGGCTTCACGATGTTAAGCAGAGGTGATCGTGCCTATCGAAGTGATCGGGGGAAGTCTCGACGACGTAACCCCGCCTTGGATGCTGAAACAGTTTGAGCTGGCCTTGTCGGCCAAGCCAGAAGTAAGATATTTATCTTCCGAAAACCTCCGCGAAACTGCTCGACTAGAATCTGTGGGCTATTTTTCGTGGGGAATTTATTCTCGAAAATCTCGACAGATCGACAGCTTCGTGAAGATCATTCCGGGAGCTCCACACGGGTTCTGCCTTCGCTATGACGCCGACGACGAGGCTGCCGTGAAGAGGGCCAAGGAGGCGCAAAAGGACATGATGCACTGGCTTCTCAGATACGTCAGGCAAGGACTGTCCCTCCCCTTCGTACCTCTTAAAGAAAATCTCATAGGCACCTTTGGTCTTCACAAAATCCTCGTGGGATGTCTCTCAGATCCACTGCTTCTCTCCCCGGAAAACACGCTGCCGAGATGCACGTGATAGGGATGGAGGCCCACCTGGTCGCGCTGGAGAAGCGGATGAATGCGAAGATCAGGGGAGCAGAAATGAAGCTGCTCTCGCTCTTGTGCGTCGCGATGTGCCTCGTGTGGGTGATGAGCATCCTCCGATGAACGAAACATGCTACATTCTACTCGCTGTCATGCCTCGTCTTCCAGGTCAGAAGTATCTTCAGGAGGATCGTTGTTGGAATAATTTGTAGAATTTCATATGTTTCTGTTCCGTTCATGTGTGACGGGCCATTACGGCCCATGATCGTAATAATCGTTTGATTAGGGTTCAACAGAACTTTTAACTGTTGACATGTGGTTTGCAACAGCTAATTATTTTGTCTAAACTTGGGACAAAAAAGCTTGGAATCATGTCATTTTCTCATACTACAAAATTCCAAGCCTTCACACATCAACGTCATAAACCCTAGGGACATCAGAAAGAGCACAAGCTTTCAAACGCAGAGTCCAGTTCTGTGCTCCAAACTTATCATAACATTCTCATCCATTATTTACCATGACTTATAAGATTAAGAAGGCTGGGTTGCACCCTAGAATGCCATCATGTAATAAGTTTGGGGATAATCCAGTATAGGTATTGTTGCAGAGGCTTGAAGGGTAGACTAAGCCAAGGTTTCACCTAACTCTTTTCGTTGAATGCATTCATTAATGACAGTTTTCACTTTTGTACGGCTAATTTAGATGGAAACAATTTATGCCTATCTATCTATCTATATATATATATATATATATATATATATATCGATATATATTTTTCACCTGGCTTGAGCACTAATCTAACATGAGAATAAATGAATGGTATGGTATTTTTAATTTTAAGGATATTTATCAAAGCATTATTTGTGGTTTAAATGAAATATTTCATTCGAAGGAGAAAATTTGCACAAATATTGAAAACCCAGCAATTAGTAATGGTGTAAAATTTTATGCCTTGACTAATATTAGATTGACTTTTTCTAAAATTGAGTTACAAGTGTATTGCCTAAAGTGTATTGAAAACCCAGCAATTAGTATTTGTGGCTTGAAGGAGGGAAAGGGAGACAGATAAGCGGGGCTATGGTTTATGGAAGCTAATCCATAAACTAAATCCATAAACCATAGCCCCGCTTATCTGTCTCCCTTTCCCTCCTTCAAGCCTTCAAGAACACCATCAAGAGGCTGGAGCAGCCGCTGGGATTCTCTCCCTCTCTCCCTCTCTCCCAACTAAGCTTTGTTCCGAGCGTGACCAGCATAAATGCTTTTCAGACCAAGATACTGTCGAAACATGTAATTCAAAAGACTAATATCAATGGTGGAAACTTACTAGCAATGCTCCCAGTCTCTGATTCAATGCGATTTGACATTGAAAAGTAATAATTATACTTCCCCTGGTCTCAAATGTAGTCATAAAGTCCTTGTTTATATTTAACACCCGTTCAACGGAATAAATAAAGTCATGAGTTAGATGGTTTCTGTAGATTTGAAAGGCCATTTAAGAAGAAAATGTTTTATGGATAGTTAAATCCAAAAATTTGCAGCAAACAAAGACTAAATGACCTAAAAGATAGAAGGCACAGTAACCACTCTAGAGACAATGGAATCAGGACCAAACACGGAAGAAACGTGTATTGAGCGGCTCCTGAAGAACAAAAATACACGTCCACATCAGCTTTTTCTAATCACTAGAGAAAATATATGCACAAGAAAACAAGGTGCTGATATTGGCTACGTTATTGAATTCCATTTTTTATAGCCTTTTAATAGAGTTCAAATTAATTTACTACAAAAAATGATTCGGTGATTAATAAGTCTACCATGGCATTTTGAGAAGTATTGCTGACAAAAGAATAAGATTGTGGCTATGTTTTTCCTTTCTTTTCATGATCTTTCCAAGGATAACTTCATTAGTTTATTAATTTTATCAATCCTTTAAGGGATGGTGTCCTCAACTTGAAAATGGCCCTAGTAACATTCAGATATTCATAGAAATTATGAGATTATTACTGGTTAACAGTAATCTGCACCACGTTACCAATGTTCTACCTTTATAGCTTGAGAATATTCCTGCCCACATCATCAACGGTGAAGAATCAGGGAAAAGCTCCAGTAAGTGAATGTTATTCTGAGTTAATTGCTAATTCTTGCATTATTCCTGTCGCTGAAGATGCTGACCTGTCTTACTACACCAAGTCCAGCATGTGAGTTTTTTGAAGCTATCTCAGCTATAAAAAACGGGACCTTCTCAACAATGAATTCTAGAGAAAGAGAATGAGATAGGCGGCTGAGGGGAGGTGGACAAAGCCCATCAGGATGTGCAAATTGGCGCCGTTCAATTATCTACGAAAAGTTATCTGCTATTCTAATATGCCACATGACCTAATATGTTTGTATAATTGAATTATTTACTGATGGGGTGCATGTAGCAAGTAAACTAGACTACATCATAACAACATTTGTTCAAGAACACAATTTTTTTTAAATCGCACATAATTTTGCATACCACATATGAGAGAAATAATTAGAATATCATAGATTGGTATTTAGTACTGGAAATCAGCATTTTAACCCCAAAATTGATCGAATTAATGACCACATATCAATATCAATTTAATATTCAGCTATACCAAAACAACCCATGATAAATAGGAAAGGTATAGTAACACTATGAATGACCTATTATCAAATTCTGGTAGCGTAGTATCAGTAAATGAGTGTTTCCGTGCTTAGTAACATGCTGAGATCTGCATATTCTTGTACACTAAAAAATAGGAATCGATTATTACTCGTATTCTGTAAAAGATGGGATCAGTGAGTAGAAAACTACTGATATTGTTCCCGTCTTTGTAAGATTGCCAACATTATACTAAAGATTAATTTGGATTATACACATCGCTATCCTTCCTCTGTTGCTGCACACGGTTTTGAGTATTATTAAATTTAAAGCCTACATAATTGGATCCCTCTTTTAAATTTCCTTGTCCATGTGTAACTGTGTTATTCAAAAGAATAGTCTTTAATTTATTGTGTTTGGTAGTAAAAAGCATTCATAACTGGTTTGATAATATAAATTCATCATTTTGGTAACGTGAGAATCAAAGGGTTATGTTTTAGTTCTTCAATAAATAATGGAATATGTTTTCCTCTTCTAATGAGTGACATTTTCTTAATTATGATATAGGAAATTACGATTCAAGCAGTAACATTAGAGTTGCACAATGAATCACCAATTAATACTTACAAGATTAATTAGTGTTATAGAAAAGAGATCACTCTGTTAAAACTAGATTTTTTTTATTCTCTCTCTAAAAAAAAGAAGATGAATGCAGCGAAAGAACATTTCTTATTTGGGTTTTCAAGCTTACTATAACCTTATTGCTTCTAATTGGTTTGGAAAAAATCTGACTTATTTGAAGTTAACTGAAGGAGAAATTAAAAAAAATGAAAATTCACTAAGATTTGGATTATTCTAATATTTCGAATATTTCTGCATGTCAATTGCAAAAACTTGGTGATTGAGAGTCATAGGTGGTTCAGGTTAATATCTTGGAATATATTTTACCTATCTTCTTCCTTTAAAGAAATCGAAAAGCCTTTTATTTTTCTTTATTAGGAATTGCATGAGGTCTAATTCCTATTACTGTGCCAATACTGTTGGTAGCGTACATACAATATAGATGTGGTGATTAGATAAACTTTAATTACCCTTATTTTTTATGATACTAACCTTGATTGAGTCTGTAACATTTTGTTTTTTGATTGGCAAAAGGTTCAGCACCTCAGTGTCATCATCCCCTTGCCACTTTGGGCTGTTTTGGGCTTTGAGGGTTGGGCTCTTCACTAATTAAGGCAATTGATGAGCAAGGTTAAGATCATCTTGAGAAAGTTAAATTTGTATCTGGTATGGGCATCTAGCGATGTAGAACGTGACTCCAACATAACTTATGGCCTAAATGGCACGAAAACCTAAAAAGTGTTGACCATGAAGTTTTGAAGACCTACAACACATTCAAAACTCAAAATGGGATTTTATACTCTCTTCTTCAATATCATAGAACTAGTAACTATTTTTATACTAATTAGATGTTAGAGTGTAATTTATTATATTTTTAATTATTAATTTTTCTCATTTAAAGGTCAACACTATATAACATCAAGAAAGGCCAACACTAAGTATATTTTCATTCTCCCTAGAGATATTTCTCTACATGTGGATTCATGAAATCTTTATAGATTCAGGTTATGATTCTAATTTTAGATTCAAGGGTCACCTAAATAATTCCCAATAGCTCAAGAGTCAAAGGCCTAGTGCTTGATGTATTCAAGGCTCAGTTCCAAATGTTTAGCAATTTTCATCCAAGTAAATTTGCTTTCCTAAATGTAAATATCTTGTTCCTTAGTCTCTCTTATTTAGGGACTTCAAATGAATACATGGACACAATGGTTTATACTGGTTCAGTCCTCTCATCCTACTCTAATATCTAAGAAAACCATGCATTTGGGTTCCATTATTACCTAGTGTACACACCAAAATAATAGGCTTAGTCATTGAATAGATTTTGTAGCTCCAACTGACTTGAGATTTCACAAAAAATCTCTTATATTCCAAGGCTCTATGTGGTTGAAACTAGATAAGCTCCTCACTTCTCTCCTTTAGATTATCACATGTAGAAGGTCTCTCAATAAGTACACAAGGTAATTATTATAAATCCAACAGTGTTACTCGAGCTTTCTTATACTTCTTAAAATTATTTTTTGTATAATGTGTGGGTCTGATTATATGGAGAGCTACAAGCTGATGTGATCTTTAGGGATGAGTTCTTTTCTTGAAAACGTTAATCTATCTTTCTTTATGGTGAAGCAGCTTTCTTTTCATCATTTCTAGCTCTTGAGATTTCGGTGTTTTTTTGTGTTGTTTTCATTGTAGTACTAGAGGTTGTAGTATTAGAAATTTTTTTCCACTCCATTTGTGGATTCAAGGATTGTTCAAACCATTCAATTTTAAACTTATAAATCAAGGATTTGGTATCTAGCTTATTTATGGCTTGATTGTTATTTTTCCTTACTTTCACTATGTCAAAATGCGAGTACTCATTTTCCTTTGGCAGTAGCAATGTCCACAGTCAAGTTCCCATGATAGGACTATTTTTGTTGAAGTGCACTACTCTACAATCTGAAACTAGTTCCTAGATTTCTTCTTAGCATCTATTTTCCCTCTAATGTCCACAATATTGAGGAGCAATTAGCTTATGTCATGACTCTTAGTATTATACACTGTTGGGACACAATATAGCTCTTAAATAATTTTGAACTACCGAGTAGCCATACAAATAATATTACCAAATGGAGTATCATGTCTGACAAGGTGGCATAATTTTTTGGTGGATCTGGCTTCTCTTTCAAAAATATGAGAATAACACCTTCTGAGTTTGTCAATATAAGATTTTGTGCATGTAATTTCCAATATAATATCGCACCATAGCTTATTTTACTAGTAATCACATCAATTCAGTCACCATAGTTTAAACCTATAGATAGGAAATGCACATTCTTACCTTTGAACTCTAATTTCTGTTCTTAGAAAATGATGTTCCCAACATACAACAATAGTGAGCATCTCTAAAGGAGCAAAAGATGTATGATGTAATCAAACAAGAGAGAAATTGATAGCGCTTGACAGCCAAACTTTGAAGGCAAGATGCCTAGAATAGTGTGTGACGAGATAAATACTATGACCATGTGTCAACAGGTTATTTCACATTGTCAATTAATAGTTCTTTCTTCAAGAGCTCATTGAAGATTGAATTTGCTCTAATGTTCGGCCCTTTGTTTCCGGTACAAAAATTGCAATGAACAAAATAGTAAGTCCACAGCATGCTGAAAATAAGAATAAGGTTCCTGAAACCAAACATCATATAGGCATATTAACATAATATACTATGCTCTTTTTTAAATGACATTATGCATATTTTATTTCACTATTGTCTTGATAGTATTTAGTAATGAGCATTAGGGAACCATATTAGAATCTCATTGTGATAATTATAAAAAACACATTGGAAATTTTATCATGAAGCTTATTCTTGGATTGGGCAACTTTTAAAAAACCAGGCCTCAAATAAAAATCTTGAAGAATAGATAAATGATTGGACCCTTATGAAACAAAGAGGGAGAAACAAGGGAGAAGGGGACTAAGAGACATAGTCATGAAGAACTGGCCTAGGAAAGTGGTTCATTGAGATAATACCATTGAAGCCAGATGTTTGTTTGTGGAAGAGGGGGCACTAGTAAGGAAAAAAGGGAAATGACTTATGGAGTTACTCCCAATGAATGCTCGGGGGCATGATTATGTCTTGTGGAGGGATGGTCACATAGAAGAAGAATACTTCCGAATTAGACTATTTCAGATAAGATGTAGGCTATGTTGAGATTTTAGGCTTGCTATGTCCACTGACACCTCTAGCAATCTTCAAGAAAAAATATTATTAGAAATCTTATCTATAAACTAGGTTGATGTAAATTACCTGAAGCATTCAAAGCCATGAGAAAATTGAAGGAGTATGAAATCAACCATGTGCCCAACCAATTGACTAATGTAACAAGGCTTCCACCAATACCCTTTACATTGATTGGAAATATCTACAAGCATTTTGATCATAATAAGCATTAGAGAATGACGACCCAAGAGACCATTGGAGCTATGAAACTTTACACATTTATAAGTATGGTATCAATTGCCTTACCTCAGACATGATGACCCAGGGGACTGCTCCCATTCCAATTGAAAAGGAGCCTATGTACACCTAATTTCAAATGAAGTGAAAAATAATGACATTGAGCAGAAGAATTTTATTATCCAAGGAAATGGACTATAGGCACCTACATGCTCTTTTCTTCTATTCACACTCACCATTATCCATAATTGTGGCCTTTCTAATGACTCCAATAAAGAAGGAATACATGCTTTACCCATGAAAGCAAACTACCAATCATATATGACATGTATTTTGATATGAAATATGCTCTTACCATAATACCAATGAGAGACAAGTATGGTGACCAATCAATATACCAACCATGCTCCTACAAGAATAAACAAATAAACTATGTAAATTGTGGTAAGTTTTTTTTGATGGAGAATATGATGTCTTCATTTTCTAAAAGTACACCTTCACATAAAATGAGATCGCCGTTAACAACATGCCAACAAATGTTCCGGTGGCAGAAACCTAAGACAACAAAATTAAATTAGTGAAGCCAATGAGGTTAAATTTTATATCTTCTACTTGGTGGTTCATAAAATAGTCAATAGTTTATGCATACCATCAATAGAGACCGTCTTCCACTTTTATCCATGAGAAAGGCACCCACTGCTGTGATTGGGATCTGTGACATTTTATTACTCAGATAAAAACATCGTATATTTCTTTCCTTCAAGTACTTTTCAATGAGGAAAGATTGTAAACTCACTTGAATGGAGGCAATTATGATAGTTCCCGAACTGCCAGAGTGGAAACCTGAAGATAGAAATCAATTTGGGCCAACAATTAGATAGTAACTTTGGAGATATTTTCTAAATTTGCTTCCAAGGATGAACAAATTTGATACATTCACAAACCTGCTTCCACAAAGGTTTGGCTAGCGTAGAAAATGATGCCATTAATTCCACCAAGTTGTTGAAATATCATCAGACCAACTCCAACCTAAAAACCTCAGAATTTGTATTCAATAGTTACTTGATAGTTGAGTCATTCCAATCTATATTGGTCTACAACTGTTATCTTTAATTGCAAGGCACAATATGCTGAGTTTTAATATGTAAAAAACCCTACATATGTCAATTATATTAGCCTTTGTGAGAAACTTATTAATAAGAAAACCATTCCAAGTTGAAGAATCATATTAGTAAACTAAGAATGAAGCTAAAATATTTTCTAAGGTGTATTTTCCAATTCTATCATGAAATTATCATTTCACAACATCGCATGTACACAAATTATGTTTATCACTTTGATAATCTAATGACATGAAAAATTTTCAAAGTTTTGGAAAATCAGATGTAAAGTTCCCAGATCAAGTGAATTAAATGTCTAATTGAAAACCAATCCACAATGAGTAAAGTAAGACTCTGTTTATGTTGTCACTTTAATTTTAAATTTAATGACTTGATTTTAATAGGCTCTAATATATGGGCAAAGACTATTGGCATGATATCTAATAAGCCAAGATGAGGAGTAGCCTCATCTACAAGCTCAATATTGGACCTAGTACATGTTGTACTAAAAGAATGATATTTAGAAGCTGCTTACAATCATTGGATTCAAATATCTCCTTTGAAACAACTCGAAGAATCGAGTCTTGGGAAGCAATTCGAGTGCTGCGATGTATTCCTTAAGAGAAACATTGACATTGTTAGATATCAATAAATTAAGTCATATGTTGGAGATTTCATCAATACCTTGATTTCTAGAGCCTCCTTGGATACATCTACATCCTCCCCTCGAAGTTTTTGTAGAGCAGCTTCAAACTCTTTCCAATGCCCAACCTTTGCCTAAGAAGGATTTTGTACTATTTATCCTTGAACTAATCGGTAAGAGGTAAGATGACTAGGAAGAAGGCTCACCAACCACCTAGGAGATTCTGGAACCACGCATAGGCCCAGAAGAAGAAATATGCATGGAATGACTCCTAGACAACAAACAACATTACTCCCATTTAGATTTTCTTATCACTTAAGAAATTACGTGACCATAAGGTCAAGATGATATTGTTAGTTTTCTTCTTGTGATCAAGTTTTTAAAATCTTTTTATAGAATGAACATCAATTTCAGGAAAATAAATAATGGTTGAGTAAAATTTCTAAAATTAATTCATAGATTATTGTAAAAAAATATGCTTTTATTCAAGATTTCATAACCGTTTCATGATTAATTTTTAAATTTAAAATAAAAAATTGTGTATGATTTATTCAGATTTTATAAAATAAGGAATCGTAAAAATTATTTGAGTACAATAATAGGATAAAAAATGAAATCAGAGGTCTACCGATTAGCACTAATGTGCGCCATGTGACAATTGTTCCAACTATATAATTCACTGATACACCTGTGCAGATCATTAGCTGTGAAAAAGATTAAAATTCAATTGTAAGTAAATGTATGGTCTTAATTTTATTTTTAATTTTCAATATGCTTACCTGATTTATGGTTGTTAGCCCACCACGAAGATCTGTTGGTGCTATCTCTGCTATAAAGACTGGTACCTGTTTGAGAATAAATTGTTGTTATTGGATTGATAGATAGAGATAATATGCATGTGCATATATATGGAGATGACGAAAAAGAAAGAGAGAGAATTCAATATTTAGAAATGGATAGCATAGAATCCACCAAGCTTTCTTCATAAATAAATACTTTTTCTGTCAATCAGTTATGAATACAACATCCATGTGGTGTATTATTTTTATGCTATGATGATAATAAGCATTTACTTACTACTGATAGAATTCAATTGCATGATTTTAATCAAAATAGTTGGACATACCACATAAGAGAGAATGCCAATGCCATATCCAGTGGATATTCTCCCAAAATCCAATAGCCAGGATCCCTTCACAATATTAAAAAAGGTATTAAAAATAAGACTGTTCATTAAAATAGTTTTATATGTGTTTAGGTTAAATAGTGACGGAGCAACCTTTGCAATGTATATTGATAGCCACCCCACAAAGCAAATAACAGCAGACAGTCTCATTGCCTGTGCTAATAGATGATAGAGGTTAGAATGTAAATATAATAAAGCAAATGTTACAATGTCCATTTTACCCTTGCCTTCCTCTTACCCCTTTTCTTCCAATAAAGTCTGCAATTCGACCACTTGTGATTGCACCAATCATTGCTCCAATGGTTAGGATAGATCCGAAAAGGGAGAACTATAAACATAAGAATAAGCTTTAGACAATGCTGCAATTCGGACTCTGCAGACAATGCTATAATTCTTAATTGCAGATTTTACTACCTAATGACTTTTCTAAAGAAATAATGAAAGCAATTGTCATTGGCCAGACAATTAGAGCACTGTATGAGAGTACTTCTCTGAGTTAAATGGATAAAATACAAAAAAACGAACTATTTAAAACAATAATGCTTACATCAAGAAAGACATTAGGGATAAGCTTACTATTTTGCCCATAATTACTGATTCCTCCATATGATTCGACTAATAAATCATGACGGACTGTACGGAGGAGGGACTAAAATAGTTATATATATATATATGCACGGAGAGAGAGAGAGAGAGAGAGAGATGGAGTATGAACTACTTAGGCGAGGCAAAGAGCGGGTCTATGAAGAGAGATGGATAAGTATATTCTGGTGGGGTTCTCTGAGGGAAACGGTCTGGGTTTAGGTTCTCCTTACCGTTTCAGCGCAAATCTAGCCTTATCGGTCTCGGGCTGCGCGAAGGAAGGATGCTGGCTGTGGAGTGCATCGTCGAAGCCCATTCGGATTCCATCCGAAAGGACGGCCAATTTCCGACCTTGGAATCTGTGGTCGAGATGCGGTCACTATCTGAACCAGCTGAGAACTCTTACATTTCAATATCAAGGATAGCCCAGGGAAACCGTTTCACTCTTCTCTTAGTCTAGATTTTTCTTAATAGAACTGGATTTGTGCTACCTTGGCAGAGTTCCTCTCCATCGAACACAGGTGGATTTATCGGATTTTTGACAGGGTTGAACCTTATGTTTGGAAAAATCCCCAGGGAAGGTCTGATCGTGTGAGCGATAAGTGGTGCAATGGAAGCGGTACTGACCTCTGAGAGAGACAGGCCGAGCTCCTCTCTGATCGCCGCCTGCGTCGGCGCCGAATAACCCACCTGCCAAAACCCAAGGACATCTCTTCTCAGCCCACGGTAAGTGAAAAGAACTCCCTTTCCATCTTCTCGATTTACTCACGCAGGCGCCGAACTCGAAGGAGCCGCAGACCGCGACGGCGGTACTGAACAACGCCATCCCGACCGACCTCTTTCCCGTACTCTTGGGCCGCAGAAGGGGCTCCGCCGTGAGGCTGCTCGTTGATCCTTCCACATCCCCATCCACAGCCATAGCTTCCCCGTCCTCGTCTGTGAAGACGTCCTGCTCCTCTCCCTGGCCCTCAGTCTGGAGGGCTTGTCATTTATAATATCGATACTGATCCTACAGAAGCTGTGCTGGTTGGGGACGCACATGCGGGATGGTTGCAGCTGCCGTGGTGGGGCTCTCACGGTGGCCCCCACGGGGTCAAGTATTCATTAGTTTTGAAGCTTTGCAGGGAAACCAAGAAATTACTAAGGCCCGTCAACCTCCCTCCCTCTCGCCCATCAACCACTGACGCTGCAGACTCTGCCTCTCTTCTTCTTCTCTCTCTCTCTCTCTTTCTCCCTCCCCTCTTCCTCTCGCTCCTTCACTTTCTTTCTCCCTCTCTCTCTCTCCCTCTCTTTATCTCTTGCTCTCTTGTTCTCTCGCTCTCTCGCTCTCTCCCTCACTCCCTCTTTATCTTTCGATTCCTCTCTCTATCTCTGATGTTATTTACCTGTTGTTTAAGAGTGGTATCTGGATCTGATGTCTCCAAGATCGGACAGTCGAAGGCGCTGGGGAGGCAGCCAGGGCGGTTGTCGTCATTATCGCAAAGAATAGTCGGGTGAGTGCTTGAGGACGTGGACGGTTTTGTCGCCATCAACAGGTTATAAGTCTGGGCAGTGATGGATTCAGACAGATCGTCCGCTTCCTTCAGCCCCTCGCCCACTTGAACGTCTCCTGGTTGCAAGTTACATGTGTGCATGTGCATGTGTAGGTTATTAAGCCTGGTAAACCGCTATTATTAAAGTCATACTCAAGTGTATCGAAAAAACAAGACACCGACAAAAAAACTTCTGGTAGAAAGGAACCAAACATTGGTATTGTTAAAAAAGCTTAAATATTATTAAGTTTGTTGTAATGGTGACTGGTGGCAGCACTATTGCCATGATGTTATAAGGAATGAATGTTGGATGAAGCCTTGGTGCTAGATAAGTATAGCATACATAGTATTGATGATGGCGATGGGTGCTAGTTAGTAATTTCGAAGAGAGATAACAAATTAGCAATGGCAAAGGTTTTAGTGAGTATGGATATCTACTTCCTCAACCAATGTTAGCTACAAAAGCTTCAAAAGAAATTTCTTCAAAGTTTACCTACTTTTACCTCACATGTAACGATCAAGTGGATATTCACTCTTTTGCCTTTAATGTATACCATCCATTCTCTTACAAAAATAGGTGATTCGAATGATGCTCAACATTGGAAAATGGTGTCATTCCAAAAGTTTTGGCTGGCCATAGAATTTGACCTTCATTTTTCTCCTAAATTTTTTTTTGAAAAGGGAAAAAACAGCCATATAACATATTTTTGAAAGCTGTGAGATGTGTATGAAACTACGAGAAAATCCGGGACTCAAAAATTCTTAAAATATTATAAAGATTTATTCTAATGAACCACATAGACTGGAGTGCATACCTTGTATGATAATTAAAAATATTAAATGAAAAATGGAGTGCATATCTTTATTTATTACATGACGTAACCTTCAATATCTCGGGCTTAGGAGTCTGCACTGAGAAAAAAATAATATGATGGGGATCTTGGATTCACATGCAAAGGATGAGTCAACACTGATAAATCAACAAAGGGCAACCATTGAAGTCTCAGAATTTGACAACGAAATGATAATGCACTATTCTTGATGACAAAAAAGGCATCATTCTGACTTGTTTACACCAGTAAAATAATTATCACCATCTATGGTATAGAGTCCTTTACACATAAGTCAACACTTGCAAGTACCATCAACATCCACAAAAGACTAGATAGTTCGTATTAAAGAGTACTGGAGCAATCGTATAACTCATGGAATAATTGTCGAAATATCAGCATCCTCAAAGACACTAAGAGTCAACTGATGACAGCTAACTTTGGAGCCAAGTGCTTTACCTACATCCAAGTTGCACCTCTAGTGTCCTCTACAATCACTTAATAGATTTAGTTTTATAAAAACATCCTATGACTTTTACAACATTTTTGGTAAGGGTTTTATGTTTTTTTGTAAATAAAATTTAAAGTGTGGTTTAAAAAAATTATCTTGAAAATAAATAAATAGAGGCTAAGGAAACGGAAATAAGTCTTGAAATATTTTACTAGAGCAAGGTGCTAATAAAAACTCACATTGAAAAATTAAATGGCACACACTATAAAAGGCATAAGGATTTTTATAATGGTTCAATCATATCTTAAAATTTGCCTCTGTTCAAAACCTTTTCTTGGGGATTATCTTGTAGGTTTCTCCTAAAGTTATAATTAAGTAAATCTCTCAAGATATCAATGGGATATGAACTACTAAGTTGTCTTCAAAAGGTGATGCTCAATTTTCAATCTATCTGAATAAGAAAGTTATATAAAATACAAATATTATCATGATTAATATATATATATATATATAAGTGGTTTGATATAATCAATATTTGTTTGACAAGCCATGGAATAATAAAACATGGTAAAATCCTTTGAGATAATTGAATTGAAAATAATTCTAGAGTTCCCAATTTTCAGCCATCGAATCATGAATATCTCTTTATGGTATTTTCAAATATGGAATTCCACTATTCATTATTATATAATGTTTCCCCTTACACAAGGAGAAAAGGCTCTATGAGTTGCTTTCTCAACTTCCCAATTCAAGACATTCACGGAAAATCTTAGAGTGTTGACCCTCACTCCAACAGTAGTCAAAACTTAATTCTTAGACTGATAGGATAAGTATTAATCTTTGATGGTTATAAGTAACATATTAGAAAAAAAAAAAGTGCGTGTAGAAATATGAATTAAAACTAAATTAACTGTGAAGCAATTGTTGAAACATATATAATATTTTGATCTTGGAGGCCAAAGAGTCAACAAGTGAGAGAAAGAATAAGCTAAGGTATACACGAGTAGATTGGGAGATTTAGTTTTTGGCGCAATAAATTGAGAGTCGTAACCTTGTTTAGCTTTTACAAGCTTCCATGAAAAAAACCCAGAGTACTAGAAGCTATCCATGCTAAAGTTTTTAAGGATAGAGGTCTCCATCTGATCAAGAATCACCTAATGTTTAAGAACTGTTCAAATCAGATTTAAAAGGTCATGTAACTCTTTTACATTTTATACTCTCTTTAATAAGAGGCTTCGAAATTGGAGTATATTTGGGATTTGACAAAATCACAATAAAACGTTGTCCCAGAATTTTGTGCAGTTTCAATTTTCAGATAATTTTATATTATTGCAGAAAAAAAATATACAAAGCTGAAAACTCTAGTTTATCTAGTGCGATATCTAAAAAATATTGAAAAACTTGTGTTCTATGTCCTTTTTCTATCCTTTAAAATCTTTTGTATTTTTTTATTCAAACACCTCATGAGTCAACAATTAATAAAATTTTCCTCAAATCTCTATTGGGTCTAGTACTAAATTAGTTTTTTAAAACATACCAAAGATTAATTTGATAAAGTTCTTGATTTTTTGATAAATATTTGTAAGATCTTAATGATTGTTAGTGAAGAAAGCCTTAAATTTGTAGCGTTAAATCAAAATTTTACATTACAAACTTTGAATTCCATATCCATAAGCTTTGAATACACCAAAATTTGTTTCATGTGCTCTAAAATTATTTTTAGCATTTATTGATTATTTAGTAAACTTTAGTATTTATTTTTGCATCCCTAATTCAGGTGTTGGCGTGTCAACACAAGGGAAGAGATGAAAGATGAGTATTAACCACAGTAATTTTTTTTTGAAACGAATGGATGTAATGCTGGCTACCTCCTCAAAAACACAGATTATAGATCATAACGTGGTGGTTTTAAAGTCACAAAAAATAAGAAAAACTTTGGTGGACATAGAAGAAACATTTTCCTTAACCAAAAAGTGAGGCAATATGAAGCGATCAAGATCAGGAGCAAAAAATCAAGCTTGGATGAGGTCAGCACAAAGAGCAAATCCTTGATGAGCAATCAAGCCTCCAAGAACAAGATTTGATCTTTCACCAGAAGAAAAATAGCTAATTCAATATTTTATTTTAGAGTACATTTGATACTTGAAGAGACTATCTCGTGCTAATCTCATTGATCCCCTAAGGCCATTAATTTGGAGAAGAGTGAGCCTGCTTCATTGGCCCTAGAGATTCTTGAATTTAGAAAATGATTTATAGGTGGAATCCTAACTCGGCTAGATCCTTGGGTAATGGAATATGTGAAAAGATCTTGATCAGCCTTTAAAATTTTAAACAATTAACAAAATTAGAGCCAAAATTAATTCAGTCCCCTCTTCGTAACATGTGCTGACATAAATTTTGGCAACCAGCACACACAAAATAACTTATTTCTTCCATATGTTATCCTACAATTTTGGGGATTAATATTTTTCATATTTCTTTGATTTTTTTGTCATATTCTCCCCAAGAAAGTCTTCATTTACTTTTAGAAAACATGTGAAAGGTCAGCACAAGCTAATTCAAACTTATGGGCTTTGCATTCATTACAGATCAACTTTTTGGTCAAAATGTCCTGTTGAAGTTGCTTGTCCCTTCCTAAGAAAAATTCTGTCATGAGCCCGATAAGGATAAATAACTTTCCCCTTTATCACTCTTATGATTTATACAGCTTAATTACGACCTCTATTAAGAATAGGTATTTTTATAGTTTTTGGATACATGAACATGGTGAGATGCTTCTAAAAATAAATCCATGTCATTCATGTTTCCACTCTTTCTTGTAATGCCCCTTGAGTTTGGGTCCATTAGAGTCTATATTAGCACCCATTTGGATAGAATTCCATTAAGAGCACTTTTCTCAAAAATTTTGAAACTTTATTCTTTATATTCAATTCTTAGGTTTTAATTAGATTGTAGGTGGCACTGTTTTATAGTTTATATAGTGGCCATTATACTTCCTTTCTCTTTATTGAAAAGTTGTAAGGTTTCAGCTTGATGGGTTTTCTTGTTTCTACAAGTAATGGAATATTGCCCAAGTTCTTGATATTTTACTTTTTCTAATGCATCCGTAATTTGTTCGAACTCTATTTTTACCTTTTTATTAAAGTATGTAAAACATGAACGTCTTTAAAAAAAATCATGCTAGCCTATAATAACATCTTGTAACTAACCCATTAAAGAAATCTTAATTAAGAATTCAGTTTTATTTTGCTAGTCTTGTTACAAACATCAGAACAAATAAACATGGGCTTCACATTTTTGCCAATATTTTCAAGATATTATATTTTTTCATCTTTCCAAGTTTTTAAAATGACTAAAGCTATTTTCCAGCATGATGGGTATGCCCTTCATTTTTATGTAATCATAGCCCATGGAATTTCTTATGGACCACGTGGAAAGATTTGCTCCATTGATAATCAAACGACTTTGGTGTAGCAGTGGCTACAAACTTCCATGTTATGATATTTCGCTGAGTAATGGTGTCACTCAGGTAAGATATTTCCCTCTAGTGGGTTACCGTCACAGACATTCTGAAGTCTGAAGCCTTAATAGTTCGAATATTGTTATGATTGCATACTACGAGGGTTTTGTTGGATACAAGTGAGCAAACAAGCATCCCTTTTATAGATTAAATTTCTCATGACACCCTTCCCATAAATCTAATATCTTAGAGGCTTTTCAATAAATTTTAGGGTGGCAAAGTCATGGTAAAATAAACCATAGGTTTATGGCCATAGATTTAGGAACCTCTCCTAAGTACATAACTTGATGGGTCATGATATGGTGAATCAATCGCAATGGCATTCGCCCACAATCCCAATTAGCATGGACTAGGCCCGGCCAGCCCAGTCCGCTCTTCCCCTTTCTTCAAACGGATCTCAGATAGCCTTTGTGGGAACTACTTTGTGGTTTTCTGATCCTTCCGTGCTGAATCCGGCACCGCCTCACCTTGCACCAGCCCCGGTCATCAGTCAACGGGGACTGCATGTGTGGCTGCGTGAGGCACGGAAAGAGAGAGAGAGAGAGAGATGAGGCCTCTGGTATTCCCCAATTCACCGGCGGACGGCTCCCTTTACCGTTGCACCTTTGAAGACGCTCACGATGGTGCTGTTCCTTCCCACCACGGGATGCTCGTACCGGCGAGGGAAAAGGGCCTTCCCTCGCGCTCCCACCCTCTCCAATCCTATTTTTAAGCGGAAGGTGTTGGGCACGGCGAACCAGCAGGAGAAGACGGCCGACGATGACGGTCCGCTTCGTCGCTCTTCTCTTCCTGGCGGCCGTCGCGCCCTCTGCGGCAATCCTCGACCCCGGCGACTTCCTCGCTCTGCAGGCCATCCGCAAGGCCCTCGACGACGTGCCGGGCTCCCGCTTCTTCTCCTCCTGGGACTTCACCGCCGACCCTTGCGGCTTCTCCGGCGTGCGCTGCGCCGGCGACCGCGTGGTGGCGCTCTCCCTCGGGGAACCCCGCGCCGGCTCCCCCGGCCTCACCGGCCGCTTCGACCCCGCCGTGGGCCGCCTCTCGGCGCTCGAGGATCTCTCTCTCGCTCCAGGCAGAGTCGTCGGCCCTCTCCCCAGCACCATCACAGAGCTCACCAACCTCCAGTTCCTCGCCCTCAGCCGCAACTTCCTCTCCGGAGTCATCCCCCCGGCGATGGGCTCTCTAGTTCGGCTCCGCACCCTTGACCTGAGCTTCAACCAGCTCTCCGGGTCGGTCCCTCACGAGCTCGCCGCCATGCCCACCTTGTCCAATCTCGTCCTCGCCCACAACCACCTCTCCGGTGAACTCCCCGCCTTCTCCTCGCCGGCGCTAGTGAGACTGGACCTCAAGCACAATAATCTGAATGGGGTAATCTCCGCTCTTCCGCCGTCTTTAGAGTACCTCTCCCTCACCTGGAACCGGCTCAGCGGCACTGTGGAGTGGCTCCTCCCGCAACTTCGCCGGCTGAATCACCTCGATCTCAGCGTGAACCATCTCACCGGACCCATTCCCCCCGCCGTCTTTTCCCTCCCGCTGAATGAACTCCACCTCCAGCGCAACTTTTTCTCCGGCGAGGTGAGGCCGGAGGGAGCGGTGACGATCCCCACGGTGGATCTCAGCTACAACCAGCTTTCTGGGGCGATACCGCCGGCGTTGGCGACGGCGAAGCGGCTATACCTGAACAACAACAGATTCACCGGGGAGGTGCCGGCGGCGTTCGTGGAGAAGCTGCTGAACGCGACGATCCAGACGCTGTATCTGCAGCACAACTTCCTGACGGGGATGGAGCTCAGCCCGGCGGCGGAGATGCCGGTGAGCAGCTCCCTGTGCCTGCAGTACAACTGCATGGTGCCGCCGCCGGCGAAGATGACTTGCCCACCCAAGGCCGGGTTCAAGAAGGTCCGGCCCACCTCCCAGTGTGCCGAGTGGAGCGGATAAGACACGAATCTGAGGCGGAGGAGGTGAATTGCGTCAACACTCATCTTCTCCTCTCTTCATTCTGGCCCGTCGCAGAGACTGTAAATTTGGGATCTTATTAGGGATCTAATATCTTTAATCTTTTTTTCGATTTCCTTTGGTCGCAATGTGCGGTGAATAAACGGGATTGATTATAAAATCAAGAAACCAAATTGCACGGAATGCGGCATTCAACTAAAAACAACGGATATATTTTTGATTTTCTTCCATTGACAATGGACCTCGTCAACGATAACCTAAGGTGAGGAGACCTACCACACAAAAGAATTTGGGATCTTATGAAAGTTAGTAAAAGGTTTTATACTAAACCTTTTGTGAGTTTCATACTCAATTCATAGTGGTAGACTTATATGGTCAGAGCATCTAGATTTCTGAATTATTGGGATAAGGTCCGAATATTCATACAAGTTAATTCAACGAATATCGTATTAGTCATGCCTAAATATTAATAGAAATTCACAAAAGGGTAAAATGGTCAATATTTAATGCTTGAAATTAACTAAAATTAGTGCATGAGGCATAGACATGTGACATGGTAGAGATCTGAATTGAAAGAGGAAGAATGTAATAAACACACATAAAAATTAAAACATTTACTTTGCAATGACTTTTGCAATATTAATGAACATTTTTGGAGTTTGGATTTTAGGGGCAGATGTGAAAAATTGGGTCTTTTTTAAAGGGCATCCCAGAAGGGCAACCCAAAAGGGCATTTAGGAAAAGGGGAGACCTCTACCTTCATGAGATGAGAGTATGAAAAGAAGAAAACAAACCAGAAAACTAGAGAGAAAAAAACCAGAACAAGCAGGAATCACACTCATAACCTTCCTCCAAGGAGTCTAGGCTGAATTGTTTATTTGAGAAACTAAAGTGAAGAAGATTTGTTTCTACTCAGACCTTTCAAGCCCTCTAACACACTAAAGCTCTCTTAGTGAGAAATCAAAGGATTAAATTCTTCAATAAGCTATGAGTCGAATGGGAAGAAGCAAAACTCATCTTAATTTTCTATTTAGAGTACATAGTTACTTAAGGTCAACCTAAAATTGTGAATCTAGAAGGAAATGATGAATCATCTGTGAGCCTAGAAAATCTAAAAGTAGATTTGACAAACCTTGAGTTGGCCCAAGCTATACAATCTAGTAGGTTGCTGAGCCTAGAATTCAGGGTGTAAAATGCTAAGAAATTAGTGGACCAAAGGGCAAGGTCCTTAGAGAGTGGATGTATGTCATGAGGACTGAGCTACCATCAATTTATGGTGTGAATGTGTTTGTGTTTATCTATAGAAACAGAATTGTGTGGTTAGAAAATAATTGTAAACACAAAATGTGATCAATTCACATCTCTATCTTGATATTCTACCCCCATTTTTGGCAAACAGGTTGGAGCTCTTATATAGTCTTTGGATATTACTTAATCTATTATTCTTATTGAAATGCCTCCTATAAAGTTGTTCATTAAATGAAAGCCTCTATGTATGATACAAGTAATGTAAGACCATCACTTTGCTTTTCATATCATATCCCAAGAGATGATTAATAAGAAATGTAATGTATTGGATTTTCTACAATGAACTTATCATAATTTTATCTACAAATAAATAATCCTTGAAGAAATTTGAATATCAAAGTGACAACATGACAACACTTCTAAAGAATACTCTAAAAAATGTGAAATGTGCATGTAATATTAAATTATTGCTCTTATCTAGCAATCTCTTTTCTCATTCCAAAGCATCATGGTAGTTTTTACTTGTGACTCTGATTTGAATTTTTAAATAAAAGTGAAAATGATCTGCCATTTTAGTAACTATTGTTCCCGTCAATTCTATGTCTAGTTCACATGGGAGAATTGATTATGTTGAATTTGTAATGGAGGATAAGGTAATCTAAGAAGACATCGCCCGACTAAATGAGAAAGATGAACACATACTGTAAGATTTTAAATACTTTAAATGCCAGCACATATCATGATTAGAATTTATGTATAAATTAAATTGGTCACACATGCCTTTTTCATAATTTCTCTTCTTTGTTGATGAATAGCCATCTATTCAAACAAGAAACAAAGAAAGAAGGATAGTCATCTCATCAACAAAAGACTATGAAAGCATAACCAAATAAAAGCAAAAGCATAACATCTAGTGGTGATAATAGCTTGGAACAATCCCTACCTATTCATAATGTCTAAAGATCCAAAAACTTAAAGACATGATTTAACATTCAGCTTGAGAAAATGATAGCACATCTAGCCTAAGGAGGCATCTACATGAATAGAAGGTCTAGCAGATGAACAAGCTTTAGGTGAAAGTAGTTGAAGAAGAGGCTGCCATCTGGGTTTTGCTGGAGGTGAGGGGAACAAGGTCAGATTCCTACAAGGAGGGGGCTGGCTCTACAGTTTAAAAGTCATATAGGGTTCATCAACTCCTTGACAATAGTTGACTCACTACATCAAATTCTTCTCTGATTTCAACCTTACTTTTATGCCCAAAGCCTTGAGAAAGAGCACCAAGACTTCAACTTAATTTGACTTGAACGTTTTCAAGGAACACCAAACAACTAGAACCCAATGCCATAACCGAAGAGAAATAGTCTTCTTTTAAGTAAAAAAAATGACTAATATATAATTAAAATGTTAAAGAGTTAGATAATGGCATCAAGTAGCATCAAACCAAGAATTGAACAAAGTATCATGATGGAAGGGCTGCCTCATTCAATTGGCTCCTAGGTCATCATGCAAATGTGTTGCCCATCCAATAGCTTTATGGGAGAGATTAATTGTTCTTGGGAGGCATGTGAGAGCAGATTGAGCTAGGGATTTGGAAATACAAGAAATAATATAATTATAATATAACAAGTTACATTTTCAGTTAAGAACTTCTTATAAATCGGAACCTAGATAATACTTATAATAGTAGTAATAATAATAATAATAATAATAAAATAATATCAGCCTTAGCCCTTAATTAGCAGGAAGGACGTCAATGACTGACTTAGCCCGCCAAGTAGAAGAAGGGGCCTTGGAAGGCTGACGTTGTGCAAGTTACGCCCGTGATCCGCCGCTTTTATGATAATTTTCTGTATACCGAGGGGCAGGATTGTCATTTGACAGCAGGTATAAATTCTAATTAGGGCTCGGATTACTCTCTGGCTTCCATTGATTTTATTGTCTTTACCAAGAGAGATTTGTGGTGGGGTACCGTGGTGGGGGCCAGCTTTCGCATGGCCGATCGCCGGATGGATCTCCCGCCATCGCCGCGGGTGTTCGAACCGGCGCCAGGTGGCGGCGGCCGGAGCTTCGCCTGCGGCTTCTGCGACGTCGAGGAGGTCCACAAGATCTCGCAGCTCCTCCTTCCCGGCCTGGCTGCCGCCAGCGTCGACAACACGGCCGGCGACCTCTTCCGTGGCCCCGCTTCCGTCGCCGTCGAGGTGCGGAAGGACCTGGTGGAGCACCTCTCCCGGAGGAGCGAGTCCCTTGTTGCTGAGGCCGTCATGAACGCCGAGGAGGGTAGCGGTGGCGGTGGCGACGGCGGCGGCTCTGGATCGGTGGCGGAGGGGGACGGGGCCGGAGGGCCCGCCGAGATCGTCTCAGATCTGCTGGAGGATTTCGCCGCCTCCAAGCGGAACCTGCTCGGGAGAATCTCCGGGTGGCTGATGAGCGAGAGCCGGGAGGATAAGATTGACGATTTCGTGCAGGAGATGGAGGCGAACGGGTTCTGGCTGGCGGACCGCAGGGAAGCCCTTGCCAAGACGCTGCTGAGGAACCTGGATTTTAGGGAAAGTTTCTGCTGCAGGATGACCTTCGATACGCCTAAGAAGCTGGTGGCGCACGAGAACGATTGCAGATTCAGGCCCGTGAGGTGTGGAAACAACGGATGCAAGGCCACCTTCTGCACGCTCCGCTCGGAGAAGCACGATTCGCTGTGCCCGTTCAAGATCCTCAGTTGCGAGCAGAAATGTCAGCTGAGGATTCCCAGAAGGGAGATGGATCGGCATTGCATCACGGTCTGCCCCATGAAGCTCGTGAACTGCCCGTTCTACCAGGTGGGATGCCGGACTGAAGCCTTCCCTCAGTGCGATGTCGAGCGGCACTGCTCGGAATTCCTCCACTCGCACCTCCTGTACGTCCTCAAAGTTACTCACAAGCAGGAGGCAACAGTGGACGAGTTGAAACAGAGAGTCCAAATCCTGGAAAAGGTGCGTTCTAATTCATCCTTACGCAATTGGCTCACAATTTACGCTGGCATTTGTTGCTCCCGTAGTCAAGATCATCGCTGATTGCTGTTGAATTTTCCTTTCTGAGTTTCTTTTGACTCTTGGCTGGCTTTGAACCCTAATTCGGACGGATGGAGCCGAAAATTATAAATATCATTATTGATCGCTCGATCGCAATGCATTGCAACTTCTCCCTGCATGGCTCACCAGGTTCGTGATCGACCTAAGATCTGGAGATTGAGAGGACCAAACTTATTGATTGGTTTGTGCTTAAAAGAAGATCTTGAATCTCCACACCTCCTTTGACTTTTCTGAGGATGTCAATCTGACGTAGGGCATCACTCTAAAAAACAGAGATGAGCAAAAAGTTTTTGACTCAAATGGTCCCAGACTGGGGGGCTGTGTTCTGTAGGTGGGCTCTAAAGGTGAACTCAAGGGGCCCAAAACTAGATTAGACCAAAATAAAACTGCGTGTGCATGTGAATAATTAGTCAAAACTCGATTTTCAGTAATGAAAATGTTTATTATGTTGTCTAAATTTTCTGGATCCAAATAAAGTCCCTGTCATGGTTTATTTTAGTTAATGGCACATGCGTTAGATTGTGTTTTAATTTTGTTTCAAAATCTTTTCTGATTTTGACAGGGAGAACTAGTTTTCAACCTATTTAAAGGTCACCAAATTGTAACCCTTGAAGCACATTGATTACTAAACATTTTCATTCTCTTTCCTTTTCAAAACTCTCTTTGAGTGAATTTTGAGTAGTTGTAGGTTCAAGTAACCTTTGTGCCTTCAAAGAAGTTACGTTTTATCCTTATATATTCAAAGATCAGCCCATATGGATTCAAGGGTAGTTTCTAATCCTTCTAGATTCAAGGATTTGAAAATTCATACCTTGTGGATTGAAGGTGTAATTTGCATTAGTTTCACACTCCAAATTCGTGTCCTGTGGATTCAAGGATTTGAAAAATCGTGCCTTGTGGATTCAAGGTGTAATTTTCATTATTTTCACATCCCAAATTCGTGTCTTGTGGATTCAAGCCTGGAATCTTCCATTCTGCTCAATTGTTTGTGTATTAATTGGTATCAGAGCAACTTTCATAGATAATAGCATTATTTTGATTCTCGTGGGCGCAAGGATTCAACAATTTTGTGCATATAAATTATGGCCTGATTTTATATTCTTCCACAACTTCCACCACATCAGGATCTCCTTGTCCACATACAAACATATAGCGTAAGTTATTGGCATGAGTTGAACAAAATTCTATCCTAACTTTATTTGATAATTACGAACACATACTATTAGAAAAATCTCGTTACTATATATATTTCGTAGGTTCTAATGTAGCACTGCTTGTTACCTTGGTGTGAACTCCAATAGTATTGAAAAAAATTCATCCTCAGGCTTGTTATTCCATTTATGCTGATTTCAATCATTCATTCATGGGTCATTGATCTCAACCTCCTGTCACCCATCAGATTTTAGCTCTATTTGAGCTGTAATATCCATTGTTCGAGAATTGTCAACTTTGTTGTGACTCCCTGATGCTGTCTTCCTAGTAGTGCCAAGCTTTGAGTGAGCTATCGGAAGCTCTTGATGTTAGATCATTGACATTGGTGATCAAGCAGCTCGAGGCAAAGATGGTGAAACTTGAGCACAACCTCGACAAGGTCAATCAGAGGAGTTCCTAACCAGGGGCTTGAATCAGTCGGACAACATTGAAGAGGATCACAGAAATGGTTTTGGCTGAAATTTTTTGCGGCAGCCATGCTCTCATTTTCTTCATTATTTTTTTCACACTTTACTATCCATTGTGAGAAAACCAGAAACATTAATTTCTTTTGTTACCCATCTGACCATTCTTCATGATAAATACTATGCTTAAATTTATTATCAAGTATAAGAAAGGGATTGCCTGGTGTATAGGCAAACTTCTTGGAGAATCCATATGGTGAGTTTTACACCAAGGACCAATAGTTGTAATCATTTAGGCCATCAGCAATGGTCTAGTGACTACATTTTACTTACCTTATTCTCTCTCTCTCTCTCTCTCTCTCTTCTCTCTCTCCCTCCCTAGATGGCTAAGTTAAGGAACAAAGAGGAGGAGTGAATCTATTTATATAGACTTCTTCTATTATAACTAGAAAAGAATAATTTAATTTTAAATTCTCATTAATGATCAGATAAGAAAGTATATTTTTAAAAGACTATAACTCACATTTAATTGTCTTTCTCTTGATCATGAATGATTATAATAAGTTAACTTAGTCAAGAGTGAAAGGATTTTATAGTGATTTGACTAACTCAAGCTTGCACTAATTTTCTAATCACTGCACATAGGTTTCACAATTCTACTTCGAAGATAGAGTTAATTTCACAATATATGTACACCTTAAAAAATAAAGTATATGAGCCTTTAACCCCACTATAATCTAAGGTTCTAAGATCATTCTTAACCTTGGTGCAAACACACGACATGTCTCAATATAGTTTGTAAATGAATTGAGAAGCACATTAATAAATCAATTGATTTTTCTTCTTATTGGTACCTTCGAGATGCACGATCAATTTCAGCATGAATGAAGCTGCATGAGCAGTCGGTTGTTGTAAGGTTGAGCTGTTAGAGATTAGTCAATGTTGAACAAGCTAGAACACACAACCTTCAGTGGCTTTCTTTACAGAAAGAAGACTGAATTGAAAGAGGAGAAGAAAGGGTCATGCGATATCTCTAATGCTTTCTTGTCAACCCCAATTTAGGCAAGACATCCCCTTTTATACTTCTATATGTAGTGGGTTGGACATTGGACCAACGAAGCAAACTCCAATTCATCATCTAATCCTGCTAATTGTTACACCTTGTGGGTGACCGTTGTCCCTGCATGGTAGCCGTTGGGCGTCGCCTCGAGCATTTTACCACCTGTTGAGGTCACTTCGGCTGTCACATCAGGCAAAGTGAACTGTCACTTACACCCACTTACTCCCACTTGCACACCACCGGTCGCCTGTTCAATCACATGCTTGAGTTCCCACCATAGTCTAGGACCCTTTGTGCCTCCGCTACGTGTGGTGGTGCTTGCGCACACTATGCTGCCCCACACACGCCATGCCACCCATGCACGTTGTGCCACCTGCACGCCATGCATGGCACATGCATTGTGCCATTCCTAAGCGTCACGCCACATCTACGCACTATGTCTACATAGGATCTTGTCCTGTCCCTATGACACCATGCTTATGCTAGTTTTTTGATTTTTCACATAGAAATTTATTCAGGACCTATTATGATGTCATAAATATATTTTTTTCTTGGAATTTTTGTGCTCCCCATTGCATTGTAAATCTTCAGCAGACAAATCCTTTAATTGTTAGTATGGCTTGCTAATTTTTTTGTGCAGAATCATCCCCACCGTTTAATGGTTAGAAAAGCAAGCCAAAATATTGAGAAGGCATTGCTGTTGTTCACATTCTGCCAGTGAATTGTCGCATGGTTGGGTCACGATGACAGCCCCCTGGGCTGCGGATGCGGCTGCGGAGGGACGCCGGTCAACGCTTCGGGGGCGGGGGCTTCGGCATTCACCCTCACCTTGTGCGCGCAGCATCCCCTCTTCTTCTTCTCTTCCTCATCCTCCTTCCGCTCCCGCCGCCCGGAGACGGCCCCCGGCGATCGAGGTACTCGCGGTTCTCCTTCCAGATGGGCACCGACGCCTTCACATCTTCGATGAGGAACTCGCACGCCGCCAGCGGCTCCGCCCGGTGAACAGAGGACGGCGTCACGAACACGCTCGCCTCCGCCACCGCAACCCCGCCGAGGCGGTGCACCACTGCCAGCCGCTCCACCGCCCAGCGGGATCTCGCCGCCGCGTAGACCTGGTGGAGCTGCCGGAGGGGCATGGGGACGTAGGCCTCGTACCGGAGCTCCACCACGCGCCGGACCTCGAAGAGGTCCCTCCTCGTACCGTCGAAGGCGGAGATCTCCCCGCAGGAAAGGTCGCGTGCGAAGAAGACGTACCTGGCCACGTCCAGCTCACCGGAGGATGCCTCCACGATCTCCACCAGCTTCATCTCCTCTGCCGCCGCCTCTGCTATCACGGGAGAGGCACAGGGGCGCCGTCTGCTGGGGATGCCTCCACACCGGGAATCTTCTGGTTTTTTATTTGAAAGTTTTCCTGAAGTGCCTGAAAGTCCTACGATATGGAGTAATGCCCCTGGAAATCTGAGTACTATGGAGATAGCACAGCTGTCCACTCACCCCCTTTTCTCTCTCTTCCGTGTGGGCCGAGCCAGAGGTAAATAGGATTCGGGTCGGGCTTCGACTTTATAGTGCTAATCTCCCTCCCTCCCTCCCTCTCTCTCTCTCTCTCTCTCTCTCTCTATCTATCTATCCATCTCGTTCTCTCTCTCTCTCTATCTATCTCGTTCTCTCTCTCTCTCTCTCTCTCAATCTCTCTCTCTCTATCTATCTCGTTCTCTCTCTCTCTCTCTCTCTCAATCTCGCCCTCTCTCTCTCTCTCTCCCTCGCTCTCTCTCTCTCCCTCGCTCTCTCTCTCTCTCTCTCTCTCTCTCAATCTCTCTCCCTCTCTCTCTCTCTCTCTCAATCTCTCTCCCTCTCTCTCTCTCTCTCAATCTCGCTCTCTCTCTCTCTCTCTCTCTCTCTCTCTCTCTCTCTCTCTCGCTCTCTCGCTCTCTCTCTCTCTCTCTCTCTCTCTCTCTCTCTCTCTCTCTCTCTCTCTCTCTCTCTCTCTCTCTCTCTCTCTCTCTCTCTCTCTCTCTCTCTCTCTCTCTCTCTCTCTCTCTCTCTCTCTCTCTCTCTTTCTCTCTCAATCTCGCTCTCTCTCGTAAAGACTGTTCTTAAAGAGCATTTGGTTCTTCCATGGCGATGCCTTCCTGAACATCAAGGGATCTGAAGGCGTCGCTGTTGAGTCAGTCGGGAGAAGAGCGCGACCATGCTCTCGGGATTAGACTTCCAGAGTACACAATAAAGAACAAACGATAATCAAGCAAGAATAGCAAAAATGGAGTCTCTGTGTCTGGCACGCGGGGCAGTAGAGCTTCCCCGTCCTATTTGAAGAACCGCAAACCGGCTACTTCTCCCTCCTACCGCGAGCTGACTCCGCTCCCTCCGTCGGCTCTCTCAGGAACTGGAAGATGGAGTCCTCGTAACACCTACTGCGCAGGATGGGCAGTTCAAAGCGTGGTAGAAACTCGATTAATCGGAGGTCCGATTTCAGTGAATAACCTAAGCGAAGGAGGAAGAAACCCACTCTAGAGAGGGAGTTTCATGGGTCGTACCTGGTACGTCGCCCGAGTCGTGCTCTGGAGGGGGCGACCTGTTTAGATTGATGTCCAAGGCTCTGCTCCGTGGCGCCGGTTGCACATTCCACGGAATCCTAGCGGCGGCGGCGGTGGGTACGGCGGCGTTGTTCGGCCCTTTCCAATGCTTCCGCATATGGCCACCAAGGGCCTGCCCGGAAGGGAAGGAACTGCCGCAAATATTGCAACTTTGCATGCGGCGTCCATCCAACCTCTCCTCATCTTTGCCGCCTCTCCACGAACCTCCTACCTCCGGACGCTTGCCGTTGCAGCATTTCGTCTCGATCTCCCCGATGCCAACCTGATGGCAAGGATTTCCCTTTCCTCCACCGCCATTATTCAGCTCCGGCCGACCAGTCTGCGGTTTCTTCATTCTCTTCCTCCCGCATGGCAGGGCCGCCTCCAGATTATTGCCTCCCGCCGCCGCGATGGACGATGCTGCGAAGCTGGAGCCGAAAGACAGCAGGTTGGCGGCCGCATCTTTCATGGGGTTCTCGTCCCTGTGGCATGAATCTCCCTTTCCTCCTACACCGCCGCCATTCAGCTTGTCCTGACCGATCAACTGCATCTTCGTCCTCTTCCTCATGTATGGCCGGGCCGCCACGAAGCACTGGCCGCCCGCCGCCGTGCTGAGCCTGTCAATGATGGCGGAACGGAAATGCAGCAGAATGTTGGCCGCTTCCTCTACGGAGATCACGCCGTCCTGCACGCTTGTCTCCATTCCCTTGGTGTCTCCGTTTGCGCTGCCATTCGCCGCCGCCGCATCGCCGGCCGGAGCAGGTTTCGGCGGCCCGCCAGGGAAGAGCGGCGCACAGGGTTTCATCTTCGGATGGGATCTCAAGTGCCCGAACATCGCCTTCCTTGAGCGGAAGGTCCTCCCGCAATACGGACAAGGAATCGCGTCGGTTCTTGCTTCCACCGGTGCCACCGCGGATGCCGCAGCCCTGGAGGCGCCCTCCCCGCCGGCGAAAAGGTTCTGTGTGTTCGCATCGTTCCTCTCTTCTGGACGCTGCAGATCCTCGGACAACCCTGTAGGGCCGTCTTTGTCCTTCATTGCCCACAGATTGCGAGAGGGAGGGAGAGACGACATGACAACAAAGTTCAATTAACTACAGAGAGAGCGCAGCTGGAAAATGTAGAAGCGGCGCCCCGAGGAGGACGAGAATTAGGGCGGGGGGGTGGGGGGGGGGCAGGTGTGGGATTCAGGTCGTGAAACGGAAGCCTGGTGGATCTCAAAAAAGGAAACCTTAAGAAGAAGAGACCAGTATACTCCCTACTCGATGGCCCGCCTTCAGCGGGTTGCCGTGGAATAGGATCCGAAGCCCTTGCAGGTTCAGATGAGTTGAGTGGGTAAGGTGCAGATCGCAGGCGAGAATCCCAGCTTAAACCTGATGAAGACGAGCCTCCGCGCGGGCGCGCGAAAACAAGAAGATGTAACTCCGCGGGAACTGAGATCCCGTTTGAATTGGGGACGTTAGAGATACGAGTTTAATGGGGGGCCGTTGCGAGCGGGCCGGATAGAGAGGAATCGATAGTGAGTGAGAGAGAGAGGGTGAACGAGAGAGAGACGCACAGAGAGAGAGGGAGAGAGACAGACAGACAGAGAGACCGAGAGACCGAGAGAGAGAGAGAGGGAGAGACAGGAGAGACAGACAGACAGAGACGGAGAGAGAGAGAGAGACCGAGAGAGAGAGAGAGAGAGAGAGAGAGAGAAACTAAAATCCCGGGGGACGAAGCGCGCAACTCCAGCGAAATTCAAACTCCCCATAGAAGATTGCAACGAGAGGGAGCGGAAGACGAGGGTGTAGAGGACGGATAATCGGGCTCGTCCTGTCCGTTTTCTCCTGCTCAACGGTCGCCCAGCTCCTCACTCTGAGGATTGCTACCTGCCTTGATCTCTAGTACGCTTTCGTTTCACGTCTGTGCATCATACCGTGCATTCTCCTGTAGTCTGTGGATTTCATCTTTCATCAGCCCTTTCCCGGTGCTGGATATCGTCCCTTGACTGTTGCCTTTCGAGTAATCTGAAGTATCAAAATCATCGGAGGTTTGTTCCTTCCATACGCACTAGTGATCCTGTCTGTTGTCTTCTTTCTTCAGCCCTCTTTTTAGGGTTTCCTGTCTGTGTGATAACTTGGGGGCGGGAGTGTTCGCGTTCCAAGCCCGTAGCGTCTACTGTGTCAAGTTCGCCTCTCGCCTCTACAGATCCTGATAGTTCATTTGCCGCATCGTAGAGAGACTTTACTCTCATTTTGCCTCCCGTAGTTGTGTGCGCTTAGAGTTCATCGAGTTGGTGGATCACAATCTTGGTATCCGCTTTTGGCAGCAGGATAAATTCCTAACTTTACATATTTAAATATTTCTTTGTACTTTAGCAATTCATTGCATGAATACATAGAATGATGACAAAAATGATGAGTAAATGAGGAAAACATGTATCTACATAGGAAAAACATTAGCTATGTTGTGTTCCTTTATGACTAAATATAATTGTTAAAGTATTAAAGTTCACATGAAATCCAACCATTTGTATACAATGTATGCACCCATATATAGCATTCATTAACTAATAACAACACTAGTTTGAAAGCTAGTAATGTAATCTAAATGGTGTTCCTAGTCACTTGTTTAAGAGTGTGAACTAAAACAAGGTGCATCTTTTTAAAAAGTAAATAATTTAATGAAACTTATTAGATATTATTGACATTAGTGGATCTAATTAAAGTTGATTTTGGCTTGATTCTATATTTCTCTTTTTCTTATATTGTGCACAATATTCACCATAGATAGCTGCCTTGAGTATATGTTTACAACCCAATGTTTGTGTTAGTTGAACCTATTCTTTAAACCTATTCTCTTGTCTTCTAATCATTGAAAAAAAACGATGGCATAATTGTACACTGCATTAATAACAAGAAAGTGGTTGATAGGGCATACAATGTGTTTTTGGAGTGAAAATGAGTCTAATTGGAGTGTTGATGTTGAAATAAAGATTGCACAAAAGCTAATAATACAGCATCATAGTTAGATAGATGACTTTCTAAAGAACCTATCAATCCTAGGGGCATCCCACTCACCAAGAGGCTCCCTCAAATTTTTCACTAGGTTATGCTTTTAACCTAATATATGGTAGCTATGTGTGCCTAGTAATTTATTTCTTCAATATATTAAACCAACCTTTAGCTCCTGCTCAAAGAGAAGTTTGCTAATTTTGGTGGAATTGTAGTGGATGTTTTGGCAAGCCTAGACTACACAAGGGAACTATGATGAAATTTTTTGGGATCCTGTGAGCATGAGAATTCTCGCATGATTCTCCATTTAAGATTTTGTTAAAAAAAATTTAAACACACTTTTTCAGTCTTGTATAGGCAAATAGATTAGTCAACAACCCATTGGAAAAACCTCCCTCCTATAAGATTAAAAATAACTACTTATAGAATTTTTTTAATTTAGCGTTGGATCAAAATTAACCATTGCAATTCAACAATTATCAACACTTTGGTCTTTCTACCATCTTCAAGGGCCACACTACCTTTGTCCATTGTTAATTTGGATACTTCTACTTTGGCATAGTGCAAGTATTACTACTTAACCAACTCTAACACCAACCTTTGTCCCTTAGATGTCTACCCTTTTTCATGCATGGAACTCTTTTCATGAAAGGTGTGAACATAACTTTTCTACTATAATTTTGAATAAATCCCATAGTTTATACTACATGAACAATTGTAATTTTCTCATCCTTGATCCATTGACATATCATTATGCCATGATTTCAGTATATAGCAATCTAGCCCATATAATCTTGAGCAGTTTTGCTCATCAAATTCAATACCAATTGTAGTTTAGTCAAATTACCATTATTGCATAGTCTTAGGATTGCTTAGAACCCTACAATAAAGGTAATAAGTTCTAAATGTGTGATGGTTTAAACAGCAAAATTATCAAGATACTTGCACTTTATATGAATATATTAGATATCCTGATGATATCCTTTCCATAAATGAAGACGATGTGTATTTAAGTTGTTCAAATATGCGAAGCTATTTATTGATAGTAGCTGCATGAATTTTGGTACATGGGTTAAAGTTGCTATGCGAGACCAGTAGTTATGTTGACAATTCCCCATTGAGGTTTTGAGTGTGTGAGTGAGTGTGCGTGTGTGTGTGTGTGTGTGGAGAGAGAGAGAGAGAGAGGGAGAGAGAGAGAGAGAGAGAGAGAGAGAGAGAGAGAGAGAGATGTTAGCTCAATTGAAGAATAATGGATGAACTAGTTCTTTCAAATTTGCACTAAGAGTATTTTGATGTGATATAAGAAAGGAGTTATCACTAAACTTAGGTCCTCAACTAGGTGGGCTGATGTACAAATACTTACAATGACTTTGACCATGACCTTACATCATATTTTTCAAGGGTTCCTAACTCTCGGTGATCATTGTGTGCCCCCTATTTAAGAATTCAGCTTGCCCTGGTAGAACAGCCTTGCCATTGATCAATAAGATACATGAGTCATTTAGATGATGAGTCCACATGACTCATCACACCACAAATTAGGTTTAGGTGGCTTTGCCTCACCAATTTCACTACCCTATTTTTAGTCCCATCAAAAGAAAAAAGCTTATGGTATAGGCGGCACCAATTTCTTTATCTTTGACCTTTGTTCTACTTAGGAGAGAGTAAAAAAGCTATGAAGTTTTGCAGTGATTATGAGCTGTGATCCTCAATAAATGTAGTTTAATCGGCTAAAATTCATGATTAAGTGCGTCAAGATAAAAACCTTTTACACGGGGTTGCAGTGTCCAATGAGTCTGCTGACCTACGGCTAAGAGAACCACTCAATGAGTAAAATTTACTCTTGTGCATGGTTTGGTAAGGGATAAAATTTAGAGTTGGTAGTGAATATTTTTAATATTTTTAGTTATTTAAAATCCAGACGTTGGTAGTGAATTTTTTTAATAGTTTAATAATACTATACTTTGTCTCTTGTATTAATTTTGTGCACTCATTTATAGTTGAAAGAAAGGTAGATATCTATATATATCTGTATATATATATATATATATATGTCGAGAGAGAGAGAGCGAGAGAGAGAGAGAGAGAAGTGGCCACTTAGAAGAGAGTTATTTACGTAGGTAGTCAGCTGCAAGCCAAACCCAAGCCTTTCCATGGGCGGTCAGTCAATGGGTTAAAATTTCGGGCACAAACCGCTTAACTTCAATTTTCAGGCCTCAAGGTCAATCGACAGCTAACTTATTAATTTTCTTCATCTCAGTCGTGGGGGCGGGGGGCGGGGGGGGGCGACAAAACTTTAACCAAGACTGGATCCGTGGAATATGATATCGGAAGAAACCGATGTGGAAGACTTGATTCGGAAGAAACCGTGTGAAATGGAGAGGACCGAACCAGATCTCCCGAATTTCCTCTCTGCCCCCTTGTACTTTCGTTCTCGTCTGATAGCAGGAGACAACTTGCCCCGGTGCTTTGGATATACCCGTGGATAGGAAAGAAGTTGTTCGATCCGAGAAAGACAGATTGTGTCAGACGTCCTTGGAGTGCTCCGGCAAGAGAGACGAAGAACCCTCGCAGTAAATCTTCGAGACGAAGATTGTGTCCTCTTCGAGCAGTAACGTTCTTGGACTGTAGAAGATTTTTGATTTTATACATTTTGATCGACGGTATATGGTGCCATTGGCATCCTCATCAAGGCAGGTTGGGACAGGCAGTCAACCAGACTTGTGCTCTGACGCCGATGAGGACGCGCTGTCCCCCTCCGTCGGCTACCCGCGGCAGCTGAGTTGCTCCAGCTTCTCCTTGGAGGAAGTCAACTGACGGAATAGAGGAGAGGAGAGGAGAGGACCCGGGGATAATGGCGGCGGCAGTGTTGCCCCTGCGTGTCCGTGCAGGAAGTCAACCGACAGAGGGCTGGTTTGAAAATTCTGCTTCACGGAGGTAGAGAGCTAGTCAATGGACCTGGGGGGCAGATGGCGGCGGCAACAAGGAGTCGTCGGGTGGGACGCAAAATAATGATCTTTAATGCAAATCGCGTCGAGGAGTACCCAGTTGGACCGCCGTGGAGCTGGCGGCGGTGGGACCCGCCTGATGGGTGACTGGGGGAGGAAGGAGGTGGGCTTTCCCTCCAATGGGAACCTCTCTCTAGGGCAGATGCCCGTTGGATCTCGCCACCTGCCGGCAGAGCCCCTCGCCGTCTCCCTCCGCCGCAGTGAAGCGCAGGTTTTTCTGGGCAGGGCGCAGAACGGGGGGCTGTTCATCGGAGAAGATAGAAGAAGAGGAGGAGGGCAGAGATGGGGTCAACGCCGTGGTTGCAGAACGCGCCGCCGTACCGCGTGGTGGAGACGAACTGGGAGACGGAGGACGACACCCCCGGCCCGCGCTGCGGCCACACCCTCACCGCCATCGCTGCCAGCAAGAACCACGGTCCCCGTCTCATCCTCTTCGGCGGCGCCACCGCCATTGAAGGCGGCCCCTCCTCTTCTGTGCCCGGCATCAGTGAGTTCTTCCTCTTCCGGTTCTTCTATGCCGATCACTCCATTCTCGCGGGTTGCGGAGTTGTGCTAAGAAATATGGGTCCTCAATATTGCTCTTGGTGTGTAGGGTTAGCGGGAGTGACGAACTCGGTCCACGCTTATTGTGTTGTCACGAGGAAATGGACCAGGCAGGATTTCACCCCTTCTTGAACGATCCCTTTTCTCTATCTCGTTGGAGAGGGGGATTTACTTTCCTTCGAATTGGCCGCTAACAGCGGGAGCCTTTGACCGTGCAGGTTGCGTCCTGCTGGAGACCCGCCTTCCCCCAGGGCTGCTCACGCGGCTGCTGCTGTTGGCACTATGGTCGTCTTCCAGGTATTGACCACGCCGAGTTCCATTTTTTCGCTCTGTGGATCTCATCCTGCTCGGGCTCTCTTCTTTTCTCCATGCAAAGATGAATAGTTCGGTGATTTCAGGGCGGTATTGGTCCGGCTGGGCATTCCACTGACGACCTCTACGTGCTAGATTTGACTAACGACAGATGCAAATGGCACAGGTTGTTATCAGCTCAGACAATTCGATTATTTCTGCATTATTGTTATCAATTAAGTTGAAAAAAAAATTGCCTTCCAAATTTCGCAGAGAAATCTCGCCAGCTCTCGATTTCTTATATTCCCTTATTAACTATATATTTCGCTGGTTAATGGCAGGGTGGTTGTTCAAGGGGCAGGTCCAGGGCCTCGCTATGGGCATGCTATGGACCTGGTTGCACAACGATTTATTGTCACCGTCAGCGGCAACGATGGTAAACACAATGTCTTGTCTGATGAGTAGACTTACTCAGAAGTGTTCCTAGATTTATATTTGAGAACGAACACATGATGATGCATTAATTGCATGAGTTGTGTGCATCACCCAGAAGCCTTTTCTGGATTTGGAAAAATGAAAAACTTATGGATAATGGCTTTGGTAGAAAGTAGTGTAGGAGTTTGGAATTTGGAAAACGTGATAAATTATATGTATGTGATTCTGATCTCTGGAGAGCAGTGACATCTACTGGCCTATTTATTTTCTCATCTTGTTATGTTATATCATGATGTGTATTCCATTTGTACATTTGATTCCTATTTTCTTATGTGTTTTCATTCTGCTCTCTCTTTTGTTGCCGCATGATTCTCTGTTTGGTCATATTTCGGACGCCACATTATTATGAATGATAATTTTTTGACCTTTCTATTTTTTTTCTAAATTTTCTCAAAAAAAAAAGTTAGATTTCTTAGTGATTAGGGTTTAGCTTTACTTCGCTATCTGCCCATGTTGGAGGAACGCTCTTTATGATGTTTTATCTCTCAAACATTGTGAAATGGACCTGTTTCATGTATATTTCAAGCATTACTATCTTAAGCAATTTATGAAGAACAATAAGCAATGTTATAAACAATTAATAAAACGTAAGTTTTTAAAGTTTATGAAACTAAGATAGATGTGAAGGGATCCCAATGGTGAGAAATTTGATCTAAGACAAATCCATAAAGCATGCTTATCATCCACGACATGTTGCACCAAGGATGAGGCTCTTGTCTCCATTTGATTCAGTAAAACCTATAAATTAAAGTTAATGTCTGTTAGTGCATTAAATGGGTAGCTGATAATCCTCGAAGGAAGGATTACATCAAGAAACATACTTCATTACTGAATTCTTCGAGCTGCCAAAGTATTTAGTAATGTGAGAAAATAGTTGAATTTCGATTTAATACCAATTTTGAAGAGTCTGGTGCTCTAGTTGGGTGTAAAAAAGACTGTTGCTGTGGTGTAATGTGACTGTCTATTATAAGATGATTAGATAGATGACATTTTCCAGAAATAGTTTGACATTGTTTAGGTTGAGACGAAGGAGTATTGGAAAAGTGTTGGGATTATGTCATGGGTCAGATGTATGCAGAGGATAATCCAATAAAGAACAGATTAATGATTTTGGTTGTGATAAGCGACTTGAATGAGCCTCTGTGGACCTAGGTGATTATGGGAGAGATTGTTGAGTCTAGAGGCCTAGTGTTTAAAACTCCTAATATCCTAACATCTAGACTATCAATTTCTCAACCAGAAAGCCTAGAGTAGTAACAGTAGAGATTTATGGTCCGATGGAGGGGAGAAGTAGATCAACCTGTTAGGACCGATTCTATCTATATTTTCCCTCGATCTCAAGCCATTAGCCTGGGAGACCCATCACAACCCATGTAGAAAAAACCTCCAAAAATGAGGGATTTGATATCTAGGAGCCATTTTGGAACTGGTGGAAGATGCACAGTAATAGAAGCGGGAGAGAAAAGGTTGGGCTTCTATTGTTTGAGCCTTGTTCTCAGATTGATCAGGAGGTGGACATTGACAAGGAGAATGGGTGTTTGGTTTTCTTCTTCTCCATCCCAGAATGTTGGGAGTATGTCGTAGTGGTGGGCAGCTGGTACTGTCCAATGGGACTAGGAGAAAATCTAGTGAGGTACGTTGGTTCATTATGAGATAATTCAGCTATCAACACTCAGTGTGGCGAGTTAGCTCTTGATTCTATCATTTCTTGACATTCATTGTTCAGAGTCTACACTTGCTCAGGGCATTTCTTTCATCCTTAACACATCCATGGTACCATCCGCTTTCAAGAGAAATTGAATTTGGGGAGAAAATAATTTATTGCGGGAGTGAAGTGATCATGCACCAGCTGATTGCCTATAAAAATTATTTTTCCCTTCAGCAACAGGGAAATCACTTGGTCCTGGGCTGATGGTTACCAACGGTTGGGGGAGGAGTTTGAGTCTGTGGCAGCCAACGAGGAGCCCACCCTACCTCCTCCCCAACCCAAACCTGAGTGTTGACTGGAAGTAGTTGTCCTGTCATCCCTTGGCGTCAAGAAGAGAAAATAGAAAAATCACTTGTGCTCCAGTAAACAGATTGTAGTATTCATTGTGGTAGACATGTATTCCCATAACCCACATCTCTTGAGTTTTATTGGATATAATTCTATAGCGAATGTTACTACTTCCTAGTCCGGTAATATATACTGTACTTTTTCTGCCCTAACTTCTTTTACTCAGTCTTCATCATTTGATAATTAGCTTCAATATGCCCCTAAGCATATATATATTACCCATGTACATTATAAAAATATCATTTGGAATTCGAAACTGTGAAGTAAAAAAACTAGTGATGTGCTGGTACATGTTCAGTAAAAAGAATTTTTCGTAGTAACATTAAGGAAAATGAAATAAAGGAAACTTCTTCTTTGACATCTATCTTTATAGCCCAACAGATTGGCTGCTATTCATATTTGTGCTCATATCTCTCCTTCATAATATGTTAAAAATCATCTCTCTTCCACTCTACACTTTTATCCATTGCCACTGAAAGACTATTGTAAGTCAAGCCATTCACATTCGATGATGATGACTGTAAATTCCCTAAGGGGATTATAGTTTCTTCCGAACTGAGGTTAAAGACGACCACGAACTATACCAGTGGATTGCAGTCTACTTGTTTACATCTTAAAGATTATTCCTATCTACCAGGTGCCATTATGGATAGGAAATGAAACATTGCTTACCTTCTTAATTTACAGCCGTGAAATGAAGTGATCATCTCAATACGATGCAAATGGGATATGTGACCATTTATGGTCTTACGAAGAGGAGCAGAAGTTTCATGTTTTTTCGCAGATTTCAATGTTTTTGGCATTAACATGTACTGGCGAGACAATTTCTCGTATTTTTTTGTCCGTTTTCTTTTCTACCGTATAATGTTTAATGTTAACTGTTACCCATCGAAGGAAATTTCAATTTTTAAGTGTTCAATGCAGGGAAGAGAGTTTTGTCAGATGCTTGGGCTTTGGACACTGCGCGAAAACCCTATAAGTGGCAGAAGATCAATCCTGAAGGTGAAAAGCCCACTGCCAGAATGTGAGTCAACTTATCTTATTTTTCCTAATTCATTGTACAATGCTTTTTTTTTTCCTCCGAGACGATCATATGTGTTGATGTTTCTCTTTGCATGTATAAATCATTTTCTGGGTAGAATAAACTGTATCTTTCAAAAATCTACTCATGTTCTCCTCCTTTGTATTACACGATAATGAGAATGTCTGTCATTAATGAGAATTTTGAAAGATGAACAAGCTTGCCTGGTTTTGTAGAAATGGCAGCAAGAAATATAAAACGAAAATAAGATATTGAGAACGCTAACATCGGAACTTTTTAATAGAAATACTGCACAATTGCACTGAGCAGAAATGAAAGATTTTATGATTAACTGTTTGAATGTTTTATTCTAATCATATTCTTAAAGTTTTGGATGAGAATCTCTCCCTTAAGGAATGAAGCTCTGAGAAATGTTCTCCATCCAAGTGTAGTTAGTCTTAGGAAGTGATATGTGGAATAAGTTTTCTGGTGAAATATGATGAAATTAAAGATAAAATTCTCTGAAATGATGAACTGGTTCGGGTCCCAAGGTTGGATAATCACCAGGCATTTGCTGCAGACTTTCTCTTGGCGGAGTTTATTGAGAAGGGCGTGATTCAGGTTGTTGATTTTCTCTGGGCCCTGAATAATATTTACGTGTTGCATGTTGACGCTACCACAGATTCATTAACTATGAGAATTACATATGGGAGTATATACTGATTTGTATAATCAGTTGAAAGTAAACTGCTACTCCACGATAAAATAGTCTCTTCTTTCTACGTTCAGAACATTCTTGCTCACTCTTTTACCCTTGCATAAATAGAGAGAATGAAACGCTTTAAGTTTAGAGTCTCTTGTATCTAATTCTGCAATTGGTCTTGTCATTTCAAGTAGCGTAAAATGTGACATGTACTACGGACCATGCTACTCATCTGTTCATGTTACCATTCTCTGAAGCTAAATTTTGCAGCAGTACAAAAGCAGTAGTTGACGAGATTCCTAAAAGTTGGACACAAGCAGCCTCCCACCACGAATGATTAAAAACTTAGCTTGTGCCATGTCTGGTTCTTCAGTCACCTTAAAATGTAGTTAAAGGTTTTCCTTAAGGAAATGCTCTTGCCTCATTTATCCTTCCGAAATAAGTTCTATGAACATTGCAAAGCCAATCTTACGGCTGTTCAATACTGAAGAACACGTCTCCATGCACCTTGGAGATGTATCGGTGGGCTAAAGCTCGAATAGCCTTCTTCTTATGTACTATTTATGCTGTCCCTCTACAAAGTATCTTCTTCCATTCTCAAGTGCAGCGATCGAAATCCTTGATATCAGTGATATAAATACTTCTATTTTCTTCTGTTTTGCTCAATCTCGGGCCCGATTGATGTCATGCCACCCTTTGATTTTATCATCGTTTCCTCGCAGAAATCTTCACCTGACAGTCCCTAGGATCTGTAATATATAGATAGACAAGCTGAAAAGTTCAGAGCTACTATCAAGAAACACTCATGCTACACTTCAATTAAAGCGATTTCCTAGGAGTTCTAATAGCACTTTGCTGTCGACGAATTACTCAGTAACCGAAGATAAAATATACTACTTTCGGCATTCTGTGGTATATGAAAAAAACCTAAAGTTAGTAATTATGTTTACACATGATGAAGGCATTCCGGCTCAAGGTAACTAACGAACTTTCAACACATCCAACTCTTGTGGCCAGCAGTTTTAGAAATGCCTGTACACTCCATTAATGAGTCTAATTCTTGTGGCCAGCAGAAAATAATGAGGCTAGTTTTACCGGGAACCAATCATTGTGTGGAGAGCACATGAAAATTAAATAAATTTCAACCATTGCAGCTAGATTTAGGCCGTCGAAGTACAATAGGTCAAAGATGCACAACAGGCGTGTCTTTTCTATGTGTGAGGATTAATCTTGAAGATCAAATATTTCATCAGATTCATGTGAATGACGTCATTCAATCTGTACATCATGAAGATGCTTAGTTGGAAACAAGAATGATGCTTGAAGGGCAAAAGTTGGACGTCCAAAATTCTCCAAGTTGTCTTCCTTATGGACTAATGAAGAATGCTTGGGAGGTTGAGAAATGATTTTTCAGTATTCCAATGAGTAGTTTAGTTTTTTAAAAATTTTAAGGGATGACAGAGTCTGACGTCTGATTCTGCCTATGAAACAAGGATTCAATAACAGAGAAGGGACAAACGGGTCATCTGATACTTGGAAGGATGGGATTCAAGTGGGTCAGTCCAATGCCAAATGCAGATGATATGTATATGCGGTCTCAGCAAGATATTTAATTAGAGAATCATGGATCAGATTATCTTTGGGCTGCCGGCTTTGTCAGAATATTTACCATCAGTTGAAAAGACTCGCTTCTGGTTTCATCATTCAATAATGCAAATTTAATGGTCTATGTTCTAGCTGCCGATGTGCATGCAATGAAACCAAGTGGAAAGATAAGATGGAGAGATGTTGCTAGAACGTCTATTTTTGATAAAACAGTTTTGTCATCATCATACATTTCTAACAACATTGTTGCACACTTCCTTTTTAATCTAGGTTTGGTGCTTCAAATTATTCTCCCCATATTATCTTGCACAGTTCTTGCAATATTGTATCATGCATTCGTTCCACAAACCAGTTGCTTGAGTATCCATGATGATGTTTTGTTTATGGGGCATCTTTTCATTTCAGAACTCTGAACTTATTTCGTATCTGTAGGTATGCAACAGCAAGTGCACGATCCGATGGAATGCTCTTACTTTGTGGTGGAAGAGATTCTTCTAACACTGTATGTTTGATTAACACTGTATCTTTCTACTGCTGTAGTGGATCTAAAGAATTTCTGTGCTAGGAAGTCCACATGCCCACTTCTAGTTGTTGAACACGATTATTTTTGGATATGGATTCAATCTATAGTTTTACTAGAGAATCTGAGAAGATAAAAGTTATATTTTGTTTCTTTGCTGTAATGATGGGACATAGATTGATTGGGAAGAAGATTGGAAACTCGTTTTTTGCAATAATCACCTACCCTGTTCAGAAGAAAAGGTAGAAAAAAAGATATTCTAAGGAATAAAAGAAGACAAAAAAGAAAAGGAAGTGGAGAAAACCCATCTTTAAGTTTTGTTGCCATCTGTGTCCCTTATGGAATGGTATAGCAACTCGCGCACTAGAGGGCATAGACCCATCTGGATTCACAGTCCTTTGTTATCACACATATCAAATTAGAATTATCTTCCTAAACTTGTATCACTTGTTTTCTTTAAACTTTAGCTTGTATCAAAAGGTATTGTCATTTGATGAAAACCTCCTGGTCATGGCATTTTGCATATGCATGCAATGGTCTCGTTGAAGCATTTCATCTGTGCTGCTAATGATTTACCATAATTCCCCAGCCACTTGCGGACGCTTATGGGCTTTGTTTGCATACTAATGGCCGTTGGGAGTGGGCTCTTGCTCCTGAAGCATCTCCTTCTCCACGATACCAGCATTCATCGGTATGAGTTATGTTGAATTTTATGTAGTTGTTACTTATTGAGTTTTCATGTTGAAGATGAAGATGGAAACGTATGTTGCCTCTGGTAAATAAATGATGACTGATCTTTCCTGTTTTGTCCAGTTCATTCCTGTTGCATGTAGATGTTTTTCTCCCATACCATTAATCTTTTAATCTGCATGTTCACAGGTTTTTGTAGATGCCCGACTTCATGTCACTGGAGGTGCTCTCCGAGGAGGACGGTCAGTTGATGGTGAAGCTGCTATTGCAGGTGAGTCTTGATTCCTTCTCTTTGTTTTCTGAAGAAGATTATGTCCTGGCCAGTGTGTGCCAGACTATATAGCAAGACATTAAAATGGGGGGGGGGGAAGGACTTTTTTTTTTTTAAATTTATTTTATCTTAGCTGGTTACAGGGGATCGTAATATTGTTAAAAGTGAATTCTGTCACGGTAAAAACCATATCGAATTGAAATTATGCTTTCCGGTTAGTTTAATCTGTCATTGTCATGTCTAGAAAGTATTCTTTATGTGGTAGACGCTTTGCTCAAAACTCAAACTTTTGAATGACCTTTTGAATTGTATAAATGGACTATGTTCCAGTTTAAAAAATGTCATATTAATATTTCCTTGTGTGTCTTATCTCTGGAAGTTCTGGACACTGCTTCCTGGATATGGTTGGATAGAAAAGGTCCTGTTACCTCTTCTCGGACGAACAAAGCTTTAAGTCCTGATCCATCAGTGGAGCTCTTGCGCCGATGCCGCCATGCTTCTGCTTGCGTTGGGGCTAGAATTTACGTCTATGGTGGTCTTAAAGGAGGTAAGGAAGGCCCTTTTAGATTTTCCATCTAGTTTTTATATTTCGTTTTTCCAAAAGATCCACGATCTCCACGGCTTAGATCTGCATCTCTTAAAATATTATGAAATCTATATTTTCAGTATGAATGATATATGCCAATAAATACATACAAATGTAGAGGAAAATAAACAAGGCTACAATTCTGAAACTGAGGGTGATATCTGTGCGTTGAAAGTCTTAATAAATTGTTTGAGAAAGCCTTCGCCATCTGGTAGAAAGAACAAAAATGCCCCAGAATCCTTTTATATCTATGAGAGGCTGAAGTTCATGGCAGCCGAATTACTTTTTTAAGTGGTTTGAGCCCCTTGAAAGACTGTATCGGAGTGTATCACTTCTGATTTCCTGTGTGCTCAACTCTTGGGCTCATTGAAATTGAATCAGAAATCCTTCTCCTAAGAAAGGATGCCAATCAATTACAAAAGCAAATGGGTAGGTAATAATTCTATAGCTAGATGTAAGGTTAAGCATCCATGTGACATGTATACTGCTATTGTCAGAAGCAATTGTGTTCTTGTTGTAGTTCTTTCTTTAAGTTTGACTATTCATGATCTGCTATCTTCAACGTTTTTATCTGCAGAACTTTTGCTGGATGATCTTCTGATTGCGGAAAATACACCTCCGCCGGTTGATAGTAATTCTTCTATGATACCTCTGTCAAGGCCTTCTTTGACAAGTTCAAGAGATATTTCGTCCATGGTCGGTGATTCATCTACTGAGCTACCAACTTCATCCGATAGCCAACAAGTGGCCTCATCTGCCTATTCTAGGTTCGTTTTTTTTTCATTTTCTAAGTCAATCATCTCAAAGGGATGCTATATAGTTACTGCCTAGATTAGATGTCTTCTACCATAAATCTAAAATATACATATTTTTTATGACTGCACAAGACAACTTCAGTTGCTTCGTTGGATTGAATTTTTTTGTTTCTCTGTTCTAAATTAATCTGCAATGCAATTTCAGGTTGGACAATGAATCGATTGAGATACTCATCGAGGCTTCTGCTGCAGAAGCTGAGGCTGGGAGTGCTGCTTGGCTGGCAGCAAAGGCAGCATCTGAGGTTTCCATGGATGATAGTTCTTCAGATTTAGATAGATACACAGATCAGGGAAATGATAATTTGCAGTCCCAGGAAGATTCACTTGATGATAACTCTCTTGAAACCCTTGAACCGGATGTCAGACTTCACCCTAGAGCTGTATGTTTCCCCTTTTGTCCTCTGTGATTATCTGTATTTCTGTTCTCAGTAGTTGTTTAGTCCAGTGTTTGAGATATTTATGGAGATAAAAATATTCTACTACTGCAGGTGGTAGTTGCCAAAGAGACCGTTGGGAACTTGGGTGGGCTCATACGGCAGCTTTCTTTGGATCAGTTTGAAAATGAGAGCAGAAGAGTGTACCCTTCAAATTCTGATCAGTCCTACAACGGAAAGAAGAATCTCAACAGGCAAAGGTCACCTCAAGGGCTTCACAAGAAGGCAAGTAGATTTCCTGGAATGCCCAGTTCTAGGGTTCATCAATTAATGTAAGTTAATTAATAACAGGCGTGTTTGGTTGCAGATTATATCCTTACTCCTTAGGCCAAGACATTGGAAGCCTCCTACTAATAGAAGATTTTTTCTCGACACCTATGAAATCGGTGAACTTTGCTATGCTGCTGAGCAGATTTTCATTCAGGAACCCACTGTTCTGCAGTTGAAGGCCCCTGTGAAGGTATTTGGAGATCTTCATGGACAGTTTGGGGACTTAATACGATTATTTGACGAATATGGATTCCCTTCAACTGCTGGTGATATCACGTAAGTCTCATTCTCCAATGCTCTCAGGGGTAATGAAGTTACTGATGAAATGAATTGAAATAGCATGTTAATGATATTATGGAGGCATGAGAATAATGTGTCCGGAGCATATAGGTGTCTTCATGCTGTTTCAAACATTCTTGGCAGGTTGCAGTCATATCTAAGCAAGCCAAATATTTGGAAGAAGAAACATGTCTTAAAAAAATAGTCTCATTTTCAGGTTATTTTGGCAATGTGAGCTGATATTCTCATCACTCTGTTAGCTCCTATAATGTTGTTAACCAATTGTTATCAAACTCAACCTGGGGGGGGCATTAAAACATTAAGAACTGAAGAATGGAGAGAAGAGAGAAGGAAACAGGAACATGGTATATGCAGTTGTAGTTGCATGGACTGGAAAACAGTGCTGAAAAGAGTGAGGACCACAACAGAAGAAGAGGTATAGGAAGGGAACGAGGATCTATTGCTGTCTCAACGCTTCAGAACTTACATGTTCTTGTGATCAAGAGTTTTTAAGGACCAAAAAGGGTTTAGAATTGTAGGATGCCAATATTTATTTATTGCTCATGTTCCTGCTGAAGTCTATTATCAAAATGCTGATGCACCATTGTTCTTAGCCAATATATTAGCCTTTGTACTTGAGTTTTTAATAATTCTGTAGGTTTTTGGTCACCCCATGAAATTTCCTGTTGTAGGTATATTGACTATTTATTTCTGGGAGATTATGTTGACCGAGGACAGCACAGCTTGGAAACTGTGACGTTACTTCTAGCTCTCAAGGTCAACTTTCTATTCATCTGAATGCCCTTAAAGTTTAAAATCAGTCTCTAATTTTTCGAATGTTTTGGCAGATTGAGTATCCAGAAAATGTCCACTTGATTCGAGGAAACCATGAGGCCGCTGACATAAATGCTCTCTTTGGCTTCCGCCTGGAATGCATTGAAAGAATGGTAGAGAATGATTACTGCTGTGTTTTTGTGCATGTATGTGTATGAATACTGAAGAAATAATCTGCAGGGAGAAAGTGATGGGATTTGGGCGTGGACGAGATTCAACCAGATGTTCAACTTCCTCCCGCTTGCTGCTCTGATAGAAAAGAAAATTATTTGCATGCATGGTGGCATTGGGAGATCCATCAACTATGTTGAGCAAATCGAGAAGCTTGAAAGACCTATAACAATGGATGCAGGGTCGATTGTTTTAATGGATCTTTTATGGTAATTCGTTAAAGCCATTAGTACCCGATAGTCTTCTTCTAGTTGGTCAGTGAAGTTTACTGCCTCTTTGTGATCTGCAGGTCAGATCCCACAGAAAACGATACCATTGAGGGTCTGAGACCAAATGCGAGGGGTCCTGGTCTAGTCACCTTTGGGGTATGCGGCAATGCCCACTGCATTCATTTTATCGTTCTGTGATAATTGTGCATGTCACTCTGTTAATTATGTTATTGCTTCGTCTTCAATGTGTTTGCAAACTCTGAGCTACATGGACTCTTGTTTGTTGTTCCCAATCAGCAATGTGATACTTGAATTGTGAATTTATGCTTTGCATGATCAGAACTTAGGAGAAACATGGTTTCCTATAGTTACATGAATACTGCTTAAAGCTTAAGTCCTTGTCACTGATAGATAGCTCCTAGAAAAGTAATGAACATGAGACATTTGCTTCACTCTATGCGTTTGACCCAGGTCTGCAGATCATTACCTATATTGTGACCAAGCATGTTCTTCCATTTGAAGTAGATGCAACGAGTGGTTTCAGAAGAAAACAAAATTTTAGTCACGAATTTCCAGAGGAAAATGGAAATTATTTACCCTCGAAAGGCCCTCATTTCTGCAAAAAAAAAAAAAATCTTTTTTTTTAACACATGACACGTGCCAATCCTAGGTTAGAATTCCACCGAAATCCTGTGTTGCCTCTTTGTTTGGCTCTGTTTCCGCTCCATGGACTCTGACGAATTTCTCCATGGGATCACTTCACTGTAAGCTTCTAACGTCTGTGCGCATTCCTTCACATAGAGATTTCACATATCTTCATTTCCTCATGCATGCTTCTTTCATATGATCTCTCTTTATCCTGATGCCTACGTTCTTTGTCCGACGATCCATCTTCTGAGACAGGGGAAATAGATTCTTTAGGCTTGTGCTTGTATATATGGAAATTTCTCCGCAGGGTGCCATTCAGTGCACACTACTACCTCTTATAGCCGGACTTCAGCTCAATGGAGATCATTTCAGTCTCCCTTCAATGCATCTGCATTAACTGTGAGCTCTTCTCATCAATGGCGTCTACATCTTTGCAGCCAGATCGAGTCACAGACTTCTGTAAGAGGAACAAGCTGCAACTCATTATAAGAGCTCACGAGTGTGTCATGGATGGGTTCGAACGATTTGCCCAGGGTCAACTGATCACAGTCTTCTCAGCGACAAACTACTGCGGTGATCTTTACATTCTCAGCCCAATATGATATAAGTTCTACTTTTCTCATCTGTTGCTGCAGGTTGACTCTGAAGTGTGATTCTCCTTCCAGGGTCAGCGAACAATGCTGGGGCGATACTCGTGATTGGAAGAGGGCTGGTGGTGGTTCCTAAACTGATCCACCCGCTTCCACCTCCCCTTCAGTCTCCCGAGTCTTCACCAGACCGTGTTACTGATTCCTGGATGCAGGTGAGCCATGTCTCCACTTCCATCGCTTCCTTCTGAAATAACAGGATGCTCTATCATGATGAGAACTGTGGGTGGGTGCCCCTTGATCATAAGCTAATCCAATTCTCTCTGGGGAGGCTGCTTGATTCAGCTCATATATTCACTGATGGTACTTGCATTGGATCCATGAATTTCTCCCTGAACCACTTGCCATGTAGAACAGATAGCCAATGGGCAATGGGCAATGGGCTGACAGTCAACTTGGAGATCTCTTCCTTGCACGATGGCATTGGCCATACAATTCAAACCCATTTCTGATACTCGCATCTTCTTTGAATCATCTGGTTCCCCCTACACTTGTGCTTGAATATAATTTAATCGCTCAAACAAGTTCTGCTGGTGGGCACTTGCAGGAGCTTAACATCCAACGGCCGCCCACTCCAACGCGCGGCCGCCCGCAGTCTGCCGGTGACCGAAACTCGCTTGCATACATATAATTGGGATACGGCGTTGTATGTAATTTTACTCTGAAGGATGCCCACATCAACGAGCATTTAATCCAAAACAAGTGGGAGGTCACTTCAGCAGTGGTTTCTTCAGCTACCCACCTGCAAGAGAAATCCAGCTTCCCAGCTCTTCTGTGTTTCGTTTGTAAGGTGGCCGATGATCGTTGACTTGAGCTGCTGTAGAGGTATAAATGCTGTTTGTACATGCCCAGAGGTATAGTGAGGGCCATCGATGTCTGGGGTGGGTGCCCCGTTTAGCCTAAAAATTTAGGGTTGTGCAGAGTGAGACGATACGTCTTTTTATTTGTTTGTCAAGTTTGGTTCTTGTATCCTCCGGCTGATAATTCTTTGCCTGACTTCTGTTGGGTCGCCGTCTTTCTGAATTAATTTCCTCTCTTGGCGCCCACATTCAGCCGTTGACCTGCTAACAGTGACTGATTGCCCAGAGGTATCGTGTGTGAATCCCTGTTTGGCCTAAGATTTAGGGTTGTGCAGAGTGAGACGATACATCTCTTTGTTTGGTGCTCAAACTTGTTTCTTGCAGCCTACCCCTAATAATTCTTTCCCTGGTGCCTGTTGGGTCGCCATGTTTCTGACCTTATTCCCACTCCTGTAGCCTACATTCACCCGTTGACCTTTTATCCAACGTCTAGTTCATAAGCAGGTAGCTCAGAAATCTACAAAAGCTGACTGAACCTTATGCAGAGTGAGACTATACATCTCTGTAACTCGTGGTCAAACTTGTTTCTTGCAACCTACACCTAATAATTCTTTCCCTGGCGTCTGTTGGGTCGCCATGTTTCTGACTTAATTCCCTCTCCTGGAGCGCCTCCATCCACCCGTTGGTTGACCTTTTATCCGGTATCCAATTGTTCATACGCAGCAGGTAGGTTAGAAACCTAAAGTTGACTGAGAGAAAATCATGGCGACTGTAAGCTCTACAAAAGCTGCCCTTCTCCTAGTGGTTCCTCTTGCCGTCGCTTCTTGGCGGCGGTCCAGAGGGCGGCGTCGCTCATGTTGGGGGACTCCACGAAGAGCATGGTGAACTCCCCCACCTTCTCGACCCGTCCCTTGCGGCCGCTCCTGAGCACGAGCTTATGGCGATGGAAGGAGAAGATGCCGCTGGTGAGCCGCAGGATGTCCCCCGGCTCGAAGGCCTCGCACTCCGAGTCCCACAGCAGGAACTCCACGGCGGCGCTCTCGTCCGCCACCAGCGCGAGGCATTCTCTGCTCTCCTGCAACTTGTTCCCCGTCTTCTTCTTCGAGGAGGAGATGTGGCCCTTCTCCAGGAGGATGAACGTGGTATTGACTGAGTTGGCGGCCGAGGGGACCAGATCTCTCAGCCGCATCGTCCCCAACCCCCCTGCTCCTCCTCTCTTCAGCTGAATGACGGGGAGCTTTCAGAGATGTGTTAGAGCGCTGCTCCACCGCCTGCCGGAATTGATTCTTCGACGGTGGGCGATGGAGAGGGAAGATTAGGGTTTCAGGTGGAAGAGGGATCAGAGAATGCAGAGAGAGCGAGAGAGAGAGAGAGAGAGAGAGAGAGAGAGAAAGACAGAGCAAGAGAGAGAGACGAAAGGCATAATCTGAGGAGAGAGAGAGAGAGGGAGAGAGAGAGCGAAAAAGGGTCTCTACGAATTGAATTGCTGTGTAAGAGGAATTCCCAAGTCATGAAAGTAGGAGGGCTTTCAGCAACAAAGGACACATATTTCTGTATAATAATATTTTTTTAGGGATAAAAATATGGCATTTGACGTGGAAGAAATATAGCCTAATTTCTCCGAAATCCATTATATAATTAATTTTAAAATTACTAGAAAAAGAAAAGGCTTCGGCCCACTTATAATTAGTCTTCATCCTTCCGCCCAAATACCCGGCGACCGTCAAGCTGAAGGCGATCGAACGCTCAACCACTTCCGCTTCCGCCTCCGGCCGCCGCTGCTTCCTCCGCCGGTCCATATCGGCGTCCGCTGCCTCCCCGTTTCCGCTTGTTGATCGACTCCTTCCCCCCTCCCCCTGCAAGTGGAGCCGTCCTCCGGCCGTCCCAGGTAATGGTCGCTCTCCCTCCTGAAATAACTTCCGTTGATCGCATCGCGCGTCCGGGAATTTTTAAGGTAGATTTCTGGTGTCTGTTGGCCATTGATCGTACCGATCAGTGGTCTTGTTGGCTTCCGCCATCTTTCCGTTGTCTTTCTTTGGTTTTGGATTTAGCAGACGGCGTTGAGGACCCGATTCCTACCGTCTGTTATTCTTTCGTCGTGGTTAGAACGAAGTCTTTCCGTGCTGCCATTGTTATAGTAGGAAGACTATTAAACTAATTATAGAATTGATTTCCTTGAGTTATTCTTATCTTATTACATTTCCAATTCTGAAGAGTAGCATACATCCCCCGTGTCGAGCTGGTTGCTGGAACACTTTCGTTGCGTGAGGATAGTTCAAGAATTTGCTACACTGTTCCACCAGCTGATCTAGTAGATAGAATTGTGTTATGAACGTGAAAATGTATGTACATTGTTGTGCGACATGCTTGTACGCGTGGGTATGGCTACCTAGATGTAAGCATGTCGAGGATGTGAGCTTTTTTAATTCCGTTTTGGTGTATTTACGCTAAAGGTTATTGTCACCTACAGTTAAAGTTTTCAAATTCACCCAATCGTTTGCCTTTGCCAGATCTGAATTTATGGCTCTACGTTAATTTTTAGTTAAAATTATCTCTTTTTTTGGTCTTATTTATTGAAAATATATACTTCAAGTTTAGCAATCTGGTTTGGTCTATTTTTTTACCTTGTTGGCTCATATGAGGATCTGGAATTTTACCTTCATCTGGTTCAATGTCTGTCGTGCTCTTTCTTTCTACAGGAATTGAAATCACCTCGTGAAGAAAAACCTGAAATTCGTGTGAATATTTATGCAATCATCTTAATATCATCAAACATCAAGATGATAAAGCCATAAATAAGAAGGGAAAACTCTAGAATCCATCAAACATCAAAGTAGAATACATGACTCCTATATAAGAGAGAGGAGAGATGACAAGAGAGAGATAGATAATATTCTTGGTGTGGCCGGCGTACATTTTTAAACAGTTAATATTCTTATGTACCTTACCCTACAATTTTATTGATACATGGTTTACTTTTTTTGATCTATTGAAGATGATAAAGGTGAAATCATGACTGAAAGTTAGTCTATGCATGCTCAAAGGATGGCAAGGACCAAGGACAGGACAGAGGATTTCAAGGATGCCATTCATTCTGTCGCGCTCTCTCTGGGATTTTCGGAGGTTTGTTGTCAGTTATTTGAAACGTTAACTATTTGGGCAGTCATTTTGAAGAAATTCAATTGTTAATTAAATTATTTGTGTGCTCACTGCTCTCTTGTTACCCTGGTCCATGGTTCATTGTAATGCAATCAATACATGGACTGCGCTCTAAAATTTGGATAAGCATCTTTTTAGAAGTTATCGTGTGAGAAATAAAAGAGTTCTCCATTTGTGCAATCCCGTTCTTAGCTGTTAAATTTTTGAATGGGCGCAGGTTTGTTGTCAAAGTGGATTATTAAGATTCATTTAAATCATTTTTTTCTCTGTTCTTTTCTCTTGCAGTCCAAATTGGCCTCAACCATGGCATCCTTCATTTTGAATAAGTCACCTGAAAGGTCTCCCTTCATCAAAGCTTCTCTGAAAACGGTGTGACACTCTTTCAACATCCTCGTCTAAATATCTTTCCTGAGGTTCATCCGCTCATATTAAATATTTACCACCAGTGAAGAATTTCTGGTCAACACTGTCAATGAATTAAAACTCTCTAGTCTGATGACGACTTTGTGATTCGTTTTAGCGTATCAAAAGTGACCTTTTTTTCTTTCTCTTGGAATAGCTTGAGAGCATTGAGGCATTGAACCAATTTATTGTTAAGCATCGGAAAGATTATGTGGATTTGCATCGAACAACAGAACAAGAAAGGGACAGCATTGAACATGAAGTAAGAACATATCTGATCAGTATCTTTACTTTGATCACATTCCAATTCATTTTTGTCTGTTTTACCAGATATAGTTGACTAGATGCATTGCTCAAATTATGTTTTATTGTCAACATCTTCTTTGTTTACTGTTTTGATAATTGTAATACTAAACAATAAAATATTGGATGATCAGATTATAAACTATTTGAATGCCATTTTGACTATTGCTCATCTGTAAAAGTAATTCAAGGACTAACTTTTAGTTATGCAACCATAAAACTCATCTTCTGACAAAGTGACACTTTTCCTACAGCTTACATTCAGTTTCGTAATCTATGTATCAGTGCACTGACTTGTACCAAAGTATAATCTAAAAACACGACCTGCCGTTTTGGATTAACATAGTTTTCATACATGTAGATATGTTATTTCAATAATGACATTGTTTTCCATTACGATGTTCTAGTTTCATGCTTTCTTGTCTTGAAAACGATGCTTTTTCCTTTCTTCCTCAGGTTAGCATGTTCATAAAAACTTGCAAAGATCAGATTGACATTCTCAAGAATAAGATAGTCGATGATGAGAATATTGGTAGTTCGAGGTCATGGCTTGGATTGAAGGACGATGGTTCGCATGCTGATGTCGTCGCTCACAAGCATGGTGTGGTATGCCCTTTTAATATTTATTGTATCTTCTTCAGAGTATGAACATCTAATTTGTTTTATTTTTCCAAGGTTTCAGAAAGCACATTGTGCCCTATTACCTTGCCACCATAGTTGGTGTGATCTATCTAGCAAAGTGCTTTATTTTTCTCCATGCGTCCCCCGTTTCCTCTGTTCCTGATTGCCTCTCCTGGTAAAGTGCAGGTACTGATTCTGAGTGAGCGGCTGCACTCCGTCACTGCTCACTTTGATCAGCTTAGATCCGTGCGGTTCCAGGAGGCCGTCAACAGAGCAATGCCTAGAAGAAAGTCTCGAAGGCCGGCCGTCTCAAAGCCCTCGGATTCTCCGAGATCTGATCAGATGGACGCCCAGAGACCCGGAGAGCAGGCTGTTGCTTCTTCTGCCCCAGCCCGCATCCAAGAACAGCTTGACAATGAGACCCGTACCCTTCAGGTATCTAAATAACGAACGAAGATGGATGTTTAGGATGTAGATTGACTCGCTTTTTACCACAATAGGTAAACTTTACTTATAACATCACTCTGGCGACGTTGACTTTCAGCTGGAGCTGTCTACACTATTAGATGCTGTTCAAGAAACAGAGACGAAAATGGTGGAGATGTCGGCTTTGAATCATCTCATGTCCACGCATGTCCTCCAGCAGGCCCAACAGATTGAGCATCTCTATGAACAGGTTAGTAGCCATTAATGTCATCAATGTCGGTACTGCGCTAGGTTGTTGTTCTTAGCAATAGATATATATATATATATAATTTTTATTTATTTCTGAAAATTGACGCCTCGGATGAATGAATATTTGATGATTTTTCTCCACGCCTCAGTTAACACTGTCTGTGGGTAGATTGACACACGTATGCTTCTGTAGCGATCATCAGAATCAAAAAAAGTCAAACCTATTTGCTGATGTAAACGGCACGTAGGATCGCATATGATTGGATCATCCACACATCGCCCATCAACATTGGGGATGGATCTCAGGGGAACGGGATCCCATTTAGTTAGGACAGATGATCACACACTGAATTTTGGACTCGGTTTATTATTTTTATTTACCGGAGCAAAAGCTGACCCAACTTGGATCATCTCATTTTGGATCAATCAAGCAACCGAGACGCAGCTGTAGATCAGGCAATTTGACGTAGGCAGAAGTCAACCACCAACCCCAATCTGTCAGAAATTTTCCCCAAGAAAACTGGGGAAGAAACTGTTTCCAGTGGTCTCCCTCTCAAAACCCTCAAATCCTTCACCGAGTCTAAATTTCCAACATGAAAGGGGATATGTGACGCCTTTTTTCTGTTCTTTTTTTATTTCCATTTTTAGCCTCTTGCTGCCTCTGGTTTCACGGTCTTGGATCCCCTGTAACTCTCTCTCTCTCTCTCTCTCTCCCTCTCTCTCTCTCATCCAGGCAGTTGAAGCTACCAAGTATGTGGAGGGCGGCAACAAGGAACTCTCCCAAGCAATAGACCGCAACAGCAGCAGCAGGACTTTTCTCCTGCTCTTCCTCTTCGTGCTCACTTTCTCTATACTCTTCTTAGACTGGTACAGCTAGCCATCTTCTTATTCTAACCTCTTAACTTCTCAATGACCAGCGAGAAATAAGCCGATGTCATTCTTCTCCTTTATCTCCGCCCATTCTTCTTCTTCTTCTTTTTCTTGTACCATCTCATTTATTTTTACTATGATCTAAAATTCTTAGAGGAAAAACTGTTTGTTGCCCATAACCCACGTCGGTGATCTCATCAAAACACGTTGACTTTAGCTACCACTGTTTTCCTCTTAGTCAAATAACCCAGCAAGTCCCATCCTTGCATCTTGCATTCGGCATGTGCTCTGCCTGGCGAGTGAGCTCCTTGCCATTTTTGGAGCATCTATGCTGCTTCTGAAGCGCATTAATTTCTCCAAAAGCCAACTGTCATTGAGAATCCCGAGGATCAGCTCCATCAAAGTCAGCACCAATGCCAGAAAACTGTTCCCAAGTCAAAGTCAGCGCCCTAAATTGAAGTCTCATCAAGTGGATGTCGACTTCCTAAAAATATCAATGAAGGTCAGTGAAGAGTACGAATAAGATTTCACAAAACATGAAAGCAGCTACTAGTAACTGGTACCTGAAACCAAATCCCCACAAGGAACTATTCAAGGAAGAAGAAAAAAAGACCAAACAACACTCGAGAACAAGCTCGTCCTCACTTAAGTGCCTCTCTCTCTCTCTCTCTCTCTCTCTCTCTCTCTCTCTCTCTCTCTCTCTCTCTCTCTCGCTCGCTCGCTCTCCCTCTCTAATCTCTCTCTCGTTCTCGTTCTCGCTCTTCCCCCCCGCCCCTCTCTCTCTCTCTCTCATTCGCTCGCTGATTTCAGAAGAGGATACAGCAAAACCCATAAACAGCAGCGCCCCAACCTACAAGAATTATGCGGTGGCGGGCAGAGAGCAAGCAGGACGACATCTAAGCGATTGATGGTTAGTCCCAAGAAGAGCAGAGCAACCCCTCCCCCAAGCCCCTACCTAACCCACCTAATGAAGGGGCTCCTCAGAGACTTCTCAGCCTGGGAAATGAGACTTAACCTAAGCGAGCGTTCGTTCCTTCTTTCAGTGATCCTCCCTGGACAAGAAAAACCTTGCAGAAATAGAAGAAAACTGGCGCAAACATCATGAGTTAGACTTGCAACTTACAATGGGGAACGGAGGAATACACATCGGAATCATCTGTCCGAGCGTGGGAGGAGGGGGACTGACGGCAATGGTGGGCGCCACAGACTTGCTGTAGAGCACCCCCATTCAGCCACGGCTCCCTGTCATACGACGAGAGCATCGTTAGAAGATAAACCAGTCAAACCCTAATCCTCGGTCCCTATCAGCCCCGCACTGCTACAGCGTTTGCTCTACGCGTCTGGGACTGAGTAACTCTGTCTGTGAGCAATGGCCAGTGAAATGATAAGCTACGAGGGAGGGGAAAGCACACCTGTTGTCCGGGAAGTTCTGGATGGACCTTTTGCTTCCCGATGGACTTTCATTGACTGCAGCTTGGAGGCAGACGACCTTAACGTATGTATTAAAGGCTGCTCCTGTTCTTCAACGCCCTCTTCGTCTTCGTCTTCTGGGTCTGACGCGCTGATCGAATCTTCCTCCTCGCTTGAAGGTTGCTCGTCAAAGAGCTTCTTCCCCGGCAAGTTCTTGACCTTTCGAGGTCGACCTCGACGCTTCACTTTATTGGGATCCTTCTCATCTGGGTATGTCGGGGAGTAATTTAAAAGCATTTGAATCTCATTTATTTCAATCTCATCCATAATATGAAGTATGATCTACACAGCCATACATACAGCCAGAGCCACTTAACATGTTCTTAACAAGGAAAATATGACTGAGGCAAGGTACAATTTTCACGGCTGTAAATTTCTGTGAATCTCTTGTAATGGAGAAAGTATACGAACTGTGTGTGATGTTTCAACCAATATTTACGAGCATTGACAAAGAAGACAAGATCTAGGATGTAGTAATCAGTAGTTTGATCACGGAGAGTTGTTACTACGAGACTTACTTCATACATGACACAAAGAAGTGTGGAAGCGAGTCTAGCTTAATCAGTTAAACCAATAAGACGACACATATGGATGAAAAATCCAAGAATCAACACGAGCACCTGGCTAGGGACCTATTAGATCCGAACTTGGGGCCACGGAGATCAGGAGAACCTATTAGATCAGTCACCTAAATCTAATTTTTAACCTGGGCCAGGTCAAAATTCAGAAAAAGATACGAACCAAAAAGATCGCTTTAAGTTGATTACGACCATCTGGTTTTGATTCTACTAGTTTTGGATAGTTCCTCTGCTTTTTGAAGTGGTCTCTGACTTTTGAAATTTATTGCAAATTTTAAATTCGTTTTTTATTATACATATTTAACGGACTTATACACTATGATGTTTATTTTGTAATTGATTGATGCTCTAAGTAGGTTCTGATACAACCAAAAAAGAAAAAAAAAGGATTTAAGGATGTTTCGAAATGTTATCTATATATGTGAAATTTCACTTTTCTACAGAGAGCATGAGTCATGATAAACAAAGACATTGAATAATTGCATATATGTTTTTCTCCATTTCATCCTCAACTACATGGTTATAATGAACCATAAACTGTTATGCTCTCTGTCATGCCTTGTCAGAGTGAAAATGGCAACTAAATGCCAAAACCCACCCATCTGTTTTCAAGTTCATAGAAAGGATAAAGACATAATTTTTGGAAAAAACGATTAAGTTATAATTTTTATCCTCAACTTAAAACAAACGGGAATTGAATCACAAACTCAATTATTGGATTGTCATCCATGATGTGCTACAAATGAGCACGTATTACCCATTCAGCATATGTAGACTACTCAGTTATCCCCAAATTCTGATTTATGCAAATAGTACTTCTGTCAATGCCAAGAAATACTTCATCATAGACTAGTCTAATTGAAACTCTGTTTCTTTTTTCTCAACATTACCTAGGAGAAAGGACAGGCAATCCCCTAATGTCGATTTAGCCAGTTTAATGGATTACTGAGAACATCATAGCTCTACTAAAATACTATATTTATCAAGATCACATTGAGAATGAAAACAGTTCAGGAAGAAATTCGATAGAGGATTTAACATGCTTAAGCATTCTATGCCTCGGAGAGTAGGAAATTGACCATCACTGACTAACGGTTTTAAGAAACCATTCAATATGATGAGATGTATCATCTGATTAACCAAGTAATGCTTAGTTAGGAAGATAAGCAGGGTATTGTGGTGCATTACGATTAGACTACGTATAAGAGGTATTAGGTCCCAGTCTAACATTATTTTATGATTGGCCATTTTGGACAGTTCGAAAGAAAGATGTTACAGGATATGGAAAAATGGCTAAAATTTTAATGGGATATGAGCTGGAAGAAAAGGGAGGGGCGTAGCAATTACTCAGGAACAGATAACCCTAGTGCCTCCTGCATAATATAACGACAGGTAAAAAAAAAAGAAAAATCGATAGCCTGGAAGTGATATACTGCCACAAATAATAAATAGACAATTATCGCATATTAACCACAGAAAATAGATTTTTCACAAAAATAAGACCAAATCATTCTCATGTATTGGAGACCAGGTATCAAATGCAGAATGAAATAATACATGGGCCAGAAGTCAAATGCGTAAATCCATCAAAAGACGAAATGAATTATTTACAAAAAGAAGTGGAGTTTTGAATCACCTTGAAGACCCTCATTCTTTGCACACTTCTCCCTCAGGTGATCGACAAATATATAGTATGGACGCCAACCGCTAGGATCTATATCAGTGTTCACATTCTCTATTCTCTTCTCCACATCCTTCAAACTATTTTCAAAGAAATAGAGAGAAATAGGGAGCTCATCAGTCATCAGTGATGCATCAAGAGCGACCAAAAGTTAAAATATTTAAGAACTTGATCTTACATGTCTACGATGTCAGTGGTGACAAGCTTAGATACAAATGGAAGTATAGCAGCCTCCAAAAAGGATAACTGCTTCGGAGCATCAATATAGGCAAAAGAGATACCATCATTTACAATTTTGAGAACCTGCACCCTGTGTTTATTTCGGGCTGCACCAATGAACGTTCCTGACAATCGTACAGCCAATTCCCTGCAATCTGCAAGTGACTTACTAGTAGAAGATTCGTCATCATTTGATGGAAAATTCACCAAATGTCGTTGGTAAGCCTGATCACCAGAACAAACAGTAGAAAAGAATGAGGGACATAAACATGAAGGGAAACTATTTTCAGAAGTATTAATAAAAAACTCCGGAAGCAAACCAATGAATAAACAGGGGAACATCGCTAATGTAAATGAAACACTAGTAAGAAGAAACTACTGCATAAATGAAACTATTAGAAACATGAAAACATGAAGACAATCTCTGTGCACCCGTCATATGTTATAACACCTGAAGGCGTAAGAAAACCTTCTTACAGCTTGTTTTCTTCAAGACCTTATAATATCCAGGTCGGAATTTTAAGCCACAATACCAAGATTGCAAATTCACTGGGGAAACAGAGCTACGGTTCAACAATCCTGTCTAATTTAGCACGAACACAGAATATCACCAGCTAACCTAATCTAATTATAAAACTTCCGCCTAAGATTTATTTTCACGTGAGAGTCGGCACCACTAATTTCAATGAACGATGGAAAACAGAGGGAATAACATATAGTTTAGATCCACAGATTAAGCAAGATGAAAGCATAGCCAGTAATATAGCACTGCACATAAATCGTCTTGTTATATTGAGGGAAGCATGCTCACGTTACACATTTCCATGGCTGTTCTGTAAGTGAAGCATTCACAACGTATGGCAATAATTCCTGGCCCACTAAGTCAAAGGATCTAGGTCAGCAATGAGACACCTTGTAAGGCAAAAAGAACTCTCTTCGTGAAAGACAAGTTTATCACAGACCTCAATGTCATTAGGATGACATTTATGTTCAGTAATGTTTCAGGAAGCCAAGTAAAAGATGGAGGTAAAAAGCCCAGTTCAAGACATCTTCACATAATAATAAACACTGGTCCTAAAATTAGCACAATTATTCACATTCTCTGTATGACCCAGTTACGCATAATTAGCAAAATTACCGTCCCACTGAATTCCTGCTGAAACAAAGGCCCATCCTTCGGCCAGCAGCTCGGAACTTTCTTATTTCGCTGACAGACAGTCTCATAGTTTGTTTCCGTTTAAGTAAATGGGGTCAAGCTTCCTAATATGACAAGGTCAATTGTCCTTGTATCACTGCATTATTATACCCTTGGACATCCCACTACATTGATCAGCTGAACTTGTCCATCACTTTAACCCGATCTGTCTTAGATTCAGCAATGGCCTGTAATGTTTACTTTAAATTCCAAAATCTGTTCTTATCAGCCAAGAAAGAATGAGCAATGGACAAGTTTTGCCTTTCATAATGTTTCCATGCTCGAGACTTTGCCAAAAGCTCTCAGCTATTCATTGGCACACTGAGGTACTTCAGGTGCACAAATACTACTAGTAGTCAAAGTATACCCATTGTGTAGTGGTTCCCTATTTCATTTCCACACACTAATATTCTGAACTGAGAGATCAAGCTTTAAGCTGTATGAACTTGGTTCTGGTTTTACTTGTAACATACAATGTAAATGATATCGACGTCCCTAAATAGCATACAATGTTTAGCATGTATACGCGGTTGTTATTTTGAAAAAAATCAACACTGCTCTGAAACTAACACATTTCCATCCAAGTTGAAACGCACATTCCAGAATGAAACCCATAAAAAAGTACTCTTAACATCACATAACAGCATTACATGATATATGCAACGGGCTGGATAAAGCTGAAGGCCTTATTAGAGTCATGCATTATAAACAAACATAGAAGATAAAATTATAGTTTTAATGTTACACGACGTTAATTGAAATCAAGAAGAATAGATCCGAACCCTTTTTAATGCCTCCAAGAACATTGGATAAAGATCATCATTCACGTTTTTCTTTAGAACTGTAATCAGATGCTTGATTATTTCTGTAACACTTGGCCCATGCATCACAAAATGAGAAATGATCTCTGGACCAAGGTAATCCTGCATACAATAGTTTTATCAGATGCTGCAAGCGAAATGCATTTTTACCAACTAAAATTATGGGCACGAACTGATTATGTCCATATAAATGAAATGCAAATTCAGGAATCTAATTTCTTCTCATAATTAAGAAAGTTGTCAACATAAAACGAGCTCTTCTGTAAATAAACCAGGGAAGCACCATAAGCAGAGAACAATCCAGATTGAGAACACCATGTGATACACTCTTAAATGAAACTCCATAATTTCAGGAGCACCCAGTCGAATGAAGTATTCTCCCCAGTCTGAATGAGTTAGTCAATTCCTTTCCTTATTTCTACCTAGAAGTTTCCTACCTCACATGTTTCACCAACCAGTTCTTTAGCATCCAACTTTACCTAGCCTGTCTTCAGCTTCAAGGAAATTTGTCTCACTTTAATGGGTTAACAGGAAAAAATAATTTTGAAAATAGTTAACCATTAAAATAACTATTTTTTCAAAAAGTTTCTCATACCTATTGAAAAGCAATCGATAATATGTTTTCTCCAATATTATTTCTCATACTTCAAGAAGAATGCAACCTGTGGTACTCAAATAGTTATTTCGCGTACTGTTATGCAGCAACGATGATCTTTCAAAAGGATCAGCCAATGTCTTTCAAAAGCAACATGAACGATCTTTCACCTAGATCTGTTTCAGGAGGAAAGTGTCTTTCAGTGCGTGCAGAGATACTTTAATTTATCATCTGATTCTTTTGATCAACCTTTCAGATAGGCTCGTGGTATGCAAGGATCAGGAAGCTATTAATTCAAGGATCCAAGAAAAATAACCTGCATCAAGTGACTGAATCATTTCTACAAGGTTGAGAGCATTCCAATGAAAGTTTTCTAAGACAATCCTTTGACAACTGGCATTTTATCGCATGCATTCCAGAACACAAACTTTCACATGTTTGGATTGAGATGGATGAGTTATTTGCTTTTTAAAAAAATGGAAATATAGACTGTAGTCGGGAATGGCCTTATCCAGACAAATGTTTCCTCACTTCGACCAGAATAAGTTGCCAGCTCTGCTGCATAATTGAGATTATTCCAATGCAAGGTCGGTTAGCCAACCATTCACATCTTTCGGATATTTAATTGCATCCATCCCGAAATTCACGGATTTTAACATGCTTTCATTGAGAGGTACCAACCTCCATTGGCAGTACCAAACTAAGAACCAATGCAGAGGGGAGCAGCCTAACTCAACCCAACACAAGCTGATCCAATCAAACCTCAGTTAGGATAAGACTTCAGTCATCAGACGGGGCAACCTTAAAGTTTTTAAGAACCTTAATTCGATTCCCCTTACACCAACCTACTACATGAAGAATAGCAATGTCAACCCGATTTTAATAGGTTAAAAATGAATAAATTAGAAAGCAGAAAACATATGTCCCATAGTACTCAACAAGTTATGTCACATACGAAGAGAGTGAGCTATATAACAATAGATATTGATTCATTCGTGATTGACATATCCAAGAAAAGATGCCCAAATGTTATACATCCAGTAATAAAAGTAAGATAACATCAACAAGTGCAATAAAAGAATAATTACAGGCATTCTACAGCACTTATTAGCCCAACTGCATAACTATGGGTGTCAACCGTAAATTTTGAAGGATATTGATTTTTTCCTGCGTAAGTAATTCACATTTGAATCAAACACTCCTTCAGTGCTACACGAAAACAACTTTTAAATTTTATAAGTAATCATGTACCTCAAAATATTGCTCCACTTCGAAAGACTATTACAAAGCCAAGAAAAAATTAGGATGTAATATCATATAATACATAAAATTATGTCCTTCACCTTCGAAACAGTACCACCGGCTACAAGTTTTGCGGCAGCAATCACAATGGTATCTCTATTTGTCTCCTCGATATATTCTTCATTTGCATCTTCATCTTCTGTCTCATCTATACGGATGATCAAGTTTGGTTTCATAACACATGAACAGGAGTTGTTCAAATTGTGGAAGGATATAATGCTACGAGCATACCAAGCACAGAAAGGAGAAAAAAGACATTTGTAAAACCAGAGCAGGAAATACATTTGACAAAGCCAACCTGAAACATTAAGTTGTCTCTCACAGAGTTTCCAGAACTTTTGAAGTGTAGCATAATTTGGAGAATGCCCTAAATTCTCCAGCTTTGTGGATACATACTTGGACCTTTTGAACAAGCACCACATTTCTGCCAGTATGACGCAAACCTTGGAAAGAATAAGACATTTATAAAACAACATAAATATGGCTGAAGCAAATAAAAAATAAGAAAAGATTTTCTAAAAAGGTGACTATCGATCACTTAACGAACGGATATATGCATGTGTAAACCCATGAGCTCCCTAAAAGGTACAATACACTTCATCATTGCCCCTGGTTAACATGAAGTAGAAACGAAATTAAGAGACCACAACACCAAAAGAGCAGAGTACTCTCTTCTAAAGCTACTCAATCTTATCCACTCCATCTTCTCACAAGCTCACTTAAAACCTGGAAGATATACCGCTTTTCCTTCTAAAACCGTGTCAATTTCGCTCTATCCAAATAGCCCAGATAGTTGCAAGGAAACCAAGCCATCTAATGCCGGCTCCAAGCCAAGGTCATCAACATGACTAGGATATCACCACTATACGAAGATTCAAGTATAATAATCACCAAAACTCGTTAAAGAACAGACTTCTATGAATAACGTTACCCAGGGTTCTGGATGTCCTGTACAAGCTGTTTGTTGTCAGTTCTTCCAGGGCAATCCTTGCTAATTCCCCCTTCATCAATTCCTGACCTTTTTCATCTTCATGATAAGGCTGGCCATAGCCAAAGAACCTTCTGAAGTGCTAGTCCAAGCCGTGGCACGTAGGTGGCAATAGCCTTCTTCCCAAAGCTGGTGCTTCTCAATTCAAAAGTTGTATGCCTTTTCGTGCTCGTTATCAGTCCATGGTAAAGTAGGGTGGTAATCTAAAGATGTTCCGACTCAAACAAATAGATTGCAACAAATAACCCCCCCATTAAGCCAAAACCAGAAATTCATCCATCCTTTAGCAACAGGGGTTTATTCTAAGATGAGACGAGGACAAGCATCATTCGGAGTACAAACATCAATTGGCGCTCGTAGAGCCATGAAATCAGCAAAAGTTTCTTCTTCCATCACGCCCAACCTTCCCTGTCTTCTCCTACCTGCTGGAGATCGTATAGACATCACCACCAACATGCCATAGCCGACCTGAGAGCTGATTGGTTACCAATAGGCATTCCCAAAAATGTTTTTTTCATAAAGGTAAGAGAGAGAGCTTGTCTCCTTACCTCTCTAAATTGGGTTAACTCCAACACGTGAAAAGTGACCCATATGACCATGATTCCCATGGACATCCCACCCAAAGCCACATTCTAACACCACAGAGCCAACCTCCTCTAACACCACACGTGAAAAGTCACTCGCTCCACACTGTTGGTTTTGTTCAGACAGATAATATCAATCATGCAACTTATAATCAGCTCTCTCACCAACCTCCCTCTTCCTCTGTCCATACATTCCTCTGATTTTTCATCCTCATCCATCAACATCACTAATATATATATATATATATATATATATATATATATATCATCATCATTAAAATAAAGGAAATATATCGATACCCTAAGTTTGTCTTCAATTTATTTGGAGCAAAAGGTACAAGAATCTGAGAATCAGAATCTGATCAGCCAGGTCTGGTCCCAATGCAGATTGTATTGAATCAGACAAAACAGCTGGTACAGGAGGAGATGACACTTCACACAAAAAAACAAATATTATAATAATTTTGATGGAATAGTTATGAAATTTCATGAGAAAATAATAGAAATTTCAAGATTCATTAAAATGAGACTCACACTAAAAATATTATAGCAACCTTACGGTCGTCAAACCCCCCCCCTTTCCTCTGATTCTCACTACGTTCTCTGCAAGGAAGGATGGCAGGGGAGGGGATGATTTGGTTCACGGCTATCAACATTTGACAACAAGCAGAAAGCAGACGATAAGAAGAAGTGGTGAATGATGGAATTTGATTTTAATTTATTTTTGATTTATTTTCCCCTCAATTCAACGCGTTTTTTTCCTTTTCTTTTCTTGGAATACTCTTCTTCCTCATTTTCTTCTCCATCAACGGTGACAGACCTGCTGACAAACAGCAAAGCCTGAGCATCGAACGAAAATGCCACAAAAGGTCAAGCATAGCTAAGAATCAGCCAATCCATTGTTTTATCTAGCAGAACTGAGATCAGCCACTCTCCAGCGAGTTATCTTTCTACTTGTTTTAACTTTCAGGGGGTCAGGTTCCTGTCAAAACAGATTGGGGAAGCCAAATCCGATCCTAGTAAAGCAAATCAGCTTAGAAACTGCTGATCTACGCAAATAGAGGGTTCAAATTATCCCATGGAAATGTTATCTTAGGAAAAAGTGCAAATACTATCTACATGGCCTATCTCATCGGAACCTTACCCTGGAAGCAAGTAAATTCCTACCCTTCCCTTTAACATCAGAAAGGGAATTCAAAAACCTCTCCAGGTGTTGAAATAAGGTATTCCTTTTCGATAGAACCGCAAGAACTGATGCATCATTGGGATTTTCACCATCGATGGAGTCCAAACACCAAGCTACTTGCAAGTACATGTTGAGAAGAAGAAAGGCCATAACCTGGATAACAGGACACATGATCATCAGAGAGAAACTCAGAAATTAATCCTTCACATATGCTTGCAAATATTTAGTTCATACCTCATCACCGGTGTCACTCAAACCTGAAAGGGTATTTGTCAAATCTTCAAATAAGCCATCACTTGCAACATACTTGGTCAGTTGAACTTCATACAGGCGCTTCAAGTTAACTAAAAGGGAATATTCATCTGCTCCCATCTGCAAATGCATATTTTACATTATCGAATACTCATTGATGAGTCTAAAACAGAGTAAAGGATATGTTCCCCGTACCGCTACTTCTTTCATGGCAATTTTAAGCTTTGTTACCAGCTCATTCTCAAGTTCCTTTAACTTATTTTGAGCAAAATCTTGGAGGTCAGCTTGACTTTCACTGGAACAGAAGGTGATAGCTTTAATGCATGACCTCAGTGCATCCTTCTCGCCATGTTTAAAGAATGCATCAAAAATAAGCTCGAGAATGGTTCTAAAATTCTGGAGAAGGTAAAAAAACAACAAATCAGCCAGAAATGTGAGAAACAGGCAGGCCAACAATGCAAATGGCGACAAGGTACCTGTTCCTGTCTCTTTAGAGTATACAGCTCCAATTTCAGAAGGACAACAATCTCAACCAAGGGTGAAACCTTAGCTTTATCTGCAATATATTTTTGTAGAAGATGCGGGTAGCTCTTCATTATGGCTGAAGTTATTTCACGCCTATTATTTTCTAGCGCTTCCTGAGAAATGTGATAACAAGCAAGTAAGAATTTGAGCAAAAGTCTACAGTCGTACCACCATATGTATCATAAAGCAGTAGGATGATTTCCCCATGTTCTGCTTGGAAAAACGAAAACAGACTTCCTGCTAATGCTGTAATAACCAACAGCATGCTGCTTCACTATTGTAATCAGATAAACTTCCTGAATTACTAGCTTTGAAGTGGAAAAGTCATAAACAAGAGGAACTCCACCATATGCTAACAAGAAAATAACTGCGGCAACTGGCATAATCTGACATGGCATTACAAGGAATAAACTAGAAAACTCATAGGTTATTCTAGTTCTGCCCTTCAAACTTATAATATTATAGAAAGAGATCACTCCATAAGGAACTAGAACAAGAAAAGTCTAAAGGCGGAAATCAGGTGTCATAAAACCTAGAATGAGACATAAATTTTCCAACAGGAGAAGAACACTCTAAGTTGTCCTGGAGCAGATAGTGCCCTCACTCTACATATCTCAAAAAATTCCTTTTAATGCATGAAAAACAAAAAAGCATAATAAAACAGGGATAACTAATTACCGTTTTCAACAACAATGAAAACACAATGGTCTCCAACAAAACAATATATTAAAAGAGACATAAAAATGTACATTTTCTTCCCAAATATATTGTTTTCTCCCCAAATATAAAAGAGACATAACATTTTTCAGTACTTACATTAAAAAAGAGTGCATACCTTTTGAGCTTTATTGCTGTATGGCTTTCGATTATCAGTGGTAGGAACAATCTTCTCCCCAACGGCCTTCTTGGCAGATGCATAAAGAAGTCTAACAAGGTTTGTCGCATCAACATCATTAAGATCAATCATAGGGTTCTCATCAAGGAGAATAGAAACGATGCATTTCCAATCCTACAAGAAATATGAGGATCGATTTGAAGAAACATAAGTTTTTGAAACTAAACTCAGTAAGTGATGAAAAAACCAAGAAAAAAAATAATTGATATCGAACAAAGATAATTTCTTAAAAAAATACACTCATCTCATCATTTTCATTATGTTAGTCAAGACAACTAAGAAGTGAAATATGATGCACCATACTTTCATAGCCTTCATATCATCCCAAACATCATCAATTACATAGGCACTCAAGATGGGATCAGTGGGAAATTCTCGAAGTATTTGCAACATTCTTCCCAAATGCACCTCAGATGATTCATCATCTTCCCCTGCCAAAAAAAACCACGACAACAATAAGCATGTGACGTGAAATAAAAGCGCCAACGGCTTCTGCAAATAAATTCCAGCAATTACCTCTGGACGCAGATTGTGCACCACTGACTTTCTGAGCAATCAAATGATCATACACTAGCTCTCCAATGGCACGCCTTATCAAGGGTGGCTCATCTATAAGTAAATCATACAGCGGACCCAATTCATCGTCTGTCAAGAGCTGGTGCCTGGGAAAATCAGAGAGTATTCAGTTACACCATTAAAAGAAATACATGGCAGAGACAAAAAAAATTGAGAGTTTAAATACCTCAACAACTGTTTCAAAAGACCTATTGCAGACACAGCCACAGAAACATCAATGTCATCAGCAAGCTCGATCATTCGGTTACAAAACCTTTCAGTGAAGAGGCTTAGTGATGGCACATTATCGTCGATTTCATAAAGATTTTGCAAAGCAAGGACAGATGTTTTTCTGACAACTGCACTCTTCAGTAGTGCATAGACATCCAGGTTAGCAACAGGAAAAAATATATATCTATATATCAAGAATTTAACTTGGACAAACAGAACTTACTTTATCGTTTAGTGTCCAACCAAGATATTTTAAGTATAAGTCCTGCAAAAAAAGTGATGGATATGATACTATCCAGACACCAAGAGCTTTGATGCATGACATCCGGACACTGGGGTCAACATCTCGATAACGATGCATGAATAGCCTACACATGATCATGCAAAATTTTCAGGTAAATTTGAGAAAAAACATAAAAAGTGAAAACTTGAGAAGAAAAAATAATCCATCGAAAGAAACAATAATCTCAGAGATACTCACCCTGTAAATATTTTTCGCATCATTTCCTCCAAAACATTTATATTCTCATGAGCTGCAGACAGCCTTTTGTTAAGTAACTCAACACGAGGACCATCATTTCGCTTTTTCTTCTCAGCATTCAGCTGCCGTTGTGTAGTTTCCCGTTGTGTGCCCAATGTTTTAGCAATAGCTATAAATGATGTTACAAGTTGCAGACCCACCAATGATGCCACTTGACGGTAAACTCGTGGAGGAGTGCTAAAAACGTAGCGAAGGTGAAAACTGATGTTAGAGATGTTGAAGTATAGTGGTAAAAAACTGAATTTAGCTATCATATTAACAAATGTATTACAGACAAGAGGGAAGAGTGGACAGACCATGACAATGCAATGATATAGTCTATGCATTTCTCAAACAAAATCTTGTCATATAGTGGCCCATTCTGGCACTCAAGAACTAAGTTATCCCAGAAACTTGAAAGGTTTTCCTTGAAATTCCTGAGTTCCTTTAGCTTTGAATTGTAGAGATCTTCCACTTCACCCTGGGTACCATTTTGAGTTAAGTCTCAGTCTATGGATGAAACGCAAAAAACATGGTAGGGTCCCACACGCTCTGAGCAAATGCACACAAAAGATTCAGAGAAATGGCTTTAGCTACTGAAGGATACGTTCCTGGCGAGTTCCACAAGTGCCAGCACAACATCATCAACATCGGTCTCATCAAGGGAGTCAGCATCGAGTTCATACTTGGCTCCACAAGCCTGTTTGCACCCGTAGGCAGGTCAGCAAAAAAATTCGAAGACAAAAACAAAGGAAAAAGGAACGTCACGGAAGAAGATCACCTCGAAAAGCATCATCAAGAGCTCGCCCATGGCAGATATTGCATTTTTCTCATACCTTTCAACCCATTGTTTGACCGCGACATGGATCAGCTTCCCGTCACTTTTAACAACTTCTGTACAAGTTTTCAGCGCAGAAGGGCAGAAGCACAAATGCCAAAAAGTTAAAAATCGCGAAACGTGTTCTGCCGAGAGAAGAAGCGGGAAGCACGAGCAATACCCATCAAATTCAAGTCCTCTCTCCCCACTCCCGCGGCGCCGTATCCAGCACCCCGCCTCCGCTTCGGTCTCAGCGTGGGCTCCTCATCGGGGACGGTGTCGTCATCGTCAAAAGAGTCGTCGCCAGAACCTTGGTCCTGCTGCTCCCGGGCGTTTCTTGCGGACCTCTCCACAACCGAACCACTCGATTTGCTCGGCACGCCCTCGGCGGTCGCCGCTTCCAAAACCCTACCTCTCTTCTGGACACCGAGCACCCCACAATCAGATCAGTTAGGAAGGAATTCAAGGGCAGATACGACTCCTGCGGCCGAAATCAGAGGAGAAAGAGAAAACCAGAAGAAGAGAAAGGGGGAACAACCGACCGATCGGCGGACGGATGTCTCCGAGGCCACTGCAGCATTCTCCATCACCGAAGCTCCAAACTCCACGCAAATTCGAAGGAAAAACCCCGCACAAGGCGAAAAAACTCCAACCAGCCCGAAGATCCAACAGCGCTGACCTCCCCTGATCAGAAGCCGACGAGCACCGAGGTCCCCCCCCGGATCATCGCCGAAATCCTTGAGAACTCGAGAAATTTGAGAGAACCAGAGAAGCCGCTCCTCCCCTTTCCCGCTCTTACTGAGACAACACTGTCACAACCACGCCCTGGATACAGATTTCGGATCACAAATCGAACCGAAAATACCCGTTAAAACAGGATTCGAAGCTACAGAGCCCGTTAAGGGACCTGATAAAAAAGTCAACTCGGCTGGTTGATTCGTTATTACAAACCAAACCTGTAAAAAAGGATCCGAAACGATTTACCCGTATGGGGACCCAATACCGACATTAGTCATAGAACCCGGTTTGTCCTGGGTGTGAAAGGTCAACTCTGCTGGCTAATTCGGATCACCGACCGAACCGAAGGTACGCGTTAAGGGCTGCGACCACCGACCCTAGTTGTAGTCGTAGAACCCTACTTGACCCGACAAAAGACTTGGGTCGTTGACTGTTCACTTTAATTCTCTCTTACGTTCTGCCGGTCAAATCAGGGCAAGGGCTTTGCGGCGGGTGGGGTTGTCTCCTCTGATCCATCGTCTCTAAGTGTAATCCGCCGGCTGTGGAGGGCGTCACTGTTGGCAATTCCTGCTGACGAGAGGCAATGCCGCTATCGGACGTCAAGGTTGTGGCCGGATCGGTTCATCCCTAGCTTTAATCTCCTCTTCCAGGGACTCTTCCATGGCGACTAGGTGAGATCTTCTCCGTCGGACCAGACGCCCCCTCTGATGCAATACCTGCTGAGGAGGAGCAATTCCGCTATCGGATGTGAAGGTTGTGGCTGGATTGGTCCATCCTTTGCTTTAATCTCCTCTTCCCGCGACTATTCCATGGCGATTAGGTGAAACCTTCACCGTGAGACCAGCCGCGTCCTCTGATCCGTCATCTCTGCGGGTAATCAGCAGGCTGTGGAAGGCGTCAGAAGTGGCGATTCCTGCTAACGAGGAGCAATTCCGCGATCTGATTCGAAGGTGGTGGCCGGATCTGTTCATCGCCTGCATTAATCACCTCTTCCGACGGCTCTTCAATGGGGCGAGCAGGGTAAATCTTGTGGTGGCGCCACCGTGGGACCCGCCGCCGGCCGCGGAGGAGGACGGTGGAGCCTCGTCGATTCTCGTCCACTTGTCCACCAGTCCACGGAGCCCGCTGGGGGTCCCTACGGCGTCTGGTGCGATCTCTGTCGGAACTTTTCCAAGATCCATCGATCCTCTTCATTTGGGAGAGAAGATATCAGACTGGCGTCGGCTTTATCTACTGGAAATCCATCCGTTCGACGTGGCCCAATCGGGGGATCTGCGGAGCTGCGGAGGGAAAGGGGGCGCCCGGAAATGGCAGGTCGGGGTTGCTATTAGAGCGCCGTGGATATAACCCCAGCCACAGGTTGCTGCTTCCCACTAGCTACCTCCTCCTCTCCGATTAGGGCTCCGGGAGGGCGATTACGCCATCGCCTGGTTTCTGGTTCTTCCTCCTGAACCGGATTTGGATTGCTTGATCCTCCCTCCCTCCGAGAGTTCTGCTTGGGAAAGTGTCCACCGCCGACTGGTCTGCCGCCGATGGCTCTCTCCACGGCCTCTTTCCCCTGCCATTTGCTTAGGGCAGCGGCTTCGGATACCCACAAGTCCGCCCTCTTCTCCTCTCACTCCCTCTTGCTCGGAGAAGGGGCTGATGTCCTCCAGCCGCAGCAGCAGCATCAGCAGTCCAAGCTCCTAAAGGTTAGTTTTTGGACTCCTCCTTCCTTCAAACTCTGCTGCCTGGCTCGGCCTCGTTCGGCTCCATGTCTTCCGTGATTCTGAGGTTCTATGACCTCCCGTGGAGGAGATGCCTCGTTCCATGGAGTCCTACTGTGGACTATCTGGTTGCTCCTGCCTCCATGGAACTACAGGAAGACTTGTTCGGGACTCCAGATTTTGGCGTTGAACCCTGCATTCGGCTCATTTCTCTCGAGAGGAAAACTTCCGAATTGTTCATTTATTTCTCTTCTTTTCCTCATCCTCCTGCCAGATCTCCGCTGAATTTCGAGTTCCTGGTTATCCGTAGTGCCATTCAATTCACAGCGTTCCTCGTCTCTGGCTTGCAGGTTAGAAGAAGGCCATGCATCGTTGCATCACTTTCAGACAGAGGGGAGTATCATTCGCAGAGGCCTCCTACCCCTCTGTTGGACACCATTAACTATCCTATCCACATGAAAAATCTGTCAGTCAAGGTAAATTCTTACATGCCCTACTCGATCTTTTCTGCAGGGATTCGAGGAGAGGGAAGCTCAGACTTATCTTAATTTTTTTTCCAATTTTTTTCGTTTGACCTCTTGAAGGAGCTGAAACAACTCGCCGAGGAGCTGCGCTCCGATGTCATCTTCAATGTATCAAAAACAGGTGGCCACCTCGGCTCAAGCCTTGGCGTCGTGGAGCTAACTGTGGCCCTTCATTTCGTCTTCAACACTCCACAGGACAAGATCCTGTGGGATGTCGGGCACCAGGTCCTCTCTTCTCTCCCTCCACAAAGCCCTTCTATTGCTATTTTATTTTATTTATTGTATTATTATTATTTTTGATTATTATACTTAATTATGATTATAGTTTATTATTATTTATTTATGATGTAACGACAATCAATTAAAGAAAAAATAGAAATCACAGTGAAGTCATTTTGAGGAGTGACACTGAGAGCCGGTTGGTCTTGCAGTCATACCCACACAAAATCCTGACTGGAAGGCGCGACAAGATGCCCACCATGAGACAGACGGATGGGCTCTCTGGATTCACTAAGCGTGCAGAGAGCGAGTACGACGCCTTTGGAACCGGGCACAGCTCCACAAGCATCTCAGCAGCCTTGGGTACCTAATCCTTCTCTATCTCTCCCCAAGAAAATTAAGCTCTTCCCCATGAAGTGACGAGGGGGGAGCAGAGGGTATGAAATTCTGGTCTCACGATTTATCTCTTCTTCTGTGGGGAAATGCAGGGATGGCGGTGGGGAGGGACCTGAAGGGGAGGAAGAACAATGTGATCGCCGTCATCGGCGATGGGGCCATGACTGCTGGGCAGGCCTACGAGGCAATGAACAATGCCGGCTACCTTGACTCGGACATGATCGTCATTCTGAATGACAACAAGCAGGTTTCCTTGCCCACTGCCACTCTTGATGGCCCGGCACCTCCGGTTGGGGCTCTGAGCAGCGCCCTCAGCAGACTCCAGTCCAGTAGACCTCTTCGGGAGCTGAGAGAGGTCGCCAAAGTAAGCCACCACACCCAACCAATGGCTCCACTTACTGTATATTATTGAGGGTGATGAAGATCTCCCGTTATCTGGCACAAAAAATGAGAAATTGTTATTTCATTTCATTTTTTTAATGATCTTCTTCCTCCAACGCACCAGGGAGTAACGAAGCAGATTGGCGGGTCAATGCACGAGTTAGCTGCAAAGGTTGATGAGTATGCTCGTGGGATGATCAGTGGGTCTGGCTCAACCCTGTTCGAAGAGCTCGGCCTCTACTACATCGGCCCCGTCGATGGCCACAACATGGACGACCTCATCACCATCCTCAAGGAGGTAAAGAGCACCAAGACCACGGGCCCCGTGCTCATCCACGTCGTGACCGAGAAAGGCCGGGGCTATCCCTACGCCGAGAAGGCCGCCGACAAGTACCACGGTAAGTTGAGAAGAACATGTTTCTGGGACACTGAAGAGATGGAAGCAATGATGATGAATGATGATAATGATGATGATGATGATGATGATTTCGTGGTGGGATTCGTTTGCTCGCAGGAGTGGCAAAGTTTGATCCAGCAACGGGGAAGCAATTCAAGTCCAGCTCCCTCACGCAGTCCTACACCAACTACTTTGCGGATGCACTGATAGCCGAGGCGGAGGCAGATACGGACATAGTTGCCATCCATGCGGCCATGGGAGGCGGAACAGGGATGAACCTCTTCCAGCGGCGCTTCCCCGACAGGTGCTTCGATGTGGGGATAGCAGAGCAGCACGCCGTCACCTTTGCAGCAGGCCTGGCTTGCGAGGGCGTGAAACCCTTCTGCGCCATATACTCCTCTTTCCTTCAGCGGGCTTACGATCAGGTAGGTGCCCATATCCATCCCATCCCTTCAATTCTTCTCAAAGAAAACGAAAAAAAAATGCTCTTCTTGGAAGAAAAGTCTGAAGACATGGTCCCTTGGTTGTGTATGTACCAGGTGATCCACGACGTGGACCTGCAGAAGCTGCCGGTGAGGTTTGCGATGGACCGGGCGGGGCTCGTCGGAGCCGACGGCCCGACCCATTCGGGCTCCTTTGACGTCACCTACATGGCGTGCCTGCCGAACATGGTGGTGATGGCCCCCTCCGACGAGGCCGAGCTGTTCCACATGGTGGCCACCGCCGCCGCCATCACTGACCGCCCCTCGTGCTTCCGCTACCCGAGGGGCAACGGCATCGGCGTGCCGCTTCCACCCGGAAACAAGGGGATCCCTTTAGAGGTCGGTGGTAGTACCTGCAATTAAACCCTTCGGCAGCAGCTTTGCATGTTGTAAGTTAACTCTGTCGGTCCTTTGGCAGATTGGGAGGGGGAGAATTCTCGTTGAGGGCGAGCGGGTGGCCTTGCTGGGCTACGGCACCGCCGTGCAGAGCTGCCTGGCGGCGGCGGCGCTGGTGGAGAAGACCGGGCTGAAGGTGACGGTGGCGGATGCGCGCTTCTGCAAGCCTCTGGACCAAGCGCTCGTTCGCCGCCTGGCCAAATCCCACGAGGTCATCATCACCGTGGAGGAGGGATCAATCGGCGGGTTCGGCTCCCACGTCGCCCAGTACATGGCCCTCTCCGGCCTCCTCGACGGTGCCACCAAGGTAATTAATCCATTCACGGCGATCTCCGGCCGATGTTGGCGGTGGCAGCAGCTGATGATGAGTCGATCTCTCTCTTTCTCTTTCTGTGTGCAGTGGAGGCCAATAGTTCTCCCCGACCGGTACATCGAGCACGGCGCACCGGGGGATCAGCTGGCGGAGGCCGGCCTGACACCGTCGCACATCGCCGCCACCGTGTTCAACATCCTCGGGCAAACCAGAGAGGCTCTGGAGATGATGTCCTAAGCGAGCGAATCGAGTTGCCCATCTTCTTCCTCCACCATCCGCCAGCCCTGTGAGTCAGTTTCCTCCCCCACCTTGTATCATAATCAGAGAGAGGAACATATCAGATTATAGATATTTCTCCCAAGAAACACCGATCCCAATCCCCCTTCTTCGGACAAGGCAGAGAGGGAGAGAGAGAGGACTCGACAGGCAGAGGCCAACGAGGCGTGTGAATCCGGGGGGCCAGATGGCGGCCATTGTTGTTGCCATCTGAGCTTAGAATGGACCAGACTGGCGCCGCCATGACCGCTCCCGACCAGATTCTTCGCCTCCGCTTATTATATTTGGCGTATTTTATCTCCGCTTCCGGTAAAGGCGGCTGACTGCCTACGCGCAATCAACGACTCCCATGTCAAAAGTGGAGAAGAGTACCGCTCATCGACTCGGTCAGCAAAATTAACGGATGGCCCTCCGTGCGTTCAGAAGATGGCGGTGGCCCCACGCGCTTGGAGGCCGGGGAGCCATGAAGGATGGTGGATCAGACGAGGACGAATCAATGGAGCAAATTAATGAGTGATCCCCGTTTGAAGAGAGAAGGGGGAAGAAGAAAGTGAGAGGTTCGAACTATAAATGTTGTGATGTTTGATAGGGATTTTAAACTCCCGCAGATCGGACGTACTGACCGTGGTGTAGAGCAGATCTGTGCGGATCGTACATACAGTTTGGGGGAGCCCTACTACCTACGGGAGGAGGAGGAAGAAGAACAACTTATCTCACGATTGCTGTAACCTTTCTCAGCGGCGATCCGAGGGGGATCTGTGACGGCGCCGAGGCAAACTCACCTCGACGGAAGAAATGGTCGGCTGCTCACCGGAGATGGCGAAATCAGGGATATCCATGCTCCAGGCACCTCTCCCAGAAGATCCGATCTACCGTTCCGGCGATCGGCTTCTCCGACGTCACCTCGACGTCCTCCCCCCCAGCCACTTCCTCCTCCGCTAGTCGCGGCCTCCAACCGATCGCCGTGTAATCCCTATCGTCTTCCTCGCCGTCGTCGTCGGACTCGTAGCCGCGGCGGGGGAATCCGCCGCCGCCGTCGACGATGCAGGACTCCGCATCGCCGTCGTCGTCGCCGTCGTCGTCGTCTTTGCCGCCGGCGACGTCGCTCAGAAAGGTGGCTGCTGCGGCGGCGGTGGCGGGGCTGTGCTCTGAGTCGCCGCTCTCCTCGGCGATCGCCGGAGTCGAGCCGTCATCGGCGCTGCATTCCATGCTCGCCGGCGGGCAGCAGAGAAAATGACGACGATCCATCCACTCGACCCTCCTCCACCCGTTGCCCAACGTTCTATATACCTGGTCGAACGTGGCCTATCCAAGTACAAATTATCGTGCACGAGACTCCATCAGTAGCCAATGAAAATGTAAAAAAAACACGTAGCACAACCCTATCAGGTATCAGATGGCACGGACGGTGGGGCGGAGGAATATATGACAAATGAAGGCCCCTCCTCTTCTTAAAGAGCCATTTTGAGCGTGCGGGAAGTGCCACATGGGCCCCACATGGTTGAACGCCGTGCCACCAGTTTCACACGAGGGAAGGGTAAGTTCGGTCAAAACCTCGTAATAACTTTCAGAAATTCCCATTTGAATAAGATAGAAGACACGCAGCAGACGAGACGGCGAGCTCGGGTTGACCTTCTTGGTCTCACGTCTACGCCCGCGGGATCGCATCGAAGAGGAGGATGAGACCAGGCGACGCGTCAACTGTGTTGGGTTTTGATTAACTCGGCCAGCTGAATGAGAGCAACTAAGGCCCTGATGATCATCGATGCATAAACACGAAGAAAATCATCTCAATTTATTCCAACAAAAATAGCAAACTTGAATTCGACCTACTAAGCACAAGAGCACGCATGTTGGGTATTTATAGATCAGAATCTGGATTTGAGGAAGGCGAGGTCAACGTGAGTGCTTGCATGCTTATGATGTTTATGACCACAATTTCCATATAAACTTATTTCATTCAAGTCCAAGTATAAGTAACACTCGTTTAATCCTTTTTTAAGCAAAATTCTCAGTTTAATCTAGCATAGTTGAGTAAAACTCACAATAATCAAGATTTATTATCAAAATACATAATTATACCATTTTTAAAATAATTAAAATATCCTTCTAATATATACATGCATATGTTCATCATGAGAGCAACTTAACCTCTTATTAAGTTCGATATATATATTAAGAAAGTCAACACACATAGATTTCTATTACTTGAGTGCATTTTCTAGAAAGGGGAAGCATTGTGGGAGAGTGCCGTTCGGAGCCGAGAAAGATCTCATCTTTTGACGGAGTCTTGTCTGCGATCTGGTTAAGCCTCGAAGGATGGCCGGCTGACAGGCTGACCTTCATAGTTTCTCTCTCTCTCTCTCTCTCTCTCTGTGTGCCTCTGGCACTATCTTCCTGTCTATCCATCTCTCTCTCTCTCTCTATCTATCTATCTATCTTTCTATCTATGCATCTCTCTCTCTCTCTCTCTCTCTCTCTCTATCTATCTATCTTTCCATCCATCTATCTAAGCCGAGCGACGAGAACCAGTCCCCCGTCTCCTTCGCTGCCCCCGACTAAGACCGTTGAAAGTGGGGAGGAGAAGGTGGGGTGGGGGGAGGAAGGGCCACAGCCAAGGATGGCGGCGGCGTGGGGGCCGCCGTTCCGGAATTGCCGACGGCGGGCTTTGACGGACGAACGCAGCAGGCAGGAAGGAGAGAGTGATGGATGGGACGTTGGGAGAGAGAGAGTCCAGACACTCTTACCTCCTTCCCTGGTCGGGCCTCCCCATTAGCTTCCCCTCAGCCTGGTCAAGTCAGGCCGGTGCATGGTTATTTTTCTTCTTGCCTTGAATTCTGGGGTTTTCATTCTTTATTTTGTAAAAGCCGTCATAACCCCTCAAAGGGTAGGGTGGAGTGACGACACTCGGTCAACTGAATCTCCTCGTCGAGCTCTCTTCGATTTGGAAAAGCGTCTTAATTTTGGCATACTTCTTATTTTCTTCAAGGATATTTTCTTTCTATTACACATTTATCTTTTCTTCTACTTAATTGTTGGCCCTTCCTTCAGATATAATTTTTGACTTGTAAAATTTTTGCTATTTTTCAAAAACCTTGCTATATTTCATTTGTTCTTTATTACTCAATAAAACAGTATTTTTTGTCTTTCCAATGGTAACCTAAACACATCAAACAAATAGCTTTTGCATCATTATCACATTGTCTTATTTATTGATGAGGTTAGATTGATCTAGAATTCTTCAAGTAATATGTTCTAGTGGCGACATGCGACATCAAAGTGTCTTCTGATTACAAATATAGGTATACATATTATTACGTTGTTTTCTAAAACTTTCAATTATTCATGTTTTGAGATATTTGACTTCACACACTTATATTGGAGCACAAGTGCCATGTAATGAGATATTGTGTTTAATATGTTATGCTACTCTCATATTGCACAATGTAATAAGTAAGATATTGTGCAATGTAATTCTCATATCTTGAAACATTAAGTTTGACATGTGAAGTTATCACCATACTTTGATTCTTGTGGTTTGTAATTGAGATTCTAAGGTGGATGTGTTGATGTCTTTTGTAATGTAACTCTTTATATATTTACATATTAAGTTTGGCACATTGTAACTCCACAACATTTTTCAAATATAAATATATTATGTATGATATATAGTGTATTATTCCACAATATAATACATTAAATTTTGACTTATAAACCTTAACATAATTTACGCTTACATTATATAAACTTCATATATGGAATCAAATAGCTTCAAAAAAATTAGCATAAACGAGATATGCAATATATAGTTTATGGAGATTTAAAACTTCACTAATAATATTGATAACACTTTATAGTCATCTTAAACCAAACAAGGCATATAAAGATTTTAACATAGTTTTAATATAGTTGTTAATATAGGAGATCACCTAGTTGTTAATATAGCTGGTCTCTTAGAGTCAATAATCTAAAAGAGATTAGTTAGGTGTAAATCTAGTTGGGCTCCTAAAGTCATGAATCTAGAAAAGTTTATCTAGGTTCAAATCTCTTGGTGAATCTTTAGATAATATTATTAGAAACCTAAGGATTAAGAGCTTTATGATAGATGAAGTAGGCTAGGGGACAAACCAACCTAATAAAACTAAGTGTGCATCATTCTTTTATGTGTTGACTGCCTAATTTAATACGTATTGACTTTTTTCATGCACCATAGTGAATTAGAAGAATCAATCTGATTGAATTGGTTAGATTGTCTATTCTAACTACATATACAATGGACCAAGAAATCTTAATGAAGCCATTTTAAACACAAATTAGAAAGAAACCACAAGAGTGACATAATTAGAAGGTCTAATCCCATGGATTACAACTAACTAAATTAGAAAACTTAATTCAAAAGGTACAACACTTCAATATCTTCACCCTATTTCTCTCTAGACTACTTTTTCTTTGTTTGGGTCCCTAATGCATCAGTTTCGACTTTAGAATGTTTCCAAAAACCCTCAGCTCATGTCATGTGATACAATGGTCAATGTTTTCTATACCATGCCTGCAAAAGAACAAATCTCTCTTGTATTTTGAATGTGAGACAATCTGCACATGTATAATGATACTGTAAAGTCATAGCAATAATTATCTTTCTTGGTGCCCCAAACAATCTTTCTCTTGTCAACAGGTAAAGATTCTCAACTCTCTATTTTTTTCAATTTCTCTAGACAACAAATAGGTCATCATCAACTTGTTTTCTAATATTTAAATTCCAAAAATACACCTAAAGATACCTAAGCTTTTATTAGGAAAAAAAATCTAAAAAAAATCAAATAGCAACTCCAATAATTAGATTTGCTTTGTTTATTTTGAAATTGTATAACATAATTTCAAAGACTTAGTTTACCAATGACTTACCCTCTCATGTTAATGAAAATTACTCTGTCAACATGGAGTGAACTTTGAGTTTCAATGAAACTGAGATCTAGAAACAAGTGACAAGTCCCCATGGTATATCAACTGTTCCTCCAAGTTGTTCTCCTTTACTATCAACACCAACCATATAACCATCTTTTGCCCGTCTTACAAGGATCTAGAATATTCACAACGAAAGGTCGCTCTATTAATAAATTTTGAGGTTTTCCAAAGTGCGAAAACCGAGAATTAACCCTCCAATTTGTATTCCCGATGATTAATTAGATCTGTAGTCGCATGGAGTGGTGCTGTTCTTGGCTCATTTCCACAGCAACCTTTCTAATCCACTCTCAAGCCTCCAAACGCCAATGGGGTCGCTTTCTTCTTCTGGGGGCTTACAAAATCCCATCTCAGGGAAAGGGCGTAGAGTAGCTCATTCCATGTGTCCGGCACACCGGGGAGGCACCAGTGGCTGCAGTCCTGTCTGTGGGTTGGTGAAGAGTTCGTGGGACCAAGATAGTATATTGAAGGATGACCATCCTTTCTCTGGGCAGTCATCTCCGTAATGTTCAGTACGCTCAACTTTGCTGGCGATCCGCTGAGGATCCTCTCCGAAATCACCTCCCCAACGCCCTGCAGAAGCCATGGCTCTGATGTTGCTGGTGGAGCACTGAAATCGGGAAGCGTTTCTTGATGGCAGCTCCCTCCCTTCCTCCATCCTCCACCACTGAAAAAAATCAATGTTACTCTGAGATTAGTACATGTTTAGATAGATATTGATGCTTTATAGGATGAAAAATGCTTCACAGTCGTTTATTCAGGAAGTTGGGAATGTTGAAGCAAATTTCCAGAAAATTAGCTACGTCATGATTATGCTACTTGGGTTTCTAAGAAATCGACCTACAGAAAAATATTTGCCATAGAAACATAATTTTCCTAAGTATTTACCTGATGGCAGGTCCTCGTAATCTACTGGAAGAGAATGATTTGAATATAATTTTTATTTTCTTTTAACAATACTAATGTGTTCCTTGGTCCGTGAAACTCAAAACTCAAACCCGGGTTTATATAAATTATTTATCATAGGAGATGAGCATACATATAACGCAAAAAGGTAAAACTAATGGAAAATTATTTATCGCAGGATGATCATCAATTATTTCCTTCTTTGCTGCCCAACGATTTTGATAGAGACGAACATCAAATCTAGTTCAGTGGGTTGAGTATTTAACTGGTTCGTGTAAAATCTGGTCGGCATACCTGAAATGCACCGGTGAATACGTGCGATAAACTACTTGTGTCTTGCTCATATTCACCGCCCTTCGCATCCAGTCGAACAGCGTCGCGATCGACTTCCGATAAGCGGCTTCCACGGTCATCTCCAGGTCGACCTGGTTGCCCACCTGGAAGTAGCACCCACTGTAAAATAAAAATAAATAAAAAAGGAAGAACCGGGCCGCCTCAGTCCTCAAATACCAATCAGCAGGACACATAGAGAAGTAGCGGGGGAGGGATCGGATCACCTTCCGATGGTTTTCTCTTGGTTCCACCAGTGCCCGGTGTTGAAGATCAGCACGTCGGCGTTCTTCCATCGGGAAGAAGACCAATCCACGGCGTCCAGCCTGAGCGTGGTCTTCACCTTCTTCGGCGAGCCCGGAGGAGGGCGAGCCTGCGGCACGAGGAATGGCGCTCTGTGGTACTCGATGGTGCAATTGAAGCCGCTGAAGTTAAACGCAAGAAAGCCGGTGTGCTTGGTGATGGGGTTGCCCCGGAGTTCGTAGATGGAGTTCTTGTCGGGGACGGCAGCGGAGAGCATGCAAAGGAGGGACTCCCACTGGTTTCTCCCGATAGAGTCGCCCACAAACACAAGGCGCCGGTGACGGAGCCTCTCTAGCATCTCCCTTGCGTCGAACCTTGAGAGCCCAACAGATGACGCAGAAACAGAAGGAATAACCGAAGTAAGAAGACGACTTGGAGGAGGGGGATGCGTAGAGGGTTCGGAGAGAATCAATCGCAGAATGTGTAGGAAACCCATTATGGAGGTATACGTACCTGAGAGAGAGAGAGAGAGAGAGAGAGAGAGAGAGAGGAGAGAGAGAGGAGAGAGAGGGAGAGAGAGAGAGAGGGAGCGCGAGCAAGAGAGAGACCGAGAGCGAGGACAGAGGAGAGAGAGAGAGAGAGAGAGAGGGAGAGGGAGGGAGAGCGAGAAGAGAAAGAGAACCTGGGGAGGTCACAGTTGGAGGGCTGCCACCGCCACTTTGTGTAGGTGCGGTCGGGGCGGCCGTTCTTGGAGCAGAGGAAACCGGCGTCCAAGAAGGTGCACTCCGAGGGCTTGTACAAAGGGTAGTTCGTATCCCATACCCACATCCCCTGGAACAAGTCACAGTCCTCTCCCTCTTTCTTCCTCCCGTGCTGCTGCAGCTGCTGCGGCCGTGGAGGGTCCCGAAGCAGAGCCGGGCCACTTGAGCCCTCGGGGCTGAGGAAGTACACCAGATAGAGGAAGAAAGAGAGGAAGATTACGGAGAGGAAGAAGATTCTGACGGCTCCCGGCGGCTCCACGGGGTTCTTTCTCCCCAATCTCTTGATAAACTCCACGAACGTGACCGTCGATGGCGTTGGTAGTGGTGCCGAAGAACATCTGGAAGCCCTGGGTTTCATAACCTGCAGGGTAATCACACGATTCTTGCGCGGAAAACGGAGGGAAAGGAAAGGAACACCGGCCTGGGAACCAGATGGCAAGAGGTTGCTTGAAACGGGGAAATGGGTCTAACAGGATATAATCAATTTCCGATGTCGAGGGACGGTCGGCAAGAGATGGAGGAAGAAGGCGGCAGCAAGAAACCGATGGGGGAGGAAGAAAACGACTTTCTTCGTGCCCGAAGGAGGGAAAAGGATGCTGAGGAAAGGGAGAGGGGAGAGAAGAGGAGGGTGGTTATCTTTATAACCATAATGGGCAACGAATCCGTCAGAAGCCGCCACATCCCTCTCTCTTTATAGTACAATCTTTTCCATTTCTCGGTGGAGTTTGAAATCCGCGACCGTTGCGATTCGAACGTGGCACCCATTATATCGTCACTGAGAACCTTGGGAAATAGGATCCCAGGCATATCCATTTCTACGCCGACGTTGGTTGCGGTGGAGAGAAGGGATGAAAACTAGGCTGGAAGCATGGCGCACATGATTGGGTTATGTTGGGCCGCCTGAACCAAGTAGGAAAGTGATTGGATTGGCCGGGTGTTCCGCTGGAATGAACTAATCAGATCGAATAAAAGACTTGTATTATTTACATTACTTAGTATGAATACTGCGTAGAATTCTTTGATAAACGACGCATTTCATATAGAACACCTCATCAAAACTGCTCTTCTCTTTCTTAGTTGGAAGTGAGACATTGGACGTTGAAGTAGGCCGTCCACTATGGGCTGGAAAGGTTGGTCGTATTGGGAGTTGACCTAATAAATGGCTCATTGTGGTAGAAGACGGTGAGCTTGTCTACTTCGAATTTCTTAGAATAATGATTTTTCTACTTATTCACGCCACTGTGCTGATTTCATAGAAGCTCTGCGACAAGAGACTGTTGCAACAAGGGAATGTGGCCCAGATCGAGTACACCAGATGTGGAGATGGTCCCCATGGGAGGAGGAAAATGGAGGTGATACTTGATATGGGTTGCTCAGGAAGAGGCGAACATGAATTGGTGGTCAGCTGGATCAAGCTTACAAGTGGCATGGGCATCATCCCTTATAAGTGAGATTTGAAAGAAACTACCTTCTCCGTTGATAACAACGATGGAAAAATTAATATTTTATTTAACATTTGTAGACGTGTTACAATTTTGTTTTGAACTTCATGTTTAATATGCTCTTTTAGTAAATGTGATCTAACACCTAGATATATGTTTGTTCAAGTAATATTGATCTAACCTCCCTATTAGATGCTAACTACATTGGGTGGGTTGTGTTAGTTCGAAATATCAGAAATTCATAAATTGTGTTCCTTGCTTTATCTCAAATAGAAGTCTAGTGTGAGGTCTGACCATTGCCCTGCGACAGGGACTGAATTGAACAGTGAGGAAAGAGTACTACATCCACCTAGACCTACCCTAGTCCAATCAAGTTTCTATCTTTACTAGGTTTGAACTTCTGTAGCGTCTTGATGCAGAGCTTTGGGCATTTTTTTATGCAACATAGACATGTACAATCACCCCTACATTAAATGCTTCCCTACTCTCTAATCAAAGACTAAAATAGGACTAATATGGATGAGAGATGTGAACATGAAGGGAGGGTACATAGTATAACCTGAAGGGAGGTCTACTCGAGGCACTACGTAGCGTTATATAATTAACTACTTCATGTTCCAAGGATCAACATTGGTTTCGATAGTTAATAATGTCCTGACAGGAGAAATTAGAGCTAACTAGAAGCAACCAAATCCACTCTCTGAAGTGGAAGTAGTCACAGAATATTTGCATAAATAATTCCCTAAAAACAGATAACATTGTACCCATTTGGGCTGTTTCTACTTGTGTATGGATGTGCACAGGAAAGAACTGCAACTTTTACAATCTTAAATATTTCTAGAAAAAGTACTATGTTACAAAACTTCATCTTAATATCAAGAAAAGTGATAATCAATAATGAGGTGACACCACGTGGTACCATATCTTTTGGAAGCAGTGCCAAAAGAAACACCAATTAAAGCAGTGACATAAATAATCTCTTGAATCTATTTACTTCCCGGTAAATTCTAAAGAACTAAAGTAACTAATGTAAAACTACACCTGATTGAAAGGAATGTATTCATTACAATATTTTCCCCTTTTAACTTCCACACCTAAGAACCCCTAATTTGATGGTATTTATTGCTAGATCTTGTAAAACCAAAATACATATTATTCTTGTAAAAAGAGAATGACTTCAACTATGGAATTTGCCCATTGAAATCCTTTGTTTGGAACAAGAAAATAAATAAAATAAAGTTATGTCGTATCTAATTAATAGGATGATAACAAGTGAAAAAGCACACATTTTGTCATTTATGCACAAAAGTTAAAGTTTCATTCAAATGCATGTCTGTGTAATTAGGTTAGAAAGCAAGAAACAATGTGATGGAAATTTATCAAGAGATATAAATAAAAAACTATTTTACATTTTTAGCATCATATACTAGCCCATAGACCTTTCTTCCGTATGTCTTCTTTTCTTCAGAATGTCTTCACACGTGTTGAACTCTCACAACACTCATAAATGTGTTCTGTGCAACAATTTGCAGTTGTCTTTTGTCCTAAGGTACATAACTTGTGCCATTTAATGACTAGTAGTATTTGAAAGATTTATCATTTCTCCTAAAACTTCCTATTGACAATTAATTTTTCCTTTTTTTTATTGAAAAATATGCTTATATCGTTTTTTGGAATTTTCAGTTGAGTAACTCTTAATGAGTCTAATGCAGTCATCTATGGAAAAAAAAATTAGGTTTCAAAATTTTCGCTTTGATTGGTTTTGAATGACTAGCCAGGATTGTTATGTAAAACTGAGGTATCAACAACCACATTGATATAAGTGTTTTTTTAATTGAGATGGTCTTATTTTAATCTTTGAAATAACCAGTCATCTATTTTGGTTCTATCTTTGTCAATATACTGTACCAATCTGAGCAGGATTGAAAAATATCCTTTAGTCTTTGGAATTAGTTATGATAGATCTTTATCTCGGTCCCCATTTCCCCTTTCAATCTATGGACAAATAACAACCGGCCACTGGGAATCAGATTTATTAATAGGTAACACATGACACGTGTTTGAGTTTAATTCGCTGTTCCAATAACGCTGAACCTTGGTCAACTTCTCCTTGAGAAAGAAATCGATAATTTTATTTGACTTACTAGTATCAAATCCGTATTATCTGATATTAATTGACTCGTAGGGAAGACGAGCTGGTACAGATAGGAAGCAAAGAGGATCCCATTTGGAGCTGCTACCCATTTGGAATGGCAGTCTAGACCGTCTTCACGTGAGGTTATCATTAGTTTATTATAGAAAGGAAACCTTCTTACCGTTCTTGGAATGGTTCAGGGGGGCTGAGACCAGTGGTTGCTAAGATTGCTAAAACAGTCTAATTGACCAATCGAGCTAATAAGAGTCCTGGAGTTTGAGTTCTTTTGTGGGCAAGAAATTGAGAACATGGGCCTTACTTCGATATCATTTCAATGGAAAGGTTTACGTCAAAATCAAGGCAGACCATTGGGAATGCTAGTTGGAAAAAATAAGTAGAAAAATGCCAAGGAAAACAAAGCAAAATTTCTCCTTTGATCATTTTGGAGCTTTCAGTGTGATATACCTTCACAAAGTGCGCATACTTAAATGGCTGCCTACAGTTAACAAGCATATTAAAAATAATATTTTGTCCAATGAGAGGTATGATCAGAGAAATCGCTCAAAGATTATAAACGCTAGGATCTTCTTTGGACTCCTCAAATACGATAACTTTAGTTCTATATCTAGTTGCAACACCTCATTTGCATCCTTTAAATGGAAAGAATTACTAGTAGAAACCTGAAATCAAGCGGTGTTCCCAGGCTGGGGAAGAGCGCGGTCTAACGAAACTTCCCTGGTCCACTCACTCGAGTTTTATTTAGTATATGCGGAAAAGTCAATAGAATGCGCTGTAAATCAGGATTCTGCGAAGCCCAGAAGCCCAAACAGCGGCAGGCCTTGAGAGAGAGAGAGAGAGAGCCGAGCCGTGGGAAGGGCGGTTGGTGTCCTAGTGGGATGGACTCCACTCTGGATTCTACGAGAGCCGAACTTTAAGATATCAAATGCCTAAAGATCACGATACACGATGATCTTTGAAAATCTCAAGTCGGAAGGTAACCCACGAACCACTGAAGACCATGTATCGTGAATAAAGGGATAATTTTTGCTTTGTTTATCCTAGTCTGGTTCGTTTTGCAAGCTTTTGTTTAATAGTTTATTGCGTTTTATTATGTCAAAGCGTCACAGAATTCTCCGTCGCGACAATGGTTGAGATCTTCCTGTGCGCTCTTCTGTCCAACGCTGTGGAGTTGAAGAACGAGGTTTTGAGATTCACAGCCTGGAACAGGGTGGGTTTCGCTCCCCAAGGACTCGCCTTGCCAGAGCAGTCATTTCGTTCCTGTGCGGAAGTTCTATTCTCCTACAACTATGGCTGCTTTCTTTTTTTAAATAGAATTCCTAGCATATGGCGTGTCCCCTAGGGGCGTCCGGGACACTCTTTCCTTGAAAGGACTTACGAATCAGACTCTCTAAGCTAGTGCTTAAGATGGCCACCTGCCTCACCGTCGGCAATTGCATCTGCGCTGTGAGCCGGCGGTGGGGGCCCCTCGGAGCGTTCAACCCAGAACTCTTCGACACGGAAAGCGGCGCCTTTGAAGATCTCTTTTCTGTGGTTCATTCGGTGGGTGCAGTTTCCTGTTGAACGTGACGCAGGCAGGAATAACTGGTGGCGGTCAACATCACGGAGACCTCCACTCCCAGTTGTCAGCCGGGCAGCGGGGGATCGCAATAGGAGTGTCGGGTTTCTGTAACCCAGCCGTGGATGGGTCAAGAGCCGAGATCCCAAATAAATAATTGAAGCCGGGTGGGGTGCCCAAAATGATCCATCTTACTCTTATCACATCGTCCTCCTCTCTGATTGTTTCCGGACGGAGATCAAAGGCAAACCCCCCCCTTTTTCCATGCCTCCGAAGAACTCCTGTCCAGTGGAATCACCCATGGTTAGACTGAAGGAAACACACGGTGTACCATATATATAGATATATGAGAGAGAGAGAGAGAGAGAGAGAGAGAGAGAGAGAGAGAGAGAGATATCCTCCGTGGAATGAGGGGTGGTGGATGGTGGATGTGGGAGGCTACGGGAACGTCTGAGTTTATCTTCCTTAGCCTTAATGCCTGGCTGCAGGATAACAGCGTGATGTCACAACATTTACTCGGAGGAGCTGAAGATATGTTCTGGCTCGTGCTCGGGTGGGGTCAGCCCGAGGCTACAGAAGGGCTGGTATGACCGCTACTTGTGCTGTGGATCTCGCAGGCGCGCGCTTAATCCTCCATCGCTATTAAAGCACCCGAGAGTTGTCTTCGGAAGAGAAGGAACCGGAACGCGGAGGGGAGAAGAATCAGCATCCGAATCCTGAAGGAGAGAAGGGAGCCCCAAGGATAAACGTCCTGCGGAACGTCGATTATGAAGATGGATGCAACTGTAGAGATCGAAGGCGACGTGTTCTTCGCTGACCTTGCCAATCAGATCGCGCTCCTGATCATGGAGGAGGACGATGCCGAGGGATTCGCATCTCTGAATCCTTTGATTTCTCCTCAGGTCGGAGCCCGCAACTTATCACTATTTTTTTCCTGTTAGTTCAAGACTAGATAGAGCTTGAAATCGACTCAGCAGTCATCAGCTTCAAGCGTTTAAACACAATCTTTTCCCATCCTTGTGGGGTTACTCGTTGCAATCTCCATCAGCAGGGCTCTAATCTAGCACCGAAGGCAGTATCCTCATCTCCAGTCTTCTACGAGCCATTCTACGGGAGGGAGGTGAAGGGAACCGGCGTCTTCATCCCGCAGTCATCCAAACCCAGGAAGAAGCACAGGTCCCGGAAGCCGAGGGCCTCCAAAGCTGCTGTCTCCACCACGGGCTACGGGAATAAGAAGGATCAGCAGTCAGAAGATCGCGCCGTTGCTGCTCCGTCGCTGATGACTCTGAGTTAGAATCTGATCCGGAGATGCTAACAGATTTCTGTCTCCGAATTTATTCAAATTTGTATAATGGGTAAGGGGGGTTCCTCAGTAATGGGGGGGGAAGAATTAAATGCTGGATGATTCAGATGTCAACTGCATCCACACGAAGAGGAGTTCCTTTGATCCACATATTTTTACATGAGTAATGTAACCGATGTGTGACTAAGAAGCAGATGTAAACTATTCTTCTTTCCTTTACTAAACACTCGCGGGAGATCGCACTCCCATTGAGGCATACGGCCATTTTTGGTGGGCTTCCATCCCCACCAGAAGGGGAGCCCTAATATCCCTAAGGTGAGAGTAGTATTATTAACCTTCTCGTACGGAGGGGGGGGGGAGGTCTGGTTTGGGGAGGGTTGAGATGAGCATATTTTTAAATCCCTTATCATTTCTCGTGCAGATTGTATCAAAATAACACATTTTACAGTAACTACGTATTTATGTATACCATTAAAATTTTAGGAAAGATATTTTATAAACATTTCACTATCCGAAATCAATAAATTGGACTTATCATACTGCAATATTTTTATACTTAGCCGATGATATCCATCCTGGTAAAAGAAGTTTATTTATGGAATAAAAGTTACGAGAATTCAACAAGTCGCTGTTACATTAGAAACCCAATTCAACTAGACAACAAAATATTAAATTTGACAAGAACACAATTGTCCAGCGAAGAAATGGATTGGAACAGCCCAACCCGAGTGCAAGCAAATCTCAAAGAGGGTACATGAACCCTATCCAAGCGATAGAATGTCTATCCTATAGCTGTCTACGGTGTGAACCATTTACAATCATTTCGTATTATCTCATATTAAGAGAGAGAACCCGCCGACCAGTGGCCGCCGCAAACACAGAAAACGATAGAAGGTTTCATGAATATACGTATGCACGTCCTGCGTTGTTTTTAAAGGTCAAGGCCTTATCTTCTCCTCTATCCAGTCTCTCCATACCGCGCCTCACAAATCCTTCACTTCCTCAACTAGTCCTTCGTCCCCCTCCTGTCCAAAATGGCCGAAAGCGCTAGGAGTAAGCCTCACATCAGTCCACTTGGAGGACCTGTGGACTCAGGGAAAACGCTGATATTTTAATATTTATAGTGGAGACGATAAGACGTCCTACGTAGCATGCCGGCACATGCGTACGTTCCCAGGCATACCTGCCTGTGGGCACCGTCTGGAAGCCGTTTACAACCCATACTGCCTGTGGACACCGCACGCGTGGTAATCCGCATGGGACAGGGAAGAGCAATGTGTGGACACGGGTTTTCCCTCTTTCTCAGCCTCGAGGTCTCGTCTTATCTTCCGTGGCCAAGTAATACAGATTAAAAACTGGTGGGCACTTGTTCCTCCCCTCCCCCCGCTTTCCTGCTTTATCGATTATCAGCAATGAAGGCGAGCTCCTTCTCTACCCAGATTCCTCTGTGCAATGGCGTCCTCCATGGGCGACGAAGACAGACAGCAAACGTGAACGCCGCGGCCTTCGCGCGGAGGCCCGGAAGCGGCAATCTGAGAACAGTACGCTTTTCATTGGATCTCTGAATCATAGGCCGTCGGTTGGCAGAAGAACTGCGCATTTGATCTTCCAATGACAACGAAATTTCGGTTCAAAGTTGAGATCTTTATTGTATCTATCATCTCCTTCTGCTTGCGTAGGTCGCCAAGGGCTGCCGGACTTGCACTGGGAAAGGTTCTGTCGAATGCCCTGGATGCAAGGTCAGCGGGCCGTAGTCGCTTCCATTTCCTCAAAAATATAGAGAAATGAAGAAGAAACTGAAAGAACGGGAACGTTGATGTTTTCTCATCATTCAGGGAACCGGGAGGAACAAAAAGAACGGAAACATCTTTGAGAGATGGAAGTAGGCCTATTTTTCAGAAATGATGGTACAGTGTTCAAGAGGGGAGCCGACTGACTCTCTGATGTTGCAGGTGCTTCGACTGCCAAGGATTTGGCCTGATAAGTTGCCCAACTTGTGGGAAAGGAAAGGGGCTTACACCGGAGCAGAGGGGGGAGAGATAGCGGGCGCGCAGCGATTCCATCTCCTCCGCCGCCTCCTGCCCTGCGCTCTAATAGATGTTGCGTTCATGTTTCAATCCATAATCTATAGTTTGAAGATGGCGATGTCCTCTGGGACAGATTCCACTCTACCTACCAAACTCGCCGTCGATATCTGTGGAATGACGATCATTCTGAGTCTCGATTCGGTGCCTCTCTGAACAAGAGTTTATTTTCCATCTTAACAAGCTTCTCCCAGACTCCACGTCTTCTACCCCCTCTTCTCCCTGGTGAATAGATTCATTATGTACACACATTAGATCAGTGTCCCCAACTTTTTCTCATCATTCTAGTTCAAGGTATCTAATGTTGATAACAAAATTCCAACTATGTTAATTTAATTCTAGTTGCCAATGATCTGGACAAATTATTCATTGATTAGTAAAATCACTGAGACCATTGTTTCAAAAACTCCCTCAAAAGTATCCATCCCTCATCGTTTAGTCCACTAATGAATTTTCACTAGTCATACTTGGTCTAAGTTTGGCTAGGTTAGGGTTTCAATGGATTATAAAATTAATTGTCACTTCTTGGAGAAAATTTAATTCATCTTTGGGAATTTTCACACAATTGTATGGTGAATCACTCTACAATATAAAATTTATTTTTAATTATTTCCTCCCAAACATTCCTTGGATTAGCTTCCTATGCCAAAGCTACAATGGATTACTATTCTGCTAAATAATATGATATATTATATAAAAAGTCATCCATGTAAGTGTGAACCACCACCTTCCATTGACTTGTGCAAACTACAAACCAATAGCATTCTAGAAAAAATAAAAAAAACTTTTGGGATTTAGTGTATAGTTGTGGAAGAAAAAATCATAACGATAGTTTTAACAAGTTAAATGTGAAAAAATATGGGACATTTTAAATCTAATAAAAGAATCATGAAAATTATTATCTCATTAATTGACATAAAGAATTGTCATAATTTCAAATGGCTGATCTTGATAAATACTCTATAGAACCAAGATAAGACTGAAGGGCAAGTTACAACATAGAAACAAGGAAGGCTCAAAACTTGTCACCAAAGTAGGCCAAACATTTAATAGCATGGAGCACAAACATATGTTCCGAAATGCATTGAAGACAAAAAACCAATCTAATAGGCTATAAACATGCTTGATTCCTATTTTTTTGTTGCTTCATTCTACCTTTTAGGGAGGAATAACTAATTTTGCCCTTATCAACGTTTTTCATGAAAATATAATGCAAAAGTTCTCTTTCATCACTAGTTTTCTATAAATATTCAAAAATAAGGCTAAAATAATGTCCTTATTAAATTTCTGAAAAGTGAAAATTATCATTTTAACTTTGAGCTATGTTATTCATTCAAAATTAAAAACTCTTTATTTATCCTAAAAAAATGATAAAAAATACACATCCTTATAGAACAATTGATAGAAATATTTTTTGATAATTTATCATTCCTAACATGGTTTTGATTTCACTTTAACAAAATCTAGAATCAAGATATTGACAACTTCATTAAATAAAATAAAAGTTAGCAATTGTTTAAAAATAGTTCATCTTTACTTTTATGCTTCAAAACTATTGTCAATATTTCTTTAACTTAGATGGAAAATTACATATAATTTATTTAAATTAAAAAAGACATGTTTTTCCTAAGAAATAAATTTAATATATAGTTATGTACATAAGGTAGTAGTTATATTGAAGATATCAAGATTCGGGCTTGAATTCACTAAACACAAACTTTGAAGAATAAACTAACTTCTAAATCCATAAAAATAGAGACTTCAACCCTTAAATTTGCAAGATTAATGGGGGACCCTTGAATCCACAAGGGGCACTTGAATCCATAAGTAGAAAGTAGGGAAGCTCACATGAGAAAAAAAACTGATTATCCTTTAAAAATGTCTTTCTTACTTTACAATAGGAGCCTTTATTTAGGCCTTAAAAGGAGGTGTGGTTACCCCAAAATGAGGATCTTGAACAAATCTTATGGAACCTCATAAAGAGAAAAACTTATTATACTTCAAAAGTGTCTTCCTCAAGTTATAATAAAGGCTTTTATTTAAGCCTAAAAAAGAAGTGTGGTGCTCCCTAAAGAAGGATCCTAAACAGATCTTGAGGACATGCTTTAACTAACTTTAAAATAGACTTTGACAAACTAAGATCTTGAACACATCATGGCGATAAACTCTGAAGAACATTTAAAATACCTTCTCTAAGAAAGAGATAGAAAGTAAACTTACATAAAATAGCTTTACTAACATAACTTTTCATGCTTTCGTTACGCCTAATAGTTAATTGAATCCTCTTTTAATATTCTTCTCTTGGCGGCCCAATTTCAATGTGATTGGGCATCTAGTTTTGGCCTCTTCTTCACTTTCCAAGTTCTAGGCTACATCAATACATCTCTATATTGTTCTCCTTTTAAAAGTCTCAAGAATTTTTATACTTGTTTAAGAAAACCTATTTCTGAAATTGAGGTACACATTTTAACTTGATAAGATGTATTTCTGGTTATGTTTTTTATTTATTGTGCCATCTTAGAAAAGTAAATAAATTAAGCAAGTTTATCCAATCCATGGTATTTTTAACCTTAACACTGACCTTTTTATTGTCCATTGAATGTAGACTAAATTTCTTGAGTTAAACATTATATTTAGTCTTTAACTTTCAATTGCTTGCAAAATAGATGTGCTTTTTTATTATGTCAAGATAAGGTTAAAGTAATTAGTCAAATGATATTTTTTAATGAGTAAATATATTCAAGTTATAATCAATGGAGATTAGGTTCATGTCCTTCATTACATGGCCAATATTTTTTATGTATAATATAAAATATGGTCTGCTTTAAAAAAAATTCAATGATCCAATATATTTCCATGTTTATATTTTATATCTATTGACTCTATTAAAGAAAATGAGAAACCAAGAGTGGGGGTGACTTGATATTTACATGATAGCTGCTAATTTTCTAATAATTTTCACAATTCTACTCACATAATTTCTAGTGGTTTTGTTCACCTCACCCACTCCACCATTTTGATGTGTCACTAATACTTAGTGACCTACACTACTACAAAGGTTTCTGAAGGACTAGAATTAGCATGATTCACAGCTCAAGCTGTTCTCATCAAAATTCTTGTATATATTCACTTCTTTTTTTTTGTAGCCCACAAATCAATTCTTGATTCACAACTCTAGGTTAGCCAAAAAAAGATTAGTATGATTGGAAAGCATATTCATTACTTTAAAATTGAATTATCATTAAGAATTGATCTAAAAATCATTGGCTTTGGGACCTTAGTACAAAGGTTTCTAGAATTAATAGTTTCAGCCAACTCAAGCAATTATCATCAAAATTCTTGTATATGTTCACTTCTTTAGTTTTGTAGCCCACAAATCAATTCTTGATTCACAACTCTAGGTTAGTCAAAAAAGGATTAGCATGATTGGAAGCACATTCATTACTTTAAAATTGAATTATCATTAAGAATTGATCTAGAAATCATTGGCTTTGGGACCTTAGTACAATTGAACTATATTACTTAATGAACTAAATATTTCCTAATAAAAATGTCTGAAACCAAAGCAAATGTATTCAAAGGAAAAATTGTCCATATACATCTTATAATGGTTAAATAAGTTTTTACAATATTAACTGATATTTTTGAAAATTAATTTGAATTGCCAATTTATTTGAAAATGGCCTAATTTTCATTCATAAAAGAACGTTTAATGGCAAAAATACATAATATAAAGAGTGAACATTTGCCAATATTAGTCAAAAGTAAGAGAGGAAGAAAAGAGGAGAGTATGAGCCACAACATTTACATACAACCTACAAGGAGTTTACAAGTCCTCATTATAAGAACTATTTCTCCAAATATTCAGAAAATTTAGGCTGAAATGTGTATGAATGCCAAGTCGTTTGCATTATGTATTAAACCAGAATAACTATTACCCTAATAACTTATTATTTTTTCAACATCAAAATATCATTGAAACATGTGTTAGTAGATACATGATTATTTCTAGTAAAATGATAATTTTATAATTTTCTGACTTAGCACTTATGGATATTAAAATTTTCTCTTCTTTAGTACTATGAATATTTTAATTTTTTGTTAATGGTATTAGACATATTGTTTGTTCATTCATTAGCAAGTACTCCAATGAATTGTAGTACTTCAAAGAGATAAATGATTACAAATATAAATATTAAAATGAAATTTATGCTATTAGCCTTACAAGACATCTTTTCATTCCAAACTGCATTCATATTAGAAATTTTCACCATCAAAACCTACTTTTCCAATTTACCTATAGTTAACTAGTCATGAAATAGTGAATCCTAATTCATAAGCCATTCACTAATAGTTGGAGCTGCTAGATTGAGACATTGTTGTCTGAACCTATTTGAGTGATGTTTTTGTAGTTTAGGTAAAAATGACCCTCACCAAAGTCAAGATTGGCTATAGCATGTATTCCTATATCTTGAATAGAACATAGAAAAGCCACATCTCCTTACACCTAGAGGTACATCTTAATTCATGCTTTTGCACCATATTCACATAAGAATATCAAGCAAGACTATTAGGGCAAGATATTTCATATATATTGATATATTAAAAACTTAAGCACATTTTTCTGTAAAGAGTTTTTCTAGTTAACTTAGAAAAACAAATGATTCCCATAACATGGTTGAAAATCATCTACCCTTTTCTTATAAGCCTAAGTTTTACTTCAAGAATTAGAAAATTTTATATCGTAAAAAAATATTATTAAAGAATATTTGAAATTAAAATAATGAATTAAACAAATAACTTTATGCAGTAGGATGGATAATGGTTGCATGAATATTTTATATCGACCAAAATTGAATGTTGGATTGCACATTAAGGGGCATGCTAAAAATGATGTTATTATGTGTGACAAAATTAAGACTTCGTTTACAAATAAGAGTCAGACCCCATTTAATGGCAATTAGTGAGTTGAATGGCCGAAACTTCATCACCAAGGATCATCACATCACACAAAGCTACAAGGTGACGCTTGGAGAAAATGTAATGTCATCGTCATCACTAAACTATACACTAATAGATGATATTTAGCAAGGTCACTATACTAATAATACATGAGATGTAAACGTCACACAACAGTCCAACATTATTGTTGAGCATATGAAACTTAGGGCTCTCTAAAGCCCACAAAAAAGATGATTTTGTTACATATCTTCTTGAATCTCATTTATTTGAAAAATATTTGATACTTTTTATGGCAGGGCAAACTCAACAAAACACCAAAGTCAAGTGATATCCAGGATTGAGGGATTCATAGGAAAAGAACAAAGCAATCAATAATCTGATTTATTTGAACTGTGGTAGATGCAAAATAACTCAAAGAATAGAATATGATGGGTTTACCACAACTTTCCAATGGTCCTTGAGCAGAGGCTATTAACAAATAGAAGAATGGAAAATTAGTGAAACGTCCAACAAGTAACCCAGGGAAAATGACAACCTTGGGAAGAGAGTGGATATGTAGCCTTGACATCATTTTTTGCCTGCCCTTGAACGTAGTTCTCCACTGAAGCCTACACAGCCAACAGACTAAATGCCCGGTGGCTGTGGTAGAGTTGACTTGGTTGTATAAAGGAGGCTATAACTTGAGTCCTGTGTGTATTGCGACCACGCCACCAACCAGGTTTTCATACTCAACCTTCTGAAAACCAGCCTCCGCAATCATTCTAGCAAACTTTTCCTGCATACCCAAAAGACCAGGAGACATGAGGGAGGAGCCAGATGTCAGCTGAGGAGTAAATCATTACTTGAGCAGTGCATTTGATCTGCTATCTACCTTGTGATTGATGAAGATGAAAATATTTATGATTTTAATCTAGATAAAAGCATTGTGGATAGTTACACCTTCGATACAAATCTATTAGAGAATATATGATACAATGACTTTCTCATAGTATCGGGCTAAACTTTCTGCTGTAAATGTGAGGTCTGGGATTGCTACTTCTCTGCATAGGGAGTTCATAGTTATTCATCAGCTCATCCTCATCAACTGTTCTAACAAATGCAAGTGCATAACTATCCAATTTGTGTCCGAACGACTCTCGACAGTTTGAAACTACCCTCGATAGAACCAAAACAACGATAAAAACAACATCAATAAAATGGTACTCTGCATTATTTCATATTTCATTAGTTTTTGATAGTTTAAGATAAGTACAAGATAGCTAATTGGGATAAAGTAAAAGCAAGAAAATAATTATACTTCGAAATCCTTTGTTAGAATGTTTTTTTACTCTGACAGAGATAGTAAGTTATTCGAAGAATCTGGAAGAAAAATATATAAAATTGCTGCACCGAATATTTTAGAGTTCCCATCAAAAGAAAAAGGCATTTTTTATATATAAAAAATATATTTTCATTGATGTTCCAATTATAAGTACATCATTGGAACCAAGAGGTTAAGCATATGGGTTTGTGAGGTATAATTGACCATCTGATATCTCATTTCCTCGGCAGTTTTATTTTTATTTATTCACGAAAGCAGTAGCAAGTAGAGATGACAGCCAAGAATGAACTTTGTTACTCTTTGCATGAGTCAAACTCTACCTAGGAATCAAGTTGACAAACGCGGCCATCCTTAAAACTAACTTTCTCTGATCCAATTGCTTTCGAATTCTTCTTGATAACTAAATATCAATGCTAAAACATATAGGACTGATAGTCAAAACACAAGCCTAGTCTTACAAGAGGATACTAGAAAATTTTAATGTGAAAAATCAAAGAAATTTAATGACAACACAAAGTGGATTGATAGATAAGGCCTGGTGTTTATATAACCAAACACAAATTTAGTGAAAGACCTGAAAAAGACTCTGAAGCGAGAAATCAAATTAGATCATTGTGGAATTGTGCCAATTCCCATGACATCTAAAATAATATAATGATATTCAGAGCTCATCATAAAAACGAAAATTAAGCATGTTTATACTAATCTATAAATATGTAGATATAATTTATAGGAAATATAACTCACTTGTTTAGGAAACTGACGGATGCTCTCAACTAAATACTGGTAAGAGTCTCGATCCCCTGCCACTACTTCCCCCATTGCTGGGATGACTGAAAACGAGTAGTAGTCGTAGCTGGAGATTTAAACAGAATATCAATATAACGATGAGAAAATAATTAATACGTGTAATCATGGTGACAAACAAGAAAGTAGTTTATGAAACACAGGATTAAAGATGTTAAAAAGAGATTCGGTTCAATTTTTTTGTCACAGGTTTCAACATTTTACCAGACTCAAAAGAACAGTCAAGAGACAAGTTTCTTCTCACGTTAATGTTGTATTAAGTTTTATGAAACAAGATGCAGCTCTTCTATCAGGCAATAACCAAAAGCCTAAAGCGATGAGCTCTGGTATGGATGTTTGAAATTAGACAGCAAGGAAGTTCATATCTACTCCAATTATTTCTGTTTACCTCAGCATAAGCTAAATAAAGTAATCCGAACAAAGTTCAGAATACATGGATTTCAAAACCAATATGTCTGACGACTTGGACTCGAATGTCAACACATAAAATACTGGTCCATCATCCAACTATTGCAATGGTGATCAATATGGTATGTATGCGAAAAAAATATGGGAACATTCAAGTCATCATACATTCGAATATGTAAAGAGGAAGGACTAATACTTCAAGGCCGAGCAGTATCATGATACATTACATTTGTTTAAAAAGAGGAGTATCCACATGACTCAGCTCCATACATAGAAATCTGCCTCCTCTTTTCAGCACCCTGAAAGAAAGGAACCTTGCCATCACATATTGTCCATATTTTGAAAGGTGGCAAACGAAAAATGATAACATGCCCATTCCTAAAACCCATTCCTTCCGTTTGGAGTTTTCTCGAGCATGCAAGTTATAGGTTTTCGGATTATCATGCCCGGTTCTTACATCACAGATACCAATTACAGATATTCACCCAGTGGACAAACAAGGACGCGTTAAATGTATCTGTGATGATTACCTGTAAGCTTCATCAAGCGCCCTCTCTATATGTGTCACATTTCTGATTCCAAATGCAATGGTATACCCATCCATTGAACTTTCCTCAAAAGTCAATGCCTCTGCATCTCCCTCGACCCATTGGAGACAACGACTATCAAGCACTGCAATAAGATGATATCACATGTTTGGCTAGAACAACCCATGAAGATGTGAACCAGTGAACCAGTAAAAATGCAAATATAAATATTTGATATACTTTTATCAGCAGCACGCTTCTTCCCAACAGCCAACATGTTTGGGTTGATATCTAACACATATATTTTGGTGTCATCTTCTCCCTCAGCTTGACCGTTCTGCAGAGCTCGATGGGAGACACCATTTATATTGTCTAGAATACGGAAAGCAATGTCTCCTGAAAATTAAAAATGCCAGAAAAAAAGAACGGACGCCACGTTCATTAGATTTTATACGGCAGTGGTCAAGCAAAGTATTCAGAACAATATTTAAAACAATAAAAAACTCTCCACACATAAAATTCCCGGTTTGAAATCCTCATAAAATGATGTAGGTAATATTCCCGGTGTGAAATCCTCATAAAACGTTGGCCTGCTATGAACACAACAGTGAATGTAATCTTTGATATTCCATTTCCCGGAGATCAGAAAATCAAGGCACTATGTAGCACCGATGATTCACACAATCAGTGATGAACATCAGCAGGACAAAATGGAACCGGATTCCGAGACAGAAATTCTGTTGATTACCATTTTGAAAGATGATTCACACAATCTGTTTCATTAACACGACGAATTTTATGTACATCTGTGGGTTTTGAAATATATTAATTTAATTCCTCTCTTTAGTTAACGAAGTCCAGAACTATTCCCATCATCATCCAGATTTTAGTTAACAATATAAAAAAAACATTATTGCTACTGTGGTTGCATAAAAATGAAACCTAAACCTCAAATACCAAGCCAGGTTCCCCCATTGAAAGCTTCTTGAAATCATAAATTGTGCACTTGGCATTTTTGTGAATTTCAAACGTCAATCAACACCCCAGAAAGCAGATGGTGCACAAGGAACCAAATACAGCAATGAAACTCAACAAGTGTCAATCTCAGAAAAAGAACTAAATCAAGGCTCTTTGTCATGGACTAAGAATCAAACTAAATACCCCCTATAATTATAAATCACAATCTTACAATGATGTCTCTTTCCTAACAACATAGAATCAGCCAGTGGAACACCAGAGGATAAAAGGGTACATTTGGATAGAAACAAAATGGAAATTGTATCAGGAAAGGACAAGTTTGAACTTATATCCAGGATGCTAGACAATCTTGCACGAAATTACCGTCTAAAATTTTTATAAATGTATGAATGCCAATCGTGGCCATATATGAAACTCTATTTAAAATATTTACATTTGGAAATATTTACATGAAGATGTAAATGTTGAAACTTCTAAATGTTATGGCTAACAATGAAAAAAGTTTAATAAATATAATCATCAAATATTTACATGTTGAATTCAAAAAATATACCCGCTATTACCCTAGATGTGGTAGAAATGCAAAGCGGAGAAGAGCACAGAAAAATCCGTAAATATACATTTCTCAGAATGCTAAACCTGGCCTGATATTCTGGCCACTTTTATTGAAAGTTGTTTAAACAAAATGGCTACGGGAGATTACCAGTTCCACCTGCCACATCAAGATGATTCATTCCAGGAAAGGGATGCAGTTTGGAAACCAACCTGCAATGTTCAAGTATCAAGCGATTGAACTAACAAAAGAAACTGAATTGATATCATTGTTTCGATTTTGATTAACCTGTCCTTCCATAATCTGTGCAATCCACCACTCATCATATCATTCATAAGATCATAGCTTGGAGCAACTTTGGTGAATACATTACCCACCAATTTGGCTTTTTCTTCTTCATTCACTTCTTTGAACCCTATCAGATAACCATAATGTGTGAATCCTTAAACAGAGAACAAAAATAGAGGAGCGATTACAATGAATTACATATACTTGATTAAACAGGTCTTCTCTATGGAGATATTAAGTTCAGAGGGCAAATGTATCATCCAAGAAGTGTAACGCATTACTTCCATTGTTAATAGAAAACGCGATTGCATCATGATACATGAATTTCAAGAAATTTAATCATACATGTGATGAAATAAATAAGCAGCCATAACCTTGAAAAGGAACTAAGGATGTAGCTTTTCGACAGCCTGACCTCTCCTAAATAACTAGCATATGAACCACTACACAAGACAATGCCAGTAGAAAATATTGATCAAGAACCAAGAAAATGATGAATAATGACGGATGTTCCTCATCCAAGTCTATCATATTGTCTACTTGATGGGGGTGTGAATGGCCTCTGTTCCCTATTACACATTGATCTCTAAAGACTGTCAGAAAGGCATGGATAGAACACCGTCCCAAACAGTTATAGGAACACAAGGAAAAGGATAATCTTTTGTAAATTGAACAACAGATTATTCAAGTAAAACTCAAATTCATGTTAGCATATTGATTGTCGATTGCAAGTCCAATTGCGCATTTCCTTTTGCTTGAGCGACCAAAGCAGACATCTCATTATTTTTACAAGTGAAGTTAGCTCAAGATAAGTGTTATGTAAAATACGTGATGTCACTCTGTGACTTAATTAATAAGATAGGCTTAGAGACATAAGGACCAACGAGAAAGAATAATAAAAGTCGCAACGTATTGGACGTTGAAAGGATAGAGCTATAATTTTATTCAATATATTTAACAGGTTTCCATTGATACTCCTGCGCGTGACCCAGTCATACCTGGTAACTATGCTCAGATTTGAGCTGATATTGTCATCAGAACAATGTTGGCCATGGCTATCGGTTGGTGTCCTCATTTTCTGTCTCACATTCTAAATGGCAGCTATAAGAGCCTAAAATCACAGAGCCCCAACCCAGGTTTTAATTCACTTTGAAGATATGGTTAAGTAAATAGTAAAATTATATAACACTTATTATCTGTCTGATTGTCCATAACATAGAAGAAATCATATTTCCATTCATTTCTCGAAATCATAACTTTTTGAAGGCCCGAAAAGAGAACAAGACACCAAAGCCATGTAGAAAGATACAAAACAAATTTTCAATGGCAACATTAGAAGGAGCAGGGACAAGTCTCCACAATCCATTTATTTAGCATAATACTAAGCACATTCATTTTCCCCGAATTTTTAAGTACTGCAAATAAATTAGATCTTGGATATGAGTGAACCATCTTTATCATTTTACAGAAAACATTCCTTCCCCCAAAACACCATACCCAATGAAACGAACGAGATTGTCTAGAGAAAAAGACCAAGGACATTTATGAAGTGGTGGAGAAATTGGAATTCACTACGCAATTCTGGGGCCTTCAGTGAAAGAACAAACATCAAAATATAGGCGAGAAGGGTGCAAAAGAATAGGATCATAGCCTATCCTAGCTTCCTTGACACGAAAACTCATGCAAGGATGAGAACACGTCACCTGCCATAAAAGACATGATGCCGCCGCAAAAATACAGAAGCGGCATTCCCTCTTCATGGAAGAACAAGATACGGCACTAAGAAAAACTTTCCAAAGCTAACCGCAGTTCTGTCGGTTTAGAAGCCGATGAAGGAGGAAAAACCACAGTCACAATTGAAAGGCGAGAAAGAAGAGAAAAGAACGGGAGTTCGAAATAGGTACCGAAGCTTGTGGCATGGGAGTGAACCAGAGAGAAAGGGGGGGACGGGTAGCAGGGCTCCTGGACCATGGAAGCGCCTAGGATGCCCCTGAGTTTTCTGTACGCACCGCCCCCTCCGAAGGCCGCCACCTTTCGCAGCTCGGCCATCGCCGCCATCGCCATTAGCGATGCCCACGAGCTGCCCGGTGATCGCCGCTCTTCGGCCTGTCCAGCTCTCCCTTGCCGGCTATCGTCGAAGAACACCGACTCAACGGACGGCCCAAACTCGGGTCTTTAGTGCCCCGGCCCAACGTCAACGTTTTCCGGTCAGGCCCGCAGGCCCAGATCCCTTTCTTGCGTTGACCAACAACACATCAGCAGCCCAAATGGTATGGCTGACGCGGCCGTCTGCTTTTCCCACACCGACGAAAATAAAAGTTGACCGCTGGTATTTTAAGTCAACATTGAAAGAGGTCATAATACGGAAATTGTGACCGGGAGGTCGAAAGCATGAGAAGATTAACTTTGGAACACCAAAATATTTGATTTTAGTTCTAATAAATCATTTGGATAATTACTGTACTCCTCTCTTTTTTCTCTCTCTACCATTTGAATAAATACAGTTGAGGTTTTTTTTTTTATTTGACTGTTTTTTAAAAAATGACGAAATGGCTACCCTTCAAATTTTCTTCTAGAAATTGTTATATTTTCTTCTTCTCTCTCTCTCTCTCTCTCTCTCTCAATAGAGGGAGTAGCTTGTCCCCTTTATAAAGAAGGGATGAAATTATTATTCAAATCGTTATAGGCATATTCTGCATTTTTGTCAGAAAAATGTTTGTGGGGACCTGTGAAAGGTCAAGATGAAGAGAAATACCTGCGAGAAAGGAAATGCTGGGCAAAGGGGGCCTTCACTCTCCGCCAGTCTTTCCTAAAAATGTTGGCTTTACACCGCCTGATGTGCTAAGATGACTTTGATATTGATAAATCATGTATATATATATAATTATCTTATCAAATGGTAAGATGGTTTTCAAGTTTTTCAGAAGATTTCTATTCCTATATTTTTCACACATTCTAAGATCAAGTATAAGCTTGAGATCACAGAGAAGGATTTGGAGTTTTGACCCATGAAGCTACCTCATTCCTTCAATGAACAGAAGACTAAACTAAAATTTCATGGTTGTACTGCATTATTGCTAAACATTCATTATTATACAGGAGGAGTTCATAATCACTGAACCTAAATATATTTCCACTTGGGGGCATGTTTTCTCTTCCATGGTTGGCAAACCCACCTGTAATCTGTCGTCAATGCATTCATATCAAGCTTGTACTCGATCATTTCTAGAAAATGGAAGGGTGTCTGTAGCATAAACTGTTCATAAGAGTGAGTGCCTTCACTAGGATACTAAACAGGGCAAGTTCTCTTATTTCCGGTTTTCAGGTTATGGGTAATGCAGGTACTTCTTCCTGCTCAATAATAATCCATTCCCCTTCAGAACCCAGATTCTTCTCAAGCCTTTCCTTGCTTGGATACATTTCAATGGAACTCGCAATTAGCAGGATAAGTATACTGAAGTTATTTTCCATAACCTTATAAACATAAAGCACTCTCAGAAAAAAAAAAAATTGTATATGAGGAAACCAGAAGTGAAGCATATATCACTCGTAATAGCTTGTGTTAGTCTAACAATCATGCAATCAAATTGGTAATATTCCAAGGAAGAAGAACAGATGATATGAACAGGCACGTCTCCTGGCATACCCAGGCTCCTACAAGGAGGGGTAGCCCTTAGCTTCCCCACGGCCAAAGGGGCCTATTCATCTGACGTATACATGACCCTAGTTTTGACGGTCATAACTGCTGGATGGCCTCAACCTGACTGTGTACATGGCAAATGGCCCAGCCTCTATCAACGTTCTGTAACAGGCTGGGTCCTCTCCCATTGCGTCTCTAGATGTGTTTCTATTTCATTCTGGGGACGTCTCAGATGGAAAAATGTGGAGTTCTGGAGGGTCTACAAAAGGGAAGAAGTAGAATTAGCACAGAAATGTTTAAGCAAACACCTTTAAACAATGCACATGCCTGGTAAAAAAATTAGAAACTTTACCTGAAATGGTTCATCGTGCGATTGTTATTTCTAGACACCATATCTGCGTAGAATCTGGTTTAAGGAGGGCATTACGTTGTATGCCTGATATGATCTTCTAAGCTCAATAATGGAACCGACCTGAGGAAACAGAGAAATCAGTTTTCTGACATTTGCTTCAACAGAGAAATGGTAATAAAGTAGTCCATTACGATCGCACAAATATGGATGTGATGATGAGATTACTCCAGCGAAAAATGATCTACAGTGAGAATGATTAGTAAAGCAAAGAAGAGAGATACTCCAGTTGCTGACGGAAACACTTCTTATGTGCTACTACTTGACCGTCAATATGGAGATTGAGAAATCTGTAATTGGATAAGTCAATTCACTCTGCGGGATGATATTAGCAGAGCAATAGTGGTTCCCCACACGAACTAAATATAACTGCATGCCTCTGAGCTCTTATACCCATCCTCTAGCAATTATTCATAAAAATTAGGCTTTTGATATCTGGGGTGTATTCCCCTAAGGTACTAATAAACACCTATCTCCTACTTAGTATATTGATTATTTCATCCAGTCGAGGATTCAATAGAAGCAACTGCAACTTCGGTCTCCACAAAGAGGTTTTTGGTAACATAATTAAGGAGGAAGGCTTGGAGAGGGAGATCTCTGGCTCTTAATTTTCCCCAACTTCTTGAGCAGACACCATGACTAAAAACAGATGACGAGAAGAAATCTCACTGCGTGCTATAATGAGGCCAAGACTCTTCATCACGAATCTGAAACCTCAAACATTACACATGTAGAACCATGAACATTATTTACGTGGTATAGGCAAGTAAAATAAAAAACAGCTTGAACTTATTGAACTTACAATGATCAGTACTGATGTAAAGCCCACAGAAAATCCTTGGTTGATTTTTCGCAAGTGATAATCAAGCAAGATAGATGAAGTGGCTAGAATACTCAGCAGCAGTCCTCCTGAAATTTTTAGAGAGAAGATAACAAAATTTTGAGATGCAACATCAGGAGTAAAAACGGGAGAATGGAGACAATTGCAATCCTCTTATTCAAAGGAATGGGAGATATGGAAACTATATACAACTAGATAGACCAACATGTGCTTTATTCTAATCTCTGAAGAAAGAGCATACCCCAGAAACGTGTGGAAGCTTGGACCTTTCTCAGATGCTCAATTGTTGCCTTGCCGGGTTTTATGTTTGGTATCCTGGCACCCATTTTCGTCAAGTAATCTGAAATCTCCTTGGGGAGGTTTGCCTGAAAAACGAAGACCGTGATAAATGTTGAGTTCCAATATTAAAAAATGTGATAATATGAAGTAAATAAACCTATAGCGGTTTCCTGACTACTATTCATTAATCCTTTCACAGTTTTAGAGAAGACTAATCTTCACGAAAATCATAAAAATAATTCAACCCGTTTGAAAATCCAATGTGCAGGGAATTTTTTCTTAGAGGAAAGAAACTACTTTGATCTAAACCCTATTATAGTGGATAAGGGACATGCAATAGAAATTAGTGAGAAGCCCGTCGTTCTAGTTACCAGTGCTCCCCAAACAGTAGGTGCAGGACAATTGTTGGAGAACATGAGGACAACTCTACACCCTCCAGCCCAGTTCTACCGATTATAAGACATAAAAGTGGAAAAAGAATATGCAAAATAATAGGCAGCGTCAAGTGTCAGATGATCAGTTGATAGTCAATATATCCACCTAGTGGTTGCTGTAGGCTTCGGTGAACAGCAGGCTCATGTGTAGACGTTTAAACAGCTCATAGGTCATTATTGGCATGGATCTCAGGGTTAAAGTGGAATAAGGACTAGTGCAGAGTCTCTATTGAATGCTCAAAGCCAGGGAACTTCATTGTTTATCTCCAAATCACTTGCTTAAGTCCCAAAACATTATTTACAAAACGCTTTCACAAACTAATAAACACATTACCCGAATCTGCTGTCTAGACTAGCTGGTTGACAAACCTTTTTTTTCTGTTTTTGATAAGATTAGAGGTTTTATATAATAAGGAACGTTGCACTTGTAAAGTGGATTTTAAAAATATTGTTCTTAAGGGTGGAAGGAGAAGGGAATGGGTTGAGGGGGACATCACCCACTAAGTGTTCACTCTCTTCCCTGTTTCATAGTTACTAGCACCACAAAATTAGGTACTAGCTGTTATCATACTCTTTGCTTTTCGAAGTGGGTGATGCAACATTATGCATTAAATACAAAAAGAGAGCTTATATATAGCAACTCATCAGTGAATTTACAGAAAAGGAAATGCATAGTGTGTACCAACATAGTACACACCAAACAAAGAGCCCAAAGGCACACTCTTACTTTCGATCAAAAGAAAAAGTGTCTTCACAAAAAAGCTTTCACAACCAAAAATCCTGCTGTTCCTTTCATTCTAAGCGGTAAAAAGGATAGCAAGCCATTAGAAGTAGTCATTGGTGATGCCAGCTACTCCACAACCGCTCTGCAGCTCCCATTGAATGCCTAGTTTGTACAGAGGAGTAAGCCGAAACTCTGATGAAAATGAGTTTCCCAGAGATAGAACTAAAGACTCATCTTCCATTTGTAGAGCGCAAGCCAAATCAAAAGGGAGTAATCTCCCATGCGAAAGCCTCCACGTCAAGGTTGCCACATTCTAGGAACAACCTTATCACAATTGAGAAGAGGCCTATGGTACCTTATCCTAGATCTAAACTGAGACGATAGCCAGATTAGACAATCATCTGCCTCTATATCATGTGTTGATCTCTTCATAAGAAAACTGAGTGCAATTTCAAGTAGAAAAATTCCTGCTTCTATCAAAATTCTTCTGAATCACGTGAAGAAACCTCTTCTTTTCATTGTCAATAGTTAATCTCCAACTTATTTGTAGATTTGAAATTCGATTACTGATTTTATGAGTGAATTGTAAGCAGTTCACCTATACATTTCCAGCCGGTCCTCTTTATCCCACTCAAAATCTCCAACTTTTCTTTATAAGTTCTGCTTAAGATTAAGTATGTCTGACATGCGTAGAGGAACTTTAGTACGAGAAAATACAATGTTTTAGGCAAAGGGAAGTAGAAAATTCATGGAAATTAGTTTAATATGAAGCTTATTTGATTTTTCTTTTGTTCAAACTGGATGCTACCACATAAACGAAAAAAAAAGAGGAATATAGTACATGACCAGTGAACTTAAAAGAAATAAAACGGTCTATGCATTCACACGGTCTACACCAATGCAGATGCAGGCCATGCTAAGATCCAAACTTCCTAAAGATCAAACACTAAAGTCCTTCCTTATTACGAAAACCCAAGGCCCTCCCTCTCGCACTCATGTATATAGAAATGCCTACCCTCTCGAACAACAACTTTTGTGCCAAAAACATGTGTTTCTGCAGCAACAACATCTGATGTTGTATGCACATAACCTCAAAGCTTACACCCCGAAGAATATGGTAATAACTACCCCGCCCCCTCTCCTTTTTTAATGTCCAACTATGGCATTAACAAGTCCCTTGTAAGAATCCTAAACCTTAAATGTTGAGTGCAGTAAGCACTTGTCTAACAAATAAATCATCATTAAGCTACTGAATGTGTAGATAATTAGACTACTAGAATTCAAGTAACGTTTAAGAGTGGATTACCTATGGACAACATCAAGTATATATTAATTTGTTAAAACACAATTTTAAAGACAATGGCCCTATCAAACGTCTTTCCTAATATTTTGCACAGTGAGATTTTCTATGTAACCATTAATCTCTGGATTTTCTACCAAGCACAGAACTCATTGTAAATTCCTAGTCACCTGCAAATTTCTTTAAAGTAGCATAAATGGAATCAGCATTAGATTAGATGAAAAAAAAAAGTATGCAACAGTAGGTTTCATGTAAGTTCTTAAAGGAATAGCTGCTGCCACGGTTATCAAACTACACAGAGAAGATAGATACTTACAATGTCAAAAATGTTGAAGAGAAAGACAAAAAACGCATAAATTGCATAAAAGACCCATGGCTCTGCACCAAGGGAAGTCTCTGGGTTCAGTATGTCCTTGATCTTTTCCCAGAATCTTGAACCAAGGATACTGCCAAAGAAAGTATCCTCATTAAAAGATCAAAGCATATACAACAAACTTCCAGTGGAAGAAGAGCACAGCCCTAAACAAAAACCAAGCATAAATGCAAGCAGCTTGTAATGGGAGAATGGTGCGGCCATAATTACCTCGCTAGAATGCTAGGAAATGCCAACAAATACGTAGTAGTAAGGACAGGTTGCATGCCAGTGGGATTGATGTTGAAGGGTATATAGGGCTCCACTTCAGTAACAGGAGACCGACTCCTACATATTAACAAAATAATACGACAGTCTTAGTACCACCATAATGCATTCACAAAGAATAAAATGAGTCCAAACTAAAATCACTTTGAAACTAAAATGAATAAGCTATTCTGATATTCCTAAAGACCAACTGATACCACATCGTTAAAGCTTTAGACCAAGCAAACTGTATGAAAGATAGCATAACAATACACGTAACATGCATTCGTATACACATTTACCACTACTGATGAACAGACCCATACCAAATAGATGGTATGCCAAAAACTAGGGGCACCCACGAGTAAGAAAAGTATAAAGAGGCAGTTAAGACTAGCCTTAACTTAAGATAATGGACGAATTCCACAACATCGTATGGTATTTTTGTCGCACGATGTCGAATGCATTGACTCTATAGCTCCTTCAACTAAGGGACTCTATAACCTGATCGCGATTGGCCCAGTTGTGCATCCTTGCCTGCATTCATTCATCAGCTTTTGGGAACCCATTGAGACCGGTCAGTATAATATTCTGAACCCAATTCTGTTTTTCTAGGCTCCACCAGATTTTGCAATTGACACTGCCAACGAAAGGGGACCCTAATTGAAGACTGCTCGGAATATATACTAGACAGTCTACTACTCTTGATGATCCAAAACCATCTCCATCTAACAGTTGTCATTGCTACGACTCTCAACTCATCTCAACTCATTACTGATTATCCTCAGACAAAAATTCAAGATTTTCTATTCGCTCCTGTATTCTTTTCAAGATTTCTTTCCTCATCTTTTTTCCCCAGATCACAGCATGACTCAATCATTTGGTTCTACATATCATATTATGCTTTCTTTTGAGTACAGAAAGCTGTTTCCTATGTCTGTCATGCTCTTATTAGGTGTTCCTGTAAGTATAGAGACTTCTATTGGCTATCCTGTATTCTCGAATATTATTTATTTTTCACGTTATTTATATCTTATCTGAATCAAAAAAAAAAATATTTTCCTTATACCACGAATGATCCTACTATTGTTATCTCCCTCCTATTATGAATGCTCTTCTGTTTCCCATCTTTGCATTTCCCACTTTATTCATCGTCTATCTCATAATCATCTATTGAGATTACCACTTCTCCACTTGTTCCGCCTATTTTTCTTGTTGAGTTTACCTCAATTTGCACTGCTGTGTTCAGTTGCCTCGTACCCTTTCACACTCCTATTCTCCAAAGCTTCAAAACGTTTCCCTAGTCATCCATACTGATCAAGAGTCTTAAACCTATTGTTATCTGATAAAGCACAATAGATGGCAAAACCTTCTGTAAGAGTTTCAAATTCAGTAAACTAACGGTTGGGACATTGTTCTACTTCCTCATGGCAAAATTTGTCGCAGTTACGAGTGAAAATACAAGACCGAAACCAAATTTACAGAAATTGAACATTAAACCTTCGAATGGCTGATAGTCTCATTCAAGATGACAGATAGATCATAAGGAAGCATTTGCTTCTTTGAAAAAACTTATGTATGCACTTTGGATGGATTTAAAATGCCTATGCGCGGGTCTCCTATTAACTGACTATGATTCTCATTTTTTCATACCTTTGTAGCACTCTATCATGCTCAATACATATGTTTATCACCTCTTTACCTGAGTTGCAAGTATTTTCTGATGCTGATGGGTTGGAAATCCTACCTCTTTCATATTCGCTCCTGTAAGCCCATCTCATTCCATGGTGAGATGGGCTTCTAAATCTTTTTTAGAAATTGTGGTTTCCACGAGAAGGTGCGAGGACTGTCTAATGGAAGTTTTGTACAATGACTGAAACTTCTACTGAGAGCCTCGGGTTTCAGTCTCTTCTACATGATCTTTGTGTCTGTTCCCGCATCCTAGATTCATACCAAGATAGCAACAATCCAAGGATTTTTTTTATAAAAAATATATTTATTTTTGGGGGGGTGAGGTGGAGGGGAGCAGGGGCTAATAAAGGGAAGAATCATCATAGTTGAAAGACAAGTTAATAATATGTTGCCATAACAAAATGAAGATCAGTTATTCATACACATCTCCTTCAATTATCTCATTCAAAAGTACCACAGATTCTCCACGCTTGCTTAATACGAACAGGAAATGGAATATAAACTATAGATGCATGAATCAATACTAAGAATGCACAAGTGGTATCACCTTGCACTTGATGCTAGTTTGAAAGCATAATATTGCAGCTTGACCTTCCGGCAGCCTTCTGTAACTAGGACTGCCCACATTGTCACCATAGTGAAGACCCCTACTATCCCAAGGATATAGGGCCACGAACTGATACCACTACCTGGAAGAAAGTCAAGCTAATGGAGGATTACTGAATGTCACTAATGAAATATGATTAACTGAGAAAGTCTCTGCACTTCAAATTGAAAAACTGAAAACGCACTCAACGTCCATCAATATTAACTATATTTTAGAGCATAGTTAAACTCCATGTAGCCGCTGAACTGCTAAGAGAAGATTATAAAGCAAAGAGAAGATCAAGTGATGCCTAGATGACAAGGTGGCCAAGGCATCCAAGGAGTCCAGCTTGACACAAACAGCCTAGTAAGGTTAGGAGCTCGTCTAGACTCTGTGAGACGTATTGGCATTCCATGTACTGTGCCAAGCATCTCCCAAACAGATCAGTGCATGATATCTTCATCCATCTGCCCATATCCAGTGGACTCTACCAATGTTCATTCCTCAGAATCTGTGAATATTCCCCCTCTTGCTCCCTCCTCTTTGAATTCCGAAAAAATATGAACCAGGAACAGAAGATCACGCATTGAATATTTTTTAAAGAACCTTTTAGTCACAGCTTCGCGTGCAACTGTACCGGTACGTACCCCTTCATGTTTCTGGGTGCTATGTTTCGGTTGTGTTCAAAACTCAACTCTGCCATGAGTTTATGTTTCTATTACTGCATGCTTGCTTTCCCATGCAGTGTGTGTGTGTGTGTGTGTGTGTGTGTGTGTGTGCATGTGATGAGTTATTCTATAGAAAGGAGAAGATGAGCGAGGTGATGAATGCTCTGTTGCACAGTTCAGAAAGCAAAAGTGCACAAATTTCAATATATTTTAACTTGCCAATTTTGCACTTGCATGGTGCTTTAAATGTTTGTTAAGACAATAAAGAAAAACCGTAAATGGAGAATGAAAAGGTCCAAAAGCCTCTTAACTTCACACACCTGCAAGTTGAGAAAACATTTTATATAGAGTGTCGGTGTAGCCAGTCAATATTCCAGCACAAATAATCAATGATGATCCATGTCCTGAGGCCAAGCAGAAAGATTAGCCAGTCAATATTCAAGCACAAATAATCAATGATCATCCATGTCCTGAGGAAAAACACCGAAATGAAAACTTGGGAATATCAACAGTTTTTTTTGGGAAATACACCATGAATTCAAAACATAAGCATTCCAAGCCATCAAAGATAACTTTAAAAAAAAAAATTAGACTTGAAACAGAAACCTTGTTACTTTCCATAAATATATCAAGCGGTCATCACAAGACAAGAATTGCTCATAGCAATCAGTATTGGGCCAATCAAGTATGAAAGCTCTGTAGAGCAGCTTTATTTGTAGCTACATAATTTCAATGTTTTTTTATCCCTAGAACTAGGAAAAGGATTAGTCAAAGGGTCATAAATAACAGCATTTGAAACGAAATCCTTGAGTGGGGATTCATTATTTAAAGATAATTAGTTTTACCAATGATATAAGTGGTACCCTCTAGGTTTGTACTGGTTGGAATTACCGACTTATGAAACGGAATCCTTGACAAAGTTGACAATACAAGAGGACTTCTTTCTACATCATCATTGAATATAAGCTTAAAATCCGAGAGGTATGAGTCAATATTAATTGAGCATGCCAAAAACCAGGGGAAATCTAACAGTTCTTTCTCATATGTTTCAGAGGTATGAGTTCTAGTTAGGTAATCTTAGTTCGAAAAGGGAACGGGAATGTTCATCATGCCATAGAGATGTTATTGACTAATTCAATGCAAGTGAGCACTGAGGCAGGACTAGACTTCAATTTCTATCGATCGAAGTAAATAACTGCTTTGAAAGGTGTATAGGAACATTATCCATTTATTAAAAAAAATAAAAACATGGTAAAGCAGACGATCAAGGTACATCCTCATTACACAAGAGAAAAGTAGCAACCACTTCCCAGGAAGCACAGATGTTTGACACTCATGGCCATTGCAGAATTCCCAATCATCTATGAGTTGGGTGACTCTATACTTTTGAGATAGAACACTTTCTGAATCTTTTTTCAATCATGTTCCTTTTTACCTGGATGATCTAAACCATGGCTGAGATAAGGATTACCCCCAATCTTTTTCTGCTCCAAGAGGGTTTGGATTCACTAGATTAGTCGTGTGTCCAACTCCAAAAACCCATTGCGTCAGATCTAAGGATACTAGGTTGAAAAATCCAACTCACATGAATCAACCTGATACATTTGCAACATGGTATAAGAATGGAAATTTAAAATATTCTAAAGAAAAAAGGGATGCCAATAATTACAAAAGGACTTAGATATTCTTGTTTTATTTCAGATCATTTCACTTGATTTACAGTGGAGAAGGAGAGGACTACATGCAAGGAAGAAGAAATACTTTTGTGAAGAGAGTGGTAATGCAGTGACAATGGGAAATATTGCTTCAGAGGAAGAGGCCTAAAGTGGCAACCAGAAACAGAATGCAAATTGCAGTTCACTGAAAATAATTCTTTACGTCTCTCTCTAAGGGGAGGCAGAGGCAAAAGACGTATCTCCTTGTGGCACCTATAGCACATACCCTAAGGTTCGGGTCTTTACCAGTTTATTGTATCCCAACTTTCCCTACGAAAAAATCCATGAATAACTGAGGATGAAAATCCAATCAAAATCGAGTGCGAAGGCACGTTTCACGATTTTGAAAATATTTAATCAATGGAAGGAAAAGACAGAAGCATTGCACCCAGTAAAGGAAGGATATTGTACACAATAGAATTGACTCATGTTCTTATCCATGGTAAGGTTGGGCACCAAAGTGCAAAGATCTTCATCATCGGAGATGTTAAGTCTCCACTGTCACAAGTCAATATTTCTCTGCTTTACAGGTATAATAAGTGCTTATTCTTTCTTCCACCCATGTAAATTAATAAAATATAGCATGCTCTTTCTTCCTCAGCCAAGGAGCAAAAATCTGGTCAAACTAGATTGCACTGACTTAAATTTTCTGACATTGCAGGAAAATCATTTGTGATGTGTCCGAGGGCTAAGAACAATTACCTGATTTATTATAGACATAAATTTACGTGGAGTGCAGCGGATCAAATATTAAAAGACATTAGGGAGTGTTTGAAATAGAAACAACAGGCAAGCCACTGACACAAATAAGGAAGGAGTGTTTGAAATGTACCAAATCCAGATTCGGATATAGTGTCACATATCCAGGTCATAGTCATTGCACCAAGAACCAATAGAAAACTAGTTACCATCACATGTCTGAATCTGAAAAAACAAAATAAACATCTTAGAAGAATAAAAATCCAAGATCTATATAATGGATGATTTTTATCTATCATTAATGAAAGTAAGGTGGTTTAATAATTATAAACTCTTCTCTAGGCAAAAAAAGAGACATAAGATATGAAAGACCAATACTCTTGCTGAATTTTAATGGATACTCTAAAATTTACAGATAGGTCACGAAAAAAGTAGGACAAATTTTCCGAGAAATATGTTTTAGGAGCATATACAAGCTGCATTTTCCGTCGCAGCTTTCAAAAATGCCACCTAGATACTTCTTAAGTGAGAATAGCTGCCTGTGCTTGGTCAGCCATCCACAAACAATCCCAAGTTTGCGCACAGCCATACACAAACTGTGAATGAAATGCTTACTCATTCGGTTTATTTATGAACAGCCATGTGTTTAGCTCAGGAGAAATAATATTTTTTATTTTAAATGCATAATATTTATTTTTAATATTTCATGTAAAACCTGTCTATTGCATTTGTAAAATATTTTTCCTTTATTTTAATATTTAAAATAATTATCAAATATTTTAGAAAGCTGTCATGCAGTATCTCATCTTGTTTCAAAGTTTCGCATTAGATACCTTCATAATCTTGATTTTCATAGAGCTTGTTCTTGCAATATTCATCATAACTCAAGAAATTTCAAATTTTATGCTTTCCATCTGAAAATTAGAATGAACTGAACTTGCAATCAAGTTGAAGATGAAACATATAGTGATGAGCTAACGTGAGTGAAATTTCTTCCCAATGGAAAAATTCACCAAAGCACATTGATACGTATTCCAAAAAAAACAGCACCTGAGTTTTTACTTGTGCATGAAAGTCAAATAAAGCAATCATCCAGTGAAAGAAAATACTCTCACTTACTCTCCCTTGATTACAGCTTAGTATCCTATCAAAGAGATCACATGATTCGAATCTAAATCTAGCCAATTACCTTTAAAGTTAGAAGATCTTCAAGGGTTTTTGATTCACAACTATTGCATCTCATTTATGTATCCATGAACCAAAATAAGACGTAAGATCTCAGATAACACTAATCCTAGAATAAGGGATTGCTCAAGAAAACTTGGCAGAAATCACAGTTATAACTGTTGTCCATTTTAACCTCCATGGAACACTTATAGCTGTTATCCATTGAAATAGCTTTATAAAATTTAGTTCGCCTAATACAAAATGCTACCTTATCTTGCAGACACTGTACAATTTCCATAGAGCACAGCAAATCCAACCTGCTCAGCTCATATGAAACAGTTACAGCATGAACAACACCGGACAGTTTGTCTAAAATAGAACCCCAAACTATGTTTCCCACCTAATTCCAGAAGTTATTATCAAGGCTTCGATATGTTACAGAAAAAAGTACGAAAACATAATTCACATATATATGAGTGTGCCCAGCAATACTTGGCCAATAAAAGTTTTAAAATGTCAGCCTTTATGACTCAGGACTTATGCTGCACATACCTCTAGCTATTATATTCACAAACAAAATTGAAACATCACAGTGAACAGGATCGTAGATAGTTCTACAAGTATGGAATTTAATCCAAAATGATAATGTTGGCATTTGTCAGCAACTATAATCATAAACTGCAGAAAAGGCAGACAACTTTGAAAACACAACATGGTTGGAGTGCATACCTGTAATTAGCAGCATATATTGAATATGGAAGAGAATAGAATGCAACAATAACAGCTTCAACCATTGCAAAACCCAATGACAGCCACCATCTAAAGTGGACCCACAAGATTAGTGCAGAGTGAAGGAATACCATATTCAAAAAGAGAAGTAGGCTCAGTAACAGTGATGAGTAAGTAAACCCACATATATCCTTTAATTTTCTCTTGGGCATCTAATCCTTCTTTCCGCAACTTAACTAGCGATGGAAGTACGTGACAAAGTACCTGCAATACAAACATATTCTCAATTAAATGGAACATTAATCACAAAATTTATCGCATTCAACCAAGTATTCTAATGAAATGAACACACTAGATTCTTGAATTCTAATCATTATTAAAACTCACGATCTACAATGGACGAGTTATCAGGGGGTGGAATCTCAAGAAAAAATTCAACAAAATCTGACTACGACATACATTGAAATCGCCATTTCCCAAATAAGCAATTTAGGCTGGTTTGCATACAAGATTATTTCATAGGAGATGCAGGAGACGTGGATCTTCAAGCTGAGGCTAACTGCACAAGAGCGGGAAATGCAGAGTCCTAAAGCTAATGCAAAGCAAGCTACTACCATCCTTAATAATTGGTTCCTTTATAGGAAACATTTTGACCTAAGACTAGGAAAGATCAGCTCAAAGCTCAAAAGGTGCCTGGGTGACCACGGAGACCATCTTTCAAACTAATGGAAGGACGTTCACAGGCAATCTTTCACCATGGAGAAGAGAAAAAGAATACCTCAAACCATATCTACAAGGATATATTGGAAATTATCCAAGGACAAGTACCATTATTGGGCCTTTACACAAGGAAGCCCAAGAACCTGTTGTCCTCTCCATAAATAAGCAACTTCTACATTGCTCTGGAGAACCTGGAGCAAAATCTTACAACAGACAGTAACTTTCTCCCCGACTATAAATGGGAATTTCTGAAAAAAATCTCTAAAAGACGGTCTTCACCTTAGAGCCATTTCGATCCACAGACTAACATATCTCAATCCAATATTTGATTCATCTGGTGAGATGAATTTTCTCATGCCGACAGCAGTAGCAATCCTTTGTAATGCAGTTCAAAATTTCTCATATAACACACAATTATGTTAAACTTAAGATCAACCAAAACCTAAAAAGGCACCAAATATTCAATATTTCAGCCGAACTGATAGCTTATGTTTTTAGATTGTTGACACGTTATCATTTTACATGTTGAATGAGATGCTGAAACTTATACAACATGAAACTATGCTTTCCGAAGAGTCAAGCAAAAATTATGATTCCATTGGTTACAATGCCGGATTCTGACAGTTTTGATCAGCTCTTGAGGCTTCAACAAGAAGAAGGTACTGAGAATTCTGCATATTTGAAGACTGACTTTTGTCACTTTTCTTAAATACATTGCTAGAGCATGATAACTGACTCAAAAAAAGACAAATGTGGCCCGTTTATCCAATCATTTGATAGGCGATCATATTGTACATCACATCTTTCTTAACTAAATTTTTTCCAGCTGAGAAGATTTATTTTTCTCTTGAGAAAGAGCATTTTTCACAATGTCAACATCGTGCTAAAATGAAACGAAAAAGACAGTTTCACAAAATTCTTCAAATCACAGAATTTATGATGCCTCTACTAATTATGCAACTACAAGGCCACAATACGTATGAGGAAGTATCACATCATCCGAAGCTGTAACCATATCGTATAAAGGAAGTGAGTTATGCTGTCTTGAACAGGTTCCTTAAGGTCAGAAAAATCGCGATTATCACACCCACAGAGAACAAAATACACCTACAGATTCAAGCTTCAAATCTTATAACATAAAATACACAGTATTCTTGCACATAGTGGCAGCAGGGACAGTGTTTCTCGATGAGCCAACTCATAGTCATGTCACCTACCCTAAAAATAATATGGGTTTTAATTTCGTTTAAAACCCACGTTATTGTCTATCTACACAGCCACTCTAGATGGATGCCATTCTTTTCAATGATGTAAGAACTGCTGAACCGCAGAATTTGACAGCATAACCTTTTCAGCTAGCTATCAAACCAGTGAAAAAAAGAAGTATTTGAAAAAACTGCATAGGAATAGTTAAAACAAGGATATAATTACTGATAAAAATGCGTATAGTATGACAGAGAAAAGCCACACCTGCATGACAATGGATGCTGCAATCTGGGGACTGATTCCAAGTTGGAAGAGTGACAACTTCAGCTCAGCTGTGAAGTCACCAAGCTCATCTGCAAAACATAAATAGACAGTGAAGTAATCAGGACCTGCCTGAACAGTCCAACATTTGAAGAAAGCCTGCATTCGTCCCTCCTAAGCCTCAGAGACTACTCCTTATTCTTTTTCGTTGAACTTTTAAATAGAACCAGCAACCATGGCACACTGTTCTTTTGCCCTTCTTATGAGTTGTTCTCTTTTCTAGTTTGCGGCTTATCCCACCACCAAATATCAGAAGTCATAATCCTATACATAATTACTCAAAAAATAAATCACAGATTCTAGTCCGTTTCCTCTCTGTTAAAAATATTGTTGAGGCGCCTGACATGCACAGAAAAATAGTTCTTCTCATACCATGTACAAGAAAAGCGGAAACAATATAAGTGAGACAGATAATTGTTGTTTAACTGAGCACTGGAAAATCTTCAAAAACTAGCTTGGATATGTTATGCATGTGCAGGGTATTATCTTTTCCACAGCATGGACAAGAACAGCTGTAATTTATGCAGAACCAAAAATCCACGAGCTGATATGCAAAAATCTTATTCAAACAAGAGAGAGGGATAAATTGACAAGTTAATTGACACCAGGACACAAATGGCCCAAGTAGATCAAACGCCTGCCTTAACGATCTTGTCAGTTGCGTTTCATGGATCACTGTGACAATCAAAAATAGAAAAATAGCAGTTATGTAATGGGGTCAAGAAAGTAGCCACTTACCCATGGACCCTGAAGTAAAAGTTAAGTAATCTTCCGGAATTAGACGCCTATCAAAGCCGGGCAGGGGAATGAAATAGCCAATACGACTGATCAGAATTAGCATGGCCGTCACAAATAACCTTCTCCTTATCTCGCTCTTAAAGAAAGACTCAGCCATCTCATTGATCACAGAGCCAAGGCGAGCAAACACCAAGAATTTATTATAGAACCTCGAATTCCCCACCTGGAAGGCATCATCCCTGCCTCGCTGATCAGTAACCTCCGACTCACTGAGTGAATTCAGGGGAAGAAGCTCAGCATCAGCAGAATGGCTTGGGAGGCTACTTGGGGGCCCATCCAAACATCGAATAGATAGCCTGCCGTTCCAGCTGATGGGGTACTTTTTCAGGAAAAACGGACGCCCACCACGAGACTGAAAGGGAACTCTCTCCAAGGAACGGCATTTCGTTTCACATGCAGAGCGACCCCGAGGGAATCTGCATTCCGCCGGTCCACCTAACAAGCAGAAGTCGCAGGCATCATTATTTCTTCGCCCAAGTTTTCAAGACTTTCATTTCAGGGCTCACAAAGAGAAGAGAAATGAAAACAGCACAAGCACAAGAGGGAGTTTCGGGTATCATTCATAGACGATGCAGGTGAAGACACTGAGAAGCCGTCGTCGAGTGTGGAAAAGGCTAGAAGGGTGACCAAAATACAAACACAGGCATGCGTTATTTTGGTCGTCAGCTTGGGTCACTCTCCACTACTTCAAGCGTAACTCACATAAACCGGACTAGACAACAGAAGCTCCCTGACCAGGACCAAAGATGAAGAGGAACCTCCGTCTAGCAGGAGAAAACGGGTGCCCAGAATCCGCTAACCTCTGCTCCAGAGACCTGTGTGACCTTGGCCGGAGAAGACGCAGGGATTGGCAACACCGGCAGTGAGACAGCTGAGGGTCGTCGTTGCCGAGGCTGCACCCGCCATGGAAGGCTCTATCTACGCGCCAAGCCGCTCACTTTATTGAAGAGGATGCCTGAAGCCAAGGAAGGAGGGCAAGTAGAGGAGGCACGGAGCCGTCCTTCCTCTGCTTGCTTCACCTCCGGGGCGGAGGGAAAATACGAGAGCTGGGAAGATAACTGCGCATGTTTTGAAGCTCGAACCTCTGTGAAAACACGAATCCTATTGGGCCGGAGCTTCTGCCTATGGCTGTAGTGGGTTCTTGGCCATTTTGATCAGTCTAGGAATCCATTATCAGCTTACGGCGGATAACATGATTCTACATAACTCCCTACTCAATCAAGTCCAACTATGAAGAGCATAAGATCAAATACTTTCAATCCTTCCATGGTCCCCGTCTCTCAATCTTTTTTCCATAACAACTCTCCTTGCTCATCGCGGCCTGCTCTGTTGTATGATGGTTTTTCTCATTTCAATAGCAACTACTTGATCTTGGAAACTACTTTTGAACCTTACCGAGTGTACATTTTTTTAATGTTTTCATCAAGACTTGCCCTTGAAGGTTCAAATGGGTTCAGATGAAGTAAAAAAGTTTATGTTATGATTGGAAAATGCTTGCTCAACCGTACAGCTACTCTACCTCCCCACCCCTTCATAAAATGTCTCTTCCCTTGTCCATTTCATTCACATTCCTGCAAGTCCACCCTATATCCCGTTTTAGCCGCTTCAATTCTATTGTCTTCACCTTCCAATCGAAACTACATAAATTCCATGATTAATCCTATCAATGCAAGCATTTTGGGTATGGTCCATTCTATGTTTGGCCCATTCGTCTCTAATCAAAGTAACTTCCTTAATGATGATGAACTGCCTCCAAAACAAATAAAATCATGGGAATTCACTCACTTCACGAATTTAATGCTCATTTAAAAATTTTATGTACCACAAGGATTTTATGAACTTAGTCAATGAGGTACATTTAGGCATATATCAGTGTAGTATACCAAACGTAATGGCCTCAAATGCATATTAACATGCTTGATAAATTGACATGCAGTGAGTACTAATACTCATGAAACATTCACTCAAAATAAAAAAGCACGATCTAATTAGAGACTTTTTGAAGCTAGATGGAGAACTAAAGAGAACTTGTATAGATTTACTAAAATCAAACCACTTAAAATAGCCTATGAAAATCCTCCTAAAAAAAACATATGAAGATCAATGAACCAAGTGAAAATCAACAAATTAAACTAAGATGTTATTATAAAATTGCACTAGCTTATTAAATTTAATTCAATTTGAATAAATCTATTTGACTGTGAAAATAAAAAGAATTTTCATCAGATGTAGGAAACTGCCAAAACAAAAATATGATTGAAGAGCCAAAAGTCTTAGAAACTTCATTTGAAAACATTTTCATTAGATGTTGTTCGATAGTAGTATCAGACTCTCAACCCACTAGGGCCCATTATCTATCTCTCTCTTGTCATCTCTCTTTCTTCTTCTCTTCTATATAATCTCATGTACTTCTCTTCTTCCTTAGGGAGGATTATAGATTCTACGGTTTCCTCTCCTGTGTCAATAATTATCATGAATCTAGCCAAGTTAATGAAATTAATGAACTTTTTCTATTGTTACATAATTAGTAGAAATTTAAAAGAAATCTTAAAAACTAACATCATCATAACTTTGGAAAAATAAGATGAATCCTCTTAAATATAATCAAAATGGATAAACTCATTGACGTAGTCCATAATATTTGAACCTTTGTCAGTTTAATAAAGTGATATGAGCATTCATGTGAACAGTTTAAATCATGAATATATTTAAAATTATATTGAATCTTTATGAACGTTGTCCATATCAGAGTTAACTTTCTAAGATACGTGAAACTCATTGCAACAAAGTCAAATTTAACAAATTAAGTTACCTCTATCCAATACAAAAAAGGCCAATTGATGAAATTTTTTATCACTTTTCACAAACCTTGGAAATGGAAGGAAAGTTGTGTGAATTTCACACTAGAACAAAAAATGGATGTGATTTTGTTTAACAAAATTTTGAGTTATAAAAGACAAATATTAATACAAGTTGTGTAATAATAACATGTGCAAGTGATTTACTAACTTAGTTTTAATACATTCGAGAAATCAATTAAGATTTTTTTTATGAAAATTTAATATTGACCAACTTTGCATGACCTTCAAAGTTTTTATATACAAGTTCAATATATTTTACTATGTTGATATTCATGCGTAGCTGTGTTTTATAAATTCATTAAGCTTGAAGTTTCAATAGGTTTAATCATTAATATTTTGGTTCAAATAATGTTAAAGATAATCTAAAATTATATTTGATAAGCCCAAACAAATGAATAAATACAAAGGAATTTTTTGAGTTTTGATGATGTTATCATAAGTTTTCTTGGTTGAACTAAAATTGTGAAGTAAAGGAAGTTTTTCATATCAAAGTATTCAAAATTATGGAGCTCAAAAATGAAGTATTAACTCCATTCTAATTATAATTTCATTATAAAAAACCTAATAAAAGTCAGAAGGCAGTACTTTTCATTACACTATGTAACTTTTAAAGTATGCTCATGATAACTTTTAATAAATTGTCTTCTACTAATTTAATTTACTAAAATGGTTGGATAAGGATCCTACAAATTTTTGATAGAACTATAGAAATTAGTGATCACTGTTTATGAAAATCATGATTTATATTGGTATTTCTTGATAAACTACTTTGTGCACATAAAAATTAAAGAAGACATGATATTTTATTGCATAAGTTTCTTTTGTTGTTGAACTAGTTGAAATGATTCATCCTCTTGACTTACAAAAAGGAGTAAAATAGGTGAATTTCGATAGTTTTGTGCCATCAAATAAAAAATAGAGTTGTGTTTGAAATAACATCAAAATGAAATTTTAAGTAATTTTCATCAGTCTCAAGCATATGAAAACGTAAGGATTTAAGCCCTATTTTCAAGTATACAAACTACATAGCTATTTGGAACTTTCTATGACCACTTTGAGTGTGTTTGAAGTCTTGAATTTAATTGGAGTTTCTACTTTGTTTGTCATCAAGTTGAACAAGTTTACTATTCAAAAATATCTATTGGGAGCAAACACATAATTGATATGCTTCAAAAACAAATGTGGAACTTATTAATAATCAAGGTTTCCAAGAGAAGACCCAAAGAGTGGAAAATATTATGACGACTTAATTATGATAAATTATCAAATATCAAATTTATTGTGTCTTACATTCTATGTAGCCTTATTTAGGAATGAACAATTTAAGAATATACGATTCACCTTTCTCTTGTTGACTCTAATACTCAAATAAACATTCAGTCACCATATAAGGTTTATAAGATATAGCCTTTTTATTAGTTCCAAGTAAAATCCTAAAAAAATAAATTTAAATACTGAAAATGAGCCAAATCTTTCAATTGAAGACAAGTTAAAAAATTGGCATGCTAGTCTAAGGAGGGTGCTAAATAACCCAAAATGAAGCTTGAATATCTTTATAGTGGTTCATAAATCACTATAGTATGAACATCCTATAAAGAGCTTTAAGGATGAAATTGAACTCCAATAAGAGAGAATGACCTTCAATAAGATATCACATATAAATTTAAGCAAATATTAATGAAATAAGTAAAAAAATAAAAAAATATTTTTTTTCGAATAGAACTAGTTATAGCAGTTTAATAGAGAATACATTCATTATCTTTAGATTTCACTACTCCTTATGTTAATACAATATTTAAAAAGACATGTAAAATGACTTCACTAGCTCTTTTATCTAGTAAATTCTACTGCGAAATTTAGCAAATCAAGGTCCTTGACAATGGCTAACACTCAAAAGACTTAATAGTTTAATCCTAAAAAAATAATAGTGATCACAAAATTAATCATTGAGAGTGCCAAAGATTCATTTAGATATTGATATAAAATATAGTGATACTCAACAACAAGACAATTGAACTTAAATCCTTATAGGTAAATAGTAGAGTTTAAATAAAGTCTCTTTGAATATATAGTAATATGTCTCCATACTATGACAAGTTGTAGCCCTTTTCCTTATCAGTATGGTAGTAAAAATGTGTTAAAGTTCACCTAATATCACATTTCATAAGGCTTTTGCACAAGCTCAAAAAATGCAAGTTGGAACATCCATTGTTGATCCAAAGCCTCAAATTGTTCATTACATAATTTTTTTTAACATTTTAGATATTAATAAAATAATTTTAAAATTATTTAAACTTACTATAATGATTACTACTTCATCGTTATAATTCTTGAATTGCATTATGTGTCAACTATTGTTTTCTTTATTACCTTAGTGTGTTTTAGATACACAAGATTTTTTTTGGGTCCTATGGTAGGCTAGATAATGTACTAAGAGGTTTGGATTAGTTTTCTACTGAGTTTTAGTTTTTTACATGTCTTTCAATTATTTCTATGAGCTATGAATATAATGGGTCAACACAATATTTTATGAGTCGACACAAAAAAGGGTTGGTTCAACACATATCAACTAAGGTCAAGACACATAAGGTCTTGGGTTGACACACTAAGTGACTTGATTCCATTGACACAAAGATCTTTAAATGTAGAACTCCAAGATTTTGGAATGATTTGACTTTTCCTTGGCTTTTGTCAACTCCTCAAGAGTCTTTACCCTTGATTTTCACTACTCTTTTTTAAAGACAAAACAAAACTTAACAAGATCAAAAGTTCCATATATGATATAATTTATGGGTTTATCACTTCACACTAGACATTAAGGCATTGACTTGCCTTCCTACCCTTGTAACAAGTACTCTCATAAACCATTTCACATAGAAGATTAAATCCAAAAAAATAAATGTTTTAATCTCAATGCACAATCACTCTGCCTCTTTGCTATTGTAGGCAAATTAGGTGTTTGAGGAAGCTAAGGGGAGCAAAAGCAAGGAGTAGATCTTCAACATAGGATTTCAAAACTTGTAGAAAGAGATGATTGACTATCAAGCTACTCAATTTAATGTCTTCCGATTGTCTATTTATAGAGCTAAAAATAATGGTGGATGGAATTGAATTATTTGAGATTTAGCAAGTCAAACATTTTTTAGGTCAATGCATGAGTCAACCCACTAAAGACAGTTTATAATTAAATTGCCAACTTGACTATATTTTTGTCTGGATTTTCTAAGCTAGAATTTATTTTTTACTTGTCAAGATACATCACTCTTTTCAGGGACGATACATCACTCTTTTCAGGGACTTTTCATCATAGGTCAAATCCTATATCATGCTAACATGTTAGATTTTTCAATGAAAATCTACTTTTTCTCCTTTCTAAGATTTGGCCTAACTTTCCTAAGTCAACATATGAGTTGAATTTCTTTCTCACTCTTCAAATTGATAAAGACATCCATTGTGTGCTAACAAACTATTTGCTACTTTTTCAATTTTTTATGGATAAATACATTTTATCCCTCTTTTAATTTTTATTTTAAAACTTGTCCTTTTGTTACCATTTTATTTATCCTTACACATGTTTCTTGACATCATTTTTTTTCATATGACACCTTAAAAACATATTTCATAACAAAGAAACTAGATCTAATAATTTACACATTCATTTTAAGTTGGTGCATTGAAACTTATTTTAGAGATAATTTTCATTTTATTTTTTTAATTAATTATTGAGATCAAAACTATTACAAGCATCTAGATAACCAGAGCATCTGTCAAAACTAGATAACACAAATATTTTCATTTTGACACTAGCTCAAAACTAGATAAAATATTTTCAAGTTTAAAATAAATATTCCAAGCATCATTTAATTTATTCATATTTTACCTTAACTAAAGAGAATTCACTGATTGTGTGATGCGTGATTTAACTATTTTTGTAGCACCATCATCTAACTTGATTAAGTGATTCCAAATTATTTGTGATTAATTAGTCTCTTAGAGTTATATAAGTTTTGGTTGAGTTCTTACAAGTTTTGGTTGAATTCATTAGTTTCATACAATTCCTACGAGACTAGTGGCATGAATGAAATTACTGTCAGATGACAAAAATTGTGCAATTTGGATACATCACCGCAAGCTCATATTAGGTTTGCATAACTTAGCTAAGTATGCATCACCTGAAAGAATTTCACTTTGCTGCTCTAATTGAACTTTTTGTTTAGTTACAAAGTTTATACTTTGCAGAAATCTTTTTTCCAATTACCAAGGGTTACAATCAAGTTCCTGCGATCTTACCAAGATCATTAAGTTCATGGCATTTGACAAAATAGTTCACTTAAAGTGTTCTTTAAAAAGCTCATTTAATTTACCAATGTTTATTTATGTTCACTATGTTCATAAAAAAAAATATATATATATAGCTGAAAGAAATTTCTTAAAAAGTTTATACCACAATTTTATGAGTTTCAACAAAATTTGGAAGGTTTTACGGAACCAATGGAATTTTATAAGCTCTGTAAGAATTTCAGAAAAGTAACTATTTTGTATCAATCAGCTTCATCAAATTTGAGACATCAACATAATAGCAGTTGTGAGAAATCAACACAATTCTAGTGTGCCATTTTGGAATTGAAGGCTATTTGACTTGCTGAATATCATATGATTCAATAAATTCGCTCACATAAGATTTTTAAAATAAAGGGCAGTATAACATATGTTTGCAGAGGCTATGGACAGATCACACACGGCAGAGAAAGCCCACAAAAAAGGGGTAGGAGTGGAGCCTTCAGGTATTGAGGTGTTAGGTTGAATTCTCATGAAGAAAGGGAAACGATAAGTGTATGTTGAGAATGTTGCCAAGAAAGGGAGAGCAGGTTTTCTGCCAGAAACCATCTTATTGGAGAGTGAATGAAGATAGTATTCACATGCCGATATGGCCACTAAGCCAGTGACCATAGGTCTTCCTCGTCCCCTAAGATGGAAGGAAACCTTGGCAGGCTCGGGTGAAAATAACATTAAGCAAATAGAAATACCAGAAGAGACGTATCAACCACCCCAAACGAATTTAAATATGTTTCTGCTGGCAGCTGTGCTGATCAGATTTCCCTTGGTCTTCAGCATCTCCTCTTGGGCTCGAACATTACACCCCTTCAAAACCAGAAACATTTGAGTTTCAACAGGCGCCATCCAAAAGGCTCTCATAATCCTAATGAGACTAATTCAAACTAATTGGCGTAGTCAGAATTCAATAAATTTTACATCTCACTTAGCCTACAATTCAAATAATTAATTGGAATCATGGGAAAAACAGATGGGAAATTAAGTGTCTTGAAGTATTTAACCATAAACCAGAAGGTCATCAACACCATCAAGGCAGGTTACTTACAAGAGCAGAATAAGCATGAGCCAGAGAGTAAAGCGTCGGATACATTTTTACAACAGCCAGAGCAATCTCCTCTGTAACTTGTGGGACCTGTAGAATCAGCCAAATTCACACAAAGTCTCATGCATGAGACCAATGGAGATATTATATGCTAACAGTTTCAATCTTTTCTCAATACATTCACAGAAATGATTTTCACCAAGTAATAAAACTCCAGAAACCCAAGGAGACAAGTATTCATTCATTGAAATGAAGCTCTGCACCAGGGTTTAGGAAAAATGGGAATTGAGAAAAAATAGAGTAGATTTCTGGTGATTTACACTAATCTGCTGACCTGCATGAGCTGGAGGGCAAAGACATCCGTGACACACAGTTTCTCAAGATCTTGGCACTTCTTAACGAATGCTTTGAAGGTGGGGCACAGCTTCACACTATCATTTTGAATAATGGAAAATTGCTCCTTGTAACAATGATTTATTGACTGTGTAAGATAACCATATTTTTTTATAGTGTCTGTGATGCCGGAGGTCCTTTGTACATCAAAACCTTCGAGAATTTCGGTTGTGAAACAACTGCAATAAGAGAGACAAAATTTTTTAACTTTTCAATATGTGTACCTAAGAGAATCTCAATTTTACAGGCAGCCTAAAAAACCATCATTGAACCCCATTGGCAGCCAATGGAAAGGCCAAACAGATGTAGGCACGTAATGGTGGGACAAACTCAGGTTTGCTGGGAAGCACACATCAACAGCAGTTTTGCACTAGAGAAAATCTAACCAGAAATCAGCATATACTGCATTTTCCATCCCACACAACTTTCTACTCCCAAATCATTTGCAAATCGCTGATACTTCAAAATAAGAACAAGAAAAAGGATTGGTGAATATGTACAGGGCCTAAATTACAAAAACTGAGCAAAGCAAGAACTCACATAGGGCAAGTGGAAAATTGAATGGTTACAAGAAGACTAGGGCTGGGTTAAAGCACACCGCCAATTCTGATTGGGGTTGAAACCAGGACCTTTGCTCCCAAACAAACTCTCCATTAGAAGTCTAACTATTGTAATCAAAATAGCAATTTTCTATTGAATTACACGGACTAAACTCGAATCATCAGCATTAAAATATGATGACTAAATGTTCTATCAATTACATTAATCAAGTAAATCATGACTCTAGGGACCCAAGTAAACCCTTCAGGGAACCACACATTGAGGCCCGGCCTTCCCTATTCATAATATGTGAACCTCAACATTATATCTGCACTTTCTTATCTGCGCTAGCCAGGTTTACTTGGCTAGAACTTGGCTAATTGGCTAAGCCCATTATGTGCCTTGAATGGACCCCACCAATGTCTAAACAAGCGAGTCATGGCTTAGCTTCATGAATTTCAGTTGAATATTGTGGACAGAATACCAGACCTAACGATTCCGGCTGTGTTCTTGCGATGTTGAATGTAGGATATCTTTTTTCCTCCTCTGTGAGAGATCCTTCTTCCACAACTGTTGATGCTTCCCCTCTAATAGTTGTTGATATAGGATACCTCAAACTTGAGCTCTTTGGAATCCTTACTGACGTACCACATGTCTCAAAATTATTTACCAATCTCATATATGTAAAAAAAACTTGTGAATAATTTGCCTTACTGCGTATTTTTTGATGAGGATATTTGTGTGATACTTGACAAGATACAATGCTGGAAGATTATAGTTGCTAGAGAACATGGAGAACTGTATTTCCTAGAAGGACTTAGCCAAACATTTCTGATGAAAGCAAATCAAAACTTAGAGCCTCAAAAGAACTTCCTAAAAATACAATTACTCCACCGAAAAATAGGCCATCCCTTTTTTAGCACTTTAAAAATTCTTTCACCTAATTTGTTTCAAAACGTCTTTCGAGACACTTAAATGTGATCTGTGTGAATTTTTAAAACACACCCATGCTTCCTTTCAACTGCAAGGAGAAAGGATGTTTGTGAACTTCTTTCTTCCTTATTCACAATGACATTTGAAGACCATGTCCCATTAATGATATTCGAAGACATAAGTGACTTGTCACCTTTATCAATGACTATATAGGGTGTATGTGGGTGTTTCTTCTAAAGCAAAAGTTTGATATCTATAAGAAGTTAATATTTTTATGCCACTATGATTAAAAATCAGTTTGACACCTGTATAAAGAAATTCAGATCCGATAATGCTAAAGAATACTTTGGCCAAATCTGAATTCTTATTTCCAATCAGAAGATATAATACATAAATCCTCTTATGTATATGCTCCACAAGAAAATGGCTTAGCTGAGAAGAAAAATCGACATCTTTTATAAGTAACTCAATCGATTTTATTCCAGAGTACTGTGCCAAAACGTTTCTAGGATGAGGCTATCTTAATAACCACATATCTTACCAACCGATTGCCTACTTGAACCTGACTTCTAGAGTCCTTTAAACTCATTGGCAATACACTTTTCAAATAATCAAATTAAAACTATATTAGACGCTTGGATATTTGGTTGTGTTTCCTTTGTTCATCATCACAATCACACTTAGGGCAAATTAGAGGCACGATCACTCAAATGCATATTCCTTGGATATTCTCATAATCATACAGGATACAAATGTTACCATCCTCTTACTCAATTTTTTTACATTAATGGATATTACATTTCATGAATCAAAACCTAACTTTCTAAAAACTTCATCCAATGCTCAAACTTTATATTTTATATATTATATAGATCATCATGTAGATAGTTCAGCTCCTTCATCTTTTGGTAATTTTTTGTTCCCACTCAGTCCCTGAAAAAACTGATTCTATTCGAGATCTACTTCCCGAAAATCTAAGATTTGGCAAAGTCTACACTAGGAGAGGAGAACTTTAAGTCTCTACACAAATTTATACCTCTTATTCGGCCTTAGAGAATATCCAAAACTCCATCCCTATGCCATCAGATGATTAGGACATTCCAAATGATCAGGGCACTTCCCATTGCCTTGAGAAAAGCCCCCGCAAGAATGCACAAAGAGAGCTTTATACCCATCAGTCAATTTTTTTATCCTACCAAAGACTCTCTCCACCCTATCGGTCCTTCCTTGTCTCCTTAGACAGCACTACCATTCCAAAAAATACCTCAAAAACTCTATCTACGACGGAGTGGGAACGTGCTCTAGATGGTGAATTGAGAGCCCAAGGAAAAAATCAAACCTAGGATCTAGTGAAATTACCAAAGGGCAAGAAGGTAGAGGATTGTAAATGGATGTATGCTGTGAAGAATAAATCAGATGACTCAATTGAGAGATATAAAGCTAGGCTGGTTGCTAAAGGATATTACACAAGTTTATGGAATCAATTATCAAGAAACCTTTGCACATGTGGCAAAAATGAATATAATCAGATTTTTGTTATCTTTAGCAACAAGTTTCAACTAAGACATACAGCAGTATGATGTTAAAAATGGTTTCCCACATAATGGTCTTGTTGAGGAAGTTCATCAAATATTGTTTGTAAACTAAAGAGGTATTTCTATGGACTCAAATAGTCACCTCGAGTTTGGTTTGGACGATTTACAAAGGTAATGAAAAAATAAATTGTTACCAATGTAATAGTGACCATACCTTATTTTTTAACTACTTTTCTTCAAGGGAAGTTACGATTATATTTGGTTTATGTTGATGATATCATCATCACAGGAAATGATGGAATGGAAATACATAACCTGAGCCATAGTTTGGCCAGGGAACTTGACATCAAAACATTGGGACAGCTCAAATATTTTTTGGAGATCAAAGTGGCTCCCTATTTTAGAGGTATTTTTATCTCTCAATGTAAGTACCTAACAGATTTGTTGAAGGATACAGTGAAATCTGTGTGTTGACTAGCTAATACACCTATTGATCCTAATCATAAATTATGCTTAGTAGAGGAAGAAACTTCTGTTGACCATCAGACGTATCAACGTTTCATTGGTCAATTACTTTCTATGACACACACTCAACCAGATATCTCATATGCAGTAGGTATATTAAGTCAATTCATGCATCAGCCAAAAGAATCTTATCTACATGCAGCTTATCAAGTATTACATTACTTGAATGACACATCTGGTAGAGAAGTCCTCTTCAAATGAAGTGGGAAGGTAGAAATTGAAATGTTTACGAACGTTGACTACACAAGGTCAATGATTGATCAAAGATCAATTTCTGGACATCTCATATTTATTGGACGCAACATTGTTACACAGAGAAGTAAAAAACAGAAGGTGGCTGCTTGTTCAAGTGCTGAAGCTAAATTCAGGGCATTTGCCCAAGATGTATGCGAGTTACTTTGGATGAAAAATTTACTTGATGAGCTAAAAATCTCTCTTACTAATCCTATGAAGCACTATTATGAAAATAAGTCAGCAATTAATATTGTACAAAATTTGGTACAACACGATCATAGCAAACATGTGAAAGTTGGTCATCATTTCATCATAGAAAAGTTGAAGGCAAATCTGATTTGTATGTCATACATCTCGACACACAATCAACTACTGGATATGCTTACTAAAAGCATCTCAGGCACTCAACTACAAAAGATTATTCCCAAGTTGAGAATAGATAACATTCATTCGCCAACTTAAGGGAGGGTGCTGACGAGATGTGTCTAGTATATTCCGAGTCATGTGACAATGTCTAGAACCTTCCAGGGTCTTCTATAAATAACAGACCCCACTCTCTTTGAAATGTAATTTTTTGGTATCCCTTTTGAATAAGAGAATACTTTTCTCCACAGGCTCTGGTTTCACTATTCAAGCACCACACCTGATTTTATCCCTGAGACCACACAAGCTTTCTGAAATGATTGGCATTTCCATCAACTATAGAGTAAATGGCTGGCAATGTTGTCATGCATAAGAAATTATTTAGGTGAGTGCATATTCTCTGAAAAACAATAAAATGTCAAGAAACAAAATAAATGATGAACAACGGAAACGATTCCAACATAAAATGGCCAATGCCGTCAAACTGAAACAATAATGTTGAAGTGAAAAATGATCCAAAATGACCACCAAATGATTAATTGAAAGAAAAGCTAGCACCTTTACATCACAAAAAGCGAGCCAGAGGATAGTGTAGATTGTCATCACGATAAATATAGAAACTTGACTATTGGCTCTCATAAAATTTTAAAGGTCCAATAGCATGATAAACATTCACAATAATTCTTGATATTCAGTTTCTTCTCATCTAGCAATACTTCGGATTTCGTGGTGACCACATATCACAGTGATAGTACAGGATAACTCTATGCCCATCACTTTTACGAAGTACAAATCTGAGTTTGCATTAAGGACAAATTCAAGGTGAAACAGATAGTAAAAGAGATGACTCAATCAAATACACGTAAGCAAAAGTGAGGGTCATAGATAGAGTAAGTGATGAATCCAACGTCATTCTCATGCCTTCTCAGATTGTTCACGATTACCATTAGTAAATGGTGACACTTAGGCATGTGAGTTGGTCTTAAGTTCATTTAAGTGCTTATCACAACTCTCAGTGTATAGTCAAAAACGAAAAGTGATACTACCACATAATTTCAATACAAAAAGAAGTGTGGTTTAATCCATATCTGATATATACAGCTAATCCATAATTAAAGACAGACTAACTACGTACATAACCTCCAGAGGTCTAGCCTAGGGAGAAATCAGGTACTGCAATCCAGTTGTCAGTGAAAGTGAGAATTAGTCTAAAGCATGCAGGACAATAATCAAAAATTGTCCTTCAAAATCTATGTTTTAAAAAAATTAGACCAAGCACTTTCTGAAATTTTAGAAAATTTTACCCTTCAAAATATATGTTATGCTCACATATACAGTGTAAAAATTACAACGGTAACATACTAAAGTCATTTAGGAAACATGTAACACTATAAGAAGTAAACATTGGTAAATTCATTAAGTTGTGACATAAGTTTCTGACATGGCTATTGTTGCACCAGTCCATGATCATCTCCAGAAGCACAAAGGCAACAAAGGATTCTTGATAGCAGAACGCATAATGATGTATAGATGTACAGCATGCCCTTTTATAAAAAGTTATAAGGAACGAGCACAGTACCAATTTGATTCTAATAGCCTTTATTCTGAGGCTGCTGCCTCGTCATTTTCAAATTTTATACCAAACTTACATTAGTGAACTGGCTTGAATAACATATGCTTTTCTGTGTTTCATGTTATCTGAGAGTCTATTATGATACGGATGTAATAGGCCTGTTATCAGAGTGAATCATGTGGAATATGGGTCCAATAGGCTGGCCCTATTAGCAATTATGGTGTAACACCCACTCTAATTTCTGTATGTAAATGGGTAAGGAACCTACGAATTGTAACCACAGTATTTCCCTTCTATTTTGAGAAGAGTCGTGGGCATCCTCAAGAACATAAAAATTATGAGGTAACAGCAATCTAGAGCTAAAAACGGACAACTGAAATGTTAAATAATCTTAGATAAAACCGAAGTCATAAGGAAATGCATTATGAGATGACGACGACGGACAGCTAACAACAACATTTGTGTAACGATAGAAATTAGATTATAAGTATTTAAAAATAGAAATCTTACGCAGTTTTAATCCTATCAGCAGCTTCAGATGAGTTTGGATCACCTTCAATCAGGTATATCAGTTTCTGGAGCCCACATTTCTACAAAAAAAAAGTAAAAAAGAAACTATTTGGCAACGAAAACATAAATTTGAGATATAAATTTACTTTTACAATTAGTTAAAGCACATTCATGTGTATAATATCACAGGCTATTTTTCAAATGTTAACTGCATTAAAAACGTTAACAAGACAATCAAAATTCACCTAACAGATAAGCACCCCTTTAGTTTAAATTCCTAAAGATATTGAGGGAAAGCATGCACTTGCCACTGATAGATGCTTCAAATCCATTTACGTCACAACTGATTACTATCAAGGCAATGGTACCATAAAAATGTCTTCAATAGAAAAAAATACAAAAAACATCCCCGAAAGCAAGACAAGATGTCACTGTCGTAATTCATTGCCACACGAATGAAGGATACTACGAAATGTATAAAATTATACTTTTCGATTTTTTTAGCACTGCCCATACATATGTGCCATTTGAGGGGACAGCACAAGTGCTCCAGAGACCGTTTGCATGTGAAATATTTATATAAAACTTTTCGCTACAACATTGTGCAACATCTGGCACTAGTTTGCCTACTAAAAAGCGAAAAATGACGCATCAAATGTAACTTGAAAGAAGATGTTAACCAAGTGTCCATACAAAGCTGCATGAGGTGAACAGACGCACTTAGAAGATCTGTTTTGAAAATAAAATGATAGTTCATATTTCATACTTTGACAGAAGACTAGAATTTTCTGGCTTATCAAAAACAAGGGTCATATGTGCCAGAGACAAGCAGTAGACATATGGCGATTTGAAAACTCATGCCACTTCCAGCATGCTGCAGTATTTGTACCCCCTTTTTCTTGTCAATTTGATGTACACATGCAAATAATACTACTCAGTCATGTACAGACAGACATCACGATCTGTCATCCCCTGGTCCTAAAGGCTGCCTTTTTTGGTACCTTACGCACTACTGTGGGACAATTACTCCAGTAAATCTGGTCTTTGTTTTTTGCTGCATTACATCTATTCATTTGTCAGACTCCCGCCCTAAAAAACGACCACATCAATATGCGTCCAGTAGCGAGGACGATTTTATATCTGGACACAGGTATTTCAGTCTATCATATTCATTAATATAGTCTTCCAACTATTTTTGTGCCTGAAAAGTTCAAACAATGCTTATACTAGCATAAATAAATTATCAACAACTTCCTTGGACGAGTGGAAGTCACTGCAGTTGTAAAGGTACGATATTCTGGAATGCTCTTGAACTCCATGGACCAAGAAGACCAGAAAGCCGCAATATTTCCTACTATAGCGTAACAAGAAAATATTTTGCAAAAGTGCACACATACAGTAAAAGTTTTACAAGGGAAAAACTAACAAGCAAGTGATGCACGCCCATAAAACAGCAACTCAGGCACTGAACATTGAACTTTGATACACAGTGTAATAGAGCTCATCTCCAAAACTGGACAAATATCAAGATAAGCGTAACCATATCAGTGGCCAAAATTAAATCATCCATTCTACAAGGAAGAACAACTACCAATAACCTCAGCTTCTGATCTTTGTAACGGTTGTCACTGATTGAACTGCACAAATCATCAATTCTCTTCCTTTCGACAATAAAATCGAGCACATACTCACTGCCAAATTGTTTATGCCTGGCTATCCAGATTCCATCACCAATAGGCAAACGCCGAACCTGAAAGAAAGTGTAAGAAAGCCCACATCGCTGAAAAAAAGGGAGGCCCAATTGACTCCTTTTACCATAATGCTATGACAGGTTTGAAAGGGAGGAATATCCTATTTTCTTTTATTGGCACTTAAATTTTACTCAGTTTTCATGTGCTTAAACATAATGCAAAGTAAGTAGCAAATATCACAAGCACCTGGGTGATATTTTTCTGTAGAAAGAATTCAAAAATAGTGAAGTACCGGAGACCAAAGAGAAAGGTGTCATTTCAAACTTTCTTATGCCTCTCACCCTTGGAGGAGTCTTTCGTCTTTGTGAAGAGGGCTAAGTAAATGTTGTCAAAGGACAGAAAAACCACCATACAGCGAGGATAGGGTTGAAATGGCACCACCTGGCAATACTAGAAGTTGGACAAAATATAAAACGGTCGGAAGTTGGCCAAAAACATTAGTACAACAAGAAATGACAAAGGGACAACTCTGGCCATTGGAAGGTAATAAAACCCACCCTTGTCACTACAATCGTAAGGGGAATGACCTGAAGAGGAGAATGAAGAAGAAATATAACGAGAATTGGATCTAAAAAAGGCAAAAACAGTCAAGAATGACATTAGTGTGTGAATCTATCCATTTACATTGGCAACCTATTATTGAAACGACTCACTTAGTTTCGATGGGCTTGTGCTTCTTGAAGGGGGCTTCTTTAAACCAACGAACTGTCGTATCAATATGTTTAATGACTACAAGAAAGGAATAAGCAGGAACTATGACTAAACAGTAAAGAATAACCTTAATGGGTGAATCTACCACTTAGTGGATTATTTTAAGCAGCTAAGGTTCATTACCGGCAAGCGGGCTGATCCACCTATTGGTGTGTTTTAGGGTCAGATTGGTCAAAACTAAATAAGTACATCCTCTGTGAGCTGTTTCAATGATAGGTTGCTATTCTTTTAATGGGATGACTAAATGATAGCTTGCTATTCTAAATGGGCTATAATTAATCCCTCGCAAAACATGAATCAATCCTATCAAAGATAGATGTTCTCTTATAACCAAGCGGACTCTATCTCACTAAACCACTATGAGTTTCACTCAATGTCCATCAATGATTTCTGCTTGAACAGCCGAAATAGACTTCACTCTATATTTAACCAGGTGCTGACCAACATGTTATCATCTCAAAGCCAAGTTTCTAACTTGTCAAACCACCAATTGAGTTTCATCACACATCCAAGTAGGGAATCGACCCATCAGAAAATACATATCCACACTCAAAACAAAAAAGCAACTGGGTTTCATCTCATGACCAAGCAGACTTCAACTTTTCAAATATTTACAAGTAATAAAAACAGCATAAACACTCAAATTTTATCATCATTTTTAAATTTCATGATATGAAAACAAAAATCAATATCTAAAATGGTCATAAAGTTATCAGATCAAATACATAATAATAAATAAAAATAAGAATATGATAATATAAATAAATAAATATCAAATAGTTGCAAAAAACAGCAAATGCTCATGACACAAAGTAGTAGTAAAGGAAACCATTCGTCCTGGTACAGAATTTATGAAGAAAATCTTCGAGAAGAAGAATGAGTAAGAAAAGAGAGCAACAATACACAAACCTTTTTAGTGATACCCTAAGCTGAGGGTTAGATTTGTCTCCAATGTTATTTAAGTTTAAAAAAAATCTTAGGAAAAGATCTATAAAAAAGGTTGCAGAAGCCCTTTCATTTAAATGTATACATGTTTTATGAAGCTATTTCTAGAATGTGACATGCATCTGAAGCCCGTTCATTTAACTGAGGACCGAAATTTTACATGCTGAACTTGGATAGAGTTAACATGATTCATCTAACTTTGGTGAACACTCCTATCATGATATCGCCCTTCTTATTGTATATGTTCATAATATTATAATAACCATGAATGATTCCATTGTTTTAGAGCAAGTAAAGAGCATTCCTCAACAGTCAATCCAAATATATGAATCTATTTTTTTAGTTATTTTTTGGTTTTTGAAGCATAGATTATTTGCAGAATCTATCTAATGAGTAAAAATACTCAAAAGTTTGATTTATGTTACTTGTTTGGGGAAGAGTCTTAAGGCTGAGACATAGATGCTACTCCTAGACTAAGAATTGAGCATAGCGCTCCTCCAGATGATCCAACATGTTGGAGGCATCATTTATATCAATTTTACCCAACCGTGATGTCTCTCATGATATCAATGTAGAGAGCCTGCTCATTAATAATCTTCGTCATTTATATTGTGCTACCATTCATGGGATTAGTTACCACTTTAAAGCCTCTTCTTATCATGGATTGCTCTTCCCCTATGCGTCCTCTCTATTTTTGACTATAAATGTTAATGTATCAGACCTTCCTCCCACAGCCCCAACTTTCGTACATTCTGAAATAATGAAATGCTTTTTGAATTGCTAAAAACATTGCGCATCATTAGCACACAAAACACATTGAAGTCAACAGTCATTACATTCCTGACGCATGAAATATTGATAAAGCTTTAATTTTATATTTTAATAGGAATTGTTTAGTCATAGTTATCTTATTATTTAGGGTATACCTAGGTAACGTTGTTGCCTCGTTTTGTACGATTTTACTTTCCCTTTTATGTATACAGTCTATAAAGAGGTTCTGAGATCACACATTGGGAGCAGAGAATTACAGTCAAGTCAGCTATCCCATTTCTCTTCATCCACTCTCATCTTGTCAATCTTGTCCCACTTAAATATGGAACAAACGAAAGAACTGTTCAATATGTTCTGTTTGGTGTCATAATTTCATTTTTTGAGGAGTCTTATTTGGCAGTTTCCTCTTTTGGATGCTTTGGGGTCATTAATTCGGAAACGAAGTGACAATGAAGGAAAACAAGAAAAGGTAGTCAACATTTTCAATTTGGCAATGCAACATAATTTTTCATAAAGTTGAAAAATAAACAAACAATGGTTAGATGAATAGTAGATCCTGCTTAACGCCTCAATGCAAGTACAAAGATTTTTCCTAAAGTAGTTCAGGCAGATTTAGACCATTTTCTAAGATTAGGCAACAAATGATGGATATGTGTTATCTTAAAAGATTAATCTAAATCCTCATATAGATAAAACTCCTAAGAAGTCATCTTATTGTTAAATGGCAAAGAGAATGATAAAAAAGGACTCGAATAGACTCGTCTTAGGGAAAACATTTGCATTAAAAAATTCCTGAACACTTACCTCTACTTGAATTTTGAATTGTAAGCGTATACCATCCACAACTTTACCAAATCGTGACCTATAGAAGATAAGAAAACACATCAATCAATATATTCCGCCAAAGATTTGATAACTGTGAAATCTAAGGTTGAGAAGTTAAATGTAGTTACCTAGAAAACCCCAAGTGCAGAATATTATGGCTGTTTTCTTTAAATAGATTCGACATCAATACCAGTCATCATCCACGTGATAGCCTACATTTGGCCTGGACTACAGACTTATTTAAACTAGGGTGGATTGCCACATAAGGACAACACATATGGCAACTTATTTACTCATATCCTAAAGTTCAAAATGTAAAGTGCTATAGGAATTTACTCATAATATTACCATGGATAAGGAAGAATAACCCACACAGAAATAAATTATCTTTTATAAGGTTAACTTTCAAACAAGAAAAATACTAGATTATGTATGGGTTGATAGAATCGAACTCAGACAAACCGTTTTCTCGTCACTGAGACGGGTACAGATGAATCTTACCCAATCTACCGAACTCAATACTCTACTGAAGAGGGAACAGAGTATTGAGCATTCACCATGGATGTATGAAGGTAGTGAAGCTAGTAATGGGATTCGCAAAGTGATTTGAGATCTCCAAACAAAATCTTCACAAACTCGTAGCCTAATCACAGATATCAATCTCTGAGGTTCTTAGTTATGGGTACCAGACCAACTCCCAAGAAGTATTGTTGGAAAGAGGCTTTATTGTCACACTATCGCATGGGTGCATTGACTAAAGTGAAGGGGTATTAAAAGGGATCTCCCAGAGTGTTCTACAAAGAACGCACGCAAGTGAGTGAATTCCCAAGAGTTCCAAATCAGATCAAGGGTGTCCTTGGTGACATGGCAATGATGAAGAATACCTGTCCTCCACAAAGTACCATCTAGAAATATTTTTTATGGTTCATGCAGTCACAATATGCATTATTGAATGGGCAAAGATGCTGGTCAGGGGAACAGGTATTCTCATTCTAGCGTTTTTCTTCTTTTTTTTTTCCCATTGCGAGTGTTACCGACCCAAGTTAACAATGGTTAACGGGGGACAGCAAGTACAGTGAGTCAAACAGGAAAACTCAATCCAAAAAATCTCAGGACTATCACTTTAGAACATAGGAATTTTTCACAGGTAAAGAAAGACTATTAGAAAGCATATGCAAGGCACCTTAAAAAATAGCACTCAAGTTAAATCTTATATATAAGCATAAGCAACTGAAACACAAACACAAATGAAAAAAGAGGCAAAACTACAGCTTTTGTTGTACTAACCCAAAATTCTCCCGGTCATCCAATAACAAAATCACATCATATACTTCCTCAAACATTTCCCCTCCTGTACAAGGGGGCATTGCCAAGCCATTTGCTCTATAATCTATCCCCGTAGACTTGCCTGATGCAGAGAGAGGATGATCCTGAGAACACAATGGTAAAGACTAAGTACACACATCTCTTTTAACTGAAGGTTTAATGCTTCTAAAATTATCCAACATAAACAGCTCATTTAGTTTTACATCACAAAGTTACATACAAACTTGGAGCAAGCCTGCAGGGTGAAAGGCCTCTGTAATGCATCTGGATATGCGAAGTCTACACAAGGTAATGAACAGTCAGAATGCAGCTTACTTTGCTACAAAGCAATATGGCATATCTTTAAAGAATCATTTTATGAGAAAATTTGATATGAAAGATCATTAATGAAGATTTTGTGAAATACATTTATTAGGCATTTATAGATAAGTAACCGGTACCTGAAGTCATTGACACAGACTGCTCTTCATTTTCAGTGGAACAAGAATCAGAAGTATCAAAATGATCATTTTCCTGAGTCTGCAAAAGCATTGTGGATGAAATTTTTATCTTAGAAATTTAGGGAATTCTTAGAGAACAAATATTCTTCCAATAGGAAGTCAATAGGCTACTTATAGAGTGGATGAACTAAATAAGCACCTTGCCTATGGCCACATGAGAACCCATGGGATGTTTCTAAGGAATAATAATTTCCTGATAATCTCCTATCATTGAGTGCCCATTGACCTAAAACAATCAATAGATCTATGAAGAACTTTTCAAAAGAAACTGACAACACATTGCGTCACGGATCATTCCAAGGAGACAATAAATCAGTACTCTGTCGTCATTAAACTGTGTATCTATTAAGTAGATGCAAAATCAATGGCGTTCTTAATTGTATACGTCAGAAGAGTTCGGTCCATTAATTTTTCATTTCTTGGCTTCTTGACAGACAGAATGATGCCTTTTAGTCAAAGAAAAATAAAATATAACCACACGACGCAAGGTTACTCCAGTAGAGTTGTTCAGTAACAGAGAATATGTGTAAATATATATGTATAAAGATGTAGCAAGAATTTGGCAAGGTCTTGCTAATGGAATGACAAGAAATAAAATGGTCACAAGCAGCACATTAAAAGGAGGAGAAGCTTATTATATTACTGCTGGGAGAATGCTATATTTGTATTTAAGGTATGCAAACACCCTTATTGAGCCATAATAATTTATACCGGTCATTATACTTTCAATAGCTAAGAGTAAGTTGTGAGGATGTGCAGGATAAAATGCCCTTAGTAGCTCCGTTAGTGTTCACAAAATATTTCCAATCACTGTATATATAAAATAAGTCGAATTAACACAAGCGTCTAGTAAACAACTCAGAAGACGGTGAAACAGTTGTTTCAATAATCAAGATGCTAGAGTTACATTAGAGTTTGGCTAGAGATTTCTGATTTGAGGCAGTTGTAGATTGAGTGCCATATCACACAGGCAAGCACATTTTTTCCTCACCAACTCATATGACTGAGAGATTTCAATAGTGGCAATGAATATGGCTTTCACACAACAAAAAGGCTGTTTCACTTATTTTTTAGACGAATAATATAAATAGCTAAAAGCAAGTCGAAACCTGCTATTCGTTATGGAGTTGATTCCACAGCAATGATAACTGAGCCACAGACAAGTTCAAGGAGCTCTGATTCTTAAAATCAAAAAGTGTTCTTTTTAAAACGGAAATAATCCGCCATACTATCATCCTGAATTAAAAAAATTAAATAAGAATCTTTCTCAAGATATGTAATCATCAACAAGGCATAAATCCATTAATATTAGTTGCACGCAGAGGAAGAAATAACAAGAAATAATGATGCACAATGGATAGAAAGCAGATTAACACAAGAAATATACTGATGCTTAAATAAGAAACCATTACAATCAGAGAAGAAAAAATAAGGCTATATTTCAGGGGGTTCCTTGTGTATGCCCCAAAAATGGGTGTGTGCATACATACACGGTCAAACAGATAAAAGTTACCTTACTAAGAATGTTGTCTCCATTCATGAAAGAGGAAAAAAAATACACAGAAAGCATAAAAAAATGAATACCGTGGTGCTGATGTCCTTCTGAATATTAGATAGTTCTCTGTCGCAACATGTATCATTAGATGGAAATGTCGTAACATTATTGAAAGAAACAGATGAAGAAAGCCCCAATTCTGATGTTCCACATGCGTGACCAGAACATTCTGTCACATTCACAGGTCCCAAAACATCATCCGGAGAAATTAGGCCAGACCTCAAGAGACATTCACAAGCAGCCTCTTTCCCTTCTTCAGTTAACATATATCTGCAAGACAAAAAGCGCTCAGTAGTCCATTTCAAGGGGTAAGAAAGAGTAAAAATGGAACAGAAAAAGCACATGGGAAGCAGGAAAACAGACTAAAATTACAATGTGTAATGTAATCCTTAGTCCTTACAGGTGTTCTTTGATCAATGAATGATAGCCCTATATAATCTTGATCTTTCTTTGACTTGGTTTTGATCTATGCTGAATAATTTGACAATGATAAAGACAAGAAATGCTCCAATTAAGCTAGTCAAATGTAGGTGACAATCCACTGTGGTTTCATCAGCAAGATGGAAATGGATGACAACACTGTATATGAGTTGTGGAGGAGCATTGGATGACTACTTATGTATGCATGTGGGACGAAAAACATTTGCTTCCAATCGAGTCATAAATTTCAAATATTGGTAACAATTAGACAATAAAAGGTTTCACATTCGAATGCAGATGCACAGATCTAAAATTGTATGAAACAGCACTTAGATGTTACTTCCGCACAGTAAATTACAAAAATTGTGGGATACGCTTTTCTCACTATTAGATTTCCGCAATATCCTCAAGGAATGTTTCCTCACCAACACCATTAACCCCAAACTACTGTGTAAACTAGTCATCCAGTGAAGTTTCAATTTAGTAAGAACAGCGAGGCTTTTCCTGGTCCCCCTTTGCCATAATTAAATACGTCTAAATGTAATATTAACATTATTGTCTCCCTAAGCACCATTGTGTTTTGAAAATATGATGCACGGCGTTTAGCATGAAAACATAAGATGATTTATGATTGTATACATCACGTTTCACGTTTCATGCTTTAATTTCATATTATGGTCGCATCATGTGCTATTGATAATAATGGGTGAAGTAACACTATGATGATTAGAGATGATTAAGACTAGTCATTATTTACGATGACTAATATTTAAAAGAAATGAGGAATGTTATTATCTCAAACAAATTGAATGAAGAAATGTGGTTGCGCCCATTGCCTTGAATACAAAAAAGGCCAGAGGTCCATAAAGATGATTACAGCTAGAAACATGACATTGAGTGAGTGTTGTAGAGCCATTTGTTGGCAAGTTGCGGCCTTTCAGAGAACATTAGTGAGTCAAATACTCCGAGTTGGCTTGTCTGAAATCCTTTCACGTATTTATGGAACATATTATTCGCACCTATCTAAGTCAGGTAACAACTATTTAGTTTCCTATTTTCCGCATCAGAATATAGTATGGCTCCCTTGACACTCAGACGCATTCTCTCATCCTTCACAATAATTCCCCATGCTGTCATTTCCTTACAATAAAAGGATCACGGCCTTGGCATTTCGCTTTCTTTTAATGTTTGATAAACAAGTAAATAGCAACAAATTCCCACAAGTAACAACGACCAGAATTAATGGTGTGATGGCTCATTCATATACAATGTCATGCATGTCTAAAATGGCAAGGAGATGAGGAAATACTTAGCTGGGCAGCTAGACTTCACAACTAAACCTCGGTTTACCAGTGTCTTCATGCAGCTCCAGCCTGTGTACCATTCCTTTGCAGAACTTCCATACTGCCTGTGTTTCCCTTTTCCATTATCTCGCCTGGTCAGAGTTGAACTGCTATTTAAGCCAGGGCTCCATCCCCAAAAGAATTATCCGTGCAAAAAGGCCATGATAGTAACTATAATTATAAAAAACTCGATTGTTCACCCTATTGAAGTTCGTGAAAGACCACTTGCTTCCGCCTCATCAATGAGCTCTTGTTTCCTCATGAATTCATTACCCTTAGTGATGCCCCTGAAAAGGAATACCAATTTAAACTGAAAATAATATGCATACACAAACAGGATAGGAATTATAACACTAAAGCGTCAATTTACCTGTAGAGGGTTATCAATAAAGCATATGCGACAGAATTCTTTTGGGGTAAATATCGCTTGGGCGCTCCATGTTTCTTTCCTACCAAAAAATTGCATAGAGGAAATAATTTAAACCGGACGTGTTGATTACATGACAGAATTCCATTTTGACTCTTAGATCCTGTGGCTTAAATTTTTTTAAAAAAAAGGAGCTGGGAAGTAACACGCTTCGAAACCAAAAGCAAAATAAAACAATTTACCATTTTCGGCAGCCTTTTGAAACTGCGGCACCTCTTGATCATCTTGGAAAGCCCCTTTCATGAGACGAAGGATCCATTTTCCAACACCCCTGATAACAAAAAGTGCACGGAAGGTATACCTATTTCCAGACGCGAACATAGGGAAAAATATTTTTAAAAAAAGGACGAAAGTGAGGAACGATTCCATGTCCCAACACCATTACTTGATCCGGGAGAGGTCCTTGAGAGTCTTGATCGGGGTCTTGGCCTCACAGATGTTACGGTAGGCAACTGCAAGCGTTGTATCGAGTTTCTCCGATATTGCGGTGGGATGCTCCGCCATCTCCTTCCTCCTCGTCCATAGGTATAGACCCACCGCCTCATTTTCGCTGCAGCGAATGGGCAATTGGTTCTCCATCTTCCGAAGAAGACCGAAGACAGATACGTCCCGCCGAGATGGAGAGATCAGCACTGACTTTCCTGCGACATGAACTCTGTAGACCAGCACCGAGGGAGGGGGATTCTCCCCGGCCTGTGAGTGCGAGCCCTCGAGAGGTACCCCGAGCAGCTCCCCCGCTTCTCGCAGGAGATTCAAATTTTCAAACCGGGACGAAGAAGAAGCCCACCCCGTTTTCGTCTTCCGAATGGGTAAAAAATAAAGAAATACTCTTTTATAAGTATGACTAGTGAGGAGTTAAATAACAATATGAAAATTAGGAAGGACTTTTTGACAATATGTATCCCACTGATTTAAAACCACATATAACATTATAAAAACTGTACCAAAAAGTGCTGTATTGCACCTCTCACCAAGTCAGGAAACTCAATGAAGATGGATGAGATCAACATGACTAATGAACACAGCCATGAAAGCCCCTCTTGATGACCTTCTAAAGTGTTTGAGAAGGGTCTTACCTCAATATATTACATCTTATTATTGAAAAGTTAGCTTCACAAGGGTACTTATAAGATGTTAAATGAAGCTAAAAGTTCAACTTTTTTTCCTAAAAAAGGATAAAACATGATTTAATGTATGAAAAAATTACTAAATAAGTGAAAGCTTCAAGTAACACTAGATAAAGAATCAGAGTAGGGTGTAGCCAAGTAACTCACATTAACTCTTCATTCTCCCCCCCCTTGTGAGAATATGATTATCGTGTCTAGAAACTTACATCCCCAAATCCCTTGTGTTTAGAGAAATGATCATTCTTCACATCTTTAGGTAAATCAAGATGAGGGTCTCTTCAATTTAATGTATCATAAGTGAGCACAATATTTATTCTAGAACCACAATATGCTAGATAGCTTCTAATAGATTTTGAATTGTGCTAATGGGCTGCAAGGTTCTAGTAGAGTTTTAATTTCATGCACATTTAATACGATATGAGAATATAAATAAAAATAAAAGGAAAAGATGATGTAATGACCTAGGGAGAAAGGTTGTCCTTGCATTCAAGACAACTCATCAAATGATCTTAGGAAGAGGCACCTATTGGAAGGTCATTATGTTTGAAGGCATGTGAAAGAGAATATGTTCTCACATAATGTTCTTAAGTTTATAAAGTTTTAATATTCTAGTTGTATTTTTATATTTGTTGCATTTATCATGACTTTTAGGTGATTTATGGGCATAAAAATGAGTGCTCTTGAAGATTGCCAAGAATTGAAATGGCACCACCATTTCTACTAAATTTGCATTGTATTTCATATAGAATACATTCCACAATATTGACCTTTTTTTATTAAATTATTTTCTTTGATGTCATGAGGATAATTTTTCTTATTTCCATTAACATTGGGCTAACTTTTCTTCTTTTTGTCAAGTTATTTGTTTTGTAAACCTTAAAAAAAAGGCAAGTCATTTCCCCCATCATATTTTCAATGGATTTTCCTAACTAAATAAGAATTTGGTGAATAAATAATATTTTGAAGAAAACATGATATTATGCAAACAAGAAGTTTTCTCCTCCATTATCTATTAAAATATATAGAAATGGAAATAAATTTCACCCATCTTCTTCATGGATATTTTTTTAGCTAACATGTTATAAATCAATTTTTCATTTCTACTTTAATGTAAAAATATTTAATCATGTTACTTTGGAAAAATAGGCCATATCCTCCTCGTAATATAATGAACATATTCATGGAGTACTACAAAGTATAAAATGTTGCTTGTAAAAAAAAGGCCCCTTCTTCTTTGTTGATGCACTTAATTTTGACGATTACAAACATAAATTTATTGAAAAGTTACGATCCCATGTTTTAGTTTGATAAAGGTATAATTGAGTTTTTATTTATATATCTAGCTTAAGTGAATTAAGTGTTCAATATATTCAATAGATTAATCATATTAAATTATTTATCTAATTATTATGATTTTAATTATAACGATTATATTCAAATCTTTGTCTAAGAATGAAGTTGTTTTTGTCTTAAGAATTATCAGTTGAAGAAAGATATACAAATAAAAAGTTTAGTACAATATGTGTTGACACATTTGCAAAAGTGAAATATTTCATTCATATTACATTTTTGATGATCTAACCATTGTGTTTTAATGTTTATCAATTTTATATTATTTTGTATGATATTAGACAAGTTCTCTAAGCTATAACAAATCTAAAATCAATAAGAAAGTAAAGAGTTGATCAGATATTCATTTCTTAAAAAATTATCTTGATGATAATATGTTAGAAAGTATGTAAACATAAAGTGAAATTAAATTTGATGATCTGAGACCAATGTGGATACTAAGTCATTCTCCATCAAGTTGAAACATCTTTGGTTCAAATTTAAATTCAAATAACCATGATAATTAAGAAAATCAAAGATTAGAAAGCCTAAACATAGAAACTGCACATTATAGAAAACATTATTGTTGAAGGAGGAAGTTGGTAGTGGTGGTGTGCACGAGTTAATGTTTTCCTTTGACATGGTCCTCCTCTTGTCACTAAAGTCCAATGGATAAAACACTTGAAGATTAACTCACATCATACTTGTTAAATGTTTAGTATGTGCAAGACGAGAAGGTATGGAGATTTGATATATTGGTGATTGTCAAGGTGCATTCTTCATTTTAGCCTCTCTTAGTTCTTATTTTACTTGTTAAATGTTTAGTATGTGCAAGACGAGAAGGTATGAAGATTTGATATGTTGGTGATTGTTAAGATGCATTCTTCATTTTAGCCTCTCTTAGTTCCTATTTTACTTGTTAAATGTTTAGTACATGCAAGATGAGAAGGTATGAAGATTCGATATGTTGGTGATTGTTAAGATGCATTCTTCATTTTAGCCTCTCTTAGTTCCTATTTTAGTTAATGAACATGGTGAATCTTTTTGAACATTTACACCTGAGTTTCATGCTTACATTATATGGTTGACCATGTATATTTTGATAGCTAGTGCTTTTATGCTAAATTTTCTCACAATGGTGGCAACTGGTGATGATTGAGTCTTCAAGTTTGGGTCTTTTGTTCCATCCATGGATGCTGATCCCAATGTATTTACTTTTACAATGAGGTTAGCACACATTTTTGGGAGCTTGTCATTGCTTTTTGGGATAAACACATTTTTTTCAACTTAAAAATTAAATAGAAGAATTTGCACAAATAAAAGAGGACTTCAGGGAGAGGTTCTTCTCAAGTATCAACAACTCTTCTAAGCTATAAGTGGAAGATGTGTAGCATCAGCATTATCATTCCCAATAGTTTTCAACACGATCAATTTCAACTAACTCAGACTCGAAGCCCATCTCAATGATGGTAGCTCTTGGGACATGACTTTTGTTGCATACCTGCAAAAATGAATCATAATCTTCCCAGCCCAGATATAAATTCATTTCTATCTTAAGAGTTTTTAACATTAAACATATAAAAAGTAAGAAGTATATGATGCACCTCTTGCATTTCTAGTATTCCCAAAATGGTCATGGCTACTCAACTTCTCAAGTAATTATTTATAAAAAAAGTAAATTTATTATCTATGGGTTTGGTGGGTAGAACTGACTCAAAAAAGCATAAAACCAATTATAGTACTAGTCCTCTTTCAACTTGAGAGATCAAAATAAATCTTTGAAGTAAAATTTGGTTCACTAGAAGTTTAGAAAGCCCACTCCAACATTGTGTTGTAGCTTGTCTACCTTCCCTCAAGTAGGGCCCAATCTCATCAGGTTCTGTCACTTCTCACATTGCAATCCCCATCTCAACTGGTCAACTGTGACTTGCCAAAAATGGAGTAAACTAAGAATTATGATCTGATTTGTGAAAATATTTTTCAAAATATGGAGTTTTTTTTATATTTTTTTAATGCAGAAAAATCGTCGCTGGATTCGTATAAAATTTAACTTTTGTATGGTCTGAATAAATTGCCAAATGTTTATCTCAAAAACTATGGGCCTCCTATGTTTCTCATGCATGTGCTTTTGGGAAATGGGGAGCTAGTTATCCGATATAGATAGAGGGCGAAGGCCCAGACAATTTGAATCACCGGCTAGAGATCGAGTGCGTAGGACTGGGGGATCCACGGACTCTCGAGAATGAAGGCAGCCGCGTCGTTGGGATGGGGAGTGGCGACCCGGGGGCCGTGCGTCTCTGTTGCCACGCCGGCTACTACGGTGCCGTGGGCGCTTCTCCGTCGGGGAAAAGCTGCGGCAAGTTGCGCGTTTTCTTCCTCCCCATCTTCGGTTGCCACAACTCGCCCGCATCCAGGTTAGTGTCATTCTCTTCTTGCTCTCGTTAGTTCATTCTTTTCCTCTTTTGGTGTGATGCTGAAGTCTTATCAGCTTACCGGCCTTAACTTTTCTTTTTCGCGATTTGAGATACGTCCCAGTTTCCTTCGACTTTTCTAGTTATTTTGTATCCCTGAAAGCTTTTCTGGACTCCTGGGACCCATGTTACTGTCGATGTTGATGCCCTTTATATTTGCTGAAATCAGATAGGTTTTGAACTTTTCGAAGGCACAGGATGAATGGCTTTTTTTATCGATGAAATTAAACGGCAATGCATTAGGCCACTTCCACGAATCAAAACTAAGGAACTTTATGGCTAGGCTCATTTTCTTTTAAATGGCTACAAAAGTGTATTAGCTATGTGGGAAATCAAATGGGAAGGAGAATGCTGGGAACGATTTTATGACGTTAAAATCTCGGAAAACACCTGCTGTTTGTCATTAAGAATAAACACCAAACAGGCCTTACTAATTTTTATTTACTCTGTCCTAGGATAATTAACTGTTGTTGGAAAATAAACTATATTATGATTATTGTCTTTCTATAAATGCAATTTTTGGATTTTTCTGGTTCCACATCCTTCCTTTTGGCAGAATACCAAAAGTTGTGTTTTTAGATTTTTTTTGACAAGAATTTTTTTTTACTTCTGTCAGAACAAGTCTCAATTGTAGAGCATGGGAAGTTTACAATTGTAGAGCTACTAATAAAGTAATTCATGTTCGAACATTTTATCTACATTGTGTGGATGACATTGGTTTATCATTCTTGTAGTTCTTGGATCGTTTAGTTTCCCTGGCTTGAAATTGTATCAGTTTATTTCAGAGTATGTTTTTATAATTCGTGTCCATTAAAGCAGACCACTTATCATTCATTGAAGACATCGCTGCAGCCAGGCCTCCTGAGCATCTAGAGTGTCTGATGAGCATTCTTCAAACAAGAGGTATCTGTTGTCTGTTTTCACAATGATCTACCTTGCCTATCATGGCATTATTCATTTGTTTGAAGTATATTTCCAGACAGCCAATATCCTATTGTCATTCGGGTTTTGTCTGTGGTCTATTGGCTGATTACATAAACAATAAGTTCCAACTCAAGGATAACATCTACTTTAGCTGAAGATAGATCAGCGGAACAAAGAACAGATATTCAAGATGAACTAAAATGGAATAATGATTAATCAGAAATAAAATGACATGCCACCATTAAATAAGTTGTGAGTGTGAAACCGGTTCCATCGGGGTTTGGATATTTTGGGCTGGGTTCGAAGAGAGCAAGTGAGGGGAAGAAGAGATGCCATCTACATGGGTGATATAGGGTCTTGGCCCACGTTATGCAATGCATACTCAGGCTTCTTGGCTGGATCCCATTGGGCTTGGTCTACTTTTACATCCGAACTTCATTTTGAGGTTTGAGCTTAGGACAAATAGGGATGGGTTTTTGACTCACAAAGAAGAGATCCCTAGTACGGGATTTGTATGAAATGACTATACATATTATTTATTGAGAACGGACTAAACAAAAGAGATTAGACTTTTCATGCAACTTAGGATGTGAGATAACCTTAGGATATTATTTTTTTCTATCATACAGACAAAAAAAATTCCTACAGAAATTCATCAGTGGTAGTTTTTAACCTTTTTCGTTGTATGAGATTTGACTGTTCTCTATGGGTTAGTAAACGAATCAAAATGATTTTAGAAACTACTATCAGATGTCTTTTTAAGCCCTTTACCTGATCACTTTTGACATGTGAAATTCCTCCATTTTTTTTAGATTTATTTATCATTTCTGACTTATTAAATTCTTTATCAATTTCAATTTTCCGTTTGTACTTGCAGAATTCTTTTCATATTTGAAATGTCGTATTTCCAATAATTGTCTAATTTGTGGGCATAAATAATTCGTTATTATTCTTGTTTTTTGAATGAAATATAGGTTCAAGGAATGCGTTCTGATAAAAGTTTTCATTTTCATTTTCATTTTCATTTTATTTGGAAAAACAATGGTGAAAAGTTATTGTTTGGGTTACTGTTCTGCCGAGTCAATTGACATTGACAAGACTGAGCTTTTTTATAATTATTTTATTTTTTAATGTGCATCAACTGGTTCTTAGTCCATATGCTTTTGATACAGGTGAAACAGTTGTATCCCCAGGATCTCGGGAAGGTTTGATTCCTCTAGTTATTCCGTTGAGCAGAAAGTCATCAGGTTTGGGAAGAAGGCTAATAAAATAAATTATTAGTCTTTCTTTAGCCGCTTATTGTTTGACGTTATTTTCAATTTGGTCATCATTCTGTATTTGCCTTCCTTGGTAACAGGTGCTTTAACAGCCTTATTGAGATGGCCAACATCTCCTCCTGGGTATGATCCCAATGTTGGAAATTTGAAATCTTTCTTATTTGCAGCTTAAGTAAACCAATTAGAGTTTGAAATCTTTCTTATTTGCAGCTTAAGTAAACCAATTAGAGTATTCATTTCCCTTTTTCGATCTCAAATAGGATGGAGATGCCAGTTGTGGAAGTTCATAAGCATGGTGTTTGGCTTTTGGCGAAGAATGTAAGAATACTTTAAAAATACAACAGTTATTAGTTACTAGAATCTTTTAATCTGTCTAAGTAGCAAATAGAATTTTTCTTTCTGCTCTTTAGGTTCCGTCATAAGCTAACCAATTGAAAATAAATATTGTCTTTATTTTTGAAGATTTGTTGTTTAATAAAATAGTGTTCTAGTAAAATTCTAAAATGAAAATGCACACCGTTTCGTCTTTGTTAATCAGGATTAATTATATTATTCAACTGTAGACCTTATTCATATTATGCTTCATTTGAGACTTCAAGGGTGGTCTGTTGCCAAATGCTGAAAGTTGTTGCTGTGGTTACCTTCACTATGCTTTAAATAAAGCAAATACATAATTGTGACGTGTATTGTTTGAAGGAAAGCCGCATATTCCTCTCTGCTACTTCTCTGTCGTATTGCATATGCAATAGCCGTCTATCATATTTTCTGTGTTCTTGTTAGTCTCTCGAATTATTTTCAAATGCTTTTACAATATTCATATCTTGGTTTAAAAAGTAGCTTACAGTATGAAGAATGTAAAGTGTCCTGCATTATACCAAAAAGTAACAAGAATTCATTTGCCAGCTGCATTTCCATGTGATGAAGAACATTGGCCCATAGCCTTCAATCCATGAAAGCAAACGCTGCCCAATCCGCGATTATTTTCAAATAATTTTACAATATTCATTTCTTGGTTAAAAAAGAAGCTTACAGTATGAAGAATGTAAAGTGTCCTGCATTATACCAAAAAGTAACAAGAATTCCTTTGCCAGCTTCATTTCCATGTGATGAAGAACATTGTCCCATAGCCTTCAATCCGCGAAAGCAAATGCTGCTCAATCCGCAATTATGAATCGTTCTGTGGGATTGTATAACAGAACATTTCTCATGATCGTAATAGGAGAGACTGATGAAAGGGTGGATGGCGAATTGGACTATGATTACCCCCACTTCCCAGCCAGGGAATGGGGTTAAAAATTGGTTCAGGGATATATGATTTTAGTCTAGATTGGTATTGGCCGATTGCATGTACATCAAACAGAAGTCAACGGTCATCTGAATTTTTCCTCCAGTCCAGTGTTCAGGCATTACTCCCATGTGTGATGGTTCAGTTTATTACTCTATAGCTTTGTGAATTATGCCGGTGTGGGCTGTTGCGTTAAATCAAATCTTTTCATTAGGACGAATTGACAATTTGCAGCATTTTTTTTGCAGGTAGATCAATATATTCATAGAATTTTGGTCCAGGAGGATCAGAACGGGAGTAATGAAAACCTTTTTAAAACTTCATCTTTGGAGAGAATTGGGTTCTACAAAAGGGGTGATTTTTCTGAATCTGGAATATCTGATGTTGATGTCTACCTTTTGAAGAAGGTAGGTCGTGATACACTGTTCTTCCCCCTAAAAACTGGGTAAAGTCTTGTAGTTTATCTTGGTTCTATTTGGCTACCTGTGTAATTCGGAAATTACTCTACCCCCACATCAGGTTGGGCTGTTTCCAGATATCATAGAACAGAAGGCAGCACATCACTTGGGGAAGGAAGACCATGTGAGTGGATATCTGGTCTCTTGCATCTAAATTTCCTCAACCATCTCTTTGGCTCTCCTTTTAGTTCTTTGCTTTCCTTTGTTGTCAAAGGTTTCTGCACTGATTACTGGGGAGTTCTACACAAAGAATCACTTCCCCGGATTTGGGCGGCCCTTTGCATTCAATGCTAACATTTTACTGAAGTTCGTAGAAGCATCACCCGACTAAATTGAGTAGGATCTTTTTGAGTAATTGTATGGAAGCATAGCTTGACGATTCTGAAGGGGCGTGAGGATTGTTGTGTACATTCTTTTCCTTATTCTTTGTGGCTTTTATGTCCATTAGAGTTGGGCGCAAGCCGGAAGCCAAGGACGCTGCTCGAGGGGCTCTCAAGTCGCCATGGTGGACATTGGGTTATCGATATCATGCATGTACCCTCCTTTTTCTTAGCACTTGCTTCTCCTATCAAGTGTTTTGATTAATTTATGAATGTTGTGTTTCTACTTTTCAGGAGGTTGCCAAGATCGCTGAGTGGGAAGATGAGCAAATTGAGTTTATAAAGGAAAAAGTAAGTGAAGATGGCAAGAAGGAAGATCTTAAAAAGGGAAAGGCACCAGCTCAGGTACTTTGGATTCCAATGCTTGTGTCTAATTTTTGTGGGCAGATTGCCTCAGAATGTTCTTCCCTGTTGCTGAGCTAATTTTTCCAGGTGGCACTTGATGAGGCGGCTTTCTTGTTGGATTTGGCCTCTATTGAAGGGACGTGGGACGATAGTGTGGAAAGAATATCTGGATGCTATGCAGAGGCTGGACTCCATGATATTGCGAAGTTTGTGCTGTACAGAGATTAGAAGCCTTTGATCTGCTTGAGGCAATCATCCACAGAGCGCCACCAGCTTACTGAGCATCAGGTCTGTGATAACATCTTCAGAAAGGCTAGCAAGGTACCACACTTTTGTTGTGGGCTGTGGTGAGAGAGACTGATGTTACATATGTCAGCTGGTTCATTGAGTTTTCGTTCTTAATAGCCATAAAAGATCAATGACATCAGATGATTTTTCTTACAGATTCATGAAAATCATCAGTTTGAAAAAAGTCTATGTATCAACTATTTCTTTGGATTTTATTGCCTGCTTGAAAAGAGAATTCAGATGATTTTATTAAACCAATCTGGGTCTTGTGAGTGTTTTAGCTGCACTTTCTTTGAGTGCTGAAAGTTTCCCATGCTCTTCCTTGGCATTTATCCAGTTACTAAGATGCATCTTGGGCACTAAGGAAAACTCTCCAAATAATGAGAAGATCAATGGTGTACTGGTTTTTAGAGCTTTATGATGTTAAAAGCCATACACCATGAAGCCAGCTATTAATGATGAGATTTGATGAATGTAACATTCCTCCTCAAGTTGGTACATAGATATCATCCATGCCCAACTTGCATGTGAGCCGTTCTAATGATGTCTCTATTAATCCTTCTGTGAAGATGTCAACCACTCATTCGATCAATTACACATGAGTGATAGAGATGACTTTTTCGTCAATCTTTTTTTTAATGAAATGTCGATCAATTTCAATATGTTTTGTTTAGTAGACCTCTAATCTAGAGTGCCTTACAAATGCCTTGACTATTGCTCTAAACTTTACTTCTACACTAAATCTTGCAACAACCTTCTATTTCTTGGACCTCTATATAACCAGGTTTCCTTCAACAAATGAGTAATAATTAATGGTTGATCAATAATCAGTGATTGAGTCTGCATAATCAGCATCTATGTAGACTTTAACGAGCTCATCACCACTAGATTTATATAAGAGACCCAAGCTAGCTGTACCTTTAAACATATGTTATATGTAGCTTGAAGATGAACTTTTTTTTGAGTTGTGCATAAATTGACAGAGTAATCTTTCAAGAAATGTAATGTATGGTCTAGTGTGATTCAAGCATATCGATTTCCCAATCAAGCATTGATATTGTCCTTTGTTGACTAGAGGACTGTTTTCACATCGTCCAAGCTTCACATTCGATTTTAAGGGAGTATTTGTGGACTTACAATTTGTTTTGCCTATATCTTGAAGTAAATCGAGTATATACTTTCATTGTGATATAAAAATTCTTTGGTGTGAGTGAGCTACTTCAATGTCTAAAAAATGTCTTACTCTTCCTAAAGATTTGACTTCAAATTACTTGAATAAATTTTAGCTAAGTGCTTCTATTTTGCTAGAGTCATTGTCCATAATTATAATATTAGTAACTCTAACTCATGATCTCTTATCACTTCAGAGTTACTTTTAATCCTCCTACGATAGACTTGTAATTCATTCTTGACAAGTTGTATGCTATTAGATTTCTCAATGAGAGTTTCCATATTGTCTAAATTGACTCCTTCAATTGATGGTGTTAGAAGAATCAAGTTTGGCTCAAAAAACATATTCCCTTGGTGTGGCAACTCTAACTTAACTATATACGAGTTTTGAAAAAACCTATATACTTCATTAAAGGTAACATCTACTGAGATGAAAAACTTCTTCGACATTTGGTCATAACATCTGTATCATTTATGGGTCATAGAATACTTTATAACAACATATCTTATAGCTCTATAATCCAACTTACTTGATGGCTGGGGAACATGCACATATGTGGTGCATCCAAATACTCATAAAATCAAATTACCTTTGAGTCTCACAATGAGATATTTAGAGGATAGAATATCAATTAGACTTTGACCTTTCAATATTTTTGATAGAAGTTAATATATGAGATGAACAACATTAAGTGATGTTTCTCCCCATAAATATTTGGGGACATTTTGATGAAATAATAATGTAAGAGTGGTTACTAACACATGCCCAATCTTCTTTTCTACCACCTCATTCAATTTTGGTGTGTTAACACATGATGAGTCATGAATTACTTCATTTGCACTAAATAAAGTCAACAATATATGATTGAAAAAATTCATAGCATTATTAGAGTGGAAGCATTTAATAGTGGTATTGAATTGACTCTTCACCATAAAAAATAATTATGAATCACATTTAAAATGCTAGACTTTTGTTTTACAATATATATTCATGTATTTTGAGTATAATCATTGAAAAGTATTATGAACTAGTGAGCACCATTTACTAAAATAGTTGGACATGGGACCCATATATCAATATGAATGTAATCAATAAAATTTGATTGCAAGTAGATGACAAATGAAAAGAAGATTACTTGTGTTTAGCAAGTTGACAAGTATCACAATGTATGACAAATCAACTCTTTGAAATATGAAAGAAACATATTTTACAACAATTCAAATCAAGGATGTCCCAATCGACAATGTAAGGGTATGATTTGAGACATTTTTGTAGAATTATCCTAGAGTTCATCATCTACCATGCGGACAACATTGATCCCCCTTTTTCTTCTAAGTAGAGTAGTTCATCCCTTTCCTCGACTTGTCTAATATTTTGGCCTGATACCTTATCAGAAATAAAATAGTTATCACAATCAAACACACTTTGGTAATAAGTATTTTGAACTAATTATGTGGAGATATCAACTAGGCCTTAAGATTAGACACATACAAAACCTTTTTAAAAATTCCCTAATTATATACTTAGAGATCTCTTATTTCAGCAACATTAAATGATCTACCTCTTATAGTAAAATTTTTTTGAGAGTGAGGGCATGCTGCAGATGAATAAATTTAGATCAATGTAGAGTCGTATGATCTGTTGTTCTTGTGTCAAGAACCCACATCTCACTATGAGACTGATCATAAGTGCATAACTCAAATGAAAACAAATTCTCACATGATCTTACTAGATTAGAGCTCTATGTGACCTCAACTTCTCTTGCTCTTGCAAATTTTTATGAGCTCATCACCAATATTTAGATTTATCAATTGATTTGGCTCAATAGAGGTTTAAGCACTCCCTGGTGAGTTTGAAGTTATTGTCACATATGTTTGCCTTGGCTTTGGAGGTTTGTCATGTAATTTCTAACAATATTTCTTTGTATGACCTTTTTTTTATAATAGTTGTAAAATAGTGATTCGTGTAAATTAGTTTTTTAACAATGATGTTGGTAACTCTAATGATTGCCCTGTTGTTCACCACTATTCTACTCTATTGGGGTAGTATTTGGAGCATTCTTGTGCTTAGTGATAAAGGTTGTATTAGTCTCTTTGGGCTCATTTAGAATGATACTTATATGGCTTTCCTTTTTAGCTACAATTTAAATTGTCTCATCCAAGTATGAAATCTTTTCTTGATGTAAGATTTAATCAATAAAATTCTCATACATTGAGTTTAGACCCATAAGAAATTTATACAATTGATCTTTTTGTATATATGATTGCTCTTCATAGTTTAGATTCTTGATCAATTTTAACTAGACAATCTCATGTTAAATAACTTGTATCTCACATGCATATTCAAGGATGAGATCTATTGCCATTCTCACAAGGCTGTAAATCCTTCAATCATTGTGCTTTTTGAAGCAACTCTTATCTCTACAATCTTATAAGTTCTTGACTGACCTCATAAATAGAAAATGTTCATACCTCTAGTTTCATAATATTGAGTACCCATGTGTGAACAATAACTTCCTCTGATTTTCAAATCTGGTGTTGTGATTTAGAAGGCTTGACTAAAGGTTATGTGAAGTGATCTTATAATTCACGACCTAAAAGTATCATTAACTCAACTAGTAAAGTTCTTCCTGTTGAATTGTATTTTTTTTAATATACTTGAGAGAATTTAGTAGAATTTCTCTTTCTTGCTTATTGAAACCAGCATACTTGTAGATGTGTTTGAGGAGTCTTCTACATAGGGCAGGTTGAGTCACTTACAAATACAAATTGAAATATGTCAAAATTGAGTTTGCTTCCACTAACCACTCAATCTTGACAAGGGAAGTAAGAACCTACATTTCAAATACCATGTAAATCATTTGATCAAGCCAAAGGGTGATGGTGCCTCTATTGTTCGGAGAACATAAAGAGGATTGTAAGAAAAAGTGTCTCTTCATTCTTAGTGTTATGATATTTAAGTACAAAGGTTCATCTTCTTGACATAACCCAATAGATCCATATTAGATCTCATAAGTACATAACAAAAATAAAGGGGAGTTAAAAAAAACATAAGAAAGAGGAGGCCTGATGAATGTGAACAATAATCATAATGTTGAAATATAACATGGGTGTTGATGTTGGAAGAATTAGTAGCTAGCTATAAGCACAAACTCATGAGTGTCTAGCATCAATATCGACACCTTGGTTATGCCATACAGCTCTTTGTAATGTGATGGGCCCCTAGTGGGCTTAACATACTTGAGTAGTAAAAGACAAGGCAACTACCCAAAGGCCTAGGGAAAGAGGCTTAGTGGGAGAGAGTATTAGAACATAGTTCTCTTGAAAAACTATCACTTGACTCAACAAATTCTTATTTGAGGTTCTTGTTGGAACTATAATATTTTTGGGGAGAGAGTATTAGAAACTATCATTTGACTTGCAAGTTCATATTTTAAAATTCTTGTCGAAACAATAATATTTTGTTCTTTCAATTTTTCTATTTCTCTTACTATTTTGGGTCATGTTCTCATCATTGTCTTAGGTTATCTTTACTCAAGTGTAAATTGGGTTTGATATTTACATTAGACCTACAAAACTGGACCATACAAGATCATGCAAGTTCTACAATGAATTAGACTAGGCTAAGTATGAAGGTAAAAATATAATAAGAAAGTAAAAGTATAATAAATACTATTTTCTTATAGTCTAACACTTTCCCTCAAGTTGATGAATAAATGTTATCCATTCCTAGTATAGATATAAGAATCTAGAATGTTTGACAATGGAGCCCCTTAGTATATTTGCAAGCTGATTGTGTATTAACAAATGAGGCATACAAATTACATCAATTTTAAACTTTTTTCTAGATGAATTGTTAATCAACATCATTATAGTTTGTTTAATTATGATGTATTAAGTTACGTGGAGTATTGATTGCAGACTTTTTGTCATAATATAACTTCACACAATCATCTCACTTGACTTTAAATTTTATAGAATATTCTTTACCCAAAAAAGTTCATATGCACTTTAGTCAATTATTTGAATTTTGATTCTACATTTGATTGTAGTTTCATACTCTGTTCCTTACTTTGTCATGCCATCAGATTATCACCAAAAAGGGTCTAACAACTCGTGGTAGGTTGCTTGCTAATGATTGACCCTTGACCTTCAAGACAAGGTGGGATTTTGACATAGCCAAGGGCAAACCTACGGATAAATAATATGAACCATAGTATAGACAGTAAACCATTTTTTGGTAGAGTGGTATAATCACAATATTGTATACATAATCACAAATAACCTTTGATACGAGCACAAATAACTTTAAACCCTTTATGAATTCCATTTATGTTTAAAAAACCTATTACGTGCAATGGAATGTAATCCTCATGATCAGATGATGAACTGCATAAGATGCTCTTGCATGTTGTATGAGTGTGAATTAATTCTTCATTGCCAAGTGATAATATTTTTTCTTGTAGACAATGTATTAAGAGAACTTGATGAATTTGAGAACATTAAAATATGTCTAAAATGATGATAATAAGATGGTAATTTGAACGATTTCGAGTTCCTTGATTTGTAAAGTTAATGGAAAACTTTTTAAATCTGAAAAGAGAACACAAAATGGCTTCTTAATTAGATGAGATCCATGGTGAATTTAATGAGATTTTTTTTTTTCTGAAACCCACCCATGCACACTAATGAGTACAATGGTTTCATTTACAATGACATTTTATATGATGAAAAATAAAGCAAGCTCACTTTTTTCCCCCTATGAATGACTCATACAAAAATGATGCCCCGTAAATTAAATTTGGTTTAAATTTTATTAACTGAGTTTTAAATAAACATATTTGGGTTAATTATAGATATAGTTAAGTTATGGCCTATTTATTATTTCTACTAGAAAGGTTTCTCATTACATTTTTTGTATTTTACATATGATAAAAATCTTCTTAAGAATTAGAAAAGCCGATGTGAAACATGTTTTCAATAAATTTTAGAACATACCCTTTTGGAGTGTGTTCCTATATTAAAATATGCACATTTTAGATAAACATCAAAAGCCTTGCAGGACATACACTTAGGAGGAGAGTTACTAAAAAATGCAAGCTTTTTATGCATCTTCATGTTGTATACACACCCAATCAAAATATCTACATCCTAGGGATTTTTTAAAAAGACATTTAAAAATGAGTTCTTTCTTCTATTTTCAATTTGAATCCTCTTGGGAGACTATTTTCCAATAATGTTTTAACACCTAGGTTTAGCCTTTGTTCTATTTTTTTGGAACCTAGGTCTAATGGGCATGCTGCAACCTAGCCCATTGACATCCAATGTTATTTTAACTATGATTAGAAACATGATAAAAGTTGTAGTCCATAAGATGGGACTTAACATTGACCATTATGAAACATTTGCTTAATCAAGTGACTACTCTATATCTAGTTACAATTGTGGGTGTGAGTGGGAGAGAGAGAGAGAGAGAGAGAGAGAGAGAGAGAGAGAGAGAGAGAGAGTTAATAACATAGGATAATACTTAGTTCTGTCAATTTCCAAATCCGCAAGTAGCGAATGTATGCTTTTTTGAAAAGTAATCAACCAAATGATATACTGGTCAGACTCTTCCCATGTTCAGGAATGTCTTTGAACAAAATTAGTAATTATTCATACCAGTCAATACCACTTAAATGATGTTAATAAGGAGAAGCTTGGACGCTCTTTTTCCTGACCTAGCAGAGTCAGATGGGCAGTCATGAGGAAGGTGGATTATTTTCAAAGACCAACGAGAACGTATGGACTAGAAGATCACAGCTGAAGACCAGCACTTGAAGGGATTCAGACATTTGAAAGCTTCCTCCAAGAGCAACAGGTGTGGCACGTTACTTTCTTCTCTCTCTAGTTTTTTTTCTAAGTCAAAAGTCCTTAAAAAGCTTCTAAAATGTATCGCCACATCCTTTTCTTGAAAGGTTAGATCAATTATCTTCGATATATTTTCAACAGAAAATTCAAGCTCATAGTCTAGGTTTATAAATTATTATATTTGACCATTACTTTTTGTCTTCAAGATGGCGGCATGAGATAGAGACCTTGCAAATTCTAGAGAAAAAAAACTGATTATTTGGGATTAAAACATATTCCCAACATTATTTTATAGACCCAAATTTTAGATACCTCTTGGAATATCTGTCTGTTCAAAGTACTTCTCCGTTGCCGCAGGCTGACTGGCGGACGGTGCAATCTGCCCTTACCCCAGCGCGCTTCCTCACCGGCGGCGCCGCTGGGCCTCGACGGAGGTTTCTCCAACCTTGCCGCCGTAGTAGTGTCGTGTGAACGGGGGTCAGGCCCCGTCGTCAAGCGCCGCAGATCTTGACGGCTCGTCGGCAGCGGCTCTTGGCCACATGCGAAGAGCGGCTGCCCGCCATTCCTCTCTTTGTCGACCCGCCATGGACGCCACCAATGGGCCCGACAGCGAACCAGCGAGGCTGACCGGGAGATGACACGTCGACCGCTTCCTCTATCCCGTAACGTCTCTCTCTCTCTCTCTCCTCTCCTTCTCTCCTCCTTTTCTTCTCTCTTTCTCTCTCTACAGGGTGGGGCCACAGGCTGAGAGCGACCCGGCAAGGTCGTCCCATGGAAGTTCGATTCGATCCGCAGGACGAGGTTCGGCTGCACATAGCGAGAGAGAGAGAGAGAGAGAGAAGAAGAGAATTCCTGGGTTGTCGACGGAAGGGAGGAAGGAGCCTTTGATCCTCGGAAGATGTCCGCCCTGGATTTTCGAGAGGAGGGAGGAAGCAAGGGGGATCGATCGCCTGTAAAAAATATTCCGGACTTTGCTTACAGACTATTTGGAAGGAGGGGAGGAATTTCGGAAGGTCAGTCGAAGCGGCGGCAGCACCAGGCGGAGACGGAGAAGAGCGCGCGGTCCTGCCAGCACAGCGCGTGGCACCCGCCGGCCTCGTCGCGCACGCCGTAGCCGCCGCATCCGGTGTAGCCTTGCTGCAGCAGCCGGCGTGCCTGCAGCAGCGCGTAGTAGCTGAGCGGGACCCGCAGGAATCCTGCGCAGTCCATCCTCCGCAGCCACCGCTCCAGCCGCTCGTGCCGCTCCCGCCGCTCCGCCCCCTCGGTGGCGACGATGTCCCTCATCTCCTCCCCGAACAACGCCCTCTCCACCCGCGCCCGCTCCTCCCCGCGGCCGCCGGCGGCGGCAGCCGCGGATTCGAGGCAGTCGAATAGCGCCGCGTAGTAGTTGAGCGCCTCCGTGAACCGCTCCACCAGGGAGCCGCCGTTGTGGTCGGACTCCTGCTCCACCACCACCATGACCTTCGGGGCCAGTCCCCACAGCGCCGCCAGGAAAGCGTCCATCCTCGTCGAGCACGGTGGTGACGGCGCGGAGGACACGCCGGAGTCGCCACTGCGCAGAGCCGAGGATCTGGATGGGCTCGACGGCTTCCGGTAGGCGTCGGGAGCGAGGAGGCGGTGTAGCTGGAGGATGGAGCAGACGGCGACGGCCTCGCCGGTCTTCACGCGGAGGCTCCGCTCTGTGTCGAGATCCTCGAGCTTGGAGACGACGGGGTTGAACTGGAAAGGCACGTCGAGCTTCTCGGCCTCGTCGGAGAGGCGGGAGGCTACGAGCTCGAGGACCTCTCGCTGGTCGTGGACGCCGGTGATGCGGAGGTGGGGGGCGCCCTCTTGCCGGCGGCTCAGGGCCTGGAGGAGAGCGATCCATGGGGAAGGGTCGGCGGCGTGGAGGTCGATCAGGTGGATGACGTGCTCCCCTTCCATGGCCTCCAGAATGGCTTGGTTAGCGATGACGTATGAGAGCTTGAGGAAGGGGCAGAGGTCGAAGAAATGGCGCCGGGCGAGGAGGGCGGCGGACGCGGGGGAGGGGGCGGCAGTGGTGGCGCCGCCGACACCGGCGGTGGTGGTGATGGCCCGGAAGATGCCCGGCCAGGAGGAGCGGAGGAGGCGGCGGGCGAGGGCGTCGGTGAAGAGAGCAGCGATGCGCTGCATGGTGTCGCCGTCGGGGGAGGCGCCGAGGAGGGCGATGTGTTCCAGGCAGGCGTTGGCGTGCTCGAGGTCGCCGGCGGCGACGTAATTGGCGCAGTTGAGGAGGAGGTGGATGAGGAAGATCCCCCGCTCGTCGGACTTCATTTCCTGGGCCGCCGGCGGCGAGCCGCGGCCAGCGGCAAGCGCGGTCCGGGAGATGGACATCAGGGAGAGGAACTGCAGCGGGGACGACGCCACCGAAGACGACCCTTCGTCCAGCACTGCCATTCCCACCATCAACCCCCCCGCCGCCGCCGCCGCCGCCCCAGCTCTCTTTCTCTCTCCCTCTCTCTCTCTCTCTCTCTCTCTCTCTCTCTCTCTCTCTCTCTCTCTCTGTTCCTCCTCCTTCCGCCGCCGGGCCGCCTCGCCTGGTTCAGACCGGAAGCAGTGCAGGGCCTAGTGGAAGATGGTGGGGGAATCGAATTCTCCTTGGTCTTGCTGTGCACCAGAAGCTATAGGAAAACGACCAGGAGGGTGGGCAGGAAGAAGCCGAGCCAAAATCCCTGTCAAAAGCCAGAGAAAGAGAGAGAGAGAGAGATGGCAGAGAGAGGATGGATAACCAGTAGGAGGAAGAGGTGGAGACAAATGAGGGGGAGAGTCGAATCTGCTCTTCCTAGCGAAACAGCGGAGCCAGGGTTTCGTCCCTCTTCCTCCTATTGTGCAGAGAAAGAGAGAGAGAGAGAGAGAGAGAGAGAGGGAGGCTTTACTCAAGTCATCCGGGAGCACAGATCTCCATGCGGGGGGGAGAGCTCTGAGCCCATCCGAGCCCCCATGTGGGCGGGCGGGAGGTTTTCTCCATTTATTAGGGTAAATATCAGAGTGGATGGAATTCCGCTGCAAAGGAGGATGGGTGGATGGATGTCCGCGTTTTCCTTTTCTCTGTCGAATTGATGAGGAGAGAGAAAGGCAGCCCCCGTCCCCGGCTTGTCCGCTGGTGAGGGAGGCGACAAGGGGGAAGTGCTCGCTTGTCTCCGTCTGGTTGTTGTCGCTTGGAAGAGCAGCGGTGGGTGGAATTTCTCGGAAGAAAACCAGAGCGAGTTTCTTCCTCCCCAAGCAGGGCAGAGGTTGAAGAAGGGCCCGGAAGAGACAGGGGCGGCGCAGGCCAGTCCAAGATCCCACAAGCCCGCCTCCGCCGGCTTTCACAGCTCTGTCAAGGCGGCACTTTGACGGCGAACCCATTTCTTATTCACCGCCGGCCGCCGGCCCTCCTTGTCCAGCGCCGATTCCCCCTTCATTTATTCCTCATCCCCGCCAGCGGCCAAGAGCCCCCCCACAAGACCAGTTGCAGCAGCCCCGCCCTGTTCCCGTCGTCTTCTTCCTCCGGACGGACGCTGCGAGGTGGCGGCCATGGCGGGGCGGAGACCACGTCCATGGGGACGCCTCCAAAAACCCCGCTCCTTGTCTTCTTCTCCGCGGCAAAGGCCCGTCCAAATTGTTCCCCCCCTCCCCCTCTCAGGTTTAGAGCAGAAAAGGACAATGGGCTTGCGGACGACTCCAAGAAGACCAGTCTCCTCCCCCAATCCCTCTCTCTCTCTAGAACCAGTGGAAAAGCAAAACGACTGCGGCACGCTACCACGCTGGGTCCAGCCCGTGCGTCTCCTCGTGCACCGGCGCACCGTCAGGCCGCCCACCCACGCGGAAGCGGACCTCGTTTCTGGCACGCGCGCCATCTTTTTATGCCCCGCCGTTCTCGGCTGGCTCCTCCTCCATGTCGCGTTGCACCCGGCCGGAGGTGGCTAGATGCGAGAGGCGGCGCGGCCGCAGGGATCACGCGCCGGCCAACGCTTCGGCCTCTGCGCCATTAGCCATATCTATCTATCTTTCTATCCATTTCGTCACTAAGGTTCAGATTCTTTGAGGCTCACGGCAGAACAGCAGGCCAAGAATCATCTCAAATTTGGTTGTCTCATGTGATTCGGGAGCAAATTATTTGAAAACGGTCCAGAAATACTACACTCGCAGAGTATTTGTATTATTGTTACTCTCGAGGTGGAAGAAAGTTGGAGGAAAAATGAGAGTTTGGAAAGATATGAATGCCCATTGAAGCCAATTGGGGAACATTTTATCGAGTGCCCGGTTGAATTCGGGATGAACCCAGTTTGGAAGGAAGGCTAACAGGGCGTTTAGTTTGAAAAAGTCAAGAGCTTGACGTGATGGGAATATGAGATGTTTCTGTCCGTCTCATTTCCCACCTTCTCGGATGATTTCAGAGTGAGCTTGTTCCGATCCCACTGGAAGGATTTCTCGGCGGCGGTCCTGCCCTCGGAGCAAGTCTCAAGAGCTCCTCGCCGGTGCCGACTCGGCCTCACCGCCTCCCGTGACCGGCCGTACTCCGTATCGTCCGTCGCCAGGGCCACTGGCCCGTTGCGCCCAGTGGGTCTCCAAACGCCGGCGGAGGGGGCCTGTCTCGCAGAGAATGGCGGCATCCGGAACGACGACCACCGCCGGAACCATCCACAGGGCGGTGACCCTCTCTCTCTCTGTGCTCCCATTCTTTCTCCCTTCGTCCTCGTACGGGCCTGTGAGAGCGTGCGGTGCTCATGCACATGCAGAGTGCAGGCACTCGAAGAAAGCGACGGTCTTTTGTGGAATGTGATATCGGAGTCGTAGATTTTTTCGGAATTCTCATCGTTCACACGGCTTTTTTTTCTCTACCTGAGGTGAAATAAAGTTACCGAAAAAATGCATTTCCAGCGCATTTCTATGATATTTATCCCCCTTTTGGCAGTAATTCTGCTCCATATTACGAGGTCTGCTGTGACAAAATTACCAGCTTCCCTGCCTCCTACTGCTGGGTAGGAGAGACCACCGGATTTATCTTGACCTGAAATGTACCCTGGTCAAATAATCACAAATTTTTGATACTAGCAGGGCAATTTCCTTATTCGGCAAAATCCATCTCAACATTTTGAGTTTGACTTTTCACTTTGACCTTCCACAAGCTTTGGGTGGGTACCTTTAATCCCATCTAGTGTTTCTCTCTCTCCTGGTTTTCATGCAGTGCTCTGACCCCAACACAAGGGCCAGCATAAAACTATGCTCGAAGCTTGATGCCCAGAGGAGAGTATGGCAGAGTGAAGACTGGCTCGAACTCACCCGGCACGTTGACCACACTGAGGGGGCTCCTCACTCTGTGCTTCCCGTCAGACCACGTCAGCTGCCCGAAAACAGAAGGGCCGAGATCCTCTCCCTGCTTCTCCATCGTCACCTGGAAGGTCTTCTCCTCGCCGATCCTCGAAAACGTCAGGATCTTTGGCTCCACTGAGACGGAGACTCCAGGAGGCGGCCTGACCAGCGCTTGGTATGCGCCAGGTTTTCCGACGTTCTTCACGGTACGGGTGATGGTGATCGGGTTTGTGAGATTGTGGACGGTAATTGACGGGTAGTTGAGATCCTCGAGCTTCATCGGCACCGCTGGGCATGAGGAGTTGCCGACAGCGTAGACGGGGATCTCGTCCGGGTTGTAGCCGATGGCGCAGAGAAAGTTGAAGTAGTCGCGGGCGCCGAGGTCGTAAACCAAGCCGGGGTCCATCGCCTGGTTGGGATGAATGTGACCGGATCCGTAGTCCAGCGGAGTGGCGGCTCTTCCGGTGGACTGGTCCTTGATGACCTTCCCGCCTTTGTACCGAGTACTCGCTGTTAGAGGGAAGAGAAGCAAAGCCTGTGAAGTGAAGCAAATCATCGCCGGCGAAGTCAGCTAATCCAGAAAATGCGGCCATGGAAGGAACAAAACAAGCATTGTCGTTCCTGGTTTAGCTAAAAAGAATTGGGTCTCATGATTGGGAAAATTCTGGGCTAATATCAACAATCCTTTGAGGAAATACTTCGTTGTTCTTCAGTTTAATCCTCTGAATATGCAGATGATGAGACCCAGATTCAAGCAGTAGATAAAGCCATCTCATATAGTAGGATGATTGACTAGTAACTAGATCAAAATTTTGAATAACACCATCAAACCTGATGGAGATCATTCTTCTTTACTCTAAAAAACTGTTCGAATATAGCAGATTTAAATGCATAAAACGTACCAGTAGTCATGATAGCAGATTTGACCGCAGCAGGGCTCCACTGAGGATGAAGCATTTTGAGAAGCCCGACCACGCCGGAAACATGCGGGCAGGCCATCGAGGTGCCGGATATGATATTGAAGGCAACACGCCGAGTATCAGCTTCTGCAAAGGTCGGGGCTACACCTAGAGAATAAGCAGCGAGAATATCTACGCCTGGTGCAAGGATATCAGGCTGCAAATGATGGAGCAGAGAATTGTGAAGAACAGAGCTCATCAAAGCACGAGTTGCAGAAGAAAGGATTCAGAGGTTGGAAACCTTGAGGATCTGAGGGGAAACAAAAGTGGGTCCTCTTGATGAAAATGAGGCCACATATGGAGCTTCTTTCAAATGGTAGTGCGATGTTGGTGCACCAATACGTCCTACAGGTGACCTGTAAATCAGTGGATAATTATTGTTCTTTAGTAGGACTAGAAAAAAAAAAAAAAACTCTAACTGGAATATGGTGAATTTATTATAGTTTTTTAAATGGGCAAACCTTAAATAACGATTGTGAAGGGAAAAAATTGTTTTCAGCGAAACAAAGCAATGAGGGGTTCATACAGTCCATAACTATTATGTCCGGAAGTATTAGAATGCAGCTTCTCTCGGGAGTGATTTAATCTCGGGTCTAGACAATGCATTTATGATAGGTAAAGATTGTGTCTTTTAAAGAAGGTTTGGAAGAATGCAGGATAAAAAAAATATAACCCCCAGAATGAGAGAAGGGTCCTAAATAAAATCAAAGAATAAATCTCATAAAGCCCTATGCTGTTAAATACACAATGAACGCTTATGATTTGAGATAATTCTGGTAGAAAGATCGCAGATATTTTATTTTTGATATTTTTGAGAAAAAGTACAACAGTTACGTGCAGGAAGATATTTGCACAGCAGATAATTTTTGAGATAAATATGGCCCAGATGGTTTAAATTAGAAAGTTTTAACAGTCTGTATGCACCTGAACCCTAAAGTGTTCCTTTGAAGGGTCAGAAAGGATAAATGTGCTCCATTACCCTGATAACTAGGAAGGTTCAGCAATTAAAGTAACCCTAAAACCCTTTTTGGGTGTGTTTTACGATCTGATATTTTCATGACATACAGAAATAAATAGCTTTATCTGGAAGTCGCCCTTATGGTTTTGACTCTTTTGTAATGGATCGGAAAGGCTATCACATAATCTGCATCAAATTGTAATAAAATGTTCACATTCTTTCTGGTCAGATGGTCTTCCCTGACATGAAAATCTAGGTATTCGCCGGCATCAGATTATGATAAATCTGGAATAAATCCATAAGAGAGATAACAGAGCCTCAAACCGTATTATTTTGTGTCATTATATGTTCAAAACATTAAATTATTTGCCTAAACTTAGACAGTTGGTTCAGGTTGTGTCTATCATATTCCCCACTTCCAACTTTGTTCAATATCCACGCAGGTATATATAGTAAATACTACTCTGAATAGAAAGTATTCAGAGTATTTACCTCATAGAGAGTAATGTCAAGATAACAGCGAGCTAGCTGAGATACCACGACAGGGCTTAGTAGATATGATATCATAGAGATAAATAACTAGAACAGCTGCCTATGGTTAATCAAACTTAAGATTAATCACCACATCATAGGAAAAATGTTTTACTGAAACAGAAGCCAGAGTCTTACTGTGTAGAGTTGAGGTAGGAGAAGATGACAGTGCCAGAGTCGTAACTGACATGAACAGCAGGAATCATATAAGGGACTGCTGTGAGATATCTACCAGACGAGGCATCATTTACAAGGATCGCTCCAATGCCACCGGCCTCAGAAACTGCGTGGACCTTGCCCATTTTATCGTCGTCCCCGCGAAGGCAGACGACAATCTTCCCCTTCACCTTCTCCGGCTCAAGAGATCCAAGGTAGCAAAGTTGCCTAAAATTTCATGTAAACCCAGATGAAAAACACCCCTAAAAATGCGAACTTTGTTGAAGTAAATGACATGGGAAGATAGAAACTTTGGTCTCAGACTTCCGAGATCATGAAAACAAAAGGATAAACAGGAATTGAGTGGAATATAAGTATGATGCCGTTGAACAAAATCGTCCGAAAAATCATATATGAACAGCAATTGAGTGGACTATAATCATCGCAAGTCCTTACGCTTGTTCTGTACTCGCGCTGGAAACTTTAGCATCTGTGGAAACAATGATTGGGTAGAAATCCTTGGGAGGGAGGCGTCCTGAGGCGAGGCTCAGTCCCTGACATCCGATTGCAGGATCATATGAACACCGCCGGGAAGATTTTCAAAGAAAAGAATGCCGAAAGGAGGATCAAGGGGAAAGATCAGAAGCCGAATGGAACAACAACATCCGCCCACTGACCTCGACGTGCTCCCCATTGCCGAGAGAGACGCGGGAGGTGAAGGCGCGGCCGTCGGAACCCGCAGCCACCGTCAATATCCATGGCGCCGAATTGCGCACCGAGTACGGCTCGGGCCCAATGTTCCCGGCGGCGCACACGACGGCGATGCCCCTCTCCACGGCGTGAAACGAGCCGATGGCGACGGAGTTGGCGAAGAAGTCGGGGGCGGTGCTTCCAATGGACACCGAAATCACATCGACCCCGTCGTGGATTGCGGCGTCGAAGCCGGCGAGCATGTCGGCGTCGGAGCACCCGGTGAGTCCGCAGACCTTGTAGGCGGCGACCCGGGCTGCGGGGGAGCCTCCCTTGGCGGTGCCATTGGCGAGGCCGAACAAGTTGGCGCCGGCGACGAGGCGGCCGGCGGCGGTGGAGAGAGTGTGGGTGCCATGGCCGTCGAAGTCCCGGGCGGAGCCGAAGCGGCTCCCTTCCGGAAGACCCTTGCTGAAGGACTTTGCCCCGATCAGCTTCCTGCAACCGCCCCCGAAATCAATACGAGCACATTTCTCTGCAACCCGCCTACTCCATTGGACGAAAAAAATGGAAATCTGCGCAAATTGTGGAAGATACGGAGTGCAGAGAAGAGAAGGTCCTTTCACCTGTTGCAGGGGACATCTTGCCCTTCACAGGATCCCTGCCACCTTGCCGGGACCGGTCCGATGCCCTCGTCTCTGAAGCTCACGGACTCGGGCCACACACCTGGGACGGTCTCAAGAACACAAAGACAAAAAAATTTAACCCAAAGATGCCGAAAAATAATGCTCCAGTTGAATCTTTTGGAGGGCATATATCTCGTTGTCAAGAACAAAAGCACATAGAAATTATTATTTTTTGTGAATAATTGTGAACCCACCCACCTAGGAAAATTAGAAAATATTACTCATTCTGTCATTTATAAACATGCGAGTTCTCAATTGTCCAACAACCAGCATCTTTTGGCTTGGGCACCACTTGGATACAGTAATCCTTTTCATCATCAAACCATGCATGGTTCTTGCTCAGTGAGGATGTTGATTCCTTAAAAAGGGGAAACTATTGAATGGCGCTACTGACCTTCTTCTTACGGCTCCAGCACGGGTTCTAGACTAGAATGGGCATAGAACCCGTCATTTCCTGACATCGATTTGTGTGTGTGTGTGCGTGTGATAGAGAGAGAGAGAGAGGACCAGAATCAAGGCTCCCGATGATCACATCCTCGCCAAATCTCGCCTTGGCCCAGATTGAGGAGGGGGGGATCACACCATCCTTCTCGAGGCCCATAAACTCCCAGGATTTTGTCGTCTGCAGCTGCCACAGAGTGTTGGGAAACACAGAGATGACCCCAGGTTTCTCTGCGCAGAGGAGACAGGGAAATAAGAAGAAGATCAGTGAATTCCAAAAAAGGAAGGAAGGAACGAGCATCCGATGAGGCCATCGTCTCACCTGCGATCTCCCTGGCCTGCTCCTCGTCGAGGTTTGCGGCGAATCCATTGATGCTGTTCGTGTACGAGTAGATGATCGACTCCCCGGCATTCTCTTCGCTTCAGTGAGAACCGGAAACCGTGGTCAGAAGAAGAGTCTCAGCCTAGCTACTACCTCGTCTTCTGCAGAGAGGCTCGGATGGAGTAGAGAGCGAGATTGAGAGAGAGAGAGAGAGAGAGAGAGAGAGAGAGAGAGAGAGAGAGAGAGAGAGAGAGAGAGAGAGAGAGGTCTTCACTCTCCCATGATAGCCCCGAGGAGGCTGTGGTGATTGCTCCTCGCCCTCTCGTAGTCCTCCGGTGAGGCATCGGGGCCATGGAAATGCCTTCCGAGGTATACAACATAAGACTGCTCCTCCCAGCGCATCGAAGAAACCAGTCAGTCCTCCGGAATTCGAAGAAAGAACGAAGAACGGAGGACACGGTGCGCCTAGAGAGAAAGAGAGAGAGGTGTTTACTTTCTTCTCGGCTGAGACCCGCGCCTGAAGCATCAACGACAGAAGCAAGCAGGAGATGAGGAGGGGGTACATCTTCGCACAGACCGCGTTCACCTTTCCTCCCTGCTCTTCGATATACGATGGGTTGGGAGGGGCGTTGTGGAGAAGAATGGTGGCGGGGAGGCGACCGGCTATTCCGAGTGAGGATGAGGCTTCCGGCCCACCATCTCCCATGGCGCCTCAGTGAAGGCGGCGCCGGGTCCCTCGGGGTGGCTCTTCAGGAGGGGGCGACGACGGCGGACGGTGGTTTTCGTGCATGGGCCTGCTGCAGCCGCAGATAAACAGGAGACTATTTTGATGTGCAGAGAAAAAAATATGAGTGACTATTCTACGTATTTACTATAATTGAACCGTACAAATTAGTAGAGAAACCAATGTGAGGAAGTGGAACTTCGACCACACCGGGGAGAGGAATCTAAGAACATAGCAGAATGATATAAGAAGAAGGATGTGGAAGCCGTAGATGAGGAGTTGACGATAAGCTGAACTTTCTGACTATGGGAAAGTCACCGACTTGAAGATGTTGGTAGTGGGGGAGGAATAATCAGAAAAATAGGGCAGATGGGTTTTCTTTTCCCTCAGCCGATATTCTTGATCTCTAAATTCATCATACAAGCTCAAGTTTGCGCATTAATTAATTACATAATTTTTATATGAATAGCTCGCCTTGGCTTAGGTGCATGCATAAATAAAGAATTTCCACCAGTTAGATTTCAAGAAAAACATCAGAAAATTAGAAATAGGGAAACATGAAAAAAAAAATGTTGAAATGGAAAGAAAGTACTGACCTTGACGACGCTTGACTGGGATGATTATTTTTTTTAATATATTTATCAAACTGAGCCTGTAAATCTGCTTGTTTTATAAGATTGATAGAGATGTAAAGGTAAGTAAACTTTTTAAAAATGAATGAAGAGAATGAGGGTGTACTTACACAAGCTTTACTATGAGCACTATAATTCTTGAAAGCCCAGATACTATTGAAAGTTGAAATCAGCTTGTATGGTACCTCAAGATATTTTCGTCTCTTAGTCCATTATATTGTGTGATTCCACCCAAACACTTCTACTAGCATAATTTTTCTATGATTTTATCACCTGATCACTACCACATAAATTCCAACAACGTTTTCTCAAATGGTGGTGGATGGATAAAGATTTCAAAAAGCATTTAATCAAACATATGCATTGTACCCTTTATGTACTTAAAAAGCATATTACCTCCAATCATCAAATCTCACAAGGAAGGAATAGTATTGAAACTAAGCCCATTCTAACTTTGCTTTGTTTCATTTGATAGTGTCTAGCTATGTTATTTCATTGAATAGCAATGTAAACCTAGGACAGTCACATTTCCTTGTAGATAAAATACTACAATGCAATAACTTGGAAGTTGTAAACTTTATCTCTTTAAAAAATTAAATATATACAATAGAATAAATATAATGTGATGACTTCTGCATTCTAAAGAATGCATATCATTTTCAAATATAATTTTTTTTGTCGACTCTCCTTTTAGTGTTTATGGAATATGTTAGAATATTTGATTTGAGATTAAAAAAAATGAACATTTGTAGGAAAGCTTTAATTGATTCTATGGCCAAGGTGACATTTTTCATCTAAGAAGTGACCATAATTTGAGATTATAGTCTAGTTCTTGAAACTCCATTTTCCATTTGGACCAAAATTGGATTCATTCATTTTAATAAATGCTCCAAAGGAATTAACATCAATTACCAAAAGGATATCCCCTTTTGGAAGAAATCTAGTGAGAGCCATTGCCACGACTCATGGATTTTCTATACAATGTATATTTATTAATATATGCATAGAGTTTCTTGGACAAGGAAATTTTATTCAACTTTAAGGACAACATGATTGCATGACCTCAAAAATGCTAATAATATGCATATCAATAATCAAAGAATATTGAATTTTCCTATGATAGAATTCAAAGTATATGTCACTAATTATATTAAGTTTCCAAATTCATAGTACATAATTTTAAGGTATGCTGTAAGTTTATGCACCTCATGCGAGCCTATTTTAAAAGTTTTTTTTAACTATATGACATGAAAAATATTGAAATGAACAAATAGTTACCTAACAATACAACTTTTAGTATGTACACTTTTTAAAATTAATAAATTTGAGATGTCCCTATTCCTATTTAGTATCATTTAGTTCATATAGTGTTTTGAATGATTTGTGGAAAAGCTGTGACTCTTTCTTTTAAAATATGTGTAATTTAATTTTACCCTCCAATAAGCCAAGTAATTAATCATGTTGCTTTTCAATTAGACTTTGAGTTGTTAAGACATATATTAGGCTATTATTAATTAATTACCTTTCTAGTTAATTATAGGTAATGAATACTTAATTTAAAAAGGCTGAATAATCTTCATAGTCATGTTCCCTCTCTCCCGCTATCATTAATTTGTCGTGTTTCTCTAGTCTTAGCATGTTTGGAAGTGTTGTGGCGATGGATAGGAACATATTTTGATCCTGTACATAAAATAAATTTCTTCTTACGTTAAACCATACATTAATTAACTATTAGACTGTCTAAAAAGTGATACATGATAAATTTCAAAGACATAAAAGCCTAACTAAAAATAAAAGGGCCTTCTCATTGTTAAATTGGGAGGTACAACGAAATCACAGGTAAAAAATTAAAAAGAAAGTTATATTTTACGCAACATCACGAATGAGGGTATTCAACTCTTTCACGGAGTCGAGAGTACGCATATGACCCTTGGACATCACACCACGCACTACTCTGATTGCTCTCAAAATCATCGATTCAACATTCAAGCGGGTCGAAATTATGTACTGCTTGATTGTATAGCTTCCGCAAAGGTAGCTACTCATTATAAATGGCGATTTTCTTCTCGCTCAGCTATTCAGGAGGAGGCTTGGACAGGCCGGAATCAGAGGAAGGTGGAGTGGGCAGGACGGTCTCGAACGCTTCAACCAGCAGAGCGACCTTCTTTTTCCGGCGAGGAGCGAGGTTGTCGACGGCTCGCCGGAGCGCGTAGTCCACCATCCATTCTTCCGAGTTCCTCCTGTCTTCCGGCAGCTGGTGCCGTAGATCCACCTTCTCTGCCTCTGGGTCTGGTTCTTCGGGGAGGAATTTCGGCGCCCGCTGGTTGTACAGCCGCAGGTCGCCTGGGTCGCCGTCGAGCTCCACCGAGGTGGCGGCCGGGGCTCTGATCGGCACATCCCCAGATGTTGGACAAATCATCTCATCTGACACCTCAAAGTTGGAGTTTAATTCAGCCCCGAGTTGTCCCGCTTCTGCTTCTCCGACGTTCTCGTAATGAGGAGGTCCGGTTTCGAAGGAGATCCCATGAGTGGATTCCTCTTCTGCGAACTCGGAATGATCGATTTCCTCAAAATCAACGTACGAATTGTCGTCCTCAGCAGTGTTTTCTCCGTTCATCTCGAGCCGTCCACACCTCCATCCTCCGTCAGCTTTTGTGGGGCGACGGGGTGATCTCTCAGCTCCTTCGCCGTCGCATTCCACGTACTCGAGAAAATCTACCAGCACTTCCATTTCAGACGGAGAAAAATCCCAGCTTCGAGCAAAACCCTCGTCTGAGGGCGAATCATCACTCAGATTCCCGTCATGTTCTCCGATTTCAGCGGTTTTCTCGCCGCCGGAATCAGAGTTCACCTCGTCTAGCCCGTCGTTGGGGTAATTCGCGTAGATCTCCACGGGGAAATCCTCCTCCCTCGGGTCAACCACGGAGGGAGAAACTCCGGTACATCCCGCTCCTTCTGCGTCGATCTCCTTATCGGACAAGGAGAGGAGTTTCGCCGTAAGGCTCTTCTGGGTCTTCAGCAGCCGCCTCCTCGCCGAGATGAAAGACCTGAGCGGGGGCGGAGGAAGGTGGCTGTGGCCGTTCAGGGAGCAGTACGTGTAAGGGCAGACTTTATAGACCGACGTACCCTCGGCCTCCGATACCCCTGGTTTGAGATCGAGATGGCTCGGGAACCTCTTCTCCTTCATGGTGGACGAGCAGGTGGCCCGGCGCGGGACCATCTCGGGAGACGGGAGAAGTCCCATGCGCTTCTTCATCGGCGGTCTCACTGATCCGAGATTCGATCTCCTCATCTGGGTCTTCGCCGGATTCAGCTCAGAGGCCACAATGGATGAGGAGAGGGAGCTCACCGTGGCCTTCTCCTTCCTGGCGTTCGAGCTGCTCGTGGATTTCATGTAGCGGGGCTCCGTGTCGATCGATCTGACCGGCGACATCTTCTTCTTCCCCGTCTTCTTGCTCGCCGCTGGCCTCTCGAGCAATATAAGATTATCAGCGAGAGGAGACTCCAGGCACTCCTCCAGGATCCTGACGGACCTCGAGTTCTTCAGCATCCTCTTGAGGTCGCCGCCTCCACCTTTCCTTCCGTACTCGATCTTCTCGGACTGGTCATGGCTATTCCTGGTCTCCAGCTGTGAACCATGACCCCTGGCGAGGGTACTCTGAACCATCCTAAGAGGAAGGTGATATATTGAAGTTGCAGGGTCTGGTGGAGATGTTATCTGTTTCTTGAAGATGAAGCGAGGGGTTGCCGAAGGAAGGGGAACACCGAGGGGAAAGAACAAGGGAGAACATACACATTAGGGGGACTCCACCGGGGGAGGAAAGCTTCGTAGCATTTGTACCTCTATAATATTTTTTATTTTTCACATATCCTTTCTGCCGTCTCAGAAAAAGTTCGCAGACAAAACCTGCACAATATATAAAGTTGAAGGGAAAAAGTTGTGCATTTCCTCTCCGGATTGGGATGCGAGTGGTGGGTCGGCCGCCGCCGCTGCCGCCGGCGGTGGGAGGGTTCAGCCGTGGACTGATGGCCCAATCAGATTTCCTGCTTTTTGACTGTGGACGTAGGGATGGTAGATGAATATAATAAAATGTTAATTTAATTATTTGAAGATTTTAGCCTCGTAGATTTTGAATTGAATTAAAATTTATCGAATCATATATCAGCACTCTGTATAATGTTGAGAATTAAGATTATAGATATTTTTTAGTTTTTTTCGATGAACCGGAAATGTTATTTCCTTTGGATTACAGTTATGCCCTTTGAGAGACGGTTCTGGGTACAAAGACAATACATTTTCCGGACAAGGAGATAGCTAGAATTTACACAGAGTGACTGCACGGAGGCTATTTAATGCGGTATTTTCATGGTCGGCATGGGTGCAACAATAACACGCCGAATCCCATCAACTTCCACATGAATATAATCATGGGACACGTGCAGATACCCTCCCTGATGATGAAGTTGCCATCACAAGATACATTTCATGTTGTGTTTTTGAATGGACACTCTCCACGATAATTCACTAAATTAACGGACTAATTATTTCACGAATGCTATTCTTCAGTCACTATTTGTTGCATTATATTTGGGAAGTTTAGTTCGATCGCTTAACTATCTAGCTTTCTTTTGACAAAAGTAGCAAAGTTCCTGGTGAAAGAAATATTAGGCAAGTTCGTGATTCCCTTTCATCTTTGATAACATTTTATTCGTGGGTAAAATATTTAAATATACTAAGCCAAAGAACTGAAGTAGATGCTTTCACAATGGGGTTCTTTGTTTGAATTCTACTGGGGAATGGTTTGATATTCGATCCATTTTGTAGACTTGAAAGGGCAAAGTCTATGCAAATTATGCTGAATATGGTCCTCTAGTGTAAAAGTAAAGATATTATTATACATTTAAGCAGAATAATTTCGGGAAAGAAGAAGAAAAAAATAGAAGAAAGGAATCTCTCAATGGGGAATCATTCTATAAGGCTTCGAACAAAGAACTAATAATATGGTGATGTGGGGAGTCCGGGAAATTAGTAGAATGAGTGTCAATTGATGGAAAGTTTTCTTTATTTCAATACTGTACATTAATGGTCATATATAAATTATATTGAGAACTTTCAAATGAGATAAATAGGAAGATAATCTTCCAATTTAAGGCCATATAACTATTATCATCAACTTTAAATCACGAATGGGGAAAACCCATACAAGATGTGAATTGTATTCCAATGATAACTTTATTTAACTATTTCTTAACTGTAAATGTAAACATTTACGACTGGGTTTTTGTTGGAAAGTGTAAGTTGAAGTTGTACGTTCTAACCAAAAGGGTTAGTTCTACAGGCGTTTTGAGGGCGGGGTTAGGGGGGTGGGGGGAAGGCGGTGTCTGTCGCGTGGGGGGAAGACTAAGTGTGGGGCTTGTGAGAGAAAGCTCTGGGCGGTGGTGGCGCCGCCGGCCGAAAGTGTAGACGCGTTGAAAAGAAGACGACGCCAGACAACGCTTCCTCTCGCCTTTCGGCCGGCTGTCCACATCCTACTACTCTTCCCAGGAGGGCGACCAACCATTCCCGTTCACGAGGTTTCTTATATCCTTTCCTTTTTGCGCGTCGTCAAGAATCCTGACACTAAGACGTTATTTTTGCTTCCTGTCAGCTGTCGATGAATTCTCTTCAGGACTTCTATGGTGCTGTTCAGTGATGGAATAGAGGACTGGATTGTTCTCCTATTCATAAGGTGAAAATTTCTGTGTTGATTGGTCGGACAACTTAGTTTGAAGAGAATAAAAGAAGACAAGATTATAGCTTACAAACTTGAAGTAAAAAAATTCGACCAAACTATTCAAAGGTTTCTCGCAACGTAAATAATTCAAGTTGAATTCTACTTGATAAATGGTTTCTTGCAACGTAACCTACCTTTCCCCCGTCCCACCTCCCCCCCATTTGCAAACTCAGATGAACTCTTTTGACTCACTCCATCTCATTCCGTGTGTTGAACCTCGAGCTACTTACATCAGCTGACATGGTTTCTGTGGCAGAGCTTTCTAATAAAAAATCCCAATTCTAATCCAGTTTATACGAATGGTCATCAAACTGAAAGTACCTTGCCCCATATAATCTAATAAATAATAATGTGTAGTGAAACATGGGAATTAGTTTTGTATTGACCGATATAAATATTGTCATGTGCTGATGTCCCTCTTCTTATTGGTAATTCGTTTTGAGTTAACTGCGAATCCTTTTTTTACCTAGTACTGAAGATTTATTGGTAATTCGTTTTGATGTCCTCTTGTTATACTTGATCTTGGACTATTTCACCATAAATTTATACTTGCGCGAACGAGGAACGCTGAAAAGCTGTCTTGCCCGTGAAGATTTGACTTATTCAAGTGTCCTGTTATCTAACAGGTATTGTGATCTCAGTCCCAATGGGCCTCAACGTAGACGGCTCAACCATTTTAATTGACATGATCCGTTATCTTCTTAAGGAGCACACCATCGTCTAGAAAAATCACTATGATACCAATCAAGAATTTCCAAAACTGGTAGTGATTTCATTAAATCGTGACTACGCAATGTTCTTTTTCTAAACCTGGAATGGTTCTATGCATGGAATTTTTTTGCAAACTCAATAAAAAAGTTTGATTGGTTGAATTTGTTTTCGTTTTTTAGTTGCAGTGATTTTTTATCATTATTAAAAGTATGGTACATTAAACTCGAAGGTACACAATCAGCATCATGAAACTTTTGTCCATTTAGAAAAAAGATTGTGGCAATACTCGACGACACAATTAACCAATGGTTTGTAGTTATATGAAATAAACTCAATGAAACATGAATTTTTTCCCCCTATACTAAGACAACATCATGTCGACTCCCATTTGTCAATTAATCTTTCAGAACCTCCATATTATATCAGCTCTAACTTACTATAATAACAAAATTGCTTAGTGAATTTACAGTAATCCCATGCAAAGTTAAGTGGGATACCAAATGAAAAAAAGGCCCTCCAATCCAAGAACGTCAAACAAGCGAGAAGCATTATGCTCTTGTAAGGCGTTTTTAGATCCTTTTTTCTTTAGAAAGGACATTTTTTCATGAGACGGAGAGTAGGGTGAGATCAGATCATATGTTCTAAGAAAGTGAGCCCCATGGAAATTCCAAATATATGTTGGATGATGGGGTTATTAATTTTTGAAGAATTTGTATGCTTTTATTTTCCTTGCGGGGAAGGTGCCCTACTTAATAATTTAATTACAAGCAAAACCAAAAATATAAACTATAAGCTTGACTTCGCTTTATAATTACCCAGAACAAATTTGTTCATTTTTTTTCAAAATTAAAGATTAATTTCTTCATCATCAAGTAAATTGATTTTTTAAAATTTTATTTAGAAATAATCCACACCGAAGAATCCAGAACCAAGTACATAGGATTCATCAATTGTCTCTCACTCTATAGTAAGTACTATGCCCATATTTTCTTTTGTGATACCCACTTCCTATGACATACATGCTCATTAATATAAATATGCATTCTCCACGTAATATCCCTATTGCAACCTCAAATGAATGGAAATAGTACCATAATGATACATTAGTTAACACCAGATGATGAGTTAAGCCTCTATGAAATGGAGTTTTGGTCAGTGTTTCCAAGATATGCAGAAATTTAGAAAGAAAATCTGGCCATGAAAAGCCCTAAAAGATGTGTTGCTTGCCGACTTCAGAATTCAAGAGTCTAAAGATAAAACTTATTAGCACTCATTAGTCATCGTAACTTAAATAAACCATTTGTCCTAACGCGCTCTTAGCTTAGCACGGAAAAAACAAGCCATGAGTGTCGGCGTAATCAGTGGGTGGCGTGCACGGCTCTCTCTTCTGTATGTTCCCGCGACGTCTCCGCGGGAGAAAATCCACAGACTTTTTCCGCCCACCTTATGGCAATCGTAAGGGCTGACGTCAGAACGAGAGAGAGAGATGTATTGCGGCATTTAGCTGTCGACATCCTGTCGGACCCAAATTTCACGATCAGGTCGTCTACTTATAGATCGGATGGGCATCTTTAGCGCCGTACATCAACCCCATTACCACTTCGGGCAGGTGAAGCATTTTCTTCTCGACTGAAACTCACCATTAAATAATAATCACAAAGACTTGCGATTAAAGTAATGCGTTTGAAGTTAAGATGCTAATGATAAAAATTACTTGACATTATTGATGTGTGAATAGTTTAGAATCAACGAAAGCAATGTAGACTACCAGATGAGATGAGATGAGATTCTAAAAGGTCATGTAATCGAAGCGGTTTCTTCTTTTAACGGCTAGCCTGAGAACCATGGTTATGGCATTATATAGGATTAGAATAACCATGAGAGAGATAGATAGATTGACAGACAGAGAGATAGATAATAGATAGGTAGCCATATAGAGATAGATAGATAGATAAATAGATAGACAGCTAGATAGATTGATAGAGAGAGAGAGAGAGAGAGAGAGAGAGAGAGAGAGAGAGAGAGAGAGAGAGAGAGGGTATCAGGCTGGCAGAAGGGAGAACCGGGAGGCATAATGGTCATTCATCATTTGCTTTTGTGAAATAAAGATGGTCAAAGAGGTTGGAATAAGAGTTTCAGCTTTTCTGAAGGTAATCTGATTTAAACCATTATTCACTTATTTTCTCACTGTACAACCGACGGCGAATTCCCGATCCAAGATGACACAAGAAGAACGAGACGGTGAACGTAGGGTGATCGCCAGCCCCTCTCAGTCACAGACCTATCTGGCCGGACATCATGCGAACGAAGTCGTCGAAGCAGACGAATCCGTCGTCACGGGAGGTGACTCCGCCAATCATCCGGCGGCAGTCCTCCAGAGTACACCCATCGTCACCCAGGGTGAGGAAGACTCCCAGCAGCTCCTCCGCCGATATCCTCCCGTCACCATCGGAGTCGAAGACTCTGAAGGCACCCTTCAGCTCCTCCTCCACGGAACCTTCCCCACCGGTCGAGGACCCAAGCGCCCCAAAATTGCTTAGGTTTATGCCACAGTCGCCATCGCCGTTGGCCTCGTGCAATATCGCAGCTGCCTCCTCTGCGGCCAGGTGGCCGGAGTTTCCCAACAGCCTGAGCACAAGCTCCCACTCCTCCTTCGTGATCTTGGGACGGAGCTCTGTGGGGGCGGACCAGTCGTCTGGGTGAGGGCGAAGGATGACCGAAGGTGGGGTCGGCGGGGCGGCGGTGCACTTGCCGAAGGAACCGCTGGAGATTGGGGAGTTGCTCGACGCGGACGACAGCGCGTCGGATGGGGACGTAGGCCTCTCCTTGGACTTGCAGTTCGCGCTTTTCTTCTGGAGATGAGTGGATGAAGGAGAGGAATTGAAGAAATTTGTAAATATCTTCATGATTGTGCCTTTCAGAATAGGGTCGAAGAGGAGTCACGGAGATGACCTCGTAGGCACAGGAGAAGAAGCTGATGTCAAGTCTAGAAATTCAAGTAGATAGGGTTGATAGATAGCCAGAGAGGGGGGGAGAGAGAGAGAGAGAGAGAGCCAATCCGGCGTAGCAGGGATTGCATCACATTAAATAGAGGGGAGGGGAGTAGCTGGGAGTGATCTTCCTGGAAGCTTCCTCGCTACTTTTCCTTCGTCAATAAGTTTAACTAATCACCTGCGGAAAGTCTGACAGTCTCTGCTTTAAGTTGGGCTCTTTATTAGAGGAAACCATTCGATGCTTTCTTGTGGTCACACATCTGGTTTATCAGAAATTAAGGAGGGAGAATGAGGAGATTATACCCTGCCATCAACTGAACTAGGGTCTCTACTTCATTCACTCCACGTACGCCGTCCCTGTTTGAAGTTGACACGTATGGAAGACGACTTGGTGAAGAACACGCTCTTTGTGCCCAAATACGTAAAGCGGGGGATAGACTCAATTGATGTTACGAGCAACGAATGGGTGTAACTTTCTCATGTAAATAAAGCACTTCGGCGCAAGTAAGCATGTTTCCTGCTGTTGAAGATCTGTGTATCACATAAGAATTTTAATTGCACTAATTAATACATGATAATGATGATATATGCTTGATTATGAGTCTGGGAAGTGGAATGGCTACAATCGATGTACTCTTCTAATCAGGAGAAATATGACTCGAGATCAGGAATAAAGTCATTCGGATGCAATGATGCCCACAATAGAGATGTGGATGTAACTTTGAACTGTTCTCAAATCTTGTTTAGCATTTCATAAAATTTGCGTACCTCGTTTCATGGATTGAAAGTCAATTATAGTACATAAGAAAATCCCTCGATGCCATTGCCATGTTACCTCGGTTCCAGGAAGCCACAAAAAGTTTCATTGGGCATGAAATTGGTTCATTTGGATCAGTAGATCCAGGGATAGTCCTCGATCGGGTTTTTAAAAAATCGTCATATGAAAATGATTATGGTAGAAATAGGATTAAAATGTTAGGACAAAAGTATAAAATCCGAACTTTGGACTTTACGATAATCCTCAGGAACTTCTTGTCATTATGTATTTGTGTCGGTTGGCTACCAGCATTGGTCACTTGGATAAGAAATAGTTGAGTATGAGCAAAATATTACTGTTATGATTAATGGTAGAACTCCTAACACTGGTCAGCGTCAAAGGCAGTATAGTCATAGAAAATTGTGAAAGATGGAATAATTAGGTTCGTTTCATATCAAAGACAGTGAATCCATAATGAAATTCGTTACATATGTGTGAGCATTAGTTCATCCCTTTCGTTCTATTTCCTTTTGGGTTTTACTCATACAACAATATTCATTATGAAAAAGGAAGAAACTCATCTACAAGAAGATAGTACAACATATAAGTTGGCATTATTAAATTTCTGCATTTGATGCGATTAAACGATTTATATATTTTTACGAATAACAAAAACATTCTTTGTTTCTCGCATACATTTGCATCATGAATGAGAGATAAGATTCAAAATGGAGCACTTCTCCCAACGATCTAATTCACATCTAATAAAGAGAAAATTACATCACTATATCTAATCACAATTTTCTTTTAGTCATTTTCATCATGAACGTTTTCAAGGAATGCAAAATAATAATATTATATAATCTTTACGTGGGATAAGTTTTGAATTGACATTTTTTCAGTTTTGAAAATGTAGTTTTAAATTATAGATTTTAATGAATAGACATGATAATGGAAAAGCTATCTATTAATAACATGGAGGGGTAATTTCATTCCTCAATTATGTTGCAAAACTCTTCCATTAGACACCATTGATCATTTAATCTCACTAATTTCTCATGAAGTTTAAAGTTCTAAATTGTTTAATGTAAGAGTTTTACAACATAATTGAGCAATGAAATTACCCCTGTTATCTCATGGTTTTTATCTTATGACTTAAGGAGGAACGAGTTCAACACTTGTACCACATATGATTCATAAAAATTTTGGGACTTAGAAAATTGGTAATTTTTTATCAGAGGACTTTCGTCATTTTCATTTCCAAGGGAAGGGAAAAAAAGGCATACCAATGTTTGGATCAAAATTGGACAAAATCCAGAGAATTAAATAAATAAAATTTTCAAAATTTAAAACTAGTGCTTTGAAAAAAAATAGAAGTAAATTTTCTATAATATGTAAGAAAATCTTTCAGTGGACTATATTGAAGCACCTTTGATGTAGCTCACACCATACCAAGAGATAGTTAAAACATAAAAAAATATAGAAGACAGCTGCACATTTTTACATGTCCTAGCTATCATTCAAGCATTTGACTAAAATCTCCTCACAATATCCAAGTAAAATTTAATTAAATATCTTTCCTCACAATTTTATTTAGTTTCAGTTCCTTTTATTATTTTATTATAGTTTTTAGGAAAAAATAAGACGATTCCCATCCTCTAGTTGACTAAAAAATTCTTAGCTGACCTTTTCCTCTCTTTTGTGTTGATAAGATGACATTTTTAAATTGATGTCAAGAGTTATATTTAGTGCATTCTGATCACAAAAATTTAATTAATGGCTGTCTACAGAAAAATAGATTCCTATTTCGATTATATTGTCGACTCTTTTGTGTAGTTATATTTGTTTATCAATCTGCCTTTGGCATTAATTGATTTTTAAGTTTTATAATATTAAATTTACCATATACTGAACTATATTCATTAGCACACACTAACATATTAATGGAGTCATCATAACTAAAGTATATCTCAAAAAGAAGTGGCTTTTTAGTGAATGTAATAGTCATTGCATTTGAATAAATAATCCACATAATTACTCTCTTGTTACAGAACTATTTCAATTTATCATAAACCTGTTTAGTGAAGGCACTGAACATTTCATTCAGGTTTATGAAAAATGTGAAACGTACATGATCTATCATGAGCTCTTGAACAAGAATGGAATTTTTTTGGAATGTCTCTAGAACTTTATATAAGGTCACGGTACTAATGGTTGTCTTATTCAATATTTTTGAAATAACTTACAATTTCTTGATTTCTCCAAAGTCTGATTTCAAGATTTTAATAGTCTTAAAATAAAGAAATTGGTGGATTATTTTTTATTTATATTATTAATTTTTTATCTTATGTATATTCGTCTTAAAAACTTGAAGTTATCCAAGTCATAAGTTAGATGTGTAAAATGAATATTACTTGAAATATATTACCCCTAGATAACTGAAGAATATTTTTACTACCCTAATTTCTTCAATTGAATTTAATACACTACCTTGTCATGGAAAGTAGTCTTGTCATTTCCCTTCTAACCGTTTGTTAAAAGTGATGTGTTTTCTCATTTTGTTCTCTAGTGCTTGGAGAGTTATTACCATTATGTGATTTTCATGAGACCATAAACTTTGTTAAAATTAGTACTTCAGAAAGATTTGATATCAATATCTACCTTGACTTAAGGCACTTGAAGATGTCATATTCTTCTCTTGTTCACCTTACATTATCTACATAAAATGCAAAGAGAAACCACACCCCGTTATATGTGTGATCATAATTTATTTTATTGGTGTTTATCCCAATTAGGCTAGATATCATGCTAAGAGGGGGATAGGCTGAATTAAATGTGCCAAATAGGTTTAGCTTGTCAAGTTGACTCACTAAGTCTACTCACTTGCTAATGACCAACAAAAAACTCTCTTATGTAGTACTTTAGTCTTTCATAGCTTATGTCCACTTGCCTAGGGTTGTTACTATTAGTTTCCACTATTCTCTCTTAGAAATTAAGTATTGAAATCCATAGGAATAGAAACACTTGTCCCATCATAGATTTCACAGGTCTATTTTCCCAAAATTAGACACAATGATACTAAACTTTTCACATAATAGTAGCATTGTCGTAAAGTTTTTTGGCATACAAAGTGTTGGCTTTATGAGTACTAATTATCATAAAACATTTTTATTAGGATAAAAACACATGAGATAAATAAATGAATCTAATTATGATGAATACTTCTTATATACATAACATACATAAGTCATCTCTTATACACATGCATGCAATAAATTAATTATAAATTAATGAATAATACATATCAATGATTTCGAGTATCCAAAATATATTTCAAAGTATTTATGTGATTCTCATATTTTAAAATTTTCAAATAGGATGCAATTACTGCATGAAATCCTGAGTTTATTTACAACTATTAGAAATATCAATAATATGAAAATTACCGCTGAAGGAAAGTAATGATTTGTACATTAGTTTTCACATGATTGGTTGAAGTAAAATATTATAATGAAATTTTCATCAGTGTAATAAATGTTCATGAGTTGAACTTGCTACTTCCAATCTTTCTAGATAGAGAATAAAAATGATCAAGTCTACTTAATTTGTAAAATGTTCAAAATTTTCTAAATATTACTGATTAATTTTTTTTGAGATATCTGAGCTAAATTGATCGTGATGTTAGTATGTTTACTTCGTATTCACATTTCTTTGAGCTGATTTGGATTCAATTTGATTAAAAATCATTATTTTATTTTTCTATATTAAGAACCTTATTTTAACATTTGCAGATTCTTGTCGGTATGTGTGAATTATTAGTTAAGAGGATATCCAAATCTTTATTGAATGCATTATATTATTTTCCAACCATTCAAAGTTTTAACTAATTTTAGAATCTTAACATTAAAAATTAGTAGGAAACATGAAAAGGATGCAAATCAATTTTTTTATATAAATTCAGCCTCTCTCCAAGGGTTAATTTTTTCCATACAATTATTCTAGAACTTACTATGTTCTTGAATTTCTTTGTTAATCAATTTTATAGAGATTTACATGCTAATTTGAACAATCTTTGAAGTTTGATTCTATAACAAGAAGACAATGAATTGAGGTGCAAAGTTTGATTCAAATGAGATTTTCTTCAACCTTGTTGGAGTGAGACAACATCTTCATCAATTAGATAGCTTTGCTGCATGAAGAGAAGAATGAAAATTAAGCATAATTAATCTTAATCTTCATCAAATTTCCAGAGATGATTAAAGCCTTCATCAAAATCTAAAAAATCAGGTAGTGATATTTCTAAATATTCTAAGAGATAAGCTAGTGATTAAGCATTTTTCTTAATTAAAAGAGTTGACATCTATAATTAGATTTAGGCTATCAAGAGTCATGAATCAAGAATAAACTTTTTTGGATGAAATGTTATGAAGCTTGAGCCTAATAAGCATTGACTGTTGTCTAAATACATGGTTTAGAACCACATAATGCAATATTCTTACAAGAAAACGTAAACAAAGGGTAGACCCACTATAAAATCTTACCACGCTCAAGATTTATACCCAATAAATTCAAGAGAAATTAAGATTGAAGGAAGGGATTAAGAAAATTAAAGTAGTTATCTAAAGTCAAATAGGACAGTATCAGTTCAACACCTATTTCTTGATCAAAGTGAGACATTAAATCTACCACAAAAATATAAAATATTTAACTTATAGATAATTATTTATCCTTATAGAATTATAACACCTATCAAGTTGATGTTTGGAGGCTTTTGAATGCTTGGGCACAGTATCACTTGATTGAAGGCTTAACTAAAAAGAGAGTTGGACCTTAAAATAAAAGTTAACTAAATCAATGCAACATTGATACTTGTCTTGAAATCTCATGAGATGGAATACTTATATGGCCCAAGACTTTGGTCATTGTTGGTGTACTTGGTGTTTGATCTTTTAAAAATATATATTTTATAAATCTTTGATTTGAATGAGGATCTAAATTATTAAAATTTCATCAAACTATTAGCATAACCAGAACATATTTATGATCATTTTTCTTTTTATTTCTATTTAAGAACATTAAAATGCTTAAAAATAAGACATGGTTGATTAGATCAATCAGGTTAGTTTAACTATAAAAAATATTTCCTATGTTAGAAGATTTATTAGCATATCAACAACGCTTAGAGCTATTTTATTGAAATAGATATCTCCAATTAACATAAACTCTCTAACCTGGTGATACATGAATATATTTTACTTAGTCCTAATATGATAAATCTAATTCTTTGAAAAGTATATCCTAGTTTTCTATCATATAATATACACAATCTTAATTGATTATTAGCCCTGATTTGAAGAATGTTATAAGTGTTATCAAGAGGGGATGGATTTTGATTCCCTTCTTGAATTATCATTTCCTATCAATATGTGGAACCAAAAATTATTATGCTTCAGCTGACTTGGCCTACTTGACTCTTTAATGACAATGTGCTTGTGCTATGCTAACCTCAAATAGATTTTAAGGCACGAACCTGCCCAAGTGTTCCCCCGAAACACTATTTTTAGATTCATCACTTCATAAGGTTAACCATATTAGAATTTATATCTTCTCTTCTACATTAATGACCCTAGGTCAGCATGAGCAGTAAAAGTACCCTAATAAAATATTACGACAAATAAATGCTATCGCAAATTATATGTGTAATTTTTAATGACATAAGTTCTTATGCTTGGATGTGTAGACATGTCTTTTGGTGAGAAGCCACATGAATGCTTGCATGAGAATGTGCAAATGAGTTCTCAATAATGATTTTTCCTCATGTCGTAGGTTGGAGAGTTTGATCTTTTTATAGGGATATTTTTGCCATGGTTTTTTTGGTGGTCTAAACATAATTAAAAACTGTGACAACAACATATACTTGTGTGCTCAAATGACTAGCTTCATGATATAATGGTAGCTTATTTTATTCCTATAGTGACACACCCTAAATGTATTATATGCATGTAAGTCAACTTAATTCATATAAAGAAGAATAAAAAAATAGAACTTAAAAAGTTGAAGCATTAAAAATCGCAGAGATTTTTATTAAGTTAAACCAAGGGTCACACATATCTTTCAATTTTGTTAATGATCGACAATTATTGTATCTTGGCCCTCAAGTAGGCTAAATAGAATACCAAGCATGAGGTGAATTAGCTCTTTAAAATATTTTCCTAATTTTCAGTGTTTAATAAGTTTTTCTTTCTCATTTACTAGTTGGGTTGACACTAGTTGGGTTGGGTTGACACATAGTCAACACTAGTCGGATTAACTCAATTAGGTTGACACACTAGTCACACACTAAAAAGGAATGAGATATTGACACAATTGTCTAGTGGTTCAACTTTCCTTCACCTATGTTAGTTTATCAAGTGTTCCTACCCTCAGCTTCCATTCTTCTCTCCCAGAAAATTACAATTAAAATTCATAGGATTAGTAAATCCCCCATACACAGTAGATTTCATGAGTATATCCCTACATATTAGACATCAGTGCACTAAATTTTTTTTTATCTCTTGTTACAAGCACTCCTTTTAATGTATTTATATAACAACAATATTAAGAGACTCTAGTGTTTAGTAATTGTTTTTATATTTGAAGATATCTTCATTTCTACAATATTCAGCAAAGCTATTGGTTTATACTCAATTCAGTTTGAGACAAAATGTATTGTTTGCAAAGCATATGGCATGTCATCATTGCTTTTGTAGATCCTAGTGATCTTGTGACTTTAAAAAACTCCTTCCTCTTACTAATTACTTCAATTTTAAGAGATATTTTGTGGGTTTTCTCTCATTAGAAGATCATAACTTTTTATCATAATTATCGCACCATTTTTAAAATTCTTATTAATGCAACAATCACACTATTTAAAGACTGATAAATCTCTATTTCAATGTAATTAAGAAACTAGTAGATGGAAACCAGGGTTGTTAGCCACCAAGTAAATGGCTTTGAAAGAAAGCTGGGGGGAAAGTTTCTATCTAGCGAAAGTTTTTATCTAGCTTGATCAAGAGCCTGTAGCCACTTCCTTCCCTAGTGCTCCTGTTCTTCCCCTTCTTCATTCCTCTTGTCCCTCTTCTCTCTCACCATTTGGTCCCCATTTGTGTGTATTTTGGTAAGCTACTATGTTGTCGGCACGTACCATCCATTCATGCCTATGTGCCTATCTGACACATTGCAGCATGCTAGTTAATGTATTATTCGTGCAATAGTCTGTGTGCAGCTATTTGTGCCTGATCGCTTCTCAATTAAGGAGTGTATAACTTACCGCAAATCTTTGACTTCAGTTATTTATCCGTTAAGCAATGTGGACTTATAACTTTACTTACTTTTTCTAAGGCTAATAAGATTCACTCGATAATATCTCTTCCCACCCTTCTGCACACGCTCGCATAGCCCTAACACCCTAATTTATAATTTTGTAGCTATATAAGAGCTGATCCCATCTGGACTTGTATCTCCATGCGAGATATGCTAAATGCCCTCCCACAAAGCAACGATCAAGTGGAGTAAGTACAAAGAAAAGAGGTCCGAGAAAATCACAGAAGGTTGCACGTTGAAAATCTCGACACGGGAAAAAGCATAGGGAAAAAAGAATAACACCCACGAATGGGACCACCAAGTTTGTTACATGCGAACCCTCTTTCGTTCCCCACACGTATTACAACACCTCGATGGCTGCATTTTCTCAGTACTTCTTCCCTAATCTTGATAGGGCTCATATCCCTCGTCCAATGATAGAGATACCGTTGAACAAATGATTGATCTAATAAGATGCATTCTTTATTTAAAATGGATTATTTTGAATAAGGTCAGATCATTTTTGAGTTTGAGTTACTAGGCCATCGTGCTGGGAGTTCTGCCAGGCCAATATGAGTTCACCTGGTACTAGCAGCTTTATTGGGGAATTTCGGCTTGGCTTGCAAAAGAAGGTGCCTTCTGCCAAACTCAAAAGACAATTATCGTTGCAGCTGGTCTGTCAGGAAGAGGGGGCCAAGGACAAGGTGACTGAGATCAACTATAGGCATACGCAGAGGCAGAATTAGTATAGCCCATCTCAGTGAAACATATGAGGCGAAGAAGATAAGAAAACAACGATAAAATCTACGCAAGATGAATGTAAGATGACCGAAAGAGACCAAAGGTGAGGAAATCTCCGAAAGAGACTGGCGCTAAGTGAAGAAAAGGAAGGTACGTGAAGGTACTTTTCTTGAGGCAGTAGTCTCTAACAGAGATCATTGGGTGATAGTCTCGGATTCCATAAGTTTTATTGTCAGAGAATGAAGACAACTTTTAGGATCCCTCATCAAAGACTCCGCATTAGGATTACCAGTGGTAACTAAATAGACCAATATGTGGGATCCGGCGAATGTGTTAATTTACGTAAACCCAGATAATTTCTGTCCACGGGGCAGATGAACGGAACTATTGTTGTGTTGAGACAGACCTATAATGTTAAAAATATAAGTTGGATAAACACGTTTCATTTGGAACCAGTGTTACACTGTTCATTTTATGCGATTGGCTTGACTTTAAGGCCCCCGTCGCTTATCATCATGAAATAAAAAATCAACAAAAAGTTATGCCGCAAGCGGTCAATAATCAGTACATATGGTTCATATCGTGGACATTTATCAATGACAGACTGTTGGAATAAAGAACCACTGAGTTTGGAATGTTGAATAAATACCAACATTGAACAGTGATCGACAAAAGAGTTGTGTATCATCTATCTCTTGTATGTGTACTTTCCCATCTCTTGGCTACAGATGGAATCAATACATCTTACCATGACCTGGTCTAAAGGAGTTTTACTTCCATACCTAGTATTTAAGGTCACTGTCACCGCCACCTCCATTTTATAACCGTGGGTATTGATATTGTCAACCCCGGAAGATGTATGAAAGTTGAATCTTAACCGAAATCTTGAGAAGGCCGTGATTATATTATTAGGTAAGTTAAATATTTACAAACAAAACTGACGAGACGTACGATGTTTGAATAAACTTACCAGATGCTGTCTGATTTAAGAGGAAACTTCGCTAGATTTTGAAATATACCAAACATGATAATGATACTTAGGATCCGATAATATGAACTCATTTTTCTCTTAGTCGTGATCGTTCTATAGAATCACCTCATGATGTACCTGGTGTAGTCTACGCTATAATAAACAAATGTTCTGGAAACATCAAAAGAAGGTCATTAGTTCATTTGAAGATTCATGAGGTCGTAAAGACGTCGGATTTCGATCACCAGATGACAGAAACACGTTTCAAAGACCCCTAACTCACATTCCCCCGGGCGTCTCTTATTGATCTTCTCAAGTCGTCCGCCGCAGAACCCTCAGACAGAGATACTAGATTAAATAATGAATTCATTGCTCATCTTTTGTTGCAGGACAGCGGCGGATTGACCGTTCTGCATAGGTAGGCTGATGTATCTTCTTGAACCGCTTTTATTTTTTTCAACCCAACTGCCAGATAGGTCGAACGACTTCCGAGAAATGAGTGGCGGATGGCCTACCTGACACAGGAAATCGAGGGTGCAGTCAGCCTGACAGAGGTAGACTTCAATTTCATGACTTGTAGGGGTCCGAAACATTTCTGACCTCAAATAACTGTTAATAAAAAAAATAACAAAGACCCGATTTTTTTTCATTATTAAGAAAAATGTTGAAAACATTATTATGAAGAATCTTGATTTTGTTATCATTTCAATTATTTGTCAGGGGAGATCCATGAGCAATAAAAAATATAATTTGTTCTTCCAACATCTGTTCACTAACACCGAGGCTTTCTTTACTCCGTTGACTTTGAGAACCACTTCATGGATGTAATTTTAAGATGTTGACCTCCACGGGTATAATTTTAATACTCATATCTTGGGTTTAACATAAACCCAGCAAGAAATTAAGATGCGCAGTCTGACAAGGAATCTGTGGGATTCTCAACATTTGCCAGAATTTCCTTTATATCATTTAATATTTTGAACTGAATCATCATAATCACAGTCGAACGGACTAATTTTGATCGATGGTTTAATTATACTCCTTTGAGAATCTTAATTAGGATCAGCTCATCTCTTCAGTGTCAAGTGGAAAAGCATGAGTTATGCCATGAAATGGAACGTCCTTGGAGTGTAGCGTTAGCCATGGCCTCGGTGCTTGCGAATGTATAGACGAGAGAGAGAGAAAGAGAGAGAAAGAGAGAGGGTGAGTAAGAGATATATATATATAGAGCGAGAGAACGAACAAAATAGCCTAATGAATGTTGAGTCTACGGTGAAGGTTGAGTCATTTAAGTACAAGTGTAGGCAGACCTAACAGATTCCCTTACTGCTACACTGGCCATCCTTTTCCTTTATTGGGAGGCAGCCTACCAGTTCTGTGCCACCCGTGAAATGATGTCTTTATAGTAGGAGCCGAGGAATACCGGTGCAGACCTATTCAATTGGCTTTCCTCTGTCTCCCCCCTCTCTCCTTCCTCTCTCTCTCTCTCTCACACTCTCTCTCATGCCCTTTACTTGACGTATAGTTCTTGACCTCTGGCGTAGTCCTGCAGGCACTGCTGGCTGGCAACGCTGTAGTGTCCGGAAACTGGTAGTTGAACAGTCATCGCTCAGTGTAGTAAATGCTCCTCGCGAGGGCCAGTTGCCCAGCGATCATCTCTTTTGAAGTCGTTTTCCAGCAACGGAGATCCATGGAGCGCACGAGTTAATGAGCGGTCGCTTTCGCCGTGCCCCTCTCAGTTACCGCTCATCTCTTTCAGATTGACTTCCGCGGCAGTCGCGTTCTCCGTTGCAGCAAATAAAGTTCTAATACCCATGGCGGAGCTCCTGCATCTTTCGTCGCGTTCTCCGTCGCTGCAGATAAAGTTCTAATACCCATGGCGGAGCTCCTGCATCTTTCGCCGCGTTCTCCGTCGCTGCAAATAAAGTTCTAATACCCATGGCGGAGCTCCTGCATCTTTCGTCGCGTTCTCCGTCGCCGCATATAACGTTCTAAGACCCATGGCGGAGCTCCTGCATCTTTCACCGCGTTCTCCGTCGCCACAGATATACAGGGCTTCTTCTCTTTCAAGCAGAATACGTTTGAGATGTAACGCATTAATCATCAGACAACCAACGTCATACATTTTGAGCCCACGAGGAAGAGCCAAACTCGTCCTCTATTCACTCTTAATCATTCTTCTGCGTGAAACCCATGGCAAAGTACTCGAGATACATCCGGTTCGCTTGTCCGACTCCCCGAATGTGTGGCCCTCGTGGTCCACTAGGCGGGCGCGGCAGCATTAGGTATCGAAGGTTTTATGCATGGTGCGGTCGGCGCGCCAGAGCCCAGGCACAAGATCTGTACGACTGACTCATTGCCTTTCCCAGGCGCGGCGTGCCAGCCGGAGCTGGTCAAGGTGGGAGGTGGTGATGTACACGACTGCGTGTTCTCCCAATTGACCTCTATACAGTGGTACGTGTAGTGAGAGAGGGAGCGCCTGAAGAGATGCCGGTGAAGGATGGGGCATGAAAAGTATGGAAACAGAGATGGATCGGGTGGGGAGTGACTAGTCAAACGTCTTTTCAAACGACTCAAATCATAAGACAGTCAGTGTTGTGTCAATCGCCGGGATATCGTGTCTCTAGGAAACAAACTAGGGTGAGAACGAGAGAGAGAGAACGGGGGCCGAGGAGAGCGGCGGAGGTTGCAGCTAGGGAGGCAGTAGAGCGGGGGACGAGCGGGAGGAAGAAGACGGAAATGAGTGAATGAATGGGCCCACTCCGCCACCCTATCTACTTCTCCCTCTGTCTCTCTCTTCCCTCTGTCCCCGTCTGCTTCAAGACACCCAGTTCGTACTACAATCGCACGTGCCAGCCGACCGCTTTACGCGGTAATGTAGGGCATGCTCTGCCCCCGCTCTACTAGTATCGTCCAGTCCTCTCTTTCTCTGGCACAAACAGTCTCACTCGCCGTCTTTTCAGGCTGCATGGGGTAGTGGCAGGGCCAGTCTGCCCGGCTTCGGAGCGATGCATGGCGCGGCGTTCACCATTCTCTGTCCCAAGGGCCTGGCGCCGCTCCCCAGAACTCGACAACACCAGGAAACACCAGGAGCTCTCTGCAGCGGCCGTCTGCAGACACGTACGATGGAGAAGCGGCGGGATGCATTTCTAAGAAGAAGAAGAAGAAGAAGAAGAAGAGAGAAGTGAGGAGAGAGGCCAAGCGATTTGGCCCCCCGGGACGGCGCCGTCCTCGATGCGCGGTGGACGACCCCTCCTGCGCTCCAATCCCTCACGCTCTCTCTCTCTACTTACAGTCCCGTTTCGCAACCATGTATCTAATCTCTTCACTCACCTTGTCCCCGTCTGGCCTCATGTTCTAGGAATTACATCAAGTGTGCCTTCAAATAGCATACGATCGGAGCATAACAGCTATCTCTTTGAGAAACCGAACCTTCTATTTCGAGGAAACAACGAGTGGGAGAGAAGCACAAACCAAGAAAAGGGAGGGGAGGGGAGGGGAGGGGAGATGAGCGTGATTGTGGGAGCTGACTGAGACACCTCATTCCAGCTGCCGAGGTGATTAGAAGTAGAATTTGTGTAGCTACCAGGAGATAAGCTTTCATCTTCTCGCTCATGTTCTTCAGCTTTTCTTCCCAATATATCACCTTGGACATGGAGTGAGAGACAGGCCGAATAGGAGAAGATCTGGCTCTTTCACAGCTTTGTTTACACTGTCAAGGGCTTACCGCTTCGTTTCATGGAGTGTTTCTCTCCCTTCCTCCTCTCCCTCTTCCTCCTCTCTCTCTATCTCTCTCTCGCTCTCTCTCTCTCTCTCCCCCCTCCCCCCTCTCTCCTCTCTCCTCTCTTCACTTTCTATTGCTGCCTCCTGGAGTAAACCCGACAGGCCGTATGGAATGCATGCAACCCTGGCCTTGAACCAAAGGAGTAGGGCGTAGGGCGAACTCAATGTGAACACTGTGCGCGATACAGATCAACAGTAGCATCTGATTTTTTAAGAACGTCCTCTCCCTCGCACCCCACCCCCTCCGCCAATACCGGCTGCCTTTGTCGGTTCATCGTTGGGCATCGCCATCATCAGCGCCGAAGGGTCACCAGCCATGCCTCCATCTCAACTTGATACAGTCATCGTGAGGAAGAGAAAACACAAAGATAAGGCAGGTCTAGAGTGATCTCCGCTAACTCCATCCTCTCCCCCCACCCTGTTAGAAAACCAGTCAATCCTTGGTAAAACTCGGGGAACAGTATAAAATATTTGAAACAGGAAGCCCAATCCTTGTGTAGGTCCCCTCCTTTATAAAATTCGAACACTTTTGATACAGTAGTATAATAGTTGAAGTATTACACTGAGGATGGAGGCAGAACAGATGCGACCTCACCTTTATCTCACAGATCATCAGCCGCTATTACGCTTAGATAGAGAGGGTTGAATCCAATACCATAGGAATCTCCTGAAGCTTCTCAACGATGTCAATAGCGAAGCCATCATGGAATGTGCCAAGTAGGGTTTAGAAGTCGCTAGAGACACTGAAAATCCAACAGACGAGGGGAAATTAATAAACCATGAAAGTCAAAACTCTTCCCAACTCATTGATTTCATGAGTCTATGATGGAATATCAACGGGCTTCATCTTTTACTAGATTTGACTGTTAACTGGAACTCCTCGGGAAATACTGATGGAGACTTTCTAACTACTAATAGAATGATGTTACAGGACTGTAAGCACATCTGTGCAACCCTTTTCCAATCGTGCATTAGCGGCAGACTCTTTCGGCTTCCCTCCCTAAATTCAATATAAACGTTGCTAGTGTGTCGGTATCCCAACGTAACGTATCGAAAGCAGGGAGCTTTCCTCACATTGATTTGCCATATCTAAATGAAAATATTTTATGATGTAATATGTGTCGATGTATGTAGTTCATGATGACTAAAATGAGCCAGCCCGGCGAAGTTTGAAAGATAGTAATATCGTAATTTCGTTTTGAGCATTTGGGATGCTCTCTCTTAGACATCACAGCGGTTGTCTTTCTCAGACGTCAAATCCCGGCGTCCTTATCTCTCCTCTATTATTTATATGTCCCACCGCCCATCCTAGCCATCCAAATTGCTTCGTCTTTCCACTATCAACCCCATTCCCCCTCTCTCTTAGACTCTCTCTCTCTCTCTCTCTCTGTTTTCTCTCTCCTCTCCAGAGGACAGAAGGAAAAAATTTGCCGAGCCACACAATCCCATCCATCATCAGAAGCTGCAGGATGAGAGCCAGATGAACAAGAGCTTTCAGAACAAACTTGCAGCAACAGTGGAGAAGAGGAGCGGACTGAGGCGGAGAGCGGAGGAGCAGGAAAAGAAAAGGAGAGTAGGGAAACCTACCCTCATCCCATCACCCTTTCCCCACTACAACCTCTCGGCACAATTGCTGGCTCTTCGTCGCACCCCTGATCATCATCGTCACATCATCTCCTTCTCCGTCTTTTCTTTTGCGGCAGTGCCTACTGTGTCGATTGTGGAAGGCTGCTGTTGTGGCCACGGTAAAATAGACGGAGCGAGAGAGAGAGAGAGAGAGAGAGGGAGAGCGAATAAAAGTGATAGTAGCAGTAGCAGTTAAGAGAGGGAGGAAGAGAGAGGGGAGAAAGATATAGAGAGAGAGAGAGTGTGTGAGAGAGAGAGAATCGGATAAAAAAAAGATGAGCCTGGAGGAGTCGCTCAAGTCCCTGTCGCTCGACTACTTGAACCTGTTGATCAATGGGCAGGCTTTCAGCGACGTCACCTTCAGCGTAGAGGGCCGCCTCGTCCACGCCCACCGCTGCATCCTCGCCGCCCGCTCTCTCTTCTTCCGCAAGTTTTTCTGCGGGGCGGACAGCCCCTTCCCTGGCAGCGCCGCCCTCTTTCATGACCACGGTCACTACCAGCGGGGAGGTGCTTTCTCACCTTCCTCCTCGTCGACGACTTCTCCGAGGGGGGCTGCCGGAAGCGCAGCAAGCTCCCTTGTGATTCCAGTGAATTCGGTCGGGTACGAGGTTTTCCTTCTGCTTCTGCAATTCCTCTACAGCGGGCAGGTCTCGATCGTTCCGCAGAAACATGAGGCTCGGCCAAATTGCGCCGAGAGAGGATGCTGGCACACTCATTGTACCTCTGCCGTGGAACTTGCCCTGGATACGCTCACCGCCGCACGCTCCTTTGGCGTCGAGCAGCTCGCCATTCTCACCCAGGTTTTCCTCTCTCTCCCCCCCCCCCCCTCCCCCTTCTCTTCTCCTCCCCTCTATCTGCTCTTCTGCTAAGTTTTCAGTTTCTCCCCACCGATTCCCTCTCGTTATTCCGTTCTTTGATATCTCTGTTTGATCGCCAAACTGAGTCTTGCTTCGGCTGTTACTTGCCTGAGCTCGTCGTAAACGCTAGTACTCGATGCCTACGTCATTCTTTCGTTCCCTTTTAGGTAGACAAATGACTCATTGGGCTGCGGTCAGAAATTGCGGCTTCTATTTTCTTTCTCCTCATCCGATGTGTGCTCGATTCACTGAATCCTACGCACTAGAGCCCTCTTTCACGTTCAACAGCATCAATGTTTTTCGCTATGATTGACTTCGTCCTCGTTTGTTTCTTTTTCCCTTCAAATCTCCTCCAATCTTTGCTGGAACTCATTAGAGTAGCCTACTCATCTCCACCAAAGCTTAACTTATATTTTATGCGAGAATCGGATATCCGCATCTCTTGATTATCTGTTATAATTCGTGGGAACGGTCCTTGTTCTCACTTTGTTGATTTTGGGGAATTTGAGCTTGGACAGAAGCAGTTGGCGATCATGGTGGAGAAGGCGTCCATCGAGGATGTGATGAAGGTGCTCATGGCGTCCCGTAAGCACGAATTGCACCAGCTCTGGACGACCTGCTCTCATCTCGTCGCAAACTCTGGACTTCCTGCGGAGGTTCTCGCCAAGCACCTCCCCATTGATGTGGTCGCCAAGATAGAGGAGCTCCGCCTCAAGTCCTCCCTCACACGCCGCTCCTCGGCGTTCCTCCAGCAGCACCACGCCGCAGTGGACCTCGGCAGCGCCGCATCCACCGAGCTCGACGAGCAGGAGAAGATCAGAAGAATGCGCCGCGCCCTCGACTGCTCGGACGTGGAGCTCGTGAAGCTCATGGTGATGGGCGAAGGGCTGAACCTTGACGACGCCCTCGCCGTCCACTACGCCGTCAAGAACTGCAGCCGGGAGGTGGTGAAGGCCCTGCTCGAGCTTGGCGCCGCCGACGTTAACTGCCCCGCAGGGCCCGATGGAAGGACGCCCCTCCACGTCGCCGCCGAGATGGTGTGCCCGGACATGGTGGCGGTGCTGCTCGATCACCATGCCGACCCGACGATCAGGACGGTGGACGGCGTCACGCCGCTGGACATCCTCCGTTCGCTCACATCCGAATTCCTGTTCAAGGGAGCCATCCCCGGCCTTTCACACATCGAGCCCAACAAGCTCCGGCTTTGCCTGGAGCTCGTCCAATCGGCGGCGCTGGTCCTGTCTAGGGAAGAATCCCGCGGCAGCGGGAACCATCCCAATGCCGCAATGTACCATCCCATCTGTGGGGAGCCCAGCACCAGCAGCAACAGCAACAACAACAGCAGCATGCCCAACCTTAGCTTGGACTCGAGAATGGTCTACCTGAACCTCGGAATGGCAGCTGCATCACATCTAGACTGCAAGATGAACGACGGGAGAGACGACAGCGGCCACAGCAGGCATCATCAAGGTGGCAGTGGAGGCATTGGTCCATCTTCCATGTATTCTCACGACTGTCCGTAGTTAATCTACTAACCAAAATATGTGAGCAACTGATCTCCTACTGGTACTGCTGCTTCTGCCTCCATTACAGCTGGGGCTGGTGATGCCATCACCTACGAGCCTTTCATTCAGTCGTAGCCTCTTCATGTGTCTTTCTGATGTCTTGACTTTTTGGGCAGCAAATCTTATCCGAAGCAAGGCGGAGGAAGATGGAGAAGGATGGACGGATGGAGATCACTCGTGGCGAAGCTTGTCATTCTATGACTCATTCATTTGTTTTACTTGTGCTGCCACTGTTTTGGGTGCTGATTGACGTTTCAGCCCGTTAACCTTGTAGGCCTAGGGGTGGGGGTGGTCATATGTAGTCACATCTTGGTGTGAAGACGACCGCAAGAGAAGACAAAGAAAACCGAAGTCTGCATTGATTGACGGCAGCTGGAAGGTCAATCTTTTCGCTCAAGTCTTCGGCGCCTTTTATTTATGCTCATATTATGAAGATACAGTTTTGAGTCCCTATCAACCTCACTCCCTATCGCTCCCTTCTCTCTGTCTTACTACCTATATAAATATATATTCCTCTCTCTCTCTTCTCTCTCTCTTAATACTTTTTCTTTCTTGTATTAACTGTCTTAATGGTGGGAGTTAATATCATCGTTATTTATGAAGAGCTTGGGTGCCATCCTTGCTTCGGATTTTGGTGGAATATGGCCGCATTAGGTACCTTAGCTACGAAAGTCTAAGGACCTGTCGCCTCCGGCAACAGCGCCAATCGATCATGCATGTTTCTTCCTTCCCTTTGGCTCTTCTATGCAGCATCACCGCTATAGATTCCTCGCTTTTTTATATTACTATTATCTTACAGTTTAAATCGAGAGGATCACTCGGACTCGTCTGCAGACAAAGAAATCTCTTTCTTTGCCCGAGACTGGAAGACGACACGGCTGATCAGTCGTCTACGTAGCTTCCGCTCTGCTCTCCGTTAACCCGTTTTTCTTGCACCCTCTTTTCATCCAACTTTCTTCGTGACACTCAGGTTCCGACTCCCTTTCTCTGATCTTGATCTCAAGGTGCAGCCCCTTTCCGTAATACTCTCTCTCTGCCTCTCTCTCTCTCTCTCTCTCTCTCTCCCTGAGTGCATTTCTTCTCTCCCATCGCTGTTTCGACATTTTTGGTTCATCATTGAGAAGGGTTTTTCGCTGCTACTGCGTACCCGGTGATGGAACATTAAGACAAGAAAGCGACGGGTGGAGTACAGATTCCTCGTGGAACGTGTATCGCATTCTCTTTCCAACGCATTCGATCATTGGTGTTACTGTTCAAATAATTTAACAATATTTGTGGTGAAACCTTTCCTTCTGATCCACGAGCTATCACTTCACTTATTATTTTTCTTTTCTAATAATAGGCAGAGTTGAGGGGACATCATTCTCCCAATGGGCACACATGGAAAGTTTCCATAAAGTCTCTAGAGAAGCCATTAATTACCATGTCTTTAGCCTTTTTTTACTATTTCTTTTACACAATCATTCTGACGGCATATCGCAATCTCTCACATCACTTCATCTTCCTCTCTCCATTGACTTCGACTTAGAGCTCTGATATAACCACGGACTGCTATAAGAATCTCGTTTTTCAACCAAACTTACCGAAAACATCGCGTGTACCATGCCGTTGACTCGACTCTTGCAGGGATCTCATGGCCTCTAGGAAAGATAAAGAGGGAAAGTACGCCTAGACCACCGACTCTTTGATGTTTACCAGGAGGCCCATGTCAACGATCCCTTCCTTTCCTGGGGGATGAAGTACTAACCTTGAATTGCCTTCTTCAACAACGAAAACCCCCCATTCAGACCGCTCAAGGTATCCTAGTTCCTTGATCTTGTCTAAGACACACCATGCATTTCTAAACTGACTGACAGTTGATGTCAAACATTCACCATTCAAAGGCAAGCCAGGACTAAGTTTTTTGATACCCACAAGTAGGATCTAGTGCGCACAAGAACTGGTTAGGAGACTCCTGCGAGGTCATCAATGGCGGAGAAAGGAGAAGCTTTCGCATGGCCCTCATTAAGATCACTAAAGGGATTCACATTCGCCGTTTTCTTTTGCCTCCTTTTACCAGATGCTCCTCTGGAAAGCTCTACTTATGGGCCTTTTCTTCTTTTTCTTCTTCTTCTGAGAAGATGGCTTCTCCTCGGTTGGTGAGAATCTCAATCTCTCCTTCAAATATGTTTCTAGTTTTCCTTGATCGATTAGATGAAGGGGCACTCGTTCCTCAAGAGCCTGAAAGGGTTTGTATATCTTCTAATGTTCAACATAGAACGAGCTAAAGTTCCACTCAATCCTCACTCCAAACGGTTCTCCAAGGTTCTCGGATGATCTGATGTCTTCCATCGAGGCCATGCAGGAACTGAAGATTAGTATTTTGCGTCGAGTGGAGCTTCGCCAAGAGCCAGTCCACCAAGATGATGAGGCTTGACGCAGGGGGTCCCTTCTTTTCTCGGAAGCATCTTACTTAAAACAGCATCCACAGTACCACTGAATGTGGACGAATTTCAATCTCTGGCCTCCACGAGGACAAACAGCTTGGAACTTGTCAAGTGGGCACGGTTCCCAAAAAGTCTGGAAAGGAAGAATAGTAGCTGACCATTCCCTCCTGAAAGGGGGGACCTCTTGTAGCAAGACCGTTCCTTAATAGTATAAAAGTCAACGTAGGTTAGCATCTTTAGAAGATGATGAGTGAGCCAGTTAGATTATATGTTCTATAATAGTCTTTTACTAGTAACTGCTAAAAAGTGAACATGAGATGACACGCTTTTACTTTTACTTAGAGATTAAATCGCACCTGCTCAATGCCATTGGTAACCATTCAAAAGCAGATAGGCTCTAATGAAGGCGATATTGCACTTTTTGACTTTGGGCATAAATCGCACCGCTCGATAACTTCAGCAAAATGTCAACGCCAGGGATTGGTCCAGGGCATCGTTGATATCCATTTATATCCATATGATGAAACCCAAAATGGCAACCTACGTTTTAAAAGCTATGTTCAAAGAGTTTTTTATATCTATCAAAGAAGTAGTTGTGTCTCCAAATAGGAGTCCAATTACCACAACGTAAAAAATACCACTGCAGGAGATTTCAACCTCCTAATTGTACACAAATAACTCTTAGCTACTACAACAAAGCCCAAAAGTCAACTAGCAAACTAAAGGGAAGGTCAAAACAGTCTAGCATCGCTTCATATGTGCATATTTACGAATGTGACTTTACTCGTAAACTTTAGGCACCCCATGAAGCATACGAGTGGCTGTAAAAAATTCTTTGTACTCGGTAGAAGTATGCTAGAAACTAATTGGCCATAAATACCGTTCCTTTTGCAATGAAAGGTTTATGACATTATTCTAATTCTAACACATAACAACCCTTATTATATGTCAATCCAAAAGTCTGGAAATAGTTGATTAATCACGTTGACCAATCAAGAATCACACTGGTTATGAAGATGTCAAAATATCAGAGGTCAATGCTGAGTTCTTGCATGTTAATAATGCGCCAAACGTGTTCTCAGATATGAAGCGGAGGTTGCCATCAGACGTCTTCAAGAACAACTAAGACTCTTCGCAATTCACGAGAGTGGCCTTTTTGACTCAGACGAATTCACAAAGAGAGAGAGAGAGAGAGAGAGAGAGAGAGAGAAACATATGTGTACCGTGGTAGAGGGCTGAACACGCAGAGTGAAGAGGACCTCCTGGTAAATGTGTACAACAAAAAGTCGCTAACTATCCAAAAGTGTGCAATGCACCTTCTAATGCGACACACGAACACGGAAGTCAACGGGGAACCACCCCGTTAGGGAAATAAACTGGAGAGAAGACCACAGAGGCGTGATCTCCCCAGAATTAGCAAGGCAACTCGCCACTATACAACACAGCGGTAAGTAGCATGGAACCCTGTATCTTCTCCATCATGGGTTACTTTGACTACCTGACCAGGCTCAAGACCGTAGTACCGCGCAATGGCATCGGATGCTAACATGCGAGGGAGCTGAGGAAGACGATAAATCCTTCTTGGTAAGGGTATCAAGGTAGGATCCATCCAACATTGCGTGATTAGTTGAATAATTATCTTTCTATCAGAAGAGTAGCACATTCATTGGAGACTAAAGAGGCCGGAAGAAATTGCTCCTAAGTTTATATCAATAATGTAATTTCACGGTTCGTAAAAAGATGAGAAGAAAATCAGGCTTAGAAAACTATGTCAAAAATGACATTTAGAAGAGTAGAAGCATCCAACGGAAATGACTGATGAGACAGAACCCTTTGCTGTGCTTCACTGGAAATTATGCAAGGCATTGCATCACCAATGGGGTAATTGATGATACATCGGCACGTAGTTCATTAAAGGACTAATCATATCGATAACATTTTATATTTCAACCTACATGTCCGACCCGTTTAAAGTATAATGTGACTATTGACCTAAACTTTAGCCTAGGTTTAAATAAAATATTAAGCAGCCAATCTAGATTCATAGATGCGGATGCTGATGAAATTTTCTAGTGTGCTGATATGCTCAAAGATCCAGTTCATCGAAAAGGATATGATGTTGTTACCAACGTTGTTTGAACAACTTCCCAGCCACTAAAATTAAAATTTAGCAATGGACATTATCTTGCAAAATTATGAAGAATGGATCAACAATTCCAGAATTACCTGATTTTCTTTCAATCCATACTTGTTTAGAAGTTTTTGTTTATCCTGTTCAGTCAGAATTTCATGAGCTTGCATCAACACATGCTTTGTGACATTCACCAATAACTCATTAATCTGAACTCGAGAAAAGAGAGTCGATTAGGAGGAAATTAAATAAAACGATAAATTATAAATGTCATGAATGAATATCAATTTGCACAAATTAATTCAGATTATGCACTAGTATAGGAATTCACTCATAGAGTAGAAGCAAACATAAAAAATGTAAAGATAATATAAACGTAAACCCTGAAGGATATAGACTTGCCAGTGAGCTTCCTTATCCTTAAAACCGAAACAGAAGAGAACAGCAATGACTTGGAATAGCAACTTTCATCATCAAAATCCCAAGCTGTTCAGAACTTGTTTATGGATATTTTATATGATAATAAATACTTTTTTCATGGTCACAAAGCCTGAAAAACAATTTGCATCTTCACCCACAAAAATCAATGATACAAATGGCTCATATATATACGCATAGGTATACGAATATACGACCAAAATGATAGTCAAAAGTATTTCAGGCATTGATAATCTCGTCCTTCTTGTTCAACTCTTCAAGAACTCTGTAAAAGTGAGAATCTGACCTAGATACTGTTTCGGAAGCCATATGGCCTTTAGTTTAAAATAAAAGTGTTTCTCCAATGGTAATCCCCTTGAGTTTAAAAGTGTTAAATTATTGGACTACTCTCTCCTTGGAAGGAGAATCATTATGTTAAATATACTACCCTCTTCCACTGATGGTCAATTGATATACAGGTTGGATATCCAATTATCTAGCATCAACTCAGTACTGCAGGTTTCATTCCTAGGCTATGCAACCCATTTGTTCTGGTTCTGAAGGTTTTAAAATTTTGATGAGCAAGGCACAACCACTGTTTAACTACATTTCTGCATCAAAAAAAAGCAACCTAAAATAAAATACCACAGGCAACACAAAAAAATATCATTTGGAAAGAGAACCAAATCTAGATTTAATAACCAGATCTCCAATCCGGAATGCTAAAAGTCGAGAAAGAAAAACTCTTCAGGACACCAGATCATAGGAATTCACAGGGAAGAAAAGAAAAACTGTTCATCGAGCATGCATTGAAGATATTTTTCTTTAAAAAATCATAACCCTACTATGTGCTTTTATCATAAAAGCATCACTAAATTTCCATTTGATTACTTCTTTTGGAATAAATCGTTAAGAGTATTTTTTGTTCACGTATTCTGATAAAACGCTTTATTACAGTATGGAAAATGATAGAAAAATGACAGCCAATAGCATATACGTAAGTGGCTAACCAGACAAAACTGAAAGCAAACACTATGAAGGAAAAAGGAGAAGTGTAAGCATTCTCCGGGAGTAAGAATATCACCTGTCTCCGTGATTTCAAATGCTCCAGATATTAGAGATAAAGCCATAAGATGAATGATAAGAAGGATTTCAAGAGCTCTCAACAAAATTATTTGAAGTCGCAATTTTTTCCCACAAAACTAGAAATAAATTCTTACTTGGAAAATTTCCACTGTAAATGGAAGTTCCTTGGTTGCTTGTCGAGCTTGGTGTGTCAGTTTACCTTCCAAGACTAGTATCATGCGCAAGAAAATTTCATTCTTAATTCTATCAATGATACCACGTAAATTTGCTAGTTTGAACGGTCCAGATCCACAAAAGATAGTAAGAACCTGCCAGAAATGAATAAATTTGATATTTTACAGCATAGCATAACTCTCATGGGTGGGTAAACGCAAATGTCGCAGGGGGAAGGGGTGATCTTTCTCTCCGAGGACACTGGGTAGCTAGGATGCTTGGATCATTCACGTACCCAGATTCTTATCCAGATGTATCTGGAATATTAAGAACCAACGTTTTGCAACAGATCCAAGCATATTTCCTCTTTTTACATTGCTGTAAAAGCAATTACTTCCTTTTCCAAATATCAGAGCAAACATCTATTATTATGGCTAGCTTTCCCTTGCACAAACGCCAAGTGCCATGTCAATTACAGAGAGTATCTATCACATGTTGAAGATAGCGAGCACGACATTTGAAAGTTCTATAGCAGTCCACAGCTACAGCTACCCATTAATAATGAACGGTTTAATTAATTTATTTTGGTCCATAAAAAATATCAAATGAGCGTGCATTCAATCCTCCAACATGCCGTTAAATCTTGCTGTAAAATGTTTATCATGTTTCATAAATGAATAATGATACATGTCCTCCTGCCCCAACGATCATTGTGTAAAGACCACCTGCTAGGAATCTCAAAACCTCAGGTGGTCCAATCTCTTCATCCTTGACAAACCGTGTACAACTTATTCAAGGTATGCTGAGGAACACTAATTAAGCCAACAACAATTAGGAGGTAGGAAATTTGCTACAATTATGAAAAGGAAGAGGCATTTAATTCCAAATCCACCTATATGAGACAGAAATGCAAGATGATAAATGAGTTAAGGTGAGAGTTGCAGCATGGATCATGGAATCATCCCAATTCCAGACCGGATCAACCCCTCAAAACAAGAAGACAGTGATGAAGAAAAATCAGCTCCTTAACAAAAGTTCTGAACATTAAAAAATTGAACAAGCGAAATCACGAGTGTCTGATTTGACAAGTCCATCCACGTCTGCTATCTGTCTTCCATCCATTAAGAATTCAGTACTGGGGAGGAGTAAAAGAGAATGCTAATTCACTGTAAAAATCCTCATCAGGAAAACCTGTGTTTTCAGCTTTTCTAACTCATTATGCAGCAGCATAGAGGCCTTTCAATGAACCCTCTAAGCCAGGAACTGGATTTAGTGGATCTGATTTCAAATCAAAGACTCGGGATCATATTTTTTTTAATGCCATTGAATTGGCATTTTTCCATTTCAAGTGCGCTACTTTCTGAACCAAGAGGAATAATATCCACAATATCCGCAAAGTAATCTAATCCATGCATATGTAGAGTAAAGAGAATCTGGATAAAAGTACATTTAAGTATAAGAGCCACCAGGTACTCACTGATGATAACACCTACTGGATAAAAAGAGACGTTCAAATATATTACAAGATTCAAAAGTAATTCATCGACTAGAAAATTTCACGATCGCAAAACGATGAAGTTTCGACGAACAAGCAAGTAATACGACAGAGCCTCAAAGCAGCGCTCGCGCATTTCTACAGTGAAATCATTTTCCTTAGGAGTTCCAAAGGCATCATTTTACCGTTCAATGTTCGTAGAGAATTTCGTCACATCCTAATAAAATAGTTTTAAATGGAAATCTTAAACGAGTAACCTTGTTCTGAGAGGACATGCATCAAAGAAGACAGGCCAGAAAACAGTACGTCAAGAGAAAAGCAGCTCACTGCTACCTTCTGGGAAGGGTCCGACAGGAGGGAGGCAGAGATCCGGATGCGTTCGAGGTCCGGCTGCTGGCCATGGACGGAGCGAAACTGCGAGAGCGACTGCTCGATCTCCACAGCCGACACAGCGTATCCCCGGTCCCGAAGCATCTCCAGCACGGTCCGCCGGGCCAAGAAGTAGCGGTGGCTCTCCACGCTCCCCCGGTCGATGAAGCTGGCCAGGCAGCCGCCATCCTCCTCCATCCCGAACTCGTTCTTCGCCTCACCGAGATCAAAGACAGCGAACGATCACGAGGCTGCTTTCTGTTCAAACACGAAAGAGAGGGAGAGAGAGAGAGAGAGAGAGAGTTTGCCCCGGCCATGGACATCTCTTGATCCGGCCGGGCTGAAACTTTTATTGGGCCGCTTTCAACCAAGGCGGGGATAGGCCCATTCCCACGTGTCCGTGAGTGGTGGGATGGGTTGGGATTGCTAAGTGAGAACGCGGAGTTGACATTTGATCAATACGTTGACTTGACGCAATAGGACCACGTGGGTGACGGTTCAGTTCCGAGGCAGAAAATGGCTAAGTTCGATTTGTTGACTCGGAATTGAAGGATAATAAAGGGCTTGCCGTGTGAAAGGGATGGGCGTGGCGTGTCTACGCTTCTTTGCTCATCGGCAACTCCGGTGAGCTCCTCCGGGGAGGGATGAAGCAGGTGGCTGAGACGACGGAGCCGCTGTTGCCCGGGCTTCTCGGCGAGCTATGGAGGGGGGCCTTGGAACTCGGCCGTTCTCTGGTCTCGCCGGAGAACCCACCAGAGAACTGGCCGGGGCCGGAGATGGAGACCGAGCTCGACGATCTGAGGAGCCTCGTCGAGGGGATCAACGCCGTGCTCGGAGACGCCGACAGAAGGAACTTCGAGGAGGCCAGCGTGCTGCTGTGGCTGAGAAGCCTCAGGGAGGTGGCTCTCGACTTCGAAGACGTCGATGACGAGGTCGAGACGGTGCTCCGCCGAATCTCCGACGAGCTCCCCCCTGGGTTTTCTCTCCTCTTCTGGCGCAGGGTGCGGGAGGAGATCGCGGAGATCAAGGCTAGGTATGGGGAGCTCACCAGAGGCAGGGAGACGCTCTGGTTGGAGACGACGATGCGGCCGGCGGCGCGCTGGCAGAGATCGCCGCCGCCGACGGCGGCGGCCATGCCGGAGGAGCCTCTGTACGTAGGCCGGGACGGCGGCAGGGACGAGATCGTGAGCTTGCTGATGGCCCGCCGTGATGGGCTCCCCGTTGTGCCCATCTGGGGAATGGCGGGAATGGGGAAGACCGCTCTGGCCAGGCTCGTCTTCAACGACGAGAGGGTGAAGAGGCACTTCGCAGAGAGGAGGATCTGGATCTCCGCCGCCGCGGGGGGGTTCAACGTGGAGAGGATTACGGCGGAGATTCTCGAGTCCCTCACAGGCGAGCCCTCTTCCTCCTCCAATCTCTACAGCTTCGATCTGATCCAGCGCAAGGTGCGGCAGCGGCTGACGGAGGGGGGGCCGTTCTTGCTGGTGCTCGACAGCGTGGGGGCGGAGGGTCCTCGGAACTGGGACGATCTCCGCCTGTGCCTGCCGGCCGGCGGCGGCGAAAGCAGGGTCCTGATCACCACTCGTAAGGAAGACGTCGCTATCGGGATGGGCACGGTGGCACGGGAGAGCCTGCCGGGACTGACAGACAAGCACTGCTATCGCCTGCTCGAGCGACGAGCATTCCCCGCCGAGGGGTTTGATCGGGTTACAGGATTGGGGGAGATAGGTGAGCAGATCGCCAGAAAATGTCAGGGGTCGCCGCTGGCGGCGATATCCATCGGCGGGCTTCTCCACGGAGAAAAAGAGAAGGAGGAGTGGGAGAGAGTGTTGAGAGAAATGGAGGCGTTCCCTCTGGAGGAGAATGACATCCTGCCGCAGCTGAATCTGACCTACGCTCTTCTGCCGCTTCCTCTGAAGAAATGCTTCGCCTTCTGCGGCATCTTCCCCGAGGGGTATCTGATCGACAAGGATCTGCTCGTAAAACTGTGGATGGCTCAGGGATTCATCCAGCCGAGGGGAACCCAGAGGATGGAGAAGCTGGGCAGCCAGTACTTCGAGCAGCTCCTGTGGATCTCCTTCTTCCAAGCTTCATCCGACAGAAACCAGGGGCAGGCCTCTCCGACCACCTACGTCATACCCAGCCTGTTCCAGAAGCTAGCGAGCTCTCTCCGTGACTCTGACTGCGTGAGAATGGTCAACGGCACATCTCCAGAGCCCGGTAGTCGCTTGGAAAACACTCGCCATGCATCCTTCTTTATCAAGTCCGAGGATGAGGAGCAGGCGGGGGCGCCGGATTTTACAGTTCTCCACGAGTGCAGGAAGCTGAGGACCTTATCTCTGGTGGACGGCGGACGGAGGATAGACAAACTCCCCGCCGATCTTCTCCCAAAGCTGAGATTTCTGCAGCTCCCCGCCGATCTTCTCCCAAAGCTGAGATTTCTGCGCGCTCTGGATCTGAACGACTGCGCGGTTAGGGAGCTGCCCGACTCAGTCGGGGGGCTGATACTCCTCCGGTTTCTCGGCCTGCGGAAGACGAAGATCGAGCTACTGCCGGAGTCTGTGGCCGCGCTCAGCAATCTCCAGACCTTGGAGCTCAGCCATTGCTATGAGCTCCGCATGTTGCCCAAGGGCACGTCCGAGTTGACCAACCTGCGGCATCTGGGTCTGCATGTGGACCAACCCACTCGCTCAAAGTTGCAGTCAACGCCGCCGGGAATCGGAAGGCTGAGGTCGTTGGAGACGCTGTCCAGGTTCATTGTGGGGACAGAAGACGGCTGCGGGTTATCACAGATGAAGGATCTGAAGCTCAGGGGGGAGCTTTGGATCTCCAAGCTGGAGAATGTGCGCCGCCCGGAAGATGCTCGACAGGCCAACCTGAGGAACAAAGACTACCTCGACAGTCTCACCCTGGAATGGAGCGACCCCGAGGAGAACCTTAAGCAGCGCTCTGACAGCGTAGAACTCATGGAGAACCTTCAGCCTCCCTTCAGGCTCAGATGCCTGCAACTAGTCAACTATGATGGTGCAACTGCGCCTTCATGGCTTCCGAGTGATGGGGCCTTCCGGGACTTGTCTTTTCTGAGTCTTTCCAACTGCAGACGATGGAGAAATCTCCCTGAACTGGGCCGCCTTCCAGCACTGAAGGAGCTGCTCATTGAGGGAATCCATGGCCTTACTACTGTGGAGCATCAGGCTTCTTCTTCTTCTTCTCCCCCGAGCTTCCCAGCCCTGGAGAAGCTTACCTTGAGCGACTTGCCCGCTCTCGAAAGGTGGGCGGTCTCTGAGGGGGAGATGCCTCGTCTGAGCGAGCTCAGCATCCTATCCTGCCCTAGCTTGGTTGACTTGCCTCATCTCCCATCTTCGTTGACTAAGCTCAAAGTGCGAGGTTGTGGGGCGCTGCTGGTCATCCCTCGCCCCCGACTCCTTAGAGACATCGAGATTCATAATGCATAGCCTTAAGACGGGATGATGCCGCCGTGGGAAATGCCAGGCAAGATCATGTTGACATTTGACAAGATTTGTTTCTTCATTTTCTTCAAAATAAAGAAAAACAAATCGTGCCATATTCGACCCCATTCCAGTGGGGTTGACTTTATTTTCCTCAGATGTTCCGGAAGAATGCAATCTTTACTTAAAGATTGCTCGACGCTCTACAAAGTCAATGGACACAGAGACCCAGGAAAATAAAAAAATAATAGAAATAAAATTACGGATGGAACAGATGACCGGGTACAGCGTCAGATCATCATCATCGGATGACAAGCACGAATCAAGATGTGCCCATCAAAACCAAACCATGACCAGAGAAAAAGCTGCGCTGCTCCTCCGAAGCAAGGACAGGCATCGGCTTGAGGCTTCCGATGATCTTTCTCTCAGGCGCCGATGATCTTTCTCTCGACGACGCGCTCTATCTTGTGCCAATCTTTGCCTTTGTTCTCTCGACAGCGCCATTCGAGAAATGGGCAACGAATGACGGCCAAGTAAGCGAGAGAAGACGGCACAGCTTGCGGCAGGCACATGACCAGTGGAACATCCTGCAGCTCGATATGCTCGAGACCGTCAGGCAGCTGGGGAAGGCGCCGCAATGCCTTGCAGCCTTTTAATGTCAATTTCCTAACCGAAGGTGGGAGACGGTGCAGATCACCTAACTTGGGGCAGCTTGAAACATTGAGCTCACTCAGACGAGCCATGTCCCCCTCTCCTACTGACCAGTTCAGCAGATCAGGGAGGTCGCACAATGTCAGCTTCTCCAGAGCTGGGAACCTGGGCGACCTGTCATGGCGAGAAAGCAGATGTTCCGTACTGGTCGACCCATGAATGCCTTCAATAGTCAGCTCCTTGAGCGCATCCATTCGTCCGACTCTCGGGAGATCGTTCCATTTTCTGCAATTCGAAAGCTTCAGGATCTCCAGATCTTGCAGCTCCCACTCGGGGACAGTCGCACCATTGTAGTTCAGTATGCACAGATATTTGAGCACGGAAGGAGGTTGAAAGCCTTCGATCATATCTGTATCGTGTGGATACTGCTGGTTGTGCAGCTCAGAATCGCTCCATTCCAGGGTGAGGCTGTGGAGGTAGTCTTTGTTCCTCAGGTTGGCCTGTCGAGCATCTTCCGGGCGGCGCACATTCTCCAGCTTGGAGATCCAAAGCTCCCCCCTGAGCTTCAGATCCTTCATCTGTGATAACCCGCAGCCGTCTTCTGTCCCCACGATGAACCTGGACAGCGTCTCCAACGACCTCAGCCTTCCGATTCCCGGCGGCGTTGACTGCAACTTTGAGCGAGTGGGTTGGTCCACATGCAGACCCAGATGCCGCAGGTTGGTCAACTCGGACGTGCGCTTGGGCAACATGCGGAGCTCATAGCAATGGCTGAGCTCCAAGGTCTGGAGATTGCTGAGCGTGGCCACAGACTCCGGCAGCAGCTCGATCTTCGTCTTCCGCAGGCCGAGAAATCGGAGGAGTTTCAGCTCGCCGACTGAGTCGGGCAGCTCCCTCACCGCGCTGTCGTTCAGATCCAGAGCGCGCAAAAATCTCAGCTTTGGGAGAAGATCGGCGGGGAGCTTGTCTATCCTCCGTCCGCCGTCCACCAGAGATAAGGTCCTCAGCTTCCTGCACTCGTGGAGAACTGTAAAATCCGGCGCCCCCGCCTGCTCCTCATCCTCGGACTTGATAAAGAAGGATGCATGGCGAGTGTTTTCCAAGCGACTACCGGGCTCTGGAGATGTGCCGTTGACCATTCTCACGCAGTCAGAGTCACGGAGAGAGCTCGCTAGCTTCTGGAACAGGCTGGGTATGACGTAGGTGGTCGGAGAGGCCTGCCCCTGGTTTCTGTCGGATGAAGCTTGGAAGAAGGAGATCCACAGGAGCTGCTCGAAGTACTGGCTGCCCAGCTTCTCCATCCTCTGGGTTCCCCTCGGCTGGATGAATCCCTGAGCCATCCACAGTTTTACGAGCAGATCCTTGTCGATCAGATACCCCTCGGGGAAGATGCCGCAGAAGGCGAAGCATTTCTTCAGAGGAAGCGGCAGAAGAGCGTAGGTCAGATTCAGCTGCGGCAGGATGTCATTCTCCTCCAGAGGGAACGCCTCCATTTCTCTCAACACTCTCTCCCACTCCTCCTTCTCTTTTTCTCCGTGGAGAAGCCCGCCGATGGATATCGCCGCCAGCGGCGACCCCTGACATTTTCTGGCGATCTGCTCACCTATCTCCCCCAATCCTGTAACCCGATCAAACCCCTCGGCGGGGAATGCTCGTCGCTCGAGCAGGCGATAGCAGTGCTTGTCTGTCAGTCCCGGCAGGCTCTCCCGTGCCACCGTGCCCATCCCGATAGCGACGTCTTCCTTGCGAGTGGTGATCAGGACCCTGCTTTCGCCGCCGCCGGCCGGCAGGCACAGGCGGAGATCGTCCCAGTTCCGAGGACCCTCCGCCCCCACGCTGTCGAGCACCAGCAAGAACGGCCCCCCCTCCGTCAGCCGCTGCCGCACCTTGCGCTGGATCAGATCGAAGTTCGAAAAATGGCAGGGCTCACCGGTGACGAACTCGAAGATCTTCTTCGTCATCCCCACCACGTCGAAGCCGTCAGCCGCAGAGATCCAGATCCTCTTCGACTGGAACCGATTCTTCACCCTCGCGTCGTTGAAGACGAGCTTGGCCAACGCCGTCTTCCCCAGGCCCCCCATCCCGTAGATCGGAACCACCGGAAGCTGACCGCCATCCCTCCTCGTCACCAGCAAGCTCACGATCTCGTCCCTGTCGCCGTCCCTGCCGATGATCAGAGCTTCTTCCGGCAATACAGATCCCCCCGGAGGCTGCATCCTGCGAACGCGCATTCCGCCTTCCCCGCGCCGCAGAGCGAGATTCTCCCTGTCTCTGCTGATCTCCTCGTACCTCTCGTTGATCTCCGCGATCGCCATGGCCACACTCCGCCGGAACCGGAGCAGAGGGAGGGAGACCGGCGCGATGTGGTGCCACAACCGCCTCCTCGTCAGAGCTCGCGCCGCCAGCGGCCGGACCTGGAGGTCCTCGTCCACGTCACCGGCGTCGAGCTTCACATCCCTGAGATCCCTCAGCCAGATGAGGGCACGCTCGTCCTCAATGTCCAACCGATCGGCGTCGACGAGCGTGGCCTCGATCCTCTCCTCCAGCCGCTTGAGCTTCTCATGCTCCCTCTCCACACCCTGAATCAGAGAGTACTCGGACTCGACGAACGAGACGGCCAGATCGATCGCCTTTTCCCAGATCTTGTCCGGCAACCCCAACCCGTTCCCCACCAGCTGAGAGAGCTTGCGGCTCAGCATCCTCCACTCCATCGCCTCGCCGCCGATCCTGCCCACTGCAGCGATCGGCGGGATGCTTGGGGAGGACGACGCTCGGAAGGGAAGACGCGTGCATTGACTTTTGAGAAGACGGAACTCCGCGTCGACAGCTCCGTCCGTTAATAAAAAACAACCAGTATCCCTCTTTCTCCATCTCTCTCTCTCTCTCTCTCTCTCTCTCTAGAAGATGGAAGGGCGACTGGTTCAAATTCCGTCCGAGGCGCTGCAGAGGGCTTCGTGGAGGAGGGCGGCGAGGCGCTCGTCGGCGGCGGCGATCACCGCCGGCGCCGCCCCCAATTCTACGACGGCTCTGCGGTCGCCATCCTGAACGAAGATTCTGCAGCGGCCGCCATCGTCTTGCTCGACGGAGCTCTCGATGATCCCCTTCTCCGCTAACGAGTGGAGCAGCAGGCTCCGGTCCACCGGCCCCCAGAGCAGCCGCTTCGCGGGGAGATCGGACGGGGCCTTTGTCGGAGCCAGCAGGTGCCTCCCGTAGGACAGCTGAAGCTTCCCCTTCAACCTCGAGATCGCCATTGTCTCCTGCAGCATCCTCCTCGGGCGAAGCTGACGAGCCAAGTCGATGGACAGATCGGCCTCGACGCCATCGCTAGGGTTCGGAGCGGCCATCGTCCTGTTCTCCGAGTAATACAGGAACGAGGCCCCCTCCCTGAGCGGGACATGCGGCCGGAGATCTTCAGGGAACTGAAAGAGAGGAGAGGACACAGATCTGAGCTTTTCTGCACAGCGAGCTTGGAGATGGGTGAAAACCTAGAGCCAGAGTATCTCACCAGGATGTGCTTCGATTTGAGAAACTCCAACAATGGGTGCACCTTCCGGATGCTGTCGACAAGAGACGACTGGTTTCTCAGTCTGGAGATCAGGAGATCAAGATGAAAGACGGAGATCAGGAGTTTCGAGGGGAGCACGTACGGCAACCCGGAGAGGAAAGAACAGCGGAGGACCTTCATCGCAATGGGCATGAAAGGCGAGAGGGCCACATCTGCATCGACTCCGCTCTGCAAGTCATGAGAGCAAAGCCCAGATTACATGCCAAAGAATAGTCTTCCTGCTCTAATCGAGAGATTTCAGATTTCAGATTACAGATCGATGGTTTTCTCAGATCGGGGTCATTGAAGAGATGGTCATTGCAGTGAGTTCTTCTTCAGTGGATCGAAGCTGGCTGCTGCCCGATGGAGTGATCTACATGTTTCCGGATTAGACATGGGAAATGAACCAGGTTTTAACCATTCATACCTCCAGAATGAGCAAACAATTCTCATCAGCATGCCATCGGCGAAGCAGGTGAACGGCTGGACCTAATCGAAGACTCCAATGGGGAGAGAACACTATGCACGGCTCCTGCCATGCCTGCCTGCAAACAGAGAGAGCTTCAGGCTCGTTCAAGGCAGGTAAACCATGGCCACAGATCAAGCAGTAACGCCATCTATATAAATCATACTATTTTGAGAAGTTTTATGGATATGACAGTGAATATGAGGCGTTTGAATATTAAAAACCCATTTTAATATAAAACCAAGTCTTAATAATTTTCGAACATACCTTGTTTCCATCATAAACACCCACCTAAACTGATACTGCATGCATCGATCATTCCCATTCCTGGTATTCATTCGTTTCTCTTTTATTAAATGGAGTAAATCTTCAGTAGCAGATTACAGATACCCCGATTGCTTCTATTTTTAGGTCTGGGCTTGATGATAATACTGATAAACATGAATTAAGATGAGCAGATGCAATAATGAACCTGTCTACGATATAGGATTAAAGCAGATTATTTATCTAACAAAATTCTCAATCCCTTCCTGTAGCCCAGTTAAATATTTCATAAAAAAGCTGGAATCATCCTGACAACGCGAACCCAGATGCAGAACTAGTAGATCAAACACTGCAGATTAAACATGGCATATTAGGATGGAAAAAGGCACCTGGACGAATATACTTCCTTATAAATGGAAGAATCATGATGTCGTGTGCAAAAATTACCAAGGAATAAAAGGGGCTCGGAAATTTGAAAAGAAGAAGAAACATAAAAGTCTATACCCTATTTCTTATGGATTTCAAATACGATACAGATAGGCAACAGATAAACCTCGGGGATATGGGAAGGGACCCAACAAGTCACTCCCCATGTTTCTGCCTGAATTTGGTCGGAATGCATTCTGAATACTTACATATTCAACTTTGGACACTTGAAGAGATCATGAGAAACAAATAAAGATTTTAAGAGAGGGAAATGGAAGGAACTTACATGAAATCGGGTGAATGAATAACTGGAAAGAACTGAAGCTTGCTCTCTTTAGTAAGCTCTGCATGGCCGAACAACGACGTACCGGAGTACAACTATAGAGAGGATTGAACTCCATGCAGTCAACACCACAAAAAATCGCGTAACAAAAGGCAATATAAGTCAAGTCTGACCATTTCACCATGAAAAGGAGAAGTATGGACCTTTTGTTGGCGTTCACTGGAAACCCATTCTGGGAAAACATTGGCCAAGGCAAGCATTTCTTCAGCAGCAGAAGAGATAATATACATTGGTACCTTCATCAGGGAAAAAAAATTAAACTATGTTGACAAAGAATGACCCAAACTTGACTTATCCCACATGAAAATAATAGATAAACAAGAGATTGACTATGGAGATGGAGACTGATTCTATAGAAACGAAAACAACAGGAACTCATTATTGGCATAATACCACCATGTCACAAAAGCTAAAACGAACCCCACTCGGAAAAATATGACCCCATACTATTTATCCATAGGCCAAAGGACATAACAAGAACACTGAATATCCTAAACCAGCTGCCTACTATAAGAGAAAAAAAATAGCCTCCTCGTATTCAGTTCAGTTCAGAGATGGCTGAGTTGATCCCAATTCAGTTCAAAGTTTTGAGTAAAATGATAACTTAAGATCCCCAGTTTAGTTATCTATTATTAACAGAAAACTGTGGAGACTAGCCCGAAAGGTCCATAGGCATGATGATTTTAATGATAGCTACATTATTCCTTTTCATATCAACTAGTTGAAAATTTATAGAATTAATTGCACCCACATACTTTGGAAAAAATCTTGTAAGGAAGATACATCGAAATTGGCAACAACAAAAGATCTAAATACCCCAATGCAACATCATTCGGCATATAAAAGCAGACTGAGAAAACTTCAGATGCTATTTCCTCATGTTCTGGCTCAAGGCTGACTAGTCAACAATTGAAACTTCGTGAAAGACAAAAAAAAGGATTACAGAAAAGACAAATTTTTATCGTGGTTATAATGAATATGAATGAAAGGACACTCACAGCAATATGAACCACATTACAGAGGCAGTAGTAACTGTGAGACTATTTTGGAAAGTATATGTTACCTGACAGAGATTCTATGTTTTATCATCATTCAAAAATAACAAAAGCCAAAGGGAAACTACCTGCATATCAGTCAAAAGGATAGAGCACCTTGAGTTCCAAAGCTTCAAGAGCCTGCGAAATCACTTCTAAAAGTTGTAATATAATTCCAAGTCGTCCTATGGGTATAAGAACAGAGCCCCCTCCTTTGGCAGTCTCTACCACACAAGAAGATATGAAATTTATCTTTTCCAGCTCCTCTAGCATTTCGACACTGGCGGCAAAGCCCTCTCTATCTTCATCATTATTGTTATCTTCCCTGCTTTGAAACATTTAAGTTATAACATGGAAATCACAAAAAAAGTATTTATCTTCACGCAACTAAATTGGGTACCTGATCAGTGGCACGTCAGCAATCGAAGATGGTTCATCTAATGGTTCTTTTTCACTATTACTCATTCCAGCATCATTAAAAGACGAAAAATCTGAAAATAATATGAAATCATTCCCCTGGAGGTCGTGGTAGTTAAATTCCATGGCAGTAGCAGATTTGAATATTGAGCTTGTCAAGTATGTAACACTGCTTCCTGGGCAGTGTATTGTCCAATTCGCACCACCTATTTCTAAGCCTGAACTGAAGGCCTTGAAGATAAGAGAGCTGTTGTAGCAACATTCCTCAGCATATTTAGCGGTTTGAACTTTCTTAATACATTCATCAATTTCTGCTTTGCTGACATAAATACCTAATTAGTGCAACCCCATGAAAAGAAACAACTCTAAAGGATCAATAAGCAATATATTTCTCACAGTTGTGAAGCAGAAAATGAAACACTAGTTATACAAATGTAGCATAAATAAAAAAATTAATTTAGCATTCTGACCATGAAGAAAATAGGCATTACCCAGGAGAAAATAAAAAATCTTACGCAATGCGGACAGGAAATGATCTGAACTGTATGGGAGTATTCGAGGTTATAGTTTTGGCACTCGTCTCCAAATTTTATCTGACAAACATCCAAGTAGATGTGGCCAACAAGTTACCTAGCGTAATCTGAAAAAGATGGTGACCTGCCCGTGATGAAAGCTGCGAATTTTAGTTCCCATAGCTTCATCTGCTCGCAAATCATCAGGCAGGAATCCAGCAGTATCTTCGTCACCAACAACTACACAAGAAATGACTAGTGACACCCCAAAGTCATGTAAAACGTAGGTTTCAGACATGATGATACCATCAGCATCTACAGGTGAATAATGCTACTCTCAATGGGAAGCTTGAAGATGGGGTGGCAATTAAAGAGACTCGGTTGACTAAACCATCTTTTCAATTCTAATAACATCTGGCTGCTACAAGGTAAATCCTGAGGAGGCATGGGAGTTCTATTTTTGTAACTTGTGAGGAAAGACCAGGCATAGCCACACAACAGCAACAGATATCGGTGCATCACAAGTTTTCCTAAATCCATGGACTGTCTCTTCTTTCACCAAGTGATTGTGCAGCCCTTATCAAGTGGCCCTTGCATTCTAACTTAACCCTTATTTTTCAATGATGAATACAATAAAATGAGGAATTTTTTCTCCCTCAATAAATTCCCAAGTTGGTGAAAAAAAGTACAGGAATAAATCTACAAGGATAATATTACCATGCTAGTTAAAGATAAAATAAATCAAGTACTGTCAGATTTTCATTCGAACGTGCTAAAGCAAATGTTATGAGACGTTTCATGCAAGGCCCTATTTTTTTTTCCAAAAGAACTATTATAGAGTGATAGAACTTAGCTTGACAATGACTCAGCACCTCACTCAAACGACTTGCAAGGCTTGTTGTTTGTTGAAAAGTCAAAAATTACCGTTTCTTAAATCTTCTTTTGTATCTAAAGCACCGTTAAGTGCAAGCTTATAGCACTCACTCAGATATACCATTTTGGAGGGTCATAGCATAGCACTTACTCACATATGCGGGCACAAAGTATGGGTACTATACAGCTAGAGCCCTTCCATATTCATAACAGTTTGTATTTTCACTGTCCGCTGTTAATATCAACTCTTGAAGTTTTAAACATCTACTATTCCTCTCTTCCTTTACAATTAATCAAGTTTATCTGCTGATCCTTCTGCTATTTCTTTCCCATTTCCATGTTCCCATTAAAAATACTATTTCCATTCATCAATGTTTATTTCCATTCCTTTAGTTACCTTGTCATGCAGCTGAAAAGGAAGTGATCAAACCAGAAACCAATATATAGGATTATCGACAGCTACCAGTAGACAATAGCCAGAGTGGAGAAATGAAGATATATCTGGGTAGACAGAGAATATAAAAGCAGGCAGGTTCACAATGCATGTTGAGTGCTTTGCTGTCGTCAAAAACACAAACACAACTTGAAGTATGAACTATAAAGGACGGGATATGAGTGACAAGAAGCTAGACAGGTACCTGTACAGAGGGAACCATGATCCTAATTCCTCTGCCACATTCCCCATAACAATGGTTCTTATAACCTGGGGATATTTTTCCAATTCATTCCATGTCATCCATTCAGGATATTTGAATTCTTCCCCAGGACCAAAAAACTGAAGAGCTTCCTCATGCATAGTGACAAGATCCTCCATCATAAGCTGTCCGATCTTTGTTGTTACCTCTGTCGCATAAATCTAGATAGAAAAAATGCAATGTAATCAACGATTTTATTTTTTTCAAAAGCTATATACTAGCATTTGCCAAAAGAGGAAAGATAAAGTAAAACTTTTTAAGTTCATCTCAGCACCTTGGCAGAGAAATTGCTGTTACGTGTCAGAATTGGCAATCCAAGAATTCCCATTGGGCTCGAAATCACAACAACATCAATGAGGGAGACATCCCACAGCCCCAGGCTCCCAACTGTCTTGTACCACGGAACAGAATTTATCAGGCCATCCACTGATAGGGAGGCTTCCTTTCCTTCCTCTTCTTCCTCATCACTACCCATCCCAACTTCAGATGTGGTGGCCATGATGGGGGCAAAGGCAGTAAGAGCAGATAGATCTATAGGGCACTCAAGGAGAATGCAAAATCCGCCAAGGTCAATCATGTGACATGGGGGGCAATGGAAGCCTTGCCCTCTGCTTAGGCATGTCTGCAAGATAAGGAAGAGATCAAGAGAGAAGAAACAGCGTGAAAAAGAGAGAGAAACCTCATGGGAAAAATAGGGACATAGACTTTACCAACTTCATGGAAAGAGAGATGAAGTGCGCGTGTCTATGATTCACAGTCTTGGAGCAGGATATGTGTCCAATGCTGAAGATGTTTTTCCATTTACACTCTCCACCATTGCCGCTCTATTCTTTTTATCTTTGTAGAAGGCGGCTGGCATCTCAGAAGGACACAAATTATAGTGGAGAATCAATCCAGTTTTTCGCAATTCACTTCCATAAGAACATAATCCTGGGACCAAAAAAAAATGGCCGCCACTATCCTGGAGTTAAACAGAAGAAAGCATTAACTGAAGCTACCTCAAACTATTTTAAATGTATAAATTTAATTTCACAAAAATAGAAAGTGGATGATCTAGTAAGAATATGATCAGAAGATACAAAAGGCTGCCTCTCTTTTGCAATTAAAAAAACCAAAAAAAACAGAAAGAAAAAGAATCAGAACAGCTGTAACATACAATGCATAGTTATATGGACTCCTGGAAGAGACAGGTGGGCACAGGGTGGCTACAGGCAGTAGCCATCAAGAAGCAACTGCTTACCACCACGATGGGTGTATGTCTCGCATAAAACCATAGGGACGAAGAGGAAAAAAGGTCATGAGATGAAACTGGACTTACTCATCTAACTAAAATGAAAGTGAAGAAAGAAACTACTGAACCTGAGGACGAGTTTGATGTAGGATAACTACGACAGACACAGAGTGGGTGGATTAAGGATAATGTAGGGATGGATAAATCGAGCCACAAAAATCACACCACCGATTCGAACCTTTAAATCCGGAGAAAATGATGATGGTGCAGCCCCGCTCCTCGGTCGAGGGCGGGAGTACTGTCTTACAACCACCACGATAAGTAAAGCTCCAACTTCAAAATCCCAGATGGTTAACCACGAGAAGACACAAATCTATTACGTAAACCCGATGGCGGTGGGAAAACACACAAGCGAATACTGAATGAAATAATATGAATCACCAAGGAGTGAAGAGAAGACCTTCAGGGCTGAGACAGCACGAGGGTCGGTGCTGCGAGCCTCGAGTTGCGGCAGGACGGTGAAAGATGGAAACTGGAAACCTTGCTGATCAGTCTTCAATCTTGGACCGGGCTCTTTGGGCGCGGGGATTGCGGATCCAACTGCGCGGTCAGTTGACGGGGGAATCAAGGGGGGAAGCCGCCCCCTTGCGGGGTTCGGAACAGCGCCCTGAAACCTAAACCCGGGGTTGATTCCGCGCACTCGCCCGATGGAGGACCTCGACGTTCCCGTGGCGAAACGGGTGGCTGCGGGAATCGTCGCGCGCAAGGGCAAAATCGTGCGACGGGGAAGAGTCACGCGCGCGTCGGCCGAAGGCGCGTGGCTGCGTTGGCTGACGACGACCTGAAAGCGGGGCCTCAAGACGAGTCAACACTCGTCGACTTGAATGTTGTCGTCTACCGGCGACGGTAGACAACAACGCGCCAGATGGCGGACGGTGCGATCGGCGGCGAGAGAAACTGGATGTTCGCTCTCGAATGGTGGATCACGGGGTGTATGGAAGGGGGAGTCGTGCGCTCGTGATGGGCGGACGCGCGCGGGAGGGTCGCCTCTCAGCGGCGGCGGCGGCGGCTGAGAGGGAACCTTAGGGCAAATTCTGAAAATGATGTCTAAATCTTCAAAATTCACCACCACCGTCTATTACAGCGCCAATCTTATATATAGGGTTCAAGAATTCATTCAAGGAAAATCCTAATAATAAATAAAGTTTGGATCTTGGATCTTAGGTTGACGATGTGGACGTGGCATGATTCCTGTGCTGGCCTTCCCCTCCTGTGGTGGCGCCGTCCCTTCAAATGGTAGGGCTGGGACGTTTACCCCACTAATGTCAAATGGAGATGTTATTTTTTGAAAATTCTCTAGTATCTTTTAAGAATTAAGCTTAAATTTTCTACTGCTTTTCATCCTCAAACTGACGGCCAAACTGAGGTTGTCAATGAGAGTTTAAGAAACTTGTTGCGGTCTCTGGTTGGAGATAACCTCAACCAAAGACCGCAACAATACTTTATTGGCATGAAAACATTGAGAAAATATTGAATGAAGTAATCATTTTCACCGAGAGTGGAATGATGTGGAAATTTCTTATTCATTGATAGAGAAAACCTTCTTTAGATGACTTGTGGATCAAAGAAGAAAACTTAGCATGGCTACGACTGGACTTGCTTAGCCTGCTCAAACACCCTCACACCAACTCATCAGAGTCGAGTTCTTCTGACTCGGGGAATAGCAACTTTCATCATCAAAATCCCAAGCTGTTCAGAACTTGTTTATGGATATTTTATATGATAATAAATACTTTTTTCATGGTCACAAAGCCTGAAAAACAATTTGCATCTTCACCCACAAAAATCAATGATACAAATGGCTCATATATATACGCATAGGTATACGAATATACGACCAAAATGATAGTCAAAAGTATTTCAGGCATTGATAATCTCGTCCTTCTTGTTCAACTCTTCAAGAACTCTGTAAAAGTGAGAATCTGACCTAGATACTGTTTCGGAAGCCATATGGCCTTTAGTTTAAAATAAAAGTGTTTCTCCAATGGTAATCCCCTTGAGTTTAAAACTGTTAAATTATTGGATTACTCTCTCCTTGGAAGGAGAATCATTATGTTAAGGATAAGGAAGCTCACTGGCAAGTCTATATCCTTTAGGGTTTACGTTTATATTATCTTTACATATTTTATGTTTGCTTCTACTCTATGAGTGAATTCCTATACTAGTGCATAATCTGAATTAATTTGTGCAAATTGATATTCATTCATGACATTTATAATTTATCGTTTTATTTAATTTCCTCTTAATCGACTCTCTTTTCTCGAGTTCAGATTAATGAGTTATTGGTGAATGTCACAAAGCATGTGTTGATGCAAGCTCATGAAATATTGTGCCTATAGAAACATAGAATTTCTTGAAATATATATGTTATATATATATATAAACATAGAATCTCTCATATTAATGCCTATAGAAATATTGTGCATTTTATGCACAAGACAGATTTACCTTTGGCCAAAAGGGCATTGCAGGATTTCTTCAGTTCTATTTAAACTCCCATGAATTAATAAATTCCCACAAAATTATGAAAAAAAGTACTGGTGTAAGGTGCTTTGGAGAATGCCATTTTTTGAATGATTTATCTGGCCTTGAAAATTCTCAAATTCAGATATATCATGCATTTAAAGCCTTGAAGGAAAAAATAAATAAATTTGAACTTTTATGTGGGTTTTATCATATCTCCTTACTTTCCTAGAAGAAACCAACGTGAAGGGGCGAGATGAAGATGATGGACTGATCAGTGAGCCAATGGGGGAGAGGCTAGTAATGTTATGGAGAGTTATATTATCTCCTGAGTGGAAGGAGAAGAAAAATATAAAGAATATGCTCCAAAAAGATACCAATGGGTTATCCAACTAGGGCGCGCTAAGGTGCCCAACTTCGTGGTCCTTCCCCATAATTTCAACATGCGACCACTGGGCACAACCATTCAACATGCTGGAAACCAGCCCATGCTTTCTGTGTGCTTAAGTGAAAAACGAGCTTGGGATTGGGCTTTCCACTGTTTCTCTGTCCCACCCACACCTCCCCCCTATTCAGCCAACGGTTGGGCAAACCATCTCTCTCTCTCTCTCTCTCTCTCTCTCTCTCTCTCCACCACCACCACCAAGGAAGAAGATAGACACAAAGGAGAGGAGGCTCCAAAGGTCGACGCCCACTGGGCCTTTCTAGAGCAAGCTGGGCGCACGTTGGTTCGGGGAGGAGGGATCCCCGTCCCTATCCATCGCATGGTCCGTAGGGGCGGCGGAGGATGCGCGAGAAGCGATAACCATCACGGCTTCGTGTTCGCCAGCAAATCCGCAGAGTCGTCTCATTCGTCGCTTTTCCACTCCCGCCGCCGACCGCCGCTGCCTTCTTAAATCGAGGGACCGGGAAGAGTCATCCCGCGAGTTTCGGAAGGAGAAGAAAAGATGATGTTTTTCCACAAGAAGACCGCTCATGGCCTCTTGGGCTTCCCCGATCGCCGCCGCCCCTCCTCCCCTCGCATGGGCCTCGGATGGGTCGTCGAGGAGCCGCCGCCGCCGTCGGCCCACGTCGTTGAAGCCACCCTCATCGCCGCTACTAAGCCTCCCTCATTGTCCTCCCACGCGCCGGCGCCGCCGTCGCCGTCGCCAATGTCGCCGACGGGAGGCATCGACAGCTGCGTCTGTGGCCTGAGCTCCCTCTACGATTGCACTGGCTGCGGCAGCGGCCGCACGAGCCTCGAGCTCTGCACGGAGAGCCTCGGGTTCGAGAGCTCCTGCGAAATGGCGTCCGAGGAGTGGGAGGAGGAAGAGATCTGCAAGAGGTGGACCATCGAAAGGAAACCAGACGAGGTCCAGCATTCCGTCAATGAGGAGTCGACGGGGTGGCAATCGGAGAAGAAGGAGTTCCCCCCGCCGCTGCCATGGCTCAGCGACTTGCCCGCCGGCCGCGGGCTCTCGAGGTCTTTCCTCAGGGCGGTGCGGGGGGGCGGGCGCCTGCTGCTGACCGAGGTCCGCGTCGAGAGCCCGGAGATCTTCCGGGCACTCCGCCATGATGGCCATCTCAGGCTGGAGCTCGTCGGCCCACAGCGGAGTGGAGAGGTCGCAGAGGAGAGGGCCCAAGAGGAGGCTGCGCAGGAAGAAGAGAGGGAAGAGGAGGAGAAGCAGCGACGGCGGGCGATTCTCCCGGCGGTGGCCTCGTTCAGGAGCGGGAGGTGCCAGGAGCTCACTGGGGAGGGCTCGCCGGCCTCGCCCTTCTGGAACAGCCGGTCCCTGGCGGCGGCGTGAGTGGATTGGAGTCAACGACGGCATCATGAATATCTTGTCATCTCTCAGCGAGGGGTCGGAAGAGATCCATCTCCCCATCAAATCCTTCACTGCTTCGGGGAAAAAACCGCTACTTGGGCTGAATCAGTACTCTCCACCACGTGGTCGCGACTGGTCCTCTTCCCCGGAAGCCGAGCACTTTGCAGAGACCGTGCTACTATTAACGAGTACGGATTATTCCAGCATTTTAATTTCTATTGTAATTTTTCTTTCTTGCAGTCAACGTCTGCTCCATGATGAAACTATTATACGGCAGGTCAACGCTGTGGAATGGAATAATTGCCGAGTCAAGGGTGAGTAGTAGGACTTATAACCCTTTATCCTTCAATAATCATATTAGAGCTGGGCAGGAAAAGAAAATCACTATAGAGAAAGGCAAGTTACTTAGATGATTGGTCTTATGAGACGAGAGCTTGATTGTTCATGCCGTTGACATCCGCGGAGCTTTAGACTTTGCTAGATCGTGATTTGTTTCCTCTGTAGTCAGACTTTGTATACATGAGGTAATAATAAATAAAATAATTCCGACCCGGATGCTCTAAAAATGGTATTAATCACTCATCATAGAGTATAACGGTGCTAACCTGCCCAATGCCACATTTTATCTAAGCTCAGGCCTCCAAATCCATCACTGAAATAAATACTCTCTCTCTCTCTCTCTCTACAACGCTTCATAGGAGTGATTCTCCTGAGGGTGGGAGATGTGAGCTGAAGACAGAAGAGAGCATTTCATTTAAATCTATTTCTCTGATTAATCTCGCCACCTCAGATGAGGAAGTAAAACTGTTGACCTCATGATGGTTTTGTTAATAGAACTGGATCCCTCATCGCCAGCAAGAACATGAACATGATGAGATAGATCCTCCACCTATGCTTCCGCGTTGACCCAGGTAGGTTCGCAGAGTTCTGCACAACCTTTGCAATAATATATTTCTTTTGACCAAGTCTATTTCATCAATGCAAATCAGAAATAGCAAGATTTTGTTAGGTCGAACAAGAGAGCAGCAGATTCTCAAGGAGACGAGACGAGCACTCATTATATGATCAAGTTGTTCTTCACCAAATACATTTCTTTAACAATAAAAAAATAAAAACCTTGTCCTTTGGAATGGAAAAAAATATATATCAGGCACCAAAATACTGATTTTTTTCTGAATAGAGACAAAAATGTTATTTAAATATATCATTTGAAGCCGCACCCAAGTAAGTAGTCAACCGTTTGACCCGAATCCTGATCACTGGGCAGCTTCATTGGCCTTGACAGGGAGGTCGTCCTGAGGCTTCATGGCTGGGAAGAGAAGAACTTCCTGCAAGGCCAAGGAAACGTAGAAGAAGGTGAGACCATCTGCTCTTCCCGAGAAGAACAAGGGGACTGAATAAAAACCCAAAAAAAAAAAAAACCTTTATATTTTGTGAATCAGTAAAGAGCATGGTGAGCCTATCAATGCCCAGACCCCAGCCGCCGGTCGGCGGCAATCCATATTCTAGAGCGGTGCAGAACGTTTCATCTAATGGCATAGCTTCATCGTCACCTGATTGCCGATCCTGAGAAAACAGATGAATACCCACTTTCAGACATTGTTGGGGAAAGGTCAACCATGGTAGAATTTCTTGATATAGAAAATGAACCCTGAAGCAACGGATGAACTCCGATGCACAGAAAACTGTTTGGAAGATAGAGAAAGTAAGCATGGTGACTCCGTAGAATTTCTTGAGAAAAATATGAAAATAAAGCCTAATCCGATGAGGGGAAAGAGGCTAGATTTTCATGTACCTTGAGTTGCTCTGCAAAGCGTTCGCGCTGGACAACAGGGTCATTCAATTCCGTGTACGCATTGCACACCTACAGAAATTCATGGAGCAAAGGGAGACAGATAAGTCGCAGGAGGCTATCAATGGAAGGAAGAGGCAAGCGTTGAGGCAGTTGGGGGGGGGTGGTGGCAATGTCAAACCTCGCGTTTGTTGACAAAAAGTTCGAATCGTTCTGTAAGACCTGGTTTAGATCTGTGCCACTTGGCTAGAGGACTCATTATCTCTGGATGATTGATGATGAATGTTGGATTTACACACGTTTCCTCCAGAAAATGCCCAACAAGCTGGAATCAAATCATAATAAAAACCAAGTGAGCAAGTATGCAAACAAGCTACTGCCATCGCTTTTTATTATTATTATTATTATTATTATTTTTATATTTTAATCGTCCAATGAAAAAAGGTTCTCATTGTATTTCAGGCAGGGTGTGCTACTGTCAGCCGAAACGATATAAATATTTTCTGATAAACATTGATAAATCCTTCAGGCATGAAAGAAATACTATCAATGGTATTGTCAAAGGTGAAGTTATTCTACATAGTGACCCTTCCAAAACTGTTTATAGATTCAGCAGACAGAACCGGGACAAGTAATCTGATGTAAATAAAAGAATAACACTAATAACTATCAACTGCCTCGGAACTTTGGAAAGTGAATTAAAGAGTTGACCAATACAAGATTTATCTTTCAAATCATCATCACCATATATTCATATCTGAAGCATGGCGAGAATCATAAGACGGGACTTGTCAATGCGTTGCTGATCATCAACACTAGAACAAGGGAAAAGAGGAGAAAAAATAGGACACCATTTACCTTGTCTAATAGCCGAGCTGTAGTCTGAGGTGGAGGGCACTTCACATCAAACTTTGCACATGCATCCACCAAATATTTGTTCGCAGCATCACTCGACAGATCTTTGGGTATATCGAGATTCGCCATAGTCTCCAGTCCTTGGATCATCTCTAACCTTCTGCAATTCCAAAACCGTGAAAACTTAAGATATTACTTTACTGCAGCATCTTTTCCTAAATGAGAAAAAAGATGAGGGACCTGAAAGGAGGGGTAAAATCTATTTCTATCGGATCCTTGTCGACTCCATTAGCATGGTATTTGACCTTGTACCCACCAGTCAGCTCCTTGACCATTCCTGTTCCAAAAAATTAAATTAGAAAGAGCATGAAGATCATATGCAGGACAACCAATGCGTGGGACAAGAAAAAAGGCGTTCCTATTTTTCTTTATATGAGCAAAGATAAGACGTATTCAGCACATGCAGATAAGAACACTTACCGGATAGCATTTGCTCTGTGATCTCCATGAGATCGTTGTAATCAGCAAAAGCCATATAAAACTCGCATGTAGTGAATTCAGGATTATGAGTCAGATCAATCCCCTCGTTTCGAAATTGCTTTCCAATTTCGTAGACCCTGTCCAACCCACCAACAACCAATTCCTTCAAATAAAGTTCTGGGGCGATACGCATAAATAGCTTCATATTCAGTTCATTATGATAAGTCACAAAAGGCTTGGCAGCAGCTCCTCCAGCGATCATGTTCATCATGGGTGTTTCAACCTGAAACCATGAGGCAGAAGTGTATAAAGTATAGAATGATAAGACCCTAAAACACACAATCCAACAGAAACAATAGCCTCAGTTGTCGTGCAGGAAACAAATAAAATGATGATTTGAGTCTAACCTCCAAGAAATCAAGATTGTCCAAGAATCGCCTTATATAAGAGATTATCCTTGAACGGGTCTTGAATATTTGCCTAACTTCATTGTTCAGCATCAGATCCAAGTATCTTTGGCGATATCGAGTTTCCTGACATTATTTGAAATGAATACATTAATGAGAACAAATAATAAATAAAAGGAAGTAGAAATGCTCATTTTCACGACATAGAAGCTTAATGAATTCATTGGGATTAAATTGTGATCCATTTCAAAAGTGATCCATTTTTTCACAATACAGTTGAGACTGGAACCCACCAATGCACTTCTACTGATAACCTTTCTTCAAATAGATGAAGCATGAATTATGTCCTGAAAGAATTTTATATGTTTAGAACAGGCCTGTAACTGTTTCCAAAGTTTTGACACATCATGAACCTCCCTCATTAGAACGCTTGATCCTCGTCACCTTAACTCGACAGACCATAAGTTTGGTTAAGTTTAACCAAGTGAAAAACAAAAAATAGCATCCTCGACAGGAATAATCTCATCCTATAAAAGAAGCAAACCAGTCGACAACCCCATATATAGACCAAAACAGACATGGAAGCTTTTGTCAAGCAGACAGGCACAACACTGCCAGAATAAATAGCAAGATCCTAACACACTGAGTGCCTTGAGATGTAACTATGGTAGTCAGTCCCACTGGAGTGGAAAAAAATCGAAACATCTTGACAGAAAATGCCGCAGGTTAAACGTTCATGTCATGATATGTTATCTTAAAAAACATGAAAGTGCACGAGACTCCTTCAGATTTTTTGGACGGATAGTTAGATGAAGTAAATGGGTTTGCCTAAAGTCAAATCAGGAGTGGTAGCTATGAATTTTTCCAAGAGGATGAAGCATCAAGCATAATTTGTGCACATCACTGCGTTCAGAAGAAATACTGAAACTCATGCAATCATCAAACGATCGATAAACTTAATTTTTTTAATTGATTTCAAATGACAAAAAGAAATACCTGATCCTTCAGGACATATGTCTCAGGATTCCGGGTCATTCCTGGGATCCACACCCCTTCACTTTTCTGCAATGTTGCCAGGAAAATGAAACAAGTCTACCGGCAAAGGTATTTGCAAGCATGTAAAAATTATTCGTATGATATATTTCACCTTGGCAGATGCATTCTCTGTGGCAGTACCAGCTTTCTGCCTCGGCATCATGTGCAGGCAAGGAGAGAGAACGAGAAATGATTTAGGAAAAATGCTCAGCTCTCCTCGTTTACTCTTTCCTATAGGATAATAGCCAGACCTGTTAGTGCAAATACAACGCAAAGCATATTGTAACACTCGCGATTCTTAGACTTAACTTAAGCATTTAATACATAAGCGTTAACTTATTTCTTAGAATCTAATTTGTCTGGCATTTATTGATAGCCTTTGTTCGATCGTGAATCCTATGATTAAGAACGTATCTCATTAATGTCAAGTTCATTAATAGTGTAACACTCGTATTCAAATAGTTTTCTATCAAGGATCTAAAGTAGCATCAAGACAACCACGACACTCTAAGTGACCCAGTGACTGGCTGCTGGACTTGATTCCAAAGCAACCCTGCAGCTTTTGTCTTTTTTCCTTGTATAGTCCATTATTGTTTAGGCGATACGCTTTGAAAATTATGGTTGTCACCAAGGTAAAATTGAGCTGGTATTCATCATCTGCCTAAGCCCTCCCACCTTTGTGGAACCCAATTAACAGTAGGAAGAAACCTGGCCAAAAAAAATGTGGTCATATTAAGGTGAAAGAACAAGCATCTGATCTTGAAGGATACGTAATTATATATGGATCTAACAGCTTCGTAGAACATCTATTCAATCTACAACAATAAGATGAACAGCCATGCAGACGACAAGACCAGATTGATGCCCAGGGGAAAAAAGAATATATTCCTCTCCACCTCGATTATCATAGCCTCAGTAATTAACTCAATACATGACCAGTCATATTGATTGCATGCCAACATTTTTAACATATCCCAAATAGTGACGACAAGACCAGATTGATGCCCAGGCGAAAAAAGAATCTATTCCTCTCCACCTCAATTATCATAGCCTCAGTAATTAACTCAGCACATGACCAGTCATATTGATTGCATGCCAACAGTTTTAACATATCCCAAATAGTGGCATCTTTGCTCAGCAACAATGGCACTCTGCTTGTCATCCATATATTTATTGACCTAAGAAGAAACCATCCGCAAACCACCAAGCATTACAATTCAGCTGACTATAAAAATGCCAATAATCTACATCCCATTGTCCCATCAACCAGTTCATAGGTCCTAAAAAGGAACTGTGAGATCAACGAGCATTTCCCCCTAATCTTATTTGATAGCATGCAGTTCCACACGCAAACCTATGGTTACCTACAGACGACTCAATGTCATGGAAGTCTAGGGAAAGCATAAAGCAATAACTGGACCAAATGAATGCGAAGTCATTAAATATCACCTCAACAATAGGTTTTCCTGGAATGCATTTGAGTTTGTAAATGGTAATCCTCACCGGGACTTTTTGATATTTAGAACTGCTAAATAGATGAAAGCTACCGCTCGGAAAAAAGATGACAAGTTTCTCAAATTTGAGCCATATCAAGCATCATACATCCACTGATGGACAAGATCAGCGGGCATTAAGATTTCCAGAATTTTGCCATATAAGGCTTCTCCATCAAACAGGAGAGCAACTTAATGGCTTGTTTGAGAAAATAGTTTGACAAGAAGATTAAAGGAAACTGAGAAACCCTCTAACGCCATTTCCCCTTTATGTGAACAAACCATGTACAGAAAGAAAAAAGAAGTATGCATCAAAATTAATGAAGACACAATCATGCCAAAATTTCAAAGACATAATGAAACATACAGACAAACGTATTTCAAAGCTATCCTGAAGACGATAAAACATCAATGGAACATTACACACCTGGGTATCCACAAATACCAACAATATCACCACGTTTTACACCAGAATGGAGTCTAGAAAATTCAGCTTCATCAAGGTCATAGTCTCTGCAAGATATAAAAAAATAATATGATTACATGCACAATTCTTGACATACACTTATTGAACGAAGCATTAGAATAAGAATATTCATGGAAAATACAAGGTACATAATACAGAATACGAACGATAATACAGAATGATCTGAGCTCCGAGAAAAGTTGCCAAGACAAATGATGTGAGTACAAATTCATCTATAAAATACTATTTTGTATTGAGTAGAAAAAAAATTGGTTAAACCGGAAAAATAAGTAAAATGTACATGTATTGTAATTAGACCCTGTACAATATAACTTCATAACAAGGGAGTTAACAAAGGATAAATAAAAGTTCTCAGACACCAAGTTATTTGGCCATTAACCTCTCATTGTAGACATCTCACAAGTGAGGTCAAGAACAACGGTAATGTCATGCAGACAGAGCAGTGGAATGTTGCCAAACTTCAGCAGGCAAGAGGCATCAAATGTCCAAGTTGGGCATATTTTATTTATTTTTCCGTACATTATCCTAACTAATTCCCTCAACGTCCTTATTCGTAGGCATATAAATTAAGCCCCACAAATTTTAAGCAAAAGTTATTATTTAGACAGATATAATACCCTTTAAGCTCTTATAAAGTATTTTGGACAATCCTTGTACCCCAGTCTGGGAAGAATATTCAGGCGTAAGGATCTTATCCCGTGCTACCTCTTCACCATCATACGACATGAAATACATTTTTTGTAAGGTATGATAAATTAAAATAATAACAAACAGTACAATAGTTAAATTCCTAGCTTCTTCAGATAGGTGCCAAACACAGGTCAACAGAATAGAAAAAATAGCTACAACATCCTTCCTTGCGCATATGGGAATTTTATTTTATTTTTTTGCCCATTGGATTAGCACTGCAGAAAAGTACATGCATCCTGCCTAAATGGATCAACTTCTAACCACATTTCACCCATAACTCAATACTGGTGGAGCAGCAGGGATGCTAATGATATCAAATTAATAGGGAATCCTCAACACGTTATACTCCGAGGTTGTAATTCTAAAGGAAAGAAATCTTCTTCAGAACGATCCCAAGGGTTCTGAGGCAGCCTTCATCATCAGAGTCAACGATAGTTGCACTATAGGCACTCGCACTCACTGAATATTATCATCATCAGAGTCAACTATTAATCAAGTTCAAATCATTCAGTTGTGGAAGATTGTCGATGACGATTGGTCACTGAGGGCCAAGAAGAATTGATGGACGAAGTGTAGCATAGAATTATTTTCCCTCGTGTGCCTTGAGGTTTTGAATGTACTAGTATTCACACAGCACGAGCCCATCTCTTTCCTTGCGTTAGAGAGCACTAATCACCAATGAATAATTTGCTCACTTTTAGTCCATTATATAACTTTAATTTTCTTAATTTATCAAGAATAATGTTCACAAAGATAACATCATAAATCATAGAAATAAAGGCTTGCCGCACACGACAGTTGGAAACGATAAATATTTTTTTCATCATAATGTTTAGTACCTTGCATCCGCCATGACTTGCACTTTGACTCCACCACCATACAGATCATAAAAGTACAGCTTTAATGAGGAGGACCGCTTATTCATTACTCTTCCTATAAAGATAAGATGGGGAAATGCATGAATAAATTATAAAAGACACTTGACCTCGACAATAACTTGACTTTTGAATTCCCTTACCCTGAAGAGACATCTTTCTTTTCACCTCTACTAATAAATAAATAAATAAATAAATAAATACCAGACAGCTTGACTTTGACATCCTTCAGATGTTCCCCATCGCTAAGACTCTGGTATTGCTCAATATATTCTGATATAGTCATCTTGACATCAAATTTGTGCGGATATGGGTTCACACCAGCCGCCTTAACGGACGCAAGGGATTTGATTCTGTTCTCAAAGTATTGCTGCAGTAGCGAAAAAAGGAAAGTATTATTACAGGGCAACATCTAACAAGGAGGCAGAAATACGTAGTTGAATGTGACAGAACAGACCGTCGGGTCCAAATCCTCGTCATCTCCTGCTAAGGGCTTCTGAGCTTGTTCCTTTGGCTTCGCAGCTGCCTGGACAAGGACATGTCCGGAAGTCAGTGATTTCAACCATTTAAACGAACCACATTACCAGCGCTGAATTTACGCACAGCTACATCCAGTTCGTCGTTATACCTAAGGAAAGTTTATACTCTCATTCGCAATTGCCTTGTAAAAACCCTATTAGCGGAATTCCAGCTTAAAACGAAGAAATTAAAGTGGAAAATATGATAGGGGTAGGGGGGACCTTCTTCTTTTTCTCCTCCTCCTTGCGCAGCCTCTCCTCTTCGAGTTTCTTCTTCTTCGCCTCTTTCTTCAGGGCGCTGTTCGGACAGCAAGAAGCAACGCAAACATCGGAAGAAAAGGTCACAAAACGAAAATGCGCGCAACTTCAGATGTGACGAGCAGGCACTGAAAAGAAAAAGAAAAAACTCCGACTCCCCCTTCTGGGCCTCAGTCGAGAGAATTACTTCTTGCTGATTGTCTCCCCTGTAGCGGAATCCGACGAATCGACCGCCAGTTCCGCGACCTTATTTGCGACGTCCACCTTATCTTCCTCCATCTCTCGCTTATACAGTCCAGGCGGCGGATCCAAACAGGCTGAGATGGGAGAGAACGGAGAGAGAGAGAGAGAGAGAGAGAGAGACTTCTCCGGCGCCGCAGGGAGGAAATGGAAGGCCCGGCCGGCGACGGGAGAGGAGCAGGGTTTTCGACGTCGGCGACGACTGGGAAGAACCAGAGAACAGTAGCTGTTTGGGTCTCCACCTCGTCAGATAACACCACGTACCCCAGCTAAAAACCCTAGCCAACGGGCAGATCGAAGCCGTTGGAGTGAGGGCTGACGGCTCCGATTTCCCCCTCCGCTCCCCCGACAGGGCCCCACCATCTCCAATCGTCTTGGATTGTCAGAATGGGTCTTCCCATTTGTGGGTCCGCAAAGCAGTCAATCAAGTCAGTGGATCAGGGTTGACCAGAGAGACGAAGAAAATATGGGTTAGTCGGTGCGGGGCCCACCGGACGACCAGCCACAAGACGACGGAATCGCTCTGCAGAAAGTGGGCTTCGGGCCGGAAGTAACTACGGCCCGAATCATTATAGCACAGCGCTGCATTGTGGGCCCAGGCCCAAAATTGAACCTAACTGGACACAAAAAGGGACATGGGTACCCCCCCTCACATTCGTCGACAGCAGGGTTCGAACCTGCGCGGGCAAGCCCAACAGATTTCAAGTCTGTCTCCTTAACCACTCGGACATATCGACCTTTATCTGTCATCGTTCCCGAGATATATAAGTTTAAAGATAACACGGTCTGCATGCGACTCTACGTCGAACACTGTAAGCTCTCGTCGGAGGATCAAACCAATGGTAGCTCGGAACGGGTGAGTGGCTGGGCGGCTGCTGAGACCCTCTTCCGTCCAGATCCTTGCTTGCTTGCTTGCTTGATTGCCCGATTTGAAGTCCTCCTCAACGTGGATTCTCATCTTGTAGCTTAGAAATTTTCTGGGTTCGTTCACTCGTCCGATAGCTTCTTGACTAGTCGTGTTCTTGATGGGTCGTCCACTTTCTCTTTCTTTTTCTTTCAGCCGATTTTCTGCCGATTCTCTGTTGGTTTCCGTCTTCTCTCCCATTTTTTTCCTGTGATTATTTCGTACACAGAACAATATACCGTTCTTGAATCAGGTCTCATGGTTCTTCTTCCCATTAGCCAAATTCTTTCGTCCGGTTCCTCGCGGTCTCATGGGTCTGGTTCTTGAAGCTCTTCGCCCTCGGTTTTCTGCAAATGTGGTCTTCAACCTCGCCATGGACGTCGGCAGGGAGGAGGATCTCGGAGTGGTCGCTTCGGAGAATGGCGACCGACGATAGCCAGCCGCCGCCATCATCCTCTCCATCCGATCGAGTCGGGGGGGTGGGGAAATCCACACCCAGAGATGATCATTCGCCGGTGGAGAGTCCTCTTCTCGTCTGGCCCGTCCCGTGGAGCCGTCGCCGGAAGCCGACTCCGGCGACGTTTCAGCTTGCAGGGTGGGACGCCCTCTCAGAGAAGTTCCTGGAGGAGCTCCTCGTAGCCCACATGGGGTGTATCCTCAAGACCGCCATTAGAAAGGTCGCCTCCTTCGGATACACCCAGGAGGCTGCAACTCAGGCCGTTCTGAGATGCCGCCCCGACTACAGCAGGAAAGACACGGGAGCGAAGATCGTTCACTTCGCTCTGCTCCGTCTTAGGGCTGACTCGGCTGCGTCTCCTTCTACTTCTTCTTCCTCCTCCGGTCCTCTCTTCGAGGACCTGCAACAGATGGGGAGGTGCATCCTGGCGGAGATGGTCTGCGTTCTGAGGATGGTCCAGCCATCCTTCAAGATGGCCGACGCCATGTGGTGCCTGCTGCTCTGCGATCTGAATCTCTGTGAGGCGTATAGGGCCGCCGTGCATTCGAGTTTCTCTCGACCTGGTGCAAAATTGAAGACATGGTTTCCGTCCTTAACGAACAAGTTGGAGGTGGAAAAGATGACCAGAAGACCGCAGGAAGAAGAAGAAGACCGGCCCCGTGCGTCTTCTTCTTCCTCCGATTGCCAGTCTGGGGAATGCTCGACCTCCTATTCTTCGTCTTCTTCCTCTTCTGCTCCTTCTGCCGTTTCACGAAGGAAGAACCTCCATGGATCGAGGGACGGCGGCGGCTGTAGAACCTCCATGGATAAAAGGCGTGTCAACCCCGAGAGACCCACGAGTTCTTCTTCCCGCCGAGGTGGAACGAGGAGTGATCCGCGATCGTCAACTGGAGAAGGCGCGGAGGTTTGCTTTCGTCAACCCATCAAGACCGCAGAGGAGGTCATCATCGTTCGTGTCTCGAAGCTCCCGAAGGTTGACCCACGGAAGAAGATATTCAACCGGGTGATGCCCTTGGTGAATCCCCTGCTGGACAAGCTGGATGAGTGGGCGGAGTGGGTGCAGCTCAAGGTGGGGCAGGCGGCCCTCCGGCTGAGCAGGGACAAGGAAGAGCTCCAGAGATTGAGGAGGGAAGCGACCCAGCATGAGCCGGCGGAGGCAACGGAGAGGAGGATTCTGAGAATAGAGGGGGCCCTCGGGGAGATCCACAAGCGGCTTGGCCAGTGCAACGAGCAGAAATGGAGGCTTAAAGAAGAGAATGCCCAGTTGAGGAGGGAGATCAAGGCGGCGGCGGCGGCTGGTGGTGGTGGTGTTTTGGTGAGGGAGGAGCGGGTGGCGCTGCAGAGAGATCTGGGGATGGAAAGGCGGAGGGTGGCGCAACTCCGGCGGGAAATATTTCAGACGGAGGAGCATCGCCGGCGACTTGAGGTAAAAAAAAAGTGTTGTTTTTTCTGTAATCTTGTTTTTTATTGTTGTTGTTAGGGGAAGATGGGATCTCGCCGTTGACCGATTCTGTGGGCAGGCGAGGTGGAGGGAGGAGGAGAGATCGAAGGCCGGTGCCCTCCACCGGGCGGCGGCCGAGGGAGAGGAGAGGGAGCGGCTCCAGGCTTCCTGGAAATTGGAGGTGGGCACCGTGAGATTTCAAGTGGAGGGAGAGAGGAGGAGGTTTGCGGCCGAGATTCAGAGGCTCGAAGAGGAGGTTTCTGGGCTGAAGCTGGAAGAATCGGCGCCGCCGACGACGACGCTGACGAAGACGGCACTGGAGACGATCATAGAAGAGGAGGAGGAGGAGAACCAATGGGCGTGCGCCAAGTGTCTGAGATCAGAGGAGGGCTCGGTCGTCTTCCTCCCCTGCGCCCACCCGGTGCTCTGCAAGGTGTGCAGCGGGGCCCACGAGGCCGAGGGGAAGAACGATTGCCCCTCTTGCGGGGCCCGCATCGAAGAGAGGGTCAACGTGCGGCTCAGGGACGAGTGAGCATGCGAAGACAGGGCGTCAGGTTGGGTTGTGCTTTTCTCTGGGTGCATTGGGATCGGATGAATAAAGAGGATGACAAGGAGTTGACTTTTGCCGCAGTTTACGGCTCCCTGGGATGAAATCAATAAACGCCCACCTCTCTGACGGCATGGCCCGATCGTTTATTACTTCCTGTCGACCTAAAGATTTGGTTTTTAGAGGACCCACCAAGATCAAAATAACGACTTTTCTTTTAGAATATATTTTTATCTAATTGTAAAGAAGGAATTTTTATTTTATTTTTAAAAAAATGAATGGTGTGGGGGGCTCTGCGCTGCAACCTTTCGTCTGAGGTCAAAACCTTAATTTTTTCGATTAGAGGACGATGGAAGCCCGCCCAGAGAGGCTCACGAGAGAAAGATCTCATTTTTATCAGTGGCAGTAAGTAGTACAGGATAGGCGAGGCTTGCGTTATCGCTTGCTTACCTCATTCCCCTCCGTCCCGTCGGCTCCCTGCGGGAGGAAGAAGAAGAAGAAGAGTAGGAGGAGGAAGAGGGGAGATGTTCCGGGTCTCGGCGGCCTGGTGCTCCCCAGGTCCGAAGTTCCCCGCCGCCTGCGCGCTGCCGGGGTCGGTGAGCACCGGAGTGGTCCGGCTCAGCGAGAGAAGACGCATCCTCCGGTCGAGGGCGGAGGGCGAATCTTCTCCCAACGTCGTGGAGGCGACCGCCATTGAAGAGGGTAGAGAGAGGGGAGGGAGAGGTCCGCCGGAAGAGCTGGCCGGCAGAGGAAGCGATTCTACTCCCACCTCTGCTTCTCCCGCAGAAGCTTCTTCCCCCGCTTTCCCTTCCGACAAGGACATCAAGAAGGTGGGGAAAAGTCCGACGGACATGAATTTGGATCTCTCTGAGCTACTACCTCGTCTTTCTGAGCTTCTGCCTCGTCTTTCGATTCACGACAGGCAGTGCAGAAGACCGCGGCGACCTTCGCGCCGAGGGCTTCCACAGCCTCCAAGAACCCCGCTGTGCCAGGAACAGCTCTGTATAAGATCTTCGAAGTCCAGGGCTACGCTTCCATGCTGCTCGGCGGAGCTCTCTCCTTCAATCTCCTCTTCCCGTCGAATGAACCCGACATCTGGAGGTTGATGGGCATGTGGTCCATCTGGATGTTCAGTGAGTCCTCTTCTGCTACCATTTATCGCGCTTAAATACTGCCATTATTTTACCATATTGAGCTATTTATTCCCGGGAATATCATCCATACCCATATGAATGCGCCGAAGAAAATGCACATATACTTTGTTTCTCAAGAAATCGATAATCTATGTCATCTGAAAATCTCAAGAAATAAAATTAATTTGGAGGGAAGATGCAATGGGTAGTAGCCCAACTCTCTTCTGAAATAGTTATATAGTTGACCCGAGAAGTCAACTTACTCCTATTCTGTAGAATTCCTCCTGGTTTCTATCTTATGAAAAAAATCTCAACTTTCCTCAAATATCATCGCAAGATCATCAAATAGCTAGTAACCCACCTTGTGACAGAGCTTTCCATTATCTTATTTTCTGTTGGATTATTTTTTTCTTCATTTAACTGCAGCGATTCCCTCTCTTCGGGCTCGCGACTGCTCGAAGAGTGAGAAAGAAGCTCTCAACTACCTCTTTCTCCTCGTTCCACTGATCAACGTCATAATCCCATTTTTCTGGAAGTCCTTTGCTGTTGTCTGGTCTGCAGACACCCTCGCCTTCCTCTTGATGTATTCTTGGAAGGTAATCTGAGCTCGTCATCCTCCTTGCTGTTCTGATCTGCTTTGTTATATACATATACAGTAAGCCTTGCAGGCTGAATGAATCCATGTCTGGGCAGCTCGGGTGGTTTCAGAACTCTGATTGACGGGCCAGGACGAGCAGAGCAGAGACCTTCTTCATATGGATGATACCAATAGAAGCCCTGAAAGATGGGTTTGACTTCAAGTGATTAGTGACAAATGATAATGTGGAGCTTTCACATGGTTGGATATTGATGGGATGCATCAAATTGGTGTGATCTGGGGCAATTTTCATCACCTGACGCTGCAATCGTTCCATTTGATATGTTTACTGTTCTCAAATAGGATGATGACAGAATTTATACCAGCTAGTGCAGCGAATCCTCTGTATTTTACTGCAATCCCTCTCTGCTTTGAGATGAGTGCTTCAGTTGGACGTTTGCATTTTTATATGGCCAAGAAATATTTTTCTATGGTGCATTGATTATTCATGAAATTTATGTAAGTGGAGCCGCCTATTCATAATGTGGGATAATCGATTGAGTTCGTTCGTGCTAATTTCTATCTTTTTTCTACTCTTAGAAGTTGTTCTTACTGAGCTAATAAATGGCCCCTTAATTATCATGACAGTTGCTAGCTCCTTGAATTCTGGAAGCGATTTGCTTCTTCTTTTTTTCCAATTTACAGATGTTCATCCAAAATAATTGATAAATGCATGAGATTGTAAAATAAATTCAAATATAAATATAAGTCTTCATTTCTTAATCACTCATCACATAGCATCATCAAATCTGAGAATACTAAAAAAAAATCAGGGATTGCTCGTCACCTGCATGGTATCGTGTTTACAGCTCTCTTCCATCAGGTTCATACACCATAAAACAGTAGTGATGATGATGATGATGGAAGTTCAAAAGCATCCATTAACACATACATAAATCAGATGAAGAAATAATTACCCAAAAGGGAAATCCGGGGATACCCACTTCCCCTCCGGTCATTGAATTATCAAGCTCCAGAATACTCCCATTACTCCTCATATGGTTCATTTTATTAAAAAAATATACATTTTACTTTTCATATTTGAAGGTGTTTGATTGCCGTCTGGACATCCTTATCACCCCTTCCACTGCAGTTGACGACGACGGTTCTCTGGTCACGAAGCGTTGGGCAGAGCACCTCCAAATAGGCTATGGCATGGGATGTCTCCAAGGCAGGGATGATGCCCTCCAACTGTGACAACAGCCTGAAAGCTGTAAACCAGAGAAGGATAAAAGAGGTAAGGGAAGAGAAGATCGCCAGCCGCAGAGGCAGTGAGCATGTTCAGCATAGGAGAGGGGCTGAAATGCCCACAATAAAAGGTAAGAAGAAAACTCTTAGGGAAATGAGAATAAATGGGGGGTCATCCAATTATGCAAGCTTGAAAGAGGGCAAACAGGTATATATACCCTTCAAAGCCCTTGAAAGGTCATGCGAATGTTCCACTATTACATGATGTGGATGAACGTTTAGATAGGTCATGGTAAGAGAAGCCAGAAACTGAGGTAAAATATTATTAACATATAGACATATATATACATCATATATATGTATATCTCATAAAAGTTAGATATGCAAAATATCAATTATTAAATATAAATAATTTTAATTGATAATAGTTTAGTAAAAAATTATGGGTTGTAATCAGTTATGAATCTGTTACGAAGTCAACCGTCGTCTACACAAGACGACCTAGACCCCCACGTGGAGGGGGGACCACAACAGATTAATGTACTGAGGCCTATAAATATAGAAGAGGTCGAAATAAGAAGGGAGGAGAAAACAGAGAGTGGAGAGGGGGAGATCTGTCCCTGGAGAGGTCCGATTCGGGCTCTCCTGTTCCTGAGGATCGATCCGACCTCAGGAACTCACCCTACTGTCTGCGAACCTCTATTGTCTTTTCAATTTCCATTTTCAATTGTTCAATCTGGTTCTTCTATACACAGAGAGCTGATTCCCTGAGTGAGCCTCGTCTAAGGTACGATTAGGGTGAAGATTTCGCCCAAAATCTTGAGAGGTTCGTAACAGAATTCTAAGTCAATCTGTGTCTTAGCAGAGCCCAATACATCCTATATTATCTGCTAGAGGTTCAAATGGTTTTGAGTGGAAAACTTTTCTTCTGGGCATAGAACAAATTACTGTACGCATTAAAGGCAAAGCAATATGTTATTCGAGGAACAAGAGATTTCTATATTTTTGTGAATAATAAAGAGGCATTATTATTCAAATAAACAGTGTTTCCGGAGGGGAGCCCATTTTTCAAGCTCCCTTTGGAATCTGAACATTTTAGTAGCGATGAAAAAGAAAAGTGCTGCAAACTTTCAGCAAGAATAAGCAGAAAACTTCCTTAGCAGAATCCATTATTTAGGAAACATGAGTTTACATATTAAATGAGTACGTTCCATCATCACTTCTGAGTTCAAACTCACTTTTAGCTGATTCGATTGAACCGTGGAAATAAACATCAGTTTCCATATCAAGCTGTCAGGATATAATTGCAATAAACCAACTTTAATTTCGACACTTGAAGTTTCTTGGAGTTGGTAATATTCCAAATATTGACATTCGTTGGATAATTATAATTAATATTGCATCTATTATAACCCACAAAAAAAATCTCCAACATATTATACATTAAATAGCGAATAATTCACATTTCCAACCCAAAAGCCAGTAATCTTCATCTCCTTTTTGCAACAGTAAAACAAAAGCGTCTCATACTTACCTTTCAAGGCTTCCTCATCAGTGATGCTATGGTATTCTGCACGTCCAATATCCTTTAGAAAGCTGTGCTCAGGGCCAACTCCAGGGTAATCTAAGCTGTTTTTCCATTCAGAGAACAAGAAAAAAAATAGTTTAAATATACTTTGATCTTGCACAGATACATAATCATAGCAATAACAGGTACTAAATTCTATTTGAACTAACCCGGCACTAATTGAATGAGGTTCAATTATCTGTCCATCGTCATCTTGAAGTAGGTAGCTCATGGCTCCATGTAGAACCCCAACCTCACCCTTTGTCAAAGTTGCTGCATGCTTACCGCTCTCTAGTCCACACCCTGCAGCCTCCACCCCTATCAACCTCACATCTGGGTCTTCCACAAACTCATGGAAGAGCCCCATGGCATTCGAGCCCCCTCCCACACAAGCTATCAGCACATCTGGCTTCCCACCCCATCTCTCCATTGCCTGCGCCCTTGTCTCCTTTCCAATTACGGCCTGAAAATCCCTAACCATCATGGGATATGGATGTGGGCCTGCGGCAGATCCCAAGATGTAGTGGGTGGTCTCAACGTTGGTGACCCAGTCGCGTATGGCCTCTGAGGTGGCATCCTTCAGCGTGGCTGTCCCAGAATGGACAGCTCTTACCTGGAATAGAACATTTGGGAGAGTTAGAAAATAATAAGATGTAGAATTCAAAGTTGGTCTGATTGCCCATGGATGAAGAAGATTTAAGTGGTCACAGTGAGCATAAAAAGAAGAAAACCGAGCAGAGATGCAAGAAGGTTATAAAACTAAACCATTTGCGGGAAAGAGACAATGGGTCGAAACCAGGCCATCACAACCTACAGATGATCAGAAAACATTGCATAATGTAAGTAACGAAAGCTCATAAGAAGGTATTCAAGGAATGTGCCCTGTCTCTTAGACCAAGGTCTTCTAAATAAAAACATTCCACTCTCTTTGGTTCTAAAATTAAACTAGATTCTTGCGCCAAATTGGGCACCAGCTCCTCAGAGCCAGTTTGGTTATGCAATAATCGGAAGATATAACGGCTCTGGAACTGACATTCCTCTAATTAGCATCATGGTAAACTATATAAATGCATCATGAAGATGCCCAGAGAAAAAAAATTAGGAGCATTATGGAAATAATGACCGAGGCCAACCTCTGCCCCAAGAAGCTTCATCCGGAAGACATTGAGAGATTGCCTCTCCATATCCAGGGCACCCATGTAGATTATGCATTCCAGACCCAATCTTGCGCAAGCCGTGGCTGTGGCGACTCCGTGCTGACCGGCTCCTGTTTCAGCTATGATGCGTCTCTTTCCCAACCGCTTGGCAAGCAAGGCCTGCGCAATGGCGTTGTTGATCTTGTGGGCCCCGGTGTGGTTGAGATCCTCCCTTTTAAGGTAGATGAGAGGGCCCTCCCCGTTAGGCCTTCGGTAGTGATTCGTCAATCGTTCAGCGAAGTAAAGCGGGGTCTCGCGGCCAACATAGTCCCTCAGAAGGCCATCCAGTTCTTTCTGCACAGAGATGAGAAACGAAACGAATATAAATAAATAAAGTCACCGATGATGAAGGAAATAAGACCGAAACGAGACCACAGTGAGCCTCAATTCCCCAAGCAGGGAAAAGGACTGGCACTCAGTATCTCTTCGAGGGTGAAAAATGAAAAACCTGGAAACTTTTCCTCTACACCTCTCTCTCTCTCTCTCTCTCTCTCTCTCTCTCTCCCATATGTGCATATCTGCGTGCTAGATGTATGAAGGTGTAAGCCAGCTAGTATGATGTATCCAGGCAAAGAACTTCGTCGCTATCTGAACGATCAGCAACAGATTAATCAGAAATGATACGAAAGAAAAGGGGAAACCAGTAGCCTGCAAGAGCCTGTGCTCAACCAATCAATGGGAGGCCGGCATTTTGATGTGTACCAGGCATGGAGACTCCACCTGGAAACCCTGGTCCTTTACGACGGAGTGGAATGCAGCTTCGAGCTCGGAGAGCGCGTGCATCAGTGTCTCGGGCACGTACTTCCCCCCAAACTTGCCGAACCTACCGAACGAATCAGGCCGCGGGTGGGCGGCGATCTGGACCATCCCCATCGCCTCCGCCGCCGACTCCATCCCTATAACCCGAGGGAGGGCCGGAGGGTGGAGCTCCGCCGCAACTGCCGGAGTTCGATCGGAGGGCGGCGGAGCTCGGGGAAGAAGATAGCAGCGGCAGGAATGACGATATGAATTCGGGGGGGCCGATCGGTGGCGTCTTCATCGTCTCTATCTTCTGTCCTCTCGCGCCAATTTGCAGCTCGTACCGACAACATTTATAGAAAGATCCCCCATTAAATTTATACCCCACAATATATACCTAAAAGTAAAGTTATTAGGATAGGTTAGTGGGCCCCACACCAATTATCGCATACTATTTCGGTTATATTGGATCCATTGGGCGTCCGTAGAGCGAGAATGGGACAAAGCAACCGCAGTCGAGCAGGTCGGTCAACCAGCTCGGACAAAGCAGGAGGCTAAAGCGATCGGTCAACCAGCTCTTAAAACCCTTTTTTTTCAATATTTTAATTCTGGACATATAATTTTTTTTTCATACGTAGCACGCCCTAAAATTGCAAAACCATATACTTGTAATTATATAATTAGTGGCCATATAAAAAAAAAATTCATACATGTAAGATCATATAATTACTGACCATATACTGGGAAAATTAGGCACTCATTAATTCTTTAATCCTGTAAAAAAAAATCTTATTAAATTCAACCTATGAATGTGGTGATTCTTTTCGAAGAGATTCCAGCATAGGTTCATCCTGGGAGCCTATAATATCTCAAATAATCAAGATATGCATATATTTATTTTTAATAATATTAAAAAATCAGCGACGATATAATTATTTTTTAGACCATCAAACCATGGAAAACAGTCTTCCTCATTAAAGGAAAATAATGAAAGGCAGAAAGAATTTATTTAGTAGATTTTGACAAATAGATTATCCAAGCCAGACCTTCAAAAGCCTAATAGAATATCAAAGCTTCAGTTATTTTTTTCCAGCAATTTTCTACCAAAAATGTTTCGTCAATCTTGAATTATATTATTTATTGCTCCTAGGAGCATTAAAAAAAAAAGTTCACAAATGGCAAGTGCAAGAACAATATGTGATAAAAATGATTCATTTTGATAATCCTCTTTCATAAGATTTCAAGGGCAAGAACAATATTCCATGATAAGTATCTGGCCCAAGATGATCAACCTGTATATCATCCAAGAAGCAGTATTAATGGAGGAAAATAGATACGTACATGAGGAGCTCCTCTCAGAGAGCAGGCAGCTGCTCTCGTCTCAGGCAGTGACTGCCACCTTGAGGGACTCCAGGATCTTATCATCGAGATCAAACTTGATCTCCTTCTTGTCGCGGCCGATGCTGATGTACTCACTGAACCGCTCCTTCAGATCCTCTGGAAGATCGGTGGTGCTGGTCCAGCCCAAGACCTCCTTGGCGGCTCTGGGCTCAGAGTAGAAGTGCTGCACACATCATTAGCATTGAATTAGTCGTCATTTATTCATTAAGATCGTTGTTAGGGAGGAGTAAGCTGTGTAAGCTACCATGTTCCGGAATGGGAAGGCCTTCTTTGCGTCGACGCCGGCGGCCTTGGGGTCGTAGAAGACGATCCGGGGCTCGCGGCCGGCAGCTTGGGCGCACAGCTTGGCTAGCCCGATGAAGGTGACGGCCCGGTCACTCACGCAATTGAATATGTTGCCATTGGCGGCGGCGGGGCTCTCGACCGCCAGGGCCAGCATGCTGGACAAGTCTCTGACGTGGGAGATGTTGGTGAGCTGCATCCCGGAGCCGGGAAGAGGGACTGGCCTGTCCCGGACAATTCCTAATGAAAAAGAAAGGGCATCACATCATATGGGTTGTCTTATCAAGAAATTTAATATAGTATCATGGTACATCAGACTATATATATTGATAAGAAAAATAATAGGGTATATGGGTAAGTAAGTAGACTTAGTCTATAGTTTGATAAAGCAGAAGATCTATGTATGGGGTAAGGCGAAGAAATTTTGCGACCTTTTAAGGAAATAATGTTTTAAATATTACTAGAAGTCAGATCCTGTGCTTTTTTATTGGCAGATTTTTCCATCAATGAGAGAAATATTACTCTCCAAATGAGTTGAAGAACGATTTTTTACATGGGAAAAGGAGAAATATGACAAACTTTGGAGGAAATAAACCATATTTTAGCACATATATAGATTGACTGGAAGCGAACCAGGGAATCAACACACAATGAGTAAGATTGAAATAAGACAGGAAAACAATGCAAGTCATGGAGGATCTTACGGTCAAAGAACCACTCCTCACAGTCTTTGTTGTTTCCAGATCCAATCATGTATTGAGGTCGAAATGCTGCCCAGCTGCCGAAGGAAAGCCCTGAGATGTATTTTTCCACTGCTACGTGCCCAGCATCCGCTTTGACAGGGTCCTGCGATGGCCAAAAGTAGCATCTTACAGACAGATGACGAACTTGTGAAATAATACGTTTATTATTTTATTATTCACAATCAAAAGGCTATGTTACTATTCAGGTTCTAGTTATTACCACAGCATTATAACAAATAGTCATAAGTCTGTTTACACCAAATTCGTTCCAACAATTTTAGTTATTCCATTAAGGGGGTGAATTGGCAAGGTAATACACGTATACTGAGATCTCAAAGAAGTAATATTTTTTCCACCCACATCATAGTCGTTCAATAACTTTACTTAGTCCAAGGACTTCGGAATTGACAAATTAATGCTATATAATAAATATCTCCGCACATGAACTCTTATTGCTAGAGACACTGGGAATATATAAGATAGATTTGAATTTTTCAGGCTTCAAAATAAAACAAAAAAAATTCATTTTGGGTTTATAAATCATCGAATGATAATTCATCATATTTCCCACATTGAATTTCTAGCACGAAATTTCAAAATACTATCATTTAATAAAGTTTCAAAATTTCCAAGCAAGGAGAGTCACTTCAAACAGGAATTCCAAAAGGCTCCCCAAGTGTAAAACCAAAAAGGGATGGTCAATATCCAGAATCTTTTGCTTCAAGAGTTTTCTCCGCCAAGATAGTTCAAGAGGCATCTGACAGGGAATTGGTTGAAATCAGGTGAATTTGAGCGTCTGGCATCAGAATAGGCTCTGGGATTTCGTATACCATATAGGGATATTCCGATTCTGAGTTACTTTCTTCCCAAGAGCCTTATGCAGTCTGCATTTATAATATCTTGTCTTCGAAAATATGAAATTTTATTAACACCGTGTTTTCTTGATTCATTTAGACCGTTTTTCTGATAACATCGTTGAAGAAATAGGATAATAGATAGGATGAGATACACTGGAAGCGAATCAAGTTCTCCAGAAATTTGTGCTAAATTAAGATAATTTATAATATAGTCAAATAGAAATAAATGAACTGTGAATGACGAGTGGTTCTGGGCATAAATTAAATCAAGTAAATGGTCATGCAGAGCATATAATCAAGTATCTTAAGTGACACCAAAATATATCAAAGGATCATGAAACTTCCAGCTCGCGAATAATCAGGAATGAAAAGCATAACTGGGAAGAAATCAACAAGATATGTTAAAATTTCGTTAATCATACCCCTTCAACATGTGGCAACTCATCACTCGTCTTATAAATTCCAGCACTGCTAACGAATAGAAATTGCTCAGCACCAGAATTTTTGGCCCAGTCAGCTACCGGCCTATAATCAGGGATTATGATTAAGGAAGGAGAAAACACATTCAAGAAAGGGACCATGGAACTTTAAGGAAACATTCGAATAAATCCCCAAGGAAATATGTAAACCATTAAATCAGCAAACCATTTCTCAAGCATGCAATAACTCACAAGAAATTCACATTATATCAAAATTGACACGATCTTCAGAGGAAAAGCTTTCATCCCTAATAAGACTAACCTCAGTCATTTGGCTAATCTGAAAATTATTTCAATTCTCGTATGCTCTGACCGCTATTATTAGTAGAGCTAGAGACACGAGCCAGAATGAATTTAGTAGCAAAACAAGACTCAAATATAGCAGTCGGTCGATACTGCTATGTATTTACTGGGCCTTTTTCCTAAATACGGGGCATAGTATTTTACTTCGTTTTTTATCCACTCTGACCTCAAGAAGTTGAATTTTACCCTATTAAGTGCTCGATATAACCTAAAACGTGAATACTTAATTCGATTGAATTTAGCTTTGGCATGAAGTTGGGCATATCCATTTTACTTAAATTTATTTTTCTACTTACTCTGATCTGATTGAGGTTAATTTTTCATGGTTTATGTTAAAAAAACCACATATTTGCTTATAGATTATATTTCGAACATAATTTCACCAAGGACATTGTACATTAGACGGGGAAGTGTGTATGAAAAGAAAAATACTAAAAATCAGAGGATATCTGTAGAGTGTGTATTTAGAAAGAATAAATTGGCAGGCGCATTTACCGCACGGTATCAAGATCCTTGCCATTATTGTCCAAGACCACATCGAATGTGGCCCCACCAACTGCCTTCCCAACATCCGAGGCATCACCCCAAACAGTGCGGCCGCCTGCGGTCACGAGCTCCTAAAAGAATCCAAAAGGGAGAAAACAAGGAAACATTGAAATGTTGAACTAAGATCTACAATTCTTCTACACTCATTTTCTCCAGAGGGACAGAATTTCCAAAGCGGCGACTATTAGAACAGAATTAGAGGCACAGAGAGGAGATTACTGAGAATCGGGAGAATGGTGGCTTCTTCATCTTGTCGGAGTTCTCTTCGCCGACGGTCAGCACAGTGACCTCATGGCCGGAGCCGAGGAGTTCTTTGGCAAGGTAGAAGCCGATGACGGCGTGGCCGCCGCTGTTGGTGTTGACGATCAGGACTTTCTTCTTCTCCGAGCTCGCGAACACAGAGAAAGACGACGAGGAGACATCGGAAAAGGAGGAGAACGCGGGTCCGGGAACACTGAATGACGAAACAAAAGAGGAGGAAGACGAGGAGAAAGAAGACAAAGAGGAGACGGAGAGAGAAGGGGAGCGGAACTGGGAGACGCGGCGACGCCCACGAGCGCAAGACGAGGACGGCACCGAGAAGAGAGTGGACGCAGCGGCCATCGCGCCCGCCGAGGAAGGAGGCGGGTGGGAGGATGAGAGAGAGAGAGAGAGAGAGAGAGACTCCCCACTGCGATTTGTACGTTTCTCTCCACACCAGAGGAGATGGATAGGCTTCCCGCCACTGACCCGGGTCAGATGAACCGGTTTTACCGCTCGGACCGTGAATCAGCGGCCTAACCGGCGTCGAACCGGTGATCGTCTCACCACCCTCAAGGCCCCAATCTCAAATGATTGGAGGGGAAAAGGATGAGGAGAGAGACGAGTCAAAGATGACTCCTCCCAATATGTTAACACTTCAAATTTCTTGCATGGTAAATGTGTAGCATTAACATGCTCGGTTTCCCATATTAATCTCTCTAAATAATCTTATTTTACCTATAATAATTCAACAAATCTTTTGTAGAAGGACATAAATTTTATTAATTTATTTTATAATTAATATCATAAGATATTTTCCTGAAACATTTCTATCATAAGAGAATAGAGCCTAATTAAGTTTCATTTTCTACTACTAAAATGTTAATACTTTAAATTTCTTGCATGGTAAATGTGTAGCATTAAGATGATCATTTACCCACATTAATCTCTCTAAATAATCTTATTTTACCTATAATGATTCAACGATTTTTTTGAAGATAGACATAAACTTTATTAATTTATTTTATGATTAACATCATAAGATAATTTCTTGAAACATTTTCTATCATAAGACGATATAGGCTAATCAAGTTTCCTTATCTACTACTACGATTAGGGATTATCTATAAATTTATTGCATGGTAAATATATAGCATTAACATGCTCGGTTACCCAAAGTAATCTCTATAAATAATCTTATTTTACCTACAATAACTCAATAAGGTTTTTCTAGATGGAAAAAATAGATGATTTTTTGATTATATTTTCTATGATGAGGATAGAGACTTATCTAATACTGTGATTAGGGACTATGAGGGACCTCCTTCCATGATGTAATATTTTCCTCTCTAGTGACACCATCACAACATGCTAATGTTTCTAGGGTTTCATCCCTGAAAAAAAAGAACATTGATGGTCTTGTTCTATTTGATGAGACTACTAAGAGGGTGGATTGGTGAAAATTAGTACTTATTTTTAATTAGCTAATGGGATAATGAGATTTGATGATGTGTTGGCTTTAGAGGCTGTAGAAATAACTAGAAGGGGAGGTGAATGGGTATTTTTCAATTCTCTTCCTAAATTTTATTTTTTTGTAGATATGTGGAACCAAAATTATATTAGTTTTGATCCACGTGGCCTACGCTACTCTTCAAAAGTCATATTTTTAGAATCCACTAACTTTCACTTGAACATAAGTCAAACACTAGGGTGTCAACTAGCCTCACTCTAGAATTTATAGCTCTACTTAATCTAGGTGTTTTCCCAAAACATTTTTTCTAAATTCATGACTTTAGGAGCCAACTAGACTAGCATCTATCTAATTTCTTATAAATTTACAGCTATAGGTAGAACTAGGTACTGTAAGTACTCAAATACAAAATAGAAATACATAATTTCTCTTACAAAATTGATGAAGCTTTATGTGACATAGAACTTTTGGCTCAAAGGTATGGAAGTATTTTTTGGAGAGGAGTCACTTGAATGGTTGAGAGAGGCTATGCAAATATGTTCTTGAAATCTTTCTTCTCTTGGGTGATGCCAGGAGTCTGATCAATATATTATGTGTGTGTGTGTGTGTGGATATTGTATTTTTACATTTTCCTTGTAGTACCACCTTGTCTTAGGTCTATTTTGTGTTATAAAACCACACCCTTAACTAACTTACATGTGAGTCCAATTCATGAGTTAACTCACTTAATGTAAGGAAAAAATAAAGGCAGAAAACTTTTAGAAAAGATAAGCTCTGAAGCTCTAAGAATTTTGACTAACTATATTATAAATTTGACAAGCTAATCATCTCACTTTATAAATATTTCATATTATAAAATTATTTTACCTTTTTATAAATGCCCTTAAAAAGGAAGCCTTATCAGATGTGTTGAGTATGTCATTAAATGATAAATCAATTTGAGTATTTCCTCATTTGATGAGTCAGCTCCCTTCTTAGGTCATTGGATAGTGAATCCTCCTTCATGAATATGTTAGCACTTATGTATACATTGTCACTTCTCAGACCAAGTGAGCCTGACTCACTTTCTTCAAGAGAGTTAGAAAAATTAGCAAGCTCAAGTATGCAACTGATTTTGACAACGGTAAGGATGTGATTGTATGAATATGAATGTTTCCCTCAGTGGTGTCTTTCTCTCAATAGATGTAAAAAGTCAATGACACAATGGATGTGATGATGCCACACACAGTACTAAAATGAATAGACTATCTAGTAAGGGTATTATCATCATATGTGAAACAAGGAATGACTTCAAGCTTGATGGTAGCATTGACCACTAGATCAAATGTTGACTAGATGATGACAGTACTCAATAAGAGGTTCTCTTGGGCTTATCTATTCTTCACCCTATAGGAGGCCTTGCATAAGCATGAGCACCAACTAGAGAGGCTTAGCATGTCCAATTTATGTGAAGAGTTGCAGGGAAATACAAGGTTGAGTGTCACACTATAAGAAGGACGTCAATAATTTATAATTGATTATTTTTTTCTTAATTAAAGGAAGAAAAGTTGATAATAATTAACTCTCATCATAAAATACTCGTAATTCTTGCCATAATGAAGAAGATCATGGACGCCATTGCCATTAGAAGATCATGTCAATTCAATATTTTACTTTGCATTCATGGCCTTATTCATTTTAAAATATTTCAACACAATTTGTGAACATTTCTAGTAAAAAAAACTAATCTTGGAAAAAAATCAGTTTCTTAGAAGATACCTAATGAAAAGCCTTAACCTAGGAGATACCTAGTGAAAAGCACACGAAGTGGGTTCCAACTCAAACTTTCATACGGATTGGGCTTTATATAGTGCTCTATTTACGCTTATCTTAGAAAGTGAGACGTTTAGAGAGAAAATAGAAAAGAAAAAAAAGATATGGTGCATATTTGGAGAATTAAACTGTCCTAAGGCGAGAACTTAATTAATTTATCACCTTAATTATGTTTAGAACAAATTCATATAGAGGTTGGACCGAGTTAGATTTAGTTACATTTCAAAGCTTAATTTTGTATGCCAAATCTTAACGAAATAATGGGCCCAAACAATCTTTAAGCTTACCTAACTCCATTGGTGCGCCTAGTATGGGATTAGGTGGTATTTTCTCTACTATCAAGAACCAAATCGAGAGGGAAGGACATATTTATATTTTCAATCATCAATCTAGGTTTAATAAAGTATAAGTAAATAAAACCTAAGTGGGATGACGCTATCGGCAGAATTATCACATAATATGAGACTCTAGGGCTTCTGTATGGTTGATTAAGGAAGAAAAAAAGCATATATTTAACCCATAACTAGATCAGCTATATTTTAGTATTAAATCCATTATACGATGAAAGTCAAACGTTAGAATAGAAGCGACATGGAAAATAGATAAAACATTACTCAAGCAGCATCAACTCGTCACTTATTATGGGTTCACAAGGAGAGGAAGCCAATACGAGGACAGGACTCTTATGAGCCAGGGGCGAACTTGATCGACACACTGTTGACACAGTGGCGCTCATCAGTGGGCGTTGAGAACCCTTCGCCTTTGAAGACATGGCCCAAGTGCCCTCCACAAGCAGAACAAGTGATCTCGGTCCTCCTCCCATCAGGATCGGCCTGTACACAAAGACATTTTCGGTTAGTCAACGACACATCGCAACAAGAAAAATCACAATTGAATAGAGTGGTGGAATTCCCATGTGTTCTAGAGCTAAAGGGTAGGCTTCTAGTTCTTGAATTGCCTCTAAGTGGGTAGGAGATCTCGCTGAAGAATCATGAGAACCCATCAAAACCTCTCTGCTTGATACTTCGTTAGTACTTGATTCGGTCAACTTTCCAGAAATAGAAAGGAGGAAGGGACGAACCGTGCGAGTTATGGCCCCCGGGAAGCCCTCGTAGAAAGCTGGCCAGCCACAGCCGGAGTCGAACTTGGTGGTTGACTTGTAAAGGGGGGTTTCACAGCCCGCGCAGCTGTACACGCCATCGCCGAAGAACTTGTTGTATTCTCCAGTGCCACGGTACCTTCACAGGAGAATAAGCCGAGGGCAAGATGAAGCGTTAGAATGGTCGTATAGAATGAGATGAATGAATTTTATTGATTGAGAGATAGATATAGTCTAAATCTATTCATTAGGTATTGGGTTTGTGTTGGATGGCTCGGTTCTTTCAGCTAAAGATAGTTGGTTGATACACTTATCACCGACAGAAAATCCGATCAAGATCAATGGAAGCAACCCAATAAAGAAAGGCTTAGATCTCAAAAAGTCAACGGGTATTGCGGAAAGATTCAAGGTTCGGGTAAGAATTCGCAATTGGTACATAAATTAACTCAGAATTTTGGGTTTTGCATAGCAAACGCAAGGATCAGCCTGTAAAAACTGGGGAAGAGGGGATTCACGGTGGGGAGGGACGGACTTCCTCAGAAGCCAGACAGGCAGAGAAGAGAAGAAGCATCAGAAACGACCGTGGAGATCCTTCTCCCAGAAGACAGGAAAACAGACCCATCCGGCGTTGACCGAAGGAATTTTGCCAAATATAGCAGGGCGAAGACCCAATCTGAAGAAAAAGATGAGAAGGCCGCAAAAGGGGAGGAGGAGGATCGTACTCAGTCCCCTTCTGGCGAAGGATCCGGAACTGCTCCGGGCTAAGGACGGCCCGCCACTCCTCCTCGCTCTTCTGGGCGGCGTTCCCGGAAGAACCCATGGCCGGAGACTTTCTCCCTTGGAACAGACGGTACAGCTGACCCAGACGGCCAAACCAAGTGATCTTCGGACTGAATTTATGGGGGTTTTTCAGGGGCAGACATCAGCTCTAGAATCAGCAGGACGGAATCCTTCGCGTGGCCCCACACAGCTCCTAAGCTCTGGGGGTAGGTGCATGGAACAGGAAAAATGGGCGAGGGGATTGACGGATGAGGCAAGATGGCCCTTTCCGTGGTGAGAGGGGCCGCTGTCCGACGTCACGGGTGACCTCAGAACTCAGATTTTTCCAAACAGGGCAAATCTTGAGTTTGATCAATAGGGTGCCAAAGCATCAGACTTGGGCCGAGTTTTAGAAAGATCTTCAAGCAGTTCACACATATCACTTGAAATTTTATGATTCCATCGTCCAGAAGCACGGAAGAATACTGCATGATATGATAATCGGTAATTTCATTCCAAAAAAAGGGGCTTTAAATCTCCAGAGTACATTTAACAAAGTAACAACATGCTAAAGATAAAAGTTGACTTCGAAACGGTGTTCAAAAATTGTGATTTTTGATTTTGATGAGAAAAAAGAATTAACGTTCATATATGTCACAGAAACTGAATAAATAGCGAAATATATGATTGTTTACATGGGGATTGGCACATCACACATGTATAAACACTTGGAACACCAGGTGTTGACACCAGCGGAGTTCTAACGATTGGCATCATAATGGTGACGGTTGACACCTGAAATCCTCCGGTGTTTACAATCCCAAGGAAAAATGGCAACGCTTGGGACATAGACTACGCTGAAGTGTCTACACCTAGCTCTCCTAAATCTTCTACACATGGAGATTTACGATCCCTATTTGGTAGAAATAAATAGCAAAGACGGTGGAGAAAGGTAGATTTTTTATGGGTTTTGAAGTAGAAACCTTGTTGTTGATTTAAGAACTAAAAGAAAATATTAGAACGTTAAAGAGCGGACTTGAAAGGAGACATGATTCAGAGTTTCTCCGTTTAGGAAAAAGAACATGCATGGCTGGGGAAATATATGGACGAGAATTCGATAGAAAGAAGGTTACCGGAAGCACTCGACTGGCTTTTGAATTCCTGAAAGAAACGGTATAATATTTAATGAGCCGTTGAGGGACTTACTCTCCTGGCGTTATTGTAGTGCCGTCGAAGATGGAAGAAAAAAAAATTGCCCCGGACAGATTCTCCCGGTGTTATTGTTCCCCTTCAGCCACAGATTGACGGAGATTTAGAGGGATCTAAGCTCGAGATAAATAGATAGATGGAGAGAGAGAGAGAGAGAGAGAGGGAGAAAGAGGATTGGGGGAGAGAGTTTTAAACGAAGATGTACAAAGGAAGGCGAGATGTTACCGCTAGATAATGCTTTTAGGCCAGGGTAGAGAGAGAGAGAGAGAGAGAAGAGAGACTAGTATGAGACACAAGAACATATGAAAAGCAATGGTAACAGAATCTCCAGGAGGTGGTCAGAAGGAGAGATTTACACACACACACACACACAGAGGAGGACGAGGGGAACAAGGGCAAGAGAAAGGGTGGAGTAGAGGATGGGAAAGAGGAGAAGAACGAGAGAGAGAATCGTAGGTTGTTCTTGATTCAACTCTAGCGTCTATCCCCAGCCTCCTCTTCCTCCGCTATCTGTCGTGCCTCGCCACCATTGACGACAACGGGGAGTAGCGCCCGGGCCTGTAAGAAACGGGTCTGCCGGCTCTGAAGGCGTAGAAACGGAGAGCCGAGGCGATCAACGAGGTGAGGTCCAGCACCAGCTTCCCTACCTCCCCGAACAGACAGATACTCCTCCTCAGCATCACCTCCAGCAGCACCCACGCCGCCTCCTCCCACCTACCCATCCTCCTCCCTCCCCCACAAACCCCGGAGAGAGGAGATGAAGAGAACCAGCCAGCTTTCAGGTCGCAAGGCACAGATAACCAACACCGACGGCGACCCTCGGAGAACCAGGTAGATCTGAGTCATTCCTCTGGGGATTGTGAGCACATCATGCCCTCATCTCGCCGTTGCTGCGGGCATCCCTCCGTTGACCTTCATAGTCAAAAGCCGGTTGCCATGGAAGAATGTCGACATCCTCTGCTGCAGCACGCAGCCTCCATAACACCCAACCCCCGCACGCTTGGACTGGCGTTGTACATATTCTGTCGCCCTCGTTTTCACCGCCTGGGAATCAGATCCGGAAATGATGAATTACTTCGTTACCCTCAGGTCTCCCCCAACCTAGCCCACTAGGAAAATGGGTGCAGCCCGATTTCCGCATAGGCGATAAGAAAATTGCCAAATTGGTAAACAATTGAGCAAAAAATTTGTCATGATAATAAAAGTTCTAGATTTTTGCATAAGACCATCCTAAAAGTTTACTAACTTCACTAGCCAATTTTTCCTCCCCACACCATTCTCTCATAGTTACTCATACGGCAGTCCCACCCTTTTCCTTATCTTCCGTCTAAATTCATCCTCTCCTAGATACCCCAATATTCTAGGCTAGACCTCTCCTTGGTTCAAAACAAAAATGCTGCTTTTATCTAAGCTCAGCATATGACTAATTATAAAGAGCTTTCATCTCTTCTAATCCTCATACTCTAACTACTATACTATTGAAAAATAGTTCTTGGTAATTACTTAAATATCTCTTAATTATGAGATAGTCATTGGTTTCACTCTTATTTAAAACCACATTCTAACATAAGGATGTTTCTTCATACTTAAAGGGGTATTTTCCTCATTATAGATTTTTTTTTGTACCATATGTTAAGAATAATTGCTCAATGAATCGTTAGATTTCATGAAGCTGATTTATATCTTTTATTTTCTTTAGCTTCTCAAATAATATTTATAGAAATAATGTCATTTTTACTTTTCAATTGACTTTTTTTCTTGATGATTTGAAAAACATTTTTTTGGTAATATGTTACATCAATTTCCTCAAATTTGTGACGATGACTTGAAGTCTACATCAATTCCATCAATTTCATCATTAGATGTGGTTATAGTTTACATGATGGTGCTACTCCAACAAAGACTCATTTAGTTAGAGATTGACTGCAATTGTTGAAAATGATGGTTTAGATATTAAAATGTCCCATCCTTAGTACTACATAGATTGGTCTAAAGAGTAGATACAACATAATAAGATATTGAAATTGATCAATTGTAGTCATTTCATTGCCAAACTTGTCTATTAGTTTTGAAATAAACTTCACTATCTATGAGATAAAAGGCATAACTTGCATCTCTCTCTCTTGTTAGGTTATGAGTTAACTTAGTATTATTTTGGTGATTTTAAAATATTAATCTAAAATCATAAAATTGATGGTATAGAATGTGATCACATATTGATGTATTAGACAAGATTAAAGAGTCTACATGATGAATACATACATGAAATGATGTGTGACCCCAATCTATCATTATCATATGTATCAGTCTTAATATTTTATTTTTTTATCAAATAGTTCTACTATTTTAACTGCTAATCATTAAAAAGATCTCTTGATGAGGAGCTATGCTCTCTATAGAGTTATCAAAATACATTTGGTTTTGTTGAGATCAATAATCCTTTACCTCACCAGGCTTTGCGATCAAGTGATCACTTCACCCAAAGCCCTAATTATAATAGTCCTAGATCTCTCTATTGCAAGTATTTCAACTAATTGATGTCACTCAATGACTTATATGATTATGTTACTAACACAATACAAGTATTTCAACCAGTCCACATACAACAATCATAATAAGAATGTATTATAATCAAATTAGAATGAGGTTACCATTGTTGTCAACTTGATATTAGTTATATTATCATTGGTTAAAGAATTTGAGTAGTGTTGGGTTCAAGAAAAAAGGATTTGATATTCTGATTGATGTGCACAACATCCTTAAATTGATCTAATATTACCCTTTGGTCTTCAAGATTTGAGAAGGTGGCAAAGAAGAAAAATGTCTTTTGAAGTAAATACTACTATCTGAAATTAAATTCATATGATTTTTTGTTTCTCAAATTTTGGATGAAATGTCCTCTTTTATGGTGAAGCTAGACCATTTCTATTTAGCCCTTATCTAATGGTCAAACTTTGATAGGTCTTAGTGGGCTATGTATAAGTTATAAAAACACATAAAAATAATCATAATACTTGTAAATATCATACATACTTTAATTTTTTATGCATAGTTTTTGATTTTATATTCTTCTTTAGATTAACAATTTTCCATTGACTAGTCACTTGCTTATATTTATAACATATTTTCTCAAATAAAAATTATTTTAGTTAGACGTTCAAAATTCTAGATTGTTCTACCTTTGGATAAAAATATTACTTTGGTCATCTCGTAAAAATCAATAAAAATTCAATACCTCAATAATTTTCTCTAAAATTCCATTCAACTCTTCATCAAGATATATTTCTAATGGTTGCACATATGCATGTATTAATGATCCCATTTGATACCAAAAATCAAAATATAAACTTCAAATGGTCTTCACTAAATTTAACAACTCTACTCTACTTAAGCATTTTACCTAGAAACCTTCAAAATTTATGACTCTTGGTGGAAACAAGAATGTAAAGTACTACTAATCCCTACTAGATTTATGATATTGACAGCTCTATGTTTGCCCAAGTAGAGTGAGTTACTGCTCTACTCATATTAATAATTACCATTAGTATTTAAATTACACAATGTTAATAAGTTATCATCATTTGTGTTTCAGCTCATAGATTTTCATGAACTTCAATAAACCTCCTAGAATGGTGTGAAGTAATGGAAAACACTTTGATGACTTGAGCAACAACTAGATCCGTGACTTCTTTCTAACACTCAAATCAATTAGTTTCTCATCTAACTCCTCAAAAGACGAAGTTAGCTGTCATAGTTTTGACTCCCCCTTTTTTTTCTCTTTTCATCTCTCCTTTTTTAATGTAGAGTGAAGTGTCCTTCTAATATTCTACATCTTAGATTGTGCAACAATAAATTTCAACATTTAGAAATAAATATATTTCCTATCACATTAGTGCTTAAAATTTAAAATTCATAAAATAATTTTTAAATTCATGAAAAATTCGAATATTTTAATTTTCATGTGCTTATTCTTGCATCATGTTCATCTTTCACATATCTTTCTAAGGGTATATGTGTTTATGTGCATATATAACTATAACATAAACTTGTATCCAAAAAGCTATTAAATAATTTGAGTAAATACATTTTGTTCAATCCAAAGCCCATTTACCTCTAAAATGGTTTAGGCAATCTAAAGACATAATTCTATCATTTTGAGATTACCATTCTATCTTTTATGCATTTTATCATCACCAAAATTACTTAGGCTCTCAAAGATACTCATTTCGTGCACATGCTTTGACTAATATATTCTATGCATGCTTTATATATCCTCCAGCAAAGTGAATTAGGTAAGTTGATATATTTAACTGGATTAATTATATTAAACATTCTACTTGTGAATATAGTAGTCGTAGTACTCTTATCTATAATCACTTTAATTCATTTACCACTTTAAACACACTTTGGGTATAGTCTACAATAATATCTTTACACCGTCAATCAACTCACTAGACTCACTAGTTTGGCTATCCACATATTTTACCCTTTTAAGGGCACCTCCTTTGTAATTTTAAAATATTTCCAAAGCTCATTCATCACAAATGTATTAGCTCACCATTATAATATTACATTTATTCACTAGTCAGTAGATAAACATTTGTCAACAGCTTGCCAACCTAGTTTTATGATTTTATAATGTCCAAAGTGTACTTAGCACATGACTCTACCAATAACCCTCTACTATTAAGACTACTTACAACAATTAAAAAGTTAAGTCATATAGATTGAAAAATTGGTGCTTAATTGAAAAGTTTGGTGTTTTAGCACATCTACTTGACTTTACTCTCCTCTGAACACTTTGAACATTTACAAAAAATTTCATCATCATGGGTTTTTTGGCCTTAAATGCAAAGTTATGTCTTTTAAAGTTAAAGATTTGCTTCTTTTCACGAAAGATATGATCTAAAATACTTTTACACCGCTACTAATCCACATATATGGTGTTGAGAAATTGAATCTTTACTCCTGTTTGGTTATTTACTACACATTTCTTTAACATCTCAAGTGAGACAGGTCATTTTTTGTGACTAAGCTAAAATATGCAAGGTAAAAATCTATTATATTTAGTTTCTTATGAAGTTTCAATAGAGATTGGAGTAGGATAATGCCATCTTTATGTGATTAGAGATAATGAAGTAAAAGAAAATTACTCTTTGACACTTTGACTATAGTATTATTAACAAATTCATTACCAGCTTAGAGTAGACATGCTCCCTATCTTTATGGTGATAAAATCAATGGTGAAGAGTCAACAAATGCCAATGATGAGATCAGGCCTAGTTTTTTAGAGCAATTATGTGAGAAGGTCATAGTCATTAAATTTTTAATATGAACTATTTAGACCCAAATAAAACATTAGAGCATATGATTATTTAGTTCATTGAAGTGTAACTGATAGTTGTGTTCATATTAGATTAAGTAGATGATGGAGTCAACATGAGGATTCATTCCCTTAGGTGGACCCACAAGGAGGAAGAAGAGGGAGGAGAAGAGGCCACATCACCCATGCACCCCTTCTCCCCTAAGAAAGGTGCCTCTCCCTCCAAGAGACACCACTTGGCATCCTTTGAGAGGGGACGTCTCTAACTACCTTCCTCTCTTTCTTATAAATATTGAAACTCACAAATACTTGAAAGAAAAAAAGTTGAAGTTGAATTTGAAATCAAGAAGATTCTTGTTATCCCTCTCACCTCTTGGATTAGGGGCTCCTTCTCCCTCATTTGCCTATTGAATTAAGGGTTTATATTCTCTTTCGCTCGCCTCTTGAATTAGGGGTACCTTCTTCTTCTTCTTGCCCTCTTGGATTAGGGGACCTCTCTCTCTTTCTCTTCCCCCACATCACCTTTGTCCCATCTTGTCGCCAGCCCTCCCTTTCCTCTCTCTTGCCACCACAACCATTTCCACCTTCTAGCCATCCACCTCATCGCCAAACCCACCTTTCTTTCCTCTCCCATTGTCACCGTCATTCAGCCTCTTCACCGACCCGTAACCACCATTCCGCCTCCTTGTCATCGGCCCTGTCGCTGTCGCCCTGCCTCCTTGTCGTCCCCCCTGTCGCCGCAATTCTGCCTCCTCGCCGTCCACTTTGTCTCCACCATTCCATCCTAATTGCGAGATCATCCGCATATTAAGCCCTCAAAGTTCTAATTTGAGTCAACTTTAAAGATTAATGTGTAGTTCTTTTTTCAAGATCTATTATGGCCCCTTTGTCCTGCATCAGTAGATAAGATTCAATAGTATGTCATTAAACATAAGTAAAGGAAGAAATTCATTCATAAATGATAAATGCACTAAATTTAGAGAATATTAATTATGGTCAAGGTAAATAATTTGACTTTCAACATTTTCATAAAGTTTCAAAAAGAAATAAAATGTAAATTTATAGCTCTCTAGCAATAAAATATTAGATGATAACTTCGTAGAATAAAAAAATTGGGTATCATTAAGAAAGCATGAAGAATGTCCACAATATATTGCATTTTTAGCAAATGATAAATAGAAATAGAAACATGAAGCTCAGATTTATGGGCGTATTCAATACCTCCAAATGAAAGGGGAATTTATCTATGGCCAATTCTATAACATATAAATAACAATTCCTACGTATACTGCTTGATAAAGAAACATTTTGTTCAAGTATTATTTGCCAAAGATAACCTTTTTGTTCACTTCTTCACAAGCAAATACATGCAGTACCCTTTAAGTAATGCCCTTTAATTTCACCTGTTTCAGCTTGTGCTTTATAAATTGCTTCAGCACAAAATAAGAAACGATCATTAACTTGATATGGAATTTTCATTCTGAATTGGCTACCTATTTGACTTGAGAGGGGGCAAATTGGAAAAACAAAGATTTAATGGGTTTCATACCACTGCAGGGTCAGCATCCCATAAAGAATAATGGAGCACCCTTCAGAAATAAGCTAAATAAAAAATATGTACCAGAACTCTCCCAGAGCTTCAATGGCATTGGAGCGCGTGCCTTTGACCGTGGGGAGACCAATTGTTCCTTGTAACGTGAGAAAGCCCGGTGGATTTGATGGTTGACTTGAGCCTTATCTTGTCATCAAAAAAACTTTTAAGCACAAAGTCATCAAGGGCATTTGGTCTAGTGATATGATTCTCACTTAGGATGCGAGAGGTCCCGAGTTCAATTCTCGGAATGTCCCCACATCTTTTTGTCTCTCTCCCCCTTCTTCCCGATTGGGTCTTCTTCATTTAATGTCTGCCTAACTCACTGCTGTGGGTTACCAAGAACCTTCCTTCTCTCATTCTCATTCTCTGTAGTGAAGAAGAAGAACTCGGGACCTCTTTCCTCTTCCCCCCACCTCTTTATCTTCGATCTGATCCCTTTGACTCCCCCGGATTCCTCCTCCCAACCACCTCGGGACACGTAGAGAGGGAGAGAGGGAAGGAGGGGGGGAGTTGACTACACCGTCCCTGCAGAGGAGAATACGATTTCAAGAACAGCCCCAGCCCTGCCAATAAAAGAACGCATAAATAAATTACTAATAAAAAGGATTGGGTGGGGCAGGGGCATTCCGAGAATCGAACTCGGGACCTCTCGCACCCAAAGCGAGAATCATACCACTAGACCAAATGCCCAGTTGTTAATAACGGATTCAAGATTGACTTTGGTCACATCAATTGACCCTGCTGTTTTTTGCCAATTTTTAACGAAAAAAATCAACTGGGGTAGCATTTAATTTACCTCCACAACCTGCCGCCGCCACCGCCGCCTTTACTTGACTCCTCGCCCCCAAGTCGTCGCTGTGGGTGCCCACTTCTGTATTGGGAGGAATGACATATTGATCTAATGCATTTGACTTTCGCCCACACCAGTTGACCGCATGGCTTGTTTGTCGATTTCAAAGGAAAAAATTCAACTCAGTAAGATTTACTTCACTTTACCTCCACACCTGCCGCCGCAGCTGCCATCTTTATTCTGATCCTAACCTCCCCCGAGTCGTCAGTGTGAATGCCCAGTTCTGTATTGGAAGGAAGGTCAATTTTCCCTCATATTGATCTGATGCATTGACTTTCACCCACACGAGTTGATCGCAGGGTCGCTTGTCAATTTCGAAGGAAAAACTTCAACTGGGTAGGATTGAACTGACTTTACCTCCACACCTGCCGCCCCCACCATCTTTATTCAGATCCTCACCTCCCCGGATGGTCGCTGAGAATGGAGCTAGGGCTCCTCATCTCCGACTCCAAGGATCGCAGCGTGGCCAGCACCGCCTCCGCCTCCGGCAGAAGGAGACCCTCCAGCCCGCCGGCGAAGAAGGCCTCCACCTTCCCCTTCGCCTCCACCCAGCTGCGACCGGGCGGCTTCCTCACGCCCCGCGCCGCCATGGCCTTCCTTACCTCCGCCGCCGCCTCCCAGAGCCCGCCCGAGCAGCACATGTTCGATAGCGCCACATACGCCGCCGCCTCCTCCTCCTCCACCCCCTCAATGGAGTGGCTCCTCAGCAGCTCCTCCACCACCGCCGCCCTTCCGACGCCGAGCCGGCCCAAGGCGCCGCGCAGGGACTCCCGCAGGGGAGCCGCGGGCCACCGCGCCACCAGCTCTGCCGCCTCCGCCAGCCGCCCGGCTCGCCCCAGCATGTCCACCACGCAGGCGGCGTGGTCCACTCCGGCGAGGACGCCCATCGCTGCGAAGAGGGCGCTACCTTGCTCCACCAGCCCGGCGTGGCTGCAGCCCATCAGCAGGCCGGCGAAGGTGAACCCGTCGGGGGATAGCTCCTCCTCCGCCATCTCCTCGTACGCCGCCACCGCCTCCGCCGCCCGCCCGTGCAGGGAGAGCCCGAGGAGCAGCGTGTTCCAGGAAACCAGGTCCCTGCAAGCGGCGCCGAGGAAGGCCCGGATGGAGGAGTCGACGTCGCCGCATTTGGCGTACATGTTGATGAGCCCGTTGGCGAGGAAAACGTCACCGTGGAAGCCGCGGCGGAGGAGGCCGCCGTGAGCCGCCCTGCCCTGATGCAGCAGAGCCAGCTCGGCGCAAGCCTGCAGGACCGGCGTGAAGGTGAGCTCGTCAGGGTGGAGACCGCAGCCAACCATGGCGGAGAAGAACCGCAGCGCCTGCTCCGCGCGCCCGTTCCGCGCCATCCCGCCTATGACGGCGGTCCAGGAGATGGCGTTCCTCGCCGGCGCCGCCCAGAAGAGCCGCAGCGCCGCCACGACGCCGCCGGCTCTCATGTGGGCGTCCATCGCCGCGTTCCACGAGACCTGGGTTTTGCTGGGGAGAGCGTCAAACACCTTCTGTGCGTCCTCGGCGAGGTCGAGCCTGGCGTAGAAGCTGATGACGGAATTGCCGATCTCCACCGCCGAGCTCCAGCCACACTTGACGACCAACCCGTGGAGAGAAAACCCCAAGCGAGGGTCCTCCAGCTCGGCGCAGGCGGCGGCGAGGCTGGAGAAAGTCCAGATGTCCCCTCTCACCCCGTGCGCCGCCATCTCTCTGAACAGAGACGCCGCCAACTCCACCTCTCCGTGATGGATGTACCCTCCCATCAGCGCGTTCCAGGCGGCGGCATTCCTCAATGGCATTTCGTCGAACAGGTGGCGGGCCTTCTGAAGCCAGCCGGAGGATGCGTAGGCGGAAAGTAGGGAGCACCAGGAGACCTCGTTCGGGTCGTCCATCTCGGCGAAGACCTGCCGGGCGCTGGATGGGAGGGAGCACTTGCCGTACATGTCGATGAGGGCGTTGCTGACGGGGAAGGCGGCCGGAAGGGCGAGCGCGATGGCCAGGGCGTGGAGCTGCTCGCCGCGGCGCAAGTCGCGCGCCGAAGCGGCGGCGCTCAGCGCCGCCGTGAGGGAGAAGGCGTCGGGCTTGGCGCCGGAGGCCCTCATGGCGGAGAAGAGGGTCAGGGCCTCGGCGAGCAGGGCGTGGCGGGAGTAGCACGCCAGCATGGCGTTCCAGGCGACGGTGTCTCGGCACGGCATGGCGTCAAACAGGCGGCGTGCCGCGGCGATGGCGCCGGACCGCGCCAGGGAGACGACCCTCGAGGTGGCGGCGAAGAGGTCCATCGCCACCCGCCCACCGCTCGGTGCTCATCAGCGGCCAAGGCGGAGGTCTGCGGCACGAGGGGGCCGGCGCCGTTGCGTAGGCCGCCTAACGAGACGACGGCGGCGGCAGCGGTGAAGACTCCGGCGAGACCCCATCGGTTCAGGTCCTCTCAATCCTGATCTCCATTTCTGGGGCCTCCCCTGACGAAAGACGCCACCTTTGAATATAAAAATATTCCATAACCGCAGAAAATAACCACTCGTCATAGAAAGTCGGAACCATAAAAAGCAGTCTGTTAATAACAAAAACGAAAGGGATAAAGAACACACGTACGACGGCTACCAGCCCCTGCAAGTCTCTCTCTCTCTCTCTCGCTACGCCTGCAGCCCGATGACGCCTGAGGAGGGGGAGAAGAAGGGATGAGGAACCAGCTGGTGATGAAGCAGTGGAAGAGGGGGGGATTCATGATACAGCGATGGAAGTCTCACCACAGGCCACTCTACCACCGGCGTTCCCGGTGGTCTTGCTGAGCTCGTGTCCGCCTGTGTGCGAGGAGGGGGAGAAGGTTTAGCAGGCTTTAAGAAGGAAATAATAAACTCCATATAAGGATTGAAAACCGTGTTGTTGTTTCTGCAATGCCCAGATTCAGTCAAGGAGAATTGAACGAGTTTATTGCACTGGGACTGTAAGATCTCACCATGCTGAATGCAAGAATACACATTGCAATATATTCATATGCTGGAGATCATCCACTTATTATTCATATTCTTAGGCAAATATTGAGAGCCAGTAGTTTACTGCAGCTGGATGGAGATCATCCCCTCATTGTAAATTTGTCCAAGATTCTAGGGTAAGAATAGTATCAAAAATTTGGTGCATTTTAGCGGTTCATCAAATAGGTTGGGATGGAAAAGAGCACCGATTGGAACAATGGTCCAGAAAAACAAAAAGATACATAATAATAACTTGTTATTTTCTCTTTTCTTGCATTGCAACAGCAAGAAATCTTAGACACACGAGGAAAGCCAGCTGAAATCAATCAAATGCAATGATAAGGTAAATGTCTGAAGGCAGAAAGGAGTAGATTCCAATTTCCAGAAGGACGAAAAATGAAAAATAAGACTCGTCACTAACAAAATAATACAGTTTAGAGTTAAAAATAATAATATATAGAAGGATTTATTCGAGTTTCCAACAAATAGCCACAGAAGCCAAACGAAAATCAGGACAAAAGTTCCAGAAAAATTCAGCACAATTCATGTCTGATGACCATTTTAGGGATGAGTTCAGTAATGCTGTCTTCGTAACACTTACACAGGAAGCATATTTTCCATGGCATTAGGAGATGGAAACTGGAAAACCCTGGTATAAAACAACCAAATAATAAATGAGTATATAGATTACCCTTCCCGAGATCATCGGGATCAGCATGAACTACAACAGCCCTACCAACGACAGAATTTGGTCGGGTGAGAGGAATCTGTTGAGAAAAATAAATAATAATTTGAAATTTAGAAATGGGATATGGGATGTATCCCAGCATCATAATTTATCATGAACAGAGAATAAAGAATTCAACAGCAATTGTACCTGACTGTCAACAATCGTAATGCTTACAGTACCTGCATCAGAGGGCAAAAGAATCAATTAAGTGAACATAAATATGCAAAAGATCTCAGATTTCAGCGCCGTCTAGTATGGTCCGAGAGAGGAGACCACAAAAAAAACAAGACAAATTCATAGACTACTTCTCCATAATCACTATGGCCACCTCCTCCTCCTCTTTACTCCCATGCTTCCTCCTCGTCTTCCTCCTTTATCCTCACCCTTTCGTCGTTGCAAGTATAATACTCAGAAGAAGCCATCCATTTAGATACCTCCGATCTTGACATGGATAAACTAAGGCGGATCAGAGAGCACAATACCATCCTCGCCAGCCGTGACATTCCCCAGATCACCAGCATGACGGATCTCATCCTCCGGAGCACCATGTTCCTTCCCAGTGGGATTGAAATGAGGACCTAGGATTGAACATAATAATCACCGAAAATGCATATGATAAAGTGTTGATCACATCCACCATAAAGTACGCAGGGCCATCGTGGAAATGTAATACCTGTGGACATGCATCCATTGGTAGTGTCACCAAGAGCATGCACATGAAACCCCTGAAGACCAGGCTTAAGGCCAGAGAGGCTCCCGCTGACGGAAGTCGGACCTAAGAAAATGACAGAAATAAATAGAAGCAACAGTGCCTAAACATGAAAAGTTCATTCTAGGACAGCACCCATACCATCTCCCTCCTGGGAAAAGAAAACGGTGCCAGTAACACCCTCTGAGCCAGTCAGAACAGCAACAACCTTTACCATATTGAACTGTGATCTGGACACCAATTAACAGGCGCAAAATAAATCAATTAAAAGAATCGAGGAGTCGGCGGGAGAAAACTGGTGCAGGGAATAGAAGATTCACATTGATTAAGAGCCGAATATATGAACACCCACACTCATGTATCCGCAAAAGGAGAAGCTAGATAAAATTAAGCATACGACAGCAAGGTCAGAAGCATGATGTAGTGTGACAAGTTGACCAAAACATGGGGTAGAATAAATTAAATTTTCCCAACCTATTCCCAGGTCAATCATTCAAAAACACAAGAAAGAAGTTTAATGGTCGTGCTCCTGTTAAGCCACCTGAAATTAGATGAGAACGGACCAACTGATCACAGCATCAGCTGCTATTACTCATAAGCGTCAAACACAATTCCTGGAGATCATCTGGACAGTGAGACTCAAGAGACGAAGATAAAATCACTTCTACTGAATCTCGACTCCAAACAAAGAATTATCACCCTGCCGTATTTCTCCAATATAACCATCTCTGGGGGAGGGAGGGAGGGAGTGAGTGAATGAGTGACTGAGGGAGAGAGAGAGAGAGAGAGATCAAGTTCAAATGCTCACTTCGCAACTGGACAATTTGATGAAACGTTGAACTACCGGGTGCAGAGGACAAACAAGCGCGTCGTCTCTCAACGCACGAGAACTAAAAGTCGGGAGCAAGCAAAACCAGTAAAGAAAAAAAACTACAGAATTTTTTCAGGCGCACCAAGACGCAAGAGTCCGTTCCTAGAACATCCCACTCCTAATAGAGACAAAACACACAGAAAATTCTCAACTCTCAGGTGGAAATCCAATCGGAGGCAAGGATCCAGACAACAACGAGAAATCGGGAAAGGAGCTGATCTCCTTCTTCTCACCTCAGGTCACCTCTCGAAGGAGAAACTGGAAGACCGCGCTGATCAACGTCGCTCAACTGCTGTACAAGGAAGAGGCAGACCCTACCACTGAAGTTCCTCTGCCTCCTGCTCTTCCTATATTCGTGGCAATTTTGGCCGTGTGAAACGTGTCGAGACAACCGTCCGCCGAGTTGAATCCCTTTATTTTTCAAAGCAGAACACACTCGGAACTCTGTCCGTCACTCAGGTATTTTGCATTTAGGTACCTATTAAATATTATATTTAGTGATAATTTCCTCTGTATCCCTGCCAACTATCCAATCAGTCAGCCATTCATGTCCCGCCACTTCTACCCTTTCACACATAATGACATTTATACCCTTTTATAATTGTAAAACTAGAGTACACGAGTATTGAATATTGTGAATATATTAATAATCATTAGATGGATAATAAATGATCATCATCAATTATCTTGTAAGGATTTATAGATAAATCATGAAGAAGACTATCAACTAATAAACTTTTTTTCAAGGATTGAAAAGTAATTGATTAATTAGATGATAGGGTATCTAATTAATGATTTATATATAATCATTAATAACGAAATAATTTATTATCATGACTTATAGGTAATCACGAAGAAGACTATCAATTAATCAATTATTTCTTAGGAATTGGAAAATAATTTATTAATTAGATAATATACTATTTAATTGTTTATTTATCTAATCATTGATTAGATAGAAAATAAATAATCATGATGAATTATCTTGTAAGGATTTATAGAAAAATCATGGAGAAGACTATCAACTAATAAACTATTTTTCAAGAATTGAAAAGTAAAAGGCCTTTCCTTACACTCGAGACTAAATTCACACCAACATGAGCTTGGATCTTGGAGAGAGAGAGAGAAATTTATGTGTAGGTTCCCACTTAGGGAGATGAATGTATGCAAACAAAGGCTGGATAATTCTATAAAATAAATTTAATATCATTTAATATTTAAAAATAGAGTTGAAACTTGAAGGCATTAATTGTTGTTTATAAAAATGTGGGCCCCACATTCATTGTATTTCTATAAAAATTACCATAATTATTTATTTTCTTAAACATTACCATAATTATTTATTTTATTAAAAAAATAATAAACTCAAAAAATGTAAATATATCTTCATTAGTTGGGGTTTGACCTTAAAACTCTCCTGCATAACTTCATAGCCTAATGACGTTGACACATATTTTACATGCAATGTGTATCCATTTTCTGTAATCAAGGCCACTTGAAGTGAGGGCTTGTGGGCCCTACAAAGAGCTTGGGTCATAATTTATAATGATAGGGAATTGAAAAATATATATATTACTTTTCCATGTCCACTTTTTTTCTGAAATTTTGAGAAATGAAATCATTATATTAAAATCATTCAGCCACGTCTAGGTATTTGACCTATTGCATTTGTGTGACTAATCCCCATTATTTATCAAAAAATAATCACAATATGTTTACTAGTAAATAGAAATCTAGATTTGGATTAATGAAAATATGTTTAGATACTTTTGGGGGTTATATATATATTATTTTTTTCATGTCGACTATTTTTCTAAAATATTGAGAAAATGAACTCAATATTTTTAAGTCATAGAGCCATTGCTGGGTATTTGACCTATTGAATTTGTGTGACTAATCCCCATTATTTATCATTTTATAAAAAAATAATCAGAAAATATATGCTAGTAAATAGAAATCTAGATCTGGATTAATGAAAAATATATGAAGGTACTTTTGGGGTTGATTATAAAACTCAAACCCTATGTGAACCATGACTATGCTCACATATATGCATGAATGCATCACTATGCATACTTATCAACCCACCCGCCCACTTGGAAGGAGCGTGGGTATAGGTTGATAATTATAGGAACATTTAATATAATTATTTTGAATTTTTATATTCAATTTTTTATTTGTAAATGTTACAATGACAAAAAATTAAACCGTTTGGAAAAATGACGCTGTTAATTTAATTAATAATATTGAGTAATCTCGATTTTCTTATTTTTTATATGAATATACGTAATTTTTATTTTCAAGAAAAGTATTAGCCCAAATTCAGGTTAGTTTAAATTAGGGAAAAGGGTAATATCTATAGATATTTTTTGTGTTCTCACCAGAGGTTCAAATCCCCACCGTCCATCGAGGTATGAATGCGTAGGTAGAGAGAGAGAGAGAGAGAGAGAGAGAGAGAGAGAGAGCATGACTTGGCGCCTTCTCTAATCCGTTGGAGCGTCTTCCTCGGTAGAGCATCAGTCTGTCTGGAAAGCTCCCTGCGGCGAGATGGCGCTGTCGCTCATCTCCCCGCGCTCACCCATGACCGTCGCGGCCCGCGTGGCCGTGCGCGGCCGACCTTCATCCTCCGCTCCGCCGTCGATTTCGCGGCAGGTTTCTCGCGCGCCTCCGAGCTCCTTGTCATCATCCGCTGCACCCCCCGCGACCAGCAAGTCCACCGCCCCTGCTCTACAATGCGAACACTTCCAGTCGTAAGGCCGGGGCTCCGTGGTTTACTCGTGCTGCTGCGTGGAGAGTTTGTTTTTCCGAGCTTTGTTTTCTTAGTTTTTTGATTGGGATGGGGAACGGGTTGGCAGGTGCTCTGGCTGCACTCACGAGTGGGATCTGGATAGGCCGCTGGTACTCAAGGAAGCGGGAAAGTTCTTCGAAGACCGCGGCGTCCCTGATTTCACCTTCGACAGCGGCAGACTCGTTAGCCATTCTTACCTATAAATAATTGGAAGTTTTTGTGTCCTATTTGTTGCCTCACTTCTTTTCCTTTGGCGTCTTCTTCACTACGTTGTACTTCGTTTTGTAAGTGGGAATGGAGATGCCGAGCAAAACTTGCCGTCAGGGGAACAGCGGAGAGTCCTTTGATCGGCTTGTATGAAGAGGGCACGCATAACGTTGTGGACATTCCTCATTGTAGAGGTAAGACGAGGTGGAAAGTATTTTTTAGGTGTTTTCAAGTCTGTCTCTCGTTGCTGATACAAAACATGTCGCAGGAATTTCAACGTTTCATTTGTGTTGATGTTTAAGTGGTTCACTGATAGTTTGCATGACCCAACAGCTGTATTGCGGCTTGGAGACATGAAATAAAAGATATCTGGCGCAGTTTTTGCTAGGCATCGAATGTTAATTAATACTTTCTTCATATATTCTGGGGCTGGGGTGCTGGTCACGTTTATGAATGAAGGTTTTTTGTCTGGTTTTTTGTCTTGTTCCCGAAGTCAGGTGATGGATGAGAATTGGTGGTTACTTAATCGATCTCATAGAGCCAAGTATTTATTATAATCAGTGCTTTGTTTAGGCGACGAACGGATTTTCGTAGCATGGATAAATTCTCAATGGATTTTAGTTCTGTACTGATGATGCACATAATGCATTTAACACTTCCCAATGAGGTAGCAAATGACTTACAATATTAGTCCCTGGAACTATTAACCTCGATTTTATTACCTTCCAAATTTGAATTACCATTGCATATTTTTTATTTTAAATATTCATAAATCTTAGTATGTTTCTCGCAGCTCACCATCCAAGTATCAATTCTGCAGTGGAACTCCTGAAAAAAGGCACCGTCTTGTGACCTTCCCTCATCTCCATTCTGCTTTTAGTCTGTGCAGTTAACCCTGGGGTTTCATTTTATTTTATTATAGTAACTATATTCTGATATACATATGGTAATTTTTTAGGTATTTCTGTTTTAAATATTCAGCCATATAATGAAGATCAGGGGACTGGTGAATTGAGATATGTGCAAGTGAGCTATCTGTGCCTTTGTTTTTGTGAACGTAATGTTTTTTGCAATTTTACATGGTTTCCTGTAATGTGGATAGCCATGGAGCTTGACCACTCCCTTACGCTTATCATCCTTTAGTAAATTAGTCGAAATCAAAACTCATGAAATAAAGATAGATAGTTCGTAAATTTTTCCCTAAATAAACTTATAGAAGTTGTCATCTCCATAGCTTAACGATCTAGGATTATAAAGATTAAAGGAAAGAATCCAGGCATTGAGCAATATCTTATGATCAGTTGCTTCCATATAGACAGCTCTTTGGAAGCTGGTGGCAAGCACCTAAACAGTTCATTTCATAGCAGATGATTAATCTAACTCTCACTAGATGAGCATGTAGGTTGAAAATTTCCTACCAGATGAGACAGAAAGTTGTTGCAGATATGTATGATCTTCTTTCCCGAATATGAAACAACTGTTTGTTGAAAGTGATCCTATGGAATCTTGGTAACATTAGGCAAGACTAAATGCCAGAAATATCCAAATTTAATACATTGTTTCCGAATTATTGATGAAACCATTAGAAGCTTCAGTTCTCGTCGCCTAGTTTCCTTTATATGTTGAATGATGTTTTAGTGATTGACCAAACTCATCTGAATTTGTTTTCGCTCTCTATCATCGTCTTCTACACTTTGGCAAATATTTAGACGGAAGAGGGTACTGTTGTAAGCTCTTTCGGGTTAATCAATTCCTAGGAAGCAATTTATTGGTTACGATAGTATTCTGATTAAGACATGACGTGACAAAGACCAAAGAATTCTAGTAATATTCGTTTTTACACTTCTCTTGAATCTTTATTTCTTAAGTTGTGTTTTCCACAAAAAAATGTGACGACAAAAATACCTTACACATTTAACTACTGCCACATAATCTAATACCATCCAACATAAATGATTTCCATGGACTTCAGCAGAACATAATATAAGGTAAATTTGGTAATTGTTATCTTCCTTCATCTTAATTTCTCTCTATGTATTTTCAGATGACTGTAACAACGTTCAACACGTCTATCCCTGCTGCAGAACGATATAAATATGGTCAGTACATTATTCTTCCTTTTAATGGAATATTTACCTTGTTATATTAATGAATGTTTAGAATATGTTCCTGATGAGTATTTCTTTCCCCTAGGAAAAGTACAGGTTACTTTGGTGTGGAATTCTAGAAATGAGCAGTCACCTGGCTCTGAGAAGTTGAAAGCCTTGTCAGATGTACGTGGCCCTCTTTCCCTTAGCGCACTCATGAGCATTCTCCCTTTATATGCTATTGAAGCAATCGGAGTACTTCTTTGGCTATGTTGCATGGCAACCTGAGGAGTTTGCACCCTAACCAACTTAGTAATGTATGCTTGTGGCGTGGAGAGCCCTGATTTGAACTCATGTCACTGTTCGAGTTAATTTTTTAACATTTGGCCAACATTTTAATGATAATTAAATGAGAAATTGATTCCTTATTATATGTACGTCGTAATTAATATGATGACATCTGGAGAAGAATGCCACCTCTGATATCAGGGTCATTGCCTTAATGTTAAGGATGAAGTGGACCTCTGGGCATCTTTCTTGCCTCTTGATTTGAACAGCGTCATCCTGCTTGTAGCCATATGTCGTCTCTCTAGTGTTAGTTTCCCTCTTGCAAAGCAGTTTCCTTGGTAGAGAGGACATCGTTATTGCCATTTCATTTTTTGTATCAACTTCTAGCCAAGCAACAATGTCTTTTCATTGGCATCTTGAATTTTGGCGGTAGGGAAGGTATTTAATTCCTCAGCGTGCACCTTGGGTTCTTCTTCATACAACACTACTTTCTACTGCTGTTTCCCTATCTTGAACGCTGAAAAAACATACTTAACAGGAAAAAATTAAATAATTTGCTGTTTGTTCAACAAATATGCTCTTATGGTTGATTTTTGATTTTATGTAATTTCGTGATGCTGATGTATCAAGAGAAAATGTCTTCATGGCAGTTTCTTTGGAGGAATGGTGGACCTGGAAGTGCCGTCCACTTAATCCACTCAGTATGGACTAATTTTCAGACATCAAGTAGCAACGTAAGCTATCAATTTCTTCTGGCTTTCATTTTCCCTTTATTTATGTGGATCTTTTAATTACTTTATTTTGATATTTTTTTCCTGGCTTCTGATTGTCCTCACTGTTCTTCTGATAACTTTTCAAATATTTATTTTGGCTGATGTGCTAGTATATATACTTATGAAGCCTAATGGTTGGATGATCTATAGTCGGTTTATGTTCCCCAGTCAGTTACATATTTTCTGTCCCTTATTATCTGTTGATTTACTGGATTTAGTTCCCAACGGAAAAGAGTTAATCTCTCCTCATTTTGTTTCAGTCTAATTGTCATCTTCCTGGGCTCATTACGAACTGTTATCAGTCTACTGAATTTTTCTGAGGCCTTCAACGACATTTTCCTGTATAACAAAATCCACCTTTTGTACAATAGCTTATTCATTTCCTGCTCATCCTCTTTCTTTTTCTTACATTGAATCATTTATCATGGTGAGGCATTGTTTCTAAGTGAAGATCCTACTCTCACTGACCAACCTTAAATGCATTTTTTTCTCAAGTAATGAACGCCTTTTATCATCTCTCTTATTCACGTCTGACAAAGCCTTACTTATTTTGTGTAAGTGAAAGGTATCTAATTCGAGGTTTTACATTATCCTTGGAGAATTACCCGAAGTTTATGACAATATAAATACGTGATGAAGAGGCAGATACTAAAATCATTCCTTTGTGGTACATTGTCACATAGTAAACGCCCTGTATGATCTTTCTGCTTTCCATGTTGCAGAAAGATTTTGAAACATAAGGTGTTTTAATGATATTTTTATGTCCGAAGGAGTTGACTTTCTTGATCATTATTGAAGGATTCTGATTTCCATGGTCATTTCCTATTACTCGGCCCTCCGATTTTTATTGGCTGAAGTTTGTTCGAGATTGTTCAATCTTAAACTTGCGATCGTTTCTGTGGGCTTTTGAGGAGAGATTGTGGTGCTCCCAGTTTGATATTATTTTATCCCCTGAAAGTTTTGAAATATTGAGCTTTATAATTGCATTTGCAGGTAATTTTTGGAAATAGATGGAGACATCTATTGGGTGAAGGAGATTTTTGGGAGCATATTGGAGGCATTGATTTTTCCTTGGCACCCTCTAGTTTTGGTCAAGCAAATACTCAGGTACACCAAAAGATCCACTTAATCCGCATTCTGCTAGTTGGACCTCAAGCTGTTTAGTTTCTTGTGTATGCGACAGTAAACTACCACATCTTTATTTTGAGCTTATCTTGGGTGAATTATAAAGCAAATTCACTCTGATAAATATTGAACATTAGTATATCGCCGACCTCAGAAAATAATTCAGGAGAACTTTAAAAATCTCAGGCTACTTTTCTTTACCACCGTCGTCCTCTTTCAGGAATTCATTCGTTCTTGTCTCTACTGAAGCCAGAACATCTTGGCTAATGCCTGTGAGAAACATCTCAATTTGATTTTGCTGCGTATAATTTTTTGAGAAGGCCTCTAATAATGCGAACTTAGGAGAACATAGTTCTAGGAGTGTTCTATAGTGTATCATCTGTGTTTTTTTTTTTTTTGTATTATTTTTCCCCCTGAAGGTTGATTAAACGTCATGTTTTATGCCTGCAGGCTTTTAATTCCTTGCTAAGGAAATTGCAAAAGTATGTTCCCTATGGAGCATCTGTTGTTGATATGTATGCTGGAGCTGGTGTTATCGGATTGTCAGTAGCTGCTACTAGGAAATGTAGGCAAGTATTGTCAGAAGACTCCTAATGTCCCATAACCATAACATGACATCAAAATGTCACCATCCTATGCAGATTTGTAAAATGCGTTGAGATAAATAAAGAGTCAAAAGTATCATTTGAGAAATCCATCAGCCGTCTCCCTAAAACTTTCGACTGCAACATCAGCTGGCACCAGGCAGATGCATCAGTCGTATGTATTGAAAGCGTCTAGTTCCACATTGTCTCAAGTGTCATCAGAAGCCTCATTTCTCTAACACTGGGTTTTATTTTGTTGTCACAATCAATCATTACAGGATTCTATTCACTGGCTCGAAGGTGCAGATGTGGTTATCGTTGATCCTCCAAGAAAGGGGCTGGACGCATCCCTGATTGATGCATTAAATAGTGTAGGAGCTTCAGGTCGTAAAGCTGGGAAGACGGTTGAGAGGTAAATTAAATATACGCAATCGTGTGGTCATTGTTATCAACATGCTTAATCTTTCTCTTGTTTTGTACGGAAAACTCTAGTTTTATACCTTCTTTTGGCCCTAGAGAAGGTGAAATATCATTCATTGGGTTGACAGTAATTGCCATTCTTGGTGCATTCAAATGTGACCAGAATAGTAACCAAAGCTACTTGATTAATGAGCCATTTATGATTTTATTTCCGTTTTATGGATGCCTTCTCCCTTGCAAATATATTCTCGATGTAGAAAAAGAAATTAATACTTTGACTGCCCAAACCCATTTCTGGCATCAGTGGCCTCACTGTTGGGCTGCTGCAGACATCTGTAGCTTAAACCCTAAAACCCATGCTCCTCACAAAGACGAGAGAAACAAACGAGTACTGGGTAGTTTTCCATCAATTGTTAAGTAGATGAATTTTTTTTTGAGTTCATCGTTTATTTTTATTATATTAATTTATTCCGCTCCCAGTTCCTTGCAAAAGGCAAAAGATGAGAAAAGGCCATGGATTCTGCGAGCAAGAGAACCATCCATTCAAATGGAAAGCAAAACCGAGTGGGAGGGATCTCAGTCATGGCCCCAAACCCTGATCTACATTAGCTGTGGATGGGAGAGCTTTAAGCAGGTTAATTCCTGTCTTCTCTATCCTCCTATCTAGAGATATTTCTTGGCTATGGGATCATTTTCTGAATTATGTGGCGCCATTTTCCCTAATTACTGCATTTCTTTTTGGCAGGATTGCATGTCTCTGGTGGCCAATAAATCATGGCATTTGGAAAAAGCTCATGGGTTCAACTTCTTCCCTGGCACCCAGAGGTATTTATCATGGTTTTTCTTTGACTATTTCTTGGATTATACTCTTTAGGGTAAACATCCTACCCATAAAGCTCGGACCTATTCTACTATTCCCATTTTATCCCCCTTCTAATCTCTCTCTCTCTCTATCTATCTATCTATCTCTCTTCACATGCCCTCCCCTTCCTTCGCCCAGATGAAATAAAACCTAATCTGCCCAGGACCATCTTTTCTCCCCTTCTAATCTCTCTCTCTCTCTCTCTCTTCACATGCCCTCCCCTTCCTTCGCCCAGATGAAATAAATCCTAATCTTCCCAGGACCATCCTGGCCTCCAGCCCTGCCCAGGCCATTGGTAAATAATTTCTTTAACAGTTATGATGTTCTTGTTCAAGCTTTTTAAAGCCCGAAACACAGTTCAGTCGTTCTAGTATTGAACGGCCATCTCGTCTCGGTGCAGCATAGAAGTCCTAGCTGTGTTTAAGCGAGGCCCCCGCATTGCACCCAAGAAAAAGAAAACAGGAAAGAAGAAGAAGACTGCCAAGTGAGATGTAAGTGTACCACCCTCTCTCCCTCTCTCTCTCTCTCTCTCTCTCTCTCTCTCTCTCTCTCTCTCTCTCTCTCTCTCTCTCTCTCTCTCTCTCTCTCTCTCTCTCTCTCTATCTCCTCTCTTTCTCTCTATGAGTTCAGTTGGGCAGGTGATTGGCGATGAATTTCTCTGAAACATCTCTTTCAGGCGTGCATCTTCTACTCCGAAGTTCCCTTGTATGTGGCCTTCCACTATGAGCGAAGATGCCCAAAGAGGGGCCCCAATCCCCACCCCTGACGACAAGACTTCCCCATATGGAAGAACAACAGCCCGGTCAAAGCTCATCACAACAACAGCGTGAAGAAGGAAAGGAAAAACCAGACCACGTTGACTGGTTCTAACCAGAAACACTGCCCGTGATTCTTCTGGGTAGGCTGAAGGTGCCTTTTTCAAACACCCTCCCCTGCAATTCCATGGTGCCCTCGGCCTAACCAGGGCTGTGTGACCTCGGTCAACTTGTTATGCCCATCTGTTTCCCTTTTTTCTTGATGGAGTATCTCGACCCCACTCTTTTTTTTTTTATGTATCTTTGATCAAATATATTTAATTGAGATAATCCAAGATTTATTAGGGTTGGGGCCAGTTGAACGATCATCATAATAACCAATTTATTGTGATTTTGGCTTTGAATTTTTCATCATAACGCTGATTCACTGAATTTCTTTAAAAATTGCGAAAAAAATTATTGTGCCTAATTTTTGTTGTTCTTTCTTTATTTATTTATTTATCTCACATGCTTTAATAAAGTTTTTTCCCTTTTAAGCTTATTTTTTTTTACTTACATATTGATAAAATTTACATGTGGGGGGTGAACTCCAAGCTTTAGCGACCTTAAAATCATGATATATACCATGGAACCATGTTTAAATAGCAATGATGAAACTAGTCACATTTTTTCTATTTAATTCATTTTTATAATTTTCCAACTTTCAGTAATTCAACAAATTAAAGTTGTTTGATCAGGCAACAAATTAAAGTTGCCCTTGAAGAAGAAAAGATTAATTATAAATTATATTCATAATATAATTTTTACATATTTTTTAGACAATGCCATCTAAAAAACAACATTATATAAATAGCTAGCATTTTTGTCAATTCATGAGCAACGACTGCCTCTCAAGAATGTGTAAGATGAAAGAACGGAAAGGAGTGGGATTTGTTCCATGGTGTGGCTTGTAGATGAAGAAGGTCCACCTTTCAACTAGACATTACAAACCGTGTCATCGGACTTAGATATTCATTAATATAGTTATTTATTTTTGGAGCAAAACATTATTGAGCTAATTAATTTATTTTCCCAATCTTCATCTCTACATTCATTAAAAAAATTATCTAGAGTATTAACTGCCCCAAGTATGTAAGTTGACTTTAGGGCTTGAAATTAAAGTAATTTATTCCATAGAGATGGTATTTTTCTGTATGTATAAAAATAGTAATTTTGGAGAAAAATAAATGACTATAAAGATATTTAGAGTCTACTAAAAGCTCAATTTTCTAGATATTCCTTAAAATTACCATTTAAATGCATTGTGTGATTATGATTATTATGATTACTTTTAATCTTTATTTAAATGAAAAACTGAATTTGGAACTTTTTTTAAAAAAATCAGTATTCGATTTAACATAGTGAAAGAAAAAAAAGGCTATTCAGATCGTACGATATTTAGATAATAAATATATGAGGGTTATTTTGTTTATGAACGCTGTTGGAAGGGCTTTATTACAAATAAGCTGCAAGCTTAACCGCACACTGCGTCTCCCTCCGCCGAACGCCGGGGACCGCAGTGAGCATCGGCGGGCGAGGACGAGCTCCGGGGTGTGCTTGATAGGGTTTCTGGTTTGGAACCGGAGAAGACTGTCGATCCTTCTGAGCTCTGCAGGCGGAAAATCGTCGTCTGCATCACCTTGTCGGCTGCTGTTTCTTCCGCTGGTTCTGCCGTCGGGCTTTGTTGCTTTCTGAATGGCGCCTGTCGCTCCCCGATCCGGCGAGGCAGTGTTCGCCAGTGTCGAGCGCGTGGTGAGAATCCCGATCCGATCCTCTTAGGGAAGATGCGAGATCCGACTACACATCCCTATTTCTATCTTTTTCTATGGTGTTTCTTCTTTAATGTATGATTTGATTATGTTTATATGAATATGTGGGCAGAATGCGGAACTGTTTACACTGACGTACGGGGCAATCGTGCGCCAGCTGTTGACGGATCTGGAGGAGGTGGAGGAGGTCAACAAGCAACTGGATCAAATGTAATTGGTCTGATAATGTCTACTGTTTTTTACTATTAAAATTTTCTGGCAGTTTGAAACACATTCTCATTCATGTCATTGAAAGAAATTGGCAGGAATTTTCGATCTATCAGAAAATTTAGACTAAAATGAAATCTGGCATTTGTAGGCCTCGAGTATTTTGTCACACCAACAAGCGATAGCCATTTTCCTGCTTCCAAAACGTTTATTGCATTACACAAAGGCATGAGTTCTGACAGCCTTTATGATTCCCTTCAATGTGTTCGTGAGCATTATCTATATGTATATACTGAGAGCTAAACGATGGAATAATTGGTTAAAATATTTAACCAATGAAAGAACCCAGCAAGTCCTGCGTCTCTAAATAAACCTAATCAGAAAACTTATAGTTTTAGAACGCTCTGCACGAGGATGTGAGGGGGAAAAACGGAAATTAGCCAAGAGAGTGTAATATGCTTCTTTCTCATGGATTTGGTTTTCCCCTTGGTTACTTTACTGTAATACGTCAGCTTTAAATTTTCTTCGTTCGAGGATAATTCTCTTTGTTTTCACTTTCTGTCCGTACAATCAAATCATCATTGAGCTGACATAATGGATCATTTTAATGCCACAGTGGCTTATGTGTATCTCCCACCACTCGCACCGCGCTATCTTTCTACTTTCACGTTGTCTAGGCCAAAGTTATAGTTGTAAGCGCTCATGTGCCCCAAAGGAAAAAGTCGTCCTCAAAATCGAAGTTTCTTTTCTCTTACATTGTTTAGTTCAACGGATTTCATTCCATAGAAGAAAGCTTCATCCTTCGGCATGTAGGAGAAGGGGAAAGATGGTGTCACATACAACCGAAACCATCATTATACACAGAAAAGCATTATCTTTGCGTACTTATTTGATCTGTGCTCATATCATCTCTGGTTCTTCATGTGGGGTTCAGCATCCTATGACACAAGGCATCATACTAAAATGATTGAGTGGCATCATCATTTGGGCCCTCTTCCTCAATGCGTGCTTAGTGACCAACTATCACTTCATCATTTCCATCCAAAGGGAACTCTAAAATATAGGAAAATAGTCACACGATTATGATGTAATGTGGCGGATTCTCAGTTTATCCATACCGTGAAGTTTGTGCTCAAGATATGTCTAATATTTTTTTGCACCATATGGGATAGAAACCATTCTTTGCTTGTTCATAATTTTTCACGAGATTGTTGTGAGTAAGCAAGGTTGTAGTTTTTGTTAATATTGTCGTATAATTTTTTTCTTCCCAGCAATTATATACATTTCCTAGTACCAGCATGTGACTTTTCTTATCTCTTTGACTTGATGGATTCCTTTCAGGGGTTATAATATTGGAATTAGACTCATTGATGAGTTTCTAGCCAAATCTAACGTCTCCAGATGTGTTGACTTCAAGGAGACCGCTGAAGTTATTGCAAAGGTTACTTAAAAATTATTATACTATTTTTATATTTTTTTCCAGTTTTTCCAATAAAAAATTATGATTTTGATGTACTTTCGTAGCTGTCTCCAAGATTGTCTCTACCTTCAATTATTTTCTGTAATAATTTGTTACTCAAAATCCGTGTGATAATTATTTCCAATAAACTATTTGTTACTTAAATTATTTTCTGTAATAAGTCCTTTTTCTCATTAGATATGCTGAGGAAGTAATCAGATGGCTGCATAGATTATCAACCATGATGTGCAGGTTTTAGTTTCTGAGCAGAGTCATCAACGCAATTCTATATCCAAGGAGAGTTGTGTTATTATTTGCGTGATATAGAATGATTGAAAATTACCGTATCATGGTTGATGATCTCATAGAATCATGGAAAAAAGGTGGCCAAAAACATTTCTATGTGTAGGCAATTCTCCATCAACAGGGATTTTCAACATTCCCCCTGAAGCCAGTTTCTTCAAAAGAATATACATTCAGTGATGATTCTCATTCTGTTAAACAGAGACATAGTTTTCGGAATCTGGCTTAGTGAATGTTGTAAGCACAACTAGACTAACTTGTTCACTTCCACAGTTTTGGAATCTTGTGTGATAAATATGGCAAGCACAACTACAATAAATTGTTCATTTCCACACTCAGGCAACCTTTATTTTTCAAAATATCTTGCATAAGTAAGTTAAGTTTAATGTTCTCATATGAATTGCAAAAAGTTGGCTTTATTTATTTCATTTTTTATTCCGTGGGGATCCTAGTATATTCAATGAAACATCACAAAAGTCTCTGAGTACTTTCATTCATGACATTTTCTAATTATTTCCTTCCCTGAAGGAAAATGAATCATTCTCGTGCAGATCAAGTTCACTATGTTCCTTGAGCATTTGCTATTTTGGCAGTTTGAATAGGATGGCATTGTAACTTTGAGATGCTCTCGTGTCACTGAAGCTACCGTTCCCGTCGTATACAGATGTGACTGCTTTTTGTTGCTAGTTCTCCTCTCCGATTCTCTCATACTTGAATCAAACTGGTCACCGTGAAACAGGTTGGTTTGAAGATGTTCTTGGGGGTGACTGCATCAGTGACCAATTGGGATGCTGATGGAAGCAGCTGTAGCCTCATTTTGGAGGACAATCCTCTGGTGGATTTTGTTGAGCTTCCTGACACATGCCAAGGTCTCTATTACTGCAACATTCTGAACGGTGTTATCAGAGGCGCCCTTGAGATGGTTAGATTCTCTCCACCTTTTATCTTTGTTGAGAATGTTTTTATGATCATTCAGGTTTACACTGCTTCCTTCCTTTCGCTCCAGTGAATCAAGTAATGGATGTACCGTCTTATGGTTACTTTTCTGTCCTTGCACTCCCAATCTATGCCAATTATCTGATGGAGAGTTCCTCATCTTTTTAGGTTCATCATAAAAAAACCAAACGAATGCTTTTTAACAGGTTATTTATAGCAAAATCATGAAGAATTTCAGCAGATAATATCACCGAAAATTAGACCAGATATCACAGATCCATGTGATATATTTAAGAAACATGTGATTGAATTGGGTGAAATCATCCAACCATCTTACCTTGTCACATAAAAAACCAGCTCAATGTGGTATCCACTGACCTTAGAAAAAAAAAATGCAAAGACTTTGTATTACCAGACAAGTTATTGTACTGAAAAGAAACAGTTATCCCATAACCATTGAATCTCATCGTTTCAGCTGCAAGGTGGCGGGCCATCACCTTGCCCCACTGATTGACACTTTTAGTAATACTGTGCATTTTTTCTTAGATTCTCTCTCATCCTTGCCCATCATATATCTGTGTTCTGTCTTTGAATTTATTGTTTACATAATTGTAATATTTAGTATTCTGTCATCTCTGCATTATACTGGTCACGTTTTGCTATTAACTTCATTAGGATCTCGTTGAAAAGAATTAGCTACATATGGCAAGAATTGAGCAGGCTCAGATGAAGTTTTTTTTTTTTTTTTCATGAAACTGAGTTCGATCTTGCTACATTAATGATTGTAAGATTTTTAGTTCTTAGCACCTGTAGTTTATGCTGCTAATGTTGTGCCAGCTTCTCTAGGATCTTACTGCTACAACTGCCTATAGTTTGAAACCAACTTAGCAGAACATAAAATTCATACATTATTTCATAGGGAAATGGATTCCTTCACATCTTCAATGGCTTCCTTCATCTTTTTTAATTTTCTTCAAGAGGTTTCAGTCACCACCTGTTCATCAGAATCATCATGCGGTTAAAAATTCTACCTTTTTTACCTGATAATTAATATCCCATGGGTTTCTCAAATCCCCTCTATTTATAGCATGTAAAATCTCATCCTGCACTCTTCTGGCCAGGTGATGACTTCTCTGCTGTTTCTCTTCTCTGGGTCAACGCAGGTCTCAATGAAGACGGAGGTCAACTGGGTCCGGGACATGCTGCGGGGGGACGACACCTACGAGCTGCGGGTGAAGCTGCTGAAGCAAGTACCCGAAGAGTATCCCTACAAGGATGACGAGTGATTCCAATGTTGGTGTAATTAAGGTGCCTAGGAGATCCACAGAGCTGATTCTTTCGTTGACCTTCTCAGCTTGTTGGGCAACCGGAAGTCAAACCAGGGTGTTGCTGTCTCTTACTATTTATATCCTTAGTCTTTTCAGTCTGATTCTTGCGTTGACTGGGCCCAAGGGCCTCCTCCCCATTGAGTAGGCCTGGCCCGGTCTCAAAGTTGCCAGCTTTGAGCCACTGCAGGGTCCCCCCCCCCCCCTCCTTATCTGGTATTCGTTTATAAGGGTGGGTGTCTAGGAGATCCACACAGCTGATTCTTTCATTGACCGCCTCAGCTTGTTGGGCGCCCGAAAGTCAAACCGGGGTGTTGCTTTTCTCTTACTATTTATATCCAAGCCTTATCAGTCTGATTCTTGCATTGACTGGGCCCACAGGGCCTCCTCCCCATTGAGTAGGCCCGGCCCGGTCTCAAAATTGGCAGCTTTGAACTGCTACAGGGTTTCCCCCTTATTATGCAGTGTCATTTACAGGGTGGGTGCTTGAAGACATCGAGGAGCATTTCGTTTCTTCTTTGTTTTTTTTCTGTTCGTCTCTCAGGGAGGAGATGGATAGTTGGGAAAATATTAGCCAGAGGATGGTGTTTCTCTCTCTAGATTCTCTCTCTTACTCCAGGGCCGTGGCGTGAGAGGATTGGATTAAAGTGGGCCCGGGGTTGAAAACCTTGGGTAGTGGTGGTCTTGTCTTGTCACAGGCAGGCGGGAGGGATGACGCTACCGAGGGAGAGGCCGTCGACGTTGGTGCAGGACGCGGTGGCGCCGCCATCGTCGCCGCCGTCGCCGCCGCCGCCCCCGCTGCCGTAGGTGAGGTGAATGTCGCCGAGCTCCACGCCCTTGCATGGAACCAAATTGCTGCACAGCAGATTCACTGCCACCTTCGACAGGGAAACCCCTCTGATGTTCTTGAACTTCACGTCGCTGATCTTCACTCTCGATGGCGACTGAAGCAGACAGATATATATAGATGAGTGAGAAACACGAGAGAGAGAGAGAGAGGGATGCTATTGGGGGCCTCTAACCTGGTTGCTGCAGGACGAGGATGCGCAATACTGCTGGTTGATGATGATCGGATTGGCCACATTGTCCATGACGATGTTCTCAAAGATCATATCAGACGCCGCGCTGGGCTGCGAGTTGGGCCAGGTCTTGATCCTCACCCCGTTCGTCGTTCCCTGAAACGTGCAGTTCCTCACCCTCACTCCCGCCACATCTTCTTCATCCTCGTACTTCCCCAGGCTCCCCACGCTGATCCCGTGCCCTGGCCCGCACCTCACGCTGGTTATCGTCACTCCTACGCTTCCCGGGCCGATGGAGATGCAGTCGTCGCCGGTGCCGATGGCCGATCTTCCGACGTTGACGTTGCTCGATTTCCCGATGTGGATGCCGTCGGTGTTGGGGCTGTCCGCCGGGGCGGTGATGGTCAACGAGTGGAGGTTCACGTCCCGGCTGCCGTGGACGACAAGGTGGAAGGACTTGCTGTTCAGGGAGGTGATGCTCCTCACGGTGGTGTTGGTGACGGAGCTGAGCTTGATGGACTGAGAGACGGAGGGAGGGTTGGGTCGTCAGAAACGAATAAAAGATCAAAGAATGATCCAGCAAAACAGAATTATGAGATTTTTAGGGTTTTCAGGCATCATGGGCAGTGCTGGTTCACAGGATAATGAAAAGGGTGGCTTCCTTCTGTGCAGTAATGAATAACATTTTTTTTATAATTTTTCTTTCAACAGGAAGAAATGGGTTGCATCCTCAAAAGCTAGCAGCATTCCTACTTTTTTATGGCTATTTTTAGCCGTCTTTGTATGGCCTTGAGTCTTTGATAGAACACCCGGTTTCTTTGCTCTCCATCAATGTAGGGTTGAAGAATGTATGAACTAATATAATAAATCAAGATTAGTTTCTTTGCTTTCCATAAATGTAGGGTTGACGAATGTATGAACTAATATAATAAATCAAGATTAGTTTCTTTGCTTTCCATAAATGTAGGGTTGACGAATGTATGAACTAATAAAAGCAGCTATGGGTCATTACCATTTTAGGCAAGTGCATCCTCAAAAAATTGTCAATGCTCATTCATACCTTAATACTATTTTCAAGTACCATAAGATTCGAGGCTCATACATTCATTTCAAGAAATATATTTTTATTCAGACAGATGGATACCATTTTAGGAAAGTTCATTCTCAAAAAAAAAATGATCTACACTTATTCACTCGTCTAAACAAACTACTTTCAGGTATCTTCTTCAAACCCTAATTTACTAACGTCGAGTTGAAACGTTTTCAGTTATATTGGAAGAAAAGATCGATGGCGTTAACTTAATGAATATAGGGAATAAGAAGACCCACCGTGGGGAGGAGAGTGCAGGATGAGGAGTGCTTGCAGTCGTTGTATTGCCAGGCGGAGGATCCCCTGCCGTCGAACTTGCCGCCGCCGGTGAGCAGCAGCCCATCGACGTGATCGAACTCGATCCACGCATCGTCGGAGAACTCGCTCAGATCCTCCGACGCTACCACCGTTCCGGCCACCTGAAACACCACCGCAGGGCTCTTGCACGGCCCCTGGAACACCACCGGGCTCACCATGAACGTCCCCTCCGGGACCAGCACCCTCGGCTCCCCCTCCGCCGCTCCGCAGGCGTCCTTCCATGCATGCATGAACGCCTTTCTCCACCACAAACCCACCAGGCTCTTTTAGAGAAAGAGAGAGAGAGAGAGAGGATATGGTGGTGGGTTTTGAGCTGTCTCTCACCTGAGCGCTGTCTTTCTTGGCGTCGGGGACGGCGCCGTAGTCCTTGACGTTGAAGATGACGACGGCGGCGGAGGAGGAGACGACGACGCTGGAGAAGAGGAGCAGCAGCAGGCGAGCTCTTCGGAGGAGGGTTGGAGAGGAACCCATTTCCATCCTTCTTCCTTCTTCCCCTATTAACTACTATCACCTACTGTAACTACTAACGCTGCCTCTTCTCCTCCGCCTCTTCCCCCCTCGGCCTGCCTTCTCCAAGGTCGATGGGTTCAGAGGTGGGAATGCCGGAGGGGACGTATATATTGAATTGGAGAGTTGGGGAGGAGGTCCCGGGGGCCTCCGGAAGGGATGAAGGGGACACCTCACATTCCCAACCTCTCATGGTTTCTTTGGGAGGTTTCCGTTTCGGAGCGGCGGTGGAACCAGCGGCGAGAGGAAGAAGACGACGTTACCTCCATCCTCAGCCGTTCTTCTCCTCCCCTTCCACAAGCTGTGACCCGATTTTCCCAGTTTGGATCGACCAGAGAGTTGTGGATTCCGGCGAACCAAACGGGCCTCTCTTCGGTCTCCCTTGATGGGTTACGGTTGACCTGAAAAGGGTAAACGTGGGAACCCGAAAAAGTCAAAGAACCTCTTTTTTACAAAAAAAATGGATGGTTTTTGAATGACCCGGAAACTGGGAAAGCCTCTTCCTTCAAGGAGAGAGAGAGAGAGAGAGAGAGAGAGAGAGTTGTGCAAAGGGGGCAAAAAGGTGGAGGAGTAGTAGTAGTAGTAGTATTAAGTCCCACATCGATTGTTACGAGTATTCTCTCCAACGAAGGCCGATAAGATTGGTTTCCAGGATTCCAAGGTTTCTCACGCAGCCGCGTGGTGAGCACAGAGCGAACTATTCTTTCGCCTTTTACTAAAGAATACCGTGTGCTCGCCACACACAGCGGCATACGCCTATTTTTGGTGGGATCCCAGTCCTCTGCGACCGGGAGCCCTAACATTCCCAAACTCCAAGCTATCTCTCTCTGGCTAGCGCCTGGGCAACACTATCTGTCCCCTAGCTGAATTGGTAGGCTCAAGCCAGTATCCCATCCCCTCTATTTTATAAATTCATCAATTAAACACAGTAGTAGCTCCTCGTTATTCTGCTCCCTCTCCTTCGAAGATATGGCACCGTCACACTGGGACTACAACATTCCAAAGATGGAAACTTTCTCTCTCTAGCTTTAGTCGCGTATTATCTGTTCCCTCGTGGGCACTGGTGGAGTTGGGCTGATATCCCACCCCCTCTCTCTCTAAGTCTCTATCTCATGAATCCTTGGAAGTAACGCAGTTGCTCGTAATATTGCTCCCTCTCCTTCGGAAATATGGGCTGTATACCAATGGACTGAGCCAGACCATCTTCGGAGAGAGAGAGAGAGAGAGAGGCCTGAGCTGCTGGGCGGAACCCTAGCTAACTCCACTGAATGAATGTGGACGATTCAGAGCAGCAAACTCTCTCTCCCTCGCTCATGAACTCTGGGTCTCTTATGAACCCTAGCTGAAAGTTTGCAGAATGAATGTTGAGGGCGATTCAGAATAGCAAAGTCACTCTTTTATGGGCACGAAATGCTTACAGGAGCCGGGTCGTCCGGGGGGGGCCTGATGGAGCTCCCGCTGCGACCCGGATAACAAACAACATTCACCATTCACTCCTATACACGCCCTCATTAGTTCCTCCTCCACCCACCACCAACCACACACAGCAGCAGAAAAACAGCACAGCGAGAGAGAGAGAGAGAGAGAGAGAGAGAGAGAGAGAGAGAGAGCAACCAAGAGAGTGATGATGAGAGAGAGCTCAAAATCGATGGCGATGGCAATGGTGATGACAATGGTGGTGGGGGGTTCTACCAGCGATGTAGAGAGAGGAAGAGGGGGGTGGGTGGGGGGTAATTACCAGGGATGGACGCTGCGCTCGGTGGGGGAACCTGGGACGAAGGGGGCGAAGCCGCGGCCTCCGAACATGGGGCGCATGACGGCGTCGTCGAACTTGCGCCAGTAATGGTGCACCGTGTGCGTCGGCGTCGACAGCAGCATCCTTATGCTCGTCGGCCGCGGCAGCGTCCCCGCCTCGCCCTCCACCGCCGCCTGCTCTCCGCCGCCGAGGAGCAGCGGCGCGAACAGGGACTTGGGTGTCGACGGATCGGAAGACAGGCTGTTCTGCCGGTTCATCCCGGAGGGCAGCAGGACCCTGATCAGCGGCTTCGTCAGTAGCCCAAACACCTGCCCATCCAACGACGACGAACACGAACGAATGAATCAATGAATGAAATGATCAAAATCGTAAGAAGAATGATGATTGGGAGGGTTGTGAACGGAATTGACGATTTTTGCTGATATTTTTGGGGGAAGTACATAAAAAAATAAAAAATAAAAATGGCAGTGGAGTGTGAGATTCAAGGAAGCTCTGAAACCATGGAGCGGAGCCACTTACGACGGTGCTGAAAAGAACGACTGTAATGGTGCTGGTGATCATGATTGCATTTCCACGGAGTTGGGTGTGGCCAGATCTCGCGAACTGCGAGTTCATAAAATAAAAATAAAAAATAAAAAATCAACTTGGATGGAAAAAATAAATATTCAACGAATCACAGACTCCGGAATAATTTGGTAGCACATATTTATCAGGGAAAAACCCATGAAATTTTCAGATAATAAGGATCCAGGCGACTTTTGACAAGGTAAAATGTAGCAGGGCGATGAAATTTTGGAATCAACACTGTTTCTAGCAAATAATAAGAACAGAAGAAAGTAAAATTGATTTGCACCAAGTTCCCGGATCACTTCATGCGAGTTGGAAGAGAATTATCTTCAATAGGAGGGATAGAGAGAGAGAGAGAGAGAGAGAGAGAGAGAGAGAGTTGTAGTCCATATCATCATATTATCTACCAAGCTAAAACTCCCGCTCCCTCTCAATTGAAGAAAGTAACCTTTTGTAATCTGAAACCTTGGAGCCTACTTCCTCACTCACTCTTTTGGAGATAGAGCTGAAACCCCCATTTGTTGAAAGAGAAAGAGAGAGAGAGAGAGAGAGAGAGAGAGTTGTAGTCCGTATCATCATATTATCTACCGAGCTAGAACCCTCACTCCCTCTCAATTGAAGAAAGTAGCCTTTTGTTGTCTGCAATCTTGGAGCCTACTTCCTCACTAACTCTTCTGGAGATAGAACTGAAACCCCCATTTATTGAGAGAGAGAGAGAGAGAGAGAGAGAGAGAGAGAGAGAGAGAGAGAGAGGGTTGGGTGGAAAGCTTTAAGAAACATCAAATCGAATTCCCATTGGCTCGGTTGATTTGATCAACCGACCCAATTGAAGGCTAACATACCAATCTGGATCTATTACCTGTTTTATATAAAAAAAATTGGAATGATAATTTGAGGAAAAAAGCAGAAAAAGAGCTAGTAACATTATCTCACTAGATTCCGTAAGGAAAGAAGCAGCACGGCCAACTTCTATTTACCAGGCCTGAAACTGGTCTGAAAATATTTACCTTATTGTAGGCAAGTGCCATCGATACAGCACCCCTCATTAGACCGGCCCACCATATCACAACCTGCTGAAGGAATTAATTTATAAAAAAAAACTTGAAAAGAGAAAAAAAAATACTCGTTAGCAACAAGTAAATTCACCTGCTGCTTGAAGAAGATCCTTTCACCAGGAGACTTCTTGGTTAGGTTTGATAGAAAGGAAAGGGGGAAAACAAAAGCTGCTCTGCCCAGTAACACCAAGCCCAGGAGAACTGAGCTTACGCCAATCGATTTTCCAGGGCTGCAGAAGAGGCAGAAGGAACTTGTAATCTCCTCACAATATCAGACGACCCCAAACAAGGTAAAACACTGCCCAAATGCATTGTATGATTCAGAAAGAGACAACGGTTTAGGATCAGATTTCATGCATGTGGAGTGCTGGGTGAAAAACTTACTGTGTGGAGGAGGGCCCTCCAAGCTTCTTTTAGTTGTCTTATTCTCATTGAAATCTTGTAAGATTAAATCTATTTTTAGTATTCATTATGTTATACCGACGCCATCTAGTGGAGCAATGAAATATCCTCCATATTACATACCTCACCCTTCCCTTTTGCTTCTACCGAGACAATGAATTCCTCAGGGTGATACAATCGTCACAAATGATGAGAAAACATCGCATACTGAACAAAGTGGGTCGATACTTTTTTAGGGCATTTTTTATAAAATTTCAGGGTATATGTATGATATCTTAATTAAACAAGGATACATAAATCTACTTCGAGCACCATTTTTTCCCATTCCATTCATTTCGGTTCTCTGGAACTCGTGAACTTCTTGAAACTGTCGTAAATTTATCTTCACAACTTATCCAAACATATTAAATATGGGCAACGCGGTCACCCCTGGGGGCAGCACCAGTCAAAAAGATAGGACAAGGTAGCAGAGGATAATTCGATGAAGGCAAAGAAAGATGGGGAGGGTAAAAGATATAGGGTTTAGTCACATCTGCATGCAAGCGTCAGAGGCTGGGTAAATTTTCAAACGACAACCAAATTACTCAGTTTTTCTCTTATATACCGCATCCACTTTTTATCACCAATGAGGAGCAGGTGAATCAGTTATGAGCAAGTTTGGTGTATATGGTATGTTAATGGAAAAGGGCAGTCAGTATATTATATATACAATGAAGGACAGGAAGGCATTATCGATACAATTAAATTTCTATGAATGTTATTGAGAATACCTGTTACTAACAAATCTCCATTTCTCAATATCCAGCGCGTCCATGCCAACATAAAGAAAAATAAAAATTTCAGCGATAAATGACAAGGTTGCAAAGGCATGCCTGCAGCAGAAGGCATGAGATCCACGGTTAAACTTTGTCAAGTGCCAGAAGTGTGGTAAAATTTGTACTTAAAGAACGAATCATGAGTGTGCAATGCACATAATACTTGGTCGTTATTCTTGAACTCTCAGTCACATTATGCCACGTGTAATGGGACATTACTATCCCACAGAAGAACACTGTGAGGATACCACTGAGATCCAATAACTGCAATATTATCAAAAGACATTAAAAATTTTCCATTATTATTTTTAATAAAATCAAAAAAAAAAATCGTTAAAGAAAAACAAAGTAATCAGGTAGCCTGAAAAAATGTCCGAAACTTTTTGCGGTGAGGAAACTCACTTCAGCTAACATGTATGAGAGGTACGCCATTAGCATCATAAGAGCAACCTCACGATCAGTAGAGTGCCTGGAAGAAATATGATACTCAACGATTAATTTTTGACACGAAGCAAACTAATAGAGCATGGTTCCCTCTAGTCACTTCAGATAATAGTTACCCCGTATGTTTAATAGTAGTTGTAATTATTTAATTTAGAGTCAAAACATATGACAGTAACTGGAGAGAGGACAGACACTCCATCAAATGTCAGAGATAATATTCATAATATTATGGCGTGTGGGATCAAAACTCAGACTAGCCAGAAGCAAGTTGAATATTGGTAAAAACAGGCACTGCCAGAACTCTCTGTTGAAAAGGTCATTAGCATATTCTAAGCCAGATAATGCGGTCGAAAAATATCGATTTCACTGTTCATAAACCAACCCGAATTATTCATATAAAGTAGGAAGATATTAAAGAACAGCCATCACTCTATCTAGGCCATATAAACACATTGGAAAAAAAATATTCGTCGCAGTGTATGCAAAGCGGCAAGTAAATTGAATAAACTCCTTTTCAAACGTACCTTCCAAAGTACAGAGTTTTTATGATATAAGCACTTAGCAATCCAGCCTGCAAAATGGAGTAAGAAAATATAGCTAATATGATAGAAGTCCCGACTCATTCACGAAGATGAGCTATCTAAGTCAAGGGATAGATATGAAATTGAAATAAAAGAGAAGGAAACTCACAAGCGCTCCAAGCAAGGTGCTTGTGAGAAATAAGTACATGAAGTTCCCAACGAAATGTAATGCTATTGTGGTGTCCATATGTACAAGATCAAAGCTCTGGATTGCATTGAACAACACAACTGACGTGGCATCATTTACAACCCCTTCCCCGAAGACCAGGCTGTAAAGAAAAGGTGTCTCATCCTGATTAAGCACCTGCTCATAAGCCAGAGTGTGTCATCTCTAAACCGTTATGTTTATTACCAAACTGATTCTGCAATGCTAACTCAATGTTTTACAACCTGCAAGGTGCACACAGAGTCTGTTGCAGAAAAGATTGCTCCAATAGCTGCAAAATTCAGGCGCACAAATATGAGGCTTCAATGAATCACAACGGAAGAGATAAAAACAGACTAAATAGCGCGTGAGAATATACCCAGAAAATCGCCAAGCTCAAAATCGCCTATTTCCATTTTCTTAAGTATTCCAATAGCACCTGAACAAATGACATAAATTTAGGAATAAATGTTTTAAAAAATATTTTGAACAAACCAGTAAGCTAAAAATAGTAACAGTAAAAAATGGAACCAAATTTAATGTTCACTGCAAGTGAACCAGAAGGAGCAATACAATCATGCAACAGAAAGCATCATTCTATTAGATAATTGCTTCAAAGAATACCAAATTTATCTGCAAAGCTAAATTCCTGAATCACGCTCCACGTGCTCTCAATAAATAAAATATGATCGAAAACACCTTTTATGGTATTTTAACAATTATGTTAGTAGACTACGAGTGATGGAAACTTTTCCAAGTCAATTAAGAGCCAATAATAGCATCATAATGATAATATTATGATAATGGAGGAGCTAGATGCACGTGATGATCTAATAAGAAAACGTGGAGATCAATAGTTATCGAATTGAAAACAGCTGAAATTATCACTACCAGTTCTTATATTGGAAAATATTCTTATGAATTAAAAACCAAATAGTCAGTTTCATTCTCAAATATTGACAGTCATGGTTATTTTGGCATATGTTCGTACGCAGTCATCTCTCCACAATTATTTCTCTAAATGCAACATCCAAACTTGTTTGAAGTAACACCACGAGGAAAACAGACAGAAGATTCAGGTCAAAATGTACAAAAGGATATCAAATGCAGAAAGAAAATCCACCATCAATTAGCAGATAAATAAATACGGAGACAATGAAGAGTGACTCGAACACAGATCATAAATGTTTGCAACAAGGGCACAAACTAAAAGTTGCATAGCAGTCTGTCATATTCATGATGCATTCCATCATTGTGACAAACCTCATTGTTAGGATTTTTCATCTAGTTAACACATCTTCATATGGAAGTAAAGGTAGCATTTTAATTTATCCTCACTCCTTTTTCAGATACAAATAAGACAAAGTTGCATATCATAGCGAAGAAAACAATACAAAAAATTAATGTGATACCAAAATGGAACTCAAAAAAAAAGAGCCTTAGATTCTGAGGTACGATCAAAACTAAAAAAGATCACATAGCATCTAAAACATGCCAGGTAAACCATAGATTAAGACATTACCTAGCGAAATGATGACAAAGGAAATCAATGTGCCAATAGCCCCAAAAAGCATGATTGTCATGAAGTTGCGGAAAAATTGTTTCTTTTTGACCTGGAACCTGAAATTTGAAATATTAGAAAACCATGATAAGAACTTTCATCTGTTGACAAAAATAGTCAATCAAACTTAATTAAACTAAAGGAACATAACCACATCAAATAGTCTGAAGTGAAATCAGCGATATAATAGCTAATTAACTGGGAAGGGTTGTTTGGAGAAAGGGAGAGCGAGAGATGTTATAGTACATGATTGACTCACCAAAATGGAGTTATCAAACAAAATGATGAAAGAAATTTCATTACAAAGCACTTTAGTCGACCAATTGATGGCAATAACTAACAGTTTACAAGATGTCTTAACTGGGAAGGGTTGTTTGAAGAAAGGGAGAGTGAGAGATGTTATAGTACAGGATTGACTCACCAAAATGGAGTTATCAAACAAAATGATGAAAGAAATTTCATTACAAAGCTCTTTAATCGACCAATTAATGGCAAGAACTAACATTTTACAAGATGTTTTAATTGAACTTTTTCCTCAAAATTTTAGGTTTTGGCAATGTTAGAATGCATGACGAGCATAAACACACCCAAGAGTTGTTGTGCAGACAGGATGAAAAAAAGACCCCTTAATAGCGAATAATTTATGTCCTTAAATTTATACTACAATACGAATCTTCCAAATATGACATTTGGATCATCTCCTAACCTTTATATCCTACCCTAAAGATTCTAAAGGCAGCCCTATTACGCAGCTTCGGGTTTTATTTTCGCCAAGAAATATAACAGAAAAGACAGCATCTTTTCCTGACAAATGGAGAAATATTTCAAAAGCTTTGATCTAAGCTTTGGAGAATTGATGCAACACCTGGTATGCATTCCAAAATCGTATAAATGGGTTGATCATGCAACTGATGCTTCCTCACTATCAAAAAGAAGAGTAAAATTAAAATAATAATAAAGAAAGGAAAAGTTACAAAGGAAGAAATGGTGGAAATAAGGAATTCAGGCGTCTTTTTTTATGTATAAATAATAGCACTGCAGAGACAAGGTTACTGGTGTTCTGTATTTCATAACGTAATTCAGTAACATCCGAAAAATCTTGCCTATAAATAGATCTCAGCACTTATAGCATTGTAATGAACGTCAAATTTTCATATCTTTACAGATGTTCCAGCATAAATATCATGTGTACCTGATTACCTAGAAGAAACAAAAAAGGGTTTACTAAGAATCGCTCTCGAGAGTCTCGTTAAGAATTCCCCAGTAAAACCTGGCAAACTATTATGCTCGCATCCTACAACATGAAACTATTATGTCAAACCAATGGTAAGACAGAATTTCTTCATCAGCTTTCGTAAAGATCTCAAGATATGAATCCCTCATAAACCAGGAAGAAGAAAATGCCTTCATATCTACCTACGGACCCCCTAATCCAGCCCAACACAGCTTCTCAATTACCAGTTCACAAAATAGACAGTAAATATCACATTAAGACTTGACAAATAAAGTTCACCAAACTGAGTCCAGATCCATCTACACAGAGGCAAGAGAAAAAAGATGCAAATTTTCACTTTTATGTGTTTGATTTATGGGACATAATGAAGACAGAGAACGTACAATGCAATCATGTAGTCTGAAGAGATGAGCAAGAATGAGCAACATCGCGGAAAACATCAAAAACACTGCTTACCCGGCATTGAATATAATAGGCGGAAGGAGATAGATGAAGAAGAGGTCCTCGCTAAAAACGAGAATGTGGGAACTTTTTCCCTTAGTAGTCAACAGAATTACCATTCCAGTACAGAGCCCCTGCATTTGTACACACACACATACACACAGTGAGGATGGGAGGAGAGAGAGAGAGAGAGAGAGATTGATTTAAGCGTCAAAGATCCGACATCGACTGCATTCCTCTGCAAAGAAGGAACCAAGCTGAAGAAACTAGAGAATGCATGATGAAGGCGAGAAGGAGTTTGAACTGACGATGATAAGAGCTGTGATGGACTCGTTCATCCAGCGGTTCTCCTCGAGCAGGTGGCCAATGACGATGCAAGCGCATAGTAGAGTGACAAAGAGGTTGATGGAGACGACGGAGGCGTAGTCAGACGTGGCCGTCGACCCCATCTTCATCAAAGCCGTCGTCACCGCCGGACCTAGAACCATATTTTTGCTGTGTTCTGGACACAAAATCAAACCTCGCGGAGCACGTATGCCAAACCAGATGCTGATACGACGGCAAGTGCAACCAAGCTATGTCTCTTCGCTGCCCTTTCGGAGGATAACACTCCCCCAGGCTCAGAATCCACCCAGACCCGTCCTCTGAAACTACTCTCCCGCAAGATTTCCAACAGCACCAATGGAAACGCGAATAATTGCCCTCCCCAGCCCTAGAACATCGTCCTCCGCAGCACGCCTGAATAATCTCCCGGGAAAATTACAAATACATGCGAATTTACGGGGGTACGGAGATCCAGACACTCATCACTGTACACGGGGGAAGAACGACAGACACCAGAGGACACAACGGCTGCAGCGTGATGATTCTGCCGGCGAAGACGACGGCGAAGAAGCAGCCGTTGCGGCGGCCGGCCGGCGGAAGATCCCGCCGATTTGATCTGAACAGCGCTGGAGACGAGGACGGTGAATTGCCTCAGAAGCCAGATCATTACGGCCGTTAAATGGCATATCAACCTCCTACACATCTCTAATTGGATAATCACCCCTAAATAATTTCAAATCACCCCCTACCTCGTACCAATAGAAAATCATTTTCATTATTTCCCGTAAACCGATTTATTGCGTGATTATTATTTCCCCCTTTTTTTCACCCATCAATGATAACGACCACCGTTTTCTCGTCACCGATTGAATCTCACCGCCCTTTTACCCCACCAGGGGCGCGGGAACGTGGTGTTCCGAGAGAACACCCGTACAGGTGGGAGCGCGGTCTGGTCACCGAAGTTCGTTAATCACGTGACGGGTCTGAGACCACGCAGCCTCTGATTACTTATCCTCTTACATTTTTTTATTTGTCTAATAAATAATATACCACGAAGTAAATCGATTTTGTTCCAACTCAGCATTTCTCTTGATGGAGACTGCAAGGTCATCCGCCCGCGTGGTACTTCAGGTGGGCAAGAAGAGAGAGAAATGCCAGCGTGGAGCGCCATGAAAGCCATTCTTGAGTCATTTACTTACCTTTATTTTTTAAACACAATTTTATATTATAAAGTGATTAAAAATTTCACCCATTGGAGCCCATCTAAAACTAAAATATTATATTTTTATCTATAGATAATTGAAATTTTTATTTTAGAAAAATAAATCCATCGTCACATACATTCCACGAGGCTCCTCGTTTTAAATAATTGCAACAAAAGAAATAAGTTTCATGAGATTGATTACGGACATCAGAACATAATCTTATATTTTATATTCGCATATAAAATGCATTTTCATAGTCAGATAAATCCAAGGATATTATTTTCATGACTAAAATATTAAATAATTTAATCCTACCTAATCATTGTCATATCATTTATATAATTTTTTAATTATCTCTCTTATTATTTTATGAATTTAGAACATGTATTTCCAGCATAGTATATATTTAACCCAAGTATTAATCTCTGACCTTCTTGATTTTATTAATAAAAATAAAAAATATTTTCGTAGACTAGTTCAACATGAAAAATTTTAAACTTTATATGATCTAGCTAAGACCTTGATTTTGATTAGATGAAGCTAGACATGGTTAATTAATTAAATCATATATATTATATTCAGAAAACATTATAAAATAAGAAGTTTTAAGATATTTAGAGGGGAAATAATAATAATAATAATTTTGAGGACGACAGAGGTACCTGCATGCGCCGAAAGATGCGATCTGACAACACGTGACTCAGATTCTGATCGCACGTGAGGCATTATAGGCATCCCCATTTGTCGTGAAGTAGAAATTAACTTATATACTAAAATAAATATGCAATTCAAGATATTTATGGGGTTTTACTTAAATTATACGAGACCCGAGGCCCTCAGGATGGGGGACAGCTGTCCACGTGGACTTCCCGGTTATGAGAGAGAGATGGGAGATGGGAAAAAAGGGGGAATTATTCGATTTTTTTTCTGATTTTTAAAAAATAGGTTATTGATGAATTCACATAAATATTGGCCCTGAATATTACTAAAAAATATCCGTGAGAAAGAGTATTTGCAAAACAGGATTTTCACCAATAATCATGAGTTATGTTTCTATAAATAATAAATTATTACCTAATTACCTTACGTCTATCTGATACACGGTGGCGGTCTCCATCCGGGGTAGATTCCTCAGCTGGGACCCGCCCCGTCATCCCCTGCCATCAACGACGACGTGGCGCCGTGTCGAGCTGGCAAGATCTTGGCGGTCAAGGCGGGCCCCATGAACTTCTAACCAGGTATGTGAATCTGGGAGTTGGCAATGACGTCATCATTGGCGAGCTTCCCGAAATAAACGTGGCACCATCTGGTGGCCCAAGGCACAAGAAACTGATCTGCCAGGTGTCCGCATCTGTGGACATCAGGGTATATGTGACGTCATCGAATGGCCGAGAAATTGACGTGGCAAGATCTGGGCGGTCCAGCTCGTTAACAATGTTTCACGCCGTTGTCGTGATCGGATCGCAAATTATAAATAAAGTCCTTCTAATAATGCACATTTGCAAAAGTACCCATGCACTTGTTCCCCACGTAACGGGAATTTATTCCCTTACCTTAACCAATATTTTACTTATGTCCGAAATATATTTGTATACAAAACCACAGGTGGATAAGCTTGCCGACAGCGTAGGCCAACCTCAGGGGCCCAAACATACGGCTAGACCCCCAATGAAGTATGGCTTTAAATTTGATGGGTTTCATTATTCTTTGGCCTCATTTGATCGAATTATTCACATTTCCATATTTATTTAAACTAAACTTGATGGGTTTCATTATTCTCCACTTTGGTCTCATTTGACCGAATTATTCACATTTTCATATTTATTCAAATTATACACATTATGATTTGTGGATACAGATGAATATATATACATATATATATATAGAGATAGAGAGAGAGAGAGAGAGAGAGAGAGAGAGAGAGCGAGGGAAGAGGGGGTGGGGAGATGGGAATAAGTCAACACTTTATGGGCTTTGAAGCTAGATGGACACAGATCTATATTCGGTCAAGATGGGGTGGGGATAGAAGGCCTTTACTGGCAAGGGTTTTGTTTCGGGTTGGGGCTTCGCTCGGTCTGGTCCCGAGTCTTCCGGATTGGGGCTTCGTTCCGGGCCCGAGGTATTAATTCTTCGGTGAAATTTCTGAACATAGGTAAATTTTCGTGGGAGGATTAGGCTAATCAGATTTATAATGGTGAATACAAGCCTTAGATCGACATTAGAGAGCCATCAACTTGTAGCCTCCGTTTATACGTACACCCTTCTATCCATAGGGAGCATGGGATCTGAAGGGAGCAGCCCATGAAGAGAGATCGGCTTCTTCTTCATCATCTTCTTCGTCTACGTTGTTGTGTAGGGTTTCGAAGAGTCTTCTTGGTTCGGCAGAGAGTAGCTTGATCTAGCGGGGAGGCCCAGGAGGTCCGCCGAACAGGAAGCTGCAGCAGGCCTGGAAGATGCAGCAGCAACAGAGGAAGTAGAGGCTGCAGTGGGAACACCGCGGTCAGGACTGATGGAGGTCTCATTCCTCTGTGCCTTGTCTCTCTCCTCTCTCTGCGGCTTATATGTGATGCAGCTGTAGAGCTCTTTGTTTCTCTCTCTCTCTCCCTCTCTTTCTGACTTACGTATGCAGTCGTAGTGCTCTCTCTCTTTCTCTCCCCGTCCCCTTGTGGTTTATCAGTGGAAAGAAATTCTCTCGCATCCTTTGTCCCTCTCTCGTTTATAGGAGCAGTTGTCGTTCTCTCTCTACTCCCCCCTCTCTCTATGGTTTATTAGTGTAGTATAAGCTCTCTCTCTCTCTCTCTCTGTTTCTCACCGTCGGCTGGTCGCTCCCTGTCTCGTGTTCACTGGTGCAGTTGTAGTTTTCAGACTCTCTCTCCCCCCCCCTTTCTCTCTCTCTCTCTCTCTACCTGTTGGGTTTTCCGGATCCATGAAGGGCCGAGGTTGGTGACGTAATAAAATGCAGAAAAGTACATGTTAATTACGCAAGCAAGCATTCTAGGGTTTCAGCAAGCGGGAGGTTGACCTACCATCCATGGAAGCAGCCGCAGAGAGAAGGTGGCGGCCCTCCCGGCCCTGGGCCCCAACCTGGGGGACCTCCTGGCCCCATTCCCACTCTCCCTTCCTTTCCCTGACTCCACCAGCGAGCGAGCGAGCGAGCGAGAGACAAGAGAGAGAGAGAGAGAGAGAGAGAGAGAGGGTGGGTTAAGGAGGCGAACAGAAGGCAACTCATATATATAGGGAACCAGTCTCTCCGATAAGAAGCATTACCCTTCAAAGAAGGGACGCCGGCCAGTCTCACCTGCCGTTCGCCATGGCCGGCCTGTCACGCGGTGGTTGATGCTGATGTTGCACCAACTCTCTCTCTCTCTCTCTCTCTCTCTCTCTCTTCATTCTCTCTCTCATTTACAGGCGCACCCACTCTCTCTCACTCTATGCCACCGATGATAACTGAACACTATCCCTCTTTCTCTCTTCTCTCTCTCCACTTAAGTCTCACTCTTTTTGTCGCTCTTTATGTCTCTCTGTCTCTCATTTACGGACACACCCTCTGTTTCTCACTCTTGAAAACTCTTCAACACTGCCAAACTCTCCTCACTCTCATTTCAGAAATGCCCCTCCCGGAAGAGTTCCTCCGTTTGAAACTCCATGTCTCTCTCTCTTCCTAATCATGCCTTAATCTCACTACCGAAAGCTTCACCTCTTTCTCACTCTTGAAAACTTTCCCTCTCTTGGACAATATCTACCTCTCCCTCCCTCCCTCTCTCTCTCTCTCTCTCTCTCTCTCTACCGTGCCACCTCCGGACAGGAGCACGCGCATCGTGTCCCACGCCGCCGGACCTTTTTGTCTCCATCGGCGACCACCCTTCCCGCCCCGGGGGGGAGGGGGGGGGGAACCGCTGACGTCACCTCCGCCGTCACTCCCCGCCGTCCGCCGGAAAGCGGCGCGGCGGTACAGAAAAGCCGGCGCCGGAATGATGACCTCACTTACCGCCTCCTCCTACATATGACGTCAAAACACAGATCCCCACGATTAAAATCCTGACCGTCGGATCGATGGTAGCTTTTACAATGGTGGACCCATTCTCTCTGGAGTACGGGTGGGGCGACTGTACTAGTCATCTTTGACCGCCGTTCTATGATATCATCTCAAATCAAATATTTATTATTTTAATAATTAAAATGATTAGTAATTATTAAGTTTAATATTTATTATATGGGCGTCGATAAGACCGCATCCCCGGGGCCCATCGTTGAACGTGGGAGCAGCATGGGCGTCCGATCGTCCTCTCGTCTTTATACAAAACATCCTTGGAAATTTTAGATCTTATCTTTTGACCCCTGAGTCGGACAAATTCAGTTCAGTTTTTGTTTACACTGTTTTTGGGTAAATACGCAAAATGAGTTCTATTAAGTGTAAAATAAAGTGGAGGAGATTATGCCGGACTAGTGAGCGAAAGTTTCATTTGTCGGTGATTTCCGGCGTTGATTCACTGGTCCATGTCTCCTCCCCGATGGGCCATTCCTTTCCAGCGGTTCAAATATTCTGATGAAGAATGAACGGTGGAGATTTACCCATTGTTGAATGAGACCTGGGAGTTCTCCCCTAGGACACCCCCCCCTCCACCAGCGACCTCTAAGGTACCTTATCTTCTCTCTCTCTCTTTCTCTCTCTCCTCTCTCTCTCTCTCTCTCTCTCATCTGTGGGTGCGGGAGCTGGAAGCTCTCGGGGGAGGAGGGGGCAATGGTGGCGATGGGGTCCGTGGCGGCGTTCCCCGACGAGGTGTGGGAGTATGTGTTCTCTTTCGTCACCGACGACGTGGATCGGAACTCAATCTCGCTGGTCTGCCGGGCATGGCACCGGCTGGATCGGCTCTCCCGTGCTAGTATCTTCGTGGGAAACTGTTATGCCGTCGATCCCCGCAGGGCCATTGAACGGTTCCCGGGGCTGCGGTGGGTGTCGCTCAAGGGGAAGCCGCATTTCGCGGATTTCAATCTGGTTCCTGATGATTGGGGGGGCGGGGCCTTCGGATGGATCTCGGCCCTAGCGGAGGGCTGCCCCTTGCTGGAGGGTCTCCGAATGAAGCGGATGGTTGTCACGGATGAATGCTTGGAGCTGATTGCTCGCTCGTTCCGCAACTTCAGAGCCCTAGACCTCAATACCTGCGAGGGTTTCTCCACTGCCGGCCTTGCTGCCATCGCTGCCAACTGCAGGTGTCTTTGTTTCCCTCCTTAGGACTTTTATCTCTCCTTTTCACCAGAATTTCGCTATTTTTCTCCTGCACATTCCGATCGGAAAGCGGGAGGGTTGCAGTCGATTTCTCTGTGTTGGCATTCATTACACATTGGACGACATTCAGGATCAATCGCTGTTCCTCTTTCTTTTTCCTGGATGGGGGCTGTTGATTTACCTGTGTTTCTATTCGTTCTACTTTCGACAACTTACTAATTTCACTGAAAGCCATCTTGTCCTTGGCTCATTGTTCCATAGAAGCCAATGATTATTGTGCAACAGATGTACTATTCTCGAACACTAGTGAGATTGGTGACGAGTCTCTCCTGTTGTACGAGGAATCTGGAAGCAGTATCTCTACTGTCCGAGTGAGGACTTCAATGATAAGATGCTCTTTGGATGGTAGACAACCAAATGTATCTTCCGATATTTTCTTTTTGTTGGTCATCAGACTGTGATTCTATCCTTCGCTGAACCTTGGATCTACCATAACCTCATTTTGTGGCTGTGGGGGGGTATTAGGCTCTAGGTTTGGATGCTAACTCCTGTAACATGAAAGTTTTTTTATCTCACTTTCTGTGAAACTTGGTTTGAAAAAGATGGAAAATAGAGCTGTTCAGAAAGACGCATTTGGAAGTTTCAAAAACCTTTTTGTTTATAAAGTTTTTTTTTACACGGTTAGAAGCTCACTTTCTGTGAAACTTGGTTTGAAAGAAATGGAAAATAGAGCTGTTCAGATAAACGCATTTGGAAGTTTCAAAAATCTTTTTGTTTATATGTGTGGAATCTGTGGGTCATCCTGGTGGTAGATTATTATTTTTGCTTTATAAAGCGAGTAAATTATTTGTGGAGCTGATCTTCACACCCAGATGCAATTTTGCGTCTACTTCGGTACCTATTTCAAGTTCTTGTGCCATGGCAGTTTTGTTTTCAGCTTTAGGAGCATTGATTGCCCTACATTAGCAGATCCACCCTATCTGGGAGAATTGGATATAAAGTAAAAACATATGCTGCACATTAGCCCTAAGCAACTTGGTTACTGTTTTAGATCTCCAAATGCTCCAGTTGACAGAGAAATGAAGATTTGCTGATCTTCTGATAAAAAAAGAAAAAAGAAAAGAAGAGGCAAGTTCGAACTTCAGGTCAATCTTTTAGGAGCCAAAGGCTCTGTTCTTTGACAAATAGACCAGATACGAACTGAGAAGAAGAGAAAGTCAATAAAGGCCCAAAGAACAAGATAAGGGCAGTCACTAGTCTCAGAAATGACTTAGCTTTTCATTCATCTGGCCAAACTCCTCTGTAGTTCGGTTTCCACTATTAGATCATTATTCTTCTCCTTTTCTCTTTCTGATCATCATGTGTGAGATGCTGCTATCAGCCCCCAGAACTTCGTTCTAAGACTGTCTGAACCATCTTGAAAACAGATATATTGTGGGTGGGTTGAAAAGGGTTCTCAAAATAGTTGATATCTATTCGTTTCATATATATATATATTTTTAAAACCCTTACAGATTTATTTATTTTTACTTACTTGTGATCATTCTGCATCCTCTGCTAACATTACTGCTCCCCCTGGTTCCCAATTCAGGCACCTGCGGGAGCTCAACCTACAGGAGAATAACGTGGAGGACTGGAGCGGGCACTGGCTCAGCCACTTTCCGGAGTCCTCCACCTCTCTGGTCTCGCTCAGCATCGCCTGCCTGGAGGGTCCAGTTAACCTGTCCGTGCTGGAGCGCCTCTTGAGCCGGAACCCTAATCTTCAGACTCTGAGGCTCAACCAGGCAGTGCCCCTCGAGAGGCTCGCCAGCATCCTCCACCTGGCCCCCCGACTCACTGACCTCGGTACAGGCAGGTTCCTGGTGGACCCCCATGCCGATGCCTCCTTCAAGCTCGAGTCGGCCTTCGCCAGCTGCAGAGGCCTGAAGATCCTCTCGGGGAATTGGGACCGGGTCCCCCCCTACCTCACCGCCATACACTCCATCTGCGACCGCCTCACGAGCCTCAATCTGAGCTACGCTACTCTGCAGAGCGCAGATCTCATCAAGCTCGTCAGCCACTCAACGCATCTCCAACAACTATGGGTATGGCTCTCTCTGCTTCAGGTAGATGAATATCCGATTTGAAATGGCGCTGATCTGATGGGGAAGGTGGCCTCGGCAGGTGATGGATCTCATTGAAGATGACGGGCTGGAGGCAGTCGCCTCGTCCTGCAAGCAGCTGGAGGACCTGCGCGTCTTCCCTTCCGACCCGTATGGCCAGGCGCCGCCGGTCGCCCTCACGGAGAGGGGGCTCGTGGCGGTCTCTGCGGGCTGCCCGCGGCTGCAGTCGGTGCTCTACTTCTGCCGGCAGATGACCAACGCAGCGCTGGCGGCCATCGCATGCAACCGGCCAAACCTGGTGCGCTTCAGGCTGTGCATCATGGAGCCGAGGGTGCCCGATTACGTCACCCTGCAGCCGCTGGACGCCGGATTCGGCGCCGTCGTGGCAGCCTGCCATGGCCTGCGGCGGCTCTCGGTGTCGGGCCTGCTTACTGACAAGTTCTTCGAGGCAATTGATGGCGCCGCCCAACAGCTGGAGATGCTCTCAGTGGCATTTGCCGGTGAGAGCGATGCAGGGCTGCACCATGTGCTCTCCGGCTGCCCACGGCTGAGGAAGCTGGAGATCAGGGACTGCCCATTTGGAGACAAGGCACTGCTGGACAATGCTGCCAAGCTGGAGACAATGCGATCCCTTTGGATGTCCTCGTGCTCGGTGACCCTTGGCGCCTGCAGGGCCCTGGCGCGCAAGATGCCGCAGCTCAGTGTGGAGGTCATTGAGGAGACGCGGCCCGGATCGCCGGACTCCTGGCCTGACGACACCATCGTCGAGAAGCTCTACATTTACAGGACCCTCGCTGGCCCCCGGCGTGATGCCCCTGACTTTGTCTGGATTCTCTAAAGGTGCTGCCACCTGACCGCCGCCCTGCCGCCGGTCATGAATTACTACCATCGTCATCATCTCCATGTTCACCTGCTTGCTGGGTCTGCTTCTCTCTAATTCTCTGGGTTCCTCCTCTTCTCTGCAGTTGACTTGGCCGGCGGGTGGAGGCGCATTCTGGGATTCTCTTCTCAGATCCATGGTAGGTGGTGGCTTCTCAGGTCCATGACCGGCGGCAGGCCACCCTGCCGCCGGTCGCGGATTATCATCATCATCTTCTCAATTTCACCTGCTTGCCGGGTCTGCCTCTCTCTAATTCTCTGGGTTCCTTCTCTCCTCCGCAGTTGGCTTGGTGGTGGCGGCGCATTGTGGCTCCGGCGGCGGCGCTCGTCGGCATCGAATTCGAATCGGGGAAATATCACAGTGGGTTTGATGGGCGCGTTTCTTAGTTAGTATCCTTGTATGAGGGAATTCATGGTGTCGGGTTGCCGGAGAGGAGAGGGGCGGTGGCGGCGGCAGAGGAGCTCACCTGTGAGAGCTCCCGTCTCCTTTTAACGCCTACCCCGTAGCTTTTCCGGGCGGTCGTTGCTGTGAAAGCCTGGTGGTCTTCTTCTTTTTAATTGCTTCTGTCTTCACTTCCACTTTCGCGACGGCAGGCTGGGCCCAGCCAGAGAGAGAGAGAGAGAGAGAGAGAGAGAGAGAGAGAGAGACGAACATTTTGACTAGCTCGCCATTTTGAACTATTGCAGGAACAAGAGATGCGTTGTAAGTGGATGAACCCAATGAATTATTAATAACATATATCCGAATAATTCTGCTAGATCTAGGAGAAACTAGGTGGGGGCAGATGGAGATTTGACTTCAAAAACCAGGCTCGGGTCAACTTCTGGCTCACCAGGCTCGGGTCAACTTCTGAAGCAGATTTAGGGTTGAGTAGGGTCTCTGGCCTCATCTTCCTCCATACCAGCATCTCTCGCCTCTCCTTCGCTACTACCCCCATCCTCCACTTCATTGCACCGTCCTAAGAAGAACTCACCGTCCTAAGTAGGGCTCCAAATGTCCAATCGAAATTGATTGGTTTGAAAAAACTCCAAGCCCATCACCATCATCAATGATGGTGGAAACGATAGATCAGACCCTGATAACTCTCCACCAAGAAATATTCAGTGCCCACAGAAGGAAAAAAGAAAAGAAAAGATGGAACCTTGGAGGAGATTAAAGCCTATTGGTTCATCGCCAGAAGAGCAGCCGACTTCCATGCTAACGAAACACGGCGGATCATGAGCAATGGATTTGGACGCATTAATTACCAATGGTCATTTACCTTACTCTGATGACCTGCTGGACGTTACCTGTTCTTGGTTGGGTGTCCGAAGGGAGGATGTCAACGGAGGATTGATGATGTCCTTGCTGTCCTTTCTTGACGGCGGAACATAAATGAGATATTTGAATGAAGCACTCGCAGAAGGCAGTTAGAGAAACCCAGAAGTTGTTTCCTTGCGTTGACTGGCACTCCCTATCGCCGTCAGCCACCCCCCTTTGCAGGCAACCGATCCCCTGAGCCTTGAAGGATGTGTACAGTCTGATTTGTTACTATTATCTCGTTGAATAATTCAGATATGCGACTTGGAGTGCTCCGCTGCCCGCTGGCTGGGATCTTATTACTACCTCTCTCTCTCTGAAGCTATGCTTTTACGTGAAAAATATATGTCCCTTGGTTTAAATCTGCTCCAAATGATCCTATTGCAGTTCTCTCTCTCTCATCCACACACCCACACACACCCACCCACCCTCTGTCTCTGCGTTGGTTCTCCTAGTTTAATTTCTTATGCCTAGTGATGCGGTTTGGTGAGCTTCGCAGTTTCCCTCTCTCTCTCTCTCTCTCTCTCTCTCTCTCTCTCTCTCTATCTTTATCTGTGTCCATATCAAGATTAGGTTGGGCCGGCACATTAAAAAATTTCTTCTATAATTAATCTAAGCTGGAATTTATGAGACGGACGATTTATTCGTAGTTGCCTCCCCATGCATGCAAGCTCGCCCAATCAATCGATCGGCGGGACATACCATTCTTGAAGAAGACCCATCAATGAGCTCTGAGCAATGACCGGCCCATCCTCTCCATTATAAATCTGAAAGGGGGGACTCCATGTCTAGGAAAAAATGGCGATGGAATCTCCTGCTACGGACGAGAGCTTGAAGGCAGCGGAGAGGAGGCAACCCGACGGTCTCCGGCGGGTGGACGTTGCCCTCCGGGCGGCGGTATTCGTTCTCGAAGCTGTGGCAGTCGGTTGCCTCCTCACCGCCAACCAGACGAAGACGGTCGCCTTGCCGTTTGCGTCGTTTCCAATGTCCGTAGAGGCCAAGTTCAGCCACTCCTCCGCCTTCGTGTAAGCGAGAGAGAGAGAGAGAGAGAGAGAGAGGAGGGTTTGTGAGGGAAGATTTGCTGACTTGGTTGCGAGTGGTGCAGATACTTGCTGGTGGCGTCGTCGGTGGTCGTAGTCTACACCGCCGCCTCCGCCGTGTCCGTGCTCCGGCTGTCGAAGTCGGTTCATCCCAGTTTCCTGCTGCTCGTCCTGGTCTTCCTCGACGCGGTAAGGGCATGGTTTCCTCAAGCCGCCGTCGCCGGAGGCGTTGACTTTAATTATTTCATAGTCTGCCATAAGAATCTTTCTTCATGGAGACCTGTATCCTGTCTAGAGATCTCGGCACGGTTTCAAAAATAGAAAAACGAAGCAGAAAATTTCCAACTTTTTTGGTAAAAGGATGAACGTCAGTTAATTAGGAAAGAAAATCATTTTCGTCATCATCAACCATGCCCTTTTAAGTATGGCGTATTTTGCAACCGAGAATATTTAAATGCAAAATATTCTCAAATTAGAAAAAAAAAACATGATTTCCCTGATTAATATCTACCAAAATTAACCATGGAAATCCCTTTTCGTTGATTTTTTTTAAATATTGACATTTTTCACACCAACTCTACGAAGTATCCACAAGTTGAGATGTTATGTTGCTCAAATTATTATTTTTTTAAATGAGAATTTTGGAGATTATTTTCCCGATCTAAAGTAAAATTCGTTAATCGGGAAAACAAACCCTTTTCGACAGGCGATGGCGGCGATCATGGCATCAGGAGCGGCGGCGGCGGCCTCCGCTGGATACGTCGCCCTCAAAGGCGACGACCACCCGGGATTGAACGTCTGCAACGTGTACGGCAGGTTTTGCATGCAAATGGGCACCTCGATCCTCCTGTCTCTTCTGGTCGCAGTACTCCTCTTAATGCTCGTCTTCTCCTCCGCTTTCTCTCTCTACCGCCGTGGCCGCCAACTCTCCTGAGGCCACAAGTTTCTCTCTCAAGGACTTTCGGTGGCCCACCAGTAATGTTCATCATCTGATACTGAGCAAGTCATCGAGGGAGGACCCCGGAGCCGAGAGGCTGCTCTCCTTCGGAGCTCTACGTAGTGTCTGTAGTTTGTCTATTGTTGGAAATTAATGGTGTATGAGACGTTTTGCCTTTGAAGAAAACCCTGGTTTGTTTCATGTGGGTTGGTCTCTGCAGAGGGCCTTCACGGACCGATTGGTCTGTGTGGTTCTAGCATGGGGTCGGCGCTTCTCTTAGGGTTTGAGTTGGGTCCATGACATGTGAATGATCTCAGGGGGTTAAGGGTTAAGGCTCCTATTCTAGGGATGTTTCTATGAATAACAAACTTATGAACAAAAGGAGACAGAAAATAAGATAATACCATACCTCAAGAAAAATCTTGATTAAACAGGAAAAAAATCTAGATGTTGAGGACAATCCTTGGAATAAACTTAAAGAACCATGTGCAAGTCCACCACAAGAGGGAGGCGAAGATGAAGAAGCCATAGAAGGATATCAAGATATATAACACTTTTGAGATTGTGACTTGAAAATTTATTTTCTTCTTTTTTTATCCCATTTTTATACGTGCTTTTGCATATTATACATCAATTTATATAAATGAATTAAACGTTGAAATAAGTGTGCCACTTTCTTTAAAATTATGAAGTATATTCAAAACTATTTAAATTTCTAATTTCTTCAAAATTTCCCTCATTTTATTGAGTTTAATATTTTTCATGAGCAAAAATCAAAGGCAAAACTTCTATTTCATTTTAAGGGCAATCATATAATGCAAAAGTGAATGAATGTTATCATTTATTTTTATTGGTAAACATAATATTTATCTAATGAAGTTAATTATGAAGGGTATGCCTCATATCGTACTAAAAAATAGAGTGTAGAATTTCATCTCATGGAAGATTGAAGTAGTTCCTCGTTATAGAGACACAAGTGATACTCATATTTGTGCTTCATCACACAAAAGTCTCAATAGACCAAGCTTGAGTCAAGTCATGCTTACCTAGAGTATTGAGACAAAAGCCTAAAAGATAATATCTTGGTTATATAGATTGATATATGTAGATAGACATGCATATGTAACATAGATTGATAAATAGATAGATGGATACACAAGGGGAGAGAGAGAGAGAGAGAGAGAGAGAGAGAGAGAGAGAGAGAGAGAGAGAGAGAGAGAGTCTATGACATTGGGTGACTTTGAAACTAAGTCTCCATCCAAACTTGGGCCCAACTTTTAGGGCTAATGTTGAGTTTAAGGCTTACTTGAAACTAGGAAAAAGTAACACTGCTTGTCAAAAACAAAAATCACTAGAAATATTAAACATAGATATTTTTTCAAGAAAAATAATAGTTTACTTTTATTATTCAGATGGACTTACTGGATCAAGTCAACCAAGGACAACATCATTACAATGAAAGTTATTGTCTTTAGGATTACAATGAAATGATTCTAATACATCATGTGAGCACGACTTGTTTTCTATGACAATTGAGACTAGAAAATTTTCCTTTTGAGACCTTGGATAACTAAAAAAATTATTCTATAATTGAAAAAATCATATAATTATTGCATGGCTTAGTTCTATAGCCAGCAGTTTAGGGCTTGAATTCTAGATCACTTTGAATGTCCCAAAGGTAAGAGTCCTAATATTTTTTTCATGATGCCACTGCATAGTAGATAAGTCTTAAGTTTCAAAGTTTTCTATGATAATTATATATATGTGATACATCGAGATAATGCCATCAAACCCATTGAATCTAGTTATATGCACGACAAAGGTGTGAGCAAAATAAACACAAGGGCAATAGAAGTACATAAAGACAAAATTGATATATGTTTTAGAGACAGATTCCATTAATCATTGATTAAGATTTGGGCATTGATTAAGGACTTTTGGTATCTCAAATCTCATCTGGTCAAAATTGTCAAGGCATCAAGACACAATCAAATGAAAGTCATCATATTGCATCTATCAAGAGAGGACATCATGGCCAAACTTTGATCCACTAATTATTGACATCATAAACTATAGCACACATTTTATTCCAAAACCATATGGTTCAATTTATTAAAGTTTGATCCCCATTTAATAAATGCTCATAATTAAAAAGGACTATCAATTTGCCATACACAACTAAGTCTTGTGAAACCCACAATCCTTGAGTTGCACATAATCTGATCCATTCATAGAGACGTCTTCAGAATTTTGAAAATGTAAGAATTTCCATATGGATTATTTATGTTGCCTGCCACATCATTGGCTAAATGTGCTACTACATGCATGGGCATCACGGGCTGGTCTGATTAACCAGATAGGCTTAATTAGCTTAACCTCCTATGGGTTCTAGACATTAATTTATCTACATTTCAATTTGATAACAATCTCTCTCTCTCTCTCTCTCTCGTACATATATATCTATCTATATTACTTTAACTTGGGTTAATTTAGTCATGAATTTGCTAACAATGGAGACTGATGTGACCTGACTATTCAACTATCTTGGTGGAATAAGTTAGTTTAGTAGATGAATGAGGGACAACTTGGTCCTAAAATAGTAAAAAAGAAGGGGTCGCCCAGTCTGCCAGGCGACCATGAGACTGTTGAGGTAGGTTCAAAAAATTTATGGTAACGTGGAGGTAGGTTTATTAAAGTTTGGCGTGTTACGTAAACAAGTTCCGGCCAAGGTACATATATATATAAAAATAAAAATGGATATTATAGTAAAAATATCTCCTTTGGTCGGCTACGCTGGCCGCCGATGCATGCCACACGTTGTGGAACTCCCGAGCTGAGTGCTGCCGCACCCCTCCAGCATACGCCAGTCTGCCGAAAGGACGACCCATTTCTCCCGCTTCCGGATCCAATGATCGCTCTTTCTCCAGCTCAGCAATGTCGACGCGATCGCTCGAATTTTGATCGTCTCTCTCTCTCTGCCGCTTGGCCTGTACCCATTATTCTGTCTTCTTCCCCAATGTCCTTCTTAGCTACTGTTGGCTCATGTTTCTCCACGGGAGGGAACCATTTACCACTGATTTCTCCACATCTGCCGGTGGGTGGACAAAGCTGCTGCCTTTCGTCTTCAACGTCAAAGCGCTTTTCTCCCTCTGAGTTTAGCAGAGTCAAGAGCCCATGAAAAGTCCCACGTTGTATGTGGGGTTGGGAGTCGTCTCCCCGGCCTGCGGAGGAAGATCTATGCTGGCCGCCGTGTCACTGCCCTTTCCCGGAGTCATCTCCCCGCGAGAGTACCGAGGGGATGTACAGCAGCGGCGAATACAGAGGAAATGGGGGGTGGCGGTGGGGGTGGCTGTCAGTGGATCTTCCCCGCAGTCTTCTGCTACTAGCGAGGTCGGGACCGAGATAAACGGCGCCGGGAAGAGAGTGGAAGGTGCCCGCAATGCAGAGAAGATGCCTGCTCCTGTTTCTGAAGGAAGAGGAGAGAAGCTCACTGTGCTCTATGAGGATGGTTTCGGGGATGTCAGCGTTAAGGACTATCTCGAACGGGCTCGGGAGATTATCAAGCCGGACGGCGGAGGGCCCCGCTGGTTCTGCCCCCTCGAGTGCGGTGCCCCTTTGAAGGGTTCCCCATTACTTCTGTTCTTGCCTGGTAATCTCTCTCTCTCTCTACACTGTGTGGAAACCACGATCCAAGAGATGGATGGTCGACTATCTAGGATGGTGTTCTGTTGCCCTCGTATGGCAAACTCGCCTCATTGAGCTTTGTGCGTGCAGGCACTGATGGTGTGGGTTTAGGACTGATTCTGCACCACAAATCTCTTGGAAGGTAAATGCCAGATGAGGAAACGATTTATCAGGATACATATGCCATATACATCTACATGCCGTCTTCCACCTTTGAGAAGAATTGCTTCATGTGTGCTACTTACTTTTCTTAAATCTGATGGAATAATAAGTTTGAATGTGAGATGTATATAGCAATTTCATTCCATGTCTTCGTGTAACTTTCCTCATTCATATCTGTTTAATGTTATTCCATGATCCCATAACAATTCTGAAAAGTGAGCTAATGTAGACTGCTTACCATCTAAAACGTTTACTCAGAGACTGAGCTGGTCATAAATACGGATTCCAAACGGTTGATGATGAATTTTTTTGACCATGTTAATCATCACTTTGGTAACTTGGTATCATGCTCCATTTGATGAATTGAACTCCTTTATCACTTTGCCTCCTGTAACTTTCAATCATCGTTCCTTTCATTGAAGTTGTCTGAAGATCACGTCAGATCAACTTCATGTAATGAGATTGAAAGTTGTTGTTCTTATGAACCAATTGGTTTGGCTAACAAGAAACCATATGCTGCCTTCTTTATTGAAGAACAAAATGCATTCCTAATTTTTGCCTTTTTGCTGACTATAGGGTTTTCGAAGTTAGATGCCTGCACATTCCTGTTTATGACCGCACGCCATTTGAAGGTTTTGCCCCTTTGACATTCTCTTGTGGAAGGCTATTTACTTTGTTTCTAATTCCATTTGTCGACAGTTTCTTAAATTATCTAGTTATGAAGCTAAAAACTGATTCCTTTCGTTGCATGCTAGAATATGTTGGTGAGGCTAAAATTTGAGTCTTATCTCACGATGAGAAGATCATCACTCTGGTGATCACAGCCAAAAGAGATCATCAAGGATGTATTTCGATACAAAATTTGTCTTGCAAAGTAAATCGCCCAGAACACTATATATTTGATATTTCATTTGCTTAGGGAGGTGATTGGTTACTCTCCCGTGATGTATATGTGAGTTGTACGAGGCGTGTTAGTGATCACTCTTGTACTGCATTTCTTTTCTCTGGACAGATATCTTTGATTAGCCTTCCATCTCTTTTTACATGGTTGATGAAGAAGCATAATTGATCTGCTATATGGGAAGATATTGTCTATTCGTACCTTTATTTCTCTCCTAAAACTGAAACTTGAGTTGTTGTGTTTTTGGGCTGTCTGCGTTTCCTTGTTCAAAGGTTTGCTGAAAGTCGTAGAAGATACTGTGAGGAATGAGCACGCCAGGACTCCAAATAGGCCAATCTACCTAATTGGTGATTCCTTTGGAGGGTGCTTGGCTCTTGCTGTTGCTGCTCGTAATCCTAATATCGACCTTGTGTTGGTATTGTCTAATCCTGGTGAGAATCGGATATTGGGTTTCATTAGTGGAGAACATATTCCGTGGTAATCTTTGATTTATGTTGATGCAGCTGACATTTTTCCTTTACTTTAGCGACATCGGTTGGCAGGTCACAGTTGCAGCCGTTTTTCCCTATCTTGGAGAGCATTCCCAATGAATTGCACGTCACTGTTCCCTATCTCCTTAGCTTCATAATGGGTATGCCACATCCCAAATGCATTTTTTTTTTCTTGCATGTTCTTCATATTTTACAAAGCTTCTGCTGCGATTGAATCAGTGATCTTTTATCATCTCTCTGTTTATTGTTTGCAAAAGAAATTTTTCTCTGTAATTTCGGTCCACTTGCATTTGCACTATATTCTTAAGTGCCTGGTGTTACTATGATTGAAAAGATGCATGCCAAAAACATCTTTCTCGTCATCTAAGGGTATCATCGCTTGGCTCTATGCATTCCACCCATAATTGGCTTTAAAATATTAATTTAATTTAAATGTCATGCGTCTGTTTACGAGCATCTTCATGGCATAATTTCCTTGGACTGGGAAATGCCAACTGTGGTTCTTTATTGCATTGTGGATGTGGTATGGATGATACAGCAACTTGTATAGATGATGCTCCTAGTGTTTCCTGTGTTGCTGTATCAGGTGATCCTGTAAAGATGGCAATGGCTAATTTGCCTGGTGGGCTTTCTCCTCCTGAGACACTGGACCAGTTGTCAAGAAACCTCACTTCCTTGTTGCCCAGTCTTTCTGTAAGCAGCCGTAATCCCAACTTTTAACTACATATTCCATGGTTTCAAGTGTTAATTATGCCCTTTGCAATTGTTATCATCATCTTTATGTTTTACCGCTAAATGTGTAGTAGGAAGCTTTCAATAGGACATATGGGTCAGTGGGAGGTTATCTGTGGTTTTCATGGTGTCTAAATTTTCTTGGCGTGTAAGCATTGTATGGTGATTCTCAGAGGGTCGAAATATTCACACTTTTAGGAGATGAGCCGTTTGGCTCTTGATTGGCAACACAGACTGGGAGTAATTTGAACTGTGGAATTTGTAGAAGTTCATTCTTCTTTCAGACCTTTTCATTTCTTCTTGGTTACCAGGTCGTGGATGGAATCATGAGCAGAACATCTCAACTTTATAATACATGATGTAAGAATTATCACCTGACTGAAAAGGTCAATGGGGCATAGTTTTGACGGTGATGCTGGGCTCAACAAGCCAGGATTGAAGGCAAGGGGTTTGGGTGCCTAGTAGTGCCGGCCTCAGATTTGGGACACCTTGTGTCCGCCTCATTAGCAGAATATTTTTATTCTCCTTTTATTATATAGTTTGTGCTCAGTAATTTTCTATAGTTATTGTGAATACTATTACATCAGCGAAAATGATTGTGTTTCACTGTACTTTTGAAACATGATTTTGGTTTAAATTTATATGTTCATTTTTTTTGTCAATATTATAAAATGTAAGGTTTATTTGGTTTTTTCTCCACGTGAAGACATAAATTTTGCAATGAGCCACTTGTTCCCTTATGGCTATACGGAAGTATTTAAGGTAGAGATAAAACCAATAAGTCTAAACTTAGAACCAAGAAACCAATGAATCGACTGACGTCATAGTTCCTCTTCTGAAAACCCCTCCTGATTATCTGGTGGAAATAATATAATTCAGGTGTTGAATTACACCATGATTTCAGTAGTTGCAATTTCAGATGTTACATTAAAAGTACCTATCATTACTGGTTTCATGTAGCCTCCTTTTTATCTGCATACTAATAGCCAATTTATCGTATATAATGCTTTCTCTGCTTCCCTCCACTGATCAAGTGATCAATTCTTGAGATTATTAGACTCATCTGGTTTGATAAATGTCAATAAAAAATGTCGTCATTTATAAATTCAAAAGAAATTATGTCTTGTAATGTCATTTATGGATTGACCATATCATTCCTTGAGAATGCTGTTGGTGTCAAAGCTGTACAAGTTGACATTGCATTAGAAGTCGGGATGTGGAAAGCAAGTTGACCCTGGAGACTCAGGTGCAGCTTGGAATAATTTTAAAAAAGTTCGCTTCAATTCATATGGGCCTCTCTACTGACAAATTCCCTCTAATTCTTTAAACATCATTACAACTGATCTTAATGCACGGCGACTGGGATCTTGACAATTGGATTTGGCTCATTCGAGTTGGAATGACTCAACAAACTCTGATTAGTGTATCTTGTGCTTCCAAACACAGTTGATGCTGTCTCGCACATTCAGAATATTTTTTGATTGCTTTTAAAAGACACGAAAATTGTGATATCTCTGGGTAAAATGTAACTTATGGTTACTTTTCGCATTAATTTTTTCTAGTTGACTGTTGTACTATGAAAGATGAGGAATTATTTATTTTTGAAGCATGATTGTTGTTGAAAAATAAAGAAACAATACTATTGGTGGTTTCATGTGACTGCTGTTCTTCGAACTAAAATCTGGTATGATTTTTGTCTGTTCTAATTTACTTGAAACTTCCTACATATTATATTTTCAATGATATTAAGTCAGAAAAGATCTTCAGGGTCGGTCAGCCATTATTCTGTGGGAAACTTCATTATGCCATGCGGTGTTTTGCTTTCTGTTTACTTCTTACTCATTTGTTTTCTTTCTTTAGTAGTTAACATGATGAGCTTTTACAGGATTTGGCTGATATTATCCCAAAGGAAACTTTAATATGGAAGCTGAAATTGCTTAAATCATCAGCAGCTTATGCAAATTCTCGTCTACATGCTGTCAGAGCTGAAGTTTTAGTGCTCTGCAGGTTTTTTTCTAAATCCTCGATGATTCTGTCCATTTCTTTACTCTTTTCAGGCTGAGAAATATGATTTTACTTTTCTGATAACACAGAGTATGTACATATGTAGAGGATAGCATGCCATGCAAAAGTATCTAAAAATATGTTGTCTTGACCAAAATAAGTTTTCTTACGAAGAAACTTGAATCCTGATACTAGATGCATGCGACATCCCTGCCAACACAGAAATATCTCCTGCCATTTGAGTCAATGACATGTGCCACTTAAGACAATGATGAGAATGCTAACTGCGAATTTGATTACTCACAATCTAATCTGATTCCGTCGTTCTTCTGGCCAGTCTGCGAACGTGACCTAGCCTTTCATTGAAATGACCGTAAGATTCTTTAAGTTTGAACTCGTTTTGAACCTTATTTATTTTTGTTCCAACTAATACTGGAATTCTTCCTTCAGAAACAGAACCAGCCCCGTCTTGATATCTTGATATCTATTATAAGTTGAGGCTTCCACAAGTTTTCCACCCTAAATTATGTGACAAATTAATACTTTTCTGTTGATCAGGTTTTGTGGAATTAATAAGCACAGTGTATCATAAATTGTAGCTTCCAAAAAAAAGCGATCATTTAAAGAGCTAGAATGGTCAACCTTTTTTTTTGGCAATCAAAGATTGTCTCAGTGGTTATAATTTTCTTTTATTTTGAGATTATTCTCTGTGCTTACTTCCTCGTACTAAACATTTCGACATACTGTATATCTTCTTCTTGACATCTGGAATGTTTTTGGGTTACTCCTGTCAGCTGTACATGTTGAATATTAAATATACAACGCTCATGCTCAAATCTAACATTTTTTGCATGTTAAACTAGTGGGAAGGATAACATGCTACCAAGTACTGATGAAGCAGAACGTCTTCGCTCTTCACTAAAATCCTGTAAAGTTCGCTACTTTAAAGACAATGGTCATACCCTGTTATTGGTGAGAATCATTTTTTTTTATATTAATTCATGCTTTTGGTGAAATATTATTCTTATTATTTTATTTTTCCCAATTACGAAAGCTAAGGTTGAAGTTGGTTATATGTATGTGCCTTCATGCATATTGGTGCAAGTCGTCTGAATTCCGTTTAAGAAGTATTTGATGTTAAACTGGACCTGTATGATGAATCGATATGTTAATTAATTCTTACACTCATTTTTCTCAATCATTTGTAATGACGGGGACTAACATCAATACTTGAAACTGGTGTGAATCAATCGTATTGGCTAGAACCTGTCTAAACGCGAATTGACCTGCTAATCGCGGTTCCAGAAGTGGTTTGTTAGAACATGACCTAGATTTCAGTAGATGATCTAAAAATAACGAGTGTAGGTAGTACAAAGTTGGGTTCACGACACCATTCAGAGAGAGGATAGCAAATGAGGCACAAGGACACGCCAACCAATAAAGGCCATCCATCCTGGCTACCTCCAATCATATCCAGCATGGAACCTTGACATGTCCATCTCTGGACATGTCAAGTACAACCAAAATGAAAATGCCCAGCCATCGCACCATAAAGTTTCTGTAAGTGACTGAGAGCATTTATTTTCCTTTCTAATCGATTGGTGTCGGCCTACCCCAAATAAGGGCACTGTTATGTTAGTGGTAGTGAGTCACATTTAATATGAGTCACTGTACTTAATCTTTCTCTTCTGAATACCTTTCCTCCTAGCTTCCCCATTACTCAGCCGCCCAATAATGCTCGTCATATTAAAAACTCTTTATCATATTTTTCACGAGGATTTATGCCTTCCTCCTCCCTGAAAAAGGTGTAGAAAATGTGTCGAATAATAAGCTGGTCAGTCTGACATGCTTCAAATGGTTATGCTTTCTCCCTACATCAACAATAGTTCAGCCGCCTTATGTCTCACTCTGTTGTGAACCCGCCTTATTTCTCCCACTTCTGCGTCCACAAGTATTGTCTTAGTAGAACCATAACATCTTCAAGCTGCCCACCAACATACCACCACACTGTTCGTCAAATGCTTCGGTCACTATAATCCATTGATTTACAACTGTTGAGAAGAACAACTGAAGTTGTTCTAAGGCTAAGTTCCCACGTCAATATGTCCTTCCAAAATGAAGTTTTTGGTCATGATTTGCCTCCCCAATTCATCCTGGCTCTTGGCAAATCCTCAAAATGGACAGTAATAGCATTTTGTCGCTCAAATGCAAAGGATCTGAATCCATGATTAGCTGCCGTAGATCTCCTTTTTTGGCAAAGAAAATACAATAGAGAGTACAGAGCTTGACAAGCAGAGAGTAGAAAGAAATACAGCAAAAATCGAAATTACCCTGTCAACAATCACGATAGTGGTGTGCATATCATTATAAACAGCAAAATTAAGGTAATTTCTTTGCGACAGTTTTCTCTGAAATCAAGTTTCATTCAAAAGTCTTGTCTCTAACCCTATAAAGTGTTTATTTGGACTATGCCCCATTTGATAAGTGTGCAGGCTATTGCGTTCTTGTCCTTTCAAAATTGTTTATTTGTTTCCTCTTTTGCTTTGTCTTATGTGTTGCCGTAATGTGTACAGGAAGATGGTTTGAACTTGCTGACCGTTCTAAAAGGTACAAGTATGTACCGCCGTTCAAAAAAGCATAGCTTTATTGCAGACTTTCTTCCACCTTCGATGACAGAATTCAAAGAGAAACTCCCCAATAGCAGTTGGTAGTCTTGTGTATTATCTATATTTGCATTCCTTTTTTTCTTGTTAAGAAAATATATTTAGAACAAAAAATTCATTTGTCTCAGGTTGAATGCAGCAGCCAGTCCAGTTTTTCTTTCAACTCTAAAGAATGGGGACATTGTGAGAGGACTTTCTGGGGTTCCTAATGAAGGTCCTGTTCTCTTAGTCGGTTACCACATGCTTTTGGGACTTGAACTTGATCCACTTTATGAGGCAATTTTAAGTGAGAAAAAGGTTATGCTTCGTGGGTTGGCGCACCCGGCGTTGTTTACTGAGAAATTCGAAAGCTACCAGAAAGAGGCACCTCGAAGTGACATAATGAGGGTGTTTGGTGCATTACCCGTTTCACCATTGAACATCTACCGGCTGTTTTCAAAAAAGTCATTTGTTCTTCTCTACCCGGGAGGTGCACGTGAAGCTCTTCACCGAAAGGTCTGTTTCTGAGGGGTTTTCAAGCTTTTACTCATATATAAGCCGTCAGATGCTGTTGTCCTCTTTGGAGAACAACGTTCTACTGATCTTATTGAGATTGAGATGTGTTACATATTTATTCTATGAATGATGCTCATCAATTCTTTTATAAGGGTTACTACAGTCTTTGTGGCATCCTTGTTCCCCCATTAAAGCTTCAAATCATCTGTCAGAAATTCTGCATTTATAGTTGTTCTGTGATCTCTTCAATTTAGTTTTCTCTTTCCCTGACATTTTTCTTTTCCATCTTCCGTTCTGTGACGGACGCCAGGGAGAAGAATATATGTTATTCTGGCCAGATCAACCGGAGTTTGTCAGAATGGCTGCTCGATTCGGGGTCACAATTGTACCATTTGGGGTCGTTGGAGAGGATGACGTCTTACAAGTAATAATGAATACTTTTAGTCACCCGTATAAATCTGATATCAAATTTACGATAATTTAGTTGTACATAATTTAGTTGCTTTGCTGGGCATCTCGTTAATGGGCTATTCTCCATGAGATTTTTTTGGTGGAATAACCACACCACTTCTCTAAAATGTTTTATGATGAGATGTCAAACTTACCCTGCATGTGATAATATCTCAGTCAAAAGAACCGAAAAACTCAATTTCTTTATGTTCCATGATCTATGATTAGTGCTTTTATGAATGCGCTCATGAATCAGTTGCTCTAAAAAGTATTGAGGATGGAAATATTGTGCTTGATTGGAGAGAGATTCCCATAAAACCCACCCTGAGAGTAGCACGGGTATCTCCCTTCAAACCTCGGCCTATTTAAGTTTCTTGACCCTTTTGTTCAGTTGTGTGGTGGAGCTTATACTTTATTCATTGCCAGCATCTCAGTTAATGAATCACCTTTATCTCCTTTTAAGCTAAGTGATCGCTAAAACCTGATAAAACTTGCTGTTGGCTTTCCAAAATCTTCTTTGCGATCATCCTTTTTCTACTTCCTTTTCGTGATTTTAAAACTAACTACTTTGTTTGTAAAACTTGCAGTTAGTTCTTGACTACAACGATCTGCAGAGGATCCCATTTACCAAAGAATGGATACGAGAATTGAATGAAGGGTTTGTCAATCTAAGGTAATTATGCTTTTAAAGTAATTGGGCCCTCCAGCGCAAAAATTATTGGCTATGAATAAACTTGGGTAATGTCTATAACCATGGGTTTATTTCTACAAAAATCAACACAAAAATGGTGAGTCCAGTTCAAGAGCCGCAGTTGGCTCTTATAACATTGTAGAATTACTGACCTATTAAGCTCAAAAAAACTAATTAGCTACAAGTGGAGTAGGCCTTTGTGATCACAAGTTTCTATACTTAGGCCAATATCACCCCAAATAGGCCTGTTCACCTAGCTTGGCAAAAGGCAATGGCAAATAACTTCAAGCCCTTGGAATAAAGAAATTATACTTGGGTTCTTGTCTGTCTACTTGAAAAGGGGAAAAAAAAAAAACATGGTGTGTGGGTTAGTGTTCAAAATGAAATATGGTAGTGATGGCACAATTCAGAGGCATAAAGGGCTTCTGATAGTGTAGCCAATGAACTTGCAGAAACGTATGGGATGGATTATGATGAAACATCTGCTCCTATTGCATATGACGGTCTCCACATTTATATTCCTTTTTTTCTAGTTTTTTTCCTCTTGAAAATTTGATTTTAGTTGTGTTGCTTGAAATTCTGAAGAATATGGACCTCTTTTGAACGTAGGATGGATGTTGATGGGGAGCTTTCCAACCAAGATTTTCATCTTCCTGGGGTTCTGCCTAAGCTACCAGGGCGTTTCTATTATATGTTTGGAAAACCCATTGAAACCAGGGGAATGAAGACCATTAAGGAGGACCGAGCAATGGCAGACCAGTTATACATGCAGACGAAGTCTGAGGTTGAAAATATAATGGCTTACTTGAAGAAGAAGAGAGAGGAGGACCCGTACAGAAGCATCTTGCAAAGGGCATTGTACCAGGTTTCATGGGGCTCGCGAGAGATTCCTACATTTGAGATCTGACCAAGTAGAAAATGGCCCCTCACTCAGCCTTTTCTCTGATTATGGTAGATAGAACTTGGCTGAGAAAGGGGTGGATCTATTGTCAAACATTGGTCAAGGACTGCTGTAAATGGATTTCATTTACCTTGAGCTGGGTAGCTACAGAAGTTCCAAGTAGAGAAAAAAAAATTGTATATGTGTACACATATCCCGATGTGACCTTGGGCTTCAGATTGCTGACAGCCAATAAACCTTTTTTTTTTGTAAATTCTCATCAGAAAATTTTACTCTTAAGTGGAAAGTTGGAGTTTTTCTTTCACATATCCAGGTTCTCACTCTATGACCAATAACTTCTTATTGAATCTATGGTCATCTGTGAAATCGTTGCTTTACTCTATAAAAAATTGTACTTTGTATAGCTGGGTTTTCTAAATATTAGTAAAATCATGAAGGAATTATACAACAACTAATACATTTCATCCCTCTTAATTATGCTATTATTGCTACTCATTTCTTTCTTCTTTGTGAGGATTCTTCAGCAGATTGGGATAGTTTTTGAAAGGATGTAGGTTTGATTTCTCCGTATTTTCCTTTTTTGTGAAATTATGTGTAAAATTGGAGTTCATAGTCCACAGATTGTATGACCCTATATTCCATTCCAAACATCTGACATCTCTCATGTTAGTTGTCGAAAGTTACAAGTTGTAAGAAAATACTATAAAAGACTGAGTGTATTTTAGAAAAATTGTGTTGCATCTTCCCTTATATAATAGGTGTTAAAGGTGAATGAATGTTGAGGTAGTTGTCTATCATTCTACCCTCTATCTCTTAAGACATAGGTCATTCTCCTTGTGCCTTTATTTTTCCAACATAGTATCATAGTGGGTTCATTCTACTAGGGCTTCATTGTGATGTTCTTCTTATCCCATTTGATGCATATTATCTTTCCACTGTTTATTGGTGTGTCATCTTGCTATTTTGAGTAATTTTTTTATTTTTTATTTTATCATTTAGAGTGGGTTCTACTTTTGGTAGTTTTTTTTTTATAGGGACTATGAGTTTTTCTTCTTACTAGAACCACAAGCTGCTGCCACTGTCGCTCTTGTATCCCCCAACACTTTGACATCGTCACTTCTTTGATATCTTATCCCTCTTTCGGCAAGTTGCTTTGTTGGCAAAGCAGTTTTACAATGATAGAGCATCAATCTTATACTATCTCATATATTATAGAGTGACCTTTATCTACAATTTAATAGTACATCCAAGTTCATTAGTAATAGGATCATCAATGACATCTTCAAATCCATTATCATCATTTTTATCTGAATCAAGGCCTTTGTTGAGAGGCTGAAATATTTAGGTCAATTGTTGTTATTTTCATCTTCATATATTTTTGTTTTGATCTTGTCAAAGAGAATGATGTTGTCTTTTATTTGGCATCATTCCTGCATCATTTTGATCTTCTCTCTAGTCTAGTGACTAGACTCTCTTATAAAAAATCCACACTACTACTATAAGTGTTGTCAAGTATTCTCACTCTTTCATCTGACATCATCCCTCCTTTGTTCTACATGGTTCTTTGTCCAATACCATCTCAAGCATGCCAAAGGTCATCTTGTGTTGTACCACATCATCTTACATAGTCTTGTGAAATAGGAGTTTTTCGACACTATCGTAGAGCAAGTGGCTGCCACGATAGATCATTGTCATTGCTATTTACTTTTTAACAAATTAATGTTATAAAAGACTGAGGGTATTTTGAGAAAGTTGTGTATGGTTTTTCTCTATACAATGTGTTAGAAGAGAAAGAACTTTGAGATGTTTGTTTGCCATTCTGCCCCTCTATCCTCTATGACAAAGGTCATACCCCTTATGCTTAGGGGATGGAGTTGAGGGCCTGATCTTCTTTGTTCTACTCTAATGGTAGATCTATTCCTTTTTCCCCATTCAATAATTCATGCTTTATTTTCTATCAGATATCAATATAACTAAATGTCCCTTATGTAAGAGTAAGTAAGCTCAATTGAGCTTAGCTTGAGAACTAGAAGTGCAGTGTGTACAGTGGAAGTAAAGTCAAATTACCTTTAATGGAAATTTATCTTGAGAAATTTGAGCCACTTCTTCTGTAGACTAAACTCAAGAATGATCCTTTTTAGTGACAAAATCATTATAGGAGGTCCCTTAAAAAGTATAATCAACAAGATAAAATTCGAATATAATTTAAAATCTATCATTAGAAGAATCAATACTGCTAATGAATAAACTCTCAACATGGTAGAAGAAAACTAGAGGAGCAACTTACCCAATTTACATCACAAGCTTAGAAGGTGTATGCAAGCATATGAAAGGTGTTTATCTTTAGTAAAATCAGATATCATGCATAGTTTCAATCATTGAGCTTTAATCGTTGGAATTAATAATAATAAAAAAGCTCTTGGGAAATTACAAAGTTTCCAAGGCTTTCTTGTGATAATAGATTGAGAGGATCATAGCCAACCGGGCTTAAAAGTAAATAATGAATTTCTTCAATTATTACTTCTATTTTTTATTTGATGCATAGTAAGTGCTAAAAATAGCCAACTTAACTATAGCATTTATCATTTATTTCAAGCCAACTTCTATAATAGATTGATTGCTTACAATTATAAAAGATGAAGATTAAAGCATGTATTAGACTAGTTATTTGATCAGTTCTCTTATCATATATGTGATTATGCGTCAATATTTTTGGTTAATTCTGTAACATATTATCAATTAAAATAGAATATTCCATGAATTTACGAGATCTTAATTTACAATCTCCATTAAGATTGCTGCAAAGTCCACACTTTTTTTCATCTTGAGAGTCTTGCCCAAACTATTCCTTAACTAGGAACAAGGCAATAATATCATGCCTGATCCATTGTACTCTGAATGGAAATACATTCTATTAGAGAATTTCAACACTGGGTAAGCTCATACTACGAAGAACAAACATAGATTTCCATAAAAAGACCGCATGGCAGTTCTAAGATGATGATCTTGAGAGATCCATAAACCTTTCTTCTGCATTAGAACAGCATGCCACTGCCATTCGACAATGAATGAGGGCGATATGCTAGGTTTTGTAATCATTTATACTTATCATTCATGAAATTGGGGAATCATCCTGATACACGAACTCAATTGACTTTTTTCTACGAGCAAGAATGTAAATCATACCCAGACATATTTTTTTTTATATTTTTTTTTGCCTGCAAGTACAGGCCACTTCCTGATCTAATCTCTTTACAAAATCCGATTGATATTTCTCTTCTTCATTTTTTTCCATGGCGCCAGTTCAATCCGGCAACGGGGAAGAAGATAGTAAGTACCAGGGCAGAGCTGGAGGAATTACCAGGGCACCGATCAGAAGAAGATCTCAGAAGATGGTCTGCTCCCCGAGCTCCTGGCCGGCCATTCCTTCCCTGATCACCCGGCTGAAGAAGTCCTCGAGGGTGTCGCCGCCATAGCTGGGGGTCTTCTCTGCGCTGTATTCGCCGGTCTCTGGGTCCAGAACCAGCATGCTCTCGGCAGCGTAGTAGCGGCCGATCTTCCCAAACTCGGCGGCGTCCTCCAGGGAGGGGAAGATCTTGACGAGGAAGTCCAGGACGGCTATGGCGAAGTCCATCACCCCGATGGGCACCTTCAAGAACTTGGGCTCCTTCCCCAGCAGCCTGAACAGCATCTCCCCCTGCTCCAGTGGCGTCAGGGCCCTCCCGGGCCCGCCGATCGGCAGCACCCTGTTGATCTTCTCCTTGTCCATCACGCAGTCGGCTATGAAGGAAGCGAGATCTTCCTCGCTGATCGGTTTACAGGCGCAGAGCTTCCCGTCGCCGAACATGACATAGGGTTTCCCGTCCTTCACCGTCTCCACCTGCCCCGCGAGGCTCTTGAAGAAGGCCGTGGGGCGGACGATGCTGTAGGTCAAGGCGTCGCCGGCGCCGGCGAGGGCCTCCGCCTCCGCCTGAAGCTCCGCCTCGAATTTGAGCTTCGCCCGCTGGAACTCCAGGAGGGGCTTCTGCACGCAGATGGCGGAGAGGAGGACGAAGTGGGCGGCGCCGAGGTGGCGGCCGGCGAGGAGGCTGTTGCGGGTGGCCTGGTAGTCGATCAGCCACGAGTCCTTCACCCCGCCGGAGCGGCTGGCGAGGCAGCAGACGACAGCGTCGATGGAGGCGCCGCCGCCTCCGCCGCTCAGGCGCTCCTCCAGGGAGCTCTTCAGGGCGGCGAGATCTGTGACGTCGGAGAAGCAGACGGTGGCGCCGCCGAGCTCCGCCAGCGTTCGGTCCCGATCGTTGCGGCCGCGGATGCCGCTGCGCTCCCTCGCGATGGCGACGACGTTGAATCCCCTGCGCACCAGCTCCCTCACCACGAACTTCCCAATGTACCCTGTGGATCCCACAACCAGGACATTCACGTCCCTGGGATCCCTATCCCTAAACGACGGCGCCGCCACCTCAGTGGAGGAGGAAGGAGACGATGCCGTGGCGGCGGCGGCGGAGGAAGAAGAAGAAGACGAAGTTACAGTGCGGAACTGGGGCTTCTTCCCCGTTCTAGGTTTAGCAGACTGCGACGGACTGGTTCTTCCGAGAGGAGGCGGGAGAATCAGCGAGGAAGAAGGGAAATGCCGGCGGAAGGAGAAGATGAGGCGGCGATCATAGGGAGTATGGAGACGCAGGTCCGGGGAGTGGAGGCAGAGGTTGAGAGCCATGGCGGAGACGACCTGGAGAAGAAGCTCCTTTGTTGCAGAACACTGATAGAGAGGGAGAGGAGAGAGAAGAGAGAGAGAGAGAGAGAGAGAAGGAAATCTGGTATGTGGCTGTCGCTTGCTCTCTCCCCTGGTCCATGGAGCTGACAGGATCAGACAGCAGCCATCATCTACCTTTCGAGCCAATAATCCCAAGAATCAAAATAATATTTATATTATATTTTTTTCCGTCCATTAAAGTTGACACGAGATAGAGATGTATATATAGAGAAAGAGAGAGAGAGAGAGAGAGAGAGAGAGAGAAACTGGTCTTGATCGGGCGTTGAGTTGACTCTGATCCTGCGCCAAGATTTTCAAGAATGCTGGCATGGTGGGTTGACATGCCAACATTATCAGATGCTAAAAAAATATAATTTCCCCAATTAAATGACCCTTGATTGTCTTCCAGTGAAAAAATAGTGGAAAATGAAGATTATCTAGTAAAAATGAGTCAACTGCATGGGATCCAAGAATTTCCATGGGGGTTTGATCCCATCCAGTTCTCTCACTAAGTTTCTCATTGAGTATCTGCATTTTTGCAGGCGTTGACCTCGGGCCTTCAATGGTCAACGGTAGAAAGCATTACTTTTGACGAATTTATTACTAAAAATAATTTCAATACATTAAAAGATGATTAATATTTTATATTCTCAATTAATCCCGTTTAATCTGTTCATGCAGTAAATATATGAATTTCTCCAGCTCGAGGAGGTGGGATGAGGGAGACGCCATTAAAATCGGCGGCTGTCGCTTCTGATCCTCCCTTCTGTGTTGTGAAGGTTGACCATCCGCCGCCAGGGCTAACAAAAGTCAACAAACAAGACTGGAGAAGGGTAGGGCGAAGACATGTGCAGGCGTGAATGGACCCCCAGACGGCCGCCGCCATGGTCGCAAAGCTCGACGCCTCGCAGTCGGCTATTGAAGAGAGAGAAAGAGCTTCGTCCTGCTGTCGTCGTCGAGCTGGGTCCTCTGTAAGTACTTGCAGGATGGCGTTTTAGTCGTGGGTTGGCGAGGAGGGTGGGGAAGAAGAGAGGGGAAGTGGAAGCGGCGCGTCTCACTCATTAAAGGAAGGGCAAGAGAGAGAGAGAGAGAAAGAGAGAGGGATAGGGATAGAGAGAGAGAAAGAGAGAGGGATAGGGAGAGAGAGAGAGAGAGAGAGAGTGGCGGGGTCGGTGACAGAAGGGGAAGAATCCCTTCACTGAGCTTCCCCTTCCAGTAGTTCTGGAGGCAGCTCCTCTGGTTTGAGGTCAGTTCTTCCGCCATTTTTTTCTATGAGAGAGAATCCACGGCCGCCGTGTATTCGGGCATCTGGGATTATCGTTTCGTTTCCTGTGGATTCCCTTTTTCTCTCTTGAGATCTTCTTGTAGCTTGCTTTCACCTTCTCAATTTCTCTGAATCACATGTTCGGTCCTTCTCTGCGCTCACCCTTTGAAGAACAGCAATCTCCGTGATTACAGAATATCTTTTCGATTAAAAGTTTCATCTATTGCTCGATTCAAGTCATCTCTCTGGATTTTGTTCGTGCGTTCTGCGGTATTCGATCCGCGGAAGAACACGTAAGAACAAGGGAAACATTTTCATCACTCCGTGGAATCCCGCATTGGATTATCCGACAGAAGCTTGGATCCTCATCCGCATCGTCTCCGATCATACAGTCTCAGGATTTCCACGAGCTCTTCACATGTTCTTCCCGTCCACATTCTCGTTCTTGGAAACTGGGCAAGCCATGATTTTCATCGAAACTCCTAAGGTTCTCTACTTTATGACCGCACGGGTGATGATATTCCTGCCCATTCTTCCCATCTTGGTAAACGTGGTGTGTTTTGTTGTTCCAGGCATGTACAAGAATCAGTTGCAGGAGCTCGCTCAGAGGAGCTGCTTCAACTTGCCTTCCTATGCCTGCGTTCGTGAGGGCCCTGATCATTCCCCGAGGTTCAAGGCGACCGTGACTTTCAATGGGGAGGCCTTTGAGAGTCCAAGCTTCCACAGCACCCTCAGGCAGGCTGAACATGCGGCGGCTGAAGCTGCTCTCACTATTCTCTCCAAGCGTAGCTCATCCAAATCGTTGACTTCAAGAGTTCTGGTACCACCCGCGCTCTATCTCCCTCCTGATGTTGACTTCCGTTTCCTTCCCATTTCTCATTCCCCAGAAGGAAACATAGTTTTCCTGCCGTTTAATTTCCTGGATGGAGTAAGAACAGTGGATAGAGAAGAACCCTAATCCCTGATCCCATGAATTCTGCAGACAATGGAGATGAACAGGGGGAAGGGGGTCATTATAACTGATAATATTATGGACGAATTAATTAATTTCATATGGTGGGATTTTCCATAATCTCTTCTTGTGCTTCAGATGTTTAGGAACCCACAGTGGGACAAGAACAAGGGGATGTTGACCAAACAGTCTAGAACTGCGGCTAATTTACTTGGTTTTCTTCTTTTTTTTAGGGTAGAAATAACGCACATTGTTTCTTGATCAGGTAATCTTCATTTGATTCTTGACCACAAGTCTCTTCACTTTAGCCATTGACCAGAGGAAAACTCTCTTGAAAACTTTTAGTCAACGCCCTCCATCTCTTGTCAACCTTATCGCTTCACTTCAGTGGTTTTTCTCGTTTCAGTTAAATAGCGTTGGAAAGAACCCAAAAGTCAACGTTTTCAATCATCGTTTGTTCAATGACCCCATCCACGCTCATCAGGGAAAAAAGAAGAAAAAAAATATCTTACTGTAAAATACAAATCGGTGATTATGAACACCACCCACACTTTTAGAGATTTAATGGTGCAAGAGCACTTGCAGTGGGTTCCTTAGTCTATCTTCTTCCTCAGTCGGTGGTTGACTTTATGTAGGGGCACAGTTGACATTTCACTCTCATATTGCAGGATGAGACTGGAATATACAAGAACTTACTCCAAGAGGCTGCCCAATGGGCCGGCTTGAATCTCCCTGCATATACTACCATTCGATCTGGTCCCAGCCGTGCTCCAAGCTTTCTGTGTACAGTTGACCTGGCCGGCGTGAGCTTCACAGGGGAGCCGGCTAAGACGAAGAAACAAGCTCAGAAGAACGCCGCAATGGCTGCTTGGGCGTCACTGAAACGACGTCAGTTCCCCCTTCATTCCCTTCACAACTTGCATTTGATTTCATCCCCTTTCATTAAGTATGGTGAAGATCGATAAGATCAATGATGGGTCAACGCCCCATAACTTGTATACCCATAAGATGATTTCTAGACTAGTGGGTGCAGAGAAGGAGAGAGAGAGAAAGAGAGGGGGAGAGAGAGGGGGAGAGAGAGAGAGAGAGAGAGAGAGAGAGAGAGAGAGAGAGAGAGAGAGAGAATCCTGCTATATATGGTATTTTTCATTTGATTTCTTGCATGTTTCTGCTGCAGTGCCGAGTTTGCACCCTGCTTCAGCTGCCTCCTCTTCTCCTCCTCATGAAGAACAGGAGCGGGTCAACATCGTCCGAGCCCTTGCAGATCTTCATGCCTCCAACAGACGCAGAGTCCCCGTGCAGAGTGATGGGCACCGAGGTGGTCAGCCTGAAGATCCAGATTCATTCGGCGGGGTCTTTCTCCACCCAGTCAACTGCTGGGCATATCCCAATTACTTGCCCCAAGTAGCATGGTACCCGGTGGAATCATACAGGCCTTCTTTGGTCGGTCAACACCCCATAAGTCAGCAGTTTCTTCCACTTGGGGTTAACGAAGGTAGCTACCAAGAACAGCATGAGGGGTGGGTCAGCGGCGCAAAGGTCAACCAACGTTTTGGAGACCCTTGCTCCAATCTTCTGGACTCTTCTGGAACCCTGGAGATTCAGCTGTCAGATTTACACAGCCCTTACCGAGCCTCCCAGTCAACAAGTGGCTTTCCGAGGTTGACCCCAATGGTCAACAATCCTCCTGTGGCGGCTGGAGCTCACTCTGCCAGTTCAGGAGCTGAGTCACTTGGGCACACGTGGCCGCCTTCTGTTGCACCGGTGATGATCAGGACTGCAGTTCCCGCATGCTCAGCTAGACCCAGGGTGCCAGCTGTGCAGATTAGGTCGGTGGGACCCACCATCACTGTGAGGCGGCCACGAAGTGGGGACCCCAAATAATCTTCATGAGCCCTCCATCTGCGAGCAGCAGTATTCTTGAACTTCCTTTCGAAGAATTTCCCATCCGCTGTCTACTTCTCTCTGCTTGCATGTTTGAGAGAGAGAGAGAGAGAGAGAGAGAGAGAGAGAGAGAGAGAGAGAGAGAGAGAGAGAGAGAGAGAGAGAGGGTTCTATTTCAATTTTATTTTAATGGGTAGAATAAATGGGCGATAAAAATTATGGAGACTAATTGAGATATTTTGATAAATGTGAAAATGCATTTGCGATCTTAAGTATTTCTATGATTAAATAAGAGGATGAGGAAATCTGGTGCTTAATAATACGGATATCTTGAAATTTATTTCGATTTATTTAGGATTAAAATGAGGAGAAATAAAGTTATTATCGGCCTAGATAATATGGTAAATGGATCCGTTTTGGGCCTGGAATAAAAATAAATTGTAATTTTCTTTCTCAGATCTTTTGATCGCTTTAAAGCTTGGTCAAACAAATATATTCGTCGTAATTTATTTATTTTATTATTCTCCCTTGCTTCTTACGTTCTCTCTCTCTCCTCTCCATGTACACGCAAGGTGGGCTTGTTAATCTCATCTTTATGTGAATCTATAAGACGTTAGTGTGAATTCTTTCATCATATTTATCTTTCCATTTTTGATCAGCGAAAAAAGTCAAAAGTCATGTAGGTCAACTTTCCTCCTTGACGTTGGTCAGAATCATGATCCAGGTAGCCGCAGGTTTTAACATTGGGATGACTAGAGAGAGAGAGAGAGAGAAAGTAGCGGTTTATTCATTTAAATTGTCAACCAAGTAGTTGAATGAAGGATGGGACTTTTGACTCTCAACCTGGATGGGCCCTTGGGAAGGCCAAATCAAACCCAGTAAGGATAAATGAATGCAATTGGCTCCTGTCAACGGGGTTGACCACATAATGAGGATGCCAGGGGAGAAACAGTTGTAAAGGGACAGAGGAAAGATGGGCAGGAAGGGCTCTAATGGCGGAAATGATCTCAAACTTTGACTTGTGGCAGCCTAAAATTTGGGCCTATGAGAGGCGTTGACCTTTCCGACTCGAGGGGTTTAAGCCAAGTCAAACCTTCCACAGGGGGCTCTAGAGTCTATCTCTCTCTTCTGTCTGTCTGTCTCCCTCTTCAGTGACGTCGGTCAAAAAGTCTTTGTGTGCTCAAATAGGTGGTTGGCTTACCAAAAAGGTCAGCCAGTTGACCTCATTTAAAACGAGGTTATTCATTAATTAAATAAATGGCAAATATTTATAGCTTGTGGCTTCGTCGCCGCGGGCACGGATCCTTATGGCTCTCGCATCACGGCGAAAGGCAAGGACGGTGGACCCGACACCATATAATCACAGCCGTCCACGAGAAGATGAAGGGCTGTACGGTCCCCACCTATCCTCTCTCTCTCTCGTCATTCACATTTATAATGTACATCTCACTGTATTCATTCTCTCTCTGCCCTCTCTCTCTCCTCTCTGAGTCTCTCTCTCTCTTCTGAGTAGTTATTATATCACAGCTACGGAGTCAAAGCACCCTCTGTCGCGACCTCCGCGGGTGAATGAAGAGAGCAGCAGAGGCCAGACCACACACATCACTCTCTCTCTCTCCTATCATCCTTCATCTCTCTCTCTCTCTCTCTCTCTCTCTCTCTCTCTCTCCCTCTCGCTAGAGTAGTTGTGCCCCACCGGCGACTCCTATCTGTGTGTCGGCATTCTCCTCCCTACCATGTCGTGTAACGCCTGAGTAGTAGCCTCTGCCAGTGTTCCTCCTCCTTCACCGGCTTTTATGCCACCTTCCCGTCCTCATCCCGGCGCTGAGGCTCCCACCGACTGCGGGAAACCCTCTCAGCCTCGATCTTCGCTCTCTTCTTCAGCTTCTAGCGAATGGACGACGATCGCTTCTAGGGTTTCTTCCCATTGTTGGGGATCCGATCATCGACAGGCCCTGCGTCCCTCCATGCCCGCTCGTCGACGTACTTACTGATCGGGGAGGTTTTCAATTGCAGCGCGGAGCAATGAGGTCGAGGAAGGATGGGGTGCTGGAGAGGAGCTGAGAGATGAGGTTGAGGTGGGGCGGGGATGGGGTGCGTGTTCGGTCGAGAGGCGCGCCCGCGCAGTGCTGCTGCCGCCGCAGTTCCAGCTCCGGTCGCTGAGGGGAAGGATGAAGACGACCTCTCCTCGCTCTCGATCAGCAAATCCCAGTCGACGTTCTGCAATGCCGAGGGTGGGGTTGTTGCTCTCGAGTCCAGTCGTGTGGAAGCCGAGGAGGAAGATGAGGTTGGCAGCGGAAGAGCGGGAGTCAATGGCGGGTCGGACTCCCTCCCGCAGCGGCAGAGGAAGAAGCCGAACCCGAGGCTGAGCAATCCGGCGAAGCATGTGCAGGGGGAGCAGGTTGCTGCCGGGTGGCCGGGATGGCTGGCGGAGGTGGCGGGTGAGGCCATCAAAGGGTGGATTCCCCGTCGGGCGGACACTTTTCAGAAGCTCGACAAGGTCATTATACTACTCCCTTCGAATTTTACTTCACTCACATGTCCATGCATTGCTTTGATTTGGTTCTTATCAGTTTCTCCCTAGCAAGAGCTTCATGGAGCTCTGATCCTTGATCCTCTGCGTCTAGTAGATAGGGCAGGGAACTTACAGTAATGTTTACAAGGCCAGAGACACTTTTAATGGTAAGATTGTGGCCTTGAAGAAGGTGCGGTTTGATAACTTGGAGCGCGAGAGCGTCAGGTTCATGGCGAGGGAGATTCTCATCCTGAGGAGATTAGATCACCCCAATGTGGTGAAGCTGGAAGGATTGGTGACCTCCAGGATGTCCTGCAGCTTATACCTTGTTTTTGAATACATGGAGCATGATCTGGCTGGACTTGCTGCAACACCGGGGATCAAGTTCACTGAACCTCAGGTAGCTGCTCTTTGCCTCTCCCAAGTCCAGTTCACTGGGCCTTTTGCTTGTTAATACGGTGGCATGAAGTAGATCACTTCTGCGAGCAGGTAAAGTGTTACATGCATCAGCTGCTGTCTGGGCTTGAGCATTGCCACAGGCGGGGTGTCTTGCACCGGGACATAAAAGGGTCTAATCTCCTACTCGACAACAGTGGGGTGCTGAAGATTGCAGACTTTGGTTTGGCTTCATTATTTGATCCGGAGCACAAGCAACCCATGACCAGCAGAGTGGTGACTCTGTGGTATCGGGCTCCAGAGCTTCTTTTAGGCGCTACTCACTACGGTGTGGGTGTGGATCTCTGGAGTGCTGGCTGCATTCTAGCAGAGCTGTTGGCTGGGAAACCGATCATGCCTGGTCGGAATGAGGTAATGCCTGTATTTCATGCCCTAGCGAAGGTTTTTTTTTATGGTGGAGTATGGCAAATACATTATTGAAGTATATAGCCCTGAAGAAAAATATTTTGAAGGAGAAAACATAAATACTACCCGATCATAGAAAAAAGTGCATATTTCCTCTGCTCAACTAATGAGACCGTTGATGCAGTGTTACGAGTTTTTCGTGTCCTCAGATAATGAAGGGGAAACCAAAGAAAAAAGTTTTCAAATCTCTCCTTGTTTGTGCAAAACTTCCTAGCAGTACCATCAGGCAAGAGTTTGTCTATCATTCTCTGTCTTCAGATTCTAACATGTACAGAATCTTTCGGTAAAGGTCTCATTTTCTCACATGGCGTGAATCATTTCTTTGCCCCATGAAACACTGAAAAAATGGTAGCTGAAATTCCATCGATTGTTGGTAATTTACTTCTTTGAACTATTTGTCAGGTTGAGCAGCTACACAGGATTTTTAAACTATGCGGCTCACCATCAGAGGAGTATTGGAAAAAGTCAAAGCTGCCTCATGCTACAATCTTTAAGCCTCAGAAACCATATAAAAGATGCATAGCGGAAACTTTTAAAGATTTCCCATCATCGTCTCTGCCATTAATTGAAACTCTTCTAGCAATTGACCCAGCAGAGCGTCAGACTGCATCTGCCTCGTTAAAAAGTAAAGTGAGTGTTTTCCATCTGAGTATGTTTACTTCTCTGACTTTTCATGTAGTCTGATAAATCAACATTTGCAAAATGTGTTTCATTTCTTTGGAGGGGTAAGAAAGTTGTGGCAAATTTCGCTAAAATGCTGATAAAAAGAAAAAGGACTGTGCTCGTGAAACGCTCTGATCCGAGATCCCATGTCTGCTTTTAGGCAGCTTAATATTCTACATTGTGATTGATGTATCTGAACCTTTTTTTTAACGCATACTTATTACGTTTTAAAAGTAAATTTATGAATTAGATACAGTCATATGGTGTCGTACAGTTATTTTGTTGTATTGTTTATTGTAATTACTAATGTAGTCAAGGCTTGAGCTCACTAGTATGAAATTGAAATGTTGATGACGTGGGCTTGAGTTGAGGGCAATTTTGTCCAGTTATTCAAGTTGTTTGATTTATTTGAAAATGCAAAAATATAGTCATACGAATTTTGAGGGTATGATATACATAATGGCGGTTTTTATTCAAGATTCATCTACTTCACCGTATTCATCTACTATTCTGTTTGTTTCTTGGATTTTTATGTTCCATGACATATATTTTATTTCGTATATAAAATTTCATTTCATATATTTGTGATTTCACGAAGCTCGTATATGAATACTGTGTATAATACGCGTGGCACATTAATCCTCCGATTCATGACAGAAGTGTTGCTTATGGCCCAGCAGTTTTTTACTACTGAACCCTATGCTTGTGAACCATCAAGTCTACCGAAGTACCCTCCAAGCAAAGAAATGGATGCAAAGATAAGGGATGAAGAAGCTAGAAGGTTTGCTGTCACCATCTTATCAGTTCCTTTTTGTTCGGGTACTGCGTAATTTTTTCTTCTGTTTTCTGTCATGGTCTGTTGTTTGTACATGCATCTAATTTGTAATTGATATCTTTATGGTCTATTGATGCAGTAGGTTGGTGCAATATGGCTCAGTTTCTAGAAGAAATCATGTCTGTTCCAAGTGTCCTGGTTGAAAAATTGGTTATCAAGGCAGGAAAAAAAAAAGAGCTTATTTTCTCCGCCTGCTTGGGCAAGGTTTGAAATCTGGATCTTAGATCGAAATTTGGTCGACAAAGACTCCATTCAAATCAGACTGTATAATCCAAGGCAAATCCACAGTTGGGCTATACCCAATAGGATCGGGATCAATTTAATAAGCTGAAAAATATTGTTCGGGAAGCCTAATTGCAGTATGAACATTGAGATAACATGGCTGCTGACCTTCAGTGGTTGGTAGTTGATCATTAAATCCCTGAGCAATGAAACCTGGAGCTATACAAGGATGAATTAGAGTCATAATTTAGTTTAGTTTCGTGTTATAGAGGTGCTTGGCTAGGTAACAACAAGAACTTCGTAGCTTGTATGTGTCCAGGAAGAAAAAAAGTATATATATAGATATTTACATAAATAGATAGGAATCTCTTAGGTTAACGCATATTTCCTGGGGTCCAAATTGAAAATTGTAGCATAACAGAGAGGGGTGTTGTTCAAATAATAACATACGAAGGGGAACCAGTGGTGTATTGACATTGATAATTCTTAAATGCTGCCGGACTCGGTTATCATTTTGAGAGTTTTCCCTCGAGTTTCTTCCTTTGATTTTCTGGTGTGAAGTGGTAAAGGTACTCCTGATGAAACATCTGATCTGTCAACTACCCTGACATAGGACTCGCCTGGAAAATCTTTGGCAGATGGTTAAACTCCTCCACTTGGGGAGTTCGAATCTGATATGATCATTTATCATTAGGCGTTTGAAACGCGGACCTTACAAAATTCATGAGTATGTGCAGAGGATGGCGCTTGACCCTGGGAATAAGATCTTGGCATCATACTTCTTTATTATTTGAAATATGGAAATGTAATACATTGCTTCCCCTTCAAGTTCAGAGATAATAAGTCGGTAAATTATTAAGTTGGGTTCATGATTCCGTCTTTGATTTTATGATATGTGGCACAGTCCCGCATATGATATGATAATATGATATTCTTGGTTGTTTTCGACTTTCTTTCTTATTTCTTTGTCAAATACTCTCATTTAAGGTTTAGAATGCGTGTTGCTTCAATTTCTTATTTCTCTTTAGCAGAAAGCTCCTCTTCTGAAGTACTTTTCTCATCGAAAGTGGCAAGGGATTGCATCCCACAGGCTACTGGTTTATGATTGTGAAAATTATGAAAAGAAACTGATTAAGAGTGATTCCCATGAAATCTTGATACTCAGTTAGTTGCTCAAACATTTCGTACGAAGGTGTTCTACATTCTGAGTTCTCCCCCTCCTACTTTTCTTCTGTGCTTGGACAGAGTCAGAGCCCCCAGTGGAAGATTTAATGCTGATGGCGCCAAGAAGACTCGCCCACGAGACAGAGCTCCCAGGGCAATGCCTGCGCCCGAGGCCAATGCGGAGCTCCAAGTAAACATAGATGTACGTCACACTAACTCTTGCCATCTCGTCGTCTGCTCTCTCTTCTTTTATTTGATCATTTTTGTGGTGGATGGGATCACACAGGCACAATACCAAATAGGAGAAGAATATCCATACATGATCAGTGGCTAATGTATAGAGGAAGACCCCCTTCCTCTGTATAGTATGGGATCATACACGCACAATATAAATGGGAAGACCCCCTTCTCTATAGTAAGGGATCATAGTTGCATGACATAAATAGGAGAAGAATGTGGATACAGTCTGGATAATCTATAGAGAGAGACCCTCTTCTGTATAGTATGGGATCATACACGCACAATATAAATTGGTGGATGGGATCATACAGGCAGAATACCAAATAGGAGAAGAATGTGTCTATACAGTCAGAGGCTAATTTATAGAGGAAAACCGTCCTCTGTATAGAGTATGGGATCATACATGCACAATATAAATAGCTGGATGTGATCATACACCTCTGTTTGGTATGTTGTTGGTTCGTTCTTGGACCCCCAGCTCCCCGAAGATGGTGATTTTTTCTTTTTTTCTTTTTTTTTTTTGGGCTATTTTTACGACATTTGCTTATTGAGAACTGTTGACAAAAAGAGACGAAATATGGGTTGATAGCTAGCATGAGAGGATCCTCCCCCAAGGCCCAGGCAATGGGAACCCACCCTTCACTGAGCAAGCTCCTACATACTTTCCTATTTCATCTAAAGATGAGGGGTTGTAGTCCAGCTCCATTCATATCTGGTCTCAAGAACATGGATTGAACCAGTACCCCCCCCCCCCCCCCCATGAGAGGATGCATGTAGGCAGAAACTGGCTGCTTTCAGGAGAGCTGCCCCGATTCGATTCAGAACTCTGCTTGTTTTTTCTTGATTGCCAGAGACGGCGCCTGGTGACGCATTCGAATGCAAAGAGCAAGAGCGAGAAGTTCCCCCCTCCGCACCAGGACGGAGCGCTTGGGTTCCCCCTGGGCTCTTCCCGCTATGGGGACCACCCCGGATTCGACCTGGGGGACGCCTCCTTCTCCGGCGTCTTGCCCCTCGGGGGCGCCGGCCCGACGGCGGAGCCTGCCGACACCAGCCGCCTGAGGAGGAAGAAGCCGCCGGGCGGCAGGGAGAGGCGGAAGGGCGAAGGCGGCGGCAGCTTCCAGCTCGGGTGAAGGCACCAGAGCAGAGCAGAGCAGGTGGTGCAACACCCCGAGATCTTGCTTGCTTCCCGGGGTGATGGAGGATGGGTCCCGTTCTTAATGACGTCATCATTTTAGATGTAATTCTTGTACTCGTCACGATCCATGCTGAACACCCACCCCACTGAACTCTGATAGGTCGGGCAGTCGGCTGTTCCTGGACCGAGTCGACTGGGTCGAGGAGGTTGTGACGGTTCTTTGATCTTCTTAGTTTTTGGAAAGCATTGTCGAAGGGTTTGATTGTTTCTATAATGATGTTCATGAGCTGTTCTGGCCTCTAGCTAGAGAGAGAGAGAGAGAGATGGTGTTCATGTGACAGGCAGGGTAAGCCGAAGAATGCAATGTCGCGGCTAAACGATGCGAGTGAGGAGACATCACCGCCAACACCGAGATTCCACGTCTGCTTAATGGGTATATTTATACAGCTAAATTAGCGGTAAGTGGAAGTCCAATATGATGAATAATGACCCCCCCTCCCCACAGTGTCGTCCCACATTCATTAAGGAAAAGAAAAGGAAAGCCCCAGAGAGAGAGAGAGAGAGAGAGAGAGAGATGATGTTCATGTGTGAGGCTAAGCCCAAGAATGTAATGGTGGGTTTAAAAAATACCAGTAGCAATCCATATCCTTGCGGAGGAAGGGGCCCTAGCATTGATGAAGGGCCGGAGGCGCAACCATGCGAGTGTTGTACGAGTGGCATTGCTGGCATTTCTGGCCGACAACGTGGAACACCACCTCACCAGTGACGTTGCAGTCATTGCAGAGGATCCACACCTGAAAGGGGCCCCCACAGATCGAGGTCAACTCTCTTCCACAAAGATGCGTCAAGGGCTTTGTCTACCTCCATGATATTACCCATTAGTCTGGGTCAAACCTCAATCGGTAGCAGCATCAAAATGATTTAGGGTTTAAGATGAAAGATGGAGAGCTCAGCACACATCTCAACAACTCCTAAAAGGAAAATGTCTCAAATATGGGTGAACAAGTAAGAAATTGCATACCTTCCGGGTCAGATAATCATCAGGCATAATAGTAGCTGCAACCTGAAAAGTATTAAGATCAGACAGATAAATCAGCGTTTCTCCTAGAAATTAGAGCCATCATAAGCCATATTTCGTCAACCTAGTGATGAACCTAGAAATGGCATCTCAATATGAATCAAGAACCATCAGAATGTTTTTTCACAGTATATGATCCTAGAATTTATGCATTTCGTCAATCAGATCCACCACAACCTCTCTCTCTCTCTCTCTCTCTCTCTCTCTCAGATTGAGGACTGCTAAAAGCACCCAAGACAGATAACGTAAAGAAATGTAACCAACGTTTATTGGGAAAAGCAACCCCAAAGATTTGGGACCAGAAGCGGTAGAAAGGCACCCAGGATCCACTGGATTCGTCAGTTATGGCAGATAATTTCTTTGATCTTCATATCGCATGGATCTTGAAAGGAAAACGTCAGGAACTTGAAGCCTAAGATTATTTCAGAATAAAGTTTAGTGATATTAACATGATACATGACTTGATGTCTCCTCATAAAAACAGCCGCATTACCCTGATTTTGTCAGTACCCAAGTGAAAAATGTATCAACTATTCTTCGGAGAATGGAGTACCAACCTCCTCATCTAACTTCCTCCAGTATGTGGACATATCAATCATCGACTTCAAGCAAATTGGGCACGCGTATCTGCATAATATGTTCATGAAGTTTTAAGGAATTCTGCAAGATGATATGATGGATTTCGCAATTAAACGGGGAAAATAAAAACGAGTAAAGAAGATGGCAATTACTGTCTATGTAGCAGCATTTCATCGAGACAGTCTGAATGCATTGTATGGCCGCATTTCAAAACCCTCGTCTCCTTCAGCGAGTCAAAAAGATACTGCAAAATAGCTTCGAAATCAGTGTGCAGTTACTCTAAAGTGTTGAGATTCCTGCATGAGCACATACCTCGTAGCAGATGGGGCAATGGTGTCTCATTGAGTTTTCTACACATGAATGCTTATCACGTAATTCTGTTGAATAGCAAGCACCTGGGAAGCACATTCTGAGGGGGATTAACGCAATTTTTGGAAGAGAAAGTCATAGGAATCAGATATAAATTACTCATAACATAGGGGCAAATGAGTGGAAGCAAATGAACCAAAATCAAGCAGATATTTATTTTTCGTTTGTTCAAGTCAGCATCGTTTAACTAGACTCGAGTCTGACTAATTACCACAAAATTCAAGTCCATTATGGTCGAATTTGGACCCTCGGGCTTTTCCTAACCCTTTTATCTTTGGACCATTGCCAAAGGAATTCTATCTACAGTTTTCTATACCTTTCCAAGAAAATCAGTCCGCCTTTACAAATAGCTGAAGCAGTTATTCGGTATACTTTCTTGTGATAAGCCAAGTATTTCCAAGTGTTGAATAAACTCAAGCATCTGAAGTGTTTTCAGATCACACATGGAGTTCCCCTGATCCATATTCCTTCCTCACTAAGAGCCCCTCCATCTGGACACCTCTTTTTTTTTTATAAAATTAAGAGAGGAGATGGAAAGGAAAATATTTTTGCACGGAGAAATATCGAGGAAGTTAAAAAAAGTCAACTCTGCAAGCACTTATACTTCTGCCACTGAAAACACACCATTCTGCATGAAACAATCCCTGGCTTCATAAGTACCCTGAGCTTGAGACAGCACCATCAGTTACGCCATTGTAAGGAATCTCATTCTCAGTAGTAACTCTTTCTAGTGCAGGGTCACCTCCATGAGTCAAAGAATCATTGGCATCTTCAACAGTTGCCTTACTCATGAACCGTACACAGGTTTTCGACGTAAACATGAAACGTACACAGGTTGCCATTACCACCTTCGTGGAGATACAATGGTGCCACTCAGAATCATGCTCCATTTCCACCCTTTCACCGTCTGATGAAATCTTCACTTAGGTGTTCAAATAGATTTTCTAAAATCCTCTATTTGGCTTGATTCTTCTCATGTTCCAGAAAAATTTGAACAAATTGAATGGTGCCTTCCAAAATCAGGACCCACTTACATCCTCTGACCTTGTGAAATCAATACTAGGTTGCATTTGGCAGATTGTTTATGAGAAGTTCCAGTAGCACGCTTTCAACAGGAACAAATCATAACTAATTTGAGCTGGAAAGGTTATAATAGCCTATTCTAGCCCCTTGAGACATATTCACTCAATGCAATCTTAATTTTTGCAGAACTAGGAACTCTGTTTACTGACGATTAGAACCCAAGTTGAAAACTACATTCTGATCCATCTGAGCCTACATTTTCCCCCTTTCTCCTTATCCTTGAACCTCAGTAAATCTTGCATGTAGCTGTGAAATCATCCCCAAACCAGTCTTGTTTACAGTTGCATTTGATGTCCACTTCATATCTTGTAGTCTTACTTTCCTATTCATATGTGAAGGATTCACCACCTTCAATCACAATTTTTTTTCTCTAGTCGCTCTATCTCACTTGTATCCTGTTACATATATGTAGTTTTTTCCGATAATATTCTTCCAAAAAGTTTTTACCTTATTTGGTCTTTTTCTTAATAGAAACTTTCCTTGCCATAAAAAGCAAAGTCTGGTACAGCGTTACTACCTTGTCTACGTTCTATTTGTTTTATCCGTATATTTGGAAAGGACAGATCCAACTAGATCATGCCTCCAAAAACAAACAAAAAATAGAGTGCAGGCCAAGAATGTATTTGGCATGGTAAATTCGAGTACAATTCCAACAGGCCTCAGGACATAGGAAAAACAGTCTACGGTTAACATTAATCCTAAAATTTCCAATGGACTGGCTTACATTATCTGGATTTAAACAAAGGAAAATGAGTAAAACAAGTAGTTAGATTTCTATGAGCACGTAATTGCTCCAAGAAGATATTAAAACTGAATCAACCCCATCAACAAGGAATACATACCACATTTCTGACAGTGAAAGAAGTTTTCCCGGCCACCAACTCTAATTTTGAAATCAAATAGTTAAATAACTGCAAGTCTCGAACAATACGGGTAATGTTGAGGCGAAAAAAATGAAATCAGGAGAAAATATGGGTTACCTGCATATACCGCAGTCATTACAGTGGTACTGATTTTTCTCCGTCTGAAAAATTCAGCAAGGTGCAACGCTCAAACAAAACACTCAAACAGGAATCTTCAGGCATCAAGATGGAAACCAACAACGAACAAGCGGTAGAGAAGTGATCAAATGATAGATAGCTTACATCATCATCATAGAAATTGCAAATATGACAGAAATAACTCCCCATGTTGACCCCACAATTCGAGCATACTTGTGCAGGCTGATGAGAAAGAAAAGAAAAGCTCAGAGAATGTGCCCTCCAACGAGTGAAGAGTAAGTCATAAGAAAAACAATGAGCGACACGTGAGCTTCAGTGCAGAATTTTACCGTCTGCTCTTCATCACATATCAAACATATCACCTGGAACGACCATGAACGAAAATCAGAGCCGAATAATTCGATTTTTCAGGCTTAGCAAGCAGTTGAATCCGAGGACTCACCCTCTTAATATCTTGGCGGCGGAGCTCATGCCGATCAGCCTTTTACGGGACCCCCAACCAGCACCAAAAGAGGAAGAAAAAAAAAACCAAAGAAGAGACAACTAAGTATCACCCCCGAGTAGGAAAGAACCGTCAGCTTCCTAACGCAATAAACAGAGAAGAGAAGCGTACCACTGACTCATTGTGACAATGGCGGCAAAAAAAAACCTCATTACAGCAGGGGGCTCGGATCTTGCACCTCCGCCTGTAATGCTTGCACCTACGCAGGTCGGAACAACTCGATAAACCAGAAAACCTCCATGAATCAATCAGTAGCGCCTGTGTAGACAGATCGACAGGAGGGAGGCGTACATACCCGTACTCCATACAGCCGAAATCCAGACGGCTGTCGTCGGCGGTGGCATCTAGATAAGCAGGGACCGCTTCCATTGCCCGCCAGAGAGGTGGGGGGCAAAATCGCTAGGATCAAAGCAGGTCCAGGCCCCCTACGATGACGAAACCCAAAACGATAAAAAGGAGGACGAGACCGGCGGAAGGAGCTGCTCCAGAAGCAACCTCCGACCAACCAACTTCATCCACATCGGCTCCGACGTCGAGCACGTCGCCTTAAATAGCCCGCGCACCACTGCATTTCCTCTTTACTTTATTCGCTAAGAACCCTCGTAACGACGGTTGAAGGGCCAAATCCGCCATCAGAGGAGCTCGCGGCAGCGGTAGCGACGGCGGCATTGACTTAGAGAGTTTGCCGTTCGTCAGATCGGCGGCGGTCAAAGGAGCGGCGGAGTGGTCCACGGCGAACTCCGCCCTCCCTAGCGGCGGCGGCGGCGGCGAACGATGACTCGATGTTTTACTACGCCTCCCCCGTCCCAGTTAGAAGGCGTGAGAACAAATGGTCTTTTTACTTTCTAACCCCTGTAATTTTACTACTTGTAAAAACCTCCCGTCATGTTTTATATCTACGAATTAGAAATATGTTACGATATTTATCACTTTAGTCGCTCAAATTTATGAATTGACAAAAGAGTCCTCACACGAGAGGGAGGGGAGCATATTGGTAATTTAAAACCATAACTGTAAATAAAGTAAAGTAAATCTAAATTCCAAGGAAAAAAATATTTCTGGTGTATTCACCTGCTATAAGAACATTTGTGATGTGCTCAACTGTAGGTAAAGGTTAGTAGAATCAAGGTTTCTAGTATAGTTTCATATATTATAATTGATCCAAATAAATCAATTTTAATCACAAGTGTTCATTAGTGGAACCTAGAGAAAATTTACATATGAAGTGGACAGATGCTTCAACAAGCCTAACCACTATAAAATCTTGACTTAATTTTCAACATTTTTTAATTAATTATTAGTGGGTTATACTTAAATCTAAATTATAATAAAAATATTAAACAAAAAATTCAATGCCCCCTTTCTTTATGCACTAATAAATCATCAAGAAACCAAGAACAAAATCATCACATATACATTAATTGTGCTCCTTCTGAAGTTAGATTTACACAAATGAGTGAACATCTTAGTGATAGTGCTATAATTTTTTTAAGAGATAAATTAATATTATGAAACTGATGGAAATGCTTTAGATAGAGTAGTATTTATTTGCAACAATTTTTGACAATTAAAACATTCTATCATCTTCTTATATGATTGGTAAATGTCTCTTGGCTGATTAGAGGAGTTGAAACTTATATCTGATGCTAACACATTTCTTTCTTTATGATCAATATGAAATGCAATTATTACCTTATCTAAAAACATTCATGTCTCGATCAATTTAGTTAATGTTGTGAGAGTAGGTCATCAATTAATTGCAAAGGTGTCTTATTCATCCACCAATTATCTAAAATAGAGCTGAATTTTTTTAGATTTTTGATGTAAGGAGTTTTTAACCTCATTCTTTACAATAATTATCCTTCATACTAAAAGATAATTAGTCAATTAAAATATCTATTAATACTATTTTTGTCTACATATGACACAATAAATTAGGTCCTTTGTCTTCGAAAATCTTAGAAAAGGTACAAACTCAATTGTCTATTGACTATTTAACATGTAATGAAATAATTACATGAGATGTATGTCTTTTAGTAAAACATATAGATAGTATTTTTTTGTCACAATAATATTTCTTAATATGCTTTTGGACTGATATAACATTATGGATAGAGAAAATATCATATCATTAGAATGACATGTAAGTAGACGTAGAGTCATATGGTATGATGTAATGTAATATATATAAAAAAACACGAGCATATGCAGAGATGCACAGCATGATGTGACACATCATAAAATAACATGTGAGCACACATGGAGCTATGTGGCACAATATAACGCAAGATGGTAGAAGAACACATGAAGTTATGTGACATAGTATGACATATGTTATAATGGCACTAAAGTACAAGTAAAGGTGCATGACATTGATTTTAATAGTTGGATAAATCAAGAAGGGGGTGAATTGACTTTGAATTTTTCATTATATTAATTAGAATACATTTTATTTTATTTTATATATTAGTATCTCCATTATATTTCTATAATAATGTATAGATATGAAAAAGAATATATATATGCACACAATTTTATAGTGATTTAGCCAAAATTTCCTTCGGCCTACATCTACTTTTGAGTAATACTCATTGGTTCTACTATTCTATCATATGAATACACTTTATTTTAATGAGATCAATAACTCCTCACGTCTCAAGCTTTGCAAGCTTGTGATCACTAACTTATAACTCTAATTATAAAATTTATAGGCTTTCTCATTACAAGCATAACAAAGGTGCCTCAAATGATCTATGTGATTGTGTTGATGACACATCATATGTGTCTCAAGAAGTCAACAAACCACAAATTAAAACACATACATAATAATTTAAAATGAATATATCACATCCTTCAAATGTCATTTTGGTGCATCAAAAGATGATAAAAGAATTGATAAGTGTTGGGGTGTCAAATAAAATACTTGTGACTTGGAATGATATCCACACCTCCTTGTAAATGATTAGACTTGCTTTTGTTTCTTCAAAGACTTGAGTAGAGGTGGAAAAGAGGAGGGATGCTCATTAAAGGAACTATCATTGTCTAAAAATCATATTTGTTCTCATTGTTTTAATTTGGGTGAAATGCCCCTTTTGGCCCTTTAAGGACAAGGTGGATCTCCCCCTTTTGGCCGTTACTGGGTCAAATGGTTAGATTTAAGTGGGTCTTGACAACTCATGTGTGGATTCTAGAAAATATAGAAAAATGACCATAAAGATTGAAACAATCATAACTATATCAATATTTTGAATTTTGATCCACGATTTTAAGTTGTGGATTCCTTTTTAGATTAACTTTTGATTGATTAGTTGCATACCTATATCTGTAATTTTTTTATCAGATTAATATTATTTTAATTAGATAGGTCAAACTTTACCTTATTTTACCTTTATGCAAATAGATGACTTCAATAATCTTGTAAAATTAGTAACAAATGAAAACTTGTTATTTTTTCAAAATTTCTTTCCTTCAGTTCCACATTAAAAAGGGCTTTATAGTACTTACTCATATGCATCTATTGGTGAAGCCATTTGATAAAAAATCAAATATTAAAACTTACACAAAGTTATAACCATTTACTTCACACATATTTTTTTATTACACATACTTTATGTAAACTAACAGTTATTTCTGATGAATTTGAAATAGTATATGATATTTTATATGGTCTAGATCATCGATTTCATCTTTACATACCTTAGTTCTACTAAACATTTCTTCCATATATCTATTAATAATCTATACTCTTTAATTTGATCCAGTATATCAATTTCTAATTGAATTTATATCTCATATTATCAATTTCATCATTTAATATTAATATATATAAAATCATCAAAATCAATCTAACAGGTCATTGAGATTGGCTACACTTCTTCTTAGTCCTCAGCAACTAGTACCAATTTGGGCCTCAATGGCTTTTTCAAATTAGGGCCATGTAATTAGGTGCCTATCAGGCTGCCTTCATTTGATCTAAATATTTGGTTGAACCCATCAAATGGTACACTAAGTCTTTAGGGTTTATTGGTCTTATGTTATTATTGCACCAAGGTCGTGTGCTTAAGCACATTTCGTCTTAGTGAGCCACATCTGAAGAACTACCTTATGCTAATTCTGGAAAACTAATTATAAAAAAATACATCCATGCATTATAAAAATCATATAAAATGAAAAATATTAAATTTTCTACTGAATTCATTTCAAATATGTGGTTCTCTCCCTTATATACTGGGTGGGGGGATGACATAGAAAATATGATAGAGAGAGGAGAGTTTCTCTATTCCTCCCCTCTATTCATCATGTTAGAAGAAAGTTCATTCCTCTGTTCTATTTGTTCCTCCTTTCATTAAAACATGGTTTAATAACTCCTTTTTCTCTCCATGGTAACATTCAGAGCTCCTTCTCTTCATCCTAATAGGTTCTAAAGGGTAGGGTTTGACTTGGCGGTAACGGGCCGCCTTGGACCCGCGAGAACTGAGATTGGATCCGATTTTGGTCAGCGACCGTCTTATACCCTGGGGCCTGTCCAGAGCCCTAAAACCCTAGGTTGATCGCCGTTATCATCTGGGAGTGTGCGCTCTTCTCCGGCGATCGTCGTCCGCCGTAAATCTCTTCTTCTTGTTCCTTCTTCGAGGTGGCTGCTCGGGAAGCTTTCTCCTCTGTCCTGCTTGTCATCTCCCCTCGTCATCTGTATCTGTTTATGCACAATCTCCGCTTCTGAATCTTTCTGTCCATCGCTTGCTCTGTTTTCCTTCTATCCTTCTTCCTCGCCTCTATCTCTGTCTCTGTCTCTGTCTCTCTCTCTAAATCTCCTCGTAGTCATATGTCAGGTTGTTATCCGCTTTCTCCTTTAGGTCCCTGATGCTCATCTGTAATTGGGATCGGGCGCTGATTTTAATCCTTATCTTGTTGCAGAGATGAATTCCCGTGATAACGACGACGACGGCGAGGAGGGAGGAGAGGTCTTCCTCGACGAGGACGACATACTCGAGGAGATTCCCTTTGACGAGGAGGATCTCCCTGATGTCGATGACGATATTGGATCTGATGGAGACGCCGAAGAACCCGATGATTCCGTTCACGTATTCACCGGCCACACCGACGAAGTATACGCAGTCATGTGCAGCCCGACTGATCCAGCCATGGTGGCCACTGGAGGTCGGGACGACAAAGGCTTTCTATGGAAAATAGGGCGAGCAGATTGGGGCTCTGAGCTTCAAGGCCACACCGACTCTGTCTCTGCCCTAGCCTTCAGCGCCGACGGCCAGCTTCTCTCATCTGGTGGCCTCGACGGTCTCATTCAAGTCTGGGATGCCACCTCAGGCAACCGCAGGTGCGTGCTCGAAGGTCCTGGTAAGGGGATCGAGTGGGTTAGATGGCACCCCAGAGGCCACCTGGTCCTCGCAGGCTCAGAAGATTCAACCCTCTGGATGTGGAACGCCGACAAGAACTCCTACCTCAACGTGTTCTCCGGCCATGGGGACACCGTCACCTGCGGGGATTTCACTCCCGATGGGAAAACCATCTGCTCTGGGTCGGACGATGCTTCTCTGCGGATATGGAACCCTAAGACGGGGGAGAACCTCCACGTTGTTGCCGGCCATCCCTACCACACAGAGGGTCTCACCTGCCTCGCCATTACTGCGGACTCTGCTGTGGCCATCACCGGCTCCAAGGACGGCTCCGTCCACCTGGTGAACATCTCCACCGGCAGGGTGATCAACTCCCTGATGAGCCACACAGATTCTGTGGAGTGCATTGGGCTTTCCTCGAGCCATCCCTGGCTTGCCACTGCAGGGATGGACCAGAAGCTGCTCATATGGGATCTCCAGAGATCTTCTCAGCGGTGCAGCTGCGACCATGAGGAAGGCGTCACTTGCCTCTCATGGCTGGGTGCCTCTCACTTCGTGGCGACTGGGTCTGTGGACGGGAAGATCAGAGTCTGGGATGGCCTCTCTGGGAACTGTGTGAAGATCTTCCATGGCCACACTGATGTGATCCAGTCTCTGAGCGTCTCTGCCGACGGGGAGCACCTTGTCTCTGCTTCACTCGATCGCACTGCCCGCGTTTTTGAGATCTCAGAATTCCGATAGGGTAAGGACCTGTCTACTCGACCTGTCATGTTGAATTTATCATTTTTTTGTGCTGGGTCGTTGAAAAGCCATCTTTTTTATCTATTGTTGTAAAATTCCTGCATATAATTATTCACGAATGCAGCAGTGAGCTCTGTTTGATGATATGAAACGTGTTTACCCGGAGGAAGGGGCTCATTATCTTGCGCTCTTTCGTCCTTCTTGGTTACAACATATGTTCTTTTTCTTGCCGAAATTAGCATACATTTTGTGGATTCTGTTCTCTATCAGATGGTCTGTAGCAGGAGAAAAAAACGGAAGGGAACTGTACGAACCTTGGTAGAGAAAACTCCGAATCCAAGCATGCATGAAAACACCCTGTTCTTCGTGATGAAATTGTTGGCTGAATGGTAGTGTGAGGTTTCGAAATGAGAAGAACAAGAGAGATAGATAAAGAAGTCTATGAACAAATAAACCTAGAGGAAAGGAGATTGCAAGGGCAGGAGCAGCAGGTTTGTTGAAGTTGGTCGCCCAATATCAGCAGGTTTGACTGTAATGGTGGATCAACACATGAAATTCCAATGATTGTGGATGAAAAGAATGCGTGCCTCCAAAGTTCAGGGATCCCCACGTGAAAATTTCTACCCTTTTCGCTGTCCACACTGCCATATCTGATGATGTTCGCTCTAGCTAGCATCAACCACCATACAGCATTAGAGAGAGAAATAATGTAGGTTCTTAACAGATTATGAGGAAGCCAATTGAGAGGGAGAAAACTCTCTCTCTCTAATGCCCAAAACCGAAGTAGAGGAATTGGAGAGCAAGCTTTGCTACGGATTGAGGGAAGGATATTGGAACTTGAATTCAAAGGCTCCCTTGTGTTTGGGTGATCAAAGATGCCATCTTGGCAAGGGTGGTGGTGCTAATCGTCCCTCCTATTCGATCGAGCTCGTATCCTCTGATGGAGAAGATAGATTTATGTGTGTTGGCTAGAACATCAAATAGTAATGGAGTTTATAAAATATTCATGATCGTAAAGCCCTTATATGAAGAGAAATCATTCTGAAATATATAATTTTGTGGAGATGTATGAACTCTCTCTCTCTCTTTCTCTCTCTCTCTCTCTCTCTTTCTATTTGGGTATGCTATCTTAGACTACTCACATACATCTCTTCACCTATGTATAAAATTAATAATTAGCTAGAGTCATGATAAGTCTTCATTATCATGAGTTAATAATTAGTAAATAATATAATTTTAGCCTTAATTCATAATAAATATATTTATATTTATGTTAAAGTGTGAAAAGTAGTTTTTAATTGATTAACTTAATTTTTTTGATAATTATGTGATTTTATATGAGTTTATATGATTTTTATAGTCTTACTTTTGAGATAAATAAAGAAAAAAATAAAAATAAAAATAAAAATAAAATAAAATGGGAGGGATCTGTTGGCCAATTAGGCCCACAAGCAAGTTGAAAGTGTAGTTGGGGAGTAGTTGCAAGTAAGGGCTCGAATAACTTGAATTAATAAGGGCACGTGTGGCCAATTAGTTGTGGAGCAAAGAAAAATTATATATGTGCGAGAAAGAGACTTGTTTACAACTGTAACATTATTTATTATATATTCATTTGAAATTTTGACGCACAAGTGATGTGAGACTAAACCTGTGTCACACCTTTCTTAGAAAGGGTAGGTGACTGGCACAAGTTTGAATCTTTTTAAAGTCAAAACTCATATTTTTTTATTTGATTATTGTAACTTTTTTACAGATCATCGGTGAAAGATTAAGCAACCAAAATTGTTAGATCATCGACGAAAATCTCGTCAACATGATTTGCAGAGCATTGTTATTAAAATTGTTGAATGATTCGTGATAAAATGATCGCGAATCCATTGAATAAAGTATCTTCAATTGATCGATGAATAAGCCATCATCAAGAAGATGATGATTTATCGGGAGACAAGTCACCACCTCCTGAGAGCGTACTACATGTGATGAAAAGCTTCTTCTTGTTGTGTAAACTTGAGGATGAAACTCTTTGATATGTGTCCCACTTTCATCCAGTTCTTCTTCGTCGGTTGACAGCCACTAGAGAGTCGCAAAGTCGTTATTTTTCCATTCTATTGGGTGACAGCTGTCATAGATGATTCAATGACCCATTTCATTAATCTTTAGACTTCGCAAAGAGATCTAGAGATTACCCACGTCGTCTTTATTCAAGGAGAGCCTTCGAGGTTATGGACACTACATGACGATCTTCTTAAATACTCAAGATTCTGGTGCATCATCGACGTATCATTGTCGTGATGTTGGAATTTTAATTTTCTACTTTCAACTTAATTTTTTATTCATTTAGTGATAATTTGTGTGATTTAAATTTATCAAGATACACTTCATTTAATTACGATTTTTCTCGCTTCTATAAATCTTAATTTGATCAATTAAATCGTCTGTAATCACTTACATAAGAATTATTGGGCAAAATTTTATTTTCGTTTGATTCGCATTTGCCAAGTGCTGACGTCATCTTGACGTTCACACCCTTATTTTCCTTTTTTATAAATTTTAAATATATTTAATTTTTATTTTCTAGTATAAAATTTATAGAAACTAAAATTCTTTGAGAAAATTCTGAATAATTACATAATATTATATTACATCCCTATGATTGATTTGAAAAATTATTGCTATTTTTGGAAGTTTTTATTGAATTATAATTGAAATATTTGTTGAGAAATACTTCTAAATATTTGAAAATTCATATTTTCTAGTTTTATAAATTTTAAATTTACGTGATTTAATATACAATGACTAAGTCATGTCAAATTTTTGCACCATTGTCAGGGTGGATTAAATAATATTTAATATTTTTTTGTTTTTGTATTAGAGTACACAAAAAAAATTAACTCTTGTTTTATTTTCTTATTGTCATTTTTTTTTTTTAAAGGGAATGAAGAGAAGTAAAGAAAGGACTGGAGCATATTAAAAGAGGGTAACAATTACTAAACTTTTTCTCAAATTTATTAATTTTTTATGTATGGTAGAAGATCCTTACATCTAAGGCTAGAAAATCTTTTCATTATTTCATTTAAAACTGAAATTCTGAAAGAAAAATTAATTTGAATGGATCTTGAAGGATGTATAGGTCAAATTAAGAATAATCTTATGACCATGAAAAATTATTATATTCTTGTTTCATTTCAAAGAGCATCCAATATTAGAGTTCTATTAGCACTCACTATTAAATTCAGATTAAATCTAAGAATTTTCAAATGCTCCTAATTTCATGAATTGCCTTTAGAAGAACCTCTCAGCACTTAGAAAAATTTCATATAGTCTGTGATTTAGTTAATCTCCCTCAAGTTACACTAGAAATTATTAAAATGAAATTATTTTCTCATACACTTAAGGAGAAAACTAGACATTAATTATCCACATTAGATAGAGAATTAACTAACTAGAAAGACATAGAATAAGCCTTTTTTTGAGAATTTTATCTCTTAAGAAAAATTAAAAAAAATATATATATATATATATATATATATATGAAATTTTTTTCAAAGATCAAGAGAAACTTTGCATGAGACATGAGAAACTTTAAAAAATTACTTAGAAAGTGTCCTTATCATATTATACTAAAGTGGAAGTTAATAGAATTTTTTATGATGAATTATTAGAACAACATAGAAATATAGTTGATTCTATATGTGGAGGAGCTTTTATGAAGAAAACTCTTAATGAGATTTACAGTCTTTATGAGAATTTAAGTGAAAATTCTAGAGATTAAGCTTCTTTTGAATTATATGACAGGAATAAGAAGAGAAGAATTTATGAATTATATTATGATGATGATTCTAATTTAAGAAATGAGGTTAATTAGATTAATTAAAGATTAAAAAAACTCAATTTACTTATTGAGAATATTAGAAAGCCTCTTAACCTTTAATTAAATGCATATATTACTTGTCCTATGTATAGTGAAAATGATCATTTTAAATTTCAATATTATAATTTAGATCAACCATTTTATCTTAGACAAAAACAAGTACATGTACCTCACGATTTTAGTAAAAATAGGAAATATTTTTCTAATTCTTATAATCCTAATTAGGGGAATAATTTCGTACAGAAACCCAAATAATATTCAAAATCTAGAAGCATTTAGATCCAATTCAAAATTAAAATTTTGTCCATAACAAGAACACATTTTAGAAAAATCAACCCTCTCAAATTCAACATGATGCTATGAAAATGATGTAACAAATGAGTCAAATGATGCAACAAATTATGAATCAAATGATGATGCACCAAAAACAAATTATAGAGACTTTTGAGAATAAGAGAGAAGAGGGACAACCACCTAGTAAAGAGATTTTGAAAATTAGGAAACTATTAAATAGTAAGATTTTAGTGAAGAGATTCTAGCTGGATAAATTTAAGAAAAAACTCACGAAATGAAAATATTAGGATAGTGAATACATTGAGTGGGAATATTTTACTTGATCTTTATTTCCAATTATTAGAAGAAATCAATGAGCCATTAGAAGTAAATGAGAATATTAAGGCTGAAAATATAGTAGCAGAAAATTTGAATAAAATTATTTATTACTCTAAATTGATGAATGAATATAGTAAGAATGATAAGGAGAAAGAGTGCTTAGATGAAGAAATAACAGTTGATCATGGAAAAATTATCTAAATTTTAGTAGAAGGGAGTAAGGACAAAAGTAAAAAAAAACCTATTTCAAGTGAGAAGAAATTAGTTAATTTGGGAGATGTAGGAGACAAAATTAATAAATCTAATTATAATTTTGTAGCCATGGATGTTGATAGTGAGGATGATCATGTATATCATAAACTGAAATTAAAAGATAGCTCTTGAGAAGATAAAGAATTTGATGGGTTGAGAAACAAAAAGTTAGAAAAAGAGTTGATTCAACTAATGAGGAGAAACGAAAATAATAAATATGAATATAGAGATAATTTTGGAGGAGAAAATTTGAATTTTGATGAAT